GAGTGAAGAATTTTACCGGTAAGTTCGAGCACAGGATCTATTATTTCGAAGCTGTCTTCTAACATTCCGAAGTTCCAAGTTTTGGCGCGGCCCTGGTGCTCCACGTTGTTATGACTGTTTCGTTCGTCAAGCAGTTCGTATATCTCGAATCTCAGTCTATCCCGCTCGGTATTAACGAAGTCAGAGAATGCCTGCCACCAAGCCCGTTCACCTTAAAACCATGCCATCTGAAATGCGTGGAGTTGTTATTGGATATGTGAGGATGGAGGCAACCCGCGGGAATGGAGATCGCACATTGGTACCAGTAGGTATGTTCCTACACAGTGGACTGGTAACAGAGGGCGACGGGTTTGACCTGGCTTCATCACCACAGCCTGATATCCCTTCTTCGCGTCTTTCTCCTACTTCGTTTCCTCAAGTGCCTACATCTCCTACAAAGATCCCACTTACAGACTTGAAGGAACCTGCAAGGCCGCGGTCACACAAATCGCAGTGAAAATACCAGGCTTAGCTTTGCACAGTGGTAACACCGTGCATGCCCTTGAGATGTGGGCGCAGACTCTTCCGAGTGGTGAAAGTCGGCTCTAAGAAACATTGGTCCGCTAAAGGGCACTCTATAGGGCTTTCCAGATGGTCGTGTACCATGCTGCGTTCATCCACCAATGCATTTGTGCGCAACAAAACTGCACATATGCCCATTGGTAAGAGGACAAAGTCAGATATCATGAAGTGAACTGCAAAGGTCCAAACGAGTATTGAGCAGACTCATTCGAATGCCCTTTCGACGGATGTGATAGCACTTTCCATGAGAAGGCATCTCTGGCAGCGCATCAGTGGCGTAAGCATTACTGGTATGCCACGAAATACGCTGCTGGGTGCTCCGAGGATTCGTTTTTGGTATTTGAGACGTTCTTGGAATATAAGAATCAATTGGCTCGTGACAGATACTCGTCGAGAGACGATCCCGGGTCTTTGCCACAGTTTGGCAACATGGGTTTCAAAGGAGTACAGTGTGATCTATTGGAGCAACGGAATGAGACTTGAGCTTCCGAAGACAGTAGAACACACTTAGCGGTCGAGAATACACCTATCAAGGCCTCAGATTGTGGAGAAATGAATATGTCCCCGAGTGATAGGGATCACAGGTTGAAAAAAGAACTCATCAACAACACGTCTGAAGCCTCCAAAGACAATAAGCCGAATTCCAAGTCTGGGAAGGCCCTTGTCCGATCTTTACACCGAAACTGGGTTTGTGGCTACCTGTGTGGACTGTCAGCCAAGTTGCGTTACGCATACCGACACATTCACATGGCCCAATGGGGCAATATCAACGGGCAATTCGAAGGCAAGGTCGTGTTTTTCGTTAACCGGCCCTATACGCAATGGAACTTGGCTTATTTCCTATACAATTTGGGGGTCCCGTTTATAACGATCTGCCCGAGCACAACCGCAGCGGTCAAGTCGAAAATCCTGCACCAGTGGAATGACGCTAATGACGAGGTTCTCTTACTCATCTTGAACAGCGGGTCGGCATTATAGGGCATTAATCTCTCAACCGCATACCACAAGATCGTGGTTTCCGACATACCAGACAACATATCCACCCTGCTCCAGATCATCGGTCGTGTCCATCGCCTCGGACAAGAGCGGACACAATACATCGTGTGTCCGGCAGACGTATGATATGTGGATATATGCAAATACCTCCCTTAAGATACTCGAACAGATTTCAGGAGAGGCAGCTATCACGCATCGAACCATCCAACAGAAGGACTGTGAACAGATGGTGCTGGCCACACAAGCCATGACCCCAGAACAGGCGCAGGAACTGGCCGTGAGACTCCGGGATAATAACATCTTGGCCCAAGGTGAAGAGTACATCCGCCTGGCCGGTGGATTCCGTTGTTCCATTGCCGGATGGCGAAAGAAGGACCTCGCCTTTCCCCCAACTTCCAAGGCGAGAAGTTGATCAAGCAGCAGGGTGACAGAGTCCAGGATTGTCAATTCTGGGCAGAACGATATGTGGTATCTCATATGCGATGCAAGATAGCATCTTTGGCTCGTCCAACGTCTACATCAGCCCGGTCTGGTGTTTCTCTTGTCGACGGTAGTAATGAGTTTGTCATTGCACCATATCTTTTCATGAATATCGACTCCTCAGATGCGTTCATCGGCCGGGCCTAATCAGTACTGCCTGTCGCTCACCGGGGCAAACTATCAGACTTGTCTTGAAAACACCGGCAGGCTTTTGTCTGTTCAGTTCAATCATCAAAAGCCAACTGCTGTGCCAGTTATATATATAAAAACCCTGGCAACACTCCAACACACTCTTTCGTCGCCCCTGCGGCCTATCTCAGGAGTCGGGATCGAACCTGACCCTAACAAAACGAGGCTGACCTCTTTTTTTCCGAACCAGAGCCCGATTTTGGCGAGGCAAGACAAAGTGCTGGACCTGTTTCCGTGGCCAGAAGGTTTCAGATCTCCATGATAAGATGTCTATATCCCCAGACCTTCCACTCAGGAGGCATTACAGGACAAGAGTCCAAGATCCTCGTGGTGATTGGACTCTGATTGGAGTTTGATCCGTCCATAACCCAGATGAAACGTGGCGTCGACAACAGAACCCTTCATGTGGAAGGAAGGGTGCATGACAACATGCAACTGGCGCGGGATAAGTGGTCACAAGTGTTCTCGGGTGCTCATGAGTACTCTCGACTACATAGGTGTTGAGCTCGAAGATGCAAGAATATCTTCCTTTCACAACGTCCAGTTCAATCTCCTTTTTGGTTCCCAAATGCGGGTCCGGGCCAGGGGAACTCCCAGAACACTATGACTACCACAACTCTCCAGTCAATCCTGTCGTCTTCGAGATGAGAAGTGATGTCAACCACAATACCCGTGGGCGGTCTCTTTGTTGAAAGGTCGAAGGATATCAAGAACGCGGAGAAAAGAGGATTAGGCAATACAATTTGCGCTCTCCGAAGAGTCGCAACAACATTCCGAGCCGCACACTGGCTGCATACTGACCGATTCAGTATCTCAGCGACTTGTTGCCGTCGTCGTTACCCCTAACTCGACAATAATGGCTCCGTCTGGTGGTCCGCCTAAAAAGCCCCCTGGCGAGCCCACTCGCAGTCAGCGAAATCTTCTATGTCTATCCACCCCAGAGGTGGTTGAACTGGGTAGCATACCAGATTGCAATATCTTCTCGCATCGAATATGTCTTTCCTGTCTCCTATCACGCTTCTCGCGGCAATGGTGCTGCCGTAATGTAGGCCTTGCAGAAGCCCCAGGTGGGGGGCTGGACTCGCTGGGACAAGAAAGGTTCAAGGCTCCATGAGCCTGCCCCAAGTCTACAAAACCATCTAAGTTTCCCATTTTCGGTGAAGCGATTTCTGTTGCTGCCGATCTTGAAGGGCAATGCGACAACCGCCATGTCTCTGAAGTTGGACTCGCATTTGTCGACACTAGGGATCTGGGACCATGTGTGAAGCTAACGGCAATTCGCGTTGCCGGTTGGTCAGCACATTAACACCCAACATACGCCGTTGGTCGGTGGTCTGGGTGGTTGTATGTGTCTATGTGTCTGTGTCTCTGTGGTCTCTATGGTCTGGGGGTGAGAGCATTGGATATACTATACCGGAGAGGATTCAACGGCCAGCACGCTCGGAGCTCTGCATATAAGATACCATCAGGGGAGGACGAGTTCAGGAAGAGGTTCCTGATCGGTCGACCCAGCGTCGTCGACACGGGTTCCAGCCTGGAAGGCGGATATCGATTCCTTATCACAGAGCCATCTTCAACATCTGAACCACTTCATACAGGCACAACACCGTAACCGTCGAACAACTCAAAAGGCCAAGAAGGTGGAATGTCACATCATGCTACTCGAGAACGATATAATGGACCCGATGTTCCTTCCAGTCAAGCTTCCAAGCTTACATTCAGTCTCGATCTTACACGCCTTACTGTTACCAGTGATTTGAAACGACCAGACCTAAAGTGGCGCGGCGTTGTGATCGGTTTACGCATAGATAGAAACCATACAAGGTCATAGTGAGTAAGAGGATTGTGCCAGTGTCGATGTTTCTACAGCGAAACGTGATGGTCTACGGCTTACGAGACCGAAAAGACTAATAAGGCCGAGAAGAAGACCGAAAAGACTACCAAGGGCGAGAAGAAGACCGAAAAGACTACTAAGAGCGAGGAGAAGATTCCCAAGATCAGCAAGAGCGAGAAAACTTGAAAACTTGTGAAGTGAACAGGGACCAAAAAGACTGGGTTAAGGTTAGGGTGTCCAGCACCAACCTTCGGCTAAGAGTTCGGCTTGCGGCGTACAGTGCGCTGGACTGATACGTGGCCGGAACCGATCTTGAAGGATATAGTCCTGTATTGCTGGGTCAAAGAGGCAATAGCAGCCAAAGGGGTCGGATTTGGCCTATTTCATGAAAGAGTTCATACTCGTGAACCACCTCGGCAACAGTACTGCTGGCATGACTGGTCTTTTGTCAGCCCGCTCTTATTCAGAAACTGTTTGCTGATTGCAGTGGCAAGGATCCAACGTATACAGATATCAATCGTCTTCTCCACATATTATTGCTATTCCATTCATGACATGGCCCTTTCGATCTCCAAGGTTGACTCCCTCATGGAACCTTGATGGGAGATTGGTAGATATATGCGCTTCTAAGTTTCAACTGCCACCCAGCTCTTTCGTTCGTTGAATTGTCGTTTCCCACACCAGGCCGTGGTCAACCGCTGCAGGGAATGACTCGGTGTGGTATGGTAATACACCTACAAACGCCAATATTATGTGTCCATAACTGGCACAAAGCACCGGCCATGAAATGAAAAGTGTGCTATTGGACTATGAACAGTGAACATCAAATAGCCCTATGTGAGGACACCACAGAGAGTCAGAGACCATGAAAAAAGAAAAGAAGAAAAACCCGAGGGAAGTGAGTTCATTTTTCGTCATTCATTTCGTTAGAAACGGTCCCTCACACTTTCATGAGAAGCGGAACCGACAACATCGGTGCCCAGAGGAAATAGTCACCAATATCATCCAACAGACCCTGCGGTTTCGCCCCTGTCATACGATTGTCTCCGGTAGCAGAGACGGCCATCTTCTTGGGGTCCCACCCCAAGAGAGTCAGTCCGATATCATCAGTCCACGCCTGCACAGCGAGGTCGGCCACGGTGTCGCCCGTACGTGGATGATTCCATGCCTTTGACACCAGATCCCATTGATTCCCGCCCATGCTGTCGTCTGGTTCCAGGGGCAGAAAGCTCTCTGGGTCAGGGTCGAATTCCTTGAATTGGAAATGCGTGCCGACGTCTTCGACTTGGGCCAGTTGGAACTTGAATGGTGGCATTTTGTCGCCCGTAGAGACTTGGGGGTCGGGTTTGCTGATCGAGACGCCGCACATGAGGTAGCGGGTCTTTTCTTTCGCGCTGTTCAGCAGGCTGTCGCTGTTTTTGTTATATTATGGATCGTCGTCTGCGCTATCTGTGAGGGAGATCAGGTAAGTTGAGTGGAAAGTCTGTCGAGAAGAACAGGCTTATGACAATATTGAAATGGGTGGGCTTCACAGAAATTAAAGAAACAAAACAGAAACGTATACTTACAAGGTCCCCATAACGCCGCAGGTAAGTTTTTACACACTGCTGAATTGTGCTGCCATATAGGGGTCGTGATCGGATCCCCTTCTTCTTCAACCTCCATCAGCAGGTTTGAAGGTGGTGTGACCGGTGTGATGTACACATTCAGGGAGGATGCCACTTTTCCTGCATTGTCTCCCATGGGTCTTGCGAAAATGTCCACGGCCGTTCCCTCCACCTTGTCTGTATGCTCCGGTGGATCTGTCGTCTTGCTATCAGGTAGCATGGTGTTGACGTTCGCATTGTCAATGGCGAATTTGCATGAAATCTGGAATGTGAATGTCGCTGCTCGGACATACCACTTCCCTCCACTTGGTGTGGACTTGGAATCATTCAGAGGATAGAGCCCCTCCAACACGGAGAAGACATGGCATTCTTTGTCATCGCCATCTTCATCTGTAGACAACTCTTCCACTCTAGCCGGCTTGGGAGGTGCCGTCAACATTGTCGACATGGCAGCGGACTTCTGCAGATCTGCTTGTCGGACCAGATCGATGAACTCCAGCACCGTACGGCAGAAGGTCTGATTCCTTGTCAATGAATGATATCTCAGCAAAGTCTATTCCAACATCCTTGCTCATCGCATAGGCGTCAGGAATTGGCTGCGGTGTGTGTGTGTGTGTGTGTGTGTGTGTGTGTGTGGATCCGTTGATTTTGACACAAAAGTACAAGCCGAGGGCACTCGGGGCAAGAGGCAGAGAAACCAGGCGCTTGAAGACGATTCTGGATAAATTGCATGGGTAAGCTAGTCTAGAAGGACTGTGTGTGAATTAATCGACACTTCTAGGCTGTGACAGGAAGCACTCCATGCAGGACATTCTGGCAGACAAGAAGGCCGACGCTGGAAAAATGCGCACTGTTTATGATATTGAAGAAACTATCGATTGCCCATACATCCACCATTAAACTCATAGTCGTGATCGCCTACCGGCATGGCCAGTTCTTGTCCAAGTAGTCGACCTCAATGGATCGCAAGCCTTAGTATTGATCGCATCGAAGGGTTCGAACCACGCCTCGGTGAACTGAACGCCACCGTCCTGGATATAGAAGATGTGAGTGCCGTTGTCATCGGCGACCACGCTGATGCCCGAGCTGGGGTCAACCTGGGGAGCAGATGGGACAGCTGCTGCTGGGTTCCAGTCGTTATCGGTGGCCATACGATAGGTCCTCTGTAGCAAAAAGTGTTTGTCGACAAAGTACAGATAGATATCCAGACCGGCTTTTCCATGATCGACTGCGCACACTCCCAGAGGTGTGAGGACCTATCGTCTGGTGTTGGAGATGATTTGAGCTGAACACGTTTAGCATGGAACTTGGAAGTTCGAACCCCAGGCCCTGGAGAGGTCGATGGGCTTGTCTTACGGCTTTGGTCAACCACCTTCACCGAGTTGAGGTTGCCACCGGTGTCTTGGAAAAACAGGATGGCCGGGCTCTTATCTTTCGTGGTGTAACATGCGGCCAATCTGGATTTGGCCCCGGCCGAGCAATTAGTGAGCATTTGATGACCCTGGGCGCCAAATTGGAAAGAATATTCCCAGATCTCGGGCTTGTCGGTGGTGCCAGAGCCTTCCCTGAGGGCGACAGGCAGTTAGCTTTAGTTCCCATGGGGAAACACCCATGTTGACGCACTTGAGGTAGAAGACATATCCGTTGGTTTTGCTGTTGGATGTGGCAGCAACAGCAGGATACTTTCCAGGATCGATTGAGTCAGAAAGGACATTGATGGGGTTGAGAGTAGGGCTCAGCAGCGACATTGCGGACTTGGCGTTCCTGTTGCTATCTTTGTAGCTGATGATGCCATACACATTGATCTGGTGTCCGGCTATGTCAGACATGGGCACGGTCTGTCAATCAACAGAGGACGACTCACAGTGTTGTCGAATCTCACAGCGGCAAAGTCACCTGGGTTAACGATCCGACCCTCATCGCCATTATCGTTGTAGGGTTGAATTGCCGGAGAGCCCAAAGCCCGATGCTCGAGGGCTAGATTCTTGTTGTTGGTGCAGTAGAATAGCAATGCCTCGGTTGGTTCAAGGGGATTTCGAGTGGTAGCAAGAGACATGATGTATGTATCAGCTTAGGAAAGTGTGGCAGGTGAATTTGTCTGGGTTTTTTGTCCAAAGCCCAGTTTGATGGTCGATGCTACAAGTTTATATGTATTTCGAACAATCCGCCGTAGGTGAGACGGCAGACTTTTGACGTTGACGTTGATGGGTCAATCACCATACGGGACCTACTTACAACGGCATCAATCGTTATCCAGGGTACTTGGGCCCGGTTGGTGATCGTCAAACAGACAAGTGAGGAGGCTGCATACTCTCACCCGGTCTCAGACTCCAGAGCTGTTACTGGATTGTTCTCGACCACAGCTGGAGCGAAACACAGGGGAATAGCAATGTGATTGACATGGATTGAAACAAGGGTTGGCCCCAAGGGTTTGACACCGTTTGGGCATTACCGAAATCCTCAGCAGCACTTGTGTCTTTACACATGCACAAAAAGCCAGCATGTACAGTCAGCCATCTTCCTTCTGTATCCGGCAGGAAGGATCCACTTTTGACATCTAATCCGGAAGGCGGGGCTCAGGACTAACCCGATAAGTTCACCACGCTAAAAGAGACCCTCAGGGGCTCTGCTGTTGTAATTACATCTGCTCTGCCTATAAGCACATTCTTCTCATAGATGGCAAAGATACCACTGCATGGCGCTCCAAACGTCGAGCTGAGGCATCACGGGTCGACAGGTGCTCAGGCCTTGCAAAGATCTGCACGTCTCGACTTTCAGCTCGAGCACTAACAACCTCATTGAATTGTCGAGCTGGATATAGTTCCCCGCACATTCGCTTTGAAGCACCAAGACTAGTGCAACATAGTACGTTGGGCCATCACAGAGGCTCAGCCAGCCCCATTCTCTGGTATATATCTGGCCAGCCCTAAACAGCCGGATATCTGTAAGCCTACATGGACCCTTAGCTTCCCCTGTTGGCGTAGGGATCGCTATGTGCAATTGCACGTTACCAGGTCTCAGACCGTTTGTCGATTTTCATCCCCCCTGGATGCCGGAAACAATCAAATTCAATCATGGTCAGCTCCTCTCAGGAGTCAACGGATTGATTTCGAGGGTCCCATCCCTCCTGGTTTCCGACCTGCTTTTTCTTCACCCCGGAAAGGAACCGCTGCTGTGTTGGTTCCGTGCAGTGTGCTCATACTCACAGGTTTACCAAGTGCATTTCTATCCGATGAGACTTTCCAGAGGTCGTGAGGGACATCCAGTCTTGAGGGAGATCAACAATATTTGAGCCGTCGGCCCCCTTAGGACTGTTACTACCCCATCCTCCCCAGGTCTCATCATGCATCAGAATAGCCATTCCAATCTCAACCCACCACGACATCTATTGTTCCGACATGCCGCGCGTCTTCTGAACGCCAGGCTTGATGTCCAAGAAGACCAAGTTCAAACCGGTTATGAATACTTACGATCTTACTACATTCCTGGACTTCAAGGCCGGCCCTATACCATCCACGTCGACCAGCCGATCCAGGCCGGTGCTGAATCAACGACTCTCTCGAGCGACCAAACTTTCGAGGTGGTAGCTACAAAGTATACTCTGCCCAAGAATGCCATACATTCGGTTTATCCACCTCAGGGCCACGAAGACGGTATTGAGGTCCTGCCGCATGTCATCTTTAATGACCCAACTCTTCCATGGGAACGGGTGGGCAGTAGCAATGCAGACGACATCAAGCCAGATGAACCCCATTATGATGATTATTTTGGGAGGAACCGGGTCCCCTGGCTTGCTTTGTTGGTATTCACCCAAGGTGAATTGCAAATGGCAAAGGCCGACTTGGACAAGGACACGGGCATATTCAGCGGGATAGATGAATTTAAAACAGTCTCCGTCGAGCAGAGTGCCATGTACACGGTCAATATGGCGATGGGCGATGTCGGCTTGATCAAAGATTGTGTATCACCCATTACAAAGCCCGACCCAAACATCGAGAAAGACGCACGCGGCGACGTGTTATTGCTTCCTCGAGCTCTCTTTGGTAGCCTCTTCACGAAATTCGATAAAGATGGGAAGCCAGAAACCACCGCTCCTGATGTCTATCCCTATCGATTCCTAGCTCACAGACGAGACATCAACTCTCAAGGGATGACGGTTTCCGGAACAGCAACGATAGACGACTCCGGGTCTTTTGGTGTCGTTCATTCGCACATGTCTGGGCCATTCTCCATCACGCAGCCCCCAGCAGTGTTTGTACATTTGCTGTCGATCGAGGGTGTCGAGCAGATGAGTCCTTGGCCAATATCATCGGAGATTCGATTCGTGGCCATGTGCTCCTTGGCCAGTTGGAGCTATATCTGTCTACCACCAGGCACCCCGAACGTACAGGACCAGTTTCTCATCTTGGGGAAATCTTTGGACCTTCTGAGACCGAAGCTGGAAATCGAGGATGCAAACAAACTTCTAGCCACAAAGCCTCATGGTCCCATGCTCTTACAGCAGCTCAACAACGGATACTCGGTCTCCAGATACCGCACCCAAACCGGAGAGACCACAGCTTGTTTCATGAGAGGACCTTTCATTCCCGATGATGTTAACCATCCACTAAAGCCTTGGTGGACGTCTCTCTCGACGTGCGGCACTGATCTGCAGATTCTTGATCAGGAGCTGGGCCTGATGGATATCAGTTACTCCAGCGCATGGCAGCTTGGGAGGACCCTCGCGATTGCAGACCAGGCATTCACGGCCGCGCTGTCAAGGCTGAGAAAGGCGATCCTCGATCAGGCCATGAACGATGCGCAGAAGCAAGCGCTGCAGACGGTGACATCCTTCAAGAGTAAAGACGACTTGCTCCAGAGCATCTCGCATTCCGTCGCCACGATTGGCAGGCTCCACAAAACCGGGCTCTTGCAGAGCCCACATTCCATGTTCAATAGGTGGCGCAGACCGCCAGTGAAGCCTCTCGATTTGTCCTATCATGGTAAGGACATTGCACCATTCAAGCCGGCAGCTCTCGACCAAGCGGCCCTGGAGATAGCAAGTACCCCTGATGCCAAAGATCCAACGCAGCCCTCCGACACGCCATATGACGAATACGACACCCCGTATTCGCCAGACTGGATGCTCGTCCTCCGCTGGGTCTAGGACCGAATCTTCTTGGCCAGCATACTCTCACACTATCTGATCACGGATGCCTCTCATGTTCCGCCTGAGAGCTTACGCTTCTTCAAGGTTGATCCCAATTGGACCGATGCGCTGATTGATGGCGCTCTCAGTCTGGCAAACCACATCGACCGCGACGACGACAAAGTTCGCTGTGCAATGAAGAAAGCAATCAACAGGTTCCTGTCAACTCCGACCTCCAACCTTCCCCCAGACCTCAGCTATCCACCTCCAGTACCCACGTATGGGTGTTACATTCGTTCAGAGCTGGTTACCAAATTTCCCTATCTGATCGTCGAGACAGAGCCGAAAGTAGCAGGTGACCACTCACCGATTCTCCTCCGCCATGAGGTCGTAGACAAGGGAACCATGCTGTGTCTGTTTCCCCGGGCACCCTCTTCCACCGAGTTTGCGAAGCTCATCTTTACACAGCCACCACATCAACAGACATTCATTGCCGCTGCTAAGATTGAGCCGTCTTCAATCACGATGGACTATAGGAGGGCATACACGGTGTCAGACCCCAAGGATGACAACATGAAAGAGCCGATTCTTCCAAACGTCTCATGGACAAAAGCCGGGCCAAAGTGAGTAGCTTCTTGCCGTGCAATCCTGTTCCTTCGGCAATCACGAAGCTGACACCAACCAAACAGTGATCGCCCTCTCAGCTATATCTGGGACCAAGTCGACAAGCCAACCCAGAAGACATATGAAGTGAGACGCTTGCTTCTCGACAATCTTGCCCCCGATGTCCGCACGACACTGCACACGATGATGCCGAACAACTGGTTTTCTGACGACGTAGCCACCTCAGCCTTGATGGCCAACCAGTTGAACAACCCGGCCTGGTCGCTTGAAATCGATCTTTCCACCAAAGCAGTCCTCTCCCACTTCAGCGCTTCAACCGAAAATGAACAAAAACCACGAGTTCTGCCTCTCTGTCCGGCAAAAACGCCTCCCCCCGTGTCGAGCAGGATTCGTCAAAGCGAACCAAAACTCTCCTTCACCGTGCCGGCCCATCTCGACAGCAGGGCCCGAGCTATCCGTCACACTCCGCTACCAGTCACTCATCCACCTCCCCATCACCGCATGACCGACATCCTCCCGCCAGACTTCAAATTCGCGGTCCCCAACGTCGGAGATGTGCCTGAAGACCCAGCCAAGAAGCCAGTCTTGAACTACTTCTTTTGGTCCGCCGATGTCCCCGGCACGCCCGCCAACCCTGGCCAAGTTCCCATGCGTGCCGACATGGTACCGCAAGACATCATCTTCAGCATCCGCATCCTGCGGAACACATTCAACTACCATTTGCTATCCATCCAAATCACCATTCCTTTGGGCAAGCCGCTGCAGAATTTCGCAGATAACCCTGGTCCTCTGACTAAGCATTACACGGGGCCTGGGGAGACCATGTTGTCCAATCTGCGGTTTAATCCTCTGTTAAATATCTCAGACGACAGAAATACGTTGGTCATCCGACTCCTACCACGCAGTACGAAAGGATTCGTCTTGCTATCTCAACAAAAAGAATTGAGCTTTATGTCGAGCGGCGTGGCGGTCGACTGCAGTCCGGACACTGTGCCGTACGTGAATGTGAGGCCGGACATCGTGGAGGTATATCAGGGGTATACTCAGCCTCCGCAACAGGATCCACTGCCGCTCATGGTTTTGGGACATCCTGCTGCAAAGAGCTGGACCAGTGGAATCATGCTCGAGACCTCGGCAGGCAACAAGTATGAGGTGCCCAAGGGGTCCGGATCGGAGGAGGGATACGAAAGCGTCATGCTTGACGGATTCGTCGGCATCAGAGGGCTCTGGTGTTGCGCAGAGGAGACTGTTGACCGCTTGGGCGTTGTCTGGTCAAAGTAGTTAGTATATGATGTTGGCAATTCAATACAATGTAAATTCAGGTCGAGTTTCATGTCAACCATTTGCGCTTTGAATGGGATGGCAAGTGCCCGCCGTCTCCATCTCCTCCATGTTCACTATATTCACTACATTCACTTTATTTACCATGTTCGCCAGGCTCGCCATGCGGCGATGGAATCACTACTTCCATACTGTCTAAGCGCAAGGAAATTCGTAGAACAGAGAGAATAGATGAAGCTATCTATAGAAAGGTCGCCTGCGACGACAGAACAGAACATTGTCCGACTGCTTCGGTCTTGGGATATGGAAGACGGTGAAATATAACCCTAGCGAGTATCATTTCCCAAATATATATCATTATCATTGCAACTCAGCCATCACCGTCCTTGGATTCTTTTCACCACTCGCCGTCGCCGCCGGCATTTCCTGTAGATATGGAGATGGATATTGATCCTGCAGCTTCTCCTCCGACGGCATCTCCACCGGTAGCGCATCACTCCCGGGCAACTCTCCGGTCTTTGAAGAGAAATAGCCATCGTCATCCAGACTCATATCCTTGTCCTTACTTGGGACGTCCGGTCCTCCCTCGAAGCCCTTCTGCTGTCTCCGTCTATAAGCTCTCTTTCTCATAATCAGAAACGCTCCAAGAATGACCCCCAGCACGACGACCGGGACGACGACTCCAATCGCTGCCTTGGCGCCCGTGGAAAGACCGGTATTGGATTTACTTGACCCGTCTTCTGTGTCCGTGAGCGGTGCAGCACTGGTTGGTGCTGCTGCTGCTGTGCCCAAGGCCGATGAGGTCTTGTCCAGTGCGCAATATGCATTGAAGACGGCCGTGGCACTGGCTGCGGCGGCTGTGGATCCTGGACAGCGCTGGAGGACAGCACTGCTGATCACATCGGCCATGTAGCTGGAGCTGGCGGTGCAGAAGCAGGAAAAAGATGTCGTGGCGCCGTTGTCGCCACAGCCGGAGTTCATGTCTCGGATCACGGTGCTGAGAGGCGGTTCGGCGCATGTGCCGAGGCTGGCGTAGCCGGGGGCATTGTCGATGAATATTTGTTGCGCTGACACAATATCAAGGTTGTGGAAGAGGGCAAGGGCTACGAAGAGCCAGTGCCGGTGGTGTGGTTGAAACATTTTGATCACTTGATCTTTTGAGTCTCGAGTATTCTTATAGAGGGAGCACTTGAAGAGTCTGTCCCCTAGTACCAAGAAAGAGATCGGAGGCTGTAAGGCAGCACAGCTGCTAGTAGGTGAGATAGCAGGCTTGATTGTTACAAGACAGGGCTGGGTCGAATTTCGAAAACAAATACGGCTCTCTCTCAATGCTCGAAGGACTTGTGCAACGTAGCTGACAATGACATGGTTTTTGAGGAATTGACAGGGCTGCACACCAAACATGCTGTAGCGCTGATAGATATATGTACTCACCACAAGAAGAGGGTCTTCTGGACATACCTGGTCGTTGGGGCCGTACCTGAGCAGAAGAAGATCCACTTTCTAGAATCTGGCAGTCTGTGCGCGACCTGGGGGACGGTGGCTTGGGGCTGGTTGAGCATGTCGTCTGTCTATCGTGAAGCGAGCGCATATATCGAATGCCCTAGTGGTCGTGCCGCCAGAACAAGAGCAGCTGCATCCTTCGCGCACTTCTGAATCAAGCCACAGAAAGGAAGAGGGTAACGGACGACCTATCAAGCCGACCTTAGGACATCATTGTGGCTTGAAGCCGGCGACAATAAGGCTGACCGCTAATTGAAGTGGAAAAGAGAGATAAGGCTAGCGATGGCTAGCCACAGCGTAAGTACGTCCGTACCTTTGGCAACGTTGCATTTGACGGATGCACTTACAAGAAGTGAACACTGACCCTGAACAGTGGTTGGTGTCTCTCCCGTGTCTCTTGCACATGCCGCTCGAGTCTTGAATGGTGTTTGGCAGATCGATTTTGATGGCGATGAGATGAGATGACCCCGATCCGGTTCCCACTTGATGTCCCGTCTCCCAGACCGGAACAGGCGAAAGTAGCCAGAAAGTCGCGGAATGGGGCCTCGCTACCGTCCGGCCCACTTTTCCCCGACTCCCTCCGAGTCCCTCATGGGCCTTTTGGACTTGACTGAAGGAACCACAAACAACCTCGCGGCGGCCTTCACATACATAAATCATCCTCTTTAAGAGTGTCTGGAAGCAACGAGCTTCTTTCGGACAGTCTCCAATTGCTGGACTCCCAGAAAAGACGAGGGACAGGTTCATCTCTCGAAGGCCCCGTGCCTCGGCGGTGATAGAGCGTCTGTCCGACATGTGGCCGTCGGGCAACCCGTTATCTGTACGCTAAAGGAGCCAGACCGGACCGTCTCATGTTTCCCGCTTCAGGTCCTGCACTACTCTTCAGCCCTATGCCTTAGTTTGATGGCCCGGTGGGCCTGCGGCCAAGTGCTTAGGAGCGTACAGCCGAGAGGATGGTAAGGCGTTCTTTTGACAGCAATGTGGCGCTTGGTTTGTTGGGAAGGGCGTATTTGGTCAACCACAATCTTCCGAGGCAATGGCAGTGCCCGTTGGCCTGGGGCCATGATGCCTTAGATAGCTATATGAACAAAATACTTGCGGCATTTATATATATATCAAAGCACCACCGATCATCGAAGCAGACAAAGGGGCGAAGAGCAGGTGCTTCATCAGGACGACGATGTTGACTACATAGTAATTTGACTTTTGTTTGGCAAGTCCAAGTCCCACTAGTCCTTCCGTTCCTGCTCAGCGAAGATATAGGACACACCCTTGCTGTGAACCGCATGGTTCGTCTGTAATGCCGGCCCGAGATCATGCAGAAGGACACATTCCTCGACTCTTTAGCGTGGCACGTCGTCGACGCATTGCGATATACTAATGCAGTGCTGTGATATCCCGCTGTCGTCTGGCAAATGGTCCACCTGGGGGGATCCAGACAAAGTCGCTGTTGTCTTGCAGAGTCTGACGCTTCACTCTGCACCAGCTTGCTCTTCCTCTTCCTCTTCCTCAACCTTGCTCCGAGTCCTAGCTCTCATCCCCTTTCTGATATTGAATCCTTCGAGAACAACTTCCTTCTGCTGCGCCGTCGTGAACTCCACGTCGACTTCTCTCACTCGACCAGCCTTGACTTGATCCTCGTCTGCCCACAGATAAGCTTGATGTTCATTGGGATCGAGACGGACCTGAACAGGCACATCAAGGGAACGATAGGGGTGGGTGTTGCGACCGGCATGTCTCCTCGCCTCCATATCATTGGTGCCACTCTCCCGCCGAGTCTCTCGTCGACCTTGCTGCTCCTGTTCCTTGTCAAGATGTGTCCAGACCTCTGCCGCCGTTCCCTCGACAGTAGGATCAGTAGCCACAGAAGTAACAGTAGGAACAGTGGGAACAGTAGCCACCTCTGAGTCCACCATGCCCATGCCCTTCACATCCTTCTCGACATTAACATTCATGTCTGCCCCCCCGTCCTCTTGGACGTCCATCCTCGTGTCCACCTCCACCTCAACAACAAAATGGAATTTACAAACCACCTTCCCGCTCCTCGTCAAAAACACCTGCCCGTCCTTCGGTCCGACCAGTGGTCCAATCCTGGCCGCCACGAGCCCTGTCTCTTCCCAGACCTCCCGCGCCACGGCGTGCAAGATGGTGGGGTCTTCAAGGTCGCATCCACCGCCGGGGACTTCCCATCGGTGAGGCATGCTGTCATGTCCGGCGCGCTGGATGAGCAGTATTCGATCCCGCTTTGGCCTTTCAGTGACAGTGACTCCCGCATCAGCCCCTGCAACTGCCACAGATTCTGGATCTGGATCTGATAAAGGCGGATCGAAGACCAATCCGCCCGTGGCAATGAATTGATATCGGATTTGGTACCCTAGTCCCGAGATCTTTTCGGTATGTGTTGCGATATATGTTGTGTGAGGCACCGCAAACTGTGAGACGGTCGGGTCTGATGAGAATTGATAGATCGAAGGAGGAGGAAGAGGAGAAGGGCTTGAGTTAATGTGCCCTACATTCTGATCTGCCATCATGGAAAGAAGCCCTTCTGGTCTCACAACTCATACAGTTACTGAGACGTGGGTGGTGGACTGTATTCGGAACGAATTTGTTATTCACGTCCTTGTCAAATAACAATCTTTCTCCATCTCACGCCGCCAGATACGCCCGATCATACGACGTACTACTACTACTACTGATCCTATCCCACACCAGCCGCATCGGCCCCACTACCACGCCTTGATCGAGAACAGTCCTACACTCGCTGGCGGGCGACGAGTTGCACACAGAGATTACAAAGCCCCCAGCGGTCTGGGGTATTCGGGCATGCATTGAATCATTTCACAAGAGCGAACAAGAGTCTTTAGTCCTGAGGCTCGATCAGGCTTCATGGTTTGACGTCTGATACATGTCGTGACTAGGCATGCTCACAATTGTTGCTGTCGCTACGTCTATCCAAGCGCACAAGGCTGGCCCATCCGTTCGGGGATGTACTTAAAAGCATATCCATGGATCTTCTTCCAAAGAGTATGTGTTGTTCTCTCTGTTGTTACCGCTTCTTTGAGCAGGGCGGCGCCATTCCAATCCTGCATGACACATCGACTTTCTATATCACTTGCTCGTGGAACTCAGTGACGGTCTCGGACAGAACATTATTTTCATGCACTCATCACAGTCGTGGCTTCTATTCGAAGAGTTGCTGGCCAATCGCCGGCAACTTAGGCGCGCGGCATTGCTTTCAACCCCTGTATCAACAATCAGCACTTCAATTCGAAGCCGACTTCGCCTGGTTAGAGCACCTGTCCATCACATCTTGCACTTTCGGAATCAGCTCCGCAATCCGGAACGGTTTGCTGACCACATCGTCAATACCGCTCTTCAAGGTCATTTGAATCTGCTCGGCCCGAGCATTGGCCGTAACAGCAATAACTGGGATGTGGCCGACCAGTTCTCCGGTATTTTGCATTTCCCTTAGCTTCCTTGCGCAAGTCTGGCCGTCCATGACAGGCATTTCCAGGTCCATAAGCACAACATCGATTTCAATCCCGTCAACAACATGGTCGCGGTGGTATTTTGAATTGCAGATTTGTTCGATGGCTTCCCCGCCATGGTTTGCAACATGAACGACGCAACCAATCTTTCGCAACTGTGTCGCCAGCACCTTTTGATTGATTAGATTGTCTTCGACAACCAAGATATGAATCGGTGCAGACAGTGTGACTTTGGTCGCCGGTGCAGCTTTGATAGACCCGGAAGGCAGACCTTGTAGAGGCGAAGTGTGCCGGGAGGTCACCGCGGCGTGAGGTGGTTTCGGCCCATTCCTGACGTATGAATCCGCCGTTAACCGATCGTCCTCTCCTTCGCCCGATGACATTCGCGCCTTGACGTAGAAGGCAAAGATGCTGCCTTTCCCGCTTTCGGAAGCGACCCCTATCTCGCCGCCCTGAAGTTCCACAAGTTCTCGGGATATGAAAAGTCCAAGCCCGGAACCACCATAGGTAACGTGAGTCCGCGGGCTGGCCTGCGAAAACCTCTGAAACAGCTGCTTCTTCTCCAAGTCATCCAGGCCCCGGCCGGTGTCCTGCACGGCAAAATGGATATAGACTGGCGCCCCCAACCCCCATTCGTTCCCCGCGGTAACATCTTTATCCCGGGTGGACCGTGATGGGATGTAAGTCAACCTCCATTTATCCTCGGACGAGGGTTTGTCGCCCGAGGCGGCAACATGCATCCGGATCACCCGCTTTTCCTGCATGGTGGTGAATTTGATGGCATTGGTCATGAGATTGATCAAGACCTGGGAAAGACGGTGCGGATCCAGGCGAACCCAGTCGACGCCCATTTGCTGGTATGAAGACTCCACATTCAATTCCATCTTGATGTCGGACGTCTTCAGTTCGGCTTCGAACATTTTGATAACCTTCCGCATGACGCTGATCGGTTGCGTGTCGATGGGTGACACGGCCATCATTGCCGAATCGAGCTTGGAGAGCGTCAACACGTCGTCTACAATTCTTTTTTGATGTTGACCACAGAGTGTGATGGTCTGGGCCGAGTCAATCGTATGATCAAGGACTTCCAGCTGCGGTGTATTGAGCTGGCCTGCTTCCCGCATCTCAATTAAAGAGGCGGTGATGGAGTCGGCACACTGCAAGATGGCCGAAAGAGGATTTCGCATCTCGTGAGAGGTAGTATCGATGTATCGTTCTTGCTGTCGCTTGAGTTCCACAGCCTCTTCCATCCGACGGGTCTGAAGGTTTTCCGCAAATTTTTGTGCGCTAATATCGGTCATCGACCCGAAGATTCGTTTAAGCCGTCCATCATCATCCCGTTCCGGCGAGGCACTGGTTAGAACCCACGTCGGCCCGGTGTTTCCAAGCTTGTCTCTCCAGGGCGTCTTGAACCGGAACTCCAGGGACACAGCACATCGCTTCTCAAACATGGTCTTCCACATGTCCCAGACCTTGACTTGGTCTTCTTCAACCACATATTTGATCCATTCGACGTCGACGTCGATATCCCGTGGGAAAGAGGTGATGTTGTACCAGGCGTCGTTCACAAAATTGATCTTACCATCCACATCACCAATGAATATTCCAACGGGGGCCAGTTCCGCCATTCTGGTGAACTTGTTCTCGGCTTCCACCGCCTGCTGAGTCCTTGCGACCAGCTGATTGTTCAGCTCAATGCGATCCTGTGCAGCCAGCTGTGCAGCCCGCTCCCCCTTCTTGATCTCGTCTTCGAACAATACCACAGATGCAATCGTCGTGGCAAGCTGTCGGCCGAGCAGCTGGACAAACAGATCGTAGTCTTCGTCATATGGCCTCCTTGGGTTTGTGCCCATGACCAAGAAACCCAAGGTCGACTCCCCGGTAGTCGGGTGGATGGGGGCAATCACCACCACACGAGAAGGGTCGCCGAAGCCTCTCCATTCAATGCCGGTGAGCAAGTCTGCTTCAAGAGAGCCGTCTTCCACGCGGAGGACGATGGGTCGATCGGTTGTCAGTGCTTGTCGAAACGATGGAGCAAAGCCCTTTGTACTCGTCTTCATGTCTATCGTCGGAGGAGCGGCTTTATGACCCGAGGGCACGCCTAAACTACCTTCGAGGTAGCAGATCTTGTTCGAAGCTGCTCCACTAGATCCTGACGAGGCAGCGTCACTGTCTGCCAAATCCTCGTTTAGAGAATAGATCAGAACCATGGGTGCATCATACTCGTTGTACTCGAGGCCTTCAAGCAGCAAGCCCCAAAAGTCCGAGACCTTACGGGCAGCCGCAGTCCGTTCGCCAATCTCACGAAGCGTCAACATCCGTCTCTCCGCGATCTTGCGGCGGGTCTTTTCGAACGCCGGATTGTACAGTCCGACCACGGCCCCGTCAGCCCCGATCAAAGGAATGATGGACCAAGAAAAGTAAGTCTCCTCCAAGAAGCCATTGCGCAGGATGAACAAGCAATCATCATCCTTCATAGTGGCTTGGGCATTTTTAAAGGCATTCTCGAAGACATCTTCCAGCGCTTCCCAGATCTCGTACCATACATCGCGATAGCGGCTCCCCATCAATTTTGGATGCTTCTGCCCAGCCAGCAGAATATATGCCTCGTTGTAAATGGCGACATGGTCCTGACCCCAATACATCGCAGACGGATGGGGACTCGCCATGATCAAATTGCACATTCCCCGCAAATCTGCGGACCAGTTCTCGATGGGCCCTAGGCTGGTGGAAGCCCAGTCAATCCCTCTGGCGAACTGTACATGGGATGGCAAAGACGATGACAAGGGCAGCCGCGTCCAGTCAAAATATCCTTTCGGCACCTCGGAGCCGGCCATATCAGAGTCGACATCGAGATTGATGGTGGCTGTTATGGCCTTCTGATCTGGAGGAGGCGACCTTGAACCCATTATCAGTTCAGCATATGTCATGTCGCCGCTTGCGACTGGCGACGTCGATTCCAGACTTCCCGGTGACATCGCGGGCAAGGATTCCGTGACTAGCTTTTGCATTGTTCGGGCGGCTTGTGTGCCTGTTCGCGGGGGAATATCGAAATAAGTGGGCGATGGAGAATCGCCTCGACCAGGTATCTGGGGGGAGGAGAGAGTGCCCAGACCTGTGTATTGCTGCAGAGCAGGGCGGCCTTGAGCTTCGCCGCTGGCAGGAGGGGAGAACGGATGCTGTCGCCCATGTATAACCCGTAATCGACTCCGAATGAGGGTGCTCTGCCATAACAATCCAGCAAATGGAAAGGTCGACACGATGTCCGCTTCTGCCAGAGGATTGAGCACCCAGGCTTTGAAATCACTGAAGGGCGTTCCTAAGTCGAGAAGTAACGTAGGATCTTCCGATTTTCCTCGCACTAGGTCGAACAGCGCCTGGCGAGACCTCAGGGCTGTGTTGGCGAAGATCAGGTTGAGGCCAACAGACTTGGTGTTGTTGTCATCCTTTGTATCTACCACGAGGGTCGGTCGGTCGTCAAGTTGTAGGTACTCAGCAAGTGCAACTGAATGAAACAGTTGCGCGCCTGACGGCAGCCGAGGTCTTGCATCGTCATTGTGGTCGCTACCCCTGCGATTGAATCGAGGCGAGGTTCTGATGGGTATTGAACTTGCGGCCGGTCCTCTTCCCGTCTCAGAAGTGCTTGTGTGTGGCATCTCGTCCCCCCGAGCGAAGACAGAGGCAGCCGCCTCGAGAACGGAGACTGGCTTGGCCGTCTGGGATGCTTCCGCTGCAGGATGGGGGAGGTTGAGGTTGATATTCAAAGCCTCCTCTTGCCCACCATGGCCACCGCGATTATGCTCGGCTACGCGTGCATCGCTAGAGTCCAGACAGCCGCCGGGATGGGAATGTTTGAAGTGCTTGGAGGCAGGGACTTCGATGGGAGCAGGACCGAATGTCAAGACGTGAGGGCGTTTCAACGAGGATTGAGGGTTCTCGGCCGGGGCTTGACCGATTCGGGAGGCAGGATTGCGTGGACTCTTGGGAATGTTCGCTTGGCCGGTCATAAAGAAGATAGCATTCTTCAATCGACAACCACTTGAGCAACGTCAATTGGGGCGGCGGTGGGTGCACAGTATTGACCAGGGGAGGAGGAAACCCCAACGGAGTCCAGTGCCGGGGTTGTTGATCCGACTGGTGCTGGATGATGTGGGAGGCCGAGCGAGGGAGGGCTTTCACTGTGGTCGAACAGTGAACGCGCAAGCTTTTTGGAGAGATGCTGATGACAGGCACGCCCGATCAATGGGATGCAAGGATGTCAGTTTCGCACACATTGAATGGGAGTGGATACAGCATAGAAAGGCAATTGTCGAGGCATTTTGAGATGTCTAGGTCGAAGGTAGAAAGTAGCATAAAACATGTACGTGCGATAACTGTGTACAAAGGAGACTCATGGTGGCAAGAGAGAAGGTACGCAGTTACTATACTAGTAGTACGTAGTAGAATGAGGGCGGGATTACTAGGTACTTAGTAACTAGTGACTGTATGTACTATCAATCTCTAGGCGACCTGGTGTTGAAACCCCGCTTGAGGCCTAGGAGGCTAGGGGACTCTGGCGCCCCGCTGTCCAAGCTGTAGAGGCTTCCGAATTGAGGCTCTGCGAGCCTGCTACTAGTCCTGTAGTTTAGCTTTGCACCCAACTTGAAGTGTCAATTGACGGACACCTAGTAGGTAAATGAATGGTAGGTTGTAGGCACCTAGTAACCTGACACTCATCCGAGAGGTTGATGAGATTAGGTTTGCTTGACTTGCTTCTCGGGTTCAAGTTCTACAGGGACACTGCACTGGATGATGGCATTCTCTAATTTCCCATCGTCATCAACTATCATCCCCACTGCGCTGTGCCCATAACAATCGGTCCCAGGGTCCAGGACGTGGGTTCTTCCCTTTCTACCGTTTGACCTAGGCATCGTTTCGGATTTATCCAGCTACCCTTCTCGGCAATCTGTTCATACTCTCGAGATTCCCTTGCACACACATGGCTTCGTTCATCTGCTCACCGTTCAAATGCGGCCGCCACTCGCATTCCCCGAGCAGCATAAAGCGTGCCCTGGTTGTCGTGTATGGGTGATGCGGCACTTGACTTGAGGTGACACGTTGCCCTAGTATCTTCTCCTTCCTATTCCAACAAAATGCTCTCCCCATTCCTCAACTCCACGCATTCGAGGCCCTCTGCCCAGTGCTCGGAGCCATACACGTTCTTGTCCGGCCCAGCCCGCAGACTCTGTACAGCCTCGGCCACTGTTACGACTTTCCTTCGAAGCAGCGGTGCGATGAGGCCGGAGCCAAGCTTTTCTTCGTCATGCGTGGCGACCCAATACTTTGCACGCAACAACTTCTGCGCTCGGACAGCGTTCAATGCCCCCAAATTGAGCTGTTTGCTCCAAGCAAGCGAGACATCATGCAATCCATGGAGAAAAGCTAGGGCCGTCAGAGGGGGAGAAGCCCCATCAAAAACCGAAAGGGTCGAGGCCTCCACACCGTGGGGTGAATATACGACGGTCTCGGCAGCATCAATCGGTGACTGACGCTGTCGCACGCAGATGACGACGGCGGAGTGAAGATGCAGAGAATCGCACTCCGTTATCAGTCGGCCTATGCCAACCCAGTCAGGCAAAGGAGCAAGGCTCGTCTTCCGCCAATCCACTCCTTTGGTCAGTGTAGTCATCTCCAGCACCGCATCGAAGTAGTGCCAGCCTTGAATCAGCCGTGCTGCTTTTTGGGTTGCGAAAACAGGCACATTTGGGTCGAGCTGGGTTAGAGTAGCCTTATGGCAATGATCTGTGAATTCATGCGAGACCGCCACCGCATCAATAAATGAGCCTGTCCACTGGGTCCCAGGCTCCTCGCTGTGAGAACCTAGCCTGGTACTTTGAAAATATATAGCCTCCATATCGTGTAATAAGTCTTCAAGCTCACTGATGGTTTGTACACTGCTCTTGACCACGTGCCATTGCCTCGAGAACCATCCAGCCAGGTCTTCTTGAGGTCCATCCAACCACGGATCTATCAAGATATTGTAACGCAGTCGGCCAGCAGGCGGGGAAGTATCATCAGGATAAGCGAGCGATAGGAGCCAAGTTGTGTCAGCATTGAGGTGTGTCAGGATAGGTCTTCCATTTCCAAGTGCACTTCGAATCGTGCCCTGCAACTCGGCTTGGAGCGGGCTTGCGGCTTGTTCCGACGACTTGTCGACAAGTCCAGCATCCATCTAGTCTGTGGCCCGAAGCGTGACTCGACAGAGGATGGCTTCTCATGCACAGCGCACTGATATGTTCGTTGGAGCACCTTACCGTTTTGCTTTGCTATGCAAATGTAGTCAGTACTAATAACAATGCTCCGAGGACACAGGCAGTCGTGACGCCCGTAGTTAATGAACTTGGACAAGCCCGGAAATGCAGTCACGTAGTCCGACCACCGTTCTGCAAAACCGCCCCGGCTTGACGTACCGCTTGCTGGGCAGTCACGCTGCAAGATTCATGACGGTCGGTCCACAGATCATTTCCCCGCGCAATGAGATTTGCACCGGATCGTTGCGACACGACTAGTATCGAGTACCAGCGTAAGTACTTAGATGAGTGTCCTCTACACGAACGAATTCATGAACGGATAAGATCCCACCACCAGCAGTAAAGGCACGAAAGTTGGATGATGGACATGAACAAGTTGAACTCGACCTCGGACTCGGAGTGCCTGACATCCGCCAAGGCTCCCGTATCTGATAAGACGACAAAACAGGTTTAGCGGGGTACATTCCCCGCCCACTAACCTCACTGCACTGGCACGTCGCCACGCCTGTCTGCCTGATAGTAGAGCCATTGTAACTCGTTGCGCACCCTGCCCTCTGCACGCCCAGTCTATTGATATTGATACATGTATCGACTGCCTCATCGTCGGTCTACCTAGGTACCAAACGAATACAATCCTAGTTGTGCCAAAAAAAGCAAACGAAGCAGGCATCAAAGCAGTCAAGACAACGGCCAATCCGACAAAGGTGCCACGTCCTCCAACGTCTCGTTAAATATCCGTATATCAGTCTCTCTCCAAAGATTGGTCGCAAAGACTGATCTTACCGTCATCCCAAGCCTCCATCTACTACTGAAACTGGGCACAGTTCATTCGCGCGCCTTGGAAAGTCTTGTACGCGTCAAGGGGGGCATCCTCAGCCACATCTCGCTCATATCTTCCCCCAGTTTATAGTGGGCAGAACCCTTAAACACTGGCTGGTCTCCGCCGCTTGGCTCCGCACGCCCAGAGGCTGTCTTGACTGCCACTGCCACCGCTATCGCCTCCAAGACCACGAACCTTCCACCCGTGCCCCCCGGGCGTCGCTGCCTTTTAGGCTTCCACATTCCTCCACATCGCCTCCCCAAATTCCTCCTCGTTACCACCTACTACTCACCACTTTGGTGCCTCCTGTGACCTGCTTGATTAGCACGTCTGTTACACGTTTCTTCAATATTTCCCTCTACGTCCGCTCATCCGCCGATGGTCGACTCAGCCGACGAGCCTCCGCTGTCAAGAAGTAGACACTCATGGGCTAAGACCACCCTACAACCCCCGCCGTCGTCCCTTGATCCTCGCCGACCCTTCCGCGAAGGCCCCTCACAACGTTCAGATTTGCAACCTGATCACGCCCATACTCTTCCGCACCATGCTGGCCACGAGCCCTCTGCAGCTGGTCCTGCACCTACAGACCATCGCCCCGACGGAACGGATAAAGAACAACAAGATATATCGGTTGTGGATAAGAAAGGAGATGGAACGCAATCTTCCACCATAGGGACTACGGACACCAAGGATAAGGCATCCTTGGTTAGCCGTTTCTTCCGAGATGCGAAGCGCATCCTATTCTCCAGTTGGGTCAACTGGCTCCTGGTCTTTGTTCCAGTCGGCATCATCCTGGGAATTCTGGTGGATTGGGCACACGTCGATGTGGTCAGCCCCAGCGTTGTCTTCGCCATAAATGCCGTCGCCATCATTCCCCTGGCATCGCTCCTGTCATATGCCACAGAGAGTGTGGCCGTGAGACTGGGTGACACCATCGGTGCTCTGTTGAATGTAACCTTCGGCAATGCGGTTGAGTTGATCATCTTCATCATTGCCCTCGTTGCAAAAGAGGTCCGCGTCGTGCAAGCCGCCGCGCTTGGTTCAATACTGTCCAATCTGCTGTTGATCCTGGGCATGTGCTTTGTCGCCGGCGGCCTGCGATTTCGAGAGCAACTATACAATTCCACCGTGTCTCAGATGAGCGCATGTCTTCTGTGCTTGAGTGTCATCAGTCTTCTTCTGCCGGTAAGTCTCGCCGCCTGCTGAGTAGCCTCGTAACTAACGTCCTATAGACGGCCTTTCACGCGTCTTTTTCCGATACTGAGACCGCAGATCATGTTGTACTCAAGGTCTCTCGAGGAACCAGTGTGGTTCTCTTGTTGGTCTACATTCTATACCTACTCTTCTCGTTGAAGTCCCATGCCTTCATGTACCAGAGTACACCGCAGCATTTGATCGATGAAGAATCCCACCCAGGAGTCCTTGCCGAAATTCTCAACTCCTCGAGCTCTTCCAGCGATGACTCAAGCTCCAGCTCCTCCGATACCGATTCCAGCACTGGCTCCCATACTACTGCCCAACGTCTTCGACGTGCGTTACGTCGGCGGAGGCGCAAGTCAACCTCGAGCACAAAAGAAAGTGCTCCGCTCCCAGGCTTTACCAGAAGCTCATCCGTACTCTCCGGTCATGGCTGCTCAATGCTTCAAACTGGGTCTCCGAATTCTCAGGAACTCGACCCCGTCTTCAGTGGCGACGAGGCTGATGTCGATGGCGAGGGTCGGAGCGGCCGTCGTCGATCGAGAGACCTCGCGGTGCACTCGCGCGATTTCCAAAATGGTGCGCACGCAGACCATGTATCGGAGAAATCTAAGAAACGCCACAAGAGACATAAAAAGTCCCGGTGTTCGAAGAAGAACAAGGATAAGGGCTCGCAAAAGGACAAGGGATCCGAGAAGGAGAAGATGCCAGTGATCGAGACCACATTCGAGGAAAATACTGTTCTGCCGGAAACGGACTTCCCCCAGGTGGAATTCGCTTCGGACGTGCAGGAAACACCCATTGAGGGCGCCTCCAAACGAGCCTTCAACATCCGCAATTTTTCGGATGCGGTCAAGCCCGCTTTCAACTCGAATGTCTTCCCACATCATCAAGCCACTGGCCGACCTCTGGCGATTCCCATTCGTCCTGTATCTACGGCTCGCTCGCCTTCTCGGGGCATACGCCGGACTTCTTCCATGCCGGAGATCCTTCATCCGACGTTTTCACAGCCACGGTCATCATGGGCAGCGGCACCTCCGCAGCTCGATGCCCCTCGCTCCGAGGCTGGGACAGAAGTAGAGGCTGAAGAAGTTGTGGAAATGAAACAACACCTATCTCGTACCTCTGCCGTCGTCCTACTCCTTTTCTGCACCACCTTTGTTGCGCTGTGCGCCGAATTCCTGGTGGGCAGCATCGACTACCTCATCGCCAACAGTGGCGTTAGCCAGGCATTCATCGGTCTGATCATTCTTCCCATTGTGGGTAACGCAGCCGAGCATGTCACTGCGGTGACCGTGGCGTCCAAAAACAAGATGGACCTCGCTATCAACATTGCGTTAGGTAGTAGCATTCAGATTGCACTATTTGTCACTCCTCTGATGGTCATTCTCGGATGGATTCTGAAAACCGACATGAGCTTGTACTTCAGTCTCTTTGAGACCGTGAGCTTGTTTGCCAGTGCTTTCATCGTCAGCTTCCTGATGATTGATGGTCGCAGCAATTATTTGGAAGGGGCCCTATTAATCGCCGCGTATGTGATTATCGCGGTGGCGGCGTTCTTCTACCCGGCTTGCGACCTCAGTTCCGCCAGCGGGCCACTGGAAGGGACAAACAGATGTTAGGAGGACTAGGGAAGATCGCCAGGTCTTGAGCACGTCAAACAGGCAGGATTGCTTTCTATACACTCATTCAACCGGGGGATCAGATCAATGGGGGTTAACGTTATGGTGACGTGTGCGGTTCTTGCACATTGTACAAGGTCAACTTCGTCGGCGATGTTTGTATTCCTTAAGAGACACTCGTTTTAGGCCAAGGAGAAGCAGAAGCTCTCGGTCGGCGTCATGCAGCTGGTATGGAGTGTTTTGGGGATGGCTTGACTCTTATCACAATCAGTCTAGGCAAAAGCCAGATGCATTCAGTTGACTCCAGGCAGTAGACCGTTACATACGGCATTCTGTCACCAATGTCTCCCGGGTGTGTCTCTGATTGCTAATCTCTCCCTGAAGCAGTCTCTACAATGCTATCAGCTGCTAGTATCAGCTATCAGCCATCAGCGATCACTTATCACTTATCAGCTACCAGTATCTTAACAGTCACGCATCTTTTAACTGTAAAGAGTAGGTCTATGCCTCACGGGCTAAGGGGATTAAGCAACACTAAGTGTATAGTCAAGATGGCAGCCTATGAGCTTGTTTGATACTAGCTACTAACTTCTCTCTTCTATCTTTACTTCGTTGCAGACTCCTTCTTCCTGCTACTCTGTACAACCTGCCACGAGCATTCATCATCTCTCATGGCCCCATGTCCTCGACTCAGAAGGTAGGGGTTCGACGCTGATGAGGCCTGCCAGCTCGAGCCACCCTATCTACGTTCGCGCTGCGTTGTCCGATCCTCCCCCGTTGAAAGACCCCTGCGCCTCTGGTGTTGTATCAACGTTGAGATAGCGAATTGCAGCGGAGGATATAATCAACCTCCCTGGCTTCGAGCACCCACTGACTAGTTGTCTTGGGGCAGAGATTCGTGCATACCCAGAATGCTTATCTGCGCTTCTGCTACGTCCTGTCTATCACGACATGCCACCAGCATCTGCTGCAACATCAGCTTCCAATCATGGCGGGTGTCACCTGGACCATCTCCTCTCCATCTTCGCGAAACTCCGTCATGAAAGAGCAGGTCATAGACACTTTCTTCTGCCTATTTGAACCCGAGAAGTTGCTCTAACATCCCCACAACTCACGTTTCGTTGCCGCTTGACGGTCCCCTACCAATCGGGACATAACCAACCAGCTAGACCACTCTGCAACAAGCACACTTACGTGAACCGCTTCTCAAACAGTTCCGGAATACTTTACGGCATTATGGGTGTCAAGAACGATGGTCTGGCGGCCACTGACACCATGTCCCAGCAAGACCGGCGAGGCTCTCTGCTTGTTGACCCGAAGCTTGCCAATGAGGAAGATGCAGCCGTTCTGGCGAAGATGGGGTGCGTCACTCTTGGACGACAAGGGGCCAGCCCGGATCGCAGCTGATCATCTCACAGTTACAAGCAAGAGCTTCGCCGCAATTTCAGTATGATCGAAGTCTTTGGGATCGCCTTCGCTATAATGGGCTTGCTCCCCTCCATTGCCAGTACACTGTCGTACTCAATCCCTGCTGGTCCAGTCGGCCTCGTATGGGGGTGGTTCCTCGCCTCGGGCTGCATTTTTGTCGTCGGTCTTGCCATGGCGGATCTGGGGTCGAGCATGCCCACGAGTGGCGGTAAGTGATTTTCTTTCTGTCCAGGTTCTCCGGAACTACGTGCACAGTGGAGGAAATCATAATATAGGGACCGGCCCAACTGCAAGCCGTCCAAACCTGCCATCTAACGAACGTTTAGGCCTCTACTATTGGACTCATTACTACGCCTCGCCGAAGTGGAGAAACCCTCTCAGTTTTCTCGTGGGATATAGCAATACACTCGGATTGGTGGGCGGGCTCTGTTCCATTGACTGTGCGTCCAAAGAACGAGTACACTATACTGGAAAGATGGACTAACGAGGCCTCAGACGGGTTCTCCTTGATGTTTCTGTCGGTGATTGTCATCGCACGAGATGGCAACTGGAGCCCCAGCAACGGTATCATCTACGCCGTTTTTATTGCTACAGTGGCATGCCATGGGTTGATCGCCTCAACCATGGCGAGCGTCATGGGGAAGCTGCAGACAGTCTTCGTCGCGATGAATTTTATTCTGATCTTTGCAACGATCATTGCTCTGCCAATAGGGGCCAACTCTCGCAACTCGGCATCATATATCTTCACCCATGTGGAAAACCTCACCACCTGGCCAACGGGGTGGGGTTTCATGTTGTCCTGGTTGTCACCCATCTGGACCATTGGGGGCTTTGATTCTGCAGTCCATATCTCCGAGGAGGCCGCCAATGCAACCAAAGCTGTACCGTTTGGCATCTTGTTTTCCATCGGATCATGCTGGCTGTTTGGCTGGATCTGTTGCATTGTGATTGCGGCGTGCATGTCCCAGGATCTGGATCATATTCTAAGTTCGCCATTTGGTCAACCCATGGCCCAGATCTACTACGATGCACTTGGAAAGAACGGTGCTCTTGGGTTTATGGCTTTCCTCATGATTGTTCAATTCCTGGTGAGTCGTCGAGCATCAAGAATTAGGTAAAGATGAAGTATCGTGGCTTATTGACTAACAACTCTGCGCAGATGGGCATTTCCATCCTGGTGGCTGCCTCGCGACAGTCCTGGGCGTTCTCGCGCGACGGAGCCTTGCCGTTCTCCAAGTTCTTCCGACCAATCTCCAAGCGGTTTGGATATATCCCTCTTCGGACCACGATCGGATGCGCCGTACTGGCAGCCATTCTGGGACTGCTATGCTTGATCGCGCCGGCGGCCGCCTCGGCACTATTCTCTCTCGCCGTTGCCGGCAACAATCTGGCCTGGGGCACCCCAATCTTTTGCCGTGTCATGTGGGGACAAAAGAAGTTCAGCCCTGGTCCGATCTACACAGGGAGAGCTTCGACTCCACTCGCTTGGGCCGCGATCCTGTTCTTGATATTCGGCATCCTCCTCTCAATGTTCCCTGTCGGCGGGCCAAACCCTGATGCCGAAAGCATGAACTACACCTGCGTCATCAATTCAGCAGTGTGGGGAGGCGCGTTGCTGTACTATTTCATTGACGCGCAAAAGTGGTTCCGTGGACCTCAAATCACTCTCGACCTTAGCCAGCTTACGGAGGAGCAGGAGGCGGTGTTGCGAGCCGAGGGAGTCACGGAAGGCTCCAGCGGAACAGCCGTGCTCGGTGGTGGAGGTGATATCGTCGGCAATGCTGTCAAGGCCGCATGAATGAGATTAGTCACTTCCGGACAGGCGTTCGGCCCCCGTACAACTATGCAATCTTGTCTAGGACAGCAACATCGCTCCTTAGATGGATGGAAGCCGTCAAATCAGGTTCATATGTTGTTGAGTGCTCGCAAGGCCGGGGGCAGTTACCGCTGTGCCATTGTACGCAGGACATGCTGGAGCAGCAATATAGGACTTCCAAGTCGGTTCATTCAATCAGACATTGGAAAAATGCCTCGCGACTAGCGACAGGAGGCTGCGAATCCTCAGCCGTTACGCTGCTGCAAGATTTTGCGCATTCCTCTTTCGGAGAAAGTCTTCCCAGGCATGCAGTTGAGTTGTTGCTAGACCTTTTTGTCTAGAGACTCGAAATGTGAGCAGAGGTATGGTGCCATCAGCCTCGTCCCTTACAGCCCTGCAGCCTTGCCCTCACGCCTGAGGTATGTATGCCACATCAGCCAGCGATTTTCCACGGCAGTGATCTTGTTCTGACGATGAGCTGCTCCTCAGTCTCCCCATTCTAGCACATCTCTCATGCGCCCCTGAACTTCCCAGATCTCGCACCGCTCTATGTTGCTGTCGAGACTTCGACCACAATCTTCCCTCTCGCCCTCCCTGTTTTCAACTTCTCGATAGCCCTGGGGGCCTCCTCAAACGCAAACTTCTGATCAATCACAGCCCTGATCTTCCCCTCAGTCATCCACGCAGCGATCTGTTCAAGGTCGTCCTTCTTTGTCTGCGCAAAGAACCCCATCCCCTTTCTCTTCCCACCACCCAAGAACGACGGCCACAGCTTTCTCTTGACCTGGTTGACCATCCCGGCCGGCGACAAATCCGCACCGACAAAGATATACATGGCCTCCGGGTCCGTGTATTTATGACACTGCCAATACAAGTTTGGATCACGACCGATGTTGTCGATGACATGGGTGAATGGTTTCTGTGCCTTCGCACTCACAATCAACCCCTCAACCACATTCCCCTTGGTATAATCAATCACCTCATCCGCACCCAGACTCGTACAGAGCTCGACATTCCGACTCGAGCATGTGGTAGTGACGTGACATCCGAGGGCTTTTGCGATTTGAATCCCAAACACTCCCGTGCCGCCGGACCCGCCGTTGATGAAGACCCGATCACCGCTTTTCACGTGCGGCACGATCGTCTGGTATGCCGTGAGACCTGCGACCCCGATGGTCGCTGCATCGATGGGGTCGAGGTGCTCGGGAACAGCGACGATGTGGGGGTCTTTCGCGATGGCGTATTCGGCCAGGGCGCCGCCCGCGAAGAGGGAGGCCCCGGTAACACCAAAAACGAATTGGCCGGGGGTAAAGTGGGACTTTGATCCTGATGGACCTGACGGCGCTGTCACTATATATCCCGCAAAATCCAGGCCAGGGGTTGCAGGTTTGCGGATGACGAGACGGTTGAACACGGCGATCTCGGCGGGTTTAAAGTCCAGGGGGTTCAGGGCTGTGGCGACGATCTTGATCAGGTACTGCGAGGCTGTGGGTGTCGGGACTGGAGCGGCCGAGTTGAGGCGCATAGTGTTTTCGAGCCCGTTTTTTGTCGTGCTGGTGTATTGCCATGCCTTCATGGCTGTTGGAATCTTGGGCTTGGGAGTGGACATTGCTAGATAGATAGTCGAGAGAGTGAGTGTGAAGGTTCACGCCCACGCCCTGAGCTTCTGTCAGTCGGTAGGTAGATGCTTTCCAATGCTACGAGCGTAGTGGTCAACCTTCATCTCACTTGATCGAAAGGTAACGTTGTCCACAATTACAATTACAAATATATATCTATGTGTATATATAGAGGCAGGTCGACTATAGCCGGCAACATGATACCCTCCGATGTTGGTGGTATATCTTCCTTGACAGGACTTCGGACGGTCGGATGGTCGGACGACGCCTTCATACTTACTTACCTACCAGTAAGTGGTCGTCCAACGTTGAAGTGACAGACAGGGGTTTCTCGGAGATCGACAGCATGTGGAGAGACCCCCTGGTCGGGTCTGGAGTAAATATCATGCCGTGCAAACCATAAGGTTTCGAAGGATATTGACGTCAAGACTCTGCAGAGGTCAATGACAGGGACGGATGCCTTGTTCTCGTGAGTTTCCAGTGTGTACAGCATCCCCCCTTCATAAGGTAGGGCAAACTGCCCATAGTGCGTGAGGTTCGCCCCTTTGTCTTATGAGAGCCGTGGCGCTTCGGATGGGTCCGTGATGGGGAGATATTCTGTTCAGCCTTGCGTGAAAATATTGGTGGCTTGCGAACGTTGGAAGAATAAAATCACCAGGGAGAAGGTCTACTTGCTTTTCACCTCTATTGAATCAAAAGATGAGATCATGTTCAAAACAGACTGTGTGCCAATCTACCTAACATCTCTAACGATCAACGGTTGCGAGCATTTTCAATCTATTATTTACTGGAGCATCCCGTAACACATGAGATATCTCGCCTGCTCCCCAACCATCAGGGTTGGGCATATACCATGTACACCATGGATCCCAATGCTAACGTAAACGCTATCACATCACCAGACTCTGACTCAGGTCAAAGGACGTCCGCATCTCTTGTATAGCAAACGTGGACAAGTGGACTCGGAAACACAAAATGACTCGCTCAGACAGTATTATGCAACGCGGCAGATTTGGGGACCAAACCCGCTCCGCTCTGATCCAATGTGCGTTCTTCAACCTGACCCGTCTTTTCATCGACCACGAGACCGCGTTCGCCCCGGTTGAATCCCACACCTGGATGGGCCACGATCAAGCAATAAGCTGCCAGAATAACCATCCTGTAGCACAAGATGTCAGTATCAGTATCGATTTCATTGCATATTCATATTCGTCCTCACGGGGACAAGAGAGTGTCTTGGGGGGATGCACTTACACCGACTCCAATCCAACAAACAGATCCTCGTCTCTCAACGCCTCGCTGTCCCGCGAATACCCCTCGTTGAGCTCGTACACACGATAGCAGCATCGAATGAGGATGAAGAGCGTGGCCAGCGACAGAAAGGTCACAAAGACCAAGAATCTCCTCGGTAGACGCACGCTGCGCCAGACACTGCGGCTGCGGATGAAGTAGTCCACTGTCATGATGACGAAGACGACCAGTGTGGCAACCTGGAATGCCAGACCGGCCAGGGCGATATTGACGCCTGAGGCATCTGCGCCGTTCGAGGTGGAGGATTTGGCGCCGCCGACGGCTTGGAGGATCAGGCTTATGATGTCGCAGGGGATGAAGATATAGTAGAAGAACTGTGGTCTGAAGCGGGAGTGTTGGACGGAGATATATGTGATTCTGTAAGTGATGGTATTAGATCGTCTGGAAGAAAAGAAAAAGTGTGGAAGGCAGAATATGTGTGTGTGTGTGTGTGTGTGTGTGTGTGTGTGTAGGGGGATGAAGAGTAAGAAAACGAAAAAGAAAAAGAGAAGAAAAGCAAGGCTTACATTTGGGAGAGCATCACATAGATGGCGGCTGAGAAGAAGACGGGGCCGATGGTGATCAGGACTGTATCGCAAGTCAGTCAGCCTGGGGACTTGAACGTTTGTTTAGAGAGACAAGTAGTGACTGGGTGGGCCTTCAAGGTAGAAGAAAGTGGTCAACCCTACCAATCTGCATAATAAAGCCTGGATGTCCCCAAGGGTTCTGCCATAGCAGAATTCTCCCAACATATCCGAGGATTTCGTCAATACAGCCGAGCAGCATGGCGGCCATGAAGCCCCAGGCTCTGTAGCGCCAACCCAGGAGGATCTGAATGACCATGCACACCGCATACAGGCCGATGAGAGCCCCGCTGGCTCCTAGCGAGGGGCGATACCCGTAGACGCTGATCTCGACGGGACATGCGGACACCGTGCAGTTGGAGTTGTCGCCGCCCGCGATGTACAGAATGCCATCTGGCGAGACGTAGGTTGGGGAGTTGTCTGACATTGTTGGAAGTCAGGACTCAGGCTGGGTAGAAGGTCAATCCCCTCAAAAGCCGTGGCGGTCTGTATATGTTTTGGTTTCTTGATAGTGATCAAAAGAATGTCTTGTTTCGATATGGACAGAAAAGTTCGAAAGGGAGGAAGGCAGAGATCTAAGGTCAACTATATACTCGTATACTTACGGCCCAATCCGTGGTTTCTTTCATCCACACTCACACGTGCTGTCCATACCTAAGGTAGGTAGGTATGCTCGTGGGGCCACGGCCGTAGACATAATGTCATGATGTATTGACCCCAGGTTGACCCTAGAGACACTGACCATTGAGTTTCACTGGCTTCTGAGCCTTGGCTAGGTATGTGAGAGTGACACTGGCAGCAGAGAGAATGACAGTATGACACATGGCCATAAGGCCGTAGCGACTCGCGAGATGGCAGAAGTACTAGTACGCCAAGCAACAGCGCCTTCAAGTAAGGTATGTACACTGCATAGGTAGTCAGCAATGAGCAGGGGGTAGAAGGGTGGGGGCCGGATTCTGGGCAACCGTGGAGAGTACTTGGCAGATCATGAACCCCGTTGTTTGATAGGTTGGTAACTTGGTAGCAGTCGAAGAGGACGGATGAATTTCCCTCCATCCTTGAAACACGGCCGCAGAGCTTGGAGAGAGTTGGACAAACATCGTTCTGGCGTGTTTGACTGCAGCAGGTGGTCTGGGGTGGACGGGGGTGTTAGGGGTGGCCTTAGAACTCTATAGCAATCAATGCATTACGGCCGAGAGAAGGCGGATGTTGCCGTATTGGGATCGCAAGGCTGCGCCCCCCTCGCGTTGTACGCCGAAAATAGTAAAGCGTCGAACAGGATCCACCAACCAGGGACAGATACGGATATTGGTCGCCGCTTTGATACCAGAGGCATCTGGCACAGAGAGAACAGTCTCAGGTGATGGTTGAACGTCAGTCTTGTTGTTTTGAACATTGTGTTTGAGTTTTCAGAGCCGGCAGGGAGTCGATTGTCACAGAGATCTCTGGACAGTTGGAGGTCAATGGCTGGGCAGGCCATTTCATGTCAGGAGTCAGGACTGAATGATAGTTAAGAAAGAGATGGGGCAGAAACCACTCTTCGATACGAGATCATGGAAGGCCTCATCAGCACGCCTGAAAATGCAGTCGACCTACAGACGGGGCCGCTCTTCTCTAGACTATGTTTTGGACGTCGTCTGTACTGTCCCTGCAGGCTGCGCTTCCTCTTGGGCGCTGAATCACCATCCGTCCAGCATTGTCTCTAGACGCCCGATTTCCCGGCGCCAGCACTCCATCCGGGTCAATCGCATCCTTGAGCAGGTGATTGAACATCAACAAGGCCCTATCATTCCAATTATACGTGGCCATGACTTGATCCTGCAGCGCCAGATGGGTTCTGTACTCCCCCATTCCAATCCTGGCATCTTCAACGACCATCTCCTCCATCATGAACCTCGCACGATGTTTGGAGTCAACATTTCCCCGACCATAGACGATCATGGCAACATGACCCTGGGACAGAACGTAGGGAAATCCAGTTCTTGAGGCATCCTCTTGGTGGATTCGTGTTGCTTCATCACGTCCACTCACGTCAGAAGACTAATAGGACTAACGGCCCCATGTGAGCCGTTGGGCACCCAGAGCACTCAATACAGCTCCCGCAGATCAGGCATATGCTGTGGTACATCATATCAGGTCAATGGACGGCGAGTATGCTCCTCCGGCAGCGAAATTGGCTGGCATAAGCAAGGCTGCACATCTGCACACGTGTTCACAGCCTTGTCCATCATCTATCTCATCTCATCTCAGCTCAGTGGGATCCGAAGATCGAGGGATCCATGAACGGGTCCCTTGACAAGGTTGTGATGTGTTTACTCTGGCTCTTCTCATCAACTCTATGGCTATCTATTCTCGACTGCAGTCCATAACGGGTATCGTCTACCCTTGACTCCGTCGCAGCATCTGGTGGTGCTGGAGTGAAGCTGGCATGGTAAAGCTCATGTGGACGCCACCTCGCCCCAGGAAATATTGCTCTGCAGTGTATCGAATGTTCTGCGATTGTTCCAGACTACCACCCAGCAATAAGAGAAGGTTTTCGCCCGGCCTGGTCCTGCACACCAAAGTAATACGACAGGAGCGTTGTAGTGAGATGCCCATCGTCAATACCGAAAGGCCGTCAAGATCAGCACTCTTCCCTCTTCAACCCATCCCAAGACAACGAGATCAAGTCGAAAGGTGTCGGGGTAGACGTGGCTCGTCGTCGTCGTACGGCTCGCCGGCTGTTTCCCGAGCCAGATCGTTGATCCATCTCTCGTTCGGCTTGAGAGATTTTCCTCCAGCCACGGACGACGCCAGATACAGCCAGCTAAGGGCGTTTCCGACGGTGTGGACCTCATCACTGACATGTGCGCTGGCATACTCGCTCATCTCTTCATACAGGTCATTGTCGGTGACCAGGTCGTAAAGATGTTTCGCGACGGCTTCGTGATCGCCGCGTTCCACCAGGTAGCCGCTCTTCTTGTCCACCACCTGGAGCGGGATGCCACCTGCGCGAGTTGCGATGATAGGTTTACCCTGCGACAACAAATCATGTCAGCGTGTTCAAAGCCTCCGAAATTCAACATTGGGTTGTTCTCTCACCTTGTGTACTGCTTCGGACACCTTGACCTCGAAGCCTTCACGGGTAGACAGTTGCAGGGCGACGGTACACAGTGACATGATGGCATTCAGGATTTGGTCACTGGGACCAAGGCGGACCACCACAATATCACCGACCAGGTCTGGGTATGAGTTGTGGATCATGTCCATGGTCTGGTCATAGATCAGGGTTCCGTCCGGATCGTCCACGGAGCCGTGGCCGCAGATGACCAGCTGCTGGACATTCCGCAGTGGCTCGTCTTTCATGAGTTCTCGGAATCTCGCATAGCTTTTGATCACGTCGGGAATCCCCTTGGCAGGGTCGAACCGGGCGATCTGCGTGAAGTACCCTCGGTCAGGGTAGGCAAGTTGCGGCAGGCCCTGCGCTTGACATGTCTGTCTGAGGACGTGCAGATAATACTGCACATCCCAGTCGGCCATGGTCTTATTTAATCCGTCAAGCCTACCGGTAATAACATATTAGCTATCAACTCAGGCTCATAGACTGACCTTGCGACTTACCAATCTGTGGTGGCAGGGAGCCATCCAAGTGCCTCTTTTTGGACATCCATTGGCACGAAAGACCGCACAGGATGACTGAGGAAGATGTCGGCATGTTTGATGGAATTCCATAGGAATTTCCACACGTGCTCCGCGGAGCTGCCTTCCTCCTGGACAAGGTCGTCTCGGACCTCGATGTGGCATCGAAAGATGACAGGGCGGTTGGGTGCGAATTTTTTGGCGATGGGGATCAGTTCAGGCATCTGTGGATCGTCGATGATGATCACATCTGCACCTCCATCCTCCGGAGCCCTCAATGGGCCGGATTCTCCCATCCAGTATCGTTCGGCGTTGTCGTAAATCCACTCTTTGATCTTTCCGAGCTGCTCATCAGTGGTGCGGACTTCAGGCCCTACAGCGCCTTGAAGAATATTGTGGTTGTTCTTGGTGATACGGAAAACGTCTGGCCTAGGCTTGGGAACGAACCTGTACGAACAGTCAGTCATGGGCCGAACTTGCCATCAATCGAGTTTCGGGGGTCGAACCATTCCAGATCAACGTCGTGGAGTCGCAAGAACCGAATCAACGCATGTCGCATCAAGGCTACACCGCCGCCTTGGGGAGTGGCACTGAAGAAACAAATTCTAAGCTTCCGATCGACCACATCCTTGATGTACTTCTGGACCGCCCTCCACGTTGGTTCGCGCACGGATCGCTTATAGTCATCGATAGTGGCCAGGTGAATCATGCCTGCCATATCAACTTCGACTTGATTCTGGTAGCTGATCGACAGCCGCGGCAGTTTGGTTGGCCCATAGAATCTATCATGACATTAGTCTGACGGTAGAGATGGACAATCGTACGTGGCCAGCAACTTACGCGAGACACTTTCGAGCAGCAGAATCTGCGATTTCATCAACGAGAAGTTGTTTCCGTCGCTCACGGACCTTGCTTGTTGGCGCTAGAGTGTTGGACCCGACCACAATGGGCACAATATCCAATTGCGACCACAACTGAGAACAAAGGTTTGGACTCTTGCGGTGGAGGGCCTTCGTGACGCCTGCACCGAGGATTTTGCAGACATGTTCCTTCCGGTAAGCCTCCAGCTGCGTGATGATGTGATCGGCCACCCATTCGGAGTTTTCGTCCTTGCGCGCATCTTCTTGGGCACAGAGACGGTGCACGGCAAAGTCGACGCTATATGTGCCATCGTGAATGGCAATACCAATCTTCAAAGCAGACTCTGATTCAACTTCAATCGCGATACCTGCCCAGAATTCCTAGAAAGTAAAGGTCAGTCAGCGTCAGCTAGTCACGTATCGGTGGCAGCCTCAGCGGGTGATGGATCTAGGGATGTCTTGGTCAAGGAAAGGCCTCCACGTACACTCAAGCTGGTCCCGATGGCCAAGGTATCAGGTTGTTGACTATCAGGCTGCTGGATACTGAGGGAGCGTGCGCGATGATACTCAGGGACTTGGGATACAAAGTCCCTGTGTACTTCGGTACTGTGTTTGAGGGTTGCGTCACCCATGGTTTGTGAATTGTTCTTGAGGGTTTCACACAATGCGCCAGTGACAGCTGCGTCGGATATTTATATGTGCGCTGGCAAGTGGATGTAGGCTGTGAAAGGCTCAAGCCACAGAAGCAAAGGCGAGTTATCTCAGAAAGAGACTGGGATTGAGTGAGGCGAGTATCTTCGATCGAGCAGTTGACAAGGGTGTTTAGGCGACGTGGTAGACGAACAAAAACCAGAAGCCAGAGATGATCAAGCTAAGATGAGTTTACATCACCAGTGGACAAGATTGTACGTATTGCACAAGTACGTAGTCGGAGAACACCCAGCGCCGGGAATTATTGCCTGTCCCTCTGACGTAGCAAGCAGATAGCAGGTCCCCCGAGCCGGTCGGTCGAGGCGGGAGATCGTGGCTTGACCAGGGCTTTTCAATGTCTAGATGATGGCCAAAGATCAAAATGGATACCCAACGTCTGGATCTGGTTGGACCTTGCCGGGATCTCAACGGTAGATAGCGTGCTTAGGACAATTGGACGAGCTCCAGGCGTATGCCTCAGCGATCAACATCACCTGATGGTGACAGGAGCGTGGACCAACCAGGGGAGCAACAACGTCCACGTCAGGGGCACGGTTATCCACGTACCTTCGGATGTTGTTTCGACGAGGCCCGGTCAGCCTGTTGCCAGGGTCCTGTGAGCCTTATGCGTCGCAGGTGAATTTGTCCTGGTTAGTAGAATACTTTGTGGAAGTTCCTGTCGTCTGTTGGTTGTTGAGAAAGATGAATTAGAAGCTGCTGTCGTTGAGTGAGAGAATTGACCGAGGCGGGGCGTTGTATTGAAATGACTCAATACAGAGTTACATCGTACCTAAATGCTCCCATGAATTTGGAATGACAGCCCTGTCAAGCCGTGAATCACACCAAATGACCGGTCTGATGATCTGAGACACACGCCCGATACGCGATATGCGATGCGCTGAGAAATTCATCGACCTCAAATTGTCTCAATCCATCAACATAACCTTTATTGATAGCTTCGTCACCTTCACCTTCGTCTTCAAAGTTGCCCTACGGAGATGGATGGGGACGCAATACTCTGTAATGCTCAGCAACGTCCCTGAACCCCTCCAGGGGATCTACTTCGTGGAGCATCCCTCCCCAACTCACACGATTTGCGATTGTACCTTGCATACTGTGCCTAGGGTCTAGAATTAGCTAGGTATCTACCTGATCTTTGCTGGCCCGGCCGCAGAGTGGTACGGCATCTTGTCGCCCCTATCAAAGTGTTTCATCAGACCTCAAAATAGCCCGGAGAAGGTGACGCTAAAGATCTCCTGACAGCCTTCGGCAGATCCCGCTGCCGCACGCACCTCATATGATCCAGCCGAAAGGAGGATCTATATGGGATTGCTTCTAGACCACTCACTGTGACATGGATGTGGCGCTGCCAGGGCTGAGCCTTTGCACATACCAAGGCGGCATCGGCCGAGTGCCATGGCATGGCGATGGGGGATGCACTTGTATTGTGACGAGGCTGAGCTATTCGGGGTGCCATGAGCGGGTAGGAGATTTAATAAGCTCACAACAAACAGTACGCCATTTTCGCTCATTAAGACACCTGATATGATAGTTTACTGTCCTGGTATACTTCTGGCTTATCATGGCAGAGCCGATCGTCCCTTTGTTCCGATCTGTAAAGTGCTGATTGAGTATACTAACCGCCATTACTTAAACGAGGCCAGCCTGCTCCAACTCCGCCTCAAAGCTCTCTCCACGTACAAACAAAAGCCTTTGTAATCGTTGCCGCTGAGATAGACCGTCTCCTAGTGCCCATTCCGACCTTCCTTTGAGGCCAGCCTCTCCCAAAATCCCCTTTTCAGTCCCAACAGCCATTGCACTCTTGTTGAATCAACATTCCTTCCTCCCAGCCACTCTCTTCTTTCACCAACGTCTAGTCAGATCTCTCAGGATACTGCAACAGACAGTCATCTTCAGGACCATTTTCGGCGAGACCCCCAAGTCATCTCACAGCCCATATCTCCACCTTGCTCCCTTTAGGATTGACCCATCCACTTGATGTCGAGTGATATTCTGTGTCTCGTCGATTCCGCAATCGTGGCAGACAGATGCCCAGTTGGCAGTTGCCTTTTTCATGGAGTCTGCAAGGCTCGACTAAAATTTCTGATTCTGGGCAGGTGTGGTGTGTCTGGCTGCTGGTTCATGACCATCAACGACATCTGGAACTCGACCGAAGTATATCATAAATGTCCTCCAAGAAGTCATTCGAAGCCTGTTCTTCCTCCGAGGTAGCTGCAGTTGCAGTCCAACGCGAACAGAATCGTCGTATCTCAATCACACATCGAAGAAGGAAGAGAATTTCCCGAGGAATAGGCATATTCAAGGCAGACTTCACCACTTGAACCAAATGCACTAAGTTTGTGGTGAGATGGCTTCTGTGCTGGTTGTTGTTATTGTCGCTGTTGTCGTCGTCGCCGTTGCTGCTGCTGCTGCTGCTGCTGGTGTCAAGTCGTCCTCGTCCTTGCGGTGGTTTCTCACATTGCTTGAAGAATCGATCGGTAACCCAGCTTGTCATGGCTTTGGCTTGGTTGTAGATTCGGCGAATTGGTTCTGGAAGGCGGTCTAGTTGTGGTTGTGGTTGTGGTTGAGACATATTGATGTGTTGGAACGAGGTGCGCGTGAATGATGAGTCTGCTTTCGTCTTCTTCTGTGCTTCTTTGCGGATGGGATCTCTAGAGTATGCTGCCTTTCATCGCGGTGATATATGTATTGCCAAATGGGGGACTGCCGGATTGGGTGAATCTGTACACGCAGCAGGCAGTTGTGGTGTGGTTAGCACGGCAATGGGGACTTTTGAGACATTGATGCTCCAGGTCCACGACTCCCATTGTCAGAACAAAGACGACGAGGTCAGTGCCAGTATATTGGGTTGAGAACTGTTTCTGGCATGAACCGGTCTGTAATCTTGCCGGTTGGAGTTCCAGCCCTTGTTTCAGAGCTCAAGGCTGATTCGAGAGCACTGCTTGTGGTAAAGTGGCCAAAGACAGAGAAACATCTGGCGACCGATTGAAACAGAAGAACAAAAGAAACTATCACTGAAAGTCATGAGGATGAACACTTCAAAAACTTCAAGTTGGGAAAAGTTGATTTGGTAAGGGAGAACTTTGCCACTACGCGCATCGTCAACCGGATGAACAACGGGATTTCGACCATGTCTCGAAGTACAATCCCCGACAAGACAACATAGTGCCGCGGTCGCTATCGGACCAGCATTCCACAATCATATTGTTTCAATTTCGTCGTCATGTCTTTCGACTTTGTTCCGACGCTCTTGTTCTTTCCGTCCCTGTTCCAACACCTTTTTCCTCTCCTCCCGTGACTTTCTCTGGTTCACGACAAATGCACCGAGAGGGGTGTCTTGCCATTGGACATCCTTGAGGAAGCCTTCTACCTCTGCACGGTCTTTCGGGGAGAAATTGATCTTGTTCCTCCTCTCCTCGATCCACCTAGCATTAGCCTCGGACTTTTGCACTAGCAAGAGAAGAGCTTGGTTCAGCTTTGCATTTCTGTTGCCAGTCGACTTTGAAGCTGCCTTCAGCCACCGTTTCAGCATGACTATCGTAGGCAGTTGCAGCTCAGGGTATGCAATGCTCTTGGTCCAGAGGACAAAGAATTCCGAAAACAGTTCCACGACCTGCTCACCGACGCCTTCTTGATAGACCTTCGTCTTCAGGTACGATGTTGGAGCTCGGATATTGGAGTCGAAGTCGAGAGGGCGCAGCGTTGCAGCTTTGGCCGACTTCTTCATCTCTGCAGAATTGAGCACCTCCAGAAGCGCTGCAGAAAGCGGGATGTACGTCTCGGTTGCCTGAGAAATCCGTAACAGTGATCTCATCAGGTGGAAGCGAAGAGGAAAGTAGGTCGAAGTCGGGATCAGCCTCATGACTCCGAGGGTCACTTGGACAACAGGGTAGATCAATGGTCGCAGTTGTGACTGTTTGCCATTCTGAGCCTCGAGGAGGGAGTTGCAGTGCAACGACAACACTCGTGACCAGAAGTCGAGAGAATGCACAAATTGCCAGTTGTAGATGGTCTTGTAGGAGTCTTTCGTGGGCTTGGTGATGTTGGTCCGAAGATGAATGGCAAGCTGACGGATGAAAGTGAAGCCAGTGGTGTAGCCGACTTTCTGATCTATACCCCAGATCTCTGCAGCTGAGTTCTTCATGAGATTTATTCCGGCAAGAGTGTGGATAGTAGTATTCCGGCTGCCTTTGACCACACCTTCGTAAGTAGACTTCAGGACAGCTTCTCGGATTCCAGCATCTCCAATCACCATGAGCCGGCGAATGATCAGAAAAGCTGTGATTCTGGTTGCCTCATCCGAAGAGTTATCGGACCAGATTGACGCCACAGCTCTTGTGATAACCTTGAGGAACTTGCGGAATTGTAGCAGATAAGGCAGTAATGGCTCGAACGACTGGAGTGCCAGTCTCAATGTCTTGGTGTCGGACAGATGGCCGAGCAGATGGTGAAGGGAAGAAGCATGTGATTTGATCAAGGGTGCCAGAGTCTTGAACTTGGGCGAATCGGTCGGCACCCGCACTTTACCCCCAGCAGTCTCCTTGACGGGGAGATGGTGAGCGAGTGCCTCGGGAACCTGCTTCAGCGCCGTCACCAGAACCTCGTGGTAAACCTCGGCACTGGGGATGTTGTATTTGAAAGCCTTATCCTCCTCGTCATCGGCGTGGGCAGCAGCACGGAATGCCAGAACGACTTGTCGTAGTGCTCTGATGGAGAACCCTTCGACCAAAGAGGACTTCCACTTCTTGACCATGGCGAGTGTCACATCGTCGGGGGCGGCAGGTTCTTCGGCGCCTCCTTTCGTCTTCTGTTTCTTAGCTGGAGGCTCTCCGTCACTGAGTTCATCCACTTCCGCAAGATCATCGTCCTCGTCGAAGTCCAGCAATTCGGCGTCATTCTCTTGAAGGTATTTGTAAAATTCCGGGTCTTTCTCCGCCAATGCAGCCAGTTGACCTTTGTGCTCGGCAGGGTCATCATCGGAGCCATCGCCTTCTGAATTGTCGGACACTCCATCTTCTTGTCTGTCTCCCTCTCTCTTGCGCTTTCCTGCGCCGCGCTTGGAAGGGTTTGTTTCCTCTCCCGGAATGTCTAGGGCTTCCTGGAAGAATTCGTCTTCATTCATATCAACACCTTGGTCTGGTGATGATGAATCGCCATCGGAGCCTGCAGCGTCGTCGTCGCCCTTCGATCGCTTTTCTGCCCGCTGTTTCTTTTTCGCCTTGACCTGATGTCGCTGTTTGATTTTTGCGAAGTCCTTTCTTCGGTCGATGGTCTCCTTTAGCCGGTTTCTCTCAAACTTCTTGGTCGCTTTCTTTTGTTTCACCATGATTGCAGAGTCAATGAGGGTTTAGAGAGCGTTGTGAGGAAATGTCATCGGTCAGGGAAAAGGCAGCGTCTCTCCAACGCAACTTTGCAGCGCCCGTCCAGAAAAAATCGTGCCAAGCCGAAGTATTGCCGGAGTTTCTCCGCCTGCTGCGAATGGCTTTAGACGTACTACTGATACGTACCTAGCATTATCCTACTACCGCGTTTACTACATGCAGTGGTCGTTGTGTACAAAGCAATGACCGGCGGTCCATTCAATTATATCTGTCTGACCTCCTCTCTGGGAGACAATATCAATTGACCTGATGTAAGATCGAAAACAAGCCACCATGTACGGCTCACCGGCTTCCCGACCGCTCTCGTATGCGCCTACACCGTACACCTACACACCAACCAATACTCTCTCGGCGCGCATCAACCTCGACGAGGAGGTGAAGCTTGCCGACACAGCAGCAGAGCGCGACCTCATTGACTCCTTGGCGGAGATCTACAGCATTATCCGCACGCTGGACGGGCTGGAAAAGGCCTACATTAAAGATGCCATCCCAGAAAACGAGTACTCGGACATGTGCTCGAAGATGCTGAAACAATACCGGTCTATACTGAATGACGAGAGTGTGTCTCGTGAGTTTGTCGATTTGGACACGTTCACGGGGAAATGGGATATCGAATGTCCGCGCGCGAAGGAGAGACTCAGAGTGGGCTTGACCGCGGATGAAGTTCTCACTGTGCAGAAGGCCGCGCCAGGCTCTACGGCCCCGGTGGGCACGGCATCAGGCAGTTTGATTCTGGCGGCGACGGAGAACTTCATCACCTTTCTGGATGCCTTGCGATTGAACATGGTCTCTAAGAGCGCGTTACACCCTCTGCTCTCCGATGTGATTCAGTCGGTGAACAAAGTGACCGATCAGGACTTTGAGCATCGCGGCAAGATCATTCAGTGGCTGATCACGCTCAATCAAATGAAGACTTCGGAAGAGCTGAGCGAGGAACAAGCCCGGGACCTGGCCTTTGATATGGAACAGGCATATAATGGATTCAAGTCCATCATTCAGTGAATTTCAAGGATATCGTTGGCCTGACGACAGCGTTAGACAACTCATGGCTGGGAACTGGGTGTCCTTTTAGGCTGCTCTACGCTTCTGGTCTACTGCGACGAGTCGTTCTGGCCCTGTGGAGAAGAGGTGCGCCCGAAGTCAACGGCGAGCAAACCTGGGACAATGCTTTGCCAACTTTAACTCATTCTTCGCCCCTGAACACGGCTGTGTGTCGGCTACAAGGCGCGACCGCTACTGGAGCAGGTGGATGAGATGATGTTGGGGGCAGGAATAACAGCAGTCCCCGGTCAAATGACCCACCGACGGAGGATCGTACTGAGGATTCTTCTATCATCCTCCGACGACAGATCTTCCAATAGGAGAGAGGATATCTCAGGGCTTTCTTCGAGACCGACACTCCGTGCTGGCCGGACATGGATCCTCTCCTGGCCCACTGTGAATGGCACAACTGCGTCAGGCACCACATTCAGCCTCACTGCTCAAACCCAGAGACGATACTGGACTGGTCGTGATGAAGGCTCGAGTTTTGAATTCGACCAAGTTCATGCAGTTCCAACCTTGCGGGATACAACACACCAGTCTCAGCCACTCGTTCCCTCCGGCAATCACTGCGAGCGAGCGAGGACATCCGTCAGGAATCCTACATACAGCCGGGGGAGAGAAATGCGACGGGCAGCCTTGGTCCAACGCATGACTCTGGTACTGGACACGATACATACTTTGCGAGGAACTTGAATAGCAATTGGTCCATCCCCCCGGAGGACATATGATTTCGTCAGGCTCAGCCTTCGTGATACCTGATGCCTGATGCCTGTTCCCTCAAAGCTATCTCTACCGAAAAGTGGAACACATTTCTGCTGTCGAGTTATGCAAAAAGAAAAAAGACTTCTCTATCCAGAATACAGTCCACAGCTCCCCCACTAAGCATTGACTCGATTGCTGCCGTCCTTGTCGTCAGTCCTTCCTTGACTGTGTAAAATAATACCTTGGGTACGGATGGATGCATAACAACTTCCAGACACCGTTCACAAAATCGTCTACGCTATAGATAGGTATCCATCCATACTACATCTTGGATCCGAGGTTGCCGGTACTAAGGAAGTGTCTGCACGGGTGTCTTGGGTCTGAAGATAGATCTACACAGTACCTACACTGGCAGCTGACGAGAAGTATCTGATCCACCATATAGGTAGTCATCTTTCCATCCACTTTAAACCCCTAATACATTACGTTAGCTTAGATACTTTGTCCACGGTGAAACAAGCGATCTACTCTGTAAGGTATTTATTAGACTGAAGGATCAAAAACCGAACGGCCCGTCATCTGGTGGGCTGATGACGTCGCAGGTGTTTATCTATCTCAGGTACCTATAGAGTACTACTACTAATAGATACTATTATACCTTACTAAGTAGATACCTAGGTATTTATCTTATCAGTTCGACCATCAGTTCCACTAAACGGCCAGGTACATACCGCACCTCCATGTTACCTTACCTACTACCTACCTACCTAAGATACAACGGGTGCGAATCGAATGCATTGAACACTTACAACCTAGTAGTATCGGATTCAGGGTGAACCGTAGGTACCTAGGTGCGCAATGCCTTGAGTGGGTGCAGTGGGTGAGGTAGACGGATTAAATCAGGCAAGTCATGTTAACAGTCTTGCCTCACCACTGTGGTAGTATATAGTATAGCATCCTACTAGTAGTATAGCATAGTATAGCATAGTATAGCATAGGTAGCATAGCATATACTAGCAGTAGGAAGTGGTGTGTGTTCCTTGCATCCAAGTTGTGCGACGTTGCAGTAGTAGTCCGTAGTACGTAGTGGTAGGCAGACTGGAGTTGAAACGAGGAGGAACGCATATTACAACGCACAAACCTCACATCACATCACATCACCACCCGAAGAAAATCCAATATAAAAACAACACTCAACTCTCTTCCAGCTTGTGGGTACGGTTTCATACATTTGGAAGTTAGCACCCAGTACCAGGACTCCGGGATGGAGATGGAGAGTGACGATGAGTTCAGATCGTCATTCCCATTTCCGTCACCCACTGTCTACTACGTACCTAAGGTAAGGAGATACTTCTTATTCATTTGCCTACCGCGTATTGGGCCTATCATGTCATATACACAGGTGATATATCGGCACATATTTCAGGAAACCAAGTCTCGTCAGCCATCTCTCCCTCTCTGCCCTTTTCTTTTTGGCTCTTTCTGCTGGCCGCTCGCTTTGCAGCCGTCGGGTCTTTTGGAGAGACGGCACTTTTCACTGCCCGCCATTCATCAAATTCCAAACGCCGGGCCATGATCGGAGTCGGACAGAGAAACGAAACTTAAGATCTTGTCGCGCATATCATCCAGTATTACCGCCTCCACCACTACCACTACCACTGTTGTCGGTCGTTCGGGCAGATACACGTCGGCCAACCTGCGCTTGCCGGATACTCGCGGCGTCCGAACCGTCATCCGTACTGACACTCTGATATAACGAGGACCCTCGACTCAACGGCGTCCGCGCTCCTCCTACATGACTCTCCCCGTCGTCAGGCGGGTCATTGAACGGCGAGCCCTCGATCGGACTGACAGGAGCCGAGTCTGCAAATGGATTGGTGGCTGAGACCGGGGTTGGTGGCCCTGCTCTGGTTTCTCTCACGATGGAGCCGTACGGAGGCGGTGCTGTAGATGTTGAGAGTGGACGAGGGATGGGATCAGCGGATGCACTTCCAAGAGCACCGATGGATCGAAGATGAGACGGGCTGACGGGATGCTGGGCGTGCGAAATCGCATCTCGGTAAGGAGGGGCCACTTCTTCTTCGATGCTGTGCAAGCTGGGTTCTGTACTCTGAGCCGCAGTGTTCGAGTTGACCGCCCCACTGCGAACACTTGCGTCTCGACTGCGAATGCTGTTGGTGCTGGAGAACCGGCCGCCCATAAGCAGCTCGGCATCAAAGGAGAACGCCCGCAAATGTCGAGACCATTTCTTGCCCGCCTTCTTGGGCTGTTTCTCTGAGACCACGGCCCCAGCACCAAGATTCCGTCTCCGCCTCCTTCTGGCACAGAAAAAGAAGAGGAAGATGCCTGCCAGCGCCGCGACAACGACCGGCACCGCAATGGCAGCTTTGAGGCCGGAAGAGCAGGAGATGCTGTGGCAGGAACTGTGAGAGACGGTTACGGCGCCACTGGTGTTGCTTGCCGCATTGGTGGCGGTCGTCGAAGCCAGGTCATTCAAACTGGAGGATGCGACCGCGGTCACCGAGGTGGTGAAAGTGGTTGATGATGTCGACGCCGTGGCGGCCGCACTCCGCGACCCAGAAGACGCGGTAGCCGCAGCGGAGGCACTCGAGGTTTCGGAGGCGGTCGACGACCTGGTAAGACTGCTGGCTCCTAGACCGGTTCGTGCTGCGCCGGTAGTCTGGGTAAATTCGCTTTCGAGCGAGGAGGCCAAGCTATCGAGATTGGTGGTCTCGGGTCCATTCACACTGCTTATATGAGTGAAGCCGTCGTTATCGGGGGGACCCATGGTACTGAACGCAGGAGAAAAGGTGGGAGTGAATGGCGGCGTGAATGGTTGTGTATCTGGTATACTTCTCCGGGCTACGCGGGGCCTCGAGAGGAAGTGATGTAGGAAAGCGTTTCGAGCCAGAGTGACGGCGACCCCTCGAGAGGATCCGCGTGCGACATGTAAAGGCAGAAGGGCTGCAGGCAGAGTGCTGTGGCAGGACACGAGCCTGGCAGGATTCGCTGGAAGCGACAGCAGGATGTCAAGGTCAGGCGTCGTCAGTGGTGGGATTCCGGAGAGGCTGGTCTCGGACTCAGGTGTCAAATGCAGTCTCAGGCCAGACCAACAGGGCCAGATAAGACGGAGATCGAGATGGAGATGGGAGTTGGATCGTAGGATTGTGGAAGGATCAAATACGAGAGATCATCAGTAACGAGGCGCAGTGGGAAAAGAGGGAATAGTGGTAGTACTAGTAGTGGTGGTGGTGGTGATGGTGATGATGGTTGTACTCTGTAGGAGTAGGAGGAGGTGGGATGGGCGTGTTCAGTGGGCAGGAAGGGGGGTTAAGCAGGGCACTAGGTCAGCCTAAGGAGCCTCCTAAGCCGGGGAAGTACCTGCTAATGGCTTAGGGAGCAGATGGATGCGGCAGGCGTGGGCTGCCATGTGCTGGGCTTTAGCTAACGGTGAGCCTGTATGTCTTCAAGACATCCAGCCAGCCCATTCAAGTTCAGGTATTGACTCCTCGTTTCGTACCTAAGGCGGCCAAGGGGCTAGGTTACTATGCCACCCCAGGCTACTTAGGCTCCTTAGGCCCCTTAGTCCTGCTAGGCTTAGGCCGATGGGGTCTCAGGTACCAACAGGTCCATATTAAGGTACCTTAGTATTGACTCGTCTTGTCTATCCTCAGGCTTGCGATGTACTCTGTACACGTAGGATCGCTAGTTCTCCGACCGGTATACTCTGTAGATCTTACAGTGGTAGACTTCGACTCCATACTGGGCGTGCATCTAAACCAAGGAGTCCGATTGACCGATGCTGGTACGCCAACACTTGCATTCTTAACGACGGGCACCAGGAACAATAACCCCTACGATCCCTGGAACGCAACCATGCGGACTCGGTACAGGAGAGCATCTCCTGATCATTCTCGGAGAGTCTACGCTAGCCCTAGGGGGCGTCCGGATGTCTGTTCCTCTCCTGTATACCGGTATGATTGGTTGCTGTTCACCTGAGGTGCAGTGGTATGCTACAACGCCCGTCTTTCCAGGAGAGACATTCTTGGGTAGTACATCGGCCAGAACCACTAGGCAGGTTACCACCGACGGAGTTCCGACCCCAGCCAAACTCAACGCCTGCCGCGTTGAGGATCTAAGGTACATGTAGGTACCAGCGCCCCTACGACCGGACATACACCGGCCATTAATACCAGTTCGACTACTATCATACCGGGTCCTCACTGTACGGGCCTCCTACCAGACCACTACCCAACCCAACAAGAACTCAAGTCTTCCATCCACCACCCAGGGTCGCCTATATCATGTCAACATGGACTTCCCTCACCTTGCCAAGTTCATCCCAAGGCTGGTACCTAGTAATACTTATTACGCAGGCAATTTAATTTCCATTGAAGACAATCATCTTGAAGGCGCCGGCGAGCTTAGAGAATCCATAGAAGTGCCGTGCGTGCCCATCCATCGATCAGCCACTCTCTAAGTAGTAGTACTAGGCAAAGCAGAGTGTGACATGGCGTTTTGGCGCTGAAGATTGTTGGTAGACTTCCAGGAAATATCGGACATGACTTATCGAAGTGGTAGACGTTGAACGCAGGTCAAATCTATTAATGGCGTCGGTTCCTTGAGTAGCCCCAATCTGGAAGGTGGATGTCCGACGGCTACTGCTGCTACTAGAACTGAACCACATACAATGAAGCTGATGTGATGTGATTCGCCAGACATCACGTGGCACGGAGTCTACAAATTGCGACTTGCCGACCTCCAACATGCAACTTGAACTTGAACTGCATTCAATTCAACATTCAACCTTCAACCTTCAACCTCCTGCTTCCCCTTTGTCTCAGACAAGAAGAACATCGACTCGATTCAACGCCCTTGGTCTTGATCCTTGGTTGGTATCGATCACACCACGACCCTCTGCAGGGCTAGGTACTATTATGTGCCACGCCGGTCGCCTAGATGCAATACCTAACTACTTGTACCTTTCCGACCAACACCGGTTTGAAGACGATCTGACGAATCTCTGCGAGCCTGTAAAGGACCAAAGGTCGTTAGTTGATCCATCCGATACTCACATACTGAGCGGCACCCCTCATTCTTGTTTACCAGCGGCACCGCGGAGGTTGTTAATTTTGTCACCTTTCCTGCCTCGGCATGCCCGATAGATATTACACGCACCCTTGCTGTATGATGGTGCAACATGCGGTTACTTACTTTCCAGTAATACGAACCGGGACTGGGACTCTCACAGCGTCCTGCACTGTCCGAAGCCCTGTCCGTGAGCAAGGTCGTCTATTATTTCGTTGACCTCCACATACGGCAACTCACGAGGGAGGCTGCTTAACTTCTTTTGGACCATGCAGCATGGTCTCCGGCCTCTTCTTAGACACTCAGCATATGTAACATATCACCAATCCTCGATATTTTACTCGTCAACTTCTGAAGGTAGCTTCTCAGCTGCTTCAGGTGTGCAACTCTTCACAGGTGCACAGATACCAGACCTCTTGCATTATGCCTTGCATATGAGCCGCATTTACACGACCAATCTATGTCACGCACGCGGGTCTCTGGTGATCACCCTCGTGCTAGTTTCAATAGAGGTCAGGTAGGGGACTGAGCCTTTGATACTCGTAGGAGTCACATATCTGGCACGACCTCTGCCCGCGGGTTCATTTTATATCCTGGATGTATCTGGACCCCGCTACGGCTGATCTATACCTATACAACAGATTAGCAGGCGTTCCATTGCGAGGCCACATTTCCCTACATAGCCGTGAGACTGGGAATAAAATCATTGATGATCCATGATCCGTATTATGCTATGCGCATCTTGTTGATGTAAGATTGGTATACTGGTACACCATCTTCTTCCGACCTTTGTAACTAATGGAGACATTGCAACTCACCACGCCCAATCATAACAGGCAAGGCTGGAGAAAAGTACGTAGTGGCATCCGAGTCTTCAATGTCTGCAGTGCTCGGAAGTGGAGCCGGCACCAGGGCAGAGTCGCAAAAGTATGGTAACGATAGAGCTTCGCACATGCACATTGACCTTGTATGGAGGAATGTCTCATAGGCGATGTCGTATTCTATGGCGATCGAGGTTTCGTAGCGGCACAAGGCAAGTCAATTGTAGTAAGTACCTTAAGTGTGCAAGTCGGGAACAGTGGGAAGCTATTGCGATATGCGGAAAGCTAAGCGGTGATCGCTTAGGTACCTGACGTATGCGTAGCTCCCACCAGCACTGCAGCCCCCGGTCGGGGGTGGGCATAGGGCGGCATCATCAAATTCCCCAAGTGGGGTGGGCCACAAGCCGCTTTCCCAAATCTTGGCATGCGGGTGCACGGCTCGACGGCCAGCCTGGGTGCGACGTCAGCGAACTAACTACCTGTAACTTACAACTCAGCTGCGAACACGTCCTGAAGGTACCTCCAACTTGCACTCCAGCAGTAAATCGCCGTCTTCTCTCGCGTGCATGCAAAGTGAACCTGCTGTACAGTGGGGTGTCTACCTTCCACAGCCGCTGTGACCGAACCTTTGAAACACGCCGTATCCCCGCTTATCGCCCGACTCTCTGTGACCACCTCAAAAGCCCACGGCCGTGTTCCTCCGAAGGGTACCGAGAATGAATCTTCGCAACGTCGTCAAGGAGGGTTGGCATCCCAAGGGGAAGTCTGGGGGGAAGGAGTCTTGGAGGGGAGACTTCAAAGGGATCGATCAAGTGGTCAGTGCTAGATGTGCCGTCCGCATCGAGTTCTTCACACTAAAATAACGAATCAGGCAGGATGGATGGGCAAGACCAGAGACCCAAGCAAAGAAGAAGCCGAGGAACATGTATCACGTCCGTTGTCTTCTCTGAAAGACCCGGCCCTGTTTGGGCCTCCTCCGAAGCATGTCCAATACCACGGCGGCGCCGCCCTTCCGCACGAGATCACACCGCAGACCTCAGGCTTGGGCGCTCCGTTGACGGCGGAGGAAAGGGAAGCTGCACGTCGAGTCACCATGTCGCAAGCCCAGGAAGAGCCAGAAGAAGAGGTCAAACCACGCGGTCCTCCCGTGCCATACAGAGCCGACAGAACTGGGTTGAAGACTGATCATCTCCCGCCGCCGCCGGTGCACAGGGACATCAACCGAAGCGCCAGTGTTGCGGGCGGAAGTCAGCCACCCAAACCGAAACCCAGTTTACCTCCACGGCTTCCATCTCGACAGCATACCGGTGCCAGCATAACACCGCCGCCGCCCACGATCTCGCCGCCTCCCCAGCAGGCTCCGCCCGCCTATGATTCGATCCCGGTTCGCCAGGCCAGTCCGCAGACGAGCGCGAATCACTATGGAATCAATCAGTCTGCAGTGAACCGACTTGGCAATGCAGGCGTCTCCGTACCAGGCCTCGGGATCGGTTCTAATACATCGTCAAACCCGTGGCCGGCCGAACGGGGTCGGTCACATACTGCCAACACACAAGGGCCTCCTTCATCCAGCCCGCAACCGGCGACAAACCAGCTCTCCGAACTCCAATCCCGGTTTGCTCACATGAGCACAAATACCCAGAACGACGCGCAAATTGAACATCCTACCACGCCTCCGCCCGGTGGGCCCATTCGGATGATATCGACGTCGCCGACCCGACCGGCGCCTCAGAGCCAAGGACCAACCTGGGCCGATCGGCAAGCCGCGATACGCACAGCGCAGAACACACAACGAGATCCATCGTCGGGGAGCGTCTCCGACGCCCGCCCTACCGCCAGCAGCGTCAATTCGTTCCGAGAACGGCACCAGGATTCCATCAACGCCATGGGGAGTAAAGCGAGCGAGTGGAACAAGAAATATAACGTGACAGGCCGGCTGAACTCGTTCTTGGAGAAGCATTCTTCCCCGACCTCGGAAACGCCGCCTGCCGTACACGCCAATGCGAATTCCAACCCCAGCACCGCCGTCGCCTCGCCTCAGATGCAGCCCCAAATCCAGCCCCAAGTTCACGCTCAGGCGCTGTCGCCGCCGCCGCCGCCGCAGATACAATCTCCATCTCCATCTCAACCGCAGCCACAGCAACAGCCACAGCCACAGTCACCAGTCCCTCATGTCGTGGCCTCGATAGCCCGGAAACCTCCACCACCTCCTCCGCCGAAGAAACCAGCCAATATGCATGGAGCAGTCAATTCAAATGCTGGTGCCGGAGTGGTAGCGCCACCGCCCGTGCCCTTGGGAACCAAGCCAAGTTACGGTTAGAAGAAGTGGACGAGATGACGATATGACAAAGACGACAGACAACTTATAGCCTAGATCTTTGAATCCATGTTTGTAGTATTCATGATCCGTCCTAACACCCCCCCTGCCGTTTCCTCATAACACATTGTTACATTGTAGTGTTCTCCGCCTCGTCATCCTCCGCGCATCATCGAGCTTCCAGATACAAGAAGCGACTAAATACCAAGAGGTAGGTAAGTGGGCAGACTGGACAACCCGGTGACCTGATATCGATGGACACGTCCTGTGGCGAAAAAGAAACAACTGGTTAGACAGAGAAGTCCATTCAAGAAGGCATGCTGTCGAGTGTCAATATGGCATAGCCGGGTGTAGCAGGCTCGTGGCGCAAGGCTGGGGACCAAATCAGTTACCGCAGCGAAAGCTGTTTACGGAATATCGTATCACAGCTTCGCTTTTCCCAAAAGTAGAGTTCGATACCCCCTGCTTGTAGAAGCAATTGGTGACCACCGGATGGCAAAAAAAGGTGTTGTCATTCCTCAAAAGCAGTCAAATTCCTTCGCTATGGAAATCAGGCCAGTATGTATTCTCGACCAAATAGTGCATACGAGAGCAGCGCCCCAGTTGGCCTATGGTAGACGGAACCAGACCCAATCGCCCCGAAAAAAAAAATCCTCTTGCACGCCCAAGCAAATGCCCATGCATGTCGCACAGCCACCGAGCTGAGAGCCAATTGGCCCCATTCGGCAAGACGCCAGGTGGGTGTGAATTAGGAGATGTGGGCTAAGAGCCCAATGATATCGATCCATGCCTTGGAGGAAAAGAGAAGACTCAAACATAGATTGTCTCCGAATGCAAGCCCACGACCATCCCCAGATCGTTCCTCCCCTTTCCCTAGCGCCGAACACCTTACAATGAAATGAATCGTGAATGAAAATGCAACATGGGAGGGCTTTTTAAATGTACAAAGGGTCGAACGTGCAACGCCGCCCAAGAAGGCTTCGTGCCAATCGGTGTCTAGCGACGAAAGTATGCTCTGTTTCACATGTACCGCCAGAGTCGTAGAAATCGTGAGGGTGAGCTGATATTCTGCATGTCTCTGATCGTTTTGTTGGCCAACTGCAAAATGGGTGCAATGGTGACATTTCTTGGTATCCAAGGAGTCAGTCATGTCATGACGTTAGAAAAAATGGGTGTAGACTTTGGAAGACTCGTGAACCTCCATTTCCTGATAGATAATTAGCTCGGCGTTCTTCCGGGTACAGGGAGTCGTCTTCTCTCACCATTTTGAAGGTATTGAGTTCCTCCTTGATCTGCTGTGCCAGCATTGGCGTCAAACGATTGCAAGTTGCAATGTCTCCGCGACGATCGTATTCTGCACTTGGCCAAGTGTCGTGAAACTGGATTCTCGGACTGAAAGAAATGTTTCTGATCAGACCCTGGGGCGTCATTGGTGCATTCCTGGAGTCTATGCTGGCATATCGGGTCATTGAAGAGAAATAGTCGTCGTGATCGCTGCCTTCGATTGTAATAGAGTCGGTTCGACGATGCCCCGATCGAGGAGTCTCATCGCCAGGCGTGCTTGGTGCACTGGATTTGGGTGAGTCGTTAACGTGGGGGATATGTGGTAGGTTGAAGTCCGGCACTTTAAAGTCATATGCTCGGAGGTTTGGCGACGGTTGATTCGAGTCTGATCGCTTGAGGATGCCTTTCTTCACAGCAGCGAGAACCTCTGCTCGCTCCCTTTCTCCACCAACAATGCTTCGACGGGAACGCGTATCGCTTGACACTGTTCCGCTATCGAATGACAGTTTGGTCTCGATGGAATTCCGCTCAAGTTTAGGAAATCCAGTCCCACCTCCGACCTGGTCATGAGGGCTGGGGTTGACATTCACCTTTTCTCGTTCTGCTTCGACCGTAACCATGGAGACTTGAGCTACTGTGGCTTGGTTGACCGGGCCATCGGCAGCAGGTACTCCCACCACGGACTTGGGGCGGAACAATCCCACAAGAGACCGAGTGCCTTTCTTGACGCCTTTGCCCATTTTACGGAGCATCACAGAAGCGGAAGATGCGGTGGAAGAGATGGACAGGTTGTCAGTTGAGCCGGTAAAGAAATTACCCTGACCGGAGTATATGCTCTCGCCCAGCCCTGCCGCTTCTTGCTTTTGAGCAATCCTTGCCTGTTCTGGATCCAGCTCTTCCTCATACTTGGAGGTCCTCTTCGATGAGATGGCAGCCTTGCTGGCGATGCTCTTCTCATGGTTGTTCTGGGTTGTAGCTTGTCTGAGCTCTGCAGTACTGCCAAACGAGAAGGCCCTCCGCAATTTCGATTTCGGCTTCTTTGCTTCTTTTTGGTTTAGGGCAGCAAGGTGTTCCGCAGCTGGACTGCTTGCAGCTAGATTCCCCGAGCGCCGATGGGCTAAAGTTGGTGCAGCACGACCCATGGACATGGGTTCTGAACTTTCGGCCTGGAATTCAACTGGACGGGACAGAGGTGACCGCTGGCGAATGCTAGAGTCTCCCGGTCGTGTAATTCCCGCTGGTCGCGCGTCTGGTCGGGCCGAAGTAGATACACCGGCGCCAGAGACATGTGTGCTGGCCACAGGCTGTTCGGCCCGGGCTGAACCAGGGCGTGATGACTGAGTCGACTTTGACGAGGCAACGCTATCAGAGCTTCCTGTGTGGTTATGGTGGGATGGAGCTTGTGATTTTGCCGGCCCATTCTGACTCTGGCTAGGGAGGAACGCGTTTGGATGTGGAGACATCGTTTGCTGGGTGTCAACTGAATGGTTGAGACCGGCGGTTTCAATGCTGCCGAAACTCCGTCTACGATACCTTGCAGCGAGTTCGGTGCTCTGAGGTCGACCTAATTGAAGATCATCGGCACTGGAGTTCCTCGACGCACCAGTGTTGCCGTATTGAGAGCTTCGGTAAGAGTGTTGGGAATTCAAGGACGGAGTACTGTTCGACTGAGACGGGTGGTTGTAGAGCGAGCCAACAGCGGCCATGCCAGACCCTGAAGGCCAGGCAGAGCCAGTAGATGTCCTAGTGGAACCATTCTCTCCTTCGACACGCCGCGTGTTCCTTCTATACCGATCTGGTGAGGGCTTGGGCACTCCCGAGGCTGCAGGGGGACTAGGCAATGGTGGTCCCAGCAATGAGCCGGTGGACGGGATCTGAGGAAGACCTAAAGACAGAGGTCGGCTGCCAGGATCGACGTTTGTATGACCAGTAGAGGTCGTTGAATGATCGTGGGAAGAGGATCCAGATTGTGTTTGAGGAACTCTAGGAGCAGACATCGATCGGCCGGAACTGACGTTGGGCGGGCGAGAATTGCCGCTGGAGCTGGCCAACTGCGGTGTGGACGTAAACGCGTAAGGAGCCACCGGTCCACTGGCGGGCATGCCTCTGTAACCGGTCGCTGACATGTTATTGTAGCGGCTCGGCTGCTGGCTCCTGATCTGGCCTTGATGGCTCTGGGAGGGATATCCTCCTGAAGATGAGGGACGACCGACCATTGTGACTGTTGTAGTGTGAGCTGGCAAAGTTTGTACTAAAGCAGCCATCTTTTCCTTCGAGTTGTGGTTCGGAACAGTGAACTGGCGGATGCCAGTCTATGTCTCAACAAATCGTACCGCAGTTTCGGGGCCGGATAAGGAGACGGGTTCGATGAGCACCGAACTGCATTTACAATCAGCACGGTTCTCAAGTTATACAGCTCACACACGAAGGTAAAGACCACGTGTGGCTATACATGGATGGCAGTAGACAAACCTTTTGCCCGGAGATATTTCAAAAGGGGGATTGACACCTCAACATAGATGCGTGGCCGGGAGGGAAAATGATTAGACAGAAGACTTTGTGCAAGAAGCCGGCTTGAATGTCGACAGCGAGTAGAAACGAAGGTCGATTAAGTTAAGGGAATAAAGTCGTAAGAGCAAGAAGCGAAGGGTCGAAAGCAACTTCTGTCTTCTCTCTAACCAGGAGAGCTCCGGGGAACAGAAGCTCACGAAACGAGTGTGACGGTCAGGGCGCGTCTAGAGGAGAAAGCACCGGTGACTGAGGAATAGAGGAGGGGAGAAGAAGGCAGAAGAAGACAATCAATTCAACAAGAACAATGAAGAAAATGGAGTTGAATTGATGGATAGAAGGGGGACGGGAAGATGGAATTGAGGATGAGCAATGGTAAGGTAGTTTGGTGGTAGCTGGTAAGAAGGAGTGGTGGAAGGAAGATTGGAAGGCAACCGCAGTCTGGCTGGAGTCGCCTGCGGATAAGCCCGGGCTAAGGAGCCCCTCGATTTCTAGTACTAGCTGTATTGACTGCCAGTGCAGTGCTGGGTGCGGTGGAAGCGCGTTCACAACTTAGACGGGCTCCCTAGGCTCCTACTACTAGGCCTGAGCAGCCTGCGTGGCCTCTAAAAGCGCGCTCCCACCCTCGCTGTGAAGGCTAGTCTTGCATATGACTTGCCCGGCAGCTCCCTAGGAATGTACCTGACACGATACTTCCTATCACTAAGGTACCTACTGTGAAGTAGTTGTAGCACGTTTGTTTCGATACTACTGCTGTACAGTGTGATTTCTCTAATCTGCAGCCTGCATTTCACCACGGTGCACACCCACACCCATGCCCACACCCTCCCTTCCTGCATCCAATGACCATCACGGCCCTGATACGAACTGCTCAGTGATTTGCATGAGACAGACTTGTCAGTTATTAGCTACAGCAGCCGAAGAACCAGCACAAGGGGGACGCAGGGCGATACGCAAGTATTTCTTCAAGACAGTCTCTACCCGCAATTCACAAGTCGATCACGCTACAAAGACTGGATCTTCCACCAAAGAGATAGCTAACATGTTCTTTCATAACAGCTGGAAGCATTATTGCTTCTACCAGGTTGGAGAGGCCCATCACTTGTCACAATCCACACCGTTCACGCCAAAACCTCCGAGACCACTTGGACTGACGGCTAACTGACGCGGGCTGTCACAGACACCACACTGCACCGCCTCCTCCTGAACCCCAGATGGTATCCGAGCGCAGTCTGACCGATGTTGACTCGAAAGAGATGATTGGCCTTGTTTTCCTATAACCAGGCTCGCCCCGAAATTCATTGATGATCCATGACAAGAAACCTTCAAATATCTGGGAAAACAGGCGGGTATGGCAAGCAGCAGGGACAAGGGGTCGTCCTCTTTAATGCATGCATTCCTCACTCATCCAAGTAATAAATGCACCATCGACGCCAATGTTCGAGTGGGATCTCAGAGAGTCAGGGCTAGACAGACGCCTAAGGCCCCGCAGCCTACGCCGCCTAACACCTACCTCTGTACAGCTACTGCATGCCTATCGACCGCCGTCTTTCGCCGCCTCATGCTTCAAATTGGTATCTGAGTCGGCACAGCATGAAAAGCCCTCTAGGATCAGTCGTGGAATCTGAACTCAAATCAAATCAATTATGTGCCCCTCCTCGACATCGATCGCTTGCCAGGGCCCGTCTGCACCAGACCGGCTGTGTATACGATGCAATCAGGCACAAGCAGTTCCTTGTCCCCAGTCATCTCTGTACCCTTTGCACCTCGCACGGCCCCGAAAGATGGATCTTTTGGTCCAAGCTTCACTCGGTTCCACCGCGTTGTTGCGTCACTCTGTGGGCATGGTTAGCGCGCGTCGTCCGGGTCTTGTCCCTTCTCCTTGCGCTTTTAGGGGAGTGAACTAGTCTCGCAAAAGAAAGATCGAGAAAGGGAACACTTGCGAGAAGGGAGAGAAACCCCCTCGGTCTTTGTGGATCTATGTTACTCCCTGCTCTTCCACGGCTTCAAGATCCTATCTTTTTTGTTTATGCTTGGTGGGTCGAGAAGTCCTTCTCGACGCGCTCTGCAACATTCCAGAGCCAAACATTCCTGTCACTAGGCTGCTTGCGACAAGAACTGGAGGCCTGGCCATTGGTTCTTCCACTCCCACAATATAGCGTGGAATCGAGCAGGGAGAGAGAAGATTGTTCCGTTTGATAATAGGATATCCCATCCATTCATGTCGCTCGTTCGAGATCAGCCACACAAAATTCATATGCACATCGAGCTCCTACACCACTTTCTTGTCTCACATGCAACACACCGGCAACATATTGCAAGTCGCCTGCATAACAGCCGCAAGCTTCCTGCGCATGTTTCGACGTGTCTAGGAGTGGCAAGCGGGCCGTGAAAATCCGCGGAAGAAAACATTTATACGACGGCCTTATTGACGGGTTTTATGGACGCGCCTGGAATCTCCGCTCGACTCAACCTGCCGCCCTTATTTGTTCCCAAGGTAGCATGCTCCGCCACAGGCACCGCAGGGCACACTACCTCTGTACTCTAGCTGCACGCTTGATCTGCTCGGCGGTCGAGTAACGGTCAACCTAGGTACTGTGGTATAACTCGATGAGTGTTCGGTATCGACGTAAAATTAACCAACCCGACCCGATGCAGATATAAGGACGAATCACGGTCTTATTCACCCTTCAGGCACGGATGATCTGTGGCCACACATCCTGTCCATTTCGTTTCCCATCCGCGAGACAGGGCAACATGTCCGAGAGGGAACACTTCGGGCGATTTTGGTGACCATGCTCCTTGCTCCCGGGCTAACGAGTGCCCAACCAAGGCGAACGACTAGATGGATGCACTCCGATCTCCGTGTTCTGGCTGCATTGCTGCTGCTGCTGTCCGACCTCTGGGCCGATGGTTTTCGACTGCGGGGAGAATTTGTTGGGATGCTGGACTTGTGAGTGCTTCATGTGAATGGTTCCAATGTCCAGCCTACAGCTACATACAAAGTAGGCCACTCATCTGCCTAGAGAACCGGTCTCTTCCTGAACCCAATCGTCTCTAGCTTCATCGCTGGGGTGGTCCACCGACTATCAGGGTTTATATGTCTCCGGCAAAGTTCGGAAGTTCGCTCCATGGATGTGTGAATGGCGGAAGCAGAAGGACATGGTCCACGGACACGGCAAGTGCATTTTTTCTTTGTTGCATCACTATTCTACCCCAGCTTTTACTCGGGCTATCCTTCCGGGGCTATAGACTGTTGGCCCCTGCTCGTTTCTTGCAGCAGAAGCCATGGGAAGACTGCGGCCACGCCCAGTGGTCTATCAACGACTGCATCTCTTCCCCTTCTTATCCGCTATGCACAGTCCCAAAAGCACCTAGTCAATATGCACTGTCGACGATACAACCAGAGACTCAGTCATCTGGTTCAGAAGAGGTACCTGGAAAGCCCAATGACTTCCGGTCTTTAATCTATGAATACAAATTGTCCCCGGCTTGAGATTTGATCTCTGTCACCCCGCACTGCTGCTTACAGGCCACCACAGCTCCTGTCTCTTCGTCATCACTCTTCATGCTTCAGTACGGGAAACCCTATGGCTTGTGATACAACTGGCCACGTTTTCGATCATGCGCTGCAACCATTGTTCGCCAAGGGCCGCTATTCTCATCACGAGCGCAGATGCAGAATTTCGGATGTCTCTCGATCTGGGGCGGTCAGATCTCGCGCTATACATCAAGGGTTCTCCCTGCAGCAAAGGATCAAAGTATCCCACTGTTCAAGAACTTTATTACAATTGGTGCTACATTAACATTCACTGGCCATTCATGTTTTGGTCCAATTCATGGAAGTCGCATGATCGGGACCACAAGATTGCCCCATTTCTCAGACCGTCCAGAAATCGCAGGGATCAAGGGTTCCTAGAAAACATTCCAAGATTCCGACATTAGAGCAATATCGCTTCTGGTCTTCTTTGGATTGACCTGCAGGAACAAGAAGCGGGGAGCTTCCACCAATGACACGGTATCCCCTACGGCAGGCCTAAGGTAAGGAGACCTCTGATCTGAGCCAGTTGAACTTTTGGTGGTGATCCGGCACAAGAATTCAAGACATTTCCATAGGTGAGGACATAGAGCCACCTCGCTAGCATCATGGACGACTAGATGCTCTGACATTCGACAAGCAAGTTCGTACCTGGCCGGGCAGTGCTTGTTGCATGCTTCTCGGATCGCGATCGCGATTCTCGGGAAGCTTGTCCAGCTGGATCTGCTCTTACCAGGAGGTTGGGTCCTGGTTGGTGCATTTCTCGGTTGACCCGACAAGGCATACAGCACCTGTCTGGCGGGTCTCGCCGTGTAATGTGAGATCTCATAGAGTCGGGTGCATGACACCGCAGTTTTGCTCCTTCGGGTGTCCAAGTCTGGTTGTGCGACTTGAGATCCGTGTCCACCTGTTCGCTGACAAGCGGTCAGTCAGTCTTGATCCCGTGCTGCAACAGCACAAGGTTGATATCACAGCCAAAGGAAGAGAGTCTTTGACGTAAAAGCTCATTCTGGGCTGCCGAGACAGGGCAGGGCAGATCCAGCCTCGCTATATTCCACTATGGTGATAATTGGCACCATGCTGGGTGAAAACCTCTGCTGTGGACGAACGATATCTACCACATACCTAGTCGGTGAAGGTGAATTGGATGTGAATTGAATGTGCCAGTCTCCCCTAAGGTTGGCGTTCTGCCGGTGGCTGCCTGCCTAACCTAGCATGTAAAGTCCGTACTACTAATAATGATCAACGGATTAGCGGCTCTAAGCCCTCTAACTTATTTATTAAGGGCAGTATTGCCGAGTGCAAAAGTTGGGGTTGGCCGCTTCAGCCTTATCACGGATTGGCTCGTGGGTCCCGCATCTAAGCATTTCTTGGCCAACGGGAGTCTAACTTTAAGCTCGTCGCGCGCCAGACCGTTTCGGGACTATATCGCGAGGTTCCTTTCAAGGTGTGCGATAAGGAGGCTGTGTTTGATTAGGTCAGTTCTCGCGCTTCTAACCCGGTATGGACGAGGGGATACTCTGTTGATGACATCGCTGATCATCTCTGAAAAATGCCTAAAGAGTGTATATAAGGTGAGACCGCTTCACCAGACTGGGAGGATACGTTGGCAACCTGAGATTACGTCCCTAAAATACAATCCTACAATCCTACAATCCATCATTTCATCTAGCTGGTTCAGCTTCTACCAGAAACAACCCTCAGTTCCCTCTCTGCTTGCAAGTGATTGACTGCTCGTCGCTCAGACTCGGCCTTATCACCTGTACTCTTCATATCAGTCTATCATCATGCCCATTCTCCAGAAAGTCGTCAAAGGCATCGGCTCCGGCATCGGTCTAGCCTCTGAAGCCATCGCCGACCACAAGGACCGGAAAGCAACCCAAACCCAAGCAGTCTCCCCTCGTCCGTCGGGTGGTGAGGGCTCAGCATCGACGTCTCGCACAGCAGCACGACATGACGTGTACCCCGAGGAGAAACGGGGCAGAAAGGGGGAGAGAGAGAGAGGCCTTGACGGGAAGCACGATTCGGATTCAGATTCCTCGAGTGTCAGCACCTCTGATCTCGACAACGACCGGGCAGAATGGGCCCTGGACGAAGCGGCGCAGCAATTCGAGCAGCCTCCCCCGTCATACAGAGAAACAGAAGCATCATCATCATCTCCCAACGGCCCAGCGTCCGCCGAAGAGTTCGCGACTGCCTTTCTCCGCACGCACAAAGTCGCGACCGCGACGGTCGCGTCCAAGACATACCAACCTCTTCCATGCCCCGTGATCCTCCCGCAGCGGCGGCCGAAGGACAAATCGCGCGGGTTCGTGCGAGCGTACGCGCCACTCCTCGGCTCCTGCGCCGACATCGACCAGCAGACGTTCATCGACTTCCTGAACGATCTCGACCGAGCATCCCGCGCGAGTCCCGTGTTCAACGTGATCAACGTGGCGTGTTTCGCGGTCGGGTTCGTCCCGAGCCCGATCGCCATGGGCGTCTCCATCGCCGTGCAAGCGGCCAGCCGCACCGCGCAGGAAGTGCAGACGCGGTACCGGCGAAACACGTATCTCGACCAGATCAACGAGACGCTCTTCAAGCCGCGCGGCCTGTACTGCATGATCATGACCTTCAAGCCGGACAGTCCCTACGAGCCGGTCATCGGCATGGACGTGCGCTCCACCTCCACCGATGCAGCCCTAGCCAAAGCCACGTCGAACCCGGACTCGGAACTGCGCCAGAAACTGAAATCCATGCGTCTCACGTCCGGCACGAGTAAAGGCGAGATGTCTCTCCCGGAATCCGCCCCGCTGGTCTATCCCGCACTAGACGCCGCCCTGTCAGAAGGGACGGAGCTGTCCGAACCCAAACAAACCGGTCTCCGCGCCTCCGCAGGCTTCGTGGCCAACTATCTCGACCGCCGCGCCCAGGCTTCCCACGCGGGCATGTACCCGGACGGCAAACTCGCTGCGGCAGCGCCGGGCGAAAAGAAATTCGCCTCTCGCTTCTCCGACCCAAACCACCCGGCCAACTCCGGCACCATCCTCGGTCTCTTGAGCGGCGGCAACTTCGACCCTCAAGCCAAACGACGCGCCCACAAAGCCCAGCGCCGCGCACACCGCAGAGGCTACGAGTTGAGCGAGACGGATCTCAAGAACGCAGAGATGGGTAGGCTGCCGCGCCGCCGGCAGGGCGTGGTGCGTCGCGTCTTGCAGCAGGATGTGCTGTACTTGACCATCGTCAATTTGCCGAGTGAGAGCGAGATGAGGGAGATGTTGCAGGAGTTGGAACGGGCTAGGAAATAGGATATGAGTGCTTGACATCCTTAGGGTCTGATGGATCTGGAGGATATGATGGTATGTACTATGGTCGGGATTTGTTTCTGGGCCGGCGGTTATTCTTGCAAGAGCAATTCATATGATGACGATACGAATAAGAAAGCGGATATGGGTTTATATCTGGTCGTGTATAAACAGATCATCGGTTATGGGTTCGCTGTCTCAACGATACTGGAAGGGGCCAGTCCCTACCTAATGATATTGATGGTAATTGTCATGTTATTCTCAAGTAAGAGTTGCATCGACCGGAGTACGTACTGTACAGCTCATAAATCTTGTATCGTTTTGTATGTTTTCACTGATCGTGACTGGAGGTGGATGTTCGAACAATTCCCAAGGTTGAACTTGAACATATAGCATCCTCTCTCCTGTCGTCGCGGATGCTCTACACCTAGCGTGTGCGACATCATGACACTGGTCACAATGTCAATTCGTTCTTCACTTTACTTCACTTCTAAGAGTTGACACTATCTTGCATTGCTAGACTGATCAGTCCCCCACAATATCGCCTATTGATAGGTCTCGATGCTAAATAGGGAAGTGGATCCCAGATTATATATATCCGCCGCAGCCTTGCCCCTTTTTCCCTGAGGTACTACAGTACTACAGTGAGCTGCTAGTCATTATGAGCGTAGGTAGAATTCACCAAGATGTGTCAAGTACATTTCATTGCAGGGAGGTATGCTGCTGAGAATGCCATTCAAACGTCGGCCTCGAGCACCAGCTACAAGTACATCAGCGGCGCCGTTTGTTGTTCTTCGTCTTTCGGTGTTCACATCATTTCTGCATGGCTCCCGTCTGCCCATCGATCCAAGCTCGCTTCTCTCGTCCCTGTCCTTCTGCCCAAATATGTTGGTCACATCCGTTTTCTGGATCATGTTTCAATTCCCGGTCTCGAATCTGCCGGCTAGCTTGTTTGTCCGAACGATCAATGTTCTTCGGAGCCAGAGATTCTAGCCAATTCTCCTTCCAATAAGTCGGATGTTGAGATTCGCAATCTAAGATCACAGCGGCATGCTAGTGTCGCCGACCGTATTGACCAATTTGAAGTCACCAGAACAATCGTATGACCCTTCCTGATACAGGGGATTGTCACCATATTCATTGGCGCCTTTTCCCCCACGCCCAGAGCGAGGGATCGTGATGGAGAAGGTCATGTCATCGTGGTCTTGCTTTAATATGACTTCATAATCCACGTAGTAGTACCTCTCGCCTGTCCGGTCGTTGAACTCGATAGGGAACTCCTGAATGTCATCCCAGGAGAATCGGAACAAGAGCGGATTCGGCATCTCATGAATCTCCGAGCCAGGTTCGTCCAGCCAGAGCAAGTCGTCGCTGACGCTGTCAGAATAGAAGAGACGCTCTTCGATTTGGCAGCCGTCGTGCGGAGTCACATCGTCTTCCAGTAGTCCGCGCCATCCGCGACAGCGAACCTCGTGCTTGGTTGGCAGGGATTCTCCGATGCGATTGAAGAAGCGCGACACAAAGACGCGGACGATGCCATCCTGCTCGCTTCGCTGGCGGCTTGTCGCAGGGTACGATCGCAATTTTGAAGGGGGATCCCCGCGCCCGACGCAATATGCGCGCCGGACCACTCTTTCAGTTACCAGGTCTTTGTTCGCAAGAAGCAACAGGGACCCTAGGGCCACCGTGTTCTCACATCGCTCACTGCTGGGCAGCATCACCGAGAAGTCGTCCGCAGCGAAGGCGCTCCGTGTCTCGTTGCGCACATAGACGTCATTGCTTCCCCCGCCTGCCATCAAGAGTTCATCGGGTCCACGCCGCATCGGATACCGGCGTCTGTTTCTCTGAATCGTCTTTACCGATCCACTGATGATTTCCGTGATGGTCGCAATCTGCTTCTAGTGTGCCTCTCGAATCTGGTCCGCAGTAACTATCACGATACCACTTTTGGGCATACCTTTCTCCGCAATTTCGGGAACGCCAGGGATATGAAGCATGTACGATTCATCTTCTCCCCGGTTGCCATTGCCACGAAAATCTCGCTTCGCCGCTTCGAAGCAGGTTTCGAGAGCGTCGCCAAACGTCTCCCAGGTCATGGTACGGTCAACCTTGCGTAGTGATTCGAGCACGACTGCTCTACAATCACTGAGCTCGTCGAGAAATAGCTCCCTAAATCTCACGTTCACGGTTCTTCCCCGGCACCACCTGGTTTGTGGAGCAACAAGTTGTTTAACCCAAAATGGGTGAATGCTGACGACCCACCAGGCTTCGAAGTCAGCAGAACCCGCGCCGACGTCTATGATCATTATGATCTTTCCCTCCGCCGACTCCGGGGCGCTGCGGGAAAGGTGATATACCAATGCTGCTGCGGGCTCACCGCAGATGTATGGATTCGGAAGGCCGGCCTCTATAGCAGCCCGTGTGATGAGGGCGACGTGCTCCGGTGCGGTAGCGACCGGTAGAGGTAAAGAGACCTGAATGACTTGCTCGGGATTCCAATCTTTATAGTCGTCGGGATTTCCAAAGACTGGCCAGCGGAGGTCTGCATGGGCTTTGGCGATGAAGCCGAGCGTATATCGAAAAGCGTAGGCTAGCAAGTCCAGGATCAGATCCTTAACTTCGAACAGGGGACCAGCGTCCAGGCCCTGAGAGTCCCGACGACGTGCAAGGAGGCTGTGCAAGGTCCGAGATCTGCCGCCTTGTGTTCTGCTTGTTGCCAATATTTGCGCCAAAGAAGATAGGCGTGTAATGCCGAATTCTGTCACTTCCTTGGATTTGTCCCAACGCCACCGAGCGTTCAAGATCCCGGCCGAACTTTGGACGGAGCACCGCAGGACGTACACCTGCATCCAGTATGTAGCCTACTTCTGTGGGCATTGTAGTTTTGTTGTTGGACCAAGTAATTGTCTCACAACGTGCCCAAGCGCCGGACAATGTAGTACCTGAGTCCATATCCGATGCATAGGGGAGGAAGACACCATCCTTTAAGAATTCGCAACCCAGGTCAAAGGACATGAGCACTTCTCTGGGAGATGCTCTCTGGACTCGGGCTCCAGTCCCGAGGCTTCGAGTGCCCAGGGAGGGGGACGCCATCTCTTGGCTTGAACTGAGGGGAGTGGAGGAGGATGTGGACGTGGGCGTGGGCGTGGGCGTGGGCGTGGGCGTGGGCGTGGGCGTCCTTTGCCGCCTGCCAGTTGTACGACGTCGCTTGGTCGGCCGGCAGTTGAGCATCAGCTCTTTACATCTGTTGCAGGGACCGCGGTGTGTACTTTGATTGGAAATGGAACATCGTGTCTAAGGTACGTACGTTAGCTTCGGCCACATCTGAGATGGAGAATAAGACGAACGTGAGCTGCTCTACATTGCTCACAGGGTGACATGGTGGAAGATCGAAGATGACACAAGAAGACCCAGGTGTTATGAGGATAATCAACGAAGCTGGAGTGGTAAGGAGCTGATCCGAGAGTGAGGGTCTTAATGGTGAGATATAGAAAGACAGGTCAAACCTAGCCTGTACCGGCTGGTAGACGGTTTCCAGGTCAAGCTGTTCGACATCTTCCTCAGTCTTCGCGCCACGCCATCGCCGTTGCCGCTTGGGGAAAAGACCACGGCGAGAGACCGGGCCGACCGCATCGCCACGTGGCAGACCAAGGCAGCCCAGGCCTTTGAGCAGGTTCTCGATTTGAGACTGATGATGGAGCAGAGCGTGTGTCCGTACAGCTTCCGCTGGGCAGAACTGGAAGACAAGTTCGACAAGTCGTGGATGGCGTCGGCGCATGAAGACTACCAGCCACCCGATCAAGGTACCCCGGTCTTGGTCAGCCTGCGTCCAGCCATCTACAACTGTTCGAGGAGGAAGAGGGCCGAGCCCTCGCTCATCATCCCGGCGTTGGTCATGCTGGAGGGATTCGGTGCTTCTGATCGTTGCAAAGTCGACTCGGGCGCCATCCGCGCGATCCCACGGTCGTGACGAGAGGACATCGACCAAAAGACAAGCAGCCAGAATGTGGTTTTCGATTGACAGCACTCAGCTGACAGAATGGAGAGAAAATCTACACACAGTGATCGGGACAGGGTCTAAGAGGAAGACAAGCATTGTGTCCTGTCAACATGTGGCCCCGGCTGGACCGGCGATTCTGATGTGACGAGACGAGTCCTTTCATACCATTGCACGAGGACTCATATGGATAGCTAGCTACGTCGAAAGACCTTATCACTGACATTTCAATTTCTGTCCTTCGTCCAATTTCACTTTTCGGTCATGCGGTCTGTGCGATATCGTATCTGGTCCAGTCCAGCCCGCACTGTGATCAACAGCCCAACCCTGTAACGAGGTAAGGCAGGTCAGACCTATCGCCCGCCCATGAACTCCGCCTTGTAGGCTTGAATACCTCCTCGGGACAACTCCCGCAGCGCCATAGTCGCGTACTGACTCGAGCCGAGCTGAAACTTGAGCACGGCGGCAAGCTTCGGTTCTGCATTGCCAGTACTGTTCGTGTCGCCGGCCATTGCATCTTGCTCGCCGCTCGGCTTCTCCTTTTCGTGGTGTTTGGCTTTGATCCTCTCCATATCTGTTTCGGCAAACTGCTTATTGTCGTCCGTGTACTCGTGAAGCTGGAAGTCATAGTCCGCTCCGATCCGCGCCAGCATCTTCCGATATCCGCCGCTCAGACTGAAATCTCTCTGCTTGCGGCGCATGTCGTTCGGGTCAAGTCCTCCACCGATTTCCCCGGCCATGAATGTCTTGTACCATTCGCCACTCGCGTTAGCCGGGTAGATGACATCGAAACCGGGGAGTGGCAGCACGATGTCGAAGATGGAATACTGCCCGCTTGCCGCCTCTTCAGAGGTCAGAGCCCTAGCTCGATCGTAAACGTCGTCCGGGTCGTAGGCTCGATCTTCCACCGAAGGTTGGATCACAACTTCGCCATCAGCGTCCACAGTAGGAACCACTTCGTCACGACTCTCCTTTCCCTTGTGCTCGCGAACTAGGACCAGGTCACCCTCGACAACATTATTTGCGAACAACCTCCAGCGTTCGCCGACAGCCAAATTCCACACCAGCGATTGGTAGGCGTGCACGTACATCAGCCTCAGGTTGCGCTGTATAGACAGCAATGCACCGAGAAAGTCTTGAGGTTGTCTTCCCAGATGCCGTATCAGCGCCGTCTCGGCAGAAAACTTGCGTGGGATCTTGTCCAGAGAGTCGTTGACTCGGCCTGTTGTCCGCCAGACGTTGATTCCTTCAGCACGCGCTTTATCATCTTGGCCAACCAAGGCACCAGAGCCCGGTGCTTCCGAAGCCTCCAGGGCAACCGGGGAAAACTCGAGAATCGCATCACACGCAGCCTTGAAATCTCCCTGCAGTATTTTCAAGCCCACGACATCCGTCCGAATCGCGAACGTGCCGAATCGTTGGAGACCATAATAATTCAGAAACCCTTTATCCCGAAGTTGTTGCATAGAATGGGATAGATATGTTCGGGCTGCTGAGAGCTTGTCAGACGTGGTTGTGTGAGCGGCACTATTGATGACACAGTCTCTGAGTGTTACCACAAACTCGTTCCCACTCAGGTCGCCAAGTTCCAGGCCATGCTTCTGGTACTCATAGTCCCCGACCGCCGAGTAACGCAAGACTCGATTGAGCCCGGCCAGCCGGTAGGCCTCGACGCGGTAGGCACTAACTCGTTGAACTGTCACTGCTCGTCGGTCCTTGGTGCCGGCAAATTGAAATGTCTTGTTCGTCGTCTTGAGCTGTTTCGTGATGAATGATATCGCTTCCAGCGTGTCCTTGTTTTCCTTGTAGAGTGTGAAGTGAAGATAGTCGCCGCCACGGTCCATCCAGCTGAGCGCTCCAGGTCGAGCCCTGCCAGCCGGTCTTGGCCCACCTCGACTACGATCATTCGAAGTTGCCGCGCGGAGAACCAACACTCCGTCCTTGTCGGTGGAAGAATCGATCTTGTTGTGGAAGATTCGGCGGATGTCTTGGTGGATCTGCGACCTAACAGTCCGATCTGCGGTGAATGGTGTCCGAACTGTAGGATGGTCGCGAGGCTTCTTTGCTGGAGTCCGCACAATGGAGCCGTAGAGACCCATGAGCTGCTCAACAGCTTCTTCGCTGAAGTAGTCTACCAATTTTGCTCGGTCGGTGTTAGATACCGCTAGACTTTGAGCTCCCTCCTTATTTTCAGAAGGTCCATCCGAAGTCGCTAATTTGGGCTGCTCAATTGCAGAAACTTCCGGTGCGGCTTCATTCTCGGCGACCTCAGCGCGAGGCGTTTCGCGGGCTTGCTCGTTCTGAACTTGGTCATCGCGTCCAGCTGATTCGACACCGCCACCGTTCGCAGCCGGATCAGCCCGTTCTTTGACATTCATGTTCTGCAAATGCAAGACACGGCCATCCGGGAGGATCTCATTGACCAGGAAATCGGTGTATCTCTTTTTGAGGATGCCCTGAAACTTATCGCGAGCATCGTCGACAAAAGCCGTGATACCTACCTCGAGTTCTTTGGAGCTATCGTCGCCTGGCAGATTGAGGGGCGTCATCTTGCCCTTAGGCTCAGAGCCGTTCTGGTTTGGGCCCATGTCCGAGGGCCGGTCGTCAGCACTTCCGTCTACTTGGGCACTTTCCAGCTTGACTCTTTTCAGCGGACGTGTATCGGAGGAAGGGTCGTCCATGATATCTCCGCAGTCGTGATTAAACGTGGAGAAGACCTGTTTAAAGGCGAAAATCGGAGTGTGGCTTTGATATCAAAGGCAGCGACATCATGATGGAAAACTTCAAGTTCAAGTTGAACTCGATATATGCCAAGCCTTGATCGAGCTATGGACGGTTTCGGTCTAGCGTCACCCCTATTTTCCACGGCCTTGTCAGTAACGCGCAGCTGTCTATGAGTAGATCATACTATTGGTGTGAATACCGACTGTTAATACTTGTACAAAGAGGAAACGGCGCCATCCAATCCGCTTCTTGAGACTAGAGGTCACCGTCTCCGTAAAAACTTGACTGGTTATCGAATTGTCCGCCCAGCAGAGATGTACCGCTCACTACGCCGTGGGTTTGATGATCTGATCCACGGGCATAACCTAGCCATCTCGGGCTCTGTAGCTTTTGGTGACCTTGTCGACTTTGGTAACAACTGTCCACGGCCGTTCGAACCCCATAAATTCTTCCTCCACGAGAGCGCGGGTCTCCTCCCAGTCCACTCCAAAGGCACCGCTGTTGAACTTGCAGCACCAAATTTCACCTGGTTTATCGTCATCCGATTGCCAATTCGTATCCTCGTTGAAATTTGACGGTCCAAACTCCTCCAACATGATCCTGAGATGCTCCAAGGCGCTCATTGTGCGGCGCAGGATCCGCGGCTGGGAGTCTTTGCCTGGATTGCTGCTCGCCGTATTCGGTTTCCCGTAGCCGACACCTGTGAACAAACAGGCAATCCAGTGGCGCTTCTCGAAGACGATGGCGGAAGGTTGTTTAACTGCGCCTAATTTCGGTACTGTTCCATTGTTTTGTTCCTCCATGAAATCTTCCGGCTGCGGTGGGATTAAGAGAGATGTTCCGACAAGATCCCAAGGCGCGCTGCCATGTTGACAATAAGAACGATAGACTCGGTAGGCGGCAGGGAACTATATCTCTGTTAATCACTGCTGGAGGACTCGGACGCCAGATACATACAGCCTTTTTCAGTTGTGCCGCGATCCCATATCCCCATACGCCCTGGCAATTCACTGCATCTGTTGTTGAGACAGTTAGACCTAAACGTCACGCTGGGTGGGTGTAACCTACGGACAATCACCGCTCGGTCTGGAGCATCAAAGATATCACCCTCGATGGCTTGCACGCTAAAACCAGGTGCCTGTCCTCTGTCAACCACAGTCTTCCTCCTAGCCTTAGAATCACAGCCAGAAGAACGCGAGGATTCTGGGGAGATCCATAGATCATCGTCGTTGTGACTTGGTGGCTGGATGCGATCCTGCGCAACGAGTACCTGTTTCATAGTAAAAGAATCGTCGGATGGGGGTCTAATCTCTTTTGCGGTGTGGAGGAACCTCGCAAGTAGGGCATTGTAAGCCTGGTCAACCAGTTCCTGTTGCAATCTCGCCTCTTCCTTGTTGTCTGGGCCGTTGGGTCCGCTCAAATGCAGTGTTAACTGCAGGTATCTCTCGTCTAGCTCATCAAGAGATGTTTCGTGAGGGAGACCGAGGATCCTGTAGAATCGTGACTGATCGATGACCTTCATGGTGGCACTGGCTCCGCCCTGCGGTCGATGAGGAAAGGTTCGCTGTTTCGCAAGATAAAGTGAAGTAGAACAATTGTATGCGTGCCGCGTGTTGATGAGACGACTTGTAGGAGTCCTGCAGGCAACAGCCAATTGTTTGGTGTGAATATTTGTTCACGCCTTCGACCTTGATGATGTAGGTTTCAAGGAGGAGAGTCAACGAATGTGATGCAGCGATGAGGTAGGATTAGTAGCATCCAGTACCAGAAAGAATACAAAATGCTGGCGGTCAACCAAAAAGATATTACAAAGTAGAAGAGCACACATATGCGTTCCCTATCATGCAAGGTAGTTGTCGCCGCACCCACTATTCCAGAATCACTGCCTTGCTAATTACACAGCTAAACAAATGGGGGCATTGGACTTGACCAAGACGGAGATGAAGATATAGTGGGCAGAGGCCACTTCGAGTCGTGCTTTCCTGTCATTTCCTGAAAAGAGCAAGAATGCTCTGTCTTCTTTTGACCCGCTTCCTACCTGGCCCGCTTGCTTCTGTCGACTTTGTCTCGACTGTTCCTATCGTGTTGAAATACTGATGCGAGGGTGTCGAACCTCTGAAAGACGGAAACCCTGCTTTGACCCTTTCCGTAAGTGCTGGTACGTTCGACTTCTTGCCTCTCTTGCTCCTCTGGCGACTGAGCACTCCTAACAGGCCGTCCCCGTCGGTCGACTGTCTTTCCAACTGCTCAATCTCTTGTAGCGCCGTCATCCCATTTGTAGCCAAGTTCTCCTCAGCGACTGCTTCGAAGCGCACAACTCCTCTTTTAGGCGGTATCTGTAGGGTATCAAGCATGAAATCCTGAATCAGATGAGTGCTTCGTTTGTTCTTCGTTGCTGCTATTTCTGAAGGAAGGGCTGTGATGGTGAGATGATATGCGGGGTCCGAGTTCCCTCCCAGCAGCATCGATATATCTGTCGATGCCATAGCCATGATGCATGACGCCGGGCGTTGATAGATCTCGGAAAGCCGGAAGGACAAATCGATAAGAAATTCTTTCTCGGATTCCACCTACGATGGCAGTTAGCTGGTATTCGCCCAAGGGATGAGCTCTCGTACACAGCAATTCATCTTGATCTCAACAAGTATGACCCAGTCTTTGGCCACTCGGTCTTTAGCAGCATTGGACGGCTCGCGATATGCAAAAGCCTCACTGTAGTATTGACTTTTCTTTTTGGAGAGACGCAACTTCTGCCACGAGCGCTCAAGACTTGCAACATCTGATAAATGCCCCTCTGCAGTTTTAGTGAGAATGCCGAATTGGTTTGAGTGCGTGAGTTCTGGCGGTGTCGACTGGGCCCGCTCCTGACTGATCATCCGCCTGGGCGGAGGTGACATCCTGCCCTTGATGCGAAATAAAGCTTCGGTGTAATCGCCGGTTGGAGGGGTTGGGAAGGCATTCTCGATGGGCGTCGCATTGATGCGGCTGTTGGAAGATGGGGTTGAAGTCATTGGAATGGTAGCAATAACACCGAATCAATACTGTTTGTGTCTCTCGCGTTCGGATCTGGCAAATTGGATACTTGTCATCGAAGGATACCGAAGAGCGGTGCAACAGTTGGGTCGCCAAGTAGTAAGATGCAGATATGGATGGCAGATGTCGAGGTCCAAGGAGGCTCATTAACAATGTACGATCCTGTTTGTGCCAACAGAAATCCAAAAATCCAACAAAGGGGAGAACCCGGGGTCTGGTCACACAGCGCAGACGTACTGGTCTGGGCTGAAGCAAAAATTCACAGATGCATAGCAAGAAAAGTAGAGAAGCAGAGGAGGCGAAGACAGTGCAGTGGCATCCAAGTTCAAGTTGGCGCAGGCAGAGATGCAGGCGTCCGTCGTGCCTGCATCCTGTACACATTCACAGAGCCACATCAACTTTCTGCAGGCACGAAATTGGCAGCAATCCACTCCAACTTGAATAACTACCTCCATCTTTCTTCACCTACGCTCCTCTCGACATATTCTGCAAGAAAAATACACCTCGAGGCTGCCGAAGCGCAAGGTGTGAAGATAGGAGGCATCATGGCAGAGTTGCTGCTTATCACTTGTGAGGGGCGGATCTCGAACCCTGCCTCAAGATTCAGTCCATGAATAAGAGCTGCGCTGACCGGGAAAAAAGTCTGCCTCATGGTGGTCTATATTACTGCAGAGCGAGCAGGTATCAGATCACCAAGCTTCTTACGATCGAGTATTGTCGAGCATTTTGGGAGAGAAAAGATCCGCGTTTCCAGCATTCAGCCATATATTCTCGTTCTCAATTGAGAGGCTCGGCACACCTTCCCTTTGATATCCTTCATTACCTCTATCACTTCGTCAACTTACAAAGTTACTTCCCTTGTTCCTTCACATTGTCTCTTCTTCCCCCTTCAAACATTATCAATATGGCTGAAGCGCTGGGCCGTCCGGTCTCGACAATGACTGACGAGTAAGGAGCAATCCCCTCTGCGCGGTCTGCTCTGGTACGCTCACTCTGGGTGTGCAAGATGCTCGCTCAAGCTCTGGCGGTTGTACAAGTCAGTCCCATCATTAGCCGCTCGGGTTCGTTGCGCCGGGAAACATATGCGTGTTTCAGGAACGAACAAGTGCCCCGGCTCTGGCACGTTCAAGCTCGTCAGTCCATGACTGGTAAGATTTTCTTCTCAGAACCGGGTTTGTGAGTTTGAGCCATACCTTCTTGGACCTGAAGAGCCGACTACCTGCCACGACATTCTGCCTTGAAACACCCCATCCCTGCTATACCATCGGATCCTCGTCCCCGCTTAAACCAGTCCCTGTGAAACGTTGAACATAGGTGAGTGCATCATTTTACGACTGTTGGATGTTGCCACGTTGATCCTTCATGCACTCCTGCCTAGCCGCCGATGTGTGTGACAGCAACACGATGCCGCCCGCTCACTGCAGATATATTTCCCGGCATGTTGTCCCACAGATGTCTGTCTCTTTACTCTCTACTCAATGCTGGGTATCATCTTCCAGCAGTGGCACCAGCGTACTCAGAGGCGACGGTGGTACTTCTCTCCAACACGCAGGCTCGCCGCAGCTTAAAGGAGATGCAGGCCAGCATCATGACGACGATGGCGTCCTCAAGCACGGCTGGAGAGTCACCAGTGTCACTGATGATGGCAATGGATGGAATTCACCTTGGATGGTCCGACTTTCGATCAAGAGTTTTGAGCTCCTTCCGAATCGTGTTTACCGAGGGCCTGCAAGTGACAGATATCCCAGAGCCTTTCCCCGACGAACTGCATTCATTGTTGCGGAATCTGTCACGGTTCTCGGCACAGGAAAGAGACTGGCGCAGTCAAGTTCCAGTGGGACAAGGCTTTGGCTCCACATTGATCTTCCCGCCAAACGTGCTGCCTTTCGTTCATGATAGCCGACTCATGGATCGGTGCTTGGCTCCAAAGTTGAATCGAGAAGCTCTGCCACCACGTGCAGTAAGAGCCCAAGAGAGTTTATTCGAGCTGCCAGCTCCACGCCCGGCCCTCATCAGTGGCTTCAAGACTTCTGCCTTCAATGAGACCGAATTGACAATGCTTCCAAACTGCACCTCGGCTCTGGGGACCATCGTGGACTTCGCATCTGGTACTGTCTCTGCAGGGATCAACATCTACGGTCCCTTTCTTGTTTTCGAGCGGATGTTAGCAACATCCGATGATGAAATACAGTCGGCCAAGAATCGATGCGCAGTTGCCGGCGCTCACTGTATTCGAGCGATGCAGCTTCTCTTTGGTAGGGGCGGCAAGACAGGTCCTGTCCTCGAAACGCCTGTATCCTTCTCCTGCGCCATCAACAATTCGATGGCAGTTATGAACTACCACTATGTCGACGAAACTGGATGCTATTGCATGTGCGAGATAGCAACATTCAACCTTGACAATACGGATACGTTCAAGGAGTTCCAGGGTTGGATCGAAGCAATCGAACGATGGGGATGCGTATATCTTCTCCCGGTCATCAAAGTCAGGCTTCGGCAAATGCTCAGGTCTAATGAGACTCCTCCAATTTCACCCATGCCGTCCCTCACCCTTTCCATCGACACTGCTGCAGGAAACGAAGACGTATTGATGAAGATCCTCCGCGCAACATTCGGCTCCATCAAGTGGAAGTGTGACGGTGATTGCGAGACACCTTTAAACAGCAGTATCGCTCACTGCGGAACTCCTGTTGGAGTCCGCAAGATTAGGACAATGGCTCTATCACCCATTTCTCCGACCCACAAAGGCAGCGGAGACTCGGTGGCAGGTCTACACACCCCATTCCGCACGTGGCGGATGAGACCTGACTGGGGGGTCAGATCTCCAACAGGACGAAAACATTCCGTTTCGCCACTGAGATTGAAATCCAACATTCCCGAGTCTCCCTGTCGTCCTGCCACACTCTCACCCTGCACTCCGCCTCCGGATGCTCCAGTCTCTGCGAGATCCCCAATGCTCGTCCTCCAGAAGCGGGTGGACTTGGCCATGGACGAAATTCAGGAACTCAGAGCTTTGGTTCAAACGTTGCAGACAGATCTCCTGCCCAGAAAACTCCCTTCTGAATTGAACAACGAAAGTCAAGCGTCACCAAAACAGGTTGGTGGCGCCTCCGGCTTTTGGATAGCCTCTCAAGACACCGGCGTTCTACCTAGCAAGATGGTTGCTGTGGCCGTTACAACACTCTTCTTTTGCTCGCGATGGTCATCGTCTGCCCTGCCAATGGGTTCTCTTTTGTGTCTCCTCATAGTCCTGGGCCTTGGATGTAACTCTACCGGGTCAACTGCTTGTATCGATGCAATGTTGTCATTTGCACTCAATGGCATGCATGGCTGGGCAGTGAGGCAAAGTAAGGCCGTGGCTACGTAAAGCATGTTCTTCTTTGTTGGAGTCATTCTGCAGCTATCCATGTGATGCGTATGTGTCCAAGGTATAGGTAGCCTTCAGGAGTCAATCGCTTGAGTGGCAGGCCATTGCCCGGAATCAAATAGGGGTATTGTAAGCAGGCCAGTCTCTTCGTCTCCAGCTCCAAGTATGGGGTCCTTATTATCCTCCCAAAGGGGCGCCAATCCGACCAACGACCCACCCACGTGACTTCGCGGGTCCACTATCCAATTAACGCGATCAACGCGCCGCGACGCGTTCTCTCTCTTCTCGATGCACGAACAAGGCCTACCACTGAGTCTTGATCAACCTGAACCGTAATACTTCGGAAACCACTCCTACCGCGTCATGTCTTCGAAGCCTTTCAAACCACTAACGCTTCGAAAACCTCTCACGAGCGATGATTGCGGCGATGTGATGCACCCACCGATCAAGCGAAGAAAGCTCAGTCCTCCAGACGACTCTCACACTGCGGCCACGTATCGGCAGACTGCGCTTACCAATAAAGACGTACACTCCCACAATAACTCCGAGAGAGCAGCGCTCAGAGACATTCGCAATCTCTCGGATCCCGTTGAGAAGCAGGAGAAGCCGAACTCGGATGGATTTGCGAGTTACTACTCGGTATTATGGTACGAAGGGAGACCTCCAAAGATATTGTCACGTTGGCTAACAGCCATGTTAGGCGTGCTCCCACAAACAAGAAAAATAAGACCTGGACAGATGATGGACAGCTTGCAGTCGCCGGTGGTTATGCAACGCTATACAACAAGTCAGGGAAGATCATAGGCCGCACCGCATTCTCCGCTCCCTTGTTGCCCGGTTCGGCTTTGTCCATTGGCGGTAAGGAGGTTGAGGTCGACTCGTGCATCACCAAGAATGACCATGTTTCGATCATCAAACCTGCTCCCGCTGCCACCAAAGTTGTGGACAGTTCGATCTCCAAACCTCTATTCACAGCACCCTTGATGTCTCAGCCACGTAAGCAGAGCATGAAGGCACAGATGAGGGCGCTGATTCAGAATGAGAAGACGGAGAGCCAAAAGAATGGCAATCCACAACCTAGCCGTGTTGCTGCGTTTCGGCAACCACTGAAAGAGTCCACCATCCTCCCGCAGGGGCCCTCTGAAACTCCTATTCCGCGCCACGATCCCAAGGCGAATGGCGCGCTTGTCTTCAAGAGGCCGAAGAATCCACCTCAAGGGCGCCAGACTGTCGATGTTGTATTAGATCCGCTAATTGGCAGGCTTCTACGTCCGCATCAGAGAGAAGGGGTCAAGTTCCTCTACGAATGCGTGATGGGACTGCGGTCTTTCGACGGGCAGGGCTGTATCCTTGCTGATGACATGGGGCTAGGCAAGACCTTGACGACAATTGCTCTGTTGTGGACGCTACTTCGGCAGTCTCCAGTATATAGGGGTGCACCTGTCATCAAAAAGGCCCTTATCGTTTGTCCCGTTTCTCTGATTCGCAACTGGAAGCGCGAATTCAAGAAGTGGCTGGGCCTGGACCGGCTCGGAGTGCTCGAGTTCGAAGATCAAACTACTCGACTGAGCGACTTTGACGGCAGAGTCTATCAGGTCATGATCATCGGTTATGAGAGGCTGAGGATAGTTGCCGATGATCTCGCAAAGGGCCAACCCATCGACATTGTCATCTGCGATGAGGGCCATCGCCTCAAAACCATGAAGAACAAGAATGCTCAAGCTATCGAATCACTCAACACTCGCAGGAGGGTTATTTTGTCCGGAACGCCCATCCAGAACGATCTCGGGGAGTTCTTCGCCATGGTCAACTTCGTCAATGATGGCTGTCTAGGCTCGCAAAAGGGGTTCATTAGGGACTTCGAGAAGCCTATCATAAGAAGCCGGCAGCCCGACGCGTCTGAAGAGGAGATTGAGCGTGGACAGGAAGCGAGTGAAGAACTTGCTCGCACGACGTCGCCTTTCATCCTCCGCAGGACAGCAGACATCTTGTCGGAGTTCTTGCCGCCCAAGACCGAATACGTGCTCTTTTGCAAACCGACACAAGGGCAGGCAAAGATCTACCGAAACATTCTGAAATCTCCCATGTTCCACAGCGCTCTTCGAAGCAACGAGAGTGCGTTCCAGTTGATCACTATCTTGAAGAAGCTATGCAACAGTCCTGCCCTGATGGACCCTAAATTTGGCAATGACGACTCCACACCTTCCTCGTCGCTCAAGACATTGAACGAGATGCTTCCCGAAGGTCTGTCTAAGTTGTACCACAACTCTCTTTCGTGCAAGATTCGCCTGCTCGACGAACTCCTGCAGCAGATACGGCATAACACAGATGAGAAGGTGGTGGTGATCTCGAACTACACTTCGACCTTGAATTTGATCGAGCAATTATTGGTCAATTCCAACCTACCCCATCTGCGCCTCGATGGGTCCATTGCAGCGAAGAAAAGACAGGGCCTTGTCGATCAATTCAATCAGTCCAAGTCCACGGAGTCGTTCGCTTTCTTGTTGAGCGCAAAGGCGGGTGGTGTGGGCCTCAACTTGATCGGTGCAAGCCGACTTGTGCTCTTCGATGTCGACTGGAATCCGGCAACGGACGATCAAGCTGTCGCACGTATACACCGACAAGGCCAGAAGCGACACTGTAAAATCTACAGGTTTCTTGTGAAAGGCGGCATAGAGGAGAGAATCTGGCAACGCCAAGTAGTCAAAAGGGCATTGGCCGACAGTATCATGCAAGGAAAATCTGCTGGCTCGGCCGGACGTCTTGAAGGAGGCGGGAAGGGCCAGACCGCAACATTCAGCCAAGACGAGTTGAAAGATTTGTTCCGTCTCGACGAAAGCGATGGATTGCGCACGCATGACCTGATACAATGTCCTTGCGACGGAACAGGACCCAAAGACGAGACGGTAGAAGACTTTATGGGCGATGGGCAAATACTCGTCGATGATCAACAATCGAATGCTACTGTTGGAGATTCCGAGGACGAGTTTCCAGACATTGCTGAGTTCGCGAAAGAAGGTGTCATCAAGTCGGAGACATTGACAAAGACCGAGCGTGAAGCGGAGTGTGAGGAGCTGATGAGATATATGCACCTGGATATGTCGGTTCTCTCCAAGACAGAAAAGGAGGGGAGTGTTGTCAATGGGGTCGCGTCTGCCATTGGTGATGCTTGCCTGGAACATGTCGTCCGGCTCGAGGCAGACATGGTAGGAGGCGGTGGCGTCTCCTACGTTTTCAAGAGGACTGAGGGCAGTCAACTGCTTGAACAGACTGGAAAGGCACCCATAAACTCATACTGATCAGGTTCAGGATTGATTACGATCCTGCAATGATCGCTACTGGTGTGAAAGAAGCTGTTGTTTCAGTGTACATGTAGTCTCATTGAGTCATGTCTTAGCATACCATGTCATCAGATACCTGCCAGGTAGCTTGATATCAAGCAAATAACGTACTATGTATGTTATGAGAGGTGGGATAATAGACGACTTTCGGGTCATTTCATCGTGCTTCTATCTTAAAAAAAAAAGAGGATCTAATCTTTGGACAACGAAGATCTCGGGAAACCTACTTTCAACGGTCAATAGTGGCCTGGGCAATGCTAAGTCGGCGGACTAAAGTTGAAATAGAGATAACAGATAAGGGATGTTCCCCGACTGCGGAGAGAGAGAGACGGCTCGCGACTCGGTGCATTCGAGTCTCAATGATCCAGTCACTGTCCGTCACCTCTGTTCTTGGGCAACATGCCAGCATATGCAGCTTCTATTTATGCGACCGTGATATGTCAGCTAGTGGTCTTGTTATGACCATAGCAATAGCAAGTCACACATGGCAGACCGAAGTCCTTTGAAGATTGATATCAGCAGCGAGCCGCCCGTCCCTCCCATCGCCGCAGCTTTCTTGGTCAACTTTGACCATCGCAAAGGGTATGCATCCAACCCCTTGCGGCAGTGTATCTCCCTAGTCTAATACATTCCCAGGTATACTTTGGTATGGCACAGGTCCATCGACGAAGGTCAACTTCTACCCCTACCACCCTTTTACCTCTCCACTGACTTGGAGCTCCAGCCCAGGTCGAGGGTGTCGTCGAGTTCAAATCGTTACCGTCTGGACTACACAATGTTGAGGAGGACTTAGTGTGAGCAGACCACGTATGGACCGAGGAGGCACAAGACTGAACGTTGAAAGATACTTCATCCATGATAAATACAGTGGCCTCAGCGCCTTCATCAACAAGCCTGATGGACAGTCCGAACGGGCAGCGCGCATGTTGGCTGTTGGAGTCCTGGTTCCCCTCGAGTTCGGCCGTACCGGACGAAGTTGGCGTCATGCAGAGGCCCTGCAAGCACTTGCAAGGTAGGTAACTAGGACGGGGGGTCTCTGCACCATACTGAGACGCACAGGTCTCAAATCGACAACGTCCAAGACACCACTGCTCTGGAAGAATACTGGGGCAAATACAGGCTTCGGCCAGACGAGCGGCCAGAACAGGAACAAGTCCACAGCGAGTACCCTGGTCACTCAGCGACCCGACAGCCAGCAAACGGGTATAGAAAATCCAGGTCCATGAGCACAGCAACGACATTTCTACCTTCACATCACACCTTGACGCCTCATCATCCTGCCTTGACTTTGCTCGACTCAGCGGACATCTTCGGTCCTCTGCTTTTCCCTCTTTATCGAGCCGCACTACTTCGCAAGCGGATATTAATCGTCGCTGACACCCCTGTGCAATCCAGTTGTAATCTTGGTACGACCCCCACAATATGCTGTCGACTTCTACTCACCAGTGCTAGTATATAATATGTCCATCTTGTCATCTGTATCAAAAGCACTCCTGGAATTTCTACCCTCGGGCGATACTCCGAGTCTTTGGTTGCGACCTCTGTTCACCGTCGGTGTGGGAGACATTCCAGAGCTTGAAACGACCAAATCGTCTCCTACATCAGTATCGATTGCCGAGGACAATTGGATTGCATGCACCACGGACGATGTATTGAGCACGAAACCGCAGCTGTACGACGTCCTAGTACTGATGCCACCGTCGGAGTCAAACAATGCTGCCACAAAAGTGTTTCCAAAAATGGTCCTGTCAAGTCCCGAGTTGACAAAGTCATTTCCAAAAGTTGGCATTAAATCGACCCAGCGAGACTTTCAACGGTTTGTGCGTCTTCAACAAGGTCTTCTCCAATTTCGACCGAGCAAGACGGCAATTAACGGCTCCTTGGAGAATGGCGCCGAAGGCCGCCCACCGCTCTCCTCACGGCGGTCTTCCTTTTCGGCCAACAAGGCAGTTGTGGAACCAGCCTCCTGGTCGCGAATGGCATATACCTCTCTTGTTTGGTGGGCATCTGCTGGAGATAGACGTGGGGGACTTGTTGAGACAGAAGAGGCGGAGAACGAACAAGATTTGGCGCTGTTGAGCTATGAAGACGACAGCGACAGTGAACAGACTCGGGAGGTTGCGCTTGTGGCATATTTCCATCGCCTGACTGAGATCATATTCCAAACCGTTGCAGAAGCCATTGCGCGCTCTGACGGTACTCGATCGGCACCAGAGTCATCTTACCATGACGACGACAATAACGACAATACAGAGTCGATCTACGAAGAAACTGTACAACGGAGGGCTTCCTCGGAGGGAGAGGAGACACAAGGTCTCTTAGCGGACCCCGCCGACAACGGCGAAGTCGAAATTACTCCGGAAGATATGGCAGCCATGGGACTGGACAGCTGGAGCGCATCCGACCGAGCATTCGTCGAAGAACTGGTACGCCTCTGGTGGGGACGCAAGGCAGTGGTGCGACCGACGTCGATTGAATGCTGCGGCCTCAGGATCTACTAGAGAACACCAGACTCGGTTGTCGCGTTCCAGTTGTCGCAAGGCTGTACAACACTGCTATACTTATACTACCTATTATCGACCCATCCACAGATCGATCATCGGTGGTGACGTCGATCATCTCGATCCTTGCAATACCACCATGCCGCATCAAGCAGCTGAAAGGGTTCAGGCACAAGGCACACCAATCATGTCATATCCGCATTCTGGTTCCCGCCTACTGGTTCCCGCCTACTAATTCGTTGCCCACTTTATACGCATTGCCAATACAATGCCTCCGGCAGATATTGAAGTCACTCGACTTTCACCTCCGCAATGAGCTCATCAATGTCCCCCTTCTCCGCCCAGAAGTATCAATGAGAAAGAAATCACAACTCGTCATACGACACTTCCGCCATTCTTGTGCAATCTCTCATCTCGTCTCGTCTCGTCCCATGCCAATCGTCCTTTGCATTGCAAACAGAAGTATAGTTGTGGCCCGAGATGAAGTGGAAAGACAGGACCGTTGTTTTCTTTGCGACCATGGGAGTCGTGGCGGCCCAGCAGCCTGTCCGAGATCCAGTTGCAGCCGGACCGCCGCTTGAATTAGTGCATCTATACTACGACGAATGGCCAACCGGTAAGCCTCGTCGCCGTCATCACATTCGGGCGGATAGTAACATTTTAGGCATTGCCGTTTCTGCGTCGGGACGCATGTTCTCAAACTACCCTCTAGGTCTCGATCCGACAAACACCAAATACCAAGTCGCCGAGTTGAATTCCAATAACACCGAAACAGCGTACCCGAATGCTGAGATCAACTCTCCGCCCGGCGGTGCAATCGATTTCTCCACCTACCCGGCCACATCGAAGGGACTTGCGGACTACTTGATTGGGGTGCAAAGCGTCGTGATTGATCCAAAAGACCATCTCTGGATCCTCGACACGGGCCGAGCAGTTCTCCCCAACGGCACGCTCACGACCTCCAACTTCGGCGGGCCCAGGCTGATCGGGGTCGACTTGACCAACGACACCATCTTCCAGACCATCCTCTTCCCGTCGACGGTGGCGTACTCGGATTCCTATCCGAACGACGTCCGCTTCGACCTACGGCCCTCCGTCACGGCGTCCGGCCAAGGAATAGCCTACATCACCGACTCGTCCAGCGAGGGCCGCAACGGCATCATCGTCGTCGATCTCGGAACCGGCGAATCATGGCGCCATCTCGAAAACATCCCGCAAGTCCGTCCCGAACCCGGCTTCTTCGTCAGCGTCTGGGGCGAGCCCGTCTACAACAACCCGGGCAACGGCATGCCCATCTCCCGCCTCGCATTCGGTGCCGACGGCATCACGCTGTCCAACAACGGCGAGACCCTCTATTTCAGCGTCGTCTCGGGCCGCCACCTGTACGCCGTCCCCACAGCTCGTCTGCGCGACCGCAGTGCCTCCTCGGAACTGTTTTCCCAAGCCTCGGTCATGGATCTGGGCCAGAAGGGCGTCAGTGACGGATTGGAGAGCGATTCCAATGGCATCGTCTACGGAGGCAGTGTCGAGACGGATTCGATTGTCTTCTTCAACCCGGCTAAAGGCACGGTTTCCACCTTTGTCAGGGATCCCAGGATCCAGTGGACCGACACCTTCTCCACGGCCGGTAGCTATTTGTATTTCACCGAGAACCAGCTGTGGCGAGCCCCGGCGCAACAAGGCGGCGTGGACAGACGGGTGAAACCGTATGCTTTGTTCCGAGTGCCGTTGTTGAACAATGCTACTAAGATACAGCTGGTGTAGATACTCTGTACTGCATACTAGTAGGTAGCTACTACTCCTGCTGGGCGTATTGGTCTCTTACCTAGTAGCAAGGAGAGCAAGGGGGTACGATCTTTGCAGAGGGCACCCAGCCAACAATTGGTCTTGGAGTCTTCTCGTTGACAGTTCTGCAATGTGGTAATGCTATGACACGATACAAGTTCTTTGTATGCAATGCGTTTCGTATAACTCGCTAGCCGTACAATGCATACGGTCGCCAGGCGTGCTCTCCTAGAACATCAGCTCGAGTTCTTGTTTTCAGATAAAACCCACCCATGAGCTGCTCTTCGATGCAATCATGATGTCGTTCATGTGTTGCGTTTAGGCATCAACCAGGTCATAGTCGGATCAGACTAGTAGCGGTCTCCGTCGTCGTATCGTGAAATGTCTCGACCCTGATCATAGGCGTTGTCCAAGTTGTCCCCGAAACCCTCGACGTCCCCTACCTTCCCGCCAACCCAGCCAGAGATGTCCTCGGGCACATCTTTGACATCCTGAACGGCATTGTCCCACTCACGTTCGACGTCCTTGGGAATATCTTCGACATCTTGCACCTTCTCCCCAGTCCAGCGTGCCGCGTCCTGTGGAAACTCTTCAACATCTTGCACCTTCTCCCCCGTCCAGCGTGCCGCGTCTTGTGGAAACTCTTCGACATTTTGGACACCGTCGACAACATCGTTTTCGACTCCATACTTGACTCCATCCCATTTGTCTTCTATGTGAACATGTCAGGAACTTTACTAGCCTCAATGTAGAGGGGTGCGCGCTGAAGGCGGTTCCAAATTGCCAATGATCTGAGAGAAACAAGACACTGCGAGTACTCACCGACTTTCTCTCCCTCGTGCGTCAGCACAGCACCGCCTAGCACGCCGGCCGCCAGGCCAAGGGCCATGTTTCGCCCGGTGTGAGATTCTTTCGCTGGCTCTTGGGGCGGGTAGTAGTCCTCTCCCTGGCCTTGTCTGGCATCATAGTCTTGACTATAGCCTCCACCACCTCCTTCACCTCCTCCGCCTCCTTCTCCGCCGGAGTAGGAGAAGGACTGTTGTGGAAGCTCGAATGTGCGTTGACCGTTCTCGCGATTGACGTAGAGCCAGCGGTCGTTCTGGCCGTCCCATTCGGCAACCCAGGGTTCTGGGACTGCGGGTGGGCCGTGGTTGTAGGATTGCTGCTGGGCATACTGGTCTTGGGTTTGAGACGGGTTGATGTAGTAAGACATGATGGAATCTCGAGATGGAGAAGACATAAGGCAGAAGTTTGCTGGGGTGTTGGCGTCGATGGGAAAGTAGGGCCCGGCCGTGTGGAAACTGAGTCGGCAGCCGACCGTATCAGGAGCGGTGAGTTGGGAGGAACTCAACGCAGGTTGAGACCTGAGGGCACAGAGAGTGATGATGAGGTGTCAGTAGAGGATGGTGCGACAGGTCACAGACTGAGCAGTCAGTGGTAAAAGTTATTAATTGGCTCTTGAATGGAGGGCTGTTGGCCTTCAGGCTTCCGGTGCCTGCCTTACCTTAGGTACCTATGTAGGTATGCATTTTGTGACTGTCATTGACTCCGGCCGTGGCTAGGAGGTGCCCACTTACATAATTGACAAACCACTGTCATTGCAGGGTGGGATGAAGAGTCGGTTAGATGCCTATATTTCACTGTCTTCCATTCAAGTTTACTATCAAAAACCTTTAGATGCTATCAGACTTGGGAGATGCATTGAGGGTCATGAGAACCTAAACTCCGGCACGCCCCGAAGCATCCTTAGCACAACTCTGTAACCCCGCTCTTGAGCCGTTGCAGAGCAAACAAGCTCATTTAAGCTCATTGCCGCAAAGCTTGACTGTTGACTCTAAATGCCAGTGCAGGCAGGGGCTGTCGATTGGGCAGGTGGTCTGCATCTTCGATGCTAGCGATTCAGCCCACAATGATGGTCTACCAGATATGCGCAAGACTGCTTTTCGGGTTGAGGAAGGAGCTCCTGGCACAACTGGGCAAGTTCTGATGGAAAAGTCCTCGGGCATATACTAGTAGTGCTTGTAAGGATGCGCACTGAGATTGCTCATACACAACTATCTTTCCTTTCACTATTACTACTACTACCTTCCATCTGCCCTGATCTCGAAGATATCCGTATAGGACTTCCTCTTGACGACTTGACGGTTCCGTGATCTCATGCTACCTGCACCTACACCTGACCCTGTGACTTTGACTTTCTTTTCGACCTCAAGGGGGATTCCTTGAGCCACAACAGCATCCTCCGCCCAAGGAATGACTGATGGAGCAGACAACTCGGAGGGGCCTTCCGCAGACACTCAAGACGATGGATCCGGAGTCCATGCAGAGGAGGAGGACAAGCGACACCGGCGGCTGAATGCATCCGCGACCATGGCCCATACCATTCATGAGTTGGAGCGGCTGCTAGAGGAGGCTGTCAACATTGCCCAAATGGCGGGGACAATAGAAGAACAAAGTAGTGCACAACCGACGACCGAGGAGAGGCCTATAAGTCCCACCTACCGACCATCCCAAGCCATTGCAGTCAAGGTAGACAATTACCTTCGGAAGGCCTCGGTGGCATCCTCTCCATCATCTGACAGTTTGGTCCGTCGTGAGTCAAGTGGCCGAAGAAGGCGCACCGCTAGCCACCTGGAACCGCCACCACCACTACCGACTGCAGAGCATTCGGAAGCAAGAAAAGCCACCTTATCGCGAAGTAGGAAAGCGTCAGCCCAGACGACTTCGCCCTGCAAGCATCAACATGCCGAAGTTCTCGGGCCACCGCAGGTTGGGCCGCGCACCACGTCCTCTCGCAATCCGCGCGACAAGCGTAGAAGCTCAGCTTCGCGCCAGTCTCCACCTGTGCTAAGGCTCAATAGTGTTGACCTTGTAGAAGGTGAGGACGAAGAGAAGGATCATTTTCTGGGGAAGGGAACTTGGCTCCAGGCACCTCGACCAGGGCATGAAAGACACTTCACGCAGATGTTCGGAATCGACTCCAGACAAGCGAGCATCAACATGGCCCACGGCATGCCTTACCCCCTTCAGAAGATCGATCTCAATGGTGTGAGGCATGTTGATGTCCCCGACAGTCCAGACGACTTTGACGTCCATCAAACCTGCAATCATGCGCCCATAGCTCGCAACTGGCCGGACTCCAGAAAGCGTTGGGCCGCTCTGGGAAGCTGTGTCAACACAGCCTGTCTAGGCTTCTTGATCGGTATCTACTCGGGGGAGGTGCCAGCGATTCAATACGTGATTGTGGATTTCGATCGTCGGATGATTCTTGGGAACGTCTTTCTGTACTGCGGTCTCGCCATACCAACCTTGGTATTTTGGCCCTTACCTCTTCTGCACGGCCGGAAACCATACAACATTGCAGCTCTGGCACTGACATTGTGTCTCCAAATCCCCCAAGGGCTGGCTGTCAACACATTCCGAACACCAGACGTGCGGAGATACCGGATACTGCTGCTCGTGTCTCGGGCTCTCTCAGGGGTCGTTTTCGGGTTTGCCAACATAAACAATCTTGGGACCTTGTTAGATTGTTTTGGGGCATCGCTCAAGAGCAGCGAGTCCAACGAAGACTTGGAAGACCCACTCGATATCCGGCGACACGGAGGTGGGATGGGCGTATGGCTAGCAGTCTGGTCTTGGTGCACGATGGGCTCCATTGCGCTTGGGTTCGTGGTCGGCGCCTTTATCATCAGCGGAGCCCCTGTCGATTGGGGCTTCTGGGTCTCCTCGATGCTACTCATGGTTGTGCTCCTGCTCAATATCATAGCCCCGGAGGTGCGTCGTTCAGCATTTCGCAGGACAATGGCAGAAATGCTGGGAGAAGGCGGTAGCTTCAGCAGGGTGGCTCGAGGGGAAGTCAAAATGCACTTGACCGGAAATGGGCCTTATTGGTGGGGCGAAGAGGTGCTTGCTGGTCTCCGACTGAACTGGAAGATGGTGAAGCAACCCGGGTTCCTTGTGCTATCCATATATGCGGCCTGGGTCTACGCCCAGTTCACGCTGGTATTGATGGTGAGTTTGGCGAAGTGTGAGACGTCTCACACCTGGACTGACGTTCCTAGCTGCTGGGAGCACTGGCTTCCACCCGATATCGGTACAGACCTGTCGATGTTGGGCTTTGCGTCCTATCTTTGGGTATAGGGTCAATCATTGCCATTCCTTTTCAGAAAGCATCGTGGCTCAGTCGTGCTCGGTATCTTCCTCCGAGGACAAACAGCATGACCCTTGAGAGCGCAATTGGGTGGACTTCCCACACGCTTCGGAGGACCTTGTGGATGGTGTTTTTGCCACTGGCAGCCATTGGTTATGCTCTGACCTCGAAAGGGCCTGTCTTTCCTGTTGCGGTACCTTGTCTGTTTGCCGGGCTGGTTGGATATGCTTCTGTCCTTGGAATTGGCGAATGCTACGCTTTGATGATGCAAACCTTTGATACCTCCGACCTGCAACCTGGAATGACGGGTCGACCGGCGCGGCAGTCCGTGGTGCAACGATACCGGCAGCAAAGGACCAATTTCTCGTGCTACCCAAGAATCAGCGCAGGCATTGCCGTCACACAATTTCTGAAATTCGTTTTCGGGGCAGTATCCACGGGAATATGTGGACGGCTAGAGAGAAGATATGGCGCAATGCAAGCCGCCGGCATTGTTGCGGGTGTTCTTCTGGTCTTAACCCTGCTGGTTGTGGTGGTCCTGGTCCGCTGGAGAAAAGTGCAAATGACCCCTAGCAGCCAAGATAGAGACTATGAGCAGCACGAGGGGTGGGAGCCAGTAGTACTCGGAGACCCGGGGAGCGTGGCTCGCAAGATCAGTCTGCTGGAAGCTGGCGACTTGACTCGATGGTCAGAAATCCGACGCAGGAACCGACTAGAGATTGGACTGACACGCCGCTGACCGAGAGGAGGTCTGGGGTCACTCTGTCCGTTGCCAGACCACATTCAACGCCATAGATAAGTAGGGAGGCAACTCCTTCTTCCCTGCTATCCATTTGCTTCTGACACAGCACACCAGAAGCGGCATACAGGGGATGGCGCAGACGGACCCGAAGTCAATGAATGCCACGAAGTAGGAATAGATGAAGATGAATAATGCAGCGCAGTGCAGCGCAGTGGAGCGCAGTCACATCAGGCCACAGACTCGGAGGCCAAGCTGGGGGTGTGAGTCAGCAGAGTGCCTAGAGTTCAACCGAGTGCGACTAGCAGGTGACGGGATAATGAGTGATTGGGCGGTAGAGTCGCTAAGAGGGGCAGGAGTAGCCTTCTTAGCCTGAAGAACACACCTAATGTATGTAAGCGACAGGTAGCCAGGTACAAGGGCTCACGGGGGCAACGTGTATGTGTTTCTTAACCGTGACACCGCCCCCACCCACTGGGATTCTAGGCATTGGACTGGCTCATCAGGCTCAGTCCACAGCCTATTTAGGCATGTGTTCAGTTAAAGAGTGGTTGTTGTGGGCCGGGGATCTTGTCGATGACATCGCCTAGACTACTCGGTTGGTCGTCGTTGAGGTTGTAGTCTTTCCACCGCGTCTCTCTTGGATCGCATCGCAGCGCCCACCAGTCTAGGAGATTCTGTGATTATATTTGACCCGCCGCTCTCTACGGAGGTACAATGTCTTCCTTACGCCTCGCTACATTGTATTTCAAGTCTTCATCATTCATCACCGCTATATCGCTATTGCACTCATCCGCTCGATCGACTGGTATCCTCCCTCCCCGGTCCATCGCGTCCTTTCGTTCGTCCTCCCTACACTATATTTCACCCCGCTTTTCAGTGTGGTGACATCCCCGCAAGAACGGCATTCAACCACCACACAGAGCTGTCAACCATTGGGCGACTCCCTCGGTCGCTGAGCCATCGTTATTCTGCAGTATACTCTTGATTCTTTGCAAAGACTTCCATACCCTCCAGTAAAGGCACGTCGCGCGCTTCATTATATTGGTACCGCTCTTGGTAGGGTGATTTTGTTAAAGAGGAGGAGTCACTGCGGTGTTCACAACAATCAAGATGGATTTAGTCGACCGTGAAATGGAACGGGCAGAGATCCAGGCGACCCGAACTTACTCGCAGGAGAGCAAGGAGCGCCGATCTCTGAAGCATACGACCTCAAGGCACTCTGCGTCGTCCAGTTCCACCAGCTCAAGTGCCTCTTCAGGCAATTCAATGGGTCGGATAGCCACCGCGCGTGGCCCTAACGTCGGTCTGAGGCGATCTGAGACGCATCCAATCGAAGACCTGAGAATAGAAACACACCGGCTACAACAGGTCGAGACTGTAGGAGCCAGCGTCAAGTCGAGAGCAGACTCCAAACCCCTTCCTCCCTTTGGGGGAGGCAAGCCTTATCCTCCTCCATTGCCAGCGCAGGAAGACTATGTTGTCGAGTTTGACGGCATAGATGACCCTCTGCACCCACAGAACTGGCCTTTTACCAAAAAGTAAGTGGAAATCGAGCCAAAGTGTCAAAGATTTATATGGAAACGCCCTTGCTAAACGTTCCCAGGCTCTATCTTGGTGCGATCCTGGCGTTCACCTGCCTGTGCAGTACCTTTACATCCTCCGTCTTCTCCTCGTCGACGCATTCGGTCGCCAATTACTTCCATGTCAGCGTCGAGGTGGCCACCCTCAGCACCTCTCTATACGTACTGGGATACGCCTTTGGCCCACTCTGCTGGGGACCGTTTTCCGAACTGCGCGGTCGGAGAATACCCATTCTGATCGGCATGTTTGGCTTTTCAGTGTTTTGTTTCGGCTGTGCTACGGGCAAAGATATTCAGACAGTTATGATCTGCCGATTTTTCACAGGGTTCTTCGGTTCGTGTCCGTTGGCTGTGGTCGCGGCAGTCTTTGCCGACATGTTCGACAACCGCGAAAGAGGGACGGCCATTGTCATCTTCTCCTCCATGGTCTTCATGGGGCCTATGCTGGGACCTTTTATTGGAGGCTTCATCGACAGCTCCTATCTCCACTGGCGCTGGAATGTTTACCTGCCCGGGATCATGGGCTCGACCGCCTTAATCCTCAACCTTGTGTTTTTGCAAGAATCCTACCCACCGATGGTGCTGGTTGGCAAGGCCGCCGAGTTGCGTCGCCGGACTAGGAATTGGGGCATTCACGCAAAGCAAGACGAAGTCGAGGTGGACTTCCGAGAGCTGATATCTAAGAACTTCTCTCGTCCAATCCGGCTCTTGATTTCCGAGCCCATCATCCTGGCCATCACTTGCTACATGTCCTTCATTTATGGCCTCCTCTATCTCTTCCTGACCGCTTATCCACTCGTCTTCCAGGGCGTCCACCACATGGCACCCGGTGTGTCGGGTCTTCCGTTCTTCGGAATGGTGGTGGGTATATTCATCGTTGCAGGCTACATCATCTACGACGCCAGAAATTACAACAGGAAGTTGGACGCCAATGGAGGCATTCCGGTTCCTGAGTGGCGGTTGCCTCCTGTCATCATTGGAGGCACCTTATTTGCTCTGGGCCTGCTTTGGTTCGGCTGGTCTGGCTACAAGTCTTCGGTGCATTGGATTGTCCCGACTCTTTCTGGTCTGTTCACAGGCTTTGGCCTCCTGGCCATCTTCATCCAGTGCTTCAACTACCTGATTGACTCTTACCTCATGTTGTACGTGAACAGGCTTTTCCCCCAACCCGTGTCCCGTTTTCCTTTCCTCTAGCTAACTAAGTGTCCAGTGCGGCGTCCGCCATCGCGGCAAACACTTTCCTGCGATCCATTTCCGCTGCCGGATTCCCTCTCTTCGCTCGCCAAATGTTCAACGGTATGGGCATTGAATGGGCCGGCACCTTCCTCGGGTGCTTGGCACTCTGCCTCGTGCCCATTCCGGTGCTTTTCTACTTTTACGGCAAAAAGCTCCGGCAGAAGTCCAAATTCGCTCCGACCATGGCGGTCAAGAAGCCCGATGACGAGGAAGACGGCCTTGACGAGGACCAAGAATTGCAGATGGCCGCTTTGCACGCCACTAGAAGCCGGGTGCATCATGATCTGGAGGCTGGACGACGGCGGACGAGGTCGGGCACAAATGGATCGGCGGCCACGGCCACGACTCCTGCAGCTGCTCCGATTAACCGCATGTCAGAAAAGAGCGACTGAAGGAGCGAAGAAGTATGGCTGTCGTCGTGTTTTTCAAGCTGGAGATTATATTTAATATCAACGTTGAGCGTCTGGATGATCGCAACGGTGCCGATGTCGATAGTTACTGCAAGTACGGTACAATACCTCGGATCGCCCGCAAGTCCAACATTCTTCTACATTCTATTCTGCACCTTTCAAGAGGTAGTAGCTTGGTAGTCTCTTATTTAACCCCCACTGAATCACATCCCGTCCGCCCGACAATAGACACCGAGTCAGTTGCATGCGTAGGTCGAGGTGCGAAACACACGCCGATGCCAGCCTCAGTGTATATGCACCCTCTGCCGTAAGTCAAGACGGTATGGTATCTTCCACAATGGCTGCAAGTATACAAGACTAGAGCCACACCGCAGTTGCAGCGCCCGCACCTTCATCCAGTTTCGCGCGGGCGACCTCTTTGATCTCCTTTCCGTCCCAGCTCAAGACGAAAACCCAGCCTTGCTCACTGTCCGTCAACGCCAGGTACTCGACTCCATCGACGGTCGGGCCGGGCTGGACGGCGTTGGCCCAGCCGCCGCTCGTGGCGGTCTCGTACATGCACAACAGGCCGGCATACAGGTCGGAAGAAGGATTAGTTTGGGTCGTGGAAGATGCGGTTGACGCAGACACTGAAGTATCCACCCTCCCATCACTAGTGAGCTTGTATACAGCGACATAGCCCTTCTTGCCGGGCTCCAGGCCTCGCGTACTCGCGTACAGGTACTTGGGAGCGTCGCCGTTGGAGAAGCTAGTGCGGACCTCGTCGGCCCAGAACTCGCGCTCGTGCTGGTCGGCGGGGATGATACGCACGGCCTGTTCGTGGGTCAGATAGACACCATCGGCGTCGCGCGTGGAGAAGACGTCGACGATGCTCGTGTGTTCCTGGACGCAGTAGACATATTTGCCCGTCGGGTGGGGCCAGACGTGGCGAGGCCCGTCGTTCGGGCGCGGCGAGATATGTTTCTCGCCCAGCGTCAGGGTGCCGTCGGTCAGCGACACTTTGTACGTCCAGATACAGTTCCGGCCGATGTCTGCTACGTACAAGGCGCGGCCGGACGGCGACAGGTCCGCGGAGTGTGCGCCGTGGCGGAGGCCGCCGAAGTCCATGACACTGCCGTCGTCTCGTTGGGCGGATGCGTCGACGAACGACAGAGTTTGGAGTGGTTGGATCATCGATGTTGAAGTCGATGATGGTGCCGGGTGTGATGTTGTCCCGTTGGATTTCGGTGTGGTGTCGGGAGCCAGGAAGGCCCCTGTGTTCCGGTCGACGCTGAAGACTTCACCCGTGGCTCCGCCGGCGGAATAGACGGCCACGTCGTTGGCAGTGACATAGCCGCTGCGTGTCTTTGTCTGGGCGCTGCCCAGCAGTTCGATGTCTGTGGGTGACTTGACCGTGTATGCCACGACTGAGGGCGGCTCCGTCCATGCTGTGGCGTACAGGTTTCGGGTGCCGTTCGCCTTGGGCGGCGACAGGTGAAGCCACGAGTGTGAGCCGATGGCTGAGGCGCGGTGCACGATCTGCAGGCTTCCAGAGCTTGACAAGGACCCTTTTGATGGTGTCGATGATGAAGGCGTCGCCGGAGGTGTGAATCTCAGGGTGTAGAGGTGTGGCGTGTTGAAGGTGCCGACCAGGAAGTCGTATGATTGAGACATGGTCAATTGGATGATATGGTGACGATCCCCTTAGTCGTATTCGTCGTGCCCTGCTTTTTGATAGTTCTGATTCTTCTCCAAGGTCTGTCAAGCAGAAAGAAGGCGCACAAGGCTGGTCTTTATGGCAGAACTCGGCCGAATTCAAAGGTTTTCGGAGCCGGGAATTGAACGGCTATACTGCGCTTGAGACTCTTTTCCGATGTGACACGATGCTACGTAGGTAGTAGTGTGTGTTTGTGCGTGTGGGTGACACCAGTCCACTTCCGACTATAACAAAAGAGTCTTCCCGATGTTGTTCGGCCCTCAGAGGTCTTTAGCAGGCGTAAATGCAACAGACGGCGGCTGCTCAAGGATTTTCAATGATGCGAGAGACAATGAGATTCCCTCTAGCTCTCTATTCTACCGCTGCAACAGCACTTTCTCGACGAATGAGGTTCCTAGGATCGGACGGGGACGTCGGCACTTGCTTGGATATGGGCTGTTTTTTGCCCTCATCGGATCTGGTGCGGATCGAGGCCTTTGCTGCTAGACTCGCTGATCTCGCCGCTCAGGCAACGGCGCCTCTGCTTGTTGACAATGAGATATCCACGATAGGCTCCGAGCTTGAACACCTCCACGATTGCTCGGATTTCGAAAGTGATCTGCAGACAGTAAATATACAAGACCAGGCTTCATTTAGTATACAGTGTGTTCTCCCGACAAGGCGCAGTTTCGGCTGCAGTGGCTGCCTAATAGTGCCTAAGGTGCCCTCATCCGATGGAGTTCCCCGCCCATTTTATTGCTCGTCAGCCTCGTCGGTCGCAGCCTTGTCTTCAACTTCAATCTCGCCTTAAGTAAATGCTCGATACTACTAGTATCCGATGATGCGAATGAACATGCCTTCCTCCTACCTACATGACTACTACAAAGCTCCGGCATTCCACCGATAGTTTCCATAATCCAATCTTGGTGACCCGGCGGACGCCATGCTCATCCAGAAAATGCCTTAGATGTGAACGTCGAGCCTCGTGAACATATCTCGCATGCGACGACACTTCACACTACCGACTATTCCACCGCACAAATACTTGGTAGCAAAAACCCGAGGAGATTTTTGCCCAAAAAGTCCAAAAACTCTGCCACTCGACCCGACAACCTTGTTTCAGGTAGAAGTGTCTAGAAGGGAGCGAAACCTTGCCTGACCATCTGAAGTGTAGTGATGATAAGCGGTTCTTTTCAACGTCCGTTGATGGAATCGTAAGCTATGGGCCGCTTATAGTGGGATCCGAAGATCAGTACTACTCTGGACGCACCGAGTAGGCCACAGGGGAGGAGCTTCTATCCAACGCCGGATTGTTGACCAGAAATGCGGGAATTTAATATATGAGGGCACAGAACGGGAGTGACGCGGGGGCGTGACATGTGACTTGGTACAAGTGAAGTGAGAGTGAAGAGCAGGTGAGAGTGAGAAATACGGCTGGAATGGCTTTGATATCCGGTGATGGAACGAGCATGAGGAGCCACTGGTACTACTATTCTACATGGTCAGAAGGCGGCTCCTCCTGCTTGATACGGGCAGATTGCCATCTACAACAACCTGCTCTCACAATTTCTGGCCCCTATCGCTATCAACGCATTCAATGGGGAGGCTGTTCTTGTCTTTCCTTAGACTACTGATGTCCCTTCAATGAAGACTTCCGGTCACCAGCGGAGATCAATCAACAGTCCGTTTTATTACATGGGAATGATAGCGCCGAGGATCTCATCGGCCAGCACTGACGAGTCAATCGACGGCAGAACCAACGACTTCATGAGCCTTACGGAAATGGGTAAAGTATAGCACTGTCATCCGCAATGAAAGTAAGATACTACTAGTACCCGAGAAACTCGGAGTGTGAGGTGGTTGTTGATATTCCAGAACTCGGCGCCGTTTCAGAAAACACCAATAAATATACCTATCTATCTGAGGTACCTACCTATCTGCCTATCTATCTTCCCCGCATGCATTCGTACCGAGGTGGGCAGAGAGATCCGATATCTCACCATTCAAAACAGACGTATCTGCCTTACTGCCCTGTCGTAAAGGCAAGCTTCGTCGAGTCAATCTCAGAACAGTCGAGAAACAATCTTCCTCCTGCCCTTTACAAAGATGCCTCAACAACTCACGATAGGTCTCTCACAATCGCACACCCTCTCCACCCTTGACGCAACGCTCTCCGCACTTCGCGAAACCACCAGACTCGCCGCCCAAAAGGGCATCTCGATCCTCTTATTCCCCGAAGCCTATCTAGGAGGCTACCCACGAACATGTTCTTTCGGTGCCGCCGTCGGGTCCCGCACTGACACCGGCCGAGATCAATTCCTCGCCTACTACAAGTCGGCCGTCGATCTGGGCGATACACCCCTCGGAGCCGACGACGACTGGCTCGACCGGAAACTACCCGTGAACAAAGAGACCGGCCGCCGCGGCGACGGGACCCGCGAGTTCCTAGAAGACGTGGCGCGGGAGACGGGTGTGTTCATCGTCACAGGGTTGGTCGAGAAGGCCGGGGCCAGTCTCTATTGTGCGGCAGTCTATGTCGATCCGACGCGCGGCGTGCTGGGCAAAAGGAGGAAAGTCATGCCTACAGGGTCGGAGAGGCTGGTTTGGGCACAGGGTCAAGCGTCTACCCTGAAAGCCGTGGCGGTGAACATCAAGGGGGTGAGAGTGGTCATGGGATGTGCCATCTGTTGGGAGAACTATATGCCTCTTCTACGGTACAGTCTGTACAGCCAGGGCGTAAATCTGTGGTTGGCGCCTACCGCCGATGCGAGGGATACCTGGGAATCCTTGATGAAGACGGTGGCTTGTGAAGGCCGTTGTTTCGTCCTAAGTGCGAACCAGTGCATCAAGAGGAAGAACTTGCCAGCGTGGATCACTGGTAAAGATGCTCCAGTTGAAGACGGCAACCCTCCTGCGGCGGAAGCCTGCGCAGCCTCGGCCAGATCGCTTCCAAACGGGACTCATGGCGGCTCCTTGGGAGGACGGCGTTTGTCCATGTCGACACGAACGGAGGAAAATCATGAGATTGCCTGGAAGTGCAAAGACAATCCGATCAAAGAGTCGGAAGATGCCTCAAAGCACTCGAGCTTTGCTACCAGTGAAGATGAGCAGTTCGTGTCTGTGGGAGGCTCTTGTATCGTCAACCCCATGGGCAAGACAGTTGGAGGTCCATGTTGGGAAAAGGAACAGGAGTTGCTGTACGTGGAGGTCGACTTCGACGATTGTGATCGAGGCCATTTGGACTTTGATGCGGCGGGACACTATTCGCGTCCGGATGCATTCAAACTCACCGTCGAAGGATTGGATCTCCTGCCTCCCCCTTAACGCCGTAGGTATTCCAGCTCGGTAGCTTGACAAACTGTCACGTCGCATTTGCATGTCTGGCCGCATAAATTACAATAACCCACCACTCGAAGAAGATGGGATCGTACTCAAAGATCAGCAAGTGCTAAATGTGCATTGCTCTTGTCTCATGCAAAGACCATCGATAACGATGGACTGCATCCAGCTCAAGATCAATCGATGGACAGCGTTCGACCGAGCGAGGTAAGAGACACGGAATGGAAGAGAAAGAAGAGTCAAACCAGGAGCAAGCTTGTCGTCAAACATGGTTCAAAAATCTGTTCAACGAGGTATATCATTCGGAGGACTGCATGACCTCTTGGCCCAACGCCTTTTACATGGGTATCATCAAAGCATTGCCGAACAAGAACACGAAGTCGTATCCACAAGGATCTTTACAAACCGTCGGCCCCAATATCAGTAAGCGACTCTTGTCCTCATATCTGATATCTTGCGTTCGATCTCCCGGACCGAGCGATCCAGTTCGCCGGCGATCATTAACTTCTTGTCGTTGGGTAGGAGGAAAAATGTTTCACAGAGGTCGCCGTCGATGACACCCTTGGAGGGCGCATAGTATGAGCGGTACATAAGATGGTCACGACCCAAAAGCGGTGGGTTGCCGTTGCTTGAAGCCAGTTGCATTTCCAAGGATTGGAAAAAATCAACATCCTCCCGGCCGACAAAAGGCACAAGAATGCCGAGCGTTCCCTGAAAGCCTGTCCAGAAGATAACATCACGGCCTCCGGCGACCAGATTCGTCTTCTGAATACTGGTCGGGATATCTCCAGGGAAGTAATGGATCATCAAGCTCAGCCGATTTGGTGTACCATTGAGGTATTGCCTTTCATGGAGGAGGTGGACACCCGAGTTATCCTCGTCTGCTTCTTCCGAGACCTTTTGGGGGCATCTTAGCAGCCAGAGATTGCCGAATTTGTCCCCTCCTGCCACAGTCTCGTAGTCGACCATGGTGGCGCACGTTGTCCACCGAGCAACAACATCATCGGCAAATGGAATGAGCTTGTTCTCCTGGAATTTGTAGACGCAGTAGGTGACGCTCTCCTGAATGTCGCTGACAATGATTCTGCTGCCTTGCGTCTGAAGGCCGACGATGAGATTAGGTGTGCTCACTTGGCATTTCCGGAGCATTTGCTTCATTCCCAGGTCGTAAATCCTCAAGTCCGGCCCGACGCCCGCCAGGAGGCGTCCTTGGAATGCAAGGAGTGCAGTAGGAGGTTGCTCCACCTTTGTCTTATGAATGAACTCAAGCTCTTTACCATCCTCGTGGAAGCGATAGACATGAATGAATCCAGCAGAGAATGACCGAGGACTAACAACGAGGTCCTTGGCCGTGCCAACAATCAGGAACGACTCGTCGTCCTGGCTTGCAAAAGAAGCCGTGGTAATGCTCGTGGCACATTCATTGTCCTCCAAATCTAGAGTGAAGACGACTGATTTGGTGGTAACGGGATCCACGACCTGAATGGACGATGCCCAATGGCCGGTTCCGCGCGGATACCCAAACTCTTCCGGGGGGAGTACAACTGCATCGCCATTGACAGCAGGTGTTTCGTTGAGCAGTTTTGTCCGTGTTGCCGGTGCAAGCACATTGTTGTCCGCCCCAATCACGTAGAATAGTGGATGATCTGGGTGCTTGACAAATTTCCGAGGAGTGTACGGAAGCGGAATATTCTGCTGTAGTAGATTCCGCGAAAGATCTTCGATTGTGAATATCCTATCAGAATGTCAGAAGGACAGCCCATGTTTGCGGATAATGCGGTAGGTAGTGTAGGAAGAAGTAAATTTCAGAAGGAACAATTGGTTAGAGTTTGAAGTCCGCATGAGTCGAAGACTCTCGGAAAGAGCATAGTTATGTGTTCATCACAGGAAAGACTGTTTTAGGCGGATATGTGGGCTTACCTCAGGTTTTGCCCTTGGATGCCAACCATCCCTTCGGGGCACTGTTCACTTGTAAAATTCCAGACGTATTGAAGGCCGACATAGTCGAGAGGCGTCAACATGAACCCGTTCGTTTGTGCGTCGGTGTACCCCAACCATGGCCGAGAACTCAATGCCATGACAGCATTCTGGCCTTTGACTGAGACCCGGAATAGTTTTGCCGGTCGTAATCCAAGGAAGCGAGTCCGGGTATCGGACAGCTCTCCGGTGATCTCATCTAGAACTGTTCGCAGGTAGACGCCGGAGTAGAGCCCAATATGAAGATATAAAGTGGTTCCTCCGGAGGTGGAATCGGCCATTGCCATGATCGACAAAGCAGAGGGAGCTGAAGTAAGTGCTTGAACAGACTTATTCTCCAAGGTTGAATCAGGATCAAGACTCAAAATGCGCACTGTTGAATCGTCGCATCCGACAGCAAGGAAGGAACTCCGAACACGACCTTCTGGGACGTCACCCAAGCTTAAGCAGGTGACTGTACCGGTCATTTCTCTTCGCTCGTCGTATTCCGCTAGAGAGCCGTCGGTGTCCATTTCGAAGTAGACAATCTCTCCAGAACTTAAGGCCACGGCGACCTGACGCTCATTCGTTGTAGCTGCGACTATCGATCGATGTTGTGGTGCAGGCCACTCATTAACTCGTTTGTCTGCCCGGATATGCCGAATCCCTCTCGGGTGCACCTGGATCAGAGCGTCCTCACCAAGCTGTTGCACGGCAAGTGTAGGAGCAGTGGAAAGAAAACCGGTGTCGGTGACTTCCTCAACCGTTTCTCCGATGCTTAACACAAGAGTACCAGTCTTGAAAGACAGGATGATGTAGGCATCGTATTCATCCTCGCGTGTCAGTTTCGTAGTCCAGACGGCTTCGGGTTTATCTGGTAGTTCAGATTCCACAATCTCGGATACCGACAAGCCGTGCTTGAGAGTTTTAAAACTGCTTCGAGCTCCGGCGCCACATATTGAGTATATTTGCGGTGCATCTTCGTCGAGGAGGTTTGCGACCTTACAGTCGAGTAACGGGTTTGCCGCGTCGATGGTCTGGACAAGATTGAGGTTGGATAGTGGCCGGACATGAAAATACGCAGGTGTATAAGAGTCGGTTGGATCAGCTGGGAAATTGTCGCTCGAGAACTCGGTCTCATCGTCGTCATCTCCGAGCTTTTCGAACTGGTAGAAGTGATGGTTGCCACATTCGCTCGCCACAAACAAGAAACCACTCTTCAGGATGTGCAGGCTGTTTGCGACAGGAACAGTGTCAAAGTATTTGATCTTCAGAGCTTTGACTTCGCCAGTGGGCTGCCCGTTGTCATCCTCCGCCATCTCGATAGTAACCTTGAACAGGTCACCGTCTTCGGTTTGCAGCAGTAAGAAAAACTGGCCTTTCATCTTGTGCATGACTCCTGCCACAATGTGGCGTTTTCGTTCGGGATTTTCCAGAACACCTCGCCTCCGAGGTATGGGTACGCGAAAGGCGTCTTGATTGGAGTGTCGATATGTGATGTTGTCCTCTGCACAAACCAATACACCACTTGGCCCATCAGATCCACCAGGTACCTGAAACAGCTTCGAAGCATCTCGAGCGACAGGCTCTGCCCATTTGCGGACGACGTGGTTGAGTCCAAGGTCAAGCTCGTAATAAACAAGTAGCTTTTCCACCTCTTCGAGAGCTTGGCCAGTTGGGTCTTGGTCCACCTCAGTATAGTCGACCTCGAGCGCCGCAAAAATTGGGTTCTCATATCCGACATCCAGGGCCACGCAGTCAAAGACCAACGTTTGCGGTTTATGCGCTTCGAGAGGCGAGGAGATAGTCAGCTCGGCTTGAGCATTTCTGTTCAAGACATAGACCAATTTGTTCTTCTCCACAGAAGCAATAATACATGCTCTTCCCTTCGGATCAACTGCGAGGTACTGTCCTGGGATTACTCTTCGAATGCCAGACTTTCCGTAGGTCTCGAGGTGCACGCGGTTGAAGCGATTGTGTTCCTTGACATAGTCGAGGATAGTGATGCGGCCTGAATCGGAGCCTACAATCAGGTAGTCTGGTGATGGATTAGCGATGCTATTGAATCGGGTGCCACCGTGACATACCTTTGCTACTGCCAGCTAACCGGAATGCAGCCAAACTTCTGATGATGCCGAAACAGTCTTGGGTAAACAGCGGCGAGATTTTACCCTGAGAAGGGTCGGGTCTGTGGATGGTGAGCTTCGAGCCAGATGCTGTGATGATCTGTTGCTCTTTTGTACCGGCAAATTGGCCCAACACGGCTGCAGTTATGGCTGACGGCGGCTGTATAGTCAAGCTATACATGAACATAGAGCTTGTGGTCGCCATGGTGGGTGGAGGGATAGAGCGTCACGGGAAAGTGGCAGTTTTGAGTCCTGCGATGAGGCTCGTAGTGGTTGTTCTCTGATCAGAATATCTCGTGCATGGTGGCCGAGGCGACTAAAGACTTCGAGCTCACGGCAATAAGAATATGCACAGAGCTCCTCCGTGTGCGAGTCGACGTAGACCCGAATGAATCAAGCAGAGCCTTGTAGTAGTGGTCTTTTCTGTATCAACGCGAGGCGGAAAAAGGTCCAGGTTGTGCCAAGGCGTGGTAAATCTGCTCCCGCCTGATCGGGAAAGAAGGTGATGCCGCCCTGATTGTCACGTTGTATACGAAAAGCACAGCCTTGTCAACTCCATGTTTACCTTACCTACCGATTTTGAAAAGCCAACCACTCGTTGATGTCGGCACTTGTTCTTTTCCAACATTCAGAGGCACTAAGGTAGGCACAGACAGTGTCTGCGTCCCCAAATCCAGCAGGCAATGGCATCCAAAGCTCACCTCTGTTCCGCAACAACATGGGGCTCTCCCCTTGCTCCAAAGACAGCCGTGCTCATCCACGGGCTCAGCAGTAATTCGCAATGCTGGGTTACGGTTGCTCCCGAGCTAGTCAAACAAGGTAACTATCCTGCCACTGACGCATTACATCTCTCTCTTCGTTTCTTCTGACCTGTCCCAGGCTACTATGTCATTGCCCCCGATCTTCTTGGTCATGGACTGGCTGCAAGGAGCAATACCTACGAGCGCGACGACCTCGTTGAAGATATCTTACCGCAAGTCTCTCATCGATACATCGACTTACTGATCGGCCACTCCTTGGGCGGACCTGTTTCTCTTGGCCTCTATCCTCACCTGAAGACGAAGCCCAAGCGGTTTGTTCTTGTCGACCCGGTCAGTTCTCATCCTCTCCAGTGAGAAGCCAGCATCCCAATATATGCGCAAGCCTCGGGCCCCACAGCTTAGCCATGTCGCTACTCACCAGAAGACAAAGTCATTCGATCTCACCACATAAGCTAACACCACATCCCCAGGCTTTAGAACTCAGTGAAAGCGAAATAGAAGTTATCATGAGGAGCGATTTAGAAAACATCAAGACAAGAACTTCACCACAGCAGTTTCAGGAGAGATTCCCGAGCTGGGACCCAGTAACTTGTGTCGTGAAGAGTATGGCTGTCGCGCTTGCCGACGCTGAAGCAGTCGAGTATATTGGCACCGTATGCAGTGGATTGCCTCCCGAAACCTGGGAATCTTGGATTGAGTCTGACCTTTCTGACAGAAATATCGACCTTGGTCGTGCACGAAAGACTTACCGCCAGCGGCCAGCGATGGAGTTGAGATGGTCATTATTGGAGCAGATCCTCTGAAAGACGCTGTCTTTAAGCCTGCGCAAGCTGATGCTCTTGCCCGGAGTCACCCGGACATCAAGTGCATAGTTGCGGCGGGAGCGGGCCATAGTATACAGCGGGATGACCCCAAGAGTATTGTTCGAGCGGCTTTGGAGCCGCTCGAGTCTTTGTAAAGAAGGACATTTCACTTTACCCAGTCTTTGGCTTCTCCCGTATCTCCACGGTCTTCTGCCTAAACGCCTAATAAGTTCAGGTGTCTTTGACCGTGCTTCAGCATGGATGTTCAAGTATAGGCTTTCCTCGCAAGCCAGGAGAAACTCTCTGGCTTGCCTGCCTCGCAGTGTCCCGATCTCGTCATCGGAGAACAATCTACCTTACCGGTGATGCTCGTCTGGACCCAGGAAGATCTCGGGAAAAACTGGTATTGTTCGCCCTCAGGGAATCGCAAGCCAAAAGGCAATCGTAAAGGTCACAGAAACTATTCAACTCAGCTGAGGGTTGTCGTTTTTAAGTTCTAGTTTGGAAAAGGCGCGCAGAAGGACTGCAGGATAAATTCAACCGTCAAGGCGAGGGTGAGTTACAGGGCGAGTGGGAAGGTGAGTATAGGTAAGAGGAGGGTGAGTCGCGAGCAGGTGGACTTTAAAGCGGCGCCTTCTGCCGAGCAGATTCACCACTGCACTGCATTGCTTGAGCCGCCCAGGAAATGGTCAGCCTGCAGTGTTGGCCGCCAGCCTGAGCGCGAGTGCGTTGCACCACTAGGTAGGTTAGGTAGGTACCTACCTAGTACAGGTGGAGGCTTGTGCCTGAGGCGCCCTTACAAATTGGAGACCGTAGGATCGCTGGGGGCTAAGGACGCCCACCAGTAGGCATTATTATTAGTATCCTCTTTACATTGGGCGCAAAGCAGCGGCACCGCTGCCCCTCGGTCCCACCGAAACTGATGCCATCGGAAGCGTCACACACCCCCCGTCCCTCTCCTCTGCCACTTATTATTACTAAGTGTAGTTTGGAGGCCAGGCAGTCATCTGGTGATGACGATCTGCTAAGAAAGTTGCTTTGCTGTTGGTCAAATGCCGAGGACAGGAAACTTGCAACCCGTACAAGAACAACTCACTCGGTGGTTTGTTACTACTCCTACAAATCGGCCAGCTTGCCTCTTGTCGCTTGTCGTCTTCACCACCCTTTTCCTTCCTTGACCATTGAGAAACACGACGATCGATCACCTACCTAGGTATCTCGCCCTTCCTCCATCTTCTTCCATCTTCTACCCGACACAGTGTCATAGCACAACTCATCCTCAGCCTTCGAACGCTGCGACCTCTATCCTGAATATCACCGTTTTCACAACCCGACTCCACCTTTATCTATAATCCTCATACCCTATCGTCAACCGTCATACTGCGATAGATTTGACTGAGCGGCATTGCTACCATGGCCGATGCTTCAGGCACTGAGGATGCCACTGTCACCTTCCATGTCAAGTCGTCTGGCGGCCAGAAGTACACATTGACCCTGCCTCTTTCAACAACGACAATCGATCTGAAGAATAAGCTTGCGTCCGAGGAATATGCCAATGTTCCTGCGTCGGCCCAGCGGTTGATTTACAGCGGCAAGGTATTGAAAGATAATGAAACACTCGCCCAGCACAATGTGAAGGAAGGGAACACTATGCATCTTGTCAAGAGCGCCGCAAGCAATCAACGACAGAATCCGGCGGCGCAATCATCTACTTCCACCTCCTCGCCTGGCGCAGCACCACAAGTTGCCGGCGTGCCTCAGAATTTGGCGTCCGGCACCGGAAATGACCCCTTGGCCGGGCTGACTGGCGCAAGATATGCCGGCTTTGCACAGCTCCCGAATGCCAGTATGTTCCAGACCCCTCAAAGTCCGGATGACTTTGTGCGGCAGTTGGAAGATCCAAACTTCCAGCAGATGATGAGAGAAGCGATGAACAACCCTCAAATTGTAGACATGATGATCAACCAGAGCCCCCAACTGAGAGCAATGGGTCCGCAAGCAAGACAGCTACTGCAATCCGACTATTTTCGCCGCGTCATGACAGATCCCCAGGCAATTCGATCGGTCATTCAAATGCAGTCAGCAATGGGAATGGGACCATTTGGTGGTGGCGGTCAGGAGGCTTTTCCGGCACCTGGCGTTGTCAATACGACGGACACGCCGAATGCTGGAGGTGATGCGAACACTCAAGCCGGACAACAGCAACAGCAACCTCCGCCAAACCCCTTCGCTGCCTTGGGAGGAGGCGGCGGTCTTGGAGCGAATCCTTTTGGAAGTCTTTTCATGCCACCCTTTCCAATGCCCAACCAGGCGACGACGAGCCCGGGATCACAGAATAATACCGCTGCTCAAAATGATGGGGCCGATTCAGCTACGCAAGGTCAGCAGCAACAACAGCCACCGAATCCGTTTGCCGCCTTGTTCAATCCTGCAATGTTTGGGCAACCACAAGCAGGTGCTGGTGCCGGCACAGGCGCACCACCTCCGGTGAATCCTTTCGCACCTCAGAACAACCCGTTCTTGCAGAATCCGGAGGCGATGGCTCAGTTTATGCAAGCCATGGGCGGCATGGGAGGAGGTCTGGGTGGCGGTGCGGGTAATATGGGTGGCGCGGGTACTGAAGGGGCCAACTATGGGGGTTTGTTCGATCTGCTGGGAGCTGCGCGGCCAACTTCGCCACCCGACAATCGACCACCGGAAGAACGATATGCGACTCAATTGCAGCAACTCAATGATATGGGCTTCTACGACTTTGACCGCAACATCCAGGCACTGCGGAGGACCGGTGGCAGCGTCAACGGAGCCATAGAGTATCTGCTCAGCAATCCGTGAGTTCTTTCAGTGTCAGCATGTCAGTCCAGTCAATGAGAGTCGGGTTCTGTTCGGACTTTTTCTTCATTATACCTATCCTGGGAGTTTGACCGGAGGAGTTCAAGCGGTCTTGAACCGGCAAGCTTGCAATGTACACATGATGAAAGCGGTTTCCTGCAATGAGCATCTCGTGCGCAACGCATTCTTTTACTGACCTTCCATTCCAAATTCCTCTGGCCCTTGATTTTTTGAAAGTCTCTTTCGTTCAAGTAACCCGTCTTTCTCTGGGCCACGGGAGTACCAATCCATCTCTGCTGAAGTACATCCTGGATTGATTCGCCGTGATCTGGATGAGTGGACTGCAAAGTGGCATGCTGCATTGATTGAAGCCCAGAAGACGGTTCCTGCTCATTCGGCGTTGGAAGGTTCAGGTATGGCATACTAATATCTCTGCTGCCCTGGCCAGGCTGGACATGGCCGCATTCAGAATCTCCCAGGCATGGTGTATGCCTCTCTCTTTTTCCCCCTTCCTTTCTAGGCTGCTCTGCAACTTGACCCAGACCCATCAACTGACTGAAAGACTGACCGACACTCTTGGTATTCTCTGACATTGGCATCTCATGCAGTGGCTTTGTTTGTCCAAGGATGTGATGGAGCGGCATGTAGCATCAAACCACTGCACTGCACGAGACGATTCCTCTCCCCAGACAGCCGTACCTGGTACAGACACGGTTACTAGGACCGAAATCAAGCGATGGAATCCCCTTTTTCTCGCCAGCTCCAGCTCGCACGGACGGCATTGGAGACTGAATCACCCCAGAACCAGGTCGACCCATAACGTCCTGCGTCCTCTTTCATCTTCCTCGACTTCGACCTTCTTCTCCTTCTCCGACGGAACTGCATCCACCAACCCTCCCACCCCCGAACAGCTCAACGCACTCTGCACAAAAGCACCACAACAAGCTTCGCCATATTCCAGCAACCCGTGGCCTCTCTTGGCCAGCAGGACCTCGGGCCTCGCATCCCCAACAAACAGCCGGACCTGGATATACCGAATCCAGCGTCGATCCTGTGGCCTCGTGCCGAGAAACAGTCTCTCCAGACAGACCCCGTCGCAGACGACAAAGCGTTTCGTTGTCTCTTTCGGCGATCCAGTGAGGCCCATCAGCAACGGTCGGACTTCGTCGTGGATCTGTCGGTTGACGCGCAACAACCGGGTATCCAGACACGTGTAGATGTTGAAGTTCTCGCGACCGCATTTTTCGGGTCTGCAGATCCTTGTACGGTCTCCGTCTCCGTCTCGGGTTGTGGATACTTTGCATGGTTCGACTGTGTGAGGGCCGACGACGAGGGTCCAGACCTGTAGACGGATTTCGAATGGCAAGGTCAGGAGCAAAGACATGATATGATGGGTTGGGACGGTTTCCAGGTTCTTGTGATGGATATGATGTTGGCATGGAATTTGTGGTCAGTGGATGGGGAGAGTGGTCTGTCTGGATCATCTACAATCTGTCAGTCTATGAGTAGACCGATCTTTCCATCTTAGAGAAGAAATTAGGTAGTAGGCGTGGACAGAGGGAGGCTCTGGTCGCGACGATGAAGAACCAAAAGACGAGGCTGTCAAGTGGTCCCAATCGGGGTCCCAATACAATATCCTTCGTGCATTGATGGCTGGCTGACTTCAAACACGCCCTGTGCACACCAACACACCCGCAAGCATGATTAGCGCTTACCACCTTATGGACAGATGGGACTCTCTCCGTTGTATCTAGAATAAGGCATCTTTTGATAAACATCGAACCGAAGATGGCCTCCTATAGGAGCAGAGTTAGTCAGTCGTCTTACTAATCAGTAAGCAGCGGTGCGGTGAGGTCGGCCAATATTTTATCCTGTAGCCCTTACTCTGGGATGGTAGGTAGGTAGGTACCAGTATCAATCCTCAAGTGGAACCATGGTAGATGAGCAGTCGGACTAGCTGCCAGGAAGACAGACTGTCCCTAGTACATCGGAAGGTAAGCATCTTGTAGGAATCCCTTGGTCTTTCGCCTCGTGCTTGTCCATGACCTGCTTCTTTTTCGGCTGGCCACGTCTTCCAAATCACCATTCAGAAGGAGAAAAACAAGGACGAGGTAGTACGATCTGCAACGCTCGAGTCGATATCTGGACATGATGCATTTGTATCTCAACGAATTGGACCATATATCTCGTATCCAACATGAGGACTCGTCCTCAGTTCATAACCACACTCCTCGTCAGTTGTCGCCTTGACATACTCTTATCACCGGCCTTCCAGATATATCCAATGGAATCCTTCATGCTTATTCTTTCCGCCTAGCTCCTTCGCCACGAGAAGGACCTGTGAAAGTGAGAGAATATCTCACGAAGTCCCAACAACATTCCCAATCAGGAACACCGGACTCTTGTTACTGAAGTTCTTGACATCCTCCATCACAGCGGCAGTCTCTTCACCTCCCATCGCTTTGCCAATATTGTCCGCCGACTCCCAATGCAGCACTCCCGCGACACTGTATGGCTTGGAGCCGTCGGGGCCTGGAGCGAACTCGATGACTTCCCAGCCCGTGAGGCCGTATTTGGCCCATTTCTCATAGACCAGCGGCATGTGTGTTTTGAGGTAGTACGCCATGTCGAACGTCGCGTCCGATTCGGCCGGATACAGGACTGTTGCGTTGGCAGGCATGTTTGGGGGGAATTGGATCTTGTTTGGAGATGTGTTCGTGAGACCAAAAGGGAGGGGAGAGGGCCGTTGGGTCTTCTGTTTCTTCTTTCTTCTGGCTTTTTCGCACTCGGTTTGAACCTCGACTGCACTGACTGTACTGTACTGAGCTCTGCTGTCAAGGTTGGAGGTTGTGTAAGGCACACAAAGTAGATAGGTAGGTTATATAGGGTAGGTGAATGGGAAGGGAGTTCGGGTCAAGTCCAATATGGGGTGCGGGGGGAAAGAGAAGAGCGGGGAGGCTCATTTATATCTGTATGACTGTATGACTGTATGACTTTGACTCTTGGAGTCGTCTTGGACCTCTATCTATGTATCTACCTGAAACTAAACGCAGAACCCTATCTGCCGGCCCTAAATGCTCTCTTGCCTCGGTCCTGCGGCTTGTGCTAAGCTGCTGATGTTTGTCTGCGCTTCGTTCGCAGGGGTGGTAGTGGTGGTGGTGGTGGTGGTGAGCGGGAGTTCCTTTGGCTCATCTGCGTCTCCGGCCGATATGGATGCCAGGCCGAAGGAGATTTATTACTCGTCAGTCCTCGCATAAGCTGATTATAGTCAAGTCCTGTCTTCCCTGGAGACTGGACGCACCAGTATATGGAATGAACTGTCTCATGAATGGTAGCCTGTTTCGCTCTCTTTTGGGGCCTTGCCTAGCTAAAGGATCCGCTCGGTACAAACCACCTCACGACTGAGCTGTGTTATTCCAACCTCAACCATCTATGCCCGCGCTAGAACTCCTACCACTCTCTGGAACAGCTGCTCCGGGGTTGGCGCCTGAGTCGAGGACACGATATTCAACACGCTGTCCAGACCTCCGGCCCCAGACGTGGGATTTGTAGCTGTAGCATCCGTAGACGCGGCCGTCAACAGTCTCTGCGGCTCTCTACCGGCTTGGGAGGCCTCCGCAACGGCAGTCGTATGACCCTTGCCGAAAATACTGTCCAGGCTTCTCGTGACGAGATCGGACTCCTGCTGTGCGTCGGCCGATCCGCCGTGACCGACATTCCAAGCCCCTGCTGGTCTTAGTGATCGACACCGATTCTTGTCGTCGATCATCAAATAACCTGGGGTGGTCGTCAGGGCGAGCAGTCCCTTCAGCGCCCCAGTGAAGGAAGTCTCGTGCACACACTTCAACTCGCCTGTGCGAAGACTCAGGACAACCAGTTTGGTCGCTCGAGGTTTGTCAGCACGTGAAATGCTGACAGCAACAGTGCCGTCCAATTTGTTCGTGGCAAGATGGCTTGGGCTATTACTACCCGGTGCAACGTACTCTGGGTCGAGACCGACACTCGCGACGATCCTGCTGGTCAGAGTATCGAAGATGTTGAGATACTGAGACAGACAGACAAGGTAACGGCCTACGAAGGCAAGCTTGCCCTCGCCCGGCGACAGAAGGTCCGGTTGGGAACCACAGATCTGGCCCGTCGCAGGATCGATGAGCTGGACATACCGATGGGCCGACGCTGGCCCAGACCACGAAGCCGTCAGTACCGAACCGTCGTCGGAATAGGTGACTGCTGCAGATGTTGCAGGTCCAGCTCGACCCTGCGCCTCTGATTCGCAGTTTATCGTCTTCGAGGTCGCCCAGGTGTACAGCTGCTCGTTGGACTGGTTCTTGACAGCAACGCCGTTACGGTGTCGCGCTTTGGGAGTCCACAGTCGAACAGAAGCATCCGAACCGATAGTAGTAATCTCGACTTTGGTCGGATTGACGCTCAGACCGAGAACAGAGCCAACACCTGGCTTGTGAGGTTCATCAACCCGAGTGACCAGCTCCCACGTGCCCTCATCTTCATTCCAATGCCAGAACTTGAGAGTCGTTTCGACTGCCGCACCTCGTGTTGACGCATCGTCCGCGTCAATGTACATTGTCTCAATGTCTTGCTCGTTCGGCTGCCATTCGTCAACTGTTGCTAACCACTTCCCGTCGTGGCTGATAGCAACATGGGTCACATTGGGTTCCCTGACTATGTCACCACTAGGAGCCACGTTCTTTGCCGTTGTCATGTTCCTCGTCAGAGCCTGTCGGCCGAGTTGAAGGTTGGACTCGAGATCGTAGACTTGCAGGAGAGTCGAGCCTCTGCCTCGGCGAGACCCATGTGTGACAGCATTAGCAGTGGCCGCTGCTAGGAGTCGATTTGCACTTGTCGGATGCAGTAGCATCGTGGAAGAAGTCGACTGGACATCTCCCAAGGCCAGCCCGCTGATGCTCGAAAAGGGTAGCAGATCTGCCGTCGACAGGACCATGACGGAGTTGTCGCCCAGCCGTAAGGCATATGCTGACCCCGTAGCAGAGACGGTCAATCCAAGAATGGGGGTCGACAGATGAGGCAGATATTGCCTCTGATTCGTGTCCAATTGCCAGATGACGAGCACTGTCTCGTTTCCTCCGGAAATGATGTAGTTGCCATCTCGAGACCATTTCACCGAGTTGACCCCCGTCCTGTGCCAGTGGAGTTTGCGTGCTACTATCTCGTCTGTCGAGTTCTTTTTCTCCTTGCCAATGAGTTTGAACAGAAGATCTTCGTAGTAAACAATGACCCCGCTGTTCAACCCGAGCACGACATCTACCAAAGGCACCTTCCTGCCACTTTTCGATTTGCCCACGTTGATCTGAGCGTCGAAGCTTAGAATCGGTGCAGAGACAGACACTTCTCTCCAGGTGTAATCCAATGAAAGCTTGCCATCAGCATCAATTTGTGACTGACCAACCAAAAGTCTGTCTGCTGCACAAGCAATCAAGACACTTCCACTGGCGAATGACCTGATGATGGGCGCAACGCCAACTCTGTGGAGAACCGTCGTTATTTCCTTCAACTGATTGGTGAATAGGTTGGCATCAAAGATGAGAGCGGATTTGCTGGATTGAACGTCTTGTAAAGCAAGTATTGTCTCTTTCCCACTCACGGACGTCAGAGGCAACACTTGCTGCAGTCCCCGTCCGGTGTTATGACGACTGAGCTTTTCGCCTGTTGTCCAATCGAACAAAGAAAGAAGCCCTCGCGAGCTGGTGACATACACTCTCCTTGGGTCGGCGGAGGAGAGGGCGCAACTTGTAATATCGGACTTGTTATCGACGCGGAAGCTTCTAACCAGCAGCGAGGTTTTGGTGGAATAAACATGAATCTCCGAGTGCGTCGGGAGAATCAGATATTGATCATTGTCCGTCAAAAGGGGATCCTGGTCAACAAAGACGCCGCCCGTGCTCGGGGATAGAGACCACCCGTTGTTATCCACCTCTGTTTGCTTCCCTCTTCTCTTCTCAATTTGCAAGAATTTCTGCTGAGCTCTTTTTGGTTTCTTTACTATAGCCTTGGTGGTATCTTCCGTGGAAGGCGGTTTGCCAGCTGGCCCATCTTCTGCACCAGCTGACTTGCTCATCAGCTCTTCCACCTGGGATTTTGGTGGTATGTCGGTCTTGTCTGTTACTTTTGAGACTTGCGTTGGGCCAACAATATCTTGCAATTTCGCGGCCTGCTTTCTCGTTTGCTTTGCAGATGACACCGCAGTAGGAGATGACTCGGTCTTCGGAGGTTTTAGAGCGTCCTCGTCCTCGCTCTTTCGCGCTCTCCTCTTTCTCTGGCGCTTGAGTGCATGAGGACTGCCATTCGCACTGCCCTCGAATGCGGTATCAGCATCCCTCTTCACTAGCTGCGACATCTTCACTCGGCGAACACGGACAACAAGAACAAGTCCGCGGCTCTCAATTGTCTTGCAAGCTTTGTTTGTAGCATTCAAGTTTGGCGCAGTCTCGTGAAATCTGAACTTTTTTCTCCGCACCAGTCTTCCACTGTCAAGAAGGGAAGGTTTGCCGTGTCTGCCAAGTTGGACTCGGCAGAGTTTCCTCATCCGCCCGCAGTCTTTCCTCCCGCGGAATTTCTGTTGGATTCGCGAGGCAATTTTCTGGCCTGTTGATCAAAGAAACTTGGGTTTCGTCTTCAGCAACGTCTACTATCTCTCGCGTATCTGTGCAAGATGATTATCCCAATTCGTTGCTTCTCCTGCGGGAAGGTAGGTTTACTACTTCGTCATCTTCTGACGGACAAAGACTGACATGCCGCAGGTGATTGCCGATAAATGGGAGCGCTACATGAAATTGCTCGAGGAAGGCATACCTGATGGGTAAGTGTGCGAACTCAGCCACTCGCCTGGGGCATAGTATGCGGCGAGATATACTAGAAACACCGGCTGATTCTGAATGCTGGCATAGGGAGGCGATGGATCAAGTGGGCGCAAAGCGGTACTGCTGTCGGCGCATGTTGATGACCCACGTGGACTTGATCGAGAAGCTGCTACAGTACGTTTTCCTTCCTCGAAGCGCAACATATACGCCCCCCTGTAGAAGTTGGTTGCAGTGGCTGATCAGATTTCCGTGGCATACAGATACGACCCCGCCGAACGAAGACTGAAGGCGCAGTGATGCACGGACGAGAACGGTTTTCAGATGATTCGATGTGGTTGGCGTTATTTGGGACGAACGAAATGTGATCCGCGATCCGGCAAACGATCAGAAAGGAGTTTCACAAAATTACATCTGGCATGCATTAAAGCAAGGCGTTACAAAATGGACAGGACGCGGCATTCTAGCTTCTTCGTCACAGCAAGGCATCGATCATGAGGGATGCGATACCTCTGCATGGAGTGTGTCCACGGACAAGGTGGCGAAGGCATGGAAAGGAAGCAGCGTGGAACATCTAGCGGATGCAAACGTCTGGAAGCCGACACGGCCAGGTGTGAACCGACCATAATCTGAGACGCCCTACAAGGAGCGCTGTATAGTTTGGCTGTGGCCCGCGGTATTCATGGTCTACTCAACCCAACCTGCTTACTCCGAACTCGCCCAGTCGGCTTCCATACACTCCACCAACATTCCACTTCAGCTGGACGACCATCACGACCCTGCCAGTCGTCGAAGCCACAATCTGTACCTTCGGCCACGAGATCAAAGCCGTGAATGCGCAGGGTATCTCGCAAGTCCTGTCTTTCCTTATCAAACCGGTCTCGCAATGGCAGTTCAACGATGAACCTGGCACCGGGAGATGAAGAAATCCACCGACGCACAGCATTCACAAGCAATATGGGATGTTCTGAAGAATAGATAGGATCCGCTGCCAGTATTACCATGAATTTGTCTTGCTCATCACGAGGACTGTCTGTTTCGTCGGCCCAATCGAGTGCCCGTGCTTCGACAGTGCCGCCGTTTTGTGTGATCACGTCTCGATTCTGCTCGAGATTCCGCTGCAGATTGGGGACGATCTCCGGTAAGTCGGTCAGTAGAACATGCGTGTTCCATAAGCAAGCCGCAGATATGCCGACAAGACCAGTGCCCGCTCCAAGTTCGAGCACCTTTGTACATCCTTCGGGTATGTACCTACGGCAGTCCATCAATCGTTGTGACAACAACAGCGATGACGACCAGGTTTTGAAACCAAGGTTATCGCCGGTCAGAGAGGGCTCATGCAGACTGATCGTCAGGGTATTGTTGATGGTGAAAGAGCGAGTCATTGAAGGCATCGCATTTCTCCCTGCTCGTTCACTCAACCGGGCACTTGCGGCGGTCCATATCGAGTCCTTGGCCTCGTCATCGTCGATCCAATAAAGACTCGACGAGACGATCGAGGTAAGATACCGTGGAACGCCTTGTTCAGCAACCTCGACTCGACGAGCGCGATCGGTTTTCGAGAAAGTAGGCGTCTCACAACAAAGGAGATCCATAGTACGGAGCAATGTAGCCGCTGAAGGTTTTTGATAGAGCTGAGGCAAATCATACACTGCATGAACAAAAGAGAGTGAGGAGATGAAGAGACATCAAAAGAGGATCCCAAGCAAACTTCGACCTACCATCAAGCACTATAGGATCCTTGAGATTGAAGGCTGAATCAGGGGGCTCTTCCAAATACGGACACATCTCCCGGGTATATTCTGCGCCTGCAATGATGACTTCTCGCCGTTCGTATCCAATGTCCACAACAACAAACACTAGCCGCCCTGGACAATGATACCACCACGCGGATCGTTGACGCAGAAAAGAGAGAGATCCTCACAAATCTGGGTGTGCTGACGTTATGGTCGCTTCTGGCCGGGGTCTAAAAATGGACCATAGGGCTGTCGTCGGGCGAAGCGATGGGATCGAGACGCGGGGAACGTGTGACCGGAGTTCGGTTGTGGTGTATGAAGTAAAGCAGAAAGGTGGAAAGATATGCTCATCGTGGAGTTTTTCGATTTGGAGGCTGCAAATGGTGCCCACAAGGTGGAAATTGGACAAAAAGACCGAGTTTGATGATGGAGCAAGAGATACGAGCCTTGCGATATGTCATTGGCCGGCCTGGGGCTTGGCTGTCAGACTTGGCAATTGCTTGATCCTAATCCACGCTAGGCCCTATACGGCTTCCCTGTCTTGCGTGGATGCAGGTACCACACTGGCAGGCACCAGGCAAGTGACTTACCAGGCCGAAAAGCAGCCAGCATAAAAAATGGATTCCATGATCTCGAGGGCTGACACCATGAATCCTTCTGACCGCTGCCCCGAATCAGGACACTGTTACGCCAACCACACCCTGCCTCATCCCGGTGAGAGGCCGGAACTACTCCTAGTACGAAACGGACCTGCAAGCGACTGGCGCCCACTACTTGGCGCCAGCCACGCCAGCCAGAACCAATTTCCCTTTCCCCTGACCCTGAGAAGACCTTCACAGAATTCGGGATCGGCCGCCAACTGCTTTCAAATACCTATCTCCAACGCTTGGTAATGATGACCAACCTAAAACAAGATGGGCCGGAAGTGGTCAATAGACGGGAACAGTAATGTGTGGGTGGAATTGTTGTTGCATCATGACTCTAGTGTTCATGCATGACTATCCTGTGAGACTCTCTCCACAGAATCAACACATGAACAGCACTTCATGCGCGCGGAAGCAGAATTGCAGTGCTGGTTGACGCCCAGAAGTCCAGAAGAGTCCAACCACCCGCCACTGCCACTCGCGGGCTCATGGTCTTACACCGCCACGGGCACAGCTGCAAGAATTGGGGAAACCCTGAAAGACATGGCCGTATATGGTTCAGTGGCTTGCAGGGGTTCAGGAGATTGTCCTATGATCGTTGGAAGGACTTTTGACGGAGTCAGCCTCAAACAACCGGGCAGCTGTTGATTGGTTGGTGATCTACCTCTTCCTCCTGGCGTGTATCCATTTCGGGCCATTACCACCATTGACGGTCCACTTCACCGGCCATCTCCTGAACGACTGCTTGTTGACTTTTGCGATCACTTTGGCTGCCTACCAAGAGGAAAGAGTTCTTTGGGTGTCGGATGGGACTCTCTCCTCGGCCGCAGCAGGCATACGAGTGCAAAGGGTTTCGAAACCATTCTTACAATCATCAACTGCATACATGACGGATTCCGGTGAAATCTTTATCATCCGACCAATCTGACAGCCGTCATCTCGGTCGTTCCGGTGAAATTCAACCTTTCCCACGTTGTCCAATGTTGACAGGCGGCCCAGAATTCCGATGGCGGTTGTCACCCATAAAATGAAGTCCCGGCTTTCAGCCATCAAATCTACGACCCCGTCGATGGATGCTAGGAGTCTCAGCTGAACAAAAGGCAAATGATACATAGGTATGGAGTAAAATCGAGCCAAGGGCCCAACTCCTTTTAGCCATCTCATCCGGGCCAGGGTTTCGCTTGTTGAAATTAGCTTACCTTTTCCACAATTGTCCGCCAGACTTGAGCCAGTCCTGGTGGCTACCTGGAACTTGGATTCCCAAGACCCCATAGTGTCTTCGACCCGTCAGAGCCCATCAATAGGGTTGACATAAGAACATACGCCGTGCCCTCTTCTGACAGATGGTCTTGTTTGTCTTTCCCCAGCTCGGATCAACATCATTTGTTCACTTGATTGGATTTCCAGTCATCCACTCGTTTTCTTCTCTTTGAGCTCGCTCTCCTGTCAAGGTCCTTTGACCTTAGCCACTCGTTTGTCCAACAAAAACACTTACCAGACTCGACTATGCAATATTTATCTCTCGCCCTGCCGCTGGCTGCGTTGATCAGCGGCACCTTTGCCAACCCCCTCGAACGACGAGGGTATGCCGACTGCAAGTCGAATGCGTGCTTGGCCGCCGTGACGGGCAAGGCAGCTCTTGGTGACGGACACCTTCGAGCTGGTCACTGCGCCAGCTTTTTGGCCACGACCGTTACTCCTCCCGCCATCACCGAAACCCTGACTTTGACTGGAGTCGGAAAGGATGCAGGCCTCTGGAAGCGCGCCAGCGTGACCGTTTGCCCGAATGAGGTTCCCAACTACGCCAGTGCTTGCGACGACGCTGCCTATTCGAGCGCATGCGCATGCTTCGGATTCACCGAGGTCAAAACCACCACGATTGCACCAACGACTACCACCAAGACGGTATACGTTGCTCCCACTGGCGCCGCCTGTTCGACCGCCACTGTTGTCTCCGGCTCTACATGCCCTGCTGCCAGCACCGTCACCCAGACGGTTGCTGTGTCCGGCACCATCACTGCTTCAATAGTCACCGTCACCCAGACGGTTGCTGTGTCCGGCAACATCACCGCTTCAACAGTCACCGTCACCGTCACCAGCTCCGGTTCGGCAGGGAACGGCTCGACTACCACCGTGGTCAGCAGCAGCTCGACCAGCTCGACCACCGCCACCGCCACCACCACTAGCTCTGCTCCAGCATCCAGCTGTGTGGTCGACGATGCCAAGGCTAGCCAGATTGCCGGCAACTTCGCGCAACTGTTGGAGTTCACCTCCTACGCTGGTAATCCAGCCCAGGGCATCCCAGCTGGCAGTGGTTACAGACAGGATGTTTCAGATGCTACGCTGTCCGACAACTTCACCGATATCTCTGACTCGATCAACTTCATGGCCGGGTTCCCGGTAAGTTTGGAAGCGCTTCAATGAGCAAGTGTTTACTATGTTAGGACTCTTTGCTAACTCTTTTTTTACAGCTCGGATCAGTCACCTTCCCTAGCAAGGCCGCCTTCGACTACGGCCAAGGCGTCCTACAACCCGAAGTGACCGTTACGACGCTGAACATCTTCCATGACTGCAACAGCATCACCTGGAGATATCGTCTGCTTTCCAACCCTCAAGCCCTCCCTGTGACGGGCATCAACTACATGATTATCGACCCTGCAGATGGCAAGGTCCTCAAGAACTACGCCGAGTTCGACAACGGTGCCTGGCTCCAATCGTTCGGCCGACAGTGCGCGACAAGCAATGTCTCCGTTTACCCTGGCCCTCCGGCAACCAAGCGGTCCGTTGATGGACAATTGATGGACGTCGAGGCTTTCCACCACTAATTATGCCATGGGCATGAAGCAAACAGGCTCAGTTAATGTGGAGGGGACGGGCGAGCCAGCGAACGAGCGGGCGGGCGATTGATTATCGAGTGGACTTCAGTACGCTGTCCAGATGATCATCTGACCAGTTTTGCATGCATCATATCATACGGACTGGGAGGGCAAGAGCTCTCAAGTTCTCGGGGGCGGGACTCGGACATAATTTGTTTCATATATGAAAGAACATAGTTTCTTGTATCAGCGGCAACGGGAAAAGAATGATCAACGACTGTCCACGGATCACCCACTGGTCTTCTTTCTGTTCCTGCCGCATCTTCATCCTTCACTCTGTCTTGACAGACTCATCGGTCTCGCTGTAGTGTGCTCCCTCGCAGTTCGCTTGGGCCAGCAGCCCCTGATTTGGCAGCCTTGTTGAATTATGAGTACCGAGTGGTATAACATGTCTCGGTCCTGTCAATCTACAAGACAGCGGCCTGGAGTGTACTAAGTAAAGTGCCTGACGGCAGTATTCTAACTTAGCTAGCTCTTCTACGGGCAACTACTTAGATGTATACAAACAAGATCGCTACAACGCCGGACCTGTCGGGACGGAACTCGCGTACCAGAAACCTGACGACTCACGGACAGTCTCCGAGGCATCCAGAAAAAGGAGAAAGGAAAAAAGAGTCTGTGACGGACAAGGACAGGTGGTTGGTAGTGTCTTGCATAGGTATCCAGGCACGTACGTACATTATCCTCTTCCTACAACTATACTGGTCTGGTAAGATCCCCCAACGACTTGAGTCCAGCTTGGAAAGAGATCCGATGCGTGGCCCGGGTGTGCGTGGCCTTGATAGGTACCTACATCCTACTACGTAGTATAGTACGTATACTACTCATTTCGAGCCTCAGCTTGCTTGGGTTCGATGACGATCAAGCCTGGACTTGATTGAACAACTCAACCAATCGAGACAAAATCGAGACAAAAAAAAACCAATAGACCAACCTATCCAGTCAATCAACTCTGAGTCTGTCAACGCTGTCGACAATCAATCATGGCTTCGACAACACCATCACCAGAGCCAGTCTACACCCAAGGCCACAGTGCCAGCGTCTTAGCATCGCACCAATCGCGCACCGTGGCAAACTCGGCCTCGTTTCTACTTCCACACTTGAAGAAGTTAGCCTCGACCTCAACCTCAAATGCCGACTCAAACACAAATGCAAACTCAACCTCCATTGTCGACTCAGGTAGACATTCGAATTCTAACTCCAGTGACAACTCAAACTCCCCCTTCACGCTGGTCGACCTAGGCTGCGGTCCCGGCACAATAACCAGCGGATTCTGCAACCACGTCCCGCCCCGCGGCAGGGTGATCGGCATTGACGCCTCCGCCGCGGTCATCGCGCAAGCCGGCTCCGCCCACCCGGAGTCGACGTACCCGAACCTAGAGTTCCGCGTGGGCGACATCACCACAGCCCAGCTCCCCTTCGCAGACGGCTCCGTCGACGTGGTCTTCACGCACCAAACGCTGCTGCACATCCCCATCCCCGCCGCCGAGCGCGTGGTCAAGGAGGCCCATCGCATCTTGAAACCCGATGGCCGCGGGGTGCTGGCGATGCGTGAGGCCGTCGCGCTCCTCTTCGAGCCCGCGAACCCGGGCACCGATGCGTACGTGAGGTGTGTGGACGCCGCGGTGCGCGGGACGGGCGCGGCCGGGTTCCAGGCCGGGCGGAGTCTGCATGTTTGGGCCGGGCGGGCTGGGTTTGACAGGCGCAAAATGCTCGTCGGCGCTGGTGCGAATTGCTATGCTGGGCCGGAGGGCGAGGCGAGGTGGTGGGCCGACGTGCATGTCGCGAGGCTGGAGGGGGAGGTTGGGGCAGGGTGGCTTGATCGTCAGGTCGTGCGTGGGAAGGCTGAGATTGACGATATGAAGGCTGGTTTGAAGGCTTGGGGAGGTTGTGATGAGGCTTGGGCTTCGATCGTGCAGGAGGAGGTTCTTTGTTGGAAGTGAGATGGAAATGGAAATGGAAATGCACTGGCTCTTCCTTGGACTATGCTTGCTGTTTGGCGCCCCGGGTAGATCTATACATCTGTTCATCTATCGATTCGCTTGGTCGGTAGGTGTCCATGAATGGAGAGGAAAGATACCCAGGGCCAGCAGGGGGACATGGGACGATGCCGAAGACTGGGAATAGGGGTCGTGGAATATTTACTGTGGGATGGAATCGACTTTTCACGGCTGACGAGCCAACCGGGGGAACGCAGCCTTGTCAAGATCTGTCTGATATTTGTCTACAGCCAGAACGATCTCTAGAGAGCGTTCCAGCAGTCTGCCGTGAATCGTACAAACATCAATGGCACCACAGCCATCTGGGCTTGCTGCTAGCCTCCCCAAAGACCACATGCTCGCTGCTGTTTCTGCAGATGGACGCCAATGAAGTGCAAGTTTCTCAACACCTCTGAGAGCTCTCAATCCACATCCGGTACCGGCAATCCCTCGACAATCTTGACTTTCTTTCCCAACTTCGCCAAGGCCTTCCGGGAGTTTTCTTCTCTGAGTCTTTTACTCTCCTCATCGGTGACCAGGACGAAATCGTGCGTCAGAAGTGCAATGCCCTCGTCCACGCCGTACTTCTCCGCGGTGGCTTTGTCCACCTTGCCCAATTCGACGATGAGCGAGTTCTTGACACCAAAGACGGCGTCCGAGGTCTCATACGGGTCGCCTCGGAGGTATAGTGCCCTAAATACGCCGAAAATGGTCAGTCCTACTACCCATGCTGAGACTTGGAGCTCTGAAGAGAAATGGTCGTGCACTCACGTAATCAAATGATCGTAGCCTTCCTTGTCAAACATGAAATGCATGTGTGCTGGTCTCATGGGATGTCTGCGGAGTGTCTTCAAAAGCTGCCCGACAGGCCCGTCGTGTGGAATGGGATACGGCACGGGAACGATGGCCTTGAACCAGAAGTCTCCCTTGTCATCGCTCGTCATAATACACCGGCCATCTGGTTCTGTGCGACCGGCATGCTGAACATCGTAATGCCCTGACGAGTCGGTTTCCCAAATGTCGATCTTCACTCCCGAGACGGGTTTGCCGTTGACATCTTTGACGGTGCAGAGCACGAGAAGAGGATCGCCATTGTCGTCGTGAGACATTAACTCGCCGTGACCCAGACTGTGGGCATCGTGGGTGTGGAAGGGACCGAGCACCGTTCCCTCAGTACTATTGGGGGGTTTGGGGTGATCGATGCTGTCTACAAGCAAAGAGAGACCGAGAATGTCCGAGAGAAGAATGAATTCCTAGCCATGTGCCCTATGTCAGTCCGAATTCGCGACCGGAACTTGATAGCATTGTCACCCCAATGCGAAGAGGGTAGGGCAGAATGGCCCAGCTTGTTCAGATCGACCAGAATGGTCCTGCTTACCTGCCGCACGTCACTGCAAATCTGACCCGTTTTGGTCAGGAATTGTATTCCCGCCATCCATTCGTGTGTACTCAGTCGGGTCTCGCGGGCGAAGTCGTGCAGATGATGCACCAACCGCTCTAGAACGTATTTGAAACGGGCGTCTGGATTGGCCGAGTTGATGAGGTTGACATTTTCAGTGATATTATCAATGGTCAGGTCCATCAACGGTGGAATCGTGACTTGGGAGGGATCCATGTTGGCGGTGGCAGTATGTGGTTGAACTGCGGTCTGAGGAGGAAGTCGGTCCGACGGGCGACTTGAGGAAACGAGAGAGCCGGGATGAGGCTCGATTTGACGGTCAGTCGTCCCAGAAAGTATTGACTTCTAGTTCTCCGGGAGAGGTCACTCCGCCAAGCTGGTGAGCGTGTTAGCCCAGGACAACGGAAGACAAATTCTGTCTGTCTATGTAGACCACGTTCAGATATCATCCTAGCTAACTCGGGGAAGGTACCTTGTATCTGGGGTATGCGTACTCTTATTCACTCTCTCCTGGGGGGCTGAAGGCCGAACTTCAAAAGGGAAGGGCGTCGGGACCAAACTATGCGACTGCGGTGACAAGGACGATCGAGATCGATCAAGTCAGTAGTAGGTAAGACGACGGACGGTACACAGTGCTTTCGAACGTCACAGACGAATCATGGCGCGAGTAAATCGAAGCAGCGGCAGGTGACGACGAGGGACTTGGAAGGATTGAAAAGAACCAACCCTGGTGAAGGCTAGAAGGAAATCCTCTGTAGTAGTAGTTTCAAGAGGTGGGTGTTGGTAGATGGAGGCCTCCTAAGCCCATGGGTGGGTTGCTTTCACCGAGCGGTAGATGCAGTGCAGTGAGTTTCGGTGACTGACCTCATCCGAATGGCGGCACTGATTCTGGGGGGTGGGGGACACATCGGCAAATGCACTCGGGGCTCACGAACGAGCCTCAAGCTCTCTCACCTGAGGCATATACTCTGTAAAGGACAGTGTCACCGGACAGTGAAGTGGACACCAGGTAAGGTACTGCGTAAGGCATCTCTAGGTACCTAGGTTGGGAAGATACCTAGGTATCTTCAGGGAGGCACCTATAGGTAAAGGCAGCTTCAATTCCCCATATTATCGAGGGCAGTCTGGCAGCTCCGGGGGACACTCCGAGGGGCCGATGACAAAATCCCCTCCGTTCATTCATCGCCCGGATGGCGCCGGTGGGGTTCGTCCGCACTTCCACGTTCCCCATGGAATTGATTCCGCCGATAACCGAAATTAGCAGTTTACCAAGTTGTGCAGTGAGTGCATCTCACATGTACTACTAGTATAGTACCAACAAAGCACAATTGGGTCCTGGGTAGGTACCTACATGTAGGTTGCAGCGCAACAGCAAGGAACCTCTCAGGGTGGAAGATGGAATAGTTCTCTTTGCAATGGCAACAGTTCCTCAGGGACTGGTCGCAGGAGGAATGTAGTCCTGCTGCTCAGCCAGTCAGTAGTAATAAACCCTCCAAGCCCGAATGCGCGGATACATTTTCCTTCCCTGTCATCCAGATCTGTCGTATGAACAAGCACATCCTCCATGCCCAGGGACGCCGTAACAGCAAACAATTCCAACTCCAGCATGCCCTAGTCGCTGTCTGCCTGCAATGAATCAATGTCGACCGCAGTACTCCATAGATCTTTCATAACAAAGTCAAGCACCAACGTGCTCCTAGTGACTGCCACGAACAGCCATCCCGAATCTACAGCGGCAGCGTGGGTGTGCGCATCACCATGGAACTCCCAACCGCAAGCTAGTGGCCAAAGCAATCCTCATCTAAGAAGACCGATGCCCGCTCTGGGACGCCGTGCGAAACACTCGAGCTGCCAATGCTTCCAGTCGGTCTTCTTCATCGTTGTCCTCGAAATAACGCTTCCCACCAGGCGGAACTGACGAGGGGACCGTGTTCGGCCCGGCTGGCACTCGACCTTCCGCGGCATCTTGCAACTGCTGTGTCAAGGGCGGGGGTCGAACATCAAACCGTGCTGATGAAGTCCGCATCAATATCGGCTCACTGGGCCTGCGCGCTTCGAAATCTCTCGTTCCTCGGTCCATAACTGCGTCGCTGCTTTCTCCCGCCAGGTCCAAGGAAGCTCTCGCGATGCTGGCGGAGCCGGCCGACTGATCTGACGGCTGGGAAACCTCGATGGTGGAATCAGCAGACAGTGGTGGTATGTTGGTCGTGTCCGGCCCGGACGCCGTAGCCACGTCCCTATCCGGTGAAGGTGATTGTGCGCTCATTTGCAGTTCGTGGGCCTTGACTTCTTTCCATGAACATTTGGCATGCTTCTTAGTACAGCCCATACATGCTGTGAGATTCTTCAGACAATCCATATGCAATCTTCGACAGCGATCACACGGAGGGACTATCCGTTCGCCTTTCCACATACTGTCCATTCGTCGTACCATTTCCGCCTTGAACGGTCCGCCATCGTCCCTCTCGAATGTAGACGGTTTCACATGAGGAATCAGAGATGCCGGAGTGCTCGGAATGGCCACGCTTGGCGGGTTCCTGCCACCCGGAGCACCACCTGAGGGATCTTCAATTGAGCCAGACCGAGCCTTCTCCGCCGATGCTGCTTGCATGGCATTCGTCCGAGCGGTGCCTACGGATGACCGCCGCACCGCATCCTCATCCAATCCAGCTTCACGCTCACCCGGGGTCAGGAACTTCTTCATCATCTCGGCGCGAACCGAAGGCGAGGCGTCCTTGACTGATTTGCCATTGATGATCGTGACATTTCCCGCATTTGGTGTGCCGTATGTATCCTCCCCTTGGCGTCTTACACCATCGGCGGCATCTAGTGAGGGCCGTGACTCTGAAACTGCTGCACCGGGCGGTTTCAGGTTGACGGCAGTAAATCCAACCGGAGGCGACTGGGACACCTCAATGCTTTTAAGAGGCTTTCCAGTGTGTATTCCATTCGTTTCGGCGGGTGACATGGAGGGCCCCTCTGGTGCGAGATTGTTTCTCCTCAACGACTCCACCTCTTGCTCACGCCGACTTAAGATGGCTGTCCGTCGATTCTTCATTTTATGGATCAATTGACGAGCTCGACCGGAAACTACAAGATAGTCAACTTGATGTCCAAAGGAGCCAGTGCTAGCAACCTACCTTGGTCTGCAAGCTGGATGACTTGGCCGAGGTTTCGATCCAGCAAATCCATGACTCCGAGTTCCTTCTCTTCATCCTCCAGGATGGGCTGCGGTGGAATGAGCTTCTGAGGCATACCACTGGCGATTAGAACGAAATCTTCCTCCGAAATTTCCACCCGACACTGCTTGGTGTAGAATTGGCAGACCCTGACGCCATTTCGAGTTCTTTCCAGGTTGAACTGTTTGGGGTTGTTCTGCGCGAACTCTACCACGTCCAACCAGGTGACATTGGAGTCTTTTGCGTGCGACTTTAAAACTTTGGGAGGTCCATCGAATAGCCTTTCAAAGCGCTTGAGTAGGATAGGCCCGAGAGGACATGCCCCCAAGTTCCCGGCCATACTTTCATGACGTTGTATAACTCCATCATATTCGCTGAGAAGCCGAGCTATTTCTGGTAGTTTATCGTTGACCGTGACCAGCGGGATGGTTTCTTTATGCTGCCGAGCCAGGTAATTGATCTGTAAATGGTTCGTTGCGGTTCTGGGGACCTTTGCAGCGGGGAGCGGGTTGTGTTCAGTGGGAGACCGTGGCCGCTTGAGGGAGGAAGAATGCTCGGTGGTCATGGTTGCGAGGGATTCCATCACCTGGGATGTTGCATGGACGTGGTCGTGAGTGGGAGAAGGCCGCGGCGCTGGGCTGCGCTCGGGCTGCGTATGCCGAGCTCGATCTCGAGGCCCTGGTTGCGTGGAACACGGGAGCGGAGGAGTTTGAGGAGGGGTTATTGGGACCAGTTCCTGACAGCTCGCCCGACAATAGGCAGGAGCTGTGTGGGAGCTGCAGCACCGCAAGCGAATAGAGAATGTATGTGTAAGACCTTCAGTCGAAGTAAGCGGAGGAGAAGAAGGGGAGAAAGACAAGCTTGGTGCAGATGTCGAGGAGTGGCAGTAACGTCGGACTTTATTAGGGAGGGGGAGGAATGGCGGTTTGGACGATGGGCGGACGATCAGAAAGTCGGCCGACGGAGAGACTAGGGTAGAGTTGAAGACGGACGGGGGGTGGAGGAGTGGCGAATGACAGGGCGAGAGGTGGGTGAGAGGAGGCTCGGAGTGGTGGTTCGGTGGTGGTGGTGGTGATGGTTGCCGCCTCACATTGGCAGGAAGTTGAGCTGAGAAGAATGGTCAGGGACGGGAAGCGTTGAGAGCCTGGAGCAGAGGAGACCTACTGGTCCTTACACCACACCGACGCACGCAAGGAGACGAGAACTGCCACCAATCCTAGTCGTAGCTGTACCTAGCGAGCGTGAATGTGAGTGCGAGCTCACGGGACTCGGAGGGCAGTAGAGAGGACTGCTTAAGCGGAGAAACCCTCCGTGTGGTGCTTCAAGTACAGACAGAGTACGGTGCGCAAAAGCAAGGGAAGAAGGATCCTATGAGTATGGGGGCAGCTCCGGCATGGAACAACCAATACTTGCGCTACTGTAGTATGGGTAGTCGACAGCAGCGCGCAGTTGAGTAATGAGGCATCGTGGGCGTCTCCCAAGTGCCTTCGAGGACGACAACCACTGCACTGCACGAGTCAAAGGGCGTCGGTGCCAGCTGGCCGGCGGAGACGGAATCAGCCACGGGCGAGACGGCTGAAGGTCGTTAGGGTCCCCCTATAATTATTACTACACGGCTCGACGGGATGGATGGGCGAGGAAACGAGAAGCCGTGTGCTCGATTCCAGCAGAAACCACGATGGCTGCGTCTCCTCCCGCGTCTTTAGCAGGAGAGCTGCGGCCAGCTGCTTCAAGTTCATGGCGACCATTCCCCAAGCACTTAACGCACTCACGCGCTACATGCCCGCCAAATGACCGCTGTGCTAGCATCCTAGTAAAGGTCTGGAGCCTGTCATAAGCGGCTCGGTGTTCAGTGTGCAGCGTTCAGAGCTCAACAGGCTTCCGATGTATGAGGGGCGGGAAGCTAATAGTAGTCAGATAGGTGTACCTTGGGGGAGTGAATTATCATTCAGCCTGCTCTATTCACAGTCCAGATATGGCCTATCAGTAGCCATCGAACACGAAAGCTATGCGGGCTTCAAGTTCTTAGGGATTATCGTTGAACATAGCACCTTACCTCTTCATTTTCTCACCTCGAGTTCGAAGGGTGCTCGGAAAGTGCCTGAAAGCGCCTGGGATGCAGTCTGTGCCACCATCCCAGGGCGGCGCTCCGCCCAATGATCAGCCCACAATCCAAAGCGCGTTCGGCGGAAACTCAAAGCTGCAGCCTACTAGCTACGCCCATTCATCGCCTGTCTCCCGTCCCTCCTCATCTCCAACCCAACCGTCCGTTGCTTCGATCCTCCCACCCTGCAGCCCCTAACAGTGACTGACCACTCGCTGCTGCCTGCAGCATAATTTGATCCTCTCCAGTTGGGCAATTCTTCCAACGGGCCCCTCCTACACAAAAAAGCTCTCCGAGCGTCTTGAGGGGAAACATTTGTTGAAGCCAGCGGCCGCTCGTCACCTCTGACTGGTCAAGCCCCTGCCGACGTCAACTCACTTTCCTCTCCGACCACGGGCGCGACATACTACACCAAACCCACCAATAAGAATAACGTCTAGCCTTTTTTTATTTTGGCGTCGTTCCCGCGGGCAAATCCCCGACTCCCACACTAAACCTAACCCAACCTAACCTAACGACAAACCATCGAAACTTGAAGCTCATACCCCAGGCAATCAACTACCTCCGAACGAAGCAACAAAGACCTAGTACGGGAATAGTGATGTCCGAACGAGGTCATTTTCGAGGAGGCGGACGTGGAGGAGGCCATGGCGGAAACCGCGGCGGTAGAGGCGGCGGCGGAGGTCGAGGCGGTGGCGGAGCCTCTTACCAGTCCAACCAGTCGCACGAGAAGCCCAAGAAGGAAAACATCCTCGACCTGACCAAATACGTCGACAAGCAGATCAATGTCAAATTCAATGGTGGCAGAGAAGGTATGTTTTGCCCAATTGTCCACTTGACCGCCGGTCATGAAAAATTATGAGAAAGAGGGAGCTGACTTTTTGCGCGTTGGAAAACCCAACAGTCATCGGCACTCTTAAAGGCTATGACCAATTGATGAACTTGGTTCTGGATGATGTCAAAGAGACCATGAGAGGTGAGCCCTTTCTACGCCGCAGAGGCTCCCAACTCAAAAGGATAGTCGACTGACCAAAAACGAGCAGATGATGAAGGGAACGAGACCACCCGGCCGCTGGGACTGGTTGTGGCCCGCGGAACGCTGCTCGTCTTGATTTCTCCCGTCGATGGAAGCGAGGAGATAGAAAATCCTTTCCAGCAGCCAGCAGAGGAATAGAATCCCTGCTGTACCTCATCTGTCATCTCAAAGCTGAGGATCGCCCAGCTCGCCATGGCCGCTTTTCCTGAGGATTGGCCTGCCTGCCTCGGCCAGGACGCCGATTCTTCTCGGCCACTCGGAAATGCCACCACCCACAACGTCAAGTATTGCCCAGAGGCGAGCCAACTTGGTCAGGATGCGTCTCTATACGGTCCAAGCCGCAGCCTGCCGGCGCTGCAAACCGTGCCGGGTCAAAGGACTACGCTGTCGGACGGCCTGCACAGGATTTGTAACGGGATTTCAGATTTTTTTTGTCGGGCCTTTCTCTTGGGTCTATATTCAAGTATCTGTAGATCCTGGCTTTTCCACCATGAAACCTGCCTGCGAGTCATCCAGTGACGTGGCGCGCCTTGGGCCTAGCCACGCACCTCTCAGGATGGCTCAGTCACCGCCAGTCAATAGACCACAATCCTTCAGTTCCGACCATGGACTCTTCTAGCCCCTCGCACACCCCGTCCGCGATAGGCTTTCTGATACTAACGTAGCGGCCCACTCCTCTTTAAAAGATCCTGGAAGGCTGATTCTACGCCCTTCTTCAACTCTCGGTAGCTGACAATGAAACAGCTCTGCTCGTCGCGACTGATGAGTGTGATCCGTTCGTCCGTGCCCGCATCCAGCTTGTTTAAGCAGGTGAGGACATGACCAAGGTCGACCACCGGCCGGCTCTGGGCGTCCACCTGATGAAAGACGTAATCCCGGAACAGTTTCAGGTAATACCTCTCTCCATTCTCCGACCACGCTCGGTCGTGTTCATACTCCGGGCGCTCATTGATGAAATTCAACTTCGCCATCAGGCGCACCAGCCGGGCGTTCTCGACTTCGCGGCTTAACTCGGAGTACAGGGTGTCATCTGTGTGCAGGGCGGCATTGAAGGCCGTGATCATCTGGTTGGAGATCAACGTCACAAACTGCTCAATCGTCTTGTCTTGGTTCTGCATGGCCGAGTAGAGCCACACCACAGTGTTCTGGAGCTCGGGCTTGTAGAATCTCTTAAACATATCCATGCTCCGCGCGAAGTTAGTTCCAGCGTCTGCTGTTCCGGAGCCGACAGAGAGAATGACCAGAGCGAAGTTCACCAGATCCTGCCTCTGTAATTGGGCCAGGGGGACGGCGCTGTTGCCATCAAACTGGATAATGTCCAGGACCCCGCACCCGTTGAGTCGGATTCGGTTCTTCCCAGTCACCAGAATTTTACTGGGATCGAGCACACGCGCAGCAAGGCCACTGCTGTGGATTGTTTTGAGAGCCGAGGCAATTTGCACGATGTAGCTCCACAGGACTGGTTCTGCAACTTGGTCTTTGCTCGACCGGGCAGGCCGTTGCCAATTCTGGCCTATGTGGTGGTGCTCTGCCAGAGTTTTGGACAGAGGGTGATATTCTGTCACAATGAAAAGAGAGCTGTCGCCGAATCCGCGGTTTGTGAAAATATCCACCACCCGAACAACACTGGCATTGATCAGATTCTTCCAAGCTTGCCCTGAGCGAATGGCGAGTTCGTTCGTTAGACGGAAGCCTGATGCGTTAGAACAAGGGTATTTTGCATTCCAGGAGTCCCCTCACCTTCAATTCGGCGAAGAGCATAGTAGTGGCCATTGGTGCTGGATTGGGCTTTGTATACCCACGACGTGTAGCCTCCAAAGATTGCCGAGCTTTTCTGATTAGTGTCAAGTGGTACTAGAGAATGATAACTTTCAATGTGGCTGGGCAGCTGAGAGTCTAAGGCACATTAGTCGTTTGTCTTACTCAACGGCAGATCTCGAAGACACATACTAGGTAGAGTTTGGAGGGTTGCGGCAAGTTGTTTTTGGATTTCTTCGCGTAGATCATTGGGGATGAACAGGTCGTGTACTGTGCGCTGATAGGGGGCAAGGTTGCTGCTGTAATGCCCGATGGGCGCATACTGATGATATTGCACCTGGTTCTATCAGTAACATAGCAATTGCACCGGTCGGGAATACTGTACCGGGAGCTGGAAGCCCGTGTTGCTTTGAAAGAAGGCGGCTCCATTCATACCATGATCGAGGTATGGATTGGGGGCAGGCCCTGGTTGAAATGTTTCAAAATTGTGCGTGACAGGAATTTCGTTTTCATTCGTCTGGAGGAAGACTTGGTCAGAAAGTCACAGACCAGTGAAAGACTCCGTAAAGGGCCCATTGCTTTGTATCGCCCACCCACTCACCAGCGCTGATTCTTGAGCCCGCCTGGGGACAAACTCCTGCACGTCCGCGAGAGCCCAATCTGGCGTTCGTGCATCTTGCCGAAGGGGTGTTGCATTTGATGATCCTGTCATGAACTCTAAGCCGTCTGTTTCACCATGTGTATCTGGAATCCTCCACGTCGACTTACGGGAAATGATGGCCTTGGGCATGAAGGGAGCTGCGCTTGCCGCCTTTGGGGAGATGCCGGCGGACGGCTTGCCGGAGGGATTTGCGCCATTCGGAGACAAGAAGGAAGGAGTGAAACTGGGAGAGTCGACATTGAGTGTCTTTTTGGACTGACTGACTGGACATCAGCAAACACTCAGATTTGTGGTTCAGTTGTTATACCTGTCGCTTTGTCCACTCTCGGAGGTGGATCTTTCTATATTGTGATTGAAAGCACAGCCTATATGCCTTCAGTCACAGTTGTCTCAACCCAAGCGATCTGAGATGGTCTACCCTTATCCTCGTATCGACATTTCCCGTAAATGGTTACGTTGCGGCACAGTGTGTCCTTCGCATTTTCTAACGTCAAGCACGAATCAGCAACACGTATCCTCTTCAGTGAGCCAGAATGCGCAGAATGGAAATGATTCTGGCGACTTGTTCGTCCAGCGGAGTCCACGTACCCCGACCCTTGAGTCGAGGGGACAAAGCTGCGTGCTTTGTGTCTTCGACATTGTTCTTGAGAGCTGCGGCCATAATCGTTCACGGAGAGGTTTTGTACATGGCAAAAGACTTCGTCCGCTTCATAGCAATGCCGCGAGACAAGGGCGATTACCGCATACTAGGAGCTCGTCGGGCGGCGAGATGTGCGAAGAGAATGGCTTCGAGGTGGACGCCTGGAGTTCACAGTATAATAGTAAGCGAGGGAATGCGCATGACGGTTAAGAGATATCCAAAATGGCACAAAAATAAGAAATTTGATGAGAGTGCGGATGATGTTGGAGCGCTGGGGCGCCTGCGACGAGACGAGAAGGTAAATGAATTGAAGTCAGGGTCAGCGTCGAGGTGTAGATGATACGGGCAACCAGATGGCAGATGGCGGGACAGATGGTCTAAGCGGCGCCGCAACTCATTATTCAGTGTAATCCCGCGATTCGCGTCTCCCGCAGTCCATCCGCCGGTCATACTCATATATTATACCCACTTCATCTCTACGTTTGAAGGGTGCATGCTAGTATGACATCGATCCGTGGATCAAACCTGAAGCGCTCATATATTGCTCCTCAGCAACTCCGTCTCTGAAGCTGCAACCGTGATCTACCGCCTAATAAGGCAGAAGCAGGCAGCACTCTGGACATGTATTCTCTCTCTAACCGATAACACCGTCGTCCGGCCTCCAGCGAACTCTACCTTGCGAACGAAGTCGATCATGTCCTCTCCAGACATCTCACAACTGAATCCTGCGCAACAGGAGGCGCTGCAGACCTACACGGCGGTGACAGATCAAGACCCTATCGCCGCTATCCCTCTCCTACAGAGATGCGAATGGAACGTCCAGATTGCCATCGCCCGCTTCTTTGACGGCGAGCCAGCCACCGATCCTTTGGCAGAAGCTCGTTCTGCCCTCCCTCCCACTTCTGCCCGACAGACTGCGAACCTCCAATTTGAATCCCTCGTCTCGTCGGTGCGATCGGTCCCCCTCCGTCAAGATCCGGAAGATATCGTGGAAAGGGTTGACACGAGCGCAGCAAATGAAAGGCAATATCACCCTTCATTCCTGCTCTCGATACTCTTTACTCCATTCAACATTATGTACCGGGTGCTGAGCACGGTGTTGTCTCCACTGGGGTTTCTTGTACCCTCGTTTGTGTCAAGACTATTTCAGCGTCTGATATACCAGCAGTCGAGGCCTGTACGGAGAGCTCTTCCGCCGGCCGAAACCGCAAGAAGGTTCATTCGGGAGTTCAGCGAAGAATATGGAGACAACTCTCTACCATTCGCTGAAACGGGGTTCAATCTGACACTTGACGACGCGAAAAAGAATTTCAAGTTTCTCCTTGTCGTCCTACTTTCCCCGAGTCACGATGAAAATACTGGTTGGGTGCAGGAAACGCTTCTTTCGGGCCAGTTGAAAACATTTCTGGATTCCCACAAAGACGAACTTTTACTTTGGGGAGGCAATGTCCGGGACGCTGAAGCCTACCAGGTGTCTTCCAGTTTGCAATGTACGAAGTTTCCCTTCGTCGGTCTGATCTGTCAGACGAATGATTCCGGCTCTGCGGCCATGACGGTTGTTCTGCGAGCGTCCGGGCCCATGCCTGTGTCAGAACTCGTCGCAAAACTCGGAACAGCCATGACGGCACACCAAGCACAGTTGGCTGCCACCCGAGCTCAACGTGCTGAGCAACAGGCCTCGCGAAATTTGCGTCAAGAGCAAGATTCGGCTTATGAACGCTCCCTGGCTCAGGATCGCGAACGCGCTCGTCGAAGACGAGAAGAGGCGGAGGCAGCAGCGCGAGCGGAGAAGGAGGCACAAGAGCGAGCGATGGCTCTAGAAAAGAGAAGAGCGAATATTGCTCAGTGGAGACATTGGCGTGCCCAGTCACTACCGAAGGAGCCCGGGCCTGAGGTCAAAGATGCCATACGAGTCAGTATCCGCATGGCATCGGGCGAGCGCATCATCCGGAAGTTCCACTCTGAAGCGGATCTAGATGAGCTCTACGCTTTCGTCGACTGCTACGAGGTTGTCAAGGCAAAAGAGGCCGCAGGCACGAACGGAGAAGAGGTCGAGGAACCAGTCGGTTATGAACATGAGTATGGCTTTCGACTGGTCTCCCCGATGCCGCGGACTGTGGTCGACTTGGAAAAGGGAGGCTCGGTAGGGGAAAGAATCGGCAAAGCAGCAAATCTGCTCGTCGAACCCGTCGAAGAGGAAGAAGAGGCCTCCGATGAAGATTGAAGTGCTGCTAGGCCTCTCACAATGGAACTCCCACGAGGTAACATAGCTCTAATACTTGTAGTCATTATTGCTGCCCCGTCAAATTGAGACCGGCTCTTCGCATGGTCCCTGAACTAGCTTCGGCACCTCTCCGTCATCGCAGACATGGGCTGCGGAAACGGAGCAAGCGGGTCTGTGTTTGCCTGCGATGAAAGTCTTGTCTGCCTCGCCGTGAAAGCTCTACTCTGTACACAATCTGGAATGACTAGAAGTACAGAAGAGGGCATGTACCTTGAACAAAAATATCACAAGGGAACCTGGTCTCTTCAGCCTGTTGTGGGAGGCCATCAAGCGACTTCAACCTCAGAGTAACCTCTCCCGCTGAATGTCGGACGAACCCAGATCAAGGAGCATGCCGTTTGCCGTCTTGATGGCCCTAGGCAATCAGGACGGACGGCATCTTATCTTGAATTCCGGGTCCCTCGAGTCCGGCCCACCATGTCTGACAACGGGATGTTCATGCAGTGTAGTACGAAGCATGGGTAAGAGTGATTTGTGAAAGGAGCACTTCTGCAATTACCACAATGAAATTATAGGGTCCTTCGTACACTTGGACGACCATAGGTAACTTTGAGATGTGAATTTGGTACAGTCCATGCCCTTTCTTCCCGTGTCGCAGAAAACCCCGACCTTTTGAAACCGCCTCTCGCTAAGCGTGCAGATGACCCTGTTATCTTTCGATGCATTGTCCACCGGCGCGGAGGGGATAGGATAGTAAGCTGTCGAGAGGGTGTGGGGAGCCACATGTTCACCAGGATGCCGTCGAGGCCGGGAGACTAGGAGTAGCACTGCAACGAACACAGCCCGAGGCCGAGGGTATGAGGAGGACGGCGGACGCCACTAACACTACAGAGACCGCTCAACCCCAAGGTTCTTTGGGAGCCCCGGGACGCCAGGATGGTGGTCAACGGTGGAGCCTAAGCCCTGTTATTCGCTAATCGTGGACGCACTGTGGCATAGGTGGTGTGCCGGTGGTGCAAGCGAAGACTGACTAACACCGAGACCCTCGAACCTCCCCTTCATGATTCAGGAACCACATGCGATGGGCCAAATGCTAGTACGTAGTAGTCGTTCGTCCTTGATGCAATAGCCTAGTGTTCTGAGGCCACATATTGTGTCACTGCAGGCTCTTGCTAAGTTGTGGGTTGGATCAAGCGAGGATATCCAGGCCAGACAGTGGGAAAGGTTTCCGCACTTCGAGGCATCAATAACACCATCAAGAACACCCTGGACGGCCAGATCGATAGCATTGCGATCGGCGCGATGACCTCCACAGCTTGGAAATTAGAACAAAGCCACAATCGGAGGAGGATGGAAAAAAGTTGGGGGAATTTTAGCGAGCGGCGCTGGAAGGCATGTACATTATTGTAGGTAGTGTTCAAGGTTCCAGGGGTCAAGTATTAATTGCGTAGGTACCTAGGTAGGTAGTGAGATGAATGGTGTTTCAACAACTTGAATTGAAGAGTACTCGATGAGCTCTGTTGGTGCCGTATACGCAAGAAGGGGCAACCTACCGGTACCTGAAAGGTGGAGGTACAGTAGGGTCTGTTTGGTGCTCCGGGCGCTGCGAGGGTCAAAAGTTTCTTTAGCCAGGACGCAGGCAGACCACCGCAGGACACCAGCGCAGGCACCACACCTGCCAGACAGGGCGCTGAACCCCTAAATCTGCGAGCTAGATAACTTCAACGTTCAGCTATGCTCCCCTTCAAGTTGAGCTCCACCGCCATTGCTTTTCTACGAGCGGCATCCCCTCGTCCATCGTATGCCAGTTGATGTTTCCTATCCACTGCTCTGCCAATTCAGGCCACCATCGGGCTTGAGCCGCCTTTTTCTCGTAAAACTTCCTCCACAATGCCAGCCATTCACCTGCATGTCAACCTCATCGGGCCTAACTCAACACTGTACCAGACGGCCTAAAATGCCCGGGGCTAGCCCGCCCTTGTCGCTTGTCGTCGTCAGACACGCAGGCAGTCCATACAACATCGCTTAGCCTTTTCCGCTTCTCTACAAACTCATGGCATCTTTCCGCCGGCCAATCATGCTGCTGACGTCCAGGGCTAAGGAGGGCTCTGAAAAGCCTCCAGCTGGGTCAAAAGGGATGGAAGTAGACGTCTGAAAGAATGCACCATATTCGATTTTCGCTGTCAAAAACATCAGTGGCCCTTCCTAGACCATATTCCTTCCCTGTGGCATTCCGGATCCCAAGAACAGACCTCATGCATTAGCAGGCCCAAGAGACGTCTGCTCCCGGACCTACCTTCCCTGGCAGAGCCTGCGAAGCACGCAGCCGATACCTGTCTTCCCAAAGCGAGGGCCTTGAATAACTAGGCACTGGTAGCAGCGTTCGACTTATGAATCTGGATGCTGTCACCTCCTCCGAAGTGGGACGCTTTTGGTGGATCCTGGTCAGAGAGTATGGAATCCCAGACCCGAAAATTATTGTTGCTCTGTCTACCAGATAAGCTGTGCTAAAGAGATGTGCAGAGACAGTTAAGACAGGTCAAGTTGGACGTTGAACAATATTCTCCCAGAACCGACCGACAAAGACGAAACCACTCTCCTCTCGATATTCCCCGCTCCTCACACAAGTATCGCCGGGAAGGCCCAGAAGAGGGGGTGAACCACAACGTCAAGGAGGAGGGAAGAATTTGGGAAGAAAAACATACCTCGTGGCCATCACCAGAGACTGGACATTTTGCAGAAAGTCGGTTCGAAGGATCCCATCTTTCATGTATCCTCTCCCTCGCGGTGACTATACCTGGAGACTGGCTGGGACGACTATTGTTGTCAAAGAGGTGGACAACCTACCTTCGCAGGCTGGCTTGAGCTGAGAAGCAACGGCAGAATTCCTGTTCTCCCTTACGAGGAATTAGGCATTCATGATGTCTGCAAACCAAAGGCCTGTCATGGGCCCTCCTGAAACACCCAGCAGAGTCATGCAACAATCCCCAGGTCTTTTTCCAAATCTACAACTCTCCCCAGACGTCTACGCCCATCAGTATTTCGGACCAGCTACCGCCCCCGTCTACCCCGGTCAAAGAGTGTTCTGGGACCCTTCGAACGCCGCATATGAGGAGCAATTCCTACCACAGCAGTACCCGGATCCCTTTCAGTTCAGCCCGTCCGCCTTGGGCTCCTCGTTCGCCTCGTCATCCACGGTGGTGCCGAGCTACGCTCCTCACGCAACCCTTATGGAAGAACAACCTTACGAACTTCCAGTTATGCCTCATTCGACAGCCTATCCACATCTTAATGGCCCGGCATTCCCTGCCCCTTTCACGACATCGCCTCGATTGCCTCCTCCACATGCTGAAAACCCCAATATGTTTCTTAGTTCGCCAGCCCGCCGGTTCGGTGCCGTCGACCAATATTCTAATGGGTTTGCATATAACATGGTTCTCGAAAGACCAGCTTACGCACATCAGATCGAAGACTCACGGCGGGAACAAGAGATTAAGCGGCTGCGCTTGGGGGACATACAACAGCCGTCGATCACTCGGTCCGTGATGGAGGCTTTGAGACGACCTGTTTCTCCCAGAAGGGACACTCGGCCTGGCCTCAAAAGGAGTCTGACCCATACTGGCGTACGGAGCGAACGAACGTCCAGGCCACAAACACAAACTACTACGGGGGGTAGAAACTCGCCGATGACGCTGGATCAGAGGAGGCCGCACCGGCCTGGACGATCATCACCACTGAAGACGAATCCTGATCCCATATCACGGACGCTCAGCACGAGTCGTAATTCAAATGCAAAACGTGGGTCCTTGTCGCTCGCCATCGATAAAGATGGCGTAGCCAAAATGATTGTCAGAGACGACTCCCACGATATGGACATGGGTGGGGTGTCCTCCAGCGAGCCCGGGTCATTTGATGAGACAGACTTTCCGGTTTTGCATAGCCAGGACAACTCGTTCGGCTTTCCTGACGACGGTCAGCTTTCTTTTCAGACGCAAGTTGGGCTACGCAGGTCATATAGCCATTCAAAGACCAGTTCGCATTCGACAGTGGCTTCCGTCAATTCTGCAATCCAGTCGTCCTGCAACGGCTCTGCATCCAGTTTTTCAAATACAAGGGGTTCGGAGGGGCACCAAGGGGGCCGACGCAAGCGCCCTCTGCTAGGATCGGGCCTAGAGCCTGATACTGTGATCGAAGACCAGCCTCTTGGGAATGCCCAGCTTGCCCTGCGAGCCATCATCCAAGATCGATCAAGGTCGACTTCTACGCAGGGGGACGGTGCCAACCCTGGACATATACACTCCTCGCCACCCTTACAGCAAGGACACTATGCAATGTACAACGCCTCCCCAACTACGATTACCGACCCGGATTTGGCGACTCCGAGCAGTGACAGGGAGGGCTTCGCGAGTAGTATGAGTATGCGGTGTGTGTGCAACTCTTCCATTTTGGATGGGTCGGTGCCCATAGTTCGATGGTATGTCGGCCGTTCCTGGCCTTGATTCGCAGAAGTCTCGTTTACTGATGTACCACCCCAGTGATTCATGCACCAAATGGTTGCACAGCACCTGCGTAGGTATCGACAACCGACGCCTTCCGGAACAATACACCTGTGTATATTGTCTGCAGACGCCCAAACGACCTGGGCCGCCCTCCCTACGGCCCTCTGCGTTTCCGTCGACTGCCAGTCCGCTGGCACATAAGTCAAGACGCCATCGCTGAATCAGGCAACGGCACCTGATTGTTGTATATATTGGCTGTTCTGGCCTACTTCGACATGTTTGGTATGAAGCACCTTTAGCGATGTATATATATATAACCGCGATGTTCTCGCTGGTAGGCGTTGAAGAACAACGTCGATGCTAGCCATGGGAATGGAATATGTTCATGCTTAGCCGCTTTCAATACTCAAGATGATTCAACACACATCGCATGACACCTCATGACAGAAGTAGACGGATGCATTGATCATATTGGTCAAGTTGTTCGAGGGCCTCGTCTCGTGGATGGCATGAGCCCGGAGCCGATGAAGAGGACTGTGACATCTCAACAGACCCCCTGTTGTCGTCTCTAATATGGCTTGTGCACGACGCGGGCAGAAAGACAACAAGGATGATCTTGTGCAGCAGCAGAATCAGACGAAGAGTCCTCAGCATTGATTGCTATGCGCTTCGGCTTTCACAGCAGCCCAGGGAAGCTCTCAGTCTCCTTGGCGAGATCAGTTGTCGTCTGCGGCGCTCTCCGTGTGGAGAAACTTGAAGGGACTGGTGCTTTGCTCCAAGGTCCCCTAGTCTCTCGCGCCGTCTCTGAGAGGGAGCGCGGCGGTCTGGGCTGATGGCCGTCAGGTGGAGAGAGAACCTTGAACTCCCTCATCGACTCTTATTAGGCAACAGGATTTCTTCTGCAGGTGCTGAGCAAGGGCCAAGGCCTCCTCAGTCCTCTCATTCTTCAACCGCCGTTTGAATGCCCAGAATCTCCTCCGCAACCACATACACGCACCAGCCAACCAACGCAGTCGTCTACCAGGAATGAGAACAGGGTCGATTGGTTGACGCGATTGTCATCTGAGCCGACAGTGTGGCCTCGTATTAACCTGCTCACCGACAAGAGACAAGAAGAGGTGTCCAATCTGGCCTGGATCAGCCTGTCTGCTGCCTCTGATATCCTTGCTCAGCGACGTCTGACCTTGTCCCCGAAACCCTGTACCAACATCAGACGGGTTCTCAGGGTCCCTCAAGAGTCTAAACCGACTTGCACCATCTGACCAACACGGATCTGACCGACTGATCCATCCCATATTATATACTCCATGCCAAAATTCCTCCACAAGATCTCCGCCCGCTTCTCGACTGCCTTTCATTAAACACACTTTGCCCTTCCCAGCGGCGCTGCTGGAATAGTTGCTGCAATGGCTACCGCAACTGTGACCGAAGTCATCACGAAAACCCTCCAGGCGACAACCTCCCCTAGCGCCAGTACTGTCCGAGCAACTCCCCAGGGCGGCGTCTTCGAGCATGTCAATCCGACTCAATATGACCCCAAAAACCCTCTCACCCTGTTTGTCATCCAGGCCAGCATTGTCATTATTCTCACTCGGATCATTCACATCCCTCTCGCATACCTCCGACAGCCCAGAGTCATCGCAGAAGTCATTACCGGAATCATATTAGGACCATCGATCATGGGCAGAATACCAGGCTTTACGAAGCATATCTTCCCAACAGCATCAATGCCCGCCTTCTCTCTGGCTGCGAACCTGGGATTGGTCCTTTTTCTGTTCCTGGTCGGATTAGAGGTGGACTTGCGATTTCTTGTGAGGAATTGGCGGATCGCCTTAAGTGTCGGGGCTGCTGGAATGGCTTTGCCCTTTGGTCTCGGCGCGGCGATTGCTTGGGGCCTGTACAACGAGTTCAGGAATGATTCCGACGTGGCTCCTATCAGCTTTGGAGTGTATATGCTTTTCATCGGTGTGGCTATGGCGATCACGGTGCGTTTGAAAAGCCCATCCCTTTCTCTTGTCCCGCTGACCATATGCAGGCGTTTCCCGTCCTCTGTCGTATCTTGACATCCCTGAAGCTGCTTAGCACTCCTGTCGGGGTGATTGTCCTCTCGGCTGGGGTCGGGAACGATGTCGTCGGGTGGGTTCTGCTTGCTCTTTGCGTTGCCCTCGTCAACTCTGGCGCCGGGCTCACCGCACTGTGGATTCTGCTTGTCGCTATCGGATACATCCTATTCGTGACCTTCGCCGTCAGGCCCTGCTTCATTTACCTTCTCAGAAGGACTGGAAGTCTTGCCAATGGTCCAACCCAGTCTATTGTTGCCTTGACGGTTCTGCTCGTCCTTGCCTCGGCCTTCTTTACTGGAATCATTGGGATCCATCCTATCTTCGGGGCTTTCATTATTGGCCTGATGGCACCACACGAAGGCGGATTTGCGGTCAAGCTCACAGAGAAACTCGAGGATCTTGTCAGCGTATTGTTTCTTCCCTTGTACTTCGCGCTGTCCGGGCTCAGCACGAATCTAGGCCTTCTCGACAACGGGATCACCTGGGCATACGTGGTTGGTGTGTGTGCAATCGCATTTTTTGGGAAGATTGTTGGTGGTACATTGGCATCGCGGCTGAACGGTCTTGTCTGGCGGGAGTCCCTCACCATTGGCTGTCTCATGTCGTGCAAAGGGCTGGTGGAGCTGATCGTGTTGAACATTGGTCTACAAGCCAAAATTCTGACCACTCGAACGTTTACCATTTTTGTCGTCATGGCTCTTGTCACCACCTTCGCCACGACACCGTTGACAACATGGCTGTATCCCCCTTGGTACCAGCAGAAATTGGAATTGTGGAAGCAAGGCAAGATTGACTGGGATGGAAACCCACTCCATCACGACGGCGACCACGACGACAGCAGCGAAGCTGACACATTGGCTAAGACCGTTGTGGCACGGAGAGTCCTCGTATACCTTCGCTTGGACGGTCTCCCAAGCTTGTTCACTCTGGTCTCTCTTTTCGCTCACAAGCGGGACGAGCTTGATGGCCTTCCGCCACAGGCCAACAACCAGCCCTGGGCCAAAGACCGAGAAGTCACGCAAAACACGCAAGCCATGGCCTCATTGGTAACCCTTCGGCGACCCCTCCAGATGCACGCCTTACGCCTCATGGAACTCACGGAGCGCGGGTCCAGCGTGATGCGTGTTACCGAGATTGAAGAGTTTGCTGGTCGAGACCCCGTCATCAAAGCCTTTGGTACATTTGGGCACACTCGCGACATCGCCGTTACCGGGCAGATTGCGGTTGTACCGGAGCACTCTTTCTCAAGCACGCTCCTGTCTCGCGCGCAGGACCTGCGGTCCGATTTGATCATCATCCCCTGGTCTGAAACCGGGTCCATGTCCGAGTATGCACATATTTTCGACGATAAGCCTGGCGACCCGCTCGCAAACAAGGAGTTTGGGGCGCTTGTGAGCCAGATGTTTGATCAAGCACGTCGAGCGTGTCACGTCGCCGTGTTCATCGACCCTAGTGTCCTCTCCGGACCGGGTACCGCCACGGCAGACTCGCCCGTTCATGGACGACAGCCTCAACAACTAAGCCCAACCATGACAGGAAAGAGCAATGTCGAGCACGTGAACGCTACCGTGCAATTCAAACCTGCAGATAGCGGACGATACAGGCTTTTGGTGCTATACCAAGGCTACGACGATGATCTGTTTGCAGTCCGTCTGGGATTGCAGCTCGTTAAAAACGAAATGGTCGACCTACATATCCTCAACGTGCGCATGGCCGACGACGACGACATCGAAGAGTATTCCAAGGAAACAGGCCTTCACGGCTCGAGGACACGCTCAGACCACGAGTTTTACCTTCTACGGACGTGCATTCCCGAGGGTATGCGTGAGAGAGTCTCCATTGTCGACGTCGACGTCGGCATCTCCGGCATCGAAGCAGTGCTCGCCGCCATTGCACAGCCCAGCGCCGCCGAGACGGTTGTGCTGGTCGGCCGCACTACCCCGGCTTTCGGCACTGGCGAGCATTCATTATCCAGCTCCCAGGTTATGGCTGGAAGTACTAGCCGGGATGAGTCTCGCACACTCGGTCCTCTGGCGACAAGCCTGGTCAAGGCAGTGAACGACAGACAGCTCAACGCCGGGCTACTGGTCGTGCAGGCTCGCAGGGAGCCTGACGAGGCCGGGCCGACAGCTCCCAGTGCGGGCGTCAAAGGCTTGTCGCAGTTGAACAGGACGAGCACCTTCGGTACTGATTAGCAGAGCACTCAGCGCCACTCCGCGATGGGCGTGTGGTACAGGGCGCGTTCTTACTTCTCATCCCTCTTTCCAATTCACTCGCAATCAAATCTGCCTGAGCAGGTGATGACATACTAAAGCGGGATAGCGGAAAGACATATGGGATGGATTGTGTAGGACTACTAGCCGACCAGCGAGCAGATGTCGTTCTGGCCTCCGGAGCTAGACGGGACATACATGCAAACCGATCTGCGTACTTCTTTCATGGGGATCTCTATATATCATTGGAACGTCGAGGAAGAAACATAAGGGGTAACGTTTCAGGGGTATACGAGCACCGCATACCTAATATCGGATCATGACGCTAGGTGGCACAGTGAAAGCCGCTGGATCATGGAGTCAATCAAGTAGATTTTCTGTTTCTGACTTTTCATGACACATCAACTGTGCTGAAGAAAACAAGGTCGCTAAATGCTCATAGCGGGCGAGAAACGCGGGCTCTTGTGATAGCTCGGACAAATTGCACATCATTCCTGCTTAAGTGTCCGTTCCCAGCCAACTGCAGAGCCGTAAAAAGGCGTGGGAAGGATCCATTACTCTAATCGACCTTCTCACTATCCTGCGCCGTCTTCCTTCTGTGTCGCGCAAGGGCAGGAACAGGCTCCATTGAGGCGATAGGTGGAGATAGAGAGGATGGTAGGATACCACAAGATACTCTTTCAAGAGCAGCACCTCGGTAGTTTTCGTCTGGGACTCAACCACATAGAAGTCGAAACGAAGAGGCCGGGACGTCGGTACGAGTCTACCGGCCTACACGGATGACGCCGGCGGCGATGAGTTTCTGAATCTTGCCGCGGATGCCGGGGTTCTTCATGTGCTCGTTGAGGGCGGCGGGGTCGTTCTTGGCCTGTTGCAGAATCGATTGCATGACTGGATCGGAGAGGATTTGCACTAGAGAGAGAGGGAGACATTGTTAGCATCGGTCGTTGACGGTCTTAGGTTGGGAGGGATGAGTGAATCACTTACTGATGTCGGGATCGTTCTGGATCCTGGCCGCCGTCTGCTCCTCGGTCTCGCCCGCGCGAGCAGCATACATGGCCTCGAGAGCCTTCTGCTGCTGTTGCTCGATTTCGCGGGCATTCTTGCCGCCTTCGTCGTGCTCCATGGCCTCGGTGAGCACGTCCAGACACTTGTTGTACTCCTTCATGCCGTACAGAGCCTGGGCTTTGCGCAGGTAGGCTTTGATGAACTTGGGGTCGCGCTTGATGGCTTCGTCGCAGTCTTGAAGGGCGTTGGGGAACTCCAGAAGCTTGATCAGTGCGGCCGCGCGGTTGCTGTAGCCTCGAGGGTCGTCTGGTGCTCGCTTCGTGAGCTCGGTGTACGCTTCCACGGCGCCGGGCCAGTCTGCGTTCTTGAATCGCTCTGCTCCGAGGAGACGAGCCTCTTCTGCCTTCTGCGGGTCAATGTATGCGTCCCTTTCCGCCTTGATTTTAGCCTTCTCGGCCGCTCTGAGCTTCGTGAGGATGTCCGGCGTGCGGTGCTCCGTCAGCGATTTCTGGAAGTTGTCGATGGCCTTTGGTAGGTCGCCCAGCTTCTCGTACGCCGAGCCAATCCGCCCGAACGCTTTGGCAATGATCTTGAAGTCGGCGAGGATTTGTCGACCTTCCTCAATGGCCTTTTCGCACGCCTCGATACAGCCCTGGTAGTCGCCCTTCTCGTACTTGGCGGCTCCCAGGTTCGTCAGATAGGTAATGTCCTTGTGCAGGTCCCAGGCCTTGCTGTAGTGTTCAATTGCTTCATCGAATTGTCGCTTCTTGTAGAAGTCGTTGCCCAACTTCTTCTCTTGTTCGGCCTCCTCTTTGGCTTTCTTTGCTGCAATTGCCTCCTCATCTTCGGGCTCCGGTTCGGGCTCGGGCTCGGGTGCTTTCTCCTCGGGCTTCTTCGTCTCGGCAGGTGGAGGGTTCGACGCTGGACCGGCGTCGGTCATAGGCACATCCTCCTCTGCTTCCGTCGGCTTTCCTGCTCCTGAAGGCGCGCCCTCGGGCGGCATTCCCATTTGCATGTCAACGCCCAGTAGTACACCCATCACCTGTAGGAACCTCGGGTCACCCAGCTCCTGGCCCATTTCGTTGGGGTTCTTGGCCAGCCGTTGCAGTTTGCCCATGAACTGCGGATCGGCGAGGAAGGGAGCGGTCTTCGGGTTGCTGGCCAGCTTCTGGATGAGCTGAGGATCACTGAAGATGTTGCCCAGACCTCCCATATCAGCGCCGTCCGCACGAGCCTCGGCCTCGATGGCTCTGTTGACGGCGTCGAGTCCTGACTTGGCTTGGGCGTTGGTCGGGTCGAGCTTGAGAGCCTCTTCATAAGAGTCCTTGGCTCCAACAAGATCGCCTACACCATGCTGAGCAGCGCCTTTCCGTCCCCAGCCCTTGGCCCAGTCAGGCTTGATCTTTGTCGTCTTTTGGGCATCTTCAAGCGCCTTTTGGTATTCCCGGAGAGAGGCGTATGCGCCTGAACGGTTCGAGTAGAGGACGTGGTTTGAGGGATCTAATTCAATAGCCTGCGAGAATTTCTCACTGCTTTTTGTCAGCCGATCTCATCTTGCGAGAAGTGCTTGGTGTGCGCGACTACTTACACGGCAGTCTGGAAGTCTTTGGCTGCGAAAGCCTTATTGCCTTCAACCTTGAGGGCGTCGGCCATGCTGGCTGCGAGATCGGTGATGCTGGATTTGAGAGACGGTAAGATGTATCGTACACAATAAAACTATGCTTGTGATTTTGAGTGAGCAATACAAAGACAGCGTGATGGAGGTAATTTAAAGGCTGGTTGTTGTACACGAACTTTGACTGTTGCAAAGGCTGCTTGCTGCACCCATGTACTACTGTGCAGTTCTATGTCATCCACTACTTACGGTACTTTGTATGGTGACTGCGGGTCCTGGAAGCACTGTCTAGAAAATTCGGTGCACGGGCCACGACCAGCCTAGTCCAGGCTGCTACTGACTGGCACTGCACCGGTTAGTGCTGGTATAGTTAGGCTGCTTAGGCTGCTTAGTCGACTGCTACAGAGGATCTCATGCCTATAACCGCAGCCTAAGGAGCCTGGAGACCACCCCGGGACACACACAGCCACCAAACGCAAGGCGCATGGAGGGACCGACAAGGCTGGAGATCGCGGGCAAGGACATTCGGACAGCCTGATCCGCCAACAAACCAACCAGCCGTGGAAACTTGTTCATTTCACAACTGAGCATGGCGCCTAGGATGAATGTGCGACTAGTACTACCTACCTCCTTGTATCACTGTGTACCTACCCAGTACATAGTATACAGTCTCGTAGATTTCCCATAGAGACAGTAAGGAGCAAACATACCCTGAAAGCCTCGCCAAACTGCGGCCAACCCCACTAGTTTCCTCGCGCCAACGAACTTGAGCCAAAAATTCAGCACTGCATCAAGTGGGCTCACTCGTCCATTTATTTTCTGGGACACTTGATATTCACTAACACACGAATCTTCTGCCAGTATGCTGCGGTGACAGTCATTCACTCCTCACTTGTCCATCGTTTGTCTCAGCAATTCGTTGCTGAACCATCATGTTCTGCTATTTCTACCCTCATCGGTAGCGCATCTCGTGAGCATTCCACCAAGATGGTGCCCCCAAAGGTCGCTGCGTCCCCGACGCCAGGACCATTGCAGAGAGGAGGCCGAAACCGCATTGCGGAAGCCCTTTACGCCTGGTGTCAGAAGCACTACGAAGTCGGCCATGTCTTCGGTCAAGACGAACTCCTCTCCGCCGGCATCATCCCGAATCAAGACCTCTCCATCCTTCTCTCCTCTGTCACGCATCTCGTCGATCAGTCTCTCTTCAGACTCCATGATCGAATTGGGGGCACCATAGGCTGGGAGTTGGTAGACCAAGAGAAAGCCAAAAAGTATAAGACACCACCTTGATTCAGACCTCCAGTCCTGACTTTGATGTCTACAGCTACGCAGGCCTTACCCGCGACGAGAGAATCGTGTTGTTCATCGTCGACGCCGCCGGCACCTCGGGAATATGGACCAAAATCATCAAGTTCCGCTCCTCCCTCCATGGCAGGGTGTTGGATCGGGTGTACAAGAGTCTGGAAGCAAAAGGCCTCATCAAGCCCATGAAACATGTCAAGAATCCTGGTCGAAAGATGTACATCCTTGCAGGATTGGAGCCATCCGAGGAAGCAAGCGGAGGGGCATGGTTTTCCGAGGGTCGCCTCGATATCGGTCTCGTGGACACCATTTCCAAAGTCGTCGAGCATTATGTTTCTACACAGAGTTGGCAGGTTGTCGAACCAGAAGACGAGGAGGATGAGCCGCCTTTGCCGGGCCAGAAGCGGAAGGCCTCAGTGGCAGGACTCGATAGTCCGGGTGACGAGAGAGTCAAAGCGGTAAAGGACAATGAAGGACAGCATAAGGCTAAAGGCCCGAAACACGCACCTCAGAAATCTTACCGACCGTTCGATGCCGGCTGGAGATCATATCCCACTTTAAGGGACATCACTAACCACATTATGAAAATCAACGTCACACCTACGATTCTCCCACAGAATGCGATTAAGCAGTTGCTGGAGGTGATGGTATACGATGATCGTTTATTCAAGATGCACCGCAGCCCGAACGATGATGAAATTCCAGACGACCCGGTGTCCAACATTGTGACGATGTATCGGTCCTTCAAGACTCCCAATGATCTACTCGAGCGACACCAGTTGGAGAAGCGCAAAGTCAGCAGCCATGAGAGCGTCCGCAAGGCCGCACTGCGACAGCAAGAGCTGGAAGACATTGGCCGAGGTGGAACAAGTGAAGTGCCCTGCATGATGTGCCCCGTCTTCGAAATCTGCGGTGACGGTGGGCCGGTCAATGCTGTCACCTGCAAATACTTCGACCAGTGGTATGTGAAACTTGCGGAGGCAGATAAAGAAGCCGGTGTTGGGCAGTACAACCCCAAAGGGAAAGAGAAGAATCAACACAAGGATCGGCAAGAGACGAACCAGGTGGTGAATGGCAACTCGGGGCCGAGGGTCGACGTCGACCTGGAACCGTCCTAGCACATGCTATTCACGATGGTGGATTGGGTCATGTCATGAATGACCGTGTACTTTTTCGGCTCACCGGCATGGCGACGGCGTTACGTCAACTTTCATCACATTCGCAAGGGACATGATACTTCAACCACAGCAGGAGATTTGTCGGTATTCTGAGTTCAATTGCGGCTAGAGACCCGCACAGGGATGATACCAGGATGATATGGGATGAAAACACCGAGATACCCTTTTGCGAGCGACATCACGTAAGATGTGGATGGAAAAGACCAGCAACGGTTTGAATTGCAGGCCATAGACTCCAGTCTAGATCAGGTAACTGGAATCTCTCTGCGAAGATGCTAGCGATCAATAGATACAATTGATACCCACTTCTATGAACAACCTCAACGTAGACTTTGCCCAGAAAAGACTTTTGGGCACGCCCGATCTGCATTCTTTCGCGTCGGACAAATAAATCATGCCATGCCCTGCCCATGGGGCCCCGAAACGCCATGCTGCAGCAAAAAGCAAACCTCACCATGATGCAGCCTCATATGAGCTGTCGGTTCTGTCCTAACTCATGAGATCGCCTAGTCTGGAGCCATTCCGCTCCAACTCTCTCCTGCGACTGGCTCTGGCTATGGCACCTCCAGCACCGTCTCTCTCTTCCTTGACCTCGTCCCTCTCATGGCGATGGGCCTTCAGTTCCTCCTCAACCTCTTCTCTCCACCCCTGGATATCTGGCGGAATATAGCGCATCTGCACCGACGGCGCACCCTTGATGTAATTGAGCTGCTCTCGCACGTGACGGATGATGCGTTCAATGTCAGCCCTCGTGTTCATGTTCTCTTTCCTCCAGCCGCTGAGGTTGGGGAACAAGGTGAGGCCTTCGCGGCGGAAGGCTTCACGGTACGGCATGTGTTCGGGCAGAGCCGGGTTCAGCGTCTTGTCGGCGCCGATCAAGATCGAGGTCTCGTGAGCCCATGCTCGGGCGACATTGCGCGGCGTGTAGCCGCCTCCGCCGACGACAATCATAGGTATATTGAAGCTTTTGACGAAGCTGACACATTGGCCGTGGCCGCGGATGTTGAGATTGAAACAACCCAGCCGGTCATGGCCCAGGCTGTCGGCGCCGCATTGCAGCACGATGGCCGTCGGACGGAAGATTTTGATGGTGGGCTCGATGATGTTCTGGAACAGATACGCATACCCTTCGTCATCGATGCCGTCGTTCAGAGGCACGTTGATCGTGTAGTTCTTGCCAGGATTATCCGGGTGCAATGGACCCGTGGAATCCAGGGGTCCTGTACCGGGGAAGAAAACCTCCTTGTCATACTTGTGGAAAGACACGCACATGACCCGATCGGTCGACCAGAACGCCTGCTCAACCCCGTCGCCGTGGTGGACGTCGATGTCGATGTACAAGACGCGCGGGTTGTACCGTAATAATTGCAGAACAGCCAGGACAATGTCGTTGACGTAGCAGAAGCCTGAAGCCTCGGCCTTTTTCGCGTGATGCAGGCCGCCGCTCCAGTTGATGGCAATGTCGGATTGATGATTGACCAGTTTGCGTGCCGCGTCGATGGATGCTCCCGCGTAGTTGGTGCAGAAGTCGTACAGGCCGTCGAAAATGGGACAGTCTTCGCCCACGCCGAAAATCGACGACGTATACCCTTGCGGACCTGTCGCGAGCTCCGGGTACATTTCGTAGATGTTTGCCGGAGTCGCGACGCTGAGGAATTCGACGTATTCGTCCTTATGGAATTCGGCGATCTCGTCTCGGGTTGCCGGTCGGGAAATGTACGTGTCCATGGCGGTGTGCATGCCGTAGGAGAGCACGAGCGATTTGGTCAGTGTCAGCCGCCACGGCTTCATGGGATGCGTTTGTCCGAAATGGTGGTTTTCCACCGCCGGGTTGTAGTGCCATGACACCGTGTAGCCCTTGGGGCGAGAGATTCCGTTTGCTTCGATCTCGCGCTGAATTTTCGACGACAGTGAGAACGTCGTTGGTGCGCCAGCGTCCTGCCCAGAGGAATACTCTTGCACAATGGAACCGTGGGCCATATTGGCGGTCTAGAAAATGGAGACAGATTCACCTGGGTGAAAACAGTTCAGATAGCAGTGGAGAGTCGGTACAGGTGTCGTCGCGCCACAAGTTCATGATGCGCGCGACTGAGCTCGTCGTCAAGGACCGAAGTGCAGCGGTCCGTGGATTGATTGATTCCTCCCCTAAAAGTCTGGAATGTCTATTTCTCGGACACGGACTTTGGCGCGTACAAAAGGCGTGCTGCTGAGGCTGGATGTAGAGGGCGAGTAAATCAAATTAGCAGAAGTACATGGGTGGAAAGCAAAGTTCTAGGTCGAGGCTGCAAGGCTTTGATGTTGCAGGTGGCGATCACCAATAATCAACGCTGTGGCTGGGCAGATTTTCTGTGGCGGTGTATGCGCGCCACAAGACCCAAAGAAGTTTAGCCCGTCTTTGTACCGACAAACTTCAAGGAGGCCGCTTCATCTTCAGCTTCACCTCCTACTCACTTGAAGGCTTCCGACACTCTCTACTCTTTTGCAGGTGACTGATCCGGCGGTGACTCGGTCGCACCTTACATAACCCCTCTGCGCGCGGACAAGCCACTCCCCCTGTTTTGAAGGCCGCCGGAACGCGCGCTACACTGCACTTGACTTGAAAGCACGTAAGTCAGTCATACCAGGCAGGGAGGGCGAGGCATCCATATCCAGCCACCACGCCATCAAAATGGCATCAAATGAGGATTGCGCCTCGGTTTTGGAGCAGTTTATCAACGATGCTGCCAATCTGCCCGCCGAGATCAACCACATGATGGAAGAAATCCAGGCCAAAGATAAAGATCTTCAGAAATTCCTGTCCGTGGTCACCCAGAAAGAAAGCAATCTCCAAAAGCACATCAAGGTGAATGGCGTTCTTGCGCCACACCCCAAAGAGAATGAGTACTCGGAGCTTATTAAGAAAAATTACGAACTTGGTCTCCAACTTCAGGATCAGAAAATCACGTTGAGTGAAAAGGCCTGTAATCTCCTTGAGAGACAGGTCAAGAGATTGGACCTGAAGATCAAAGAGTTGCAAAAGGACGGTCAGCTGCTCGACGGGCCCCCGCTGCCCAGTGTCTTCAACCGTAAGGCTGAGACGCAGAAGGCCCTCATCGATATGCCGTCAAGCCTCCCACTGCAGAATGCATCCATTAGTGCTCTCAACGTGAAACCGCATCGCACAAATGCAACTATGGTTGCACCTGCACAGCAGGGTCCAGCGAGGCAAGTTCCACAGATAGTGACGGCTATTGCACCTCCTCAACGAAGTTCGGCTCCTGCCACTCCTGCCTCAGCTGTTCAACAACAACGCCAACGAGAACGAGAACACTCGCTCGGCGCGGACACCAAGAGACGTAAGCTGGGAAATCCGCTTGCGGGCGCAAATCTACCTGTTCAACCATCTGGTCTTCGACAGTCGTCACTGGGACCTGGTACACCGAAAGCAGGTACGCCTACGGGCCCAACCAGCCGTGCTGGCAGCCTACCTCGAACAACCGGCTCCCAACAACCCACAGGCCCACCTAAGAAGTCTGGCCTCTCGAAGAAAGTAGTCTCGCACCAGCAGGTCAACAAGCTCAAACAGAAGGGTGCAATGAAAGGGAGGCTTTCTGTCGGACGCAAAAAAGGCCAGTCACCCTCTGTGCGGGGAGGGCGTGGAGGGACGACCGCGTCGGAAGATGCAGAGTCTGTCTTGTCCTCTGCGGATGCGTCCGAGACGGATGCCTCGCAGACTAGAGGACGAAGAGGGATCAAGAAACAAGTTGTCGAGGACGGCGACGCCGACCTGGGCGAGGACGAAGAAGCGGAAGATGAAGAAGGTGAAGATGACAAGCGATATTGTTTCTGCAACCAACGCAGCTATGGTGAAATGGTCGCTTGCGAGAACGACGATTGCCCCTACCAATGGTTCCATACCGGCTGCCTCAACATGAAGAAGGTGCCGGACGAGGATGAAGACTGGTACTGTCCGACGTGCAGAGAGAAGCCCGAGATCATCGAAAAGGTGCGATTGAAGAAGAAGGGAGGTAGAAAGTAGTGTTGTCTTGTTATCATCCCCTTATACAAGCATTGTAATAGACTAAATGAAGTATCTCATTTGATAATCCATCTGTCTACTCGCCTGACTGTCATCGTATCGTCCTGCTCTTACCTTTACCAATAATAATATGTTGTCCTCGTCTTCGCAATAATGTTCCCAAAGTGGGATCCCGCTATCATTTTTCATACCCGCATTGTCCGGTTGACAGGTGGAGCTTCCGCTTGCCTCCCGGTCCGAGTCGGCTATGATATGGAATATACCGTTGGCCAATGGTATCTGATTGGTGGTACAAAGCATTTGGTGCATCCCCTCAGCTGCAAAGGTTCTTGACGGGAGGCTCGGTTTTCAGCTGACCCCTGTCACCCAATAATGCTGGACCTTGCCAGCTACCCGATCTGATTGTTCAACCTTAAATACGCAATCAGCGGTAAATCAGCTGCGAAGGTGATACTGGGGGAGACCGGAAGCGTGGCTGTGATGCGGCAGAGCAGGGAAATGTGGGATCACAGTGTCGTCAATCGTCTAGTAGACCTGGTTCTGCCGAGAAGTCTTGTCCTCACAGCCTGCGGCTTTAGGGTATATCCAAGAAAGCATGGTCTATCTGTTCGGTGCAAAGCGAAGATCGATCGTAAAAAGGACGAATAAAGTACTCGGTGGAGTGAAAGGTTTGACGCCCCATCGTGTGGTCTTCAGCTCGCTTGCTCCGGGAGTGATTATTAGGCCTCCCTAGCCACTACTACCTAGGTACGTACTACTACTCGACTCGCGTCAGCTGTTCGTGGCTCCAATTAATGACACACTGCAGCTGAAATACTTTTCCAGGTCCCAGTTGCGCAGGCGCCGTCAATCAGGTTCTCCGCACCTTCACTCGCCTGCTCCCCATCCACTTATTACCTACCAGCCGCTTGTTCCAAGAGGCGCGGCGCAGCTCAAAGGCACGTTGAGAAGCATCTTCATTTCTCTCTTTCTTTTCCTTCTGCAGGAAAGCGAGGTTGAGTTGTCGAGTTGCAGGAAGGGTTATTGGAGCGTCTACATGGTTTTGTTCGCTCATTGCGGTCCAGTTTCTCCCCTTTCATGTCTCCTGCGAACCACTGGGCCCCGAACTCCCACTGGTGACTCGTCCTTGCGGAACAACCATGAGCTCCGGGTTTAAAAACGAGCTCAAGGCACAAGGTGCCATTGAAGCTGCTCAAGACCCCAATAATGCTGTCACCGCTGAGGACGCACAAAGAGTCATCGTAGACGAGAGCAGAAAAGCGGGCTCGACGGCGCTGCACTTCGATCCCGATGCGTCGCCTGAGGAGAAGGCCGCGCAAGCCAGGCCGGTCAGATGCCCCATCTTGCAGAGCCCGTTCACTGCTAACCTGCACCTAGCGGGTCAACGATACCGGTCGTCCTCCCAAAGGCGTTGGAATTGCTACAGATATTGTGAGTTATCTATTTGCCGCTGCTCTGGCTATTACCTAACTTGCGCAGGACGACGGTAAACCGGATCAATACGACCTCCCTACTCCCGAACCGTTGGCTGTAGCGGAGTCGAACAGGGCGTCCGGCGATGCATCTGGGGCTACAAATGGGGCACCCCCTGAAGAAGAAGAAGACTGGACAAAGGTGGGTTGGACTCCACGGTTCGGGAGTGGCGAGACCCAAGATGATCAAGACGGTGGAAATCTCCTCGATCACCAAACTTTCCTGGAAGGAGCACTGGACGAGAAGTTCTACGGCGGTGCGTATATTCCCATGGAAGGGTTACAATGGACACGACGCTGAGGATTCCAGATTGGTACCACAACGCTGCCGTGATAATATTCGCTTGTCTTTCATCATGGCTCGTTGCCGTCCTCGGCGGTGGTCTAGGATGGGTCTTTATCATCATGGCCACGTGCGGGACATACTACCGGACCTCTGTCAGGCGTGTACGACGCAACTTCAGAGACGACATCACTCGAGAGCTTGCAAAGGCCCGCCTGGAGACCGACAACGAAAGCCTGGAATGGATGAACAGCTTTCTGGTAAAGTTCTGGCCGATTTATGCACCTCAACTAGCAAAGGGCATCATACAGTCTGTCGACCAGGTTCTCAGCACCTCGACCCCAGCATTCTTGGACAGCATGCGAATGGAGACGTTCATTCTAGGCACCAAGCCTCCACGGATGGAACATGTCAAGACTTATCCCAAGTCGGAGGATGACATTGTCATGATGGACTGGAAATTCAGCTTCACGCCGACCGACACCATGGATATGACGATGCGGCAGCTCAAAACCAAGATCAACCCGAAGGTGGTGCTGGAAATCCGTATCGGCAAAGGTGTTGTCAGCAAAGCCATGAAAGTCATTGTTGAAGATTTCGAGTTTTCGGGTCTGATGCGAGTGCGCATAAAACTGCAGATTCCATTTCCTCACATCGACAGAGTCGACGTATGCTTCCTCGAGCGCCCAACCATTGACTATGTCTGCAAACCAATTGGCGGAGAGACATTTGGGTTCGACATCAATTTCATCCCTGGGCTGGAAACATTCATCAAAGAACAGATCCATGGAAACCTGGCCCCGATTATGTACGCGCCAAACGTGTTCCCGATCGAGGTCGCCAAGATGCTGTCCGGCAATCCAGTTGACCTGGCAATAGGCGTTGTGGCCGTCACTATATACAACGCCCACGGTCTGAGAAATCCAGATAAATTCTCTGGAACGCCTGATCCTTATGTCGTCGTCTCCCTGAACGGCTCAAAGGAGCTTGCCCGCACCAAAACGATCCATGAAGACCACAACCCACGCTGGAATGAGACACTGTACATTATCATCACAAATTTCACAGACGCTCTTACTTTGGAAGTCTATGACTACAACGATGTCCGCAAAGACAAGCATCTCGGCACCGCTACGTTTGCGTTGGATCAATTCGAAACCGCTCCAGATCACGAGGGCTTGTCACTTGATGTTCTCGCAAACGGCAAGTCTCGTGGGATCGTCCAAACGGACTTGCGTTTCTTTCCTGTTTGGCAACCTCATAAGCTTCCAACGGGTGAAATCACTCCTCCTCCAGAATCCAATACTGGGATCGCTCGGATCACTGTCGAACAAGCCAAGGATCTTGATGGCAGCAAGAGCTTGGTTGGAGCTTTTGATCCGTACGCCGTGCTGTTGCTGAACGGCAAAGAAATCCACACTACCAACAAACTCAAGCACACCAACAATCCTGTCTTCTCGGACAGTACAAAGTCGGTCCTCATTACCGACCGGAAGAAGGCAAGGATTGGATTGGTTATCAAGGACAGTCGAGGTCTGTCCAGTGATCCAATTATAGGCAGTTACCAGATCAAATTCGATGATTTACTCAAACTGGTCGACAAGGGCCAGGAATGGTATAATCTCCACGGAACAAAGAGTGGCAAGATCAAGTTGATGCTGGACTGGAAACCGGTCGAACTGAAGGGTGTTACCGGGTCTGGAGGTTACGTTACTCCAATTGGAGTTATGCGAATCCATGTCAAAAGCGCACAGAACTTACGAAACTTCGAGACGCTCGGCAAGTCGGACCCATACGCACAAGTGTTGCTGTCTGGCATTCCCAAGGGCCGCACAGTCACGTTTCAGAACCAGCTTAATCCCGAGTGGGATGAAGTCATTTATGTCCCAATGCACTCGTCATCTGAACGGCTGGTTTTGGAAGTTATGGATGAAGAAAAGCTTGGGAAAGATCGTTCCTTGGGCCTCGTCCACATTGTGGCCGCAGACTACATCAGAGAAAGCGATGAAGGTGGGTATGAAGTTAACGATGTGAAGACGCCCCTTTCTGAGGGCTTGCGCATGGGCGGAATTGGCGAATCCAAAGGTACGATCAACTACACCGTCTCTTTCTATCCCACGTACAACGTCGTGGACCCGGAGGACGAAGAGGACGAACGCAAAGCGCAAGCTGCCATTGATGCTGCTGGCACACCAGTCGCGACACCTGCCCACAGCAAGGCGCCGTCACTGGAGGCCAAACCCTCCGTCGATATTCCGCGGCCAAGCCCAGATCTCCGACAGAGTCTCGAAACGGCTGGTAAGATTGGTCAGCCTAATGGCGCTTCATCTATCACCACCAGCTCAGTCATTTCAACGCCGCCCAAGCAGGCACCCAAGATCAGATTAACCCCGGAGAACCTCAATCAATATGGTAAGTTCCCTTCCCAACTACACTCGTATAGAGCTCTGATGTGCGCAGAATCCGGACTCCTCGTATTCAATTTGGTCGAGGGACATTTCTCGACCACCGATGTTCACCTTGAGGTGCTGATGGATGACCATGCTTTCCCTGCGTATAGCTCGGCCAAAATCAGACAGCGGGATCATCATTTTGGTGAGACTGCTGATGCTATGGTGCGCGAGATCGACATGTCCCGAATTACCATGCGGCTGGTGGAGAAGGCCGACAAGACTGGGAAGCAGGACGAGGATGATATCGTTGCCAGGCTGACTGGTTCAACACTCACTACGCTACAGCAATGCCTGTACAAGCCTACTGAGCTCACCCTCCGAAGCAACAATGGGGCCATCAACAAGGTGACCGTTATCCTGAAATATTTACCCGTCAAAATGCAGCTTGACCCCAGTGAAAGCATCAACAACATGGGTATGCTTCGAGTCGATGTGCTTGATGCGGCAGATCTTCCCTCGGCCGACCGTAATGGATACAGTGATCCCTACTGCAGGTTCAGACTGAATGGTAAAGAGGTGTACAAGACGAAGACACAGAAAAAGACGTTGCACCCGGCTTGGAACGAATTCTTCGAAGTGGCAATTTCTTCCAGAACAGGAGCCGAATTCAAAGTCGACGTGTACGACTGGGACTTTAGTGACAAGGCCGACCATCTGGGTTCTGCAGCAATCGATCTGCGGGGCCTGGAGCCGTTCAAGCCCCAGGAGCTACGAATCAAATTGGATGGCAAATCGGGTGCCATTCGACTGAGGCTGTTGTTCAAGCCTGACTACGTTACCAGGACTCGACAAGGCACTTCAACCTTTTCTGGTACATTCGCTCCAGCAGGCAAGGTGATTGGCGCTCCCGTCAAAGGTGTCGGTAAAGTAGGGGGCGGAGTTGTGAAAGGCGCATCCTTCATCAAACGCGGTCTGATCGGACGTGGAAGCAAGGAAGAAGCCCCATCAAGTGTCAATGGAGCTGTGGCGACGGCGGAGGGTATTGTTACCCCAAATACTACACCGGCCAAATCACATCCTTATCTGGACGGGTCCGCCTCTCCCGCGACACCAAATGAACTCACGCATACCCGTACCAAGAGCAGTTACTCGTCGGTGACCAATACACCCCGAGGTGGAGAGACGGGAATAGCAAGTTTCATCATCGTGTCAGCCAGTGGCTATCCCCCTGGAGCCGATGTCCGAGTCCATGTTAAGATGCTGGGTTCCCGAGGAGCAAAAGAATTGTACAAGACCAAGGCGATTAAATCGAGTTCAGGGACTGTGGAATACGACCCGAGTCACGAGAACTTCAAGGTGGCCTGTTCCGCCGATACACAATTTCAAATTGTGGTCAAGGACCACGACACTTTCCGATCCAGGGACTTGGGCGAAGGTCTTTTCTTCGTGTCCGACCAAGGCGGCGGGTCCGAGCAAATCGTCAAAGCTGGACAAGGCAGTGTGACGATTCGGAGCAACTTTACACCTAACGACACTGGAGTCTCCGACGGTCTCAAGCCTGCCATCAGTAGGCAAGATAGCCCGGATTCGAGGCGGGAGGGACGACGGAGCTTCTTTGGACGGAGGGAGGTGAGCGGTAAGCAGGATACTTCGTGAAGGCCGCAATACTGCAGAGAATGGGTATCCTTCAGCGTGGGCGTTCGTTGGCGGAGGGAGAGGAGCGTTGCAACAGGGCTCGGCTCAAGTATATAATTCCGGCAACCTCTTTTGCTATCCTGTTTCCTTGTGCCTGTATTTGCATCGATACCAAAAGAAGTTATGGACGCCACGTGGCAGGTAGCGGAGGATTAGTGCTAATGGAAATCAACTACTACTACTACCTCCAGTACATACAACAAGGCTTGACACGAAACTCGAAAGATGGTTTCCAAGCATGTGCGCGTTGATTAATTGGGCTGCAGCCCGTGCTCCCTCTCTCGGAGCATTGTGGTGAAGGCCAGGGACGAGAGGGTTCGGCGCAACGGCTAAGGAGGCGGTGAGGTTCGCGTGAGGGCGGGTCTCAGACATGGACTCGCTGCCCACGACAAGAGCGGCCTGGTCGGTGATGAAAGTCCTAAAGGGAAAGCTATCTAAGATGCCTAGTAGATGCCTAGTACACAGGAGAATTGCTTGTACCAGAGCTTCTTGCGTGTGGGTTTGAATTGAGTGTGGCTGACGACCGCTCTATTGGCAATAACGGAGGATGAGAAGTGAGACACAGACCGCTTAAGATCGAATCATTTTTGCTACGACCGGCGAAAAGTGCACGGGCAGGAAAGATTGTCGGAGGGACATACCCTCCTTGAAAACCTTGAATATAACCCTTCGCTCTTTTCTTTATAGCGCAGTCAGTCGCAGTATGTCGGACAGGAGGCTCGCGAACAAGGACTGACCGGCGAAAGTTGTGGCGGTATACGAGGATCGGTGGAGGAAACTGCAGATCGTGTGGCGGCGCTAGCTGGGGAGAGTCTAAGACAGTGGAAGCAAAGTGACTCAAGTTTCTACCGGGGTCCTTTTCTGTAAGTGACGATGGTGCCTGAAGGCCTCAAGATAAGAAGAAGAGGGAAGAAGAACTGCTAGGAAGGACAGAGCAAGACGAGTGCAGCGAAGCAGGTAAACTGGGTGTGGGAAAGCAAAAAGGCAATTTTTAGGTTGTCGGGCATAGGTGGAGGAGATATTGCCCGTTCTAGATGCTCCAATAGTTAAGGACTAGTAAGGACTATCTCGCGGTCTCCTTATTGTGGTCAGACAACAACCTGACTCAGTTGCTTGAACAGGAACGTGCAAAGCAGCTATCTTCTGTCCGCACCATACTACTGTGCCGCTGCTCATTTGTGATCGGCTATTAGTTCTGGTAGAGTTGGGTGTTCAACTCGTCGTCTGTTACTCCATACTCCCAGGCTACCTACTCAGACCGCCCGTTTCTCCTATGTTCCAGCAGCAGTAGTTGTGTCCACCTGCGTCTAGGTGATTCGCCGGGTAGAGTTGCAGCCTGTAGAGCAACGGCATCACAGTCTCTCACCCACTGACATGCCGCCGATCTGACGTATCTGTTGCCCACTGTTTAGCTAACTGCCTCCTTCTCGGGCTTCAAGCGGCGTGCACATGGTGGAATGGGCATCCTGACTTCCTAGAGGCTGCGACTAGAACGGTATCGTCGCCCATCACATCACTTTCTCCATCCCTCATCTCTCCACGTACCGCTAGTAGAACGGGTTACTCTCTACACGGGAAAACCTTGCTGGCTGACTGGCTGTTCTGGCTGGCGTGGGTGCAGTCAACAAGCGTCGCTCCGCACTTTGCCTGCGGTGCCAGTGCAGCTACCTGTTCTACATTACCTGCCTAGGTATCTTTTCCATCATCATCGTCCTCTCTTTCTCTCATCCCACCTCGACCTTCTTCCTTTCTTGCACACCTCTCATCTCGCGCTTCGAGCTTACAGCAGGTGGACGCATCCAGCTCTCGTCGCTCACCAATCTCCAGACTCCTTCAGCGTGTCCTGACCCTCCACAACCCTCCGTCTCAGTTCCGCACCGACTGAAACCATGGCTTCCAAAGCTATTCCCTCTCACCTCCGCCCTCAGGGGTCCGCCAACGGTAGCAATGGTGCGCCATCTCATGAGAGAAGACACCATGGCAAGTCACAGTCTCACGTGGTAAGTCGCAGTTAAGACCTCCCTGCATCATCTCGCTTCCCAATCCGGCACTGTCGACTTTCTTGATGGAAATGATCAGTCGTTCCTATCCACCGCACGGACCCAGCGTCACATATTCTGGTCGAACTATCCCACTTCCGATGTCTCGAGCGATGCCGGATGGTGGTGAGCTGCATTTTAAAACTGCTGCGCATGCCTCATTTGAGCGTCTTGACCTTCACCATCTTCACTGGGCTCTAAGCTGGAACGACACCTCCTTATTCAATACGATTGCTTGCCCCTACCTTCACTTCCCTTCTACCAGACACAATGCATCTTCTTAAGCCTCCACCCTTTGACCTGCACAAAACTGCAAACGATCACCACCATGACCACCAGCAACATCCGCTAATCAAATCTCCTATCATGCAGGCCTTTGAGAACACCTCTACCAATGTCGCAGCCAGCCAGATGCGCAATGCCCTCAATGCCCTTGCGGATACTGTGAAGGATCCGGCGGAAAAGAAGAGATTTGAGGCAGAGATGGATAACTTTTTCGCATTGTTCAGAAGATATCTCAACGACAGAGCTAAGGGAAACACGATTGACTGGGCCAAGATCCACCCTCCCAACCCAGATCAGGTCGTCAGCTATGATGATTTGCCAAATGGGGACGCTGTGGAGTTCTTGAACAAACTCGCTGTGGTCAAGCTCAACGGTGGTCTTGGTACTTCTATGGGTTGCGTTGGTCCAAAATCCGTCATCGAGGTCAGAGATGGCATGTCCTTCCTCGACCTTTCCGTGCGACAGATCGAATACCTGAACCGCACCTACGATGTCAATGTTCCTTTCGTCCTGATGAACAGTTTCAACACCGACGAAGACACTGCCTCCATCATCAAGAAGTATGAAGGCCACAACATCGACATCCTCACCTTCAACCAGTCTCGTTACCCCCGTGTCCTCAAGGATTCACTCCTACCTGTTCCAAAGTCGTACGACTCGCAACTTTCGGACTGGTACCCTCCTGGTCACGGAGACGTGTTCGAGTCCATGTATAACAGCGGCATTCTCGACCAGCTTCTCGATCGTGGCATTGAGATCATTTTCCTGTCCAACGCCGACAACCTTGGTGCCGTTGTTGATCTCCGCATCTTGCAACACATGGTTGAGAGCAAGGCCGAGTACATCATGGAGTTGACCGACAAGACCAAGGCCGATGTGAAGGGTGGTACCATCATCGACTATGAAGGCAAAGTGCGATTGCTCGAGATTGCTCAAGTGCCCAAGCAGTATGTCAATGAATTCAAGTCGATCAAAAAGTTCAAGTACTTCAACACCAACAACATCTGGATGAATCTCCGAGCCATCAAGCGCGTGGTTGAGGCCAACGAGCTGGAGATGGAGATCATCCCCAACGAGAAGTCCATCCCGGCCGACAAGAAGGGTGAAGCAGACCTTAGCATCATTCAACTCGAAACCGCAGTCGGTGCCGCCATCAAGCATTTCAAGAACTCCCACGGTGTCAACGTTCCTCGACGACGATTCTTGCCGGTCAAGACGTGTTCCGATCTCATGCTGGTCAAGTCGAATCTCTACACCTTGAGCCATGGTCAATTGGTCATGGACCCCAACCGCTTTGGGCCTGCTCCCTTGATCAAGTTGGGTAGTGATTTCAAAAAGGTGGCTCAGTTCCAGAAGCGAATCAGCAGCATCCCCAATATTGTCGAATTGGATCACTTGACGGTTACTGGTGATGTTAACTTTGGACGTGGTATTGTATTGAAGGGTGAGTCTAGTCTACGACCTGCTTGACATTGTCCTTGTTCTGACTTTCTTTCCAGGCACCGTTATCATCGTTGCGACTGAGAATAGCACCATCGACATCCCACCTGGATCAATCTTGGAGAATGTTGTTGTTCAAGGAAGCTTGAGACTACTTGAGCATTAAACGATGGTATGTGTACCGGCATACAGATGACCCACGACCAAAGTGTGGGGAGAAGATCACAACGGAGCGAAAGATGATATCATCCCCGTGAGTGAGCTAGTGGAGAGATATGCAGATGCCCGCCACGGAAAAAGACGGTGTTTCTAGGTGTGCATGCATGCATCGGTAATATCGCATGCTATGGTCAGATGCATTTTCTTCAACTGTCATGCCTTGTGCAAGAGCAAAATCGATACAATGCGACTGCAATCTTTAGTTCTATGAAGGGTCTTTGTGGATGGGAATTTATAGATAAGAATGATGTAATTTGTAGCCGGAAGTCGGAGATTTAATTGAGAGAAGCGTTTTTACGTATTATTTTCGGATAAACATTATTCCGTTCCGGAATGATTCTCCCGGTCCCATCTGATTACACTGCAGAACTGTCAATTAGAAGGGCCATTCGTCTTACAAGAGACAGGCTTGTCCCCGGACAGTCCTAGCAGCTTTCTATCACGATTCTTTGGGCGGTCATTTCTCCATACCACTCAACACCTACCTAGACGGGGTGTTGTGTCGGTTACCAGGCAGAGCAGTGCAACAAGCTCAAATCATATATATAACGGCGACACACGAAAGGATTCGGGTAATAAGAGTATAGCTGGAACAGCGCTCTCTCCAATCGCCTAACCTCTCACAGCCAAAGCGCAGCAGCCAATACAACCCTGATCATCAGCATTCGCAGTACAGTGAACAGTCAACCAGGGCAATCAGAGTGTGTTTTGTGATCATCAAGTTAATAATTTATCTTGTTGCTCTTGGTACTACGCCGAAGATCAGACAGGCGCCAGGCTAAGAGATCTCCGTCGTCGCCTTGTGGAAAGAGGGCAGGATTGGATTCGAGCCGGCTTGAGGTTGTGGAGGACAAGAAAGAGGTTCGAAGGTCGGCTTGAGAACCAAAAGTTGGACCATACCCAGCCAAACTGACACCTCGTTTGATCACTCACCCGCCCGCAAAACCGCCATCGAGACGCCTTGTGGTGGATCGGGACGAGATTCACTTGGTCTGGAGAAACTTGTCGTGTCAGAGGTTAGACACCACGTGAGAAGTGAGTATCTCACGGTATCCGATCTTCAAGGACCGAGATATCTATAAGCGACAAACACGAACTGTGTTCAACGCCTGCAACCGGAGAAGGAGAAGACTTAAACAGCTACAGTGACAAATAGCAATTGTGGCGTGAGAGCTGTGGAAGTTCGGAGGCGAAAATAGGTACAAAGCCGACTGGATGAGCCTGAGGAGCACAAAACAGGGAGCAGACATGGGGATGGGGAAAGATACATTCACGCTTCTCCTATTTGCTTCGGCGTCGACATATACCGGTGCAGAAACCCTCACTCTGCCCGCGCCGAGTTCACTCAGACAAATCTTCACCACTCTCGAGCGCATGTATCCCGGCTTCGTGGACAAGGTGTTGAAGAGTGCCGCCGTGACAGTGAATCTGGAGTATCTCGACATCGAGCTGGACGGGCTTGACCCCGCCGTTGACCTCGGCGACCACATAGCCAATGATGCACATGAGGCAAAGGACAAGGAGAGTGGTGAAGGAACAAAAACTTCGGGACAACAGAGTACAGATCCGGGATCAACGACGGGGCTGGATATGCTGATTAAACCGGGTGATGAGGTGGGAATCATACCACCTGTGAGTAGTGGGTGAAAAGGGTGCTATATTATATATACATCTACAAAGATTTTCCAGGTTGTGGGTCTTTCCTAGTTGAAAGGGAATGCTCATTCCGAGTCCCTCGTTGCCTTGACATATCTCTGCAAGTTCTGTCGCACTAGATGGTCATCCTCGAAGTGGTCACAGAGACGTGGCAGATGAATATATCGTACAAACGGAGACGGGATTACTAATATCCGAACTTTGGTATGGTACGAACTTGGGTGCCGAAGTTGACGTTGGTGCCCTGAGACATTCCCGGCTTTACCGCGCGGATGGGATATTCTTTCCGCCCTTTACTTCCCCGACCCGGCCCAGTTCCAAAGAGCTCTCCGGGTCCTCGCCCGGGGAGGAGAGCCGGTGACCCCGTTGACCGAGTGGGTCTTCAGTGAGACCAAGGCTGAATCTTGCTTTGACTTTATCATGCTATGAACACTCCGCGGCCCAATGAACTGGAAATGCAAAGTGGTATCCCCTTTGTGCAAATGAACAAGGATGAATGAAGATAGGATCAGGTCTCGATCCTCTAGACTGACGCTTCTTTCTAGAGTGCCGAATGTCTCGGATGGTTGGTATCTCTGACGCCGAGTGCCTGTCTCCTTCAGTCGCTTCTCTTTGCCCCCCTTCCCGAGTCTATTCCCGCCCGTGCACAATCCCTCAAGGCCGATATCGAGACTTGCTAGAGGATTCCCACAATTACATGTACACTAGCACCTTCACACCACAAAGACCTTGATAAAGATAACCTCCTGAACCTCGCAATCATCTTTAATTGGGTGGATTCTCCAAAGGTATACTTCGCAGAGATACCCTCATGATAACCAGCGATCCTGAGATCAGTTTGGCTACCTGCATTTGGCTACCTGGACTGTTCGCCTTCTCGGGGTAAGTACGGACTTGGAGCTAGATAACCGGATTGGTTCACAGGGGGATAAGAGATATAAAAGATGCTGGAATCCACCTCGGAGACTGGTTCTCCAGCCTGCAAAGTCGTCTCTCCCTCTAGAAAGCATCCCAATATGCATTCCAACATGGAGGTATCTCCTGATTTCATTCCTGGGACGGTCCACCTGGTCGACCTCGCGGGCACCGTCCACGCCCTTCACGCCAACGGTGGCAAGCGCGACATTGTGCTCGTTCCTGCACCCTCGGCACACCCTGACGACCCCTTGAACTGGAGTCCACGGCGAAAGCTGCTGTACCTCGCGTGTCTGTGCACGTATGTGTGGACGTCTTTTTCACTGACTGACAACGTAACTGACTGGGGCAAAGTTACATTCTCTCCGTCGGAATCGCCACGGCCGCTATTTACTCGGTCCTCGTGCCCATCTCGATTGACATCGATCTCAGCGTGGGCGACCTGAACACGGGAACTGGATACATGTTCTTGTTCCTTGGCTGGGGGTGCCTCTTCTGGCAACCTCTGGCCCAGCAATATGGAAAGCGGCCCATCTACTTGATCTCGTGTCTGGCCACGATGGTGAGTTGAAACTTCAAAGTTGAGCTGTCAAATCGATCGGCAACTGACCAATTGGCGGTGCAGGCGATCATGATTTGGGCACCGTACACCACGACCAACGGTCAGTGGATAGCCAACAAGATCTTGCAGGGCTTCTTCAGCGCCCCGATTGAGTCCTTGTGCGAAGTCTCCATCTCGGACGTGGTAAGAACCTTTCTTTAACTATAACTTGTGCCTCCTACTAAGCTGCAACTAGTACTTCACGCACGAGCGAGGCACATACATTGGCGTGTATGCGCTCTTTCTGGCTGGCAGCAACTTCTTCGCCCCCTTGATCTCGGGCTTCATCAATGACGGTCAGGGTTGGCAATGGGTCTTGGTACGCTGTTGCACATACCGCTCTTCAGGGAAACCACTGATCTCTCTCCTAGTACTGGTGTGCCATCTTCTGTGGTGGGGCTTTCGTGATCTTGTTCTTCTTCATGGAAGAGACCAACTACCACCGGGCTCCGATTCTCGCCATCGAACCGGACGAGGCACTTCCGGAGGACCAGGAATCAGAAAGCGCCGAATCTAACCTCGAAACGTCCACCACTGACCCGGAGAAGAAGATGCCCGCTGTCCGAGGTGATACTGGACCCGATACTCGTCAAGGTAGCGTCCACGTCTCCTACCAGAAGAAAACCTTCCTACAAAAGATGGCTCTCCTGAGAAAGGAAGACCTGCAAAAGAAGAATCAAATGAAGGGGATGGTCCTTCGACCTCTGATCTTCCTGACCTTTCCCGTCATCGTCTTCTGCGGGTTCATGTATGGCGCCATCGCCTGCTACTTCGCGGTCCTCAACGGGACCGCTTCGCTCATTCTGTCGGCACCGCCATACAATTTCTCGTCCAGTATGGTTGGATTGTCTTACTTGTCGTGTCTGATCGGAACGTTCTTAGGGTGAGTACTTGATTTGCTGTTTGCTGTTTGCTGTTTACTGTTTACTGTTTTCTTGAATCTATGACCCTAACTTGCGAACGCAGATTTTTTGTCGCCGGCCCGGTGGGCGACCGGTTCATACTGTGGAAGGCTCGACGTAACAACGGTATCATGGAACCAGAGCACCGGCTGTGGCTCTACAGCATCTTGTTGGTACTCACCCCCGGGGGCCTTTTGATCTGGGGCTTGGGGGCAGCTCACCATGTCCATTGGTTTGGATTGATCTTCGCCATGGGCATGCTTGCGACCTGCATCGCGGTTGGAGTTCAACTGCCGGTCAGCTATTGCATTGATTCGTACAAATCCATCAGCGGAGACGCCATGGTGACGGTTATTCTCGTCCGAAACACCATGGTCTTCGCCGTGAACTACGGGTAAGCCTCTATATCCCCTGGAAAAAATGGTGGACGGATTTCTTGCTAACGACCGACCTAGCATCACGCCATGGGTTACCAACATGGGTTATCAGAATGCATTCCTGGTGTGTGCGTTTGTCGCCCTGGCTCAGATCTCACTCTACTTTGTCTTTATCAAGTGGGGACGTGGATTCCGCAAGGCCAGTGTCTCTCGCTACTTGAAATACGTCAGGCAGATCGAGGACAATGGCCTGGCCCATTAAGCTTGGAGGGTTGTAACCAGCTGCCGGAGGTGGGTGAATTTACGTCTGATGACATTAAAACCGAGAGGAGGGTCAATTGCACAGGAACGTCTGGCTTTTCAATTGAGGTCTCATCGCAAACAAGATATCGGAAGTTCACTATCACAGTTGACGGTCATAAGATATGATAGATAGTATATAGATAGATTCGATGGATCGATAGAAATGCTAAGGGTCTCGGATACATATGTATGTACGGCTGAAGCACTATATACTGTTAGTCTGTATGTGTTGCCAGGTATACGAGCATCTGGTCAGCTCTCGTATGTCGTTGGGACGGGACGAAGCACGGAATCCAGTACTGGAAACAACGAAACACTCAACCAAAATGGGGCATCTTCGTTTGCCAAAGTTGCAGATTCGGCATAGGATAAAGCACTCAGTTCCGAGTCAACATTCTGGTAAGCTTGCTCAGTTACTAGTATAGCACTTCTGATCGTTTCGGCTCCTATAGTATCAACGGCTTCAGCCTTCTCGACAGCAACCGCAATCGACCAGAGGCCTTCCGTGGTCGGTATCAACGAAATAGCTTACCAATGGTGGAATAGGTCTCAGAGATGCTGCCGGGGGCCCATGAGATCATATGAAAGTGGTTTCGATTGAGTTTGGAGGTCGCTTGCTCCTCTGGTGGAAGTATGTCTTCGGATGAAGTCAATAAAGTGCAACTTGGAGAAACTATCAATAGTATGGAGTGCTACGTTGCGTATAACAATACTAATTGAAATTCCCAGCCCACACTGAACAATTTCAGAGGGAATTTGTCTTGATTGCTTCGCGAATGCCGTTCCGATCCTCCCAATCCTCCCGGCAAATACTCTGAGAAGAAATATGCCCTAACCAACGAGATCGGCAAACTCCCTCCATTGCTTATCGTTTACCAGACCGACAAAATCTTCCTGGAACATGCTGGTCGCCAAATGCATGTCTCCCTTTCGATCTTTGGGCATGATGTACGTCAGGTCAGGCACATCAGGGAGGCGAGCCCGCCGGACGAAATCCACCGTTCCTAGGCCAGGACCAAAATCACATTGCGACAACCAGTGCAGCTGGGCCCATGACGAGACCAAGAAATCTCTGCCGGCCTTGTTTTTTGCACCGTAGAAGATGGTCGTTTTGTCCTCGGTGGTCTTGATCAACGTGGCCAGACTGCGGATGAAGTGATCGTCCACCTCACGCAGCGACGCTCTGATCTTGAGGGCCGCATCGGCGAGCGAAGAGTCGCAGAGTTCCTGGGCTGTTGACCACTCGGTATCGGCCATAGCAACCAGGTGGCCCAAATAGCCATCAGGGATAGGCGGTTTCAGAACGGAGCGCGAGTCCACGCCACGTTGTAGGTGAACGTCCTCGTTTGCCGCCACTCGTCCGGCGGCGACGCGCACTGCTGTGAGGCGTTGAACAAAGAATGCTGTGATCGCATCGTTGGTAGAGATCCAGTCAGCCGGACTAGTCGCGGCCTTCTTGAGCGCGGGTAGCTTATCGGCCGACAAACGCCAGTAATTCCATGGTGACGGCCTGGGACGACCGGCCGGACTCGGGGAGGCTGTCAGTGTCGACGAGCGGCGCATATTCTCGTGGGACCGAGGGGGTTCTCCCGGTTTGAGAAGCGGTACAATGCTATCAGCATCCTGGTTTCCCACTGCCACCAGGGTAGGATCAAGTTCCTCTCCTCGGCCAGCCGCAGCAAACATCTTCAAGACAGTGCCTTGCCCATTCATATCCAGAGCGTTGTGCATGGAGGCAAAGCAGAGCAACAACCCCCCCTTGACGAAGTTGGCCTGGACGATAAAGACCGGAAGCTCGGTGGACGGATCGTACGCGTAGCCCATACCTTTCATGGGGCACAGGATGTCGCCATCCAGCATGAAGAAAGGAGCGTCGGCACGGAGAATCTCTTCGTAAGTAGGGCAAAGCTCCGTGCAGTCCTTTCGCCGCACCGGCGACTTGTTCTCATGAGGCGGATATGGCACGATTTCGTAGGTGCCAGAATTGGTCGATGTCATGCCTCGCTTGACCACTTGACCTGCGAGGGATGGGTAGGCGGCGAGCACGCGTTGTGCCGCCGAGTCTAGAGTCGCCAGGACGTCATCACGACTTGACCCTGCCCGGTCTGGGAATCCCAAAATGATCAATGTGTAGGTATCCCAGCATAGCTGACCAAAGATGCCGGGTTGTCGCAACTTGGAGGCCATTTTCTTTGGGCTTTGGGCTTTGGGCTTCGGGCTTTGGGCTTGTGGGCGGGCACAGGGGGAAGAAATCGAGACAATCTGATGACGACCTCCAAGATGGCTTACACAGGACAGTATGTTTGTCTGTCTAGCGGGACTCACAATCACAAACGACCTCGGGGGACCGTGATACCCAGCAGCGTCGATGATTAATGGTATACGCACACCTGTTTACTAAGTCGGCCGGGATGAGGTTGGTCATATCGCGGGGCCCATAATCCGATAACTCCCAACGAACCGGAACCGGGCCGCTTATCTGCCATTTGCTTCTAGACCCGAGAAGACGGATCCGGATTTGCCCCGGCGTACCCGTAGTGGAGGTCTATATCCGTACCGCAAGATAAGCCTTCGCAGTGGGTTGCAGATGATACTAGTAAGGGTCTCAGAGTGACTGCTACTGCACGATCTCCGCTTGATTGTGATATTGCTATCCGGCTCCGCCGAATGCTTTCGTAACACCGAGGGCCACTTCCTTAAACGAACCTCGTGGATCGCGTTCAGCGGAACGAGGAGCCAAAGGCTCGGTGGATCCTCGATAACGATCAATAGAGCCATTCTGCCATCTCCAAGACATCCTCGTATGTTTGAACGCTTGTTCGAACCAGAATCGCTGTGTTTGAGTTCCACGTCGGACAAACACCTGTCAACCATGCGAAGACCCTGGACGGAGGTCGCTGCAGCCAAACGTGCAGAACGCGAGGCACACCTCAAGAATCATTCCCGGTGCAGAATAGATCCAAGTGCCCATGCTCAAATCACCCAAATAGACAATGTGGCCGCCCTGACCGATCTGTTGGAAAAGGGGTCGATCTCGGCGGAAGATGTTGTCGTGGCTTACATCGACAAGTAAGTTCAATGCACCCCAAGCGGCCCTGCACCACACCTAACGCTGTTTAGAGCCTGTCAGGCCCAGGAAGAGGTACGCCGTGGACATCATTCCGCTCAAACATGCTTTGACGGACTTGTTGTAGACAAACTGCCTTACGGAAATTTGCTTCGACGATGCCATAGCACAGGCTAGAGCTCTTGATGCCTTTCGGAAAAAGGAAGGCCGCCTGAAAGGCCCGCTCCATGGCGTTCCGATGTCCTTGAAAGACCAATTCAATATCAAGGGGTTCGACTCAACCTTGGGCTACATCGGCAGAGCTTTCAAGCCGGCAGACTCTGATGCACTTCTAGTCCATGTCCTCAAGGAGCTAGGTGCAGTCATCATCGCAAAAACAAACTTACCGCAGAGTATCATGGTGAGGCCCACAAGATTTCGAGTGTTGGAGTATTGGGTGACATCGGCAGTGGTGCGAGACCGAAAACCCCATCTGGGGTTTGACCACTCATCCGAAGAACTCGAAACTGACGCCAGGCGGCTCTTCTGGCGGCGAGGCAGCCTTGCTAGCCCTACAAGGTTCAATGGTTGGATGGGGGACTGATATTGGGGGCTCTATCCGCATTCCCAGTCACATGAACGGGCTTTGGGGTTTCAAGCCGAGTGTAAGTATCTCCGAGGGTCCTTGTCACTTCGAAAGTACCACTAAAAACTCGTCCAAAGAGTGGCAGATTGTCATATCAAGGTGTGGAAGTCTCCACAGATGGCCAACAACATGTACCTTCGGCTGTAGGTCCGATGGCAAGATCTCTAGATTCCCTCATCATCACCACAAAAGCAGTCATCAACATGGGACTCTGGAATCTGGATGCTCTACTACCTCCAGTGCCCTGGGCACAAGACGTCCTTGACGATTTTTCGCAGAAGCGGTTGGTCATTGGTGCCATGCTAGATGACGGTGTCGTGAAAGTACACCCGCCTATCGCGCGTGTCTTTGAAGAAACGGTTTCGAGACTGAGGAAAGCCGGCCACGAAATCGTCGAATGGGACACATCCCTAAATACCGAGTGCATCAGTATCATGGTGAGACGGTTTAGTCGCTCGAAAGAAGAAGAATCCATCTGACAGCAATAGGATCAATATTATACTGCGGATGGTGGCGAAGACATCCGGCGGGAGGTCACTGAAGGTGGAGAGCCCTTCCTTCCGCACGTCGAAGCTCTGGTCAATCGTGCACCCGCGATATCTGTGTATGAGTATTGGCAACTGAACAAAAAGAAAATAGCGGCGCAGCAAGCCTACCTCCAAATGTGGAACAACGCCCGGGCACCATCAGAACGCCCAGTAGACATACTGCTTGTGCCTACCATGCCTCATACAGCAGTTCCACACCGATCTTGTCGTTGGGTCGGTTACACCAAGCTCTTCAACTTCCTTGACTACCCTGCTTTGTCGTTTCCGGCGGGCAAAGTCACCAAGGGATTGGATCCTGATGTGTTGCCCGAGGTGGAACCACGGAACCCCCTCGATGCGTGGAATTGGCAAACATACGATCTTGACTTGATGGATGGCCTCGACATAGGCCTGCAGATTGTGGGCCGACGCTTGGAGGAGGAAAAAGTCCTGGGAGCAGCGCTGCAGGTTCGTCGTCTCATGGAGAGCCTACCGTAGTTGGACAATGTTATGTTGTGCACAGCCTTTAGTAGATTCCTCTTGGGGGTAACTTCTTCCTAACTCTCAAAGCTCCGACCTCTGGAGGAGGGTTTGTCCTTACTCGGTAATTGAAAATGATTGAATGCAGTGCCGTTGCAAAACTCAACAAGAACATGGAGGCTCCTTCTCCCTTCATAGCCCGTTGCCATGTATAGAGTGGTTGTATCGGCATGATGCGCGATGATTTTCCAGGAGTTGATCGGGACCACTAGTAACTTGAACGACGGATACGTCCGATTTGGGCCTGCCACTCCACTCCCCTGATGTCGGGATTGGCGGCCGTATGTGCCGAAATCCTCCGTTCAATGGCCACAACATCGTCGTAGTTAAGAGATAGGGTTGCTCTACATATTGCATCATCCTCTTTGCAGGTCTTGATCTTTGGTTTTCTCAACGTTCAACCACATTCTCTTTTCCTCCATGTCTTACCACAGGGAAAGCTATGTCTTTGATGCCGGCCCGCTGGGACATATTGAAGGGTTGACCATAACCTCCAACGACACACCTATTCTTCGCTACTTTGGCGGCGTACCTTACGGCTTACCACCGATCGGCCCCTATCGATTTCGCGCTCCCCGCAAGTTACCATCATTCTACAGATATGGTACCAAGGCGAACCCCGGTCGTTTCACAGGTGGTGCAGCAATATGTCCGCAACCTCCTAGTCGGGTACCACCCGATCCGGCTCTCTTCGACGAGAATTGTCTGCAGCTCAACATCTGGATCCCGGCCGATGAGCCCGAGAAAGGTTCATGGCCGGTACTATTCTATCTCCATGGAGGTTTCTTGCAGTGGGGAAGCCCCAATTGGCGGCCCGAAGCATTAGTACGCTTGATCGGCGAATCTGCCTTCAAGGGCATCGTGGTGATGCCAGCGTATAGACTGAACGCGCTTGGCTTCTTGACCGGGAAAGAGCTTGCCGACGAGGCTGAAAGCGGTGATGGAGGTCCATTCGGGAACATGGGCTTTTGGGATCAACGGGCGGCTTTGGAATGGACCGCCAAGAACATCTCATCCTTTGGAGGCGATCCTGACAATATCACAGTCGGTGGTTATTCGGCGGGAGGATTTTCGGCCTTCCAGCAGCTCGCACATGAACTCTACCAGAGATCCGACGCAGAGGCCATCATCAAAAGGGTCTTGATGCTATCCAACAGCCCGGGCGTCGAACCAAAGTCCATCCAGGAACACCAAAAGCAGTTCGACGAGTACATCTCGAGACTTGGCATCCCTATCGACCTTGATGCAGAGCAAAAGCTAGAACAACTTCGATCTCTGCGGTATCAAAACCTGATAGAGGTCCAGAAAGACATGACGGTCTCCGAATTTCGGGCTTTGGCCGACGGGCAGTTCTACCCCCGCGATCTTATGGGCAGGATCAACGACGGCGACTTCGCCAAGAGGATGAAGAGCCGTAACATCAGTCTGCTGATGGGCGAGTGTAAAGAGGAACACAACGTGTATCGCAACTGGCGCACCCCCAAGAACACCTACTCGGGCGTCTACGCGCGGCTAGCCGGGGAATATTCCGAAAAGGTGGCTCAAAAGCTCATGGATCACTACTGCGGTCCTTCGCAGTCTCTCCCATCGCGCTACGAAGATTGGCAGGACCTTTTTGGTTACATTTATGCGGATATTCAAGTTCACTGCCTCGAGCGGGGATTTCTACATGCGCTCTTCAAGGGCGGTCTGGAACCGGGCAAAGATGTGTTCCGATACCGTTTTGATCGACGGTTGGAATGTGTGGCTGAGACGATGCCTGTTGAGTGGGGGGTGACACACGCGACCGACGTGGCTATCTGGTTCTGGGGTACTGACACCTCCAAAGGGCTGACGAGCCAGGAGAAATCGTGGCTAGGAGCTTGGAACAAAGAGTTTGCGGCCTTTGTGGAAGGCAAGTCGGTGCATTGGGGGCCAACCAGGCCCAAGGAAATGAGAAGGTGGAGGAGTGACGGCGAGACAGATGTGTGGGAAGATGACAGGTGGGAAGAGGGTCTGGAAGTCTGGGAGTTATTGAACGGCGGAGATTCATCACGACTGTGACTGCTCCAGTACCAGAGAAGAGAGGACCTGTGACGATCAAACGAAGGAGTTTATGACGCGAGGTGTGCCCGGTAGAACGCGTGGAGAGAGACGATGAGTTGTCATCTTCGGCGTATCTACACAATAGTCCCTTGGGCCACTTGTAAGCGGAAATCATTCGTGATTCCCGTCATCTCAAGTATAATGTATTCGAGATCTACAACCTAGTTGAGGGAGGCCGACGTAGGACTGCCCAATCAGCGTCGATCCGGAGCCAGCCGAGCATGCCGCGAGGGTTGCCGTGATTTCGGATGTAAGATGTCAGAATCCACATGGATGGATTCTGGAATATCTTGAAGCACGCCCACTGTCGACAGAATCACCTTTGACGCCGTTACTCAAGATTCAAACCATGGCTACCACCGAAGATCGAGTGCTTGCAAAGCCTGCCGACCTCTGTTGTCTCAAAGGCTCCATCCATACCGGCGAGCAGAAGGGGGTGATCGAAAGCATCAATGGAGTAGACACCTACGTGTCCAAGCCCAACCCGGACACAGCAAACAACAATGTTATTCTATTCTTTCCTGATGCATTTGGACTTCATATCAACAGTTTCCTAATGATGGATTCATTCGCTGCCTGCGGGTATCTCGTCTTAGGCGTTGATTACTTCCTTGGAGTACGGATCCGAGCCGAGAGCACAAACAACAGAATTGCTGACGTCTATATCAGGATGCGGTGACGAAGCATTCCAAGACGCCTCTCAGCGATCCAAACTTTGATTTCCAGGCTTGGAGAAACAAGCACCTGCCGTCTTCTGAAGAAGTTGCCGTGAGATGGGTCAAAGATGTCCACGCAAAATACGGCAAAGATCCAGATACAAAATTCGCCTGTGTGGGCTACTGGTGAGATGATTTCCCCTCTGGATCAATCAAGATCAAACTATTCACCAGTGCCAATAGCTGGGGTGCGCGATTCGTCTGTAGCCAGCTGTCCAAGACTGGCATATGCAAGGTCGGCGCCGTCGCTCATCCCTCTTTCATGATGGAGAGTCATGTGTCCGGGATTGAGGGTAAGTCCCTTGAAGGCACTTTGTTTGCGTCGTCGATTCTGATCAAGGAAAAGCGCCCATCTTCTTCTCGGTTCCCAATACCGATGCGCTCTTTGTGCCCGAGTCGCGAAGCAGAACGATTGAAATTCTAACGGAAGCAAACCGAGATTTCAACATGCAGATCTTCTCAAAGGTTGGCCACGGGTTTGCCGTAAGTCTCCCCCGGGATGTGAATGGATGTATAGACGCAAAACTGAAGACCTTCTCCAGACACGAGCATTTCTGTCCGATCCCTACGAAAGATGGGCAAAGGAGCAGAGTTTCAAGAGTTTTGTAGATTGGATTGATCACTGGCTCTCAGAGAAGTGAGCGAGCAAACCCGATCCTGGGTAGGGCATTGACCATCATCGCAGGGTTCTGGACGTGAACAACAGGAGCGGACGGCCTGCACTATGATCTTTACCGGCGGCAGGAAAAGCTGCTTCGACCGATCGATGACCATGTCATATCGCGAGGTGGCCAGATTTGATACTTTTTTTACCCAGTTGAAGTAAATCAACTGACCGGGCCAAGTCGAATCGAGACATCTGACTAGAGTACATAGATACGAAATGATCCCACTGAACTTCGGACAATCTCCCACACTCAACCTTCTGAGGTTTTATAAGTTAGGCTTTGATTTCAGTAACTGAAGCAGCACCGAGTCTCGTTGCCTTGTCAGTTCTGACCAGTTGACTGCTGTTAGGTAGTTTCCAACTTCGGCCTTCAACAATGACAACCTTTCTTCGCTCCAGTCAAAACGATGCTCCAGCATATCTTTCTCCCAGCCCCGGATCGCGGGGCCTAGACGTTCCAGCCTCGTGTTGAAGCCATCGGCGCCTCCTCCGCCTCCGAGCGCATTGGTGACTATTGGCCCAGTCACTCCCCACCGAAGTCCAGGGCCAGACGTCACGGCAGTATCGAGGTCCTCCGCCGAGATGACGCCACGGCTGATGAGACTGTATGCTTCGGCATTGATGGCGGCCTGGAGTCGGTTCGCCACAAACCCCGGAACCTCCTTGCGAATCAGCACCGGTCGTTTACCCAGGGCTCTGTAAAAAGCCATGGCCGTCGTAATTATCGCAGGAGTCGTACCGGCGTGAGGCACAACTTCAACCAATGGAATCAGGTGTGGTGGGTTGAAAGGGTGCCCGATCAGGATTCGGCCAGGCTCATGTTCGCATTGTCCGATGAAGGCGGACGAAGGCAAGCCCGACGATGAGGAGGCAATGACAACGCCCGGCCTGGCATGCTGGTCGAGTGTTTTGAAGAGCTCCTGCTTGAACTCGACTCTCTCGGGTCCGTTCTACAGATATCATGGTCAGTCGAACCGGGAGTGTACTGGGGCACACCAGATAGGCTCTATAGAGCATTACCTCTTGTATAAAATCGACCTCGATCAGTCTGGGAACTATATCGGCCACGAACTCATAGTTCTTGGCCGGCTCCTGCTGAAGGGACCCAAGTTGCAGTTGAATACTAGGCCATGCCTCGTCAAGATAACGTCTGAATCGGTCTTCGGCACCTTCTACTGGGTCGGTAATGATCACCTTCAGGCCTTTGGCGAGGAAGAGACATGCCCAGCTCATTCCAATTACACCACAGCCGATGACGGCCACTGTGCGGATCTGCTGCGACATCCTGGGCGCGACGGAACGACAATAACAATTTGTTGAAGTCCAATTAGTATATTCCTTTTGCCCAGGGCCAAATCCAGACTTGCCTATGCCGCGCTGTGTGAAGGAACGGGTTTCTGTCCGGCGGGGGAAGTTCGGAAACATGTCCCGACACTTCGGGCACTGGACAGCGTCGATCTCGGTCAAGTGCTCACTCTGTATATTATCTCGCGTGAGGCTGGATGGCGTCTGCTAGACCAGCATAGGCCCTCCATTGAGCAATAAGACACTCCTACGGAAGTTTCAAGCAAGTCGCGTCAGCTACACACTTCTTCCGCCGAGCAGAATGGAGGTCACGGGATCTCCCAGTGGGTCCGACGAGGCTGGCTACGGTCCAGGGACTTCGGTCGATACAAGCTTCACTCCAGTGCCTGAAGAATGCCGGCGGCTGTTGCGCCTCTTTGCAGAAAAGACTCCCGGATTCACCAAGAACGACGCTCTGATCAATGGCGTCCAGTTCGAAGGCGATGATCTACCCATCATCCCAGGCCCCATCAAATCACAAGCCATTACAGCCGTCCTTCATGCCATGGTTGGTATTGTAGGGCTGGAAATCCTACAGCTACGCGGCCTCACGACAAGTACGACAACCCATGTCAACACAGACCATTCAGGTTTGTATCCCGCCACGCCAGCACTGGTGACTGTGGATGGGACGAAGGGATCCGCCATACTGAATCTCCCAACTGTTCCTCAGTGGGATAAAGATCGCCAATCAAATTCGCCCCTTGTTTACCGCGCCACGGCGATCTATGAGACGGCGGACAAAGGAACCTGGTTCCAGCTTCATGGCTCACTCGATCCATGGAAGCTTTTGGGAGTCATTGGCATCACAAAGGACAAGGATGCTGAAATTCGGACGAATGACGCTGCCTACGCTCTCATCCAGGAACGTGTACGCACCTACCGTGCACGAGAGATTGAGCAGCTTATGGTTGAGCGTGGGTTTTCCGGCTCGATCGTTTACTCACCAAAGGGCTGGCGCGACACCGAGATGGGCCAGCGCCTTGCTCGGCATCCTCTCATCAACTACGCCCAGCAGACATATTGCCCTGCCTTGCCACCTGCTCAACTGCCCAAGTCCGAGGACAAACGACCGCTTGCAGGAATCAAAGTGGTCGAGCTGGCCCGCATCATAGCTGGTACCGCAGCTGGCGCTCTCCTTGCGTCCATGGGCGCGGAGGTCATTCGGGTAAATTCATCCAAACTCAAGGACTATACTCCAGCGCAACCTTCTTCTTTGATGGCCGGCAAAACGACGATCGATCTAGACTTGAATGATCCTGCGGACCATGCACGACTGATGCAGCTATTCGAGGAAGCCGATGTCATCTTGCAGGGCTATCGTCTGCGCTCCCTCGAGAGGCGTGGGTTCGGGCTCCACGCGGCTTTGGAACTCGCCAACAAACGTGGCAAAGGCATCATCTACGTGGACGAGAATTGCTATGGCCCTGATGGCTGTTATGCCGAACGTCCAGGTTGGCAACAAGTGGCCGACGCTGCTGCAGGAAGCTCCTACGTAATGGGCCAATCGTTCGGATGTCCCGCCGGTCAGGGTGTGCTACCAAGTCTGCCCATTTCTGATATGTCGACGGGCGCCTTGACAGCCCTCACAGCCATGTGTGCAGTTCGCGATCGCTATGTCAAAGGGGGCTCATACCATGGCCACTGTGCACTCACTGGGTATGATATGGCGACGCTGAACCCTGACGTCCGACTGTATTCGCGCGATGTTGTCCAAAGAATTCAGGACAAGTACCAGTTTGCCCCGTGGTCAAGTGACGCACACGTCGCTCCTCTCTACTATTCCATCTTGGAGTCTTGGGAGCGTGCAGACAGTTTCATGAAGAACGAGGACTTCTTCGTCACCTTCTCGGACTCGGTGTTTGGCTCCAAGCTTCGAGTTCTGGCGCCCATAGTCCGCTATACAGACCAGGAGTCGAGTGCAAGATGGACCAGTCCGCCAGTTCCCTTTTGCCATCACAAGTATAGGAGCTTTTCATCTCCATCTTAGATACCTAGAACCATGTATACTAGAGATGCAATACCAAAACCAAGGGAAAATCAACCAAGGGGAGCCTCAATAGGCTGACTTGTATTCACGTTATATCACATAGCGGTCTTTCTTCTGTTGCAAGTGAACCTTCGTGTCACAAACCTCGAGGTAAGTCCCCACAGGGGTCTGCCTTGGAAGCGCCTGTAGTCTAACTGCTGAACCTAATACAGTCTTGATATACCCCTATAACGTCTACAAAAGCTTCAACCCATTGGCAAGTCTACTGAGTATATATTACTTCAACAATTTCTTCAGTCTCTCCCTCTCTTCCCTCTTATCCATGCTCCTTCTCCTAATCTTCTCAACATCCCCGAAAACCGCAGCCACCAGCTGTTTCTTATTCACCTTGCCCATGGCATTGCGCTGGATCTTACTCACAATTTCCAGGTCCTGCGGGATCTTGTACCGCACCAAACGGTCTTTCAGCTCATGTCTCATGTCCGCCACACCCCACGGTTTATCACTGTCCTTCCAGTCCTCAGAAAGCACGACAACAGCCACTACCTTTTGTCCCCAACTTTCCGAGGGCAGGCCAACGACAGCACATTCATGGATTTGTGGGAGACTCAGCATCTCGCGTTCGATCTCCAGAGCAGAGACCTTCTCTCCGCCCGTCTTGATGATGTCCGCGCTTTGCCGACCTTGGATGAAGTAAGCCGGCCCACGCGCCCATGACCCCGACTTCCCTTGTCCAGACCCGGGCGTCATGCGGCGTACGGCGATATCGCCTGTCTTGAACCAACCGTCGACGGTGAACTCTTTCTCCGTGGCAGCTTTGTTGCGCCAATATTCTCGAAAGATGGTCGGGCCGCGCAGCTGGATCTCACCCTGACGCTCTTTCCCCGAGACGGGATCAATTTCCTCACCTTGAAGAATGACGCCACCGGTGCCGGTGTGCTCATCAACCTCCCAAAGGCGTACTTCCACGGATGGGAGAGGCCAGCCGACGGACCCGGGGACGCGATCGGAATCATGGAGACCACAAGAAAGTGCCATGCCAACTTCGGTCATACCGTAACGTTCGAGCAGGACATTGCCTCCCGAAAGTTCTGTCCAGCCGTCCAGTGTGGGCGTGGGCAAGGCCGCGGATCCAGAGATATTCAGCCGTAGATGTCGTCGAGAAATTGCTTCTTTGGCCGCGGTTTGGAGTTCCAGATTCAGGGTTCGATATGTCTGCAGGAGACGAGCCCAGATGGTGGGGACGGCCGTGAAGAACGAGATTGGTGTTCTTGCGTTGTGATGGGTACCGGTCGAGCTACCGTTGGTGATTTCGTGTTCGTGTGTCGGCAAGAAAGGCGCAGCAAAGCGTTCCCAGACGACATGAGCATCGAAAGGATATAAGAATTCGATGCTGCTCCCGGCGAGCAATGGCGTCAGAATGGCGTTCACGGTCCCGTGAATGTGGTGAAGCGGTAAGACATGCAAGAGATGGTCCTGAGGGGTGTAATTCCAAGCGGTCAGCAAGCTCTGGGCTTGAGCAGCCAGAGTGGCAGTGGACAGTAGGACACCCTTCGGTCTAGCCGTCGTTCCAGATGTATACAACATCATACCACCACCGGCAGCGTCGGAGGCGCCGATCAGCTTGATCTCCTGGTCATCGATTGAGCATTGCTTCAGGTCATCCATCGGATGAAACGACGGGGTCTTCTCCAGTCCGTCTTGCAACACCTCATCTGCTTGCCGAGCGTACTTGGTCGAACTCAGGAGGAGAAAAGCTCCACTATCATTAATGATGTGCCTCAGTTCTGAGACGGGAAATGAAGGTGCCAACGGTAGAGCGATTGCATTCGAGGCCAAGATAGTGAGCAGGGTGACTAGCGAAAGGAGTGAGTTTCCGTTTAGCATACCTAACGGTGAAGGCGAAGCATGCCATTGTCGAGGGCACACCCAGTACATACCGACATAGTCATATCCATTTTCAACGAGGAATGCAATCCGCTCACCCGCAATAGTGCTTTCATCTCTCCCTGTCAGTCGTAATAGTTGCTCTTTGGTACGAGCAACATCACGTAGTAGCGAAGCATATGGGTATGTTACTTTGGAGTCGTGGTGGACGATTGCCGTAGATTGCGGATCGTGGGCTTCGAGGGCTTCAAAGAAAGCCGAGCGCTGAAGACCGATTGCCATGACTAGTATCGCTTCAAAGGAATCAACTGTGTCTCAAACCGAGTGTGAAAGGGTCGCCCCGGAGGAGTGCAACGGCACCTACCTATCTATTCAATGCCTGCTATTTGGGCATCCATTGTCGAGGGATGACATGGGCTGGTTTCATTGGCAAGCGAATCCAGTGGGCTAGCTGGGCCCCATGAGTTGTTCCGTTCCGGCTCGAGAGGCTGAGGACCGGGGGAGGTTCCCGAGGAGGATTTTTCTGGGCTCTCATGGAAAGCTTCCGGCTGGGCAGACGGTCAACATTCGGGTCCGGCTTGCGACAGATGAGCTATACATGTGACTCGTTGTATCGATGATGGACAGCTTGACAGTATGTGGAGAGTCTGAGATTTTCAAAGGAGGGGGCTTCTGTGGGAGCGCCATGGTCACTGCAAAGCGTGAGAACTTGAGCCTGAAGAAAGAGAACTGTCGAAGCGTCTACGACGACTGTAGCTGATATATCTGTTCTAAGTATCTTTTCTTATCTTTCATTCACATCAACCAGCGCGTATGGGGTAGGATCCCGGAATGCTTTTAGATTTCCAGCACTATGATCATGGTATCACGTACTCTCCTCCAGCGAAACAGCTAAATGCAGACTCGATTCTATCATGATTTCTTCAAGGTCTCTTTCCGATTCGAATTTCACAATCTCAGATTTGAGCTCGAAGCTTTGCTTCTTTCATCTGGGCCACGGCTTTCTGCGCATCTGTGTTGATATCGTGGAACCACAGCCAATTGAAACGGCCTTGTTGTAGCTTGGGCAGGATTTTGTCCATGTTGGCGCCCGCTTCTTCGTGCTGGAAGAAGAGCATACGGCCCACTTCAGCAGCCTGCTCCAGCTGGAATTGTGCTCGCGGTCGTCGGACCGAATCGTAAGCAGCAAGAGCGGCACTGATTTCTGGTCCCAAGCTTGCAGCGCTCCTAGGAGATTTGGCGAGTTCCGCAATGACACTGCACAGTACCCAAGCATCTTCCAAGCCTTGAGCGGCTCCAGCGGCCTGGAATGGCAGGGAAGCATGGGCACTGTCGCCTAATAGAGCCACGCGACCGCGGTAGTATGTTGAGGTGTGCAAGTGATGGAAGAACCCCCATCTAATGGGCGAAGACTTGGTGAGGAGTCTCCGGAAGCGCTCATCGACGCCCTTGCCTTCGAAGTCGGCCATCATGGCCTCATGTGAAACCCTTTCGGTCACAGCATCCTTCAACTTCCAGCCGTCGTCGTCCGCCTTGCACAACAGAAAGTTGAACTCCTGCCATTCGGACAACATTAGCAATGCCTTTGTGAGTGGAGGACATTAACTTACCTCTCCGCCAGTGATGCGATAAGTAACGGCACTGCGTTTGTAACCGAAGTAGAACTTTGCAACGTCGGTGAGGTCGCCGAGAATCTCTTCCGCCTCCGACATTGGTATCACACCTCGATAGCAATAGGCGCCGGCGTACACTGGAGCGACTTGTTCGGGATGAAGCGGCGAGAGGACGTGGGATCGCACGGTACTTTTGATGCCGTCGGCGCCAGCTAGAATGCTGGCCTCTGCAGACTCACCATCTGCAAATGTGAGCACCACCTTGTCGGGATGTTGCTCAATTTTCGTCAGCCGTTTGCTGAATTTGACCTTTTCGATGGGAATAAAGCTGGTCATGATATCTAGAAGTGTCTTTCGATGGGCCTGGAGAAGGTTAGCGCTATGCTCGACATGTACCCCAATCAAAGGCGACAGGGCAACTGACCGATTTCCGGTCGAAGTTAGGATGGCCCCAGGCTGACTTTAAATTGCCGGACCATGGTTGATCTTGACCTGTTTACCGGTTGTTAGACGTCGAAATTGAGAATGGTAATCTCATACGTACCAAGGCCCTCTTCTAGGAGCAAGCCCTCGAAAAACACATTCTGGGCATCGGCGCCCTTGTTTCCGATACAAATCTTCTCGTATCTGGGACGAAATCGGGGCTCAATAAGGTCTATTGCCCGTAGACCGTTGGGGGCGAAGCCGATGCCAGCACTTTGAACAAGTTAGAAGACCTGACTTTTGGTTTACAAGGTCCCCAGGGGGAGCATCCTGAATCTCACCCTACAGCCGAATATCCTTTCGCTTCCTCATACAGCGTAAAGGATATACCTTTGTTGTGCAATCCAATGGCCAAAGCAAGGCCGCCAATTCCGGCGCCTAACGTTCCCATTAACTTGCTGCAGCCGAGAAGACATCATCTGGACAACTCACCAATAATGGCGACATGTATGTCGTTGTTGGCTCGAGGGTCTCTCATCGCGGTGGTTGCCCACTGGCTCGAATGTGGTAGGATATCCCGATTCCCTTTTAAGATGTCCTTCGTAAGATGTCCTTCGTAAGATATCTTTTCAAGATAACACCCGTTATGTACCGGTAGTTAGTGAGGCGAATTGGAGCCTTATCTCTGGGCAAATTAATTCGGCAGATATCAGCCACATCAGACGACAGGGTCTATCAGGCGATGCAGTGGACGTCCAGACGAGGGATCAACTACTATTACCTAGTAGGTAGCGTAAGTGGGGCTCTTGTCGGCGTCGGCTTGTGTACCGGCTTTACCGGCTTTGCCGGGGAAGCTTCCCGGAAAGGTACCCCCTTTCGTCGCCCCCCGCTCCCCCGAAGAAGCCGTTGCTCCCCTCGACTTCTGGCTTCTCATCCTTTCCCAATCCTCCACGGTCTTTCAAGGGCCCCAGCAATTCCGCCTCGCCTCCGGCACAATGTCGGCACAGGCACAAGCACACGACCAGGCGACGCATTCGGAAACCCCTCCAAACAAACGACGTCGGATTAGTCTAGCTTGCAATGCCTGTCGCATGCGCAAGTCGAGGTGCGTCATCATGGACAGACAGCCTCTAAGCCCGGCTCGGCGCAGGATACTGACATGCCTCTGCCATCAGATGCGATGGACAACGACCCTCGTGCGCCTCGTGTATAGGACTCGGCTTCGTATGCCAGTATGAGCCCACCGACTCCGCCGCCAACGTGCTCGTGCGCAAGGAGTATCTCTCTGACCTGGAGAATCGCGTCGCTGCCAATGAGCGAGGGGTGCAACGGCTGGACAAGTTGCTGAAAGGCCATCTTTCCAAATGTGCCGAGAGCGCCGTCGACGGTGCCATGCGACCGTCTCAGCCTTCTGCTGCATCGGGAGCGACGTTGCCGCCAGAAGAAAGCCCCTACCGCGCCAACGTTCTGGAGGAGCCGCGGGATGAAGACGCGACGACGAACGGCATGGCCATGACTTTTACCGAAGAGCGCACGTCTGCCTACTTTGGAGAGTCATCCAATCTACACTTTACACGGGTGCTACTTCGGGCAGCCGCTGCGTTCCATCAGTCTCCGTCGACCGCGACAGCCCAACCGACGGCCGACAATGACTCGATCTTGGTGGAGAGTAATATGGAGAGACATTCCCAACACCAATCCTCGCCTCTCTCGACAGTTCCAAACGTTCCAGAATCAGCGCTTACCGCGTTGCCGTCAGAAGAAGCGATGGACAACATGCTCGATATCTATTTCAACACAGTCGGTATGGTTTTCCCTTTCATCCACGAAGAGACAACCAGAAATGCATACGCCGAGTTCAAGGCCAATGGCTTCACCAAGGTTCGAAGGACATGGCTAGGAACTCTGAACATGGTATTTGCCATGGCAAGCAAGTTCGATCAGTACGAGAACGAAAAGGCATCGAGCAAGACGCGGTTCGACCGATCAGACGTATTTTACCAAAGAGCAACGGGCCTCTGTAACGAAATTACGAAAAGAGTGATCAGCATCGAGATCATCCATTACCTCGTCCTGGTTGTCATCCATTGCCAGGGTACACAGAGGTCTTCCCAAGCTTGGAACATGCACGGTCTGCTGGTGCGCTCAGCGATTGCGTTGGGTCTTCATAGTGACAACCACCGGAAAGGACTGACCCCACGTACCCAAGAGACCTATCGTCGCACTTGGCTGGTCATCTATGGTCTAGATAAAGTCTTGAGCGCGGTGTTTGGCAGACCATGCGCGGTCGTGGACGAGCAGGCGTTTAGTCGGCAGCCACTCTCGTGGTTATCTCAAACACTGCGCGATGGTTTCACCAAGGCTGTTGATTTGCCCGGTCAATTCCTAGACGTGTCATTTCGGCTGTATCAGCTGATGGGCATGTCGCTGATGAAGCAGTACGGCGCCAATGTTGAGGCCAACAACGTCGAATTGGACGATCTGGCTTCACTACAATCAACCGACGAGCTCCGAATGGCTCTCAAGTCATGGGCTTCCAACCTGCCAGACCAACTGCGTCTTTGCACGCCTCAGTCAGCCTTGCTCCTCGAGAACACCCAGGCCAACAGACTCTGCGTCATCTTGACTCTCAGGTACCACAACCTCAATACCCTGATCCACAGGCCGTTGCTCAGTGCGACACTGTCTCGTGCGTCCCATGGGGACAACAAGAACGGCGGAACATCGCCATACGTATTCCAGCTGGCAATGGCAGGGGCCTATGAATGTGTGCAGTCGGCGGAAAGCACCATTGAGATTGTGCATGCCATACTGAGCACCGACCCAACCAGTAAAAACAACCTGGGCGTGTGGTACTTTACTCTGTATTACGGTTGGTTCTCCTTTGAATGCACGCGGGAGATCAATCTTGCTGACCGAATCCCCATCGAACAGCCTTTACAGCGTCATTGGTCATCAGCGGCCGATGGCTGCTGGCAAAACATGGACAGAGCACCCCCGACGAGGCAGCCATCGCCCACTGTCAGGAGCTTCTCAGAAAGGCCGACACGATATTCCGGGCGCTCAGTCACGAAGATGCTCTGGTCTATAGCTGTTCAAAATACATTCGCAATCTATCTGACATGCTCGTCTCTCGAGGTAGGTACCTGGCCAGTCACCGGCATGCACGACACGGTCATACAAGCTTGCTAACCGTGTATCCACAGCCCCCATCCCATCCGACGAGACCAGCGGCGATCTACGTTCGACGGCTACCGAAACACAATCCGAGGACTCATCAGCTCAGGCGAATGGTGGCATGTACCTCAACCCCGAACCGCTAGACGCGTTCGAATTCTTGACGTCGGATCTGTTAGAACCTTCGGCTTTCGAAGGCTTTGGCTGGGCCATCGATGGAACTTTACGAGGGATTGTCTAGCGATTCCTTTGACAGTTTAATGTATATGTAGCCACGCTAGTTGGACCCTATGCCGTTGTAGCTTGATGTTGTCTGCGTAATCAATCCATCCCGGGACTCCACGTGATTCACTACGATGATGTGGAGGGAAAAAGGGCCTTGCGGATCTTCAAAGCAGCAAGCTCAACTATGGCACGAGCGGTGGGTTTACTCCTCAGGGGGAGGACAAGAGCATACGAATGCATCTGGCCTTCCCCCTTGATGATGGCACAGTCCACCCCTGCCTGTTGAAGTCGGTGACCAAATGCTCTTCCATCGTCCACAAGGGGGTCGACCTCTGAAAGAAAGATGATTGTTGGTGGAAACTTGGCCAACACCTGATCCGACGCAAATGTCAGGGGAGAGGTTAGCGCATTTTCACGGTCCTTTTTGTTGGGTAAGAAAGAGTCGATCATCCAGTCCAGTGTGTCGACGGGCAGAAACGGCGCATTTTTGAAGGTTTCGTACGAAGCCATCTTGATATGTGTGTCTGTGACCGGATTGAATATCACCAACTGCGCAATCTTGGCCGGTAGATTCCGTTCCAGACACATCTGCATCAGTGCAATGACGAAATGCCCTGGTCCAACAGGGTCAGCAGCAAATCCATAGGGCACATTTGAACATGCAGACAGTTCTTACCTCCAGCGCTGTCCCCAGCGAGAACAATATGGTCAGTTAAAAGGTTGTATTTGTGCGGTTGACGAGCAATGTGATCGAGGACGGCATATAGTTGCTCGAACTGGAACGGATACTGCTTCCCAGGGGCAAGTGAATAGTCGGGAAACACCATGGCCGCACCTGACTGACGTGCCAGGTCCTCCATCAGCGGCGCGAATGACTTGGGACTGCAGGAGGTCAGTTAACATGGAGACAGGTCACTTCTCAACCGGCGGCTTGACCGTTGGGACGCTGGCTGTTCTTACCTGCCTAATACCCAGCCACCGCCGTGCATATAAAACACCATAGGACACGGCTTGGGTGCCGACTTGGGTCTGAATATCACCACGTTCGTTGACACGTCGTCCCAAGGCACTTGAAACGTCTCTACATCGATATCATATGCTGGCTCTTGCTCCTGTAGACCTTCCAGAGCCTCATGTCCCTTGACGTAGCCGAGGACATGAGGCGAAGGTTCTCCGGACATGGCTTCAGCGAAAGCTGCATTGTAAGGGTCGAGGTAATGTTTTGCTGCCATTGTGGTGAAGTTGCTCTGTTCAACGGCTGGGTCGATGTAATTGTTTAATCACTACGGTAAACCAAGGAGAGTTTCTAAGAGTAAATGAAGGGGTGATTGTGGTAGAGGTCGGGCAGATAGCAGCGCCACTACGGGACCGCCAGCCATTTTGGCCGCGATCTTGAATTTCTGGCCTGTTCCCGTTGCCGAAGCCGGTGGGAAAGCCACGAGTCGTACTCCACCACTATCTCAGTATCGCTATCTGGTCCCTGTACATTCTAGATATGGCAGATGGGTAATGTGGTGACTGCTAGGAGCGATAATGAGATTGGGGAGTGTTATATAGACATCCGGTGTATCCGCGGGGTCGGAAAGCGAGGTCAAGATACTCGATAAGCCACGAGCGGGACTGCTATGAACGAAGCACTACGATATGGCATAGAGCTCCCCCCTTGTTCCACTGATAAGGTGCCGAAACGAGATCCAGATTCGTTCTATCACCACGGATTCTCTCTACCTTATCGTATCTGTGGAACTGGCCTGGTTTGGACCCTCCTCCGCACTGATACGTGTTCAGCTTTGCCTATCGGAAACGTGACGGCTGAAAACCCGCTGAACCCGGGGATCCGGTGACGATTCCGTTATCTGATGACAATCATCAAGTTTCTGGGGTTGAGGCCTGGACCTCTCCACCATATGGATGACATTCGAAATGGGGTAAGAAGTGAAAGAGCGGACGCAGGACAGTAGGGACTCCTTTCGAGTTCGGCGCAGCTAGACTGCTGGACCTCATCAGAGGTGCCAGAGGCTACGCTGCATCAGACCCGGGCGCTTCCAATATGAAAAGGAGGCATTCGAGTCATCCAGCAGCGCAACTAATAAGCTGCCGGAGGAGGAGGAGGAGGTCGCTAGGGTCTACTTTCCAAGGCAATTGTACATCGCCTAGGCTTGAGCGGACGGGATTCCAGAGTAAAAGGCCGTAGACAAGCAAACCAGATATGGATGTGTATATTTAACAAAATGACAGGATTTGTTTACGCAATCGACCATAGGATATGGAATACAGGGCTTCCCGTTCGCTCAGCCATACTTAAGCCATATACCGGTCAGTTAGTACCAAAGTGGGTGACCATTTGGGAATCCTGACTGTTGATTGTTTTTGCATTTTTGGCTTCCGCCACCCTTATAAGGTCTGGCAGCATGCCTATAAGCAATACCTAGATACACTGGTCACTAAGCGGCTGGCATGGCTGAAGTGGTGGCCGTCCGGGCTTTTCAACACTTGAATGTTTCGCCTCAGGCTCTTGGTTCCCTATAGATCGGATTATTGTGTCCTTTGCGAGAAGTGCATCACTATAGGGTATCCTACCTAGCTTGCTGATACGTGGCTTAGGGAGGAGGGCAACCCCATACGAAATCAGACCACGCCTATGGAGAAGACACTGCCTATAAGTAAACATTTAGGCGCACCTACTAGTCATCTAATAGGGGCTCTCCAGAGGATATTTACACCAAAGTATACCTATAAGCACACCCATAAGCACGCCTATAAGCATCTCCAAACCACCCCTCCAGGGCCCTGCACAAGGCAGAGGACAATGATGGGGCGGGCCCCATACGCACAAGGGTACCCTAAAAGAAATGTGTGTGTTTGCATGAGCTCAGGTTCTGGTCGGCGGACTTCCGAACTTCCACCGAGTTAAGACACTTTTGAAATGATGTGAGTGTGAGTGTGATTGTTTTGCTCCCCCCAGGTGCCGACCAGCGGAGTTCTGTTCTTTCGCTGGAGGGAGCAAGGTGAACAAGAAAGCAGACAACAGAAAAAGGACAGATGAAGTGATTTGTTCTTGTCTCTGCAGCCCTCAGGTTCCAGTTGGCAGAATTCCACCCTTTCGCTTCGGGATGCAGAGACGATGACAGTGAGATGATGATTGTGAGTGAGGGCTGAACAACGACAGCTAGGCCTTCGGGTGCCGACTGGCGGACTTCCAGTCTTTCGCTTCAGGCTTCGCCGCTGATGTCCAGTTGCTTGTGAGTGTCAGTTTTGTTGTTTTTGTCTCGCAATCATGGCTTCCATCCTTTCCCCATGATTGAACGAGACGGAGGGCTGGTCAGTCAGTGAGGCCTTCGAGTTCCGTCTGGCGGGCTTCCATTCTTTCGTCTTGGGCTTCACTGGCTTGGGCGGGTGTGAGGGCAGGATGGTGTCTCTTGTGATTTGGCTTCCGTTTGGCGGGCTTCCATCCTTTCACCTTGTCAAAAGAGGCGGGCCAGCAGCTCATCCTTGGGCTTCCGTCGGGCTGAGTTCCCTCCTTTCACCTCGGGCTTGTTGCTGCTGGGAGAGAAATACATTTCCGCCGGCGCGAAAAAAACAAACGTAAACGACCATCATCATCAACGACCAACAACGGTTCTCGCCATCCTCTTGCTCCAGGCACTCTCCCTCATCATCGATTCCCCCGTGTCTCAACTACCCCCAGACTGCCCGAGACTTGCCATTGGGCCCTCAAGGACTCGCTCTGTTGTTCGCTGACAGCGCTACTAAGCCAGAGGTCACCTATGTTGAAGCTTACTGACGAAGCCTCACCGGGGCCACTCTCACTCCCCAGAAGACTCTTCAGCTGGATCGGCGAGACGCCTCATCCGTCACCGTCTCGTAGTAGGGCTGCCTGAACTTGCGAACAGGGCCACTACTCCGGGCCGACAACGTCTGAAACGCCGCGCTTCCCTGGCTGTGTCCCCCCTGGGTCGATCGAGAGGCCCGGCTGGCAGCGGGTTGCATTGGCGGATTCCTCATAGAGGCAGGTGGTGAATGGGAGCCGGTGGTTTGAACTCGTCGCGGAGCCGACTCGGTCTCGTCGAAAGTCTTTTTGCTGCAAATGCACCCCATGATTGTGATGTCGATGGTGTACAGTCTGTGGCTTGTGTGAAATGTATTCTGAAGAAAGAAAGAAAAATCCGGCAAGAGAGCGAGGAGAGCTCCCATACTTATGTCTCTTCTTTTGCCCAGACTCCAGTCCGCCAGCCCAACACTGTCGATGACTCTTCAGTCGCGATCAGAGCTCTCGCGTTCCAGCCGAATTTTCGTGTGAATCAGCTGGGTGTCTGTACATCCAAGGGGACGCGCCGAGCTATTGAGTCGGAAAACTCTTTTCGATATAGAGGTGGCGCCGATCCGACCGAAAGCATACCTTCTCTAACTCAAACTTCCATCAACGCTCTACTTTGCCTTGCAGAGCCTCCCCGTCCGTGGCTGATATCCTGCTTACTGGCTTGGAGGTCTCATTGAGTTCAACTGAAAACGTGAACGCCTTCCCACTTTGTCTACAACACCCGACCTCCTCGAATATACATTGGGGGCACTTGAAGTCTGTTGTCTGCGCCGCGCAGATCGCACATCTCACATACCTTGCTGAGGCTGTTCTATACACTCCTGAAAAACTTTTCTCTCGACAACAGCATACTCACCATATGCTGGAACGATCGGCAGCATTTCGAAGGAGAAAAAAGATTTGTAATCTAGCACCCACAGGGAATGTATCACTGAGCAGACGATCTCACCCACGACCCAGAGAGTCAATCAACGCTTCAACATTCTGCTCTGGTGTCCTCCACAACACGAAACTTCATATGGTGTCGGTTCGACTATAACGACGAGAGTGGTTGAGATGCTGGGGGTTGGACGAAGTTTGCTAAACTGCAACTAAAAGTGGAAGTGAAAGTATCGTCGAGTCACCAGAGGTAAGTTCGTCCCATAAAGGATCAGCCAGTCTACGACTACTACTACTGCGCTCAAAACGACAAGACCTTCCAGCGAGGCCCTAATGCCTGACTCTAGCAAGTGCCAATGGCTCGAATGTGCCTGAGGAGAGAGTTCAATGGATACAGCATGACCAGGCGCGTCTGAGAGACTAAAATCTCAGCAGTTCAAGTGCATACGCACGGCAGCTACGACAGCAGCCACGACCAGCTCCGTCGGGCTCATCAACTTGAACCTCGACACATAGCGATCCAATGCTGAAGAAAGTGCGCTTGTGGTGGTTTCCACCTCAGGTGTCTAACCACCAACAGGTGCCCTCAAAAGACGTGGCCAACCTATCATGTCGAGCATGTACAGCTGAGTGAGGCGAAACCCACAGCATCGATACTGTAGCAAGAGTTACCAATCCCCTTCCGGATCGACACAATCTCTTCGAAGATCTTCTTCCCCGCTGGAAGCTCTTATTTGACTTCGGCATTCAATAATTCAATAAGAACAGGACTGGATCGAGGTAAATCAATCTTGCATTCAACCTTTTTCACGCAAGCTCAACGCAGCCCACAACCACCTCTACATTGGCAGAGCCAACTGAACTGCTCGAGTGCACGATTTGCTGACGCCTGTCCTCCAAGTTATCCCGGCGAGCTCATTGTGATACTGATGCTGTTACTACTTACTACTACTGATACCGATACTACTGATGCTGATATTGATGCTGATACCTACTGGGGGGCCCGAAATCCGCAGCCTTGATCTTTTCCTATCGAGCTCAGCATTTGCAGGCGGCCTGCACGAGGATATCCGATCATTGGTCAGCGCCGTTACTACTATCTGTCCCTCATCCTCTTTGCATACTACTTACTATACTGTATGGATGTACGTTCATTTGGAATCTGTTCTCATCCCATTAATTACATAAGCAAGGCTTAATTCCCCAGAGTCGGTACCCCGACTTCCCCGATAGTCAGCACACTCAACCGAAAGCATTTTGCTGGTGGTTACCTAAGGAAGTACTTACCTAGTAGTACTAAGTAGTCCCTCATATTACCATCGCGGCAAGTACATACTACCTATACCTAGTAGTACTTACTGCTAACAAAAAAATTTCCGGAATGTTTTTTGTCAACCCGGATCAAGCCTGATCGAACCCGTATCAAACCCGTATCAAACCTAAATTGAATCTAGATTGAGCCTGGATTGAACCTGTATCGAGGAGCTGGGTGCTGCTTTGATCCTCCCTACCTAGCTATCATTTTTATTTCTACTTACTAGGTACCTACGTATAAGTATTCCCAACTGCGACCTCCTTGATTGGTATCTCTAGGTTACCTAGGTAGTAGTTATGTAAAGTTAGTATAGGTACCTACGTGGTAGTTCCTGACTTATCTAGTACTAGTACCTAGTTCCCAGTGACTGGCCCTGCAGATTTGGCAGGAACATCTGTCAGTCTGGACGAAAAGACGAGGGCAAAGGTTCATCGCATAGGGGTCGTTGAGAATGTTACCGATTCACGCAAAGAACCGTGCGGTGACAAGGCAAGGGGCGAGCAGGGCGAATACAGGTTCATGGAGAATGCCAATATAGGGTGTGCACAGCATGAGCGTGAGGTAGCGAATTCTCAAGGGACTGGTCGAAAGTAGCCGGACGGAGTCAAAGTAGACGACGCGCTCACATTGACTATATTGTGGTAGTTCCCGGAATGAAGACTCGAGTGGTTGATGGACAAGGCTTGAGGTTTTTTACATGACGTTAAAGCAGCATGGATGATAAGAGGAGCGGTGGAAAAGAAGGAAACAGCCGGAACTGCAGGCCTGTCCATCCTTGCCGATGGTTGACAAAGACCGCATGCACATCTTGAAGCAAACTTCCTGATCCGCGAGGATTTGCGTCCATGGAGGTCAAACTCAAGCACAGAGGAGCAACAGTGCAAGTGTCGGAAGAAGAGGGACAGGACAATCTTTCTTCCTGATTGGAATATTGATGTTGGGTTTGAGTGATGGATGGTTAAGTGACATCCTCTACCTCACTTGAAGTGAAGGATCGGTATTTACAGCCTCATTGGAACACCGAGTCTGGATGCATCATGCCGTCGCTCGCAGAGAGGCAGCGGAAGTGATCTCGGCTGTGGCAGCGGCTGTTCAAGAAGGAGGTGTCAATTCGAAGCTCGCATCGCCTGTCTGCGGGAGCCAGCTCGGTCGGAACTTGTCGTAGATCTCGGCGGCAGGTTTCCCCCATTTCTCGCTTCCCTTCAAAAGACCCGTTCGAACGACGATAGTGTTGGGGCCTGCATTGCGCATTAACAGGGATCCGCATGAGAGAATCCCGGGTGGAAGCGATTTGACTCACCCATGACCTGCTGATGATGATACGGACTGGCAGCGCAGTTGGGACACATGTAGCAGTCGACGGAATTGCCTTGCAGCGCGACGTCAGTCTCCTTCATTCATTCATTGTGTGCCGACCGCTTCAATGATAAGTATCTCGGCTTACCGGAATCGCCCTTGTAGCTGTAAACCTTCAAATCTCCCTTGGTCAAGTGGAAGTTGGACTTGGGGATGATCTGGTTGAGCGTGAATTCACCGCCGCCCAAAATCTTGCAGGCTCCGCAGTGGCAGAGGATGTGCTTCTCTTCAGGGATCTCGACGGTCCAGGCAGTGGCGCCACAGTGGCATTGACCTTCGTAGGGGGCCATGGTGAATTTAGTTCGGTTTCGAAGGGATAATCGAGGAAGGCCGGGATGTGGATTGCTGGAATAGTAGTGTAACTACGGACGGGTGAAAAGGGTGGAAAGATGATATTTGCTTCCGTCGGGTCTGGTTCTATAGAGCGGTAGTAGTAGGGACAGTGACAGTGACAGTCGGAGGGGTAAGGGATGCTGTTAATATAGCAAAGCGATTCAACTGTCGCTCTTCATCTGCAGTGAGTTGAAGTCGAGATAAGGGTCCCGTCCCTGACCCGCAAGGCAGAGCATTGCAGAGTCGGCATTTGGAAGCATTGCATGGACCCCGCCGAATCAACGAAGGAGAAGGAGCGACTTGGTGCTTGAAAGGTATCATGTACGTCATTCCATCCAGGCAGATGTTTCCCCGCGGCGGACTGTTCGGCAACCGATTGGCCTGTTGTCAACATTTGAATAAGGTAATCTGCTTGCCGGTTTAGACAGGATGCTAGTATGGCAAATACGGCGAGTCAGTCGACCCGATCTGGATAAAGATGCAGTGGTCAACAACTTGAACCGTGGATGTTCTGCAGGGCTTAGTAACAGACCTGCTCAATGCAGTGGTCTCGATCGATCGATTCGTCTGGATAATAGATAGCCCAATATTATTTGATCACAACGATTAACCGTCTAGTACTTCGTCTCGAAAATAAAGGTCTGACGTGACCCCAAGTTCTGTGTCAGCATACTGCTAGTACACTGCAGGGGTTCTGCTCAATTGTGGGTTCAGACAGCTCAGCTTACAGAGATGCAGCCATTGGTACTAGTGTGCCGTGTCGAATTGCTCGACTGCTGCCTGCCCGGAAGTCCATTCTGGGTTAGCCTCAAAAAATCTCAAAAAGCAGCATGTCCGACCAGGAAGACCGAGCAGTTCTTCGGTCTTAAAAGAGGAGCAGGCGTGTCGAAGGGGATTCTTCGGTGTTTGACAAAGGAAAAAAAAACATTTCCGATCACGTCGTCTTGCATCCATTGACTGGCTAACTATTCGACCTGACAAGTTGGCGTTGGATTATGTGACCGCCTTGCTGCTTTGTGTGGATATTGGCGTTCGGAAGCTGAGCATCGGAATGTTTTGCGTCTTGATATGTTTGGCTCCAAAGGTGTCTAGGTCCCTTATCATGGACAGAGCGAGCAGGAGGCGCGAATGTGTGCAAAGACCCAAGGTCAAGGACGAGATGACGGGTTGCACTTCTTCATATGCTGCCCGAGCACATGGGTGCAGAGTGCTTGGCCACGATGAATGTTGCTTTGCAAGCACGCAGTCTTGCTTTCAAGCTGATTGCTATCAGTCGTCAGCACCAGCCGGGCCTCGAGGTACTGGATATGCAGTCTGATGAGATGAGATGAGATGCATCATGAAATGCAACGCCACCCCAATTTGCGACTGGAAATGTATTTTCAAACCAACCCGAAATCTCGCATGCGATGGTCTCCATTCTTGGGAAGAAGTGATAACCTCAACGCATGCATCCGTGTTGTGGTCATGAATTCGTGAGGCCTTTACCAACTGGGTATATGTCCTCCAGGCCAATATCTTCAACCAAGCCTCTATTAATCTGTCGAAGACAGCTCCGCCGGCTGCACCCTGCCCCAGCGTTGTCGCATGAGAAGAGTTCTGCAGCATAGATGCGAAAGTAGATAGCATAGCGCGTGCGATGTGGACCCTGTCAATGGCGCGAGATGGCAATGGCCAGGACCATGTTTGTTCCTCGTTGACTGATTTCGCTTGCGTGATCTTCGGTGCCCATGCCTCTATTTGTTCCGTCTCCCAATTTCTTCCTCTTGTATGGTGCCATGTTTTTCATGCCGTGGTGAAGATGACTCTGACGAGGGGAGGGTGGCCGAAAGAATGATCATAGAGGGTCGTTTCCGAGAACACCATTGGGGCCAGCTTCAAGGCTCACGATCAAGGCTTCCGCCCAATGACCACGCGACTAACAAAACCAGTTAGTACACGGTTGGCAAGGCGGGTCATTGACTCCAGCTTACAGAGGAAAGTAAAAATGTTGCTGACGGGAGTTGATCTCCTGGAAAGCTTTGATGCAGGCATCGTTGACCTGGTCGACAGTCCACTGGTTGTTCGTGTGAGCAAGTTTGCATATGAATAAGAGATTTTGACTGCTTACTCCCATAGACCTGGTACAGATCTGCAATAGCCAACCTTGTAGACCGGTCTTGTAGAATCGTTCATAAAATCGTCCCACATCTTTCAGTTTGGGATCCGTGGGCCACGGTCCCAGCGGCAGTTTGAGTCTCTGTTCCTGCACATCCACAAAGCCAGCCTCTTCGACCTTCTGCTTCATGGCGGACGAGATTTGAAAATCTCTTCCCGCGGCTGCCGACATTTCTCGGGTGAAGTTGCACAAGGCTGTGATGTGACTATCAGGGAGGATTTCTTCGTCGTCCGTGAAAGCTTCAATCTCCACTTCCATCTGTTCGATCCACGCCCCGGAATTCATGTTTCTAGTGATCGTTAGCAGACGAGATGGGCAGGAGTGAGTGTAGGCTGTGAGAAAGATGGGAGTAAAGGTCGTCGTGAACAACAGTAGGATCGTGTGCGTGGCAGCATCCTCGAGCAGCCATTATCTTGGCGGCAAGCGACTTCGCTGCTTGATTGTTTTCACACACGGGGTATGTCAAAGGGCGGAGGAACAGCGAATGATGCAGGCTGCGAGCGAACTTACTCGAAGCATTGTTTGTATAAGGCATCCCAATCCTTGACTCCCACAAACAACGATCTGATATGCACGAGATCAAACTTCATGGTAGGATCGTCCAAGACCCATTCTTCGGTGGCATCGAACATGATGTGTGAAAGATTGGGAAAGACTGGACTCGGACGAGGTGCGGTGTCGATCCCTACCACCTGTGTGTCGGGATATCTCTCTGCAACTCCCTCCGCCCACAGGCCCAACCCTGTTCCCACATCCGCCACACAGCGTAAGGAAGACTCGTCAACGGGAGAAACAAAGTAGTTGTTATCGAGCAGCAGCAGGCACAGCTCGTGGAGAACTATTTCGTTCTCCTCCGAGACCTCGTCGTAAGGAAAAGGATGGCCGTCCTTGTAGTCGTGATAGCGTCGGCCATTCTCGACTCTGAAATTGTAGGCCGAAGAAGCTACCGAATAGGCCGAAGTGTCGTCATCGGCCTCACCCTCGGTGAACTGGTAACGACTGTACTGCTCATCGACCGGGATGATCGAAGGATGGTTTAGATTTTCCATTTCCTTGTCCAGATATTTGATAATTCAAGACCGATACATGGCCACCCTCTGTCCACGCACTCGCTCTGCTGACTCTAGATGGATCAGGAGATGGAAATGAGAGGCGATATGGTGAAATATTGTGGCTAAAAGGAGGGCAGAGGAAGTATAGAGGAAACAAGTCGAGAGCTGGAAGAGGAAGGAGAGACAAAACTGGAATGGAGCACGGAACTGAGGTGATAGTCTGACCGAGGAGCTTGAATTTCGTGTGTCAAGTGGAGATGGGGATAGGTATTGCGAAGTGGTGTTGGAGGAGGAAGTGACAGGTAACGTGATCGAGGCGGATTTCAATTGAATCAGTGTTTCCTTCGTCGTGAAGTGATATGATGGGAGCGGATGCCAATTGAGTTACTGTAGACGAGGCATCAAGATGGATGGGGCCACCGCTGTCAGTAGTGTCGACCAACCACTTGGCACCACCGCTTCCCGAAAAGCGGATCTGACGGTTTGAGATATCGTCGAATGGACCCGGAGTACCGGTCAAGGTCGACTCTGCTCGGATAGAAGAACGGTGTCCCAGAGCATTCGTGCTGGACGAGGAGCAAGGTGGCGACTGATGCTGAGGTGGCCTAGGATTGAGCCACGACTGGCAAATGGTAAAGGACCGCCGCAGTCTGAGGCAAGGCGCAATAGAAGGACTGTGGCCAAGCAGGACAGAAGACAGCGAAGGGTGGCTCGAGAGGGTGAGCGGGATATAATCGAAGGCTAGAAGAAGAAAATGTTGCCAAATGATGGTCTGTGAGGGTGGGCATCATGCCAACGAGAGGCCTGCTGGGACATCAAGAGTGGATTCGGGGCCTGTGAAGACTCTTTTTTTGGAGTTCTGTACTAGGGCAGATGGATCAAATAATGCAAGTTCAATGCAACAGGGCGCCATTGTCGGTGAATGTGACAATGGCCTGCATGTTTCGGGTGCGTCGTCGAACAGTAAGAGTACACAGTACTGTGGGCGTAGTAGGTCTAATTGCCTATGGACTACTGCGCTGCGGTGCGTTCGCCCGAATGCGGCTCGGAGGAAAAGCAGCTAAATGATTCGCCTTGACTTGACACTGGCAATCAGTACACAGGAAAAGGGAAAAGCGGAAGAGGAGGCGGAACCAAGCCTGAAGAAGGTGAAAATCCGACCCAGACAACCGGGTGCGAGACGATGGAGGAGTGGAGCAGAAACGGTTACGGCGACAGGGGACGAGAAAGCAGGGGACAGAAACAGGGGACAGGGAACAGGGACGATGAGGAGGGCCGGGATGATTAATTGATCAGTCGCCCAGCCCGAGTGGTGATTGAGTCAAACTGAGGGACACACCCATCCGCCCACCTGTGATTCATGTTAAGCAAGTATCATCGATGGACAAGCAGTAGTGGACGTGAAGAGTTCATCCAGATCATTCGCTTCAGGTTGGCCAGCAAATTGCGTGCATGCCGGAATATCGCTTGGTTTGACCAGAGCGGCGGGTACAGAGTACAATGCTGCCACTGCAGTCTATCAAACAATAATCATGTAGCCAGCAAGGACCAGGTGGACGGGGCCCAGTGGGTAGTTCTCTAGGTACCAGGGATAGCTGTGGTAGGTAACGGATTGATTGCATGGGTTGTAGGGACGGATGCCTGCAGAAGAGATGCCAGGTGCCAGATGCCAGATGCCAGGGCGACAGGTGGGCAGGTGGTGCCAGTGGGTGATGTTCCTTTAACGAAGTACTAGTAGTACACACTATCCCCCAAGCCACCACTGGCAGGCACACCAGTGGTATCAACCCACCAGGGCTAAACCAAATATTGCTGCATCCTGCGGCGCGGTTACTAGGCGATGGAGTAGGGCTAAGGAGGCCGTAGGCACCATCGACGAGGGTGGGTGCCCAGTTGAGAGACCTAGCAACTCCCCTCCGGGCACTGGCGACTGTCGTACAGGTTGTCAGGTACCCAGGTGGGCATATAATAAGCCTAAGGAGCCTGGGTGTGTCCCTCCGAGTCCCTAAGTACCTGCTATGTTACAGATAGTCTAGGTGCAGAGTCGAACGAGTCCGCCGTCCCGGCAGCACGGAACCACCTGGGCAAGGTCTTCAAGTTTGAATCTCGGACTGCAGTGTGACAGGCAAATACTCCAGTGGAAGCCGGGGACGCCACCGCCACCGCCGCCACCATCTCGAGTTGGGAGAGAGAGTGACTGACATAATACTGGGTACTCCTCAGGGCTCTTATGTACCTTAGGCGCCTCCTTGAGATGCATTTTAGCTTAAGGTTGCCCTAGACTCGCCCATAAAAATAATATATTATTGATCTTAGGCGCTCAACAACACTTATCAGCTTCTGTTATGGGCATGCTCTCCCCCGAGGCCCTAATATGCGTGGCATATTACAGTGTGTACAGTAACAGTGACTGCCGTGGAAGAGTGCTCCAGTCTTCTCTTTTTTGCCGCGTCCCGTCGAATCGGGCCCTGGTTCGTTCCGAGACCCAAGGAAGACTCGGAGTTTATTGCGAACAGCCTGAGGGGCAGGATTGCGAATTTAACTAAGTGGTCTCTGCCGAGATAGTAGTCTGAGGGTTAGCTACCTGGGTACCTGGGGTTAAGGTAACTACAGCAGGCAGTACTATTCTTTCAGACGCCTATGAAGTCCATCTCCACTGCAGTGGATGCCCCGGGGCCTCTTTTACTAGCCTCTGTAACACACCATGCTGGCAGCAATCCTTGTTCGCTACTTGGGAAGGACTACCTAAATACTAGTACAGTATACGGATCGAACCTTGCGGGTAACACGACATGGCAGTTTCAAGTTGTGGAACTCAGTCCCGGGAGTTCGGTTACAGCAACGTCGTCCCCTACTCTGTACTGTAGTGCTGTGTATAAGGTAGTTGTGGTCGTAGAATTCGTCGCCCGTGGCTGGTCGTTTCTCGTTCAAGTTGGCAATGTTAGCTTCCAGCGCGTCGGCGTCCCCATCGAACCTCGATGTTTCCGTCTTTTCCCTACGCTCATCCGCGTCAAATTGGACAATCAGGCATTACGTGTATATCGAGGCTCAAATTGGAAGCCGCAAGTCCTCGGGTAAGAAACGGGGCGCTCTGGCTGCAGGTGTGTGCCTCCATGCAGTTGCATCAATTACTCTACATGCATCTTCCAAGGTTTGCAGGTTCCCAATATTGATCCACCCTTGTACCGTGGTAACCACGACCACCGTGACTGCATCCATTGCTCCACCGATGATACCGCCAGTATGTTTCAATTCCATAACCTTGTTGCTCCTGCTCTGTAGGATGTTGATCTGAAGGGCAGTCTGATCACCCACCATGATTGGCATCATTCTCCCTCTCGGCCACGCTGTACGCTGTAGTACTGCACTGTCTGTGGTGACCCTGTGACACCTCACGGGTCCCGCGTGAATGGTCCCAAATCCACGGGTGCGAGAATTTCTCTGCTGTCATTAATTCTTCATAGGACCATGCGCTGTGTGACCCGACATACTCTGACACCGGCCACGTTTTCTTCTTTCTTTGCCCCTCTTCCTTCTTCGAAGCATGGTCAGTGACACTGCCAAAGCAATCTGAAGCCCTGTCGACGCCACGTGATAATGAACCGGCCTCACTCGGCTGATGTTTCTCTGTTGACAAACTTTACTCGTCGGCATCGGACGTGCCGCAGATAATCGACCGGAGGGTGTGAGAGAGGATCTGCAAAGTGCTCAACGGGTCCTGCGCAAACGACACGCTGCGACGCTCCCTCATTCGCCTTCTTGCTTAGTATTTGCAACGAAATCGGCGATGTTGGGCAGCCTGCTGATGATGTACGCAATCTGCGCATGCACGCTGTCGGCTTCCTACAGAATATACAGGTGACCAACGAACTGCTGGCCCGACAGACTGGGTTCTGCAGTGTTCCGATGCAAACGACCCAGGATAACCACCACTCCAACCAGTGGAGAGCCCCTGGTTGTTGGTCTCGGTTGGCAGCCCCTTACATTTGCTAAGAAGCCATAGGTGCAGAACATTATCTGCAGGAGTCATCCCAGTGAAGAAAAGCCAGCGTCACTCCTAATCATCTGGTAGACCTCGTCGACCTTTCCAGCCTATCATTGCCTGCCACATTTTACCGGGTATGTCTGCGACCACCCTCCCTCGACACAGTACAGAGCGGTACGTAGTACTACTCTGTAGCACTGACATGGGGTTCGGGTACCGGGCCACATCATTCCATTCTTTCCAGTCTCATGTACACATTCTGCCCTGCGCCGCCTTGCGCTTCTGATGGTCAAAGTACGTCCTCATCCCAATCCCTCATCCCAATCCCTCATCCCAATCCCTCATCCCAATCCCTCATCCCAATCCCTCATCCTGGAACACAATTATCCTCCGACGACCGGAAATGTGAAAGCTAGAAAGCTAGACGCATGACACGCCCGGGCTGCCGCGAAGAATTCCACTTTCTTTGAGGCTTCCACGCAGGCAATTATTAGTTTCATGTATGTGTTGTCCATGGTGGAGTCCGTTTATCAAGTCCGTGATTCTTGACCAGATGACCCGGTCGGCCCTGTCGTGGAACTCTTCACTCAAGCTTCGTTTTTGTCGGCAGCCGGCTGCTTGGTCCGCTTCCAAAGACAGACAGTGCTGACGGCTGAGAATGTGAAGAGGACGCTGCAAACGAGACATTAGATGGTGGGACCGTGAACCTCAACCATTGGCCTGACTTACCAAAGTGCGATGCTCAACCCCCAAATGGACTTCATTTCCAGGCAGGTGGCTTTCGAAGTGCCGATCCACTGGGAATAATTGACCGCGCCATCCTTGTTGAGACTGTTGCCCAACGCCGAGGTGAAGTCGTAAGCGCTTGAGGTCGCGTTGGAAACCTCATCAAGCACTTGGCAATTGAGGTAGGAGAGTGGTTTGCCAACCACCACCGAGACCACGATCAATGCAATCAAGAAAAGAGAGTCAATCCCAGTGCTGATCAGAAATGGTAGAATGCTGTCGAAATACAGAATGACTGTGATGGCACAGTAAAGTACGGCAATGCAGACCTGCACCTGGTCAGTTCGCCGCGTATGGTCCTGTTGAACAGCTGTCCTTTGGTACGTACAATGCTCAATATTGCGACGAGAACTGGCGGTGGAGTCGCCCCAGCGCTGACCATTTCAGATATGAAGTTGGCCGTGATTCCGATAATGGCAACCATGGAAGCGACCTCCAGAGCTCGAGTGGCCTTGAAGGTTGCTCCAAGCACGCCGTTATCTGGACCCATGTTGCCCAAAATAAGATAAACGAATGAAATATGGTTGAAGCCGCAAGCAGTCAAGGGAAGGAATATCGGTCAGTGGCGTCGAGCCAAAGGTGGAACAAAATACAGCGAAGGAGTGTATAGTTAATGGGCTGGCTTTAAAGGAAGGTGTCCAAGAGAGTCTCTCTGCGCGAGCAGGATGTTTTCACAAAGGAGAAGATGTTGCTTGCGGTTGAGGAATTGAAGACTTGACTTACAAGCAGGACTGTTTATGGGCTTAAATATCCCACAAGTCTCTCGCTCATGGGGCTGCAGCCTTTCGCGACCATGGGTACGATTGTGGCAGTGAGGCCAAAGAATGTTTCTTCTCGGTCTCGAAGCTTACGGCAAGACAACAAACTGGATGGTCGTTGTTGATTCATTTTCGACTCAATACTGTCTCGAAGGGCGCCAGGGTCTATTTCAGGCGGCGCTTATGGCCGAACGTCTTCAGCAGCCGCCAGCCAGACAAAGCCGGCGCCTCTCGGCGGTGTCATTCGCTCGCTGAGCGCATCATCTAACGCGACTGTCCCTCGACGGATCTTTGTTTCTTCCATCCGGGTTTCAGTGGTCTTTGAGCGTGCGTGAAGAGTTTTCGGTGGGAGCAGGTGGGGTTGCAGCGAGACAACCAGGGTAGATTTCTTGCATTGGCTAGGTGTGGTGCCGCAGGTACGTACCTATAGTAGGCTCTAGGTAAGTCAGACATCTCAGTCCACAGACTCATGTATTAGACACTTTCACCGTGACTGCAAAAGGTCTGCTGTGGGTTCCGAGTCTCTGGTGCTGAAGCGAGCTTCGAGCCAGAGGGAAGACACAGTTGTACCTGGCAGGTGCCTGGTAAGGGAAGAAAGGCGCAGAACGAATGAAACTGCTTGTCGGCGGTCGGAGGCTGCCACTCGCCACAAGCTGCACCAGGTCGGCGGCCTCCAGGCTCCAGACCACCGACTGCCAGAGCAGAGCTACACCCCGCCGCCCTCGAGCCACTGCACTGCAGCCAATCGCCTCTTTGCCCGCCAAAAGTTGACCAGCTCGCCAGGGTTGACAGTGAAAAATTATTCTTATCGTTATCAATGATGCTCCTGCGTGTTGCTATCTTGCTGCTGTTGATCATTACTACGTACTAGTAGGGTAGCAGTAGCAGGAAAAGGTACCTTGAGGTAGGGTACATGACAAGCTCCTTGCCCTCTATCTCAAGCTGTTCAAGCTGTCGTGTGCAAAATTGAGCTTCTTCAACCTGTCCATACACGGCCTCAACTCCTCTGTCTTGTATATACTTTCAATTTGTGTTCGGCGCCTGCGTCCTTCCGTCACCGTTCCCCCGCTCAGCGTCTTTGATTCACCACTCCGCATTTTCGTGCCAGATCTTCTCCCCGCGTGAGTCTGTTGCCATTTTGACCTTGACCCGAGCACCGAGACATTACCGGCTCGAGCCTTCTCCCGACATGTCGCTCACACGAGTCGCGTCCGTCGATGGCCTCGAACGAGAGCGCAGAGGCTCCAGTGTCTCTTCACCTCGGAGAATGAGCTTCAATCCCATGTCTGACTGGGCACCTCCTACCGACCGAAGGCCAAGTCTCGTCCAGGCCGCTCTTGAGTTCGAGGAAGTCTCCAAACAAAAGCGCATAGGTACGTCTGGCACAAGCAGAGGGGAACATATGGGCATATCGCTGACAGGTCTCTCATATCAGTCCAGGTTGTAGTCGCCATCATCTACTGCCTTTTCGCTGCCGGTGTCGTCTTCGGCTATGCGGCCATCAAGCCGGTCCTGATCGATGAAGGCGTCTTCAAGGGCCTGTGCACACCAGAAGAGGTAGAAAAGAATGTGTCGCCGTGTTACCAGCAAGAGATCCGGCTGAACTTCATGTTCACTGTGGCAGCGGTCTCGACAAATGTCGCAGCGTTGCCGATTGGGACAATTCTCGACCGATACGGTCCTCGAGCCTGCGGTGTCATTGGGAGCATCTTCCTGGCCACGGGGGCCTTACTCTTCTCCTTTGCCTCCAAGGTCAAAGCTGACCTCTTCACACCCGGCTACTTCTTCCTCGCCTTGGGCGGTCCTTTTATCTTTATCTCGTCCTTCCAACTCTCCAACACCTTTCCCCAAAACTCGGGTCTGATCCTTGCTCTGTTGACCGGTGCCTTTGACTCTTCGTCCGCCTTATTTCTTGTCTTTCGGCTGGTTTATGAGGCAACAAACGGAAAGCTCAACACACACCGTCTCTTCCTCATTTATCTGGTTGTCCCTGTCTTCATATTCCTGGTCCAAATCTTCGTGATGCCCAACGAATCTTACAAAACCGTGAGTGAAGTTGTCAAGGACGCCGAAGAGGAAATAAATGCTCCCACGCCCCCCGAGCTATCAGAAGAGGAGCGACGTGCCTATAGGGATAGGCGAGCGAGCACCATCACTGAAGTCAATCTCTTGCTGGACAAGTCTACCAATACAAAGCGGGCCAAACGGGAGGAATCGAAGAACAGCAAGTCCGGTGTCTGGGGTGCCTTGCATGGCTACACGGCGATGGAACAAATAAAATCACCCTGGTTCCTGCTCATCACTCTCTTCACTGTGATTCAAATGACCCGCATCAACTACTTTGTTGCCACTATCCGGCCCCAGGAGACATACCTGCTTGGGTCGGCACGGAAAGCGAAGACTGTGAATGACTTTTTTGATGTGGCCCTCCCTCTCGGGGGAGTACTCAGCATCCCCTTCATCGGCACGCTGCTGGATCACACGTCAACCCCCTTCGCTTTGGGATTCTTGGTGGTTGTAGCGACCATCATCGGTATACTGGGTTGCCTCCCATACATGTGGGCCGCCATTGCCAATGTGTGCGTTTTTGTCGTCTACCGTCCCTTCTACTACACCACCGTCTCGGATTACTCTGCCAAGGTCTTCGGGTTCCAGACGTTCGGAAAAGTCTACGGCCTTATTATCTGCTTGGCCGGCCTCTTCAACTTCCTCCAGTCTCCGCTCGACGCCATGACACACGTGGTGTTCAACGGCAACCCAATCCCTGTCAACGTCATCCTTATGGGCATTGCTGTCGTCGTGGGCACAGCTCTGGTGGTGTTCACCTACATCAAGAGCCGCAGCATGAAGCGCGAACAACTCGAGGTGGAAGCAGAGGGTGCATCGGAGTCGCTGATGCCTGGCGCCAATGGAACCTCTTATGGTACATAAGCAACGACGAAAGGATCAAGACAGCCGAGAAGCGGCGACAAAAGTTGACATCTGGCTGTCCTCATGCGACGTCTGCCATGAGTATTTGGCGTACTATCTGAACCCTTTTAATGGATTGGATCCAATGGTGTGATCAGGTGGGTTTGTAGCGCCAGGGCGCATATACAGCCTAGTTATGAAGAAGCGGTGACAAGAATGTGTATATAGATAGGTTATTGATCTGAGATTGTAGCGTTAGGGCGAGACGGCTTTCCATTCAATATCGCTTTTTGAACCACACAACCACGCGGTCATGGACAGCACTCTAATAAGAAGCCAATGCGAAATGGGCAGACATGATCTTGTCCGGGATGTACATGCAATCTACATGATATAATACAGGTTTTCTCCAGATTCCCAGATTCTGGGACCTTGCGAGAATACACATCCATGGTATCTCATTTCAAGCAGCACTGTCTGTAGACCGATTTTCAAATCTTGACTTTGTTTGGTGTAGTGCTGCGCAAGCAAGATGACAGCCAACCAAAGCAAATGCCTTTTCTTCGCGGCCCGAGGTTGGCAGCCCCAAGAAGCTTCGAACAAAGACGTTCTGCCATAAGCAGCTGAGTGCAGCTCACCCAGCACTCGCGGTCCACGAGCCTTCTCTTCCAACGCCATACTGTACATAGCCTACACAGTCCCCCAGTCATGGCTCCGAGTGCAATTTGCTCCCCCATGTATGGAGTGTGCCTTCGGCGACGGCCACTGCACTGGCAAGCCAGATAAAGCAGAGTGCGGGATCTCAGAGCGGAGTGCTTGACGATTAACCAGACGTAGGAGGGATGGAGAAATTAGAAGCCGGGCAACAGCATCTCACTCCAGTCCGAGCTGAAGAAAGCGACGGCAGCCTGTAAGCGAACTCGTTAGTCTACCAGGTGATGTGATATTGCGAGATGGGCATGTAGGAGGTACGTACCCCGAACATAGCGACGCTGATCACAACGCTCGAGTTCTCCTCCGACGTAAGGGTGTGGTATATCGAGCTAAAGTAGCCCTGGGGTTTGGCTGAGCGGCGCGCCGGTTGCACTGTGATGCGCTTGGGAGGCATTTTCGCAACGAAGAGGAGACGATGTGAGGATCGAGCTGCGAGGTTCGGTGTGGACGCGGCTAGAGGTTTGACCAGCCTCTAAAAAAGTCGTTGCGTTGTTGTTGTTGAAGTGTCGGGGATGGTCTTGTACAGATCAAAGACTGCTGCACAGGGATAGCTGGAATGATTTAGAGAGTAGATGTCGTTTGACTGATTGAATTTGGATGAACATGAAGTGGAAATTTGGAGCGCATGGATGCTGGATGCTAGATGTCCAATTCTGGCTTAGCGCGTTGTACGGTGAGACGCGCAGCCTCCACTGCGGTCAATCTACGGTGGAGTTTATGGATCTTTCGAACTTACTCGTTGAAGAATTGTCAAGATCAGGGTTGTTATCCCATCGCATCCATGTCTTATATGCTAGGGTCATAGCATCACAATACCATCCTCTACTTCTCTTTTCTGTGCTATATACCTACCTTTCAGATGTCGGTCTATGTCTATCAACCGTGGTGGTTGCAATCTACTGGCGGCCTCCACCTTTATGCCGATACCGCCTCTTTACCGACATCGTCCTGCTTCACACCTTTGGTTTCTCTCAACCATCTCAAACGTTCCTCTCTTTCGATGTTTGCCTGGTGCCATTCCGCGGTGTGACCTTCCATCTTGTCCTCAATACCTAGCTCGGTAGCGCTTTCATTGATCCATTGGACCAGCTCAGCCACGTATCTCTGCTCCTCGTCAGCCGCCCTAAGGCTGTGGAAGTCCCGTCCTAGGCCTTTGCTCTTTACGCGATCCCGATACTCCGCACGCATTTGCTCCTTCGAAGGAAGCAGTGCTTTCCCGGCTAGGACTCTGGCGACCGCCTGCGCTTGGAAGTCGAACAGTGAAAAGGTCGCAATGTGGTACGGCGCACCAACGAACGAGAGTGAAGGATCTTCAATGTAGAAGATGTCTTTGTGCAGGTTGTGCACCATCTCCCCGTCGCGAGTCACGAGCACGATTTCGTCAGCTTCGTCGGCCGCCTTTGTATCGCCATGCAGATGGCACAGGAAAGGATACGAAGTGATGTATCCTGTGCAGAGCACGATGGAATGGATGCCGGTCAGCTCTTGCCCATCTTCCAGGACCACCGTCACTGATTCTGGCCGGGGCCTGGATTCCTCGATATCCTGGCTGGCATTGATCCGGAAACTTTTGACACCACCAACCCTGATGGCTTTGTCCGGTAACAAGGCCGCAGGTAGATCGAGGACTCCACCACGAGAACTTTGGTAGATGTTCTTCGCATAGGCACTCGCCTCCTTGGCAATGTCCAACGACGATACTCCTGCACCAATGAGCAGGATGTTCTGGTCCTTGAAGACAGCAGGGTTCCTATATCTCTTCGAATGCCACACTTGATCTGGCCATGCCTGTTTCAATTCCTTGAGGCCGGGAATGTCGGGAATACGAGGCATGTGGTAATGGCCGGAGGCGACGACAACGGCATCAAATGTCCACCGTCTCTCCACCAAGTGCGGCCCGCCGAACGGTCCTGGTTGTTTCTGCAGAGTCGTAGTCCGGATGGACCACTCTGTGCCAGCCTTGCGCACTTCTTCCACCCGAGTGTGATACTCTGCTATGGCAGAGACGCCGTGGACATCGGCAATGGTCTGGATATACTCCTCCATGACCTTCTGGCTCACGAAATCCGGTGTCCCATCCGGCCAAGCCTGGAGACTGGTTCTCATCAACCTTGTCGAGACGTTATTCTGCAGTCCCGAGTAGCATGGCCCTGGAGGTGCGTGGGCGATTTCGATATCCTCATGATTCTCATCAATTTCAGCCGGTGGTGTAACATATGCGAGCTCCGGTTTTGTCTCATAGTCGCCGCGGGACGGGGTCTCATTTGGATACTGAGGCTCTAACGCCGACCTCTCATCAAAATGCCAGACGCCTCCTGCGACCCCGGATCTTTCGAAGAGTGTGACTTCGACCCCGTGCTTCAGCAAATGTGCGGCAGAAGTCACTCCGCTGATCCCCGCGCCAATCACGGCTACTCTATTTGGATGTTTTCCCACCATTTCTACAATGGTTTATACAAGAGCAGTTCGAGTGTACAAGGTTTTCCCAGAGCAACACTTGTGCTTTTGAATCCATGGGGTTTAATCTATCCTCATGGTTGTATACCTCCAGGGGAATCCAGCTAGTCGAGCCGAAAATTACCTGACTCTACCGAACGAGACCACCTTCACAGTAAGCACGCCATCAGGCCTTGCACATGTCGTGATCACCCGGAAGATAGGCGCCATCTAGGGTGCAGATTCGCTTTTCATATCTGTCCACCGAACACTTCATATGACAAATTGGTAGTGACACTGAGCCGGCAACTGGGCCGTCAACTGCGGTCTTGGCTTGCTCTACGCAATACACGCTACAGCGGCATTCAGGACTGCCGTACCCAAGTCAAGCTTCGAATAGCTGGGCATGTAGCGTCAACGGGAAATCTTAAGTAAGATGGACGTGGTAATATGGATGAGGTGAGATTGACGCATTCTCGCGTCATCGTTAAACATGCATCTACAGTCTTTCAATTTTCTATATCCGCAGCAAGGATGCCAACAATGCTTGAGGAAAGCCTGGGCCCCGAAGCTCTGCGGGATCCTCTGTGCAGGATGAGCGCAGGCAATGGCTCTGATATCGGATGGGACCACCTATAACTTTGCCTCTGTTTCTCATAGACGGGATGCACATATGGTTCTGTTCATCCATGGGTGGCTTCACAAATTGACTGTGCCGCTATCTGCCTGGTGCATGCCCGTGCAGAAGCAGGGTGAACGGCACAGCATCAAGCAAGTTCGGCCTGCTTGCGTGTCTTTGCCTGCGCTCTCTTCCACAAGACTCGAACCACCAGGGCACTGATAATCATTCCTGCGTTCAGGCATGCTGACGTGACGAAGCCTTTATAATATCGAGGAGCGTCGATCTGTTGCCACACGACCAGCGGGAGCCATGCCTGAAAGACGTATGCCATCTCGTTCATGGTGCCAGTGACGACGGCGCGCTCTTCATTGTCGTCCGAGCAGATCTCGTGCGCCCATGCCATACACAGCCCGCTCATGCCGCCGCCGCAACCAGCGAGGATATAGCATGTCCACTGCCAGCCTACGGGAATATTCCAGACCGCAAGGCTGGAGTAGCACACAATGCAGATCAGACCACCCACAACAATCGGGGGCCAGCGAGCGCCGCGAAAGACGCTGTCTGATGTCCAGGCGTAGATGAGCGTGCTCACAATCTGCACAGCGTACGTGGTCGTCGGGTAGGTGTTGATTTGTGAGATGGTGTATTTCGGATCCGTCGATGCCTTCAGATACTGCGCAAAAGTGGGCTGGGTGATTCCTGAACCGGCGTTGTTGAACGTGATGTACAAGGCTGTCAAGGCGTATATCTTCCACGATGTGAAGATCTTCTTGAACTTAGCCTTCGTGTACGGAGCCCGATTGGCCCTGCCCTCAAATTCCATGCGCTTCTTTGCATATTCGCGCTCCGTTGGTGAGAAGTACCAGGCTCGTGTGATTTCGGGCACGTCTGGTAACAGGAAGAAGCCAGAGATGGCGACAGGAAGAGAAATGATGCCGTCAACAATGAAGAGCCATTGCCAGCCTTTCAAACCTCCCTTGCCCCCGAGGTGGTATACACCGGCCATCAGGTATCCAGAGATCATGCTGCCGATGGCCGAGCTAGTGTGGAATATGCAGGAGCGCTTCGCGAGCTCATCGCGCCGATACCATGACCCGATCACATATACCATGCCCGGGTAGAAGGTCGACTCGGCCAGGCCGATCACAAACCGGAGGGCATAGAAGGAACTCGCGCTGTTGCACCTGCTCAGGCACATGGTAAGTACCGTCCAAATGAGTTCCATGGTAGGAATCCAAATGCTGGGTCGGACGCGAGTGAGAATCATGTTTGCTTTTGTCAGACCCAAAGTCAGTTACTGGCACCTCAAATTCGAATAGGTCCTTCGACTTACATGGTATCTCCCCAATAACATAGCCGACGGTCCAGCATGTCTGCATATAATTGAGCTGATTCTGGTACAGGCCCAAATCCTCCTTCATGCCAGACACGAAGGCATTGTTGATGTTGATCTGGTCCAGATACTTGATGAAGTAGCCTAGACTGCCGAAGGTCAGGACGGCCGCGTCGAGCTTGAACAGAAACTTCCGCTCTTGCGGCGACTTGTCCAGGGTGTCCCAGACGTAGGACTGCCATTTGCGTTGCGGCTTGGCCTGGATGGCATAGTCCTCGTCCTGGTTGTCACTCGACTTGCTTGGCACAGGACTACTCACGAGAGTGTCGGCCGCGACACCCTTGAGCTCGGCCTCGGCGCTCTTGTCATGGACAGCCATTGGATTGCTTTTCCCTTCTATTCTCAGATCCAGAACACCACCTTGAGATGCCTTGCACCATGACAGCGAAGAAGCCTTTCATTTAAAGCCATATCCTCTCATCAACACCTGCACAGATTTGCGCTGGCACTCCACACGCTCATACGACTGGCATCACTTTCCCCCACCGGAGTGCTGTAACATCGGAAATGGCACCTTTTGTCTCGGGATTGCGTGATCTTGGTCATTATCCATACGTTCTGGATTCGTGAACAGTCACCGATATCAAGCAATATAAGCTTTATGGCTGAACGTCACTTATCTTCATCAATGAGTTGCGTCAGAACAAGCTCTCTGAGCCAATCGAACACAGACAATCGTCAAAGAAGCAATCCCTGCGCATGCAGCTGGCGTGCGCTCTTGCGTTACACTGCCGTTGAGGTTGTTGGTTGCTGAGCAGCAAATAAAGGGGTTAAAGCACGCAATCCCGTCACGTGACTGATCTGAATGGTACATGGCCAGCATATCAAACGAGTCAGTCACAGAGTTTAGGGAACCGTACATGCTGATTGGGTTGATAAGCAGGCAACTAGGAGGGGAGACTGCATTCTACTTTGGATGTCATGCCTCCATGGGCTCCATGGATGAAACCCCAGCGGGTAGCGACGCGAAGCACCCCACTGGCTGTGCGTTGACACCTCTTCAGAGAGTCCAAACAACCAGCACAGTTCACACGAAGTCGCAATCGAGCTCAAAAGCTTTGTGATTGCACGCCATAGTTGCAAGGATATCGCGTTCCAGCCGGGCAAATGGAGCGATCGACGTGATAAGGATATGTAAGCGGATCACAACTCCCAATGCGTCCTCGGGCCATGATTGAGGTCGAGTGCTCAAGTTAAAAGGCAGAGAGACGGCCATCTGGGTAGGAAGGCTCGCGTTTGTAGTTGTGCTATTTTAAGTTGACTGAGATAGGATAACTGTCAGGCACAATGGCTCCAGCGCCGATCGATTCAAGCATCACTGAATATATTGTCCCTAAAAAGGACTCATTGGGATTGCCTGAGCCCGCATTGAAAAGATTGACAAAAGCGGGAATCGATCTCTCGGAAGGATACCCTTACCGCCCGGGCAAACCTCTGTACCTTCAGGATGTCTACAACATCCGAAACCATGAAAGAAAGCACGTCGACCCAGGCTCGCGGGCAGACAAGTCGAAGAAGGCACTGTTCTCTGCTGCGACCAAGGTCACAGACTTGACGGTACACATCGGCACGGAGATAGAAGGACTCCAGCTGAAAGATCTCACCGACCAGCAGCGAGATGAGCTTGCATTGCTAATCGCTGAACGAAGCGTGGTGTTTTTCCGGGACCAGGATCTCTCACCACAACAGCAGAAGGAACTTGGCGAATACTATGGCGAGGTGGAGATTCATGTAAGGTCCAAGCCCCCTTTTTGCTTGATATAGTCGATCACCTTGTGCTAAAAAAAATGCTTTTCTCTCAAAACAGCCCCAGGCCCCTCAGGTGCCAGGCGTCCCCGGCGTGACTGTAATGTGGCCGGCCCTCCAAGCAACCGAGGTGGCAGCCAGCTTTCGCCGTCCGGGCGGCGCGTCGCGCTGGCATACGGACCTGGTGCACGAGCGACAGCCCGCAGGCGTGACTCACCTGCACAACGACACTGTGCCACCTGTGGGAGGCGACACGCTTTGGGCCAGCGGGTACGGCGCATATGAGAAATTGTCGCCAGATTTCCGCAAGCTCATCGACGGCAAGCAAGCCGTCTACCGGTCTGCGCATCCCTACCTGGACCGTGACAACCCGACAGCTGGACCGCAATATGTTGAACGCACACATCCGTTGGTCCGTGTCCATCCGGCGACAGGCTGGAAGGCGCTCTGGGTCAACCGGGCCATGACGGTGCGCATTGTTGGCCTGGATAAAGACGAGAGTGACCTGATCCTGGGGTATCTTTGCGATGTCTATGAGAAGAACGTCGACATTCAGGTCCGCTTCAAGTGGACCCCCGGATCAAGCGCTCTTTGGGATAACAGGTTGGTGTTACCCTCCCTTGGGGGGAAAGGGAGAATCTAGATGCGGTGTCTTCGTGGCCGTACGTACTTCTGCTGACAATGGCATTCCAGAATCACAATCCACAATGCTAGCTGGGACTATGGTGGAAAACATCCCCGGCATGGGACCAGAGTCACTTCCTTGGCGGAAGTCCCCTTCTTTGATCCAAGTGCGCCCACCAGGAGAGAGGCTCTGGGCCTGTTGGATCCGGATGAGAAACAGGTCGATGGGGTCTTGGTGGAAACCTAGACACGGATGTTCCGGAGAGATGGCACTCCCATTTTTCAGATCGCATAGTTTGGTGGTGACCTCGGGTAAAATGGCCAGGAACAGGAATAGCACAGTACGTTCAGACTCGAAGAGTCCACTTCCATCGGAGTGCTCCGTTTGGTGTGGACATGGCTATGAGACTTCTTGGTCAGAAGGACTGTCTAATCAAGACCGCCATACCCAACATTTCTCAGGCATTCATCATATCACTACTGCGATGATTAGCCAGTAAACATGTTGCTTCAGACTGGATATCTGCAAAAAGCCGTAGTTCGTTCATCCCAGCGTTCGCTAGGTACCCAGCTTCACGAAACCCGAGGAGAGCTCCAAATTCCTCTCGCTGAGCCGGCCCAAGTAGTTTCCGGGGTTCGTGTGTTCTAGGCCCAGACATTGGCCAGAGGCGGGCTCGGCGGTCCGTGCAAGACTCCAGGTGTCTCTGCGACTCCATGGAAGAAGAACCAAATGTACATTGTACGTAGTAGTACTAGTACTAGTACAACTATGTACTAAACAGGCAAGGACTCGAATTGACGTCCAAGCCTTTCACGTGACAAAACCCACGTGACAGAGAGCCAAGTCACGTGAGTACTGAAAAAGGACGTCGCCCCATCAAAATCCATCACTTCTGTCAAGCTGTCACCGGTTCTAGACCCTCGCTGTTCCTCGTCACTCCAATCCACTACACGGGCCGGGCTCGTTACTATTCAAAATGGCGAGCCTCCTAGCAACGCCATGGTCCATGCGTGCTTGGTTTGCGAGATTTGGCACGTTCCTTCATCGATGAATTGCCCTTTTGAGATCTGTCGTCCATGGGGAAGGGTGTGAGACCTGATCATGCAGTTTCGCGCAGTCAGCCAATGCCGATGTTTAGAGTTGGCAACAAAATGGCAATCATATTGTCCAATATTTTCTAGCTTTTCGATGATCTGCTTCAACAATCGTGCCAACAATGTCCAACATTGTCGATCCTTGCAGGACATCGAAAGCTGCTTATCGACAGCTGCAAAGTCAGGTTTCCTGCATCAATTTGAACAGATATCCGTCGGATAGGATCACCAGAGATGATTCCCGTCTTGAGCACGGGCCAGCCAGTATTGAGCCAGTCTGAACATCTTGTGGTGGCTGTGATTTGATCCGAGTTTTCGCAGAGGACTATGGTGAAAGGTCCTGGGATTTAAGGGTCCTCCAAGAACCCTGACACGGCATCCAATGCAATCATTCGACTGGATCCATTTGGCGCGAAATAAGTACAAGTACTAGTGAATCCGGCAACCTGGTGATCTCCATGTGGACTTCCTTTGAGAAGGCCAGTTCCGATCGCCGACGTCTCTTGAGGCTCAGCAAAATCTCAGAGGAGCTGTGCTGGTGGTCCGTTCACCACCGTCGCTCCGTCATGACCCTTTTCGGTAGGAGCTTGAGTGCAGTTTTGTCATGGCTTGTTGCACTAACATCAAGTGGCCATCGAAGAACCCCATGCTGGACTCTGCGCACCCTTGATATAGCGCTTGGTCTCCCATGATGCTTCCTAGTTGTTGAGCTCTCTATTGCTCCTTGTGGAAGAAAAGGCATCTGGACGACAACAGCAAACATGCCGGGCGATCCTCAACGACTCAGGAAGACGTCAACCAAATCGTCTGGTGTCAATCCAGCCGATACGGAAGGCAGACTGTCACCTGTGCAAGATGTCGACACGGCGTCCAGCAATGATGATGAGGAGGCACTAGATATCGAGAAGTCGGCGAGTATCGAGAGGAAAGATGTATGGTCCAATCCCCTTACTAAATCAAACTCGTTTCTAAGCCACAATAGACGAACGCCAGGAGTTTGTATTGGAAAGATCCATTCAACCGCGCAGAGGATCATGATCCAGCAATGAAAATGAGCGGCCGGCGTCCTTCTGATGCTCGGCGGAGGGTATCCATGTCGAACGTGGCCCGCCGAGCGTCGAATGCCGCCAGGCGGGCGTCTACTGCAATAGTCGATACCGCCTACAAGTTGGACCCTTTGACAGTGACTACCGGCAACCCGCTCAACCTTGGTGTGAACGAGATACGAAGGGTGTCCTCGGCAGGTTACTCCACCACGAGCCAGTTCAACGCACGCCGGTTTTCCACCCTGGCATCCAGCGTCGAGTCGTCGGTCGACAACGAGAAATCCGAGCAGGCTCTGTCACCGCGCACATCGAGGATTGTGCCTCCTCCTTATGTGCGTCCAGGCATGAGCGAGAGGCAAGACGACTATATCATCCAACGGATTGCCGCTCACGATGATGTCGAGTCACTTCCGACGTATAAGCGTGTCCTCTACCGACTTTGCCCGATTATTGTTGTCGTCTCCATCGCAGCTTACTGGATTTACTTCGCCCTTCGCGTCAGGTTCACCAGAGATGCAGAGAAGGCCGCACACAAGACATACTGGATGGCTTGGGCCTTCATCATGGTGGAGCTATTCGTCTCAATCCCTATGTTGCTCCATCGTCTATGGGGTTGGCATGTTGTTGGTTCTCGAAAAAGACCGAAGTTGCGACTCATTGGTGACAACGTGCCCTCCGTTGATGTGGTCATCACCTGCTGTGGTGAAGACGATGACCTGGTTCTTGATACAGCCAAGGCAGCCTGCAACATCGACTATCCCCGGGAGAGATTCCGGGTTCTCGTATGCGATGATGGCAAATCAAAGACTCTGCAGGAGATGATTGAGAGGACGGCTCTGACTCAGTTCGACAATCTGTATTATTACTCGAGGCCAAAGTATCCGGGTGTGCCCCATCACTTCAAGGCAGGGAATTTGAACTCTGCTCTGGACGAGACTGCCAAACTCCCTGGTGGTGCCGCGAATTTCTTTGCCGCCCTTGATGCCGACATGATTCCCATGAGAGACTGGCTGAGGGCTTTGTTGCCTCACATGCTGCAAGACTCGAAATGCTCAATGGCGTGCCCCCCACAAGTATGTAATATAGCTGCTTCGATGACACTGGATTCTTGCTGATGGTCAATTAGCTCTTTTACAATGTGCCTCCGGAAGATCCTCTCTGCCAGAGCTTGGATACCTTTGTCCACATCTCCGAGCCGATCAAAGATTCTATGGGTGTGGCCTGGTGTACAGGTTCCGGTTATGTCCTTAGAAGAGCAGCTCTCACGTCCATTGGTGGCTTCCCTACTGGCTCTCTTGCAGAGGACGTTTGCTGTTCTAGCATGCTTCTCGGGGGTGGATGGCACACGGCTTTCGTTCACGAACCCTTGCAGTTTGGCACTGTGCCGGATTCCCTGACCAGCCATTTGAAGCAGCGAACCCGATGGGTGAGTTTCCCTATCAATCCCTGGTGGATGTGCTTGTCTAACCACGTGCAGACTATTGGTACCGTCCAGACTTCTTTCAAGTTACGCTTCAGTATCTACGGCCCTCTGGTGAAACACATGACATTCCCTCAGCGACTGTGTGGATTTGTGTACACTATATCATCCTTGTTCACGATCTTCTTGGTCCTCTCGATGTTCACAGCCCCGATTGTGCTAGTGTCTGGTGGCAACCTTGTGCCCTTCAGAACCATTAATCAATTGAAGTGGCTAATTCGAGCCAACTTCATGTCCACCATCTTGAACCGGCTCAACGAGTTTATTTCTTATCTTCCTTCTGGATACCGCACTGGTCAGAGAGATGCCAGGGCCATGATGTGGATGGCACCATGTAAGTACTGGGTCATATCTTGTTTCTTCAATTTCCACTGACTCTTTTATCAGTCCATGCCATCTCAGTCATCCGTACCTTCCTCCTGCCTAGTTGGCTTGGAGGAAAGGTCGCAGTCTTCACGTCGTCAGGATCACAGAAAGCCGATTTGAACGAGCGTGATCCTCGACTCAGGGCTCCGCTATGGCGCCGCCTCAAGGTTACCATCTGGGACTGTGAATGCTACCTTCACCTTATCTACATCATGTTTGTGCTGGCTGCCGTTGGGGTCAGCATGTACCGGAATCTCACAGATCACTCGAACAACACAGCCAAGAAGACTCTGATTTCCTTGCTCACACACGCCTACTGGCCCCCAATCATCTGGGTCACCTGCGTCACGTCTTGCTGGATACCCATCAACTACGCCTTGTTCCCCCCCAATTGCCCGGACCGGCAGGACTTGCTGGTTCGAGACCCTGACACGGGCGTGGCATACCCTACAGAAGAGGCGAAGAAGACCAAAATCACATGGGCCTCTTATGCATGGGAGTCCCTGTACAGTCTTGTCACCCTGTACGGTGTGGTGGTGTTTATCCTTTCTTTCTGGTTCTAAGGAACACTTTTATATACTTTTAAATACGATTATGCGCAAACGACTTGCATCCGAGGAGTCGAAATATCATGCATGAGCTGGGACTATTCACCATGCAATTATGAAAGGATCCGGGCCGTACGAACTCGGATCATAGTGTATTCAAAAGTGATGGCTTCCAGCACCAAGGTGTGTGTCTTCAACGATCTAACACTCTGGGTTCTTCGACCATGGCGTTTTTTTTAGTATACTGCTGCGCATTAGGGTTGCTCCCAGGCCGTCATATATTGATCCATGGCAACCTTGGACGCAGGGGCCATTTTGTTGTCCCTGCGTTCGATGGGGCTCAGTCGCTCAGCCATCTAGCGCTGTGATAAGCGAGAAACCACCGATCCCACGACCACGAGTCTTCCCCATTTGATCGAGCGCACGGTCAACACCCTCCACGACGCACTAGCTGGCTAGATCTCCAAAGCGTCTTCAACGTAATCAGGGCGCCCAGGGGAGGGTCTCTCCACAAAAGTGCCCGAGCGTTCAGGGCACCTGCTTAACAAGAGGGCAATTGGCTGTCTACAGCGGAAACTGCAAATGCTGGATTTGCGTCTACATCACTTTGCGTGGATCATATAGTCGATGTTCTCTCTCTACCTACACCCGGAGTCATTGGGGGACATGGGTCTCTGGTTTCCTGACCTTTTTGTCCATCGGCGAACCGCGATAGGGGTCAGATACATGTCCAAGCAAACCTTTCCCGCAAAACCGCGCTATCGAAACCCTCATAGTGCATCGTGTCGAAAAGTGGACATTTTACTTTCTCTACTTTTTGATGGAATAGGATGCCATCACTCTTTGGGCACGCCGGTGGTATCTCGCAAAACATGTACGTCAACAGAGCCAGACTCACCTTTCGCGGAAAAGATTCCAACAGATTCCCATAGACTACTCGGCATCTGGAAGGGCCTGCGGTTTTATCACAAAAGATCTTAGTAATCGTGTCTGGCCCACACCTGATCGGGAGTACTCTGTACCTGGAAGCATTATGCGCGGATCTAGCAAATTCATTTCGCCCGGACCAGCTGAAGAATATTTGGGCCGCTTTTTCATCTTTGGTACCGTCGCTTAATCTCATCTCATCTCAGCGGGATTCGCTCGATTGCACCCACAGCACCCTCTTCTCCTCGTGACCCAGCTACCAAAACCAACCCATTTTTGAGGCTCCACTCACAGCACAAAATCACCTTTACGAACAAACAAGTCGACCACGAAGAAGCAGAGCACTGCCACACTCGAGTCTGGCCTCCTTTTCACTCTCTTGTAGTTGCGTGGACATCCGCATGATTCCGGACCGACACGGAAAAAGATGTACCTCACCTTTTGCTGAAGTTTTTATCGATAAGGGCGTCTGCATCACCGGATCCGTCAGAATAGCCTTTTTTTTTTGCTTCTCATGACGTCTTTCTTTGCCTTTGCCTTTGCCTTTGTTGATGTCGTTGGAATATGGAAGGCAAAACTTTTTGACTTTCTCTTCCCTGCAAGTTTCCACTGCCCATGCCCACACTGCGAAGGGAACCCCAACAAGCGGCAGATGGCGACCGGTCCGTCGAGCGCTCGTGGTGGAGTCTTGGGATATCGAGGGGGAAAAACCTCCTACTGGTTCGTCGTGAAAAGAACAAGGTCATGGTTTGCCCTCCCTCACGTCCAGAAGCGTTTGCACTTCCAGAAGTTCTGGTACCCTGGCAGGAGTAAGAGCTCTCATGCAGATGATGGCAGCACGGCAGATCCACGCTCGCTCGAAGATACCTTTCCAAAGAGACATGAACTCCCAGCGCTTGTGCTTGGGAATCCTGGACCTTGAGTCAATACCTTCTCATGGGCAGAGAGGACGACGACACCATGATACTATCAAGAATTCCAAGGATCGGGGAGACCAACGAAGGTGACTCTAAACTTGGGTGTATGCGTTCGCAGCCCTGGTGCAGCTATCAATTCTGGTGACTACGTATTTCTCACAACATAAGGCTTTGTACTACCGCGGCAGTAGTCTCAAAGGTGAGATTGTTATACTAAGCGTCTAGCCATTCACTACATAGGATCGTACTCTCTAGTCATACTTGTTTATTTATGTAAATGGGCCTTCTCGCACTGTGATGTAGGAGAAGAGCCAGAGCAATTCTTTCATTCATTCACAGTCGCCCTAGCCCCTGAAGCAGCAATCCGGCTGACAAGAGACCGTAGTTCCTCCTCCCAGCCCCCAATCTGCCCTAGGACACGAAAAGCGTGTCCAACTTGCCGTCGTGCTTTCCGGCAACAGTATTGCTCGCTACCTGATGGCTATCCAGAGCTTCAGCTATTCGACCTGCCCGTTATATATGCGACCCCATGAGCAAGATAAGTTGTCCTGGCAATCTATCTCCATGAAGCAGGCCTCGAGCAACAGTGAAGCACTAGCTTCTTCTCGCCAGAATTCTGAAAGTCGACACAATCGACTCTACGGGATGAGCGCCGAGTCTCCAGAGTCGGCAAGCATGTGTCCATTTCAAGAGGGAGTGGACTTGGTATCATCGGCGGTCTCCAGGCGATGCCTGGCTTCCTGGAGGGTTGTCGCAAATTACACGACGGCAGACCGACTGCGTTCTCGGCGACCTGTGGACATCTGCCTCCCTGGAGTGCAGAACCGCAAAGTCGAGGAGATAGATGATATGTTACGTCTGAAGCCTCGAACGACGTCTTTCCACCTACTCCGGTGAAGAGGAAGATTTGAATGACATAATCAACTGATCGTGTTTGTCCGCTGCGTCTAGTTCGAAGCTCGTCTCCCCGCTCGCAAGCTCCGGAAGTACAGATATGTGGGATCGGTTGCGGCAGTTGCAGCGGCAAGGGAGGAGTTAGAAGATACGGATTCTTCGACAGAAGATTGCCATGGTCTTGGCTATTGTATTGTAGCGGTCAACTTTCCGTGAGAATTGGAAGGACGGACACCGAATCCAGAGCTTGCAAGGGCCATAAGGATGCGTGATCGAGGCCCGAGCTGAGCCCATAAGGGAAGAGGTATTTTTGATTTGATAGGCCCCTTCGAAATGAAGCATAGCCGATCAACAGACATAGTGTAGGGGGGTTCACATTGGCGAGCTCTTAGCCATATCTTTCCATTACGGAATGTACTTCCTGTAGATCCCAAACTCGATCTTGCGTTGATCCTTGCGGTCGCCGGTCGATGGACGAGGCTGCAATCAACAAATAAGAAGGAAGGTTTGCCGGACCAATAATATGCCAAATAGCAGGAGTAGATGACTAATCAATAGGTTGTGCCCAAGTATATTCTCACCTCCTTGAACTTGCCACTTAATTACTTTGATATACATCACGATTGTGGTCTATATGCTGGCTCCAGTCGATCCTTCTGCCAGGGAAAGGGTGGCTGAATAGCAAACCACACATTCTCATGACCTAGCCACATCCATCCTGCCTCTCTCAGAAGACGGTGGTGACGGCTGTTCAGACGCGACGAATTCGAAAAACAGGTGTCCTCTGGACATTGTGTACCATGCTCAGCTAGAGCATATCAACATCATCTTTGGAAGGATGCATGGCGTGCTGGGCCATTGAACTGCAGGGTCGGTCTGCAGCATCTCTAGGCACCATTCAGACACGATGCAGCTCCTGCTTGTTAGTGACACGGTCCTTTTCTTCTCGGTTCCATTATACACAACTATCAGACAGCCAGTGCAACCCCTGACCTTTCTCGGCGGAAATGGTTCGTGCCAGCAATACAGAGCATGGCATTCTTCTTTATGGCATAAACGGTTCCGATCCTAGTGTTCAACTAACAGTACTTCTGTGTCCTCTCACAAGCACAGAGAGAGAGAAAAAGGAATGAGAATGATGACTCTATCGATAGCATCGATCATTGTATTATCCTGCCTCGGTCCGCTCGCAGCTACAAACCATCATGCAAGCAACAATGATCTTAGCAGTTGTTACGACTTGCTCTCTAGGCACGGCAGGGGGGTCATTGATCATGATCGCTAAGCACAGGTGGCAGAAGGCACCACTGAGGTCAATATTTGGAGTTTCTACGACTCTGAGAATGCCACGGACGGGTCCAGCTGCTTATGCAAATATGGGGAACGGGCTTTGAGACTTCTTCTCCTATCATGACGCTTGCAAGTATATCTACGCTGAAACTATTGCGGGCGACGACCCTGTCATCAGCAAATTCGAATTCGATGTTCCTCGACGAGAATCAGGCCCAGCTTTTCTCAAGAAAAGCCATCAATTGATTGAAAAGCGTGTTAACTCGATTAGCTTTAGTCGCTTCTACGATGCTTGTGAGCACGTTGGATGGATGAATGGGTGTGTGTGCTCTCCTTCACATCCGGGGTGTGGTCGGCATTCAAAGTGTCGCTTCTACCTTCAGTGGTATGATGAGGTCCCCAACAACAGATGGTCTTTTGATCAAGCAGAGTCCCTGTCAGCGCGTTCAGATGTGGTGTCGTACGACAAAATGAAGCTTCCAATCCGAGAGGTGCTGGTAAGCGACTCCACTGGATGCGAGGGTCGTATTTCTGACATAATCCTCCGGAACCATCAACACGCAACCACGTCTCGGTTCGCAAGCGCCATGATGCAGGTGTGAGAAAAGGCGTGTTGCATATCTGGCAGCCTACGATGTCAGCTTACTCCTCAGACTCGCTTTGCCTTCGGCATACACCACTGTGTAAAGCTTCGGGTCGAGCTGAATCAGGCTTCCAGCGCCGACCCAACTCAATAGCGATAACGCGCTTGACAGCCTCCTCGAATTCTTTGACCGCGATGGCTTGCATCCTTATTAGGTAAGCCCTGTTGATAAGTCTGGACTTTACCTATATTGATGGGGAAAGGTACCTTATTCACAATATCTGCTTATTATCTACTGGTCTAGGAGGATACCTTATTTCCAATATTCTAATAGTATTCTAATAGCCCAGGTCGACTCTTCAGCCTCAAAAGCAATATCATTCCCCTTTTGGTTTGGGAGATGCTTACTCCTATTACCCACTCTATATCCTGTTGTCTTGGGAACCTACTTCAGTTACAATTATGTTAAGCCCTTCTACCTTAGGAGGACTGCCTAACTTCAACAGCTTGTGAGTATCATATTGGCTTGGAAGGCTTCTCAGCTATGATATGCTGTGAATATCATAATACTATGGCGGCCTCCCAGTGAAGTTTTTTGTGAAACACCGCATCATATAAATAACGCGACAGTTGTCACTCTTTTCTCACTTTCTTTCTCTCACCTCAACAAGCAACGATGTTTGACTACCTCGTAGTCGGCGCTGGTGAGTATCCTGGCGACAACCTCCTCTTTCCCTTCATACTAATCTCCTTCGTGAACAGGCCCGTCAGGGCTGTGCGCAGCAAAGACAATCGTTGAGTGCGAGGTGGGCGCAAGTTTGAAGATCCTTGACGCGGTAAGTAACCTCATCACAGCCTATATAAGGAGAATATCAACTAACCCCTGTGCGCGGCGGTACAGAACAAGACTCTCGGTGGCGTCTGGGCCAAAGAGAATATCTACCCTGGCCTTAAAACCAACAACTTGCGAGGCGGCATCGACTTCTCCGACTTCCCGATGCACGACGGCTTTGGGATCGCCGCAGGCGAGCATGTCTCTGGTGCAGTAATGCACGAATACCTTGTCGCGTACGCTGAGCGATCCGATCTGGTAAAGCTGATCGACTTTGAGACGCACGTGCAGGAGATTTCGCAGCTCCAGAACGGCCAGGGCTGGAATCTGAAAGTCCGTCGTTGCGATTCTGCTGCTGTTGGCAGCAATGGCGCAGGAAGCACAACCACAGAAATACAGACCAAGAAACTCATCATCGCGACAGGCATCACCAACCAACCGAACCGTCCTTTCCTTATTGGTACTGCCGCCTTTGAAGGACCCATTGTGCATTCCTCCGAGATGGGCATGAAAGCAGATGCATTGATGGACGACCCTAAAATCAAGCGCATAGCAGTCATAGGAGGCGGGAAGTCGGCTTTCGACGCCGTGCATCTAGCAGGCATAAAAGAGAAGTTTGTGGAATGGATCATGAGGAAATCAGGCAAAGGACCTGAATGGGTTTTCCCAGCTCATGCACAGATCGGCCCTTTCAAACTCATCCGCGAACGACTGGCCACCAGACGCATCTTGACCTTCTTCAGTCCGTGTCTCTGGAACGATGGGTTCGGCTGGATCAGAAACAAGCTCCATTTCACCAAGTTGGGGAGATTGCTTACGCAGAAGTTCTGGGCCAATTTGCATGAGAAGACGCTTCAACAATGCCGCCTGATGGAGTTCCCATATACTAGAATCTTGCAGCCGGAGACAAGGTAAGTTGTTGGTCCTGCGCCTATTGTCATGCTCTCTCTCGATCCACCATTGCTAACCACTTTCATTGTTTCGTCTCGTATCAGTCCCTTCTGGTACGGCACTGCGTCAGGCATTTTAAGCTACGAACCCAGCCTCTACGACATGATCGGGGGAGCCACTGTGGAGATTCACCGCGAAGACATCTCCTATCTGTCCAAACACTCGATCATGCTGACGAACGGCTACACCATCCAAGCCGACGCCATCATCACGGCCACGGGCTTCTCAGTCGAACCGACATTCAAGTTCCTTCCAACAAAGCTTCATTCCGACCTGGGGATCCCGACGCCGTCGCTTACCCCTGAGCAACACGATTTCTGGAAGGCACTGGACCGCCAGGCCGATCTCACTATCGCCTCGAGCTTCCCTCGTCTGCTCGACGGCCCGTACAAGTCGCCCAGTTCGACCGTCGTCCAGCCCTACCATGGCGGCATGGACGCCAATAGGAGAGACCACACCCCTTTCCGGCTGTACCGCGCAATCGCACCACCGGGACTCACGGCACAAGGCGACCGCTCTCTAGTGTTCATCGGCATGTTCTCCAACCTGGCAAACACTCCGCGTTGTGAACTGCAATGTCTCTGGGCCTATGCGTACTTGACCGGCAAACTGGACCAGAGCAACAGTATCGATCCCAACACCGTCTTCGAAGAGACAGCCTTGATGAGTCGCTACGTCAGACACCGCGCCCCTTACGGCCATGGCAAATTCTTCCCCGACTTGGTGTTTGATCAGCTGCCTTACTTCGACATGTTGCTGCAGGATCTCAAGCTGAAGTACTGGCGCAAGGGGAACTTGTTGGCCGAGATTTTCGGGTCGTATGTCAGCGAGGACTATGCTGTTGTCGTTCAGGAGTGGCTCAAGGCGAATAAAGATGACAAGGTCAAGGAGGATTAAGGACCAGAATGTCATTGCCACCTTGACAACGAACGACATGGAAGCGCCACTCCACAGCAAGCTGATTGAATCATAGTGGAGACAAGGGGCACATGGTGATGCTCCAACTCAGCCATAGGCCCATAGCTGAACACTGGAATGAATGAATGATAGCTACATGCTTGCTGATGCCGAGAGATCTAGTATCTCGTTCCTTGCTTGAAGATGGGCACGCTTGTGAAATCCTCGCAATTCCAGACAATTTCGTTGGCTGGAGTCAATTCCGCCCCGTCATCGGTGCTGGAGAGACCGGCCTTTTCGTTTTCGCTGATTTCATGTTTCGACAGACCCTTTCTATCCTTGGGTAACCACACCACCGGCGTTTTCGAAGCCACGGCTGGGTTCATGTAAGCCTTCTGGATCTGCTCGTCGCTGTATGAATTAATTTCTTCGTATTCCCCCTCCGGATCCTGCAACCAAGGGCGCAGGGCCTCTTGGGATGCGAAAACATGTGGTTCCAGAAATGCAGCCAGAGGATCAAGCAGGACGGTCGGGACTTTTCCTCTTGCGAGCTTGTGAACGCGAGATTGTTCGGTCACGTCCGCTTCTCCATCGCCTCCGGCTAGTAGCGGTCGCTCTGCATCGCCTTCTTCTTCTTCGGATAAGACATCAACAGGCATGTAGTGTTCCAGAGGCGAAAGGTATTTGTTCACCGTGATGTGGTATATCGCAGTGGCTACCAGGAAAACAGTCATGATGGTCGACGGGCCCGCTGCCGCTTTGATCCCAAACAGACCGATTAGACACAGCTCCGCGAGATAGACTCCGGTCATCAGATGTTGCAGGGCCCTTGTATAGCTTTCTCCACGAGTTTCGGTCTTGACTTGAATCACGTAAAGTAGGTTGTATCTGTAGCTGAGGTAGAAGAAGAAAATGCCAGCCGCCGCGAACCCCAGCACGAGTGGAGCGATGCATGAGTAGGCAATGGCGATGACTGCCAGATTGGTGAATTTGGGGTAGACGATGAACCAGCTGATCCCTTTCATCTTTGAGTATGTGGTGAATTTCTGTCTCGGTGTCTTGGCCATGACTTTGTAGAAGAACAGAAAGGATAGTAAGTCTGAATAGTTTAGGACGTTGTTGGATGCCGTTCCAAGTCCTTGAATGATGAAATACGTCAGGTAGAAGTTTGACGCTTTCGGTAGATTTTTCGCTAGTAGGGTGGGCACAGAGGTCGGCTCGTTCGCGATGCGGTTGGCCAACGTCGCAGCACCGGACGAGAAAGTCGTGATCAGAAACACTTGTACAACTTGGAAGGCAAAGTACCATGTCTGGGCCCATTTCGCGCCCTCTGTGGTCGTAGGTTGTCCCGACAGCTTTGCCACATACTGGAAGAAATATGGTACATAGGACACCACCGCGCTGAGGAGCAATGGCGGTACAAGGCCAGTGAGAAGCCCAAGAATCGGAGCCGGAAGGTTGTTGATGAATTGGAGGAAGTGGAATTTGTCCGTCAGATAGTTGATGTTGGAGATCGTTCCGATGATTCCAACCGGGATCGACCAGAGAATGATGGTGGCAACAGCCAGCGCCACCGCGATGTACGAGTACGTGATCCGCAGCGACGGTTCGAGGTTGATGTTTTGCCAGATGACCTCTTTGGGCTGGACACCAACGTATTTCGGCTGGAGTGACAACGGAGATGGATGTCGCACCTGCTGGAAAGCTTCATGGGCGCTGGCCTGGTCTTTGAATTCGACAAATATAGCCCCGGTCCTTCTGCTCGGCTCACTGGAGTCTGCTTGCCGCACCATATCCACATCGGAAATGATGCTGGCAACCTCCTCCCGAGCCTTTGCAATGCTGTCAATTTGGTCCCCAAAGAGGTACTTTGACCGGGATTTAGGTTTGTGACGATCGATGTTTACGGATGCAGAGTCCTCAGGGCTGCCCCTGGCGCTTCCGTGACCATTCTCGGAGTCACTGGCTTCTTTGTTCACATTTTTCAGGAGCTTCACCTCCAGGCCTTCAAGATTATCGATCTTGCCGTCTCTGTTGCTCACAGCCTTTTCGAGATGACTGAGGTTGGACACGAGCCAGGACCTGACTGCATTGTCTCCAAAGTAGCGATGAAGGTTTTCGTCACGAAGTCCGGCGGGTGGGACAGAAAGATACAGTACGACCCGAGACGACAGGCGAGTCGCATTGAGAGGGATCTTCTGGTGTGCTTGACGTAGTCCTACTGCAAATAGTCTCTCCCTGGATATCAAGAGCATGATAAATCCTAGCAACATTAGTCTATATCTTGTGCTACAATCTGTGCAAATTACCAAAGAAGACGCAACCGATGATAGCGTGCGCATACAGGCGCTTGCTGTCCAGAACGTTACTGAAGGATATCCTGTCCAGTTGAGAGGAGCTGCCTCCCCCATTGGCATTGATTGGAATAAGAATCGGCCACGTCAACAAGCAACCGACTCCACAGATTAGGATGATCATGCGCAGGTACCGCAAGAAGAGATATGCTTCGAGCGATGAATGGCGGAGGACAAACTTGTCGTCTAGAACGCGGAAATCATGATACCAGGAAACCAGCTCATGACTGGATGAAGGCGTGCGATCCCTGACGAGTCAGTATCGAGACAAAACCACAACAACAGGTCTTACTTTTGTGGTATCGTGCGGAAGTATGTCCGGGGCGCGTAGATGTTTCTGTACTTGGACCGGAGGACCAAGAATGCGAGGAGAAAGAAACATGCTGTGATGAACGTCGGGATGAGCGCAGCAGCGATGGCCGCAAATGAACTCGAGCCCGAGTTTCGATGGCCACCAGCGCCCGGCGTCTGCAGATGTCAGCAAGTTTGGTCAATATACTGCTTGGGAACTTGGATGAGAGTGGACAAAAGCCCTGCCATTGTATCCCTTGAACATGACTGGCCCCGAAAGTGCATATTGGCAGACGCCATGGGCTGTGGACGTGACATTCCATGCTCTTGAGTGTAAAATGCCGACCATCTGGCAGGATTTCTTACCTTGTCATTCATGCTCTCCATGACGCCCACTAATGCAATGCTCCGACTCGGTCTTTGCGAGCCACCACTCGACGAACATATGTGGTGAGCAACGACGATGCAATTCCAGAGACCTCGATAGTCGCGAAGAGCTCCTACGCTGTGACAAAAGACACACTGTAAAGCAGGAAATTAAAATATTATATGGAGTAGAAACGTGTGTATAACGCAGTTCTAGTAGAGTTCACGTCGAAACAGGCTGCAGACCTCGCGTTTCGGGTTGACGTCACACCACGTGACGAGACCAAATTGGTTCTGAGATTATTGTAAAAGGGGTCTATTAGTATTAATTATATGACTATGTATCAGAGCAGCAATGACAAGTTTCCTCTCGAAGCCGCGTCTCACTGCTAGCAAACGCAGGTATGTGCTTTAAGTGGACCTAATCCTTCTTTGAGGAAAAGCTCCGCTTCCATAGAGGAGAACGGCTTGCATCCTCTGGGGCTGGCGAGTTTCGGGAGCCATCATTACCATTCTCAGCGATCGATGCTGATTGTAAGACACTTGGTGTCGACACAGCCCTGCTTGGAGGGGTGGCGGGCTCGTTGTTTGGGAACAGTCTTTCGCTGACACGGCGCCCCAGGCCGGCCTGTTTCGAATCAGGGTTGAAGGCATTCTGCTGGCCTTGAGGCTGTGATGGTACTTGGTAATCCCGCCTAGGGCCATCCACAGGCGCGATTTCATCCGCCATGGCGTCCTCGTAACTCGGCGGCGCCTCATCGGGGATATCATTGAGATGTTGGGGGTTGAAGGAGCCAACTTGAGTCGGGAAGGAGCTGCTTTCGGACATTGGAGTTGTCGGCGTACCCAATGGGGTCCCCAGCGTTGTATCTGGCTGTAAGGGTGTCGTCGGTGATCCGTTGCTTCCTGATGGCCGGGGAAAGATATGAGGAGGTGCAAAGGATGCTTGCGGGCGTCGGTTGTGGGCCATAGCCTGCAGGAGTTGCGGAGGGGGCGCAATTCCTGAGTAAACAGAAACAGGTAGGCATAGAGGCAGAACAATCAACTCTGGACGCACTCCATCAGCCATGCCATGCGCCAAGCCAACTCGAACTTCCAGCTCATAGAGGCGGGAGATATTGCAGGTATCAAAAGATGGGCAAACAGTGTTGGGGATTGGAAAATCATCCCACAACCGAGAAGGGAGTTTCCATTCTCGACGACTCTTCTCGGTACCGTTACCTAACGGCATGTTCATATTGGCTTTTGACGTCAAGATCCAGCTCGTCCTTTCAGTCCTTTCCAGGTCGTGCGCCCTTATACGCGTATAGCCGATCAACTCGATTTGCAGCATGCTTAGGAAGGCAGTGGCCGAGCTGTCATTGATTTTCTCGACGAGGATTCGGAGAGGCAGCGGTTCATTGCAAGTGATGATGGCAGGACTTGGCAGTCGAACGTCGACTTGGAAGGCTGGAGGCTCTTCTCTCGCCGAGATTGGAGTCGAGGACTTCTTGGACAAGACTCCTTTCTTATGTGACTGGGCGTGATGCTGTTGAAACTGTCTTTTCCGTCGGGCAAAGGTCTCTTCATGGCGGTCTGGGGGTCGCGGGGGTTCGATAGGGAGGAACTTGATGTCGACCACCTGTGGCCTGGTCAGTGATTGAGAGGGAATACAGCGGCACAGCCATCATACCGAGCGGATGTTCTCTTGGAAGAACTTGGGCCGCACCACGGTCGCCTTGATATAATATTTGATTTCCGCCTCGCCAGGAAACCCGCTCAATGATGGCGGGAGGGTTCGCTTAACATGTCTTGTGGTATCTACTGCGAACTGCACACTCAATTGGCCGACTTTGAGATCTTTCAATGGTGTTGGATTCTTCTGGCAATCATTGTTGAATGGGAACTGTTGCGCGACGTCAGCCCATGTCCACCGCAAGGGATTCTCACGGAGGGTCCAACCTTGAACCTAAAAGGATAGATGTATTGTCCAGCGTGTAGGGTGAATCCTGAACCAGACGTCGTTTCCTGAAGCTCTGGCGTGGGAAAGACGGTAAGGACTTTGTAAAGGAGCTGACGGTTACCTGTTGTCAGCGCAGCTCAGGTTGCGGTCGACAACCAGTTCCACCCACCTTGTGATATTCTAGCTCGGTTCTCTTCTTCTCCGACCGTTCATTATTGGGAAACTTGGGGCCGGCGAGTCGCGTACGACTCTCTCCCTCGAGTTTGACCGTGATGGCAGAGATGGTCGCATCGTTTGGAAGGAAAAGGATGACGCTGCCGGAAACGAAGTCGAGGTTTGTATAGCACCTGGATTCTGCCTGATCAAGTTGGATATGGACTGACATCGGTCCAAGAAAGACAAGGCATCAGAGCAATTGACTCCCAGTCAACAAGACAGGAATTTGACGCGTGCAAGAGGCAGCACAAAGAGACAATTCCTCAGTCCGCCAGGGCGCCTTGCGAGGCTGAGCCAGCATCGGGGGCGGAGGCTCCCCGCTCCGGTCGGCCGAATTGGTTTAGCGTGCCGCGTGGAGGGTGCGTGTGGAAAATCATTCTACCGGTCGACCTCGCCTCTTCTGGTGAAATGTGAATCAACGTGCTACACTGCAATCGAAGTCTACGACGACATCCCACGATCGATTGGTCATGCCCGCCTAGTGATTGAGAAGAACATGAGGGTAAAAGCATGACCACGTCATTCGCTTACAGCTTCCAACCACGCATCATCACGAAATGCCTCTACCCTTCAGATGAAACAATCCACTAGTGTGCGGAAGAGAGCCAGCAACCGGCAACCCATCAAACACACCAAAACCTTCTCCGGCTGTTGGACCTGTCGGGATCGTCACGTCAAATGTGATGAGGGCAGGCCAGAATGTGCGCGTTGTTTGAAGGGTGGGTTTGAGTGTCAAGGCTACGGCATTAGACTGGTGTGGGTTGATCCCGATACTCAGGAGCGCGAGCAAAACATCAGGCGAGCGATTGGTGCGCCTGCTATCTACGAAGATGACTCCCGATTCATGCAGGTCGATGTCCCCAAAGCCTTAGATGCGATAGAAAGACTGTCTGCGCAGCGTGTTTCGCTGGCCTCGGGACCATTTTCTGTCTTTGCGCTGAATCTGTCTGCAGCTGCCAACAAGACTTGCTTAGAGGATCAGAGGTGGAACTCACTTAACGATGTGGCCATGGTATCCTCTCCCTCCGTTCTCTCGGGGGAAGGATACAGCGACGACGATGAAGAAGACGTTTTGGAGACGGTCATTTCCCCTGTCCTCTTGGAAGCCTCTACGCCGGCCCATACCTCTGAACTCTCCAACACACTTTATCCTAGCAGGCATAGCTTGGATGCTCGACATCCATCGATATTACGCCATCTTGATCTGCTCCCACGCCCTGCCGAGCAACGAGAACTGATTCACCATTGGACTTCATTTGTGAGCTGGCATCTGGTCCCCGTGGACCGGGCAGACAATCCTTTCCGCAGCGTCTTTACGCCTATGGCTCTCTCTGGGTTAACATCACCCTCGAAGCAGTCGAATGGTCAAATCGCCCTGTTCCACGCTCTGTGTGCCACATCCGCGTTCAGCCGTGGTCAACTCCTTAACGATAACGGCCCAGCCTTCACCCTGGCGATGAAGCACTACAACCTTGCCATCATGCACCTCCGCCACAGTTTGGCCAACGTCAAAGATAGCCGCCAGCTGGACGTTCAGCGTGGCGCCATTCTCGCCACAATCACCATGTTCTCGGCTATGGACATGATCACAGGCAGATCGTCGGAGTGGCGTACACATCTACAAGGTGGCGCTTCCTGGCTCGGCACGATCGAAGGCAACGTGTGGGACCGTGATAAGAGTTCTTCGATGGTGTATCAGGCTTACCTGTCTATTGCGGCTCTATGCAACATTAACCTACCGGCAACCGTCAATGTGGAGTCTGATGACTTCCTCGATCAGAGGCACTATGTGCTAGATCGGCTCTTTGGCCTTACACGCCCAATCTTGAAGAGCATCGTGATGATGAACGCACTCATAAAACGCTTTCCCAATTCAGACATAAGCGCTGATCCCGAGACATTGGATGAGCTCGAACTGCAGTTATACGAACAGACGCCTGATAGCCTTGACCTCGAGGGCCTGGACCCCCTAACCAAAGATCTAACACGACACCATGCATATGTCTTCTACTACGCCTCCCTCATCTACTTTCAACGCACCGTACGTCGGCGGCCACCGGATGAGCTGCAAGAGCTGGTCAGATATGGGGTCGGACACTTACAAGAGATTGAAGACCTGGGCGGTGAGGCTATCGGGTGTACGCTGGCGTGGCCGCCCTTCGTGGTTGCATGTGAGTGTCTGAGTACGGACCTCCAAGAGCAAATGCTGGCTTGGTACGTACTGAAAAGGCGGCATGGCTTCATGAACCTCGAAATCTCGAAGGATATAGCCAAGGAGCTGTGGCGGAGACGGAGCCTTGCGCCAAAGGATGTGGACATCCAGTGGCAGGACGTCCTGAAGGAAATGAACATGGATATTGTACTTGCTTGACCCATTCGGAGCTTCCACAGCTTCAGGAAGGATCAGCATGCCGGCCGTCTTGCGTTTCGACCTACCAACCTACGAAAGAGATCCAAAAATGACTTGCTACGGCCCAAACCCCGAGCTGGAGGTAGATTCTCTTCAAGCTCCGTTTAGGACTACTTTTCGCGTGTGCGGACTTCATTACATCTGTAGCCTTTTCTCTCTCAACCCAGAGAAGGGAGTATGAGCAGCTCAAAACGAGTCTTGAGCCGCGAGAGACATTATACCTCGGGAAATGGCAGCAGTAAAATACAAGCATGCCTGACGTGGACTTTCAAGTCCACACGTAAGGAGACGGCAGAGTGGGTCTTTAAATGACACCTCTGACCAGATATTATGACGACTCATCACCACACAGGCATGCGACCAGACGGCACTGCAGCAGTCGTGTCCATCCGCGGAACGATTTCCAAGTCGCGACCGACATACACCACCCGGTGCTACATTCTCAGGCGCGAGCAGCAGACAAATCCATGTGTCTGCGTGCCTACAATCTGGGCGCCATAAAGTACGGATACTGCGGACCAGCGTGTCTACAACGATGATATACGTGGCAGTTGTCGCGTCTTCGTTTTGTTATCCTTTCGTTCCTTAATCGCTACGTATAACATAGTCCTACTACGGACAGCTGTTTTCCCCTTTCTGCGCAAACATACGCCGCTCCTACAGCGGGAAAGATGTACCACCTGATACGATCCTTATACCTCTATGCAACAAGCAAGCCAGGTATGGCCAACACTCTGCCGCACGCTGGCGCGGGAAACAGACTCGTCCAGACCAACAAGCTGACATGTCCTCAGAATATTCCATAATCCTACTGGGCCTCGACAATGCAGGCAAGACGACTCTCCTCTCGCAGATTAGAGCGCTGTACAACACCGCGGTCGACCCTGCAGGCCAGACAGGCGATGCAGCGCCGTCCGAGACCGCAGGCAATACAGTGCCAACGGTCGGCCAGAACGTCGCAACGATCGACCTGCCGGACATGTACTTGAAGATCTGGGATGTTGGAGGCCAAATGAGCCTGCGTCGCTTATGGACGAGCTACTACAAAAGCGCACATGCCGTGGTCTTTGTGGTCGATAGTACGGATCTGGGTAATGGAGAGGTGGACGATACGCCCAAGACGCCCGGCTGGCATGGTCGCAAGAAGAGTTATATAAGTAAAATGGATGACGAAGGCAATGATGTCGATGACGAGCCGGAGACGCCGTGGACGCCCATGACTCCCATGACTCCGGGTATGTTGTTGTCGGGAGACCGTCAGGGGCGATTGGACGAGTGTCGCGCCGTGCTGGAGAGTGTGCTTGAAAATGAAAATACGGCCGGCATTCCGATCTTGGTGCTCGCCAATAAACAGGACCGCGAGGATTGTTTGGAAGTGGTGAGGATTAAGGAAGGGTTTGTTCGGAAAGTCTTTGAGGGCGAAAAGGGCGGGATGGTTCGAGACAGTCGTGTCCTGCCGGTCAGCGCGCTTCGAGGCACTGGTGTGAAAGAGGCGGTCGAATGGGTCAAGAGCCGTGTCGTGTGGAACAAAGAGAGTCGCCCACCGGTTATGAGATGATCGAAAGAGATGATCGGTCTGCATACGGCCTATGAACATACGAATAACGACATTGGAGACAACTTTTCTCTGTCCTCTGCATTGCGTGGAACAAGCCTCTATGAGCCGGTAATGAAGGCCCCTCTTCCTTCTGGGAGTAGGTCTACTACTACAATGGCGCCATGGCCTGGCTCATCTGCCAACTCCTCAAGTCTTGAGTGCTTCCACCTTGAGCAGACTTAGGGCAGTGTCCCTTGCCGTCTTCTCAAGGCTGGTCCATTCGCAATCGAACACCTCCTCGGCTGCCTTGGTGTCGAATCTCGGCAAAGTCAACGTCGTGTCATCGGAGTTGTTTTCGCCAATTCTGGAAGATACACCCAATTCGGCATCATTTCGCAAAGCGTCTGCAAATCGGTTGAAAACCACAGGATACCCGACAACGAAGCGTCTGTTTGCTGCGCCAGGGGTAGTCAAAGCCAGGACCTGGACTTTTGCAAGGTCACGGACGTCAATCTGAGCATCATCACGACATCGGTCAGCAGGCATTTTGGAATCCAGAGGCCACCGGAGGACGGCCGTCAGAAGAACAGAAATCTAGTATCCTACTCACATATCCCGGGAACATGGTGTTGGGCACTCTGCCCCCCTCCGCCTTGGCACCGTTGAGGATGCCGTAAAACAGGCGAACGCTGAAGTTGATTTTCTCGACACTGGGCACCTTTTGCATCATAGGTCCGAAGATCAGAGGCGGCATGAAATTGGTGACCGTAAAGGACGGCTTTTCCTCCTCGATGAACTTCCAGATGGCTTGCTCGGCGAGCTTCTTGCCCACACAATACCAGATCTATTGTCGGGCCAAGCAAGATGTCAGTTACAATCCTGCAAAAGATGAACAGCATCTTGCAATGCCACATCGCCCCCACGCGGACGGGTAGATCTTGAGGCCGTGGTTGTGTCTGGACTCACAAGGGGGTTCTGCGCTTGCATGGCATCCTCTTTCCCCAGTGGAAGCCATTCTTCGTTGCTAATGACTCGCTTCTTGACATCATCCTGGTCTCCCTTGGTAATGGCGTTGAGGCTCCCTGTCACACTGATGGCTTTGACATTCTTGCCGAACGTCTTCGCCGACTTGAGCAGCCCAGTATTTCCCAGGACGCTGGGCTTCTCAAAGTGTTCGACGAAGTCCGTGTTTCGCGGATCGTCGAGCAACGGCGCCGCAACGTGGATGATATAATCAATGCCCGGATGGCTCTGGAAGACCGCGTCGAAGGCTCCTGGCATAGTGAAGTCCGTCACAATGCTTATCGCGATGTCTTGAGTGGGCCATTCGGGATGCACCGAGAGAAGAGCATCTGCGGATGAAGGCGTTCGAACGGCCAGGACTACCTTGTGTTTCTGGGCGACAAGCTCGTTGACCACGGCAGCGCCAACGAAGCCGTTCGCTCCTGTGACGAGTGTGATGGGCATCTCGGTTTGGGTGTAACGCGAAGCGGCGTGAGTTCTTAATCATGGAATAAGCAGCGTGTGCCTTTGACAGTGCAAGAAAGTAACACTGAGAGAAAGACGCCAGGTGTTGTGCAGAATTGACCGACACTCAAGTTGTGTTACTAATGTAGAGATATATCAAAGCATCCCCTTCCCAGATAGTACGGCGGCCCGTCGGCCCCGCAGCCTATTGGGCTGACTCAGCAGGTCCTTTTGGTCAGAAGTCTCCATTGAAAAATATCATCTATGCAATCCGTCAGGAGCAAGCTTCAAGTTGGATTGGAGAGCGCTACACAGGCCAACCTGAGGTTTGCCGACCATTCTCGTTATCTTGGAAACGTGCTGTAGTGCCTTGATTGGATAGTAGCGGCTGTACCGGGTAATAGGTTGTTTCCAGAAGGCGGCCAGTCTCAATACGCTGCTTCTTCACACGTGAACGGCGCGTAGTCTTGTGGCAATGACAGCATCAGGCAGCAATATCAGATCTTTGGTCGGTCTCAGTCCACCCACCGTTCGAGTTTGTGATCATAGCCAATGATTCGCAAGTCGATGTTCATCTCTTGGAGCATCATTTCCATGCTGAAGCACTGTTCACGGCATATTAGTGCGCACGGGGAGAAGCAAGTCCATAGTCACAACTCACACCTTCGTCCTCCCCGTTGTCTTCGGCATACTTCGATTGGGACGGCTCTTCTATGCCAGCAAGTAGGTTACCATCTGTATCATGGCATAGTTCCCGATTGTCCTGGTAGCTGTGCCATTGCCTATGATCCTCTTCATTTCGTCGCCGCAATGCCCTGACACCACCCATGCCGTTGACTTTCTCTTTGGCATCAGCAAAAATCTCCTCTGCAAGCTCTTGAGCAACAGCCCTCCATTTCGCAATCAAGGTGCGCAGCTCAACATCTTGGTTCGATGCTTCAATTTCAAGGGCTTGTTGTGCAATGTCAAGTGACTGACGCAAGTTTGCGAGCTCAAGGCTGAGGGCAGACCGCTGCTTTTGGGGATGTTTGTGTTCCGGATTGGCAGACCTGGTCTTAACGGATGGAGAAAGAGATGAGATCTGACTTGGAATGCCAGAGGCGCTCAGGATTGGGCGAGGACTTGATGCTGGGTCATGCTCAACCTCTAATTTTTCACTTTGCTCTGCATTATTCGATTGCACTTCTGTGGCCTTTCGGAGCGGTGAGCGGAAAGGCTTGTTTTGGAATGCTGCAGACCCATCCAGCCTCCTCTTCTTTGCGGCGTGCATCATGCCTTGCAGAAGCAAAGACCACGAGGTAATTATGGACTTGCAGTCATCACAAGGTTGTGGTCGTCAATGAATGGCTGTTCAATTGCCACCATGACAGACAGTCTCTCAAATGCAGCCCTTCTGTAGCTAGCGGTTGGTGCAGGAGGATTTCGGATGTGCTTGACACACCGACTCGAAAGAGGGATGAGGGATTTTGAGGGTTAGATTCGGCGGCAAAAACAGCATCCTTAACTCCTGACTAGAAAGTCTAGGCAAAAGACGTAAAGGTTTTCAGGAGTTGGTTGACGAGTGGTGAGTGGTGAGTGGTGAGTGGTGAGTTATTAGCGAGGGACAGTGCTCTACTAACCGCAGTCAACCACCAGCCACTGCCAGCACTGCGCCGTGGACAACTTAGAGGTAGCTAATTGTGCTAGCATTGCTAGTTGGGGGATTAGGCGTTACTACATGGTAAGCGAGGCTGCAGCCGTGCGGATAGAATGTGATTATGCTTGTTATTGTAGTGCACCTATCGACGCTAAGATCTTAAGTACTATCGCTAACTACATACGGCAGACCCTCTCCTCGCTCATCCCGCCGCCCTTGTCCCTTCCTTCCGTCGCCATCTCCGCTCTGTCACACACGCGCTACACTGACTGCGCTGCGCTGACCCCTTCACACGCCTTGCTTCCTGCGTCTCGCCCTCACAGATCCTCTGATCTGAGCCAACCTTACCCAAGCCAAACCGCAATCCTAAGCCATGCCATCCGACACAACTGCCAGAATGATCCGGCCACACAATCACACGCAAGCTTCACCACTGTCTCATCATCCCCTTCCTCACCCACCTCATCATCACCATCACTCTTCCTTTTACACTCATCCACCATGACACCTCACCACCGCGCTTTCCAGCCATCGCCGACACTACGCAGCTAGAAAACCACAATAATACCGCAAACTTCAACTCCACTAGAGAAATAATTTCAGCCGCCTGACTTCAACCAGCAGACAACCTCTCAGACAACCCTCGAACGGCTGCATCCCTCTGGCACTCCTCACCGCGGACCAAACTTCACCCATCTATCCCACCACAAACCTCGTCGTCCTCATCCATGGCCCCGTCGTCTTCAAGCACGGCAGGTCGGTCACCGTCAGCGTCAACTGCTCGAGTGGACAAGACCAGAAAGCAGGAAAAGATAGTCACACTGAAGTTGTCGTCCAAGATTCTGCGTCAATTTCAGGAGCCTTCGGCAAAAGCAGAAGAGCAGTCCTCACCGTCGCCTACTTCGTCCCCTGTGCCTCCAATTGAAGATGATATCACGGTGAAAGCCCCAGAGGCCATCGACAATGCTTCGGAGTCCAATTCAACATCTGCACTAACTCCTTCGGATCCAGCCGTCACCGACGGCCAGAAAAAGAAGAAAGGCGCTTCAGCAGGAAACAAGAGAAGCCTAGGACAAATGATAGATACTGGTGCCTTACCAAAGCCACGTGGGAAGCCTGGCCCCAAAAAGAAACAAAGACTGTACGTTACCCTCGATGGCCACAAAGGACCGTGGCTACACTTCCGCTCGACCTTATACTGACATGTCTCAGGGAAGATGGAACCATCGACGCCGCTGCCAACAAGGGCTCAGTCACTCCAGGTGCGGGTCTCGGCGGTCACAAGTTAGGGCCAAAAGCGAATCAAGGCGCTATTAACGCAGGTCTTCGAGCTCTGGATAGATCAGGCAAACCTTGTCGCAAGTGGGCCAAGAAGCCTTTCACCCTGAAGAGCTTCACTGGAGTTGCTTGGGAGCTCCCCTCCTGGAAGGGCCATGAGAGACCGGCAGTCCTGAACGGTGATGAGTCGAGTGAAACCAAAGACATCTCCCTGCCGAGCAGCAGCGATATCAAGCCGAACGGAAGCGACGTCGCAATGGATAGCAATGCTGGTGATCAGCCCGATGCCCTGGCCATGTCCACACCAGCAGCAAGTTCTCCGGCCCCTATGCCGTCACAATCCTCAGCGATCGCAGCACAAGGCTAGGCTAAGATAATCTTTGCTTCACGGTCATCACCCACTCTCCCTCTCTATCACATCTCCAAAGACGCGGTCTGGATCTGGAATGGCATGTTTCCATCAAAAGCACCAGCCTTCTATGCATATCAGAGGTTTGGCACGAGCATAACGAGAGCACCACAGAAAATTGACGAAAGGATTTTGCTTGATATGCATGCGACATTGTTTCAGCACGGCGTTTACCGGACCAAAGGCGTTAAGGAGAGATACGCGTCAATGCCAGACGGATTGAATGGGGGATTAAAGGCTTGGATTGTACTGAAGTTCACCAGAGAGCAGGCATCTCTGGAGATGCGCCAGGTTCATTCTCCTCTGGGGATACGTTGACTTCCTCAATGAACGTGGACTTGACAAGTACCTCATGACTAGGTATGTATTAGTAGATCAGAAATACGGGGAACTCGAGGGTTTTCAATCGTGTAGCACTACAGCAACTACTGCTTGGTATAGTCCGTTACTATTCCTGATGTTCGAGAGAATGATGGAATATATTCCTACTATTGCTATTTCGTATTGCTGTCTGTACCATATCAACATGATCGAGTAGCCGAGTGTCACGCTCCTGTTCCGCGGCGTGGGTGCTGCCGCCTTGGCCGCTGACCACTGCAGTGTCTGATCCGGTCCCCGCAGGCGGACAACCTGCCACCCCCAATAGTACAGCCCAATGACCACGATAGTAAACTACTTCCTACCTTAGTATTGCATCAAGACATCTCTATATCGGCATGATAACAAAGGGGAACCTGTTCTCCTAATCGTTGTACTCCGCCTCAACGTTCCACGCCGGGCTCCTCGCTGTCCCTCACGATGTATGTCGAAAAGAGCACCGCGCCCTGAGACCAGCCTCCGATCCCTCCCCAGACCTCGGGGCCCAACGACCTTACCGAGTACTACCCTTGTGACCATCCTTCCGAACCACTTGTGACCCTCATCCACGCGGCGTCTGCTCGATCCTTTCTATAGCGATTCACAAAGTCCGATTGAAGATGACCGACGGCTCTGCATCCGGTAGCAATGGGCGGCCAAGTCCCTATGGTGGCAATGTCCCTCGGCGTTTGTCGTACGCTTCTGTGGCATCTGGCGCCACGGCTCAGAATATAAGCCATCCCACGCGTGCAGGAGCCTTTTCTCATCTCGTCGGGTCGACGCCTAGCAGCTCATATCCTCCACAATATCAAGCAGATCTTCAACACCAAAGGCGACACTCCGGACAAGACCACGACTCTGCTAGTGGGCTATATTGGCGGAAGCCGCCCTCTCTACCGTCCTATTCGAGGAAGTTCGCAAACATCCCGGCTCTAGGAACAAGTGGGATGCCTCCCAATCCGTTCTTTATACCATCCTATCTCCGCCATTCGAGATATGCGGCGAATCTCGAAGCTGCACATAAAGCCAAGATGAAGAGAGAACGGGAGCAGCCTTCGGCAGGATCGTCGGCGATGAACTCGCTTACCACGAGTGCAGGGAACACAAATATCCATCGGATGGCGCCATCTCATCGAGGCATGACTTACGACATCATCGAGAGCAACCCACCCAGGGAGGATGAGCAACCGATGCCGCTGCCTTCTCGCTGGAGCGAGCAGGATAAGTATCCCGGGCTTGATCTCTCCAACGAGGGGCGAGACGTGAAATACAGTGGCTCAGGCAGCAAGGCCGAAATTGAAGCGGCATCTGTCCGCGCGGACTATCCCATGTCACCAGCGTGCGGGATATACTATTTCGAGGTTGAAATCAAGAATAAGAGCAAAGACACCGCCATTGCCATTGGCTTTGCCACGGCCGAGGCTTCCTTAGAACGGCTACCCGGCTGGGAGACGCACTCTTGGGGCTATCATGGCGATGACGGGAAGATGTTCTTTGGTGAGCATTCAGGACGGAACTATGGCCCGACTTTTGGTGCTGGGGATGTCATTGGATGCGGTGTCAACTTCAATGCAGGCTACGCCTTCTTCACTCGAAACGGACAGGACTTGGGGATTTGCTTTCGAGAGCTTAGGAAAGATCTCAGGCCGTTCCCGGCAGTTGGGATGAAGAAGCATTCAGGCGCATGGGTATCGACAAACTTCGGTGAACGGCCCTTCGTCTTCGACATTGACGATAAGATGCAGCTGGAACAGTCCCAGGTGTCGAGAGACATCATCAAGTCCAAAGTCACCCCGTTGCGAGTACAACGCGACGAGAACACTCTCGTACAAGAACTAGTGGCACAGTTTTTAGCCCATGATGGCTATGTCGAAACAGCAAAAGCATTTGCTGAGGACCTCCGGCGAGAGAAAGAGTCCTTGACCAATGCATTACCAGCCGCAACGCCGATTCCGCCAGAGCGAGATGACACCGATGCTGTGCATCGGCAAAGTAAGTTGGTCCTTTGGCCACGTCCCGGTTGATAATTAATGAAAAGCAGGGATACGACGAGCAATCCTTTCTGGAGATATTGATGAAGCGCTCGAAGTCACCCACGCCCACTTCCCTAGCGTACTTGCGGAGAATCCGGACATCGTGTTCCATCTGAAATGTCGGAAGTGGGTTGAGTTAATTGGGAAAACCACGGAATTGAACACGTCGAAGTCGGCCGAAATGCAAGACTTGCATTCGAGTAACGTTCCGGACAAGACACCAGCTGCTGAAGTGGACTTCTCACAAGACATGGAACTCGATGAACATCACGACGGCGAAGGCCAGACTAATGGCCTCGGCCGGCCATCCGCTAACGACAATGCGGTAGAATACAACCAACTGCTCAACGAAGCGATGCAATATGGTCAAGAATTACAACGAGAATACCGGGATGACGATGGCGAGTATGCAAAGAGCCTGCAAGACATATTCAGCCTGATGGCGTACAATGACCCCAAAGGCAGCATTCACGGACACCTCCTGGACCCGGCTGGGAGAGCGAATGTTGCAGAAGAGCTTAACTCTGCCATCTTGAGTAAGAAACATCACATTCTATGGCATGAGAGCCTACGCTGACGTGCAACAGTCTCTCTCGGACGGTCACCTTCCGCGGCGGTAGAGACGATGTGGAAACAAACCGAGGTATTGGTCGATGTGCTTGCACAGGAGGGCGGGCCTGCCGCATTCGTCAATCTCCGCTCCTTGTTCTCTTCGTGACCCTATGAGTGCGTGCAAGGCAGTTGTCGTTGATCCACGGCGCATTTCCCTTGCTGGAGGGATATTATATGGTCATGGTGGGAGGGACGAAACGTGGCCACTCAGATCAATGCGGATAGTGTACTTGCGTCACGACGAGGCTCGGTGTCTTTTTTCTTGCGCAGCCACACGTGAATCACACATGGGACCATCAAGGCCTCTGCATATGTCTTAAGGCCATGGTTATGGTGCCTGCGGAATCTGGTGGCTGGGAATACATTGACGGCGTTACCGTTGATAGAGGCTCAGGTCAATTCGAGCCCAACATTGCACAATCAGGCCTGGCTTTTTCCTCAGGGTGGAAGGTGAGCAGGAGTTATAAGGGACTGTCCCAGCGACATTGCACAGCATCTTTCCCTATGGTATATGTATCTAGCTCAGTTATCTATCTCTCAGATTCAAGTGTCTGACCAAATTTTCCCTCGGTGACAAGTCATGGATACGAAACGTCTAATCGCCTCGTCACTAGCGGGCGCCTTTTGAAGCAGTCCAGTCTGAAAGAGGTGACTGCGCTACAGGTCGGCCTCTCGAATCAAGACATCTCTATTTAACACCTTGGGCGACACGGACGGAATGCCCGCCAGATGCAAGGTCAAGTCCAGGTCTCCGAGCAATGATTTCACAACATGACTGACGCCGGCCTCGCCGCCCAGAACCAAGCCATAGACATAGGGCCTCCCAACAAGACACATCTTGGCTCCGAGAGCCATGGCTTTAGCAATATCCGCACCACAGCGAATGCCCGAGTCGAAGATGACCTCCAGATGGGCGCCAACGGCGTCAACAATGCGCGGCAAGACCCCCAGCGAAGAGACGCCGCCATCCGTCTGGCGGCCGCCATGGTTACTCACCACAATACCCTGGACGCCGATCTCGACACATTTTTTGGCATCAGCCACGGTCTGGATGCCCTTCAGGACTATCGGCCCGTCCCAATGGCGCTGCAGAAACTTGACATCCTCCCAATTATGACTGAACCCGGGAAACACGGTCCTCGTCCACTCGGCCGCAGCGGCACCCTGTTCGTCCTCGACTTCCACGCCATGGGTCTCCCTGAATTGCTTACGAAAGACGGGATCGGTGAACCCGATGGCCACGCCGACCTGATCGCTCCTCAAGAACGGGTTATACCCGTTGTTCATGTCGCTGGGCCGCCAGCCGAGAATGAAGGTGTCCAGGGTAACCACCAGCACGGAGAAGCCGGCTTTCTTGGCCCTCGAGAGAATGGAGATGGTGATGTCGTCGTGTTCATTGGCCGGCCAGTACAGCTGGAACCATCGGTCTCCGTCTGGACCATTGGCGCGGGCCACTTCTTCGATCGACGCACTGCTCGCCGTGCTCATGATATACGGCACGCGTTCTTTGGCCGCGGCCTTGGCGGATGCGATTTCGCCGTCCGGGTTGAAGATGCGCTGCACACCCACGGGCGCAAGGGCGATCGGGAACGGTAGGTCCTGGCCGAATATCGAGATTGAGAGGTCGGGGAAATGCTTCTGCGTGTCGACCAGGCGTCGGGGCAGGATTGACCATTTCTCGAAGGCGAGCCGGTTTTTGCGTGCCGTCTCGCCGCTGCCTGCGTTGCCGGTCACGTAGCCTTTGCTTTCGGCCGACATGCGCTCGGCCGCCAGGGGTTCCCAGTCTAGTGCGGTGAATGTGAACGGCGGCCGGGAGTACGTTAGGCCTTTTTGGTAGATTTCTGTCTCGTAGGCCAAGGGGTCTGGACCGGGGCCCGAGTGCTTTTTCATGTTTGGTCGAGTGTGTGTGGGAGAGTCCATTTTGCGGGCAGAGGTAGCGGTGGCAGTAGGATTACTGAAATCAGTGGTTCAAGATACTGTCGTGGTAGTGACAGAGACAGAGATAGAGCCTGGTGAGATGATGTAAGGGTGGCCAAATAGGCCTTGTTGTAGGTAGGTAGGGACGTGACAATGGAGGTCAGGGCGGTAATGGTCCCGATCAAAGCACTTTTGATGAAGATGAAGAGATCAAGAACACCCAGGACTCTTACCTACCTGTTTCATGATATAGACTTGATATTAAGGAATGATCCGGAGTGACGGGTGAATACGGTAGAATTCCCTCGCTCCACGACATACATCATCGAACATATTATATCACCGCCGTATTAAAATGTGGTCCCTGCCCACCTAAGCAGGAAGATAGTACCCACGTAGATTGCCTTGTGTCTCCGGGTATCTTCCGTCCTCATAAAAATCGCTGGAACAGTTCTCAACATACTATGAGCGGTGGTCTGGATATATCCAGATCCTGGCGATGTTGGAGCTTGAAAATATCCTCGCGCCCGTCGGGCAGCCAATCCGGGTGGGAGCGGCGAGCATCCAAAGGCCCCAATTGACATGCAGACACGATGGTCTTGCGCTTGATTGATCACAGGCCATCCAGGTCTGGATTTCACCAACTATGAGGTTGATTACAAGCATAGAATAGTATATAACACAATATAACAGTCAGATGCAGGCGGTTACATACGGAGGTGAAAGCGACAAGGCTGAAGGAGGCTGGATCTCAGCCTTGTTGCCAAGCCGGCGTCGCTGTAGGTTTTCTCCGCGCTCCGATTTCCTGCAGTTCAAGTCTAGTCAAGAAATTTTGTGACGCGAACTTGAACAATCTGCCCGCACCGCCTTCGCCAGACACTTGGTCTTTTCGTGTGGTTGCTGTTAACCGGTGACAGTGTCTGTCCAGAGTAGCGACAGACATATGTCGTCGTCCAAAGACCTTGAGTCGGTGACGACTCCCAAAAAACGAAAACATCGGGCGGAAGAAAAAGAATTGTCCAGGAAGAAAAAGAAGCAGCGGACGGAAGAACGACCACAACAATCCGCGGAACCAAACAGTCCGACCGCTACTGTGGTCGCATCCCAATCACAACTCTCGACAGAGACAGACGGGGCACAAAAGAAAAAGAAGAAGAAGGCCAAAGACAAGGATACACACAAGCAGACAGAAACAGAGCCCGAACCTGAGACTGTGCAGGTCAATGGGAAGTCCCCCGAACCCGAGGACATTGAGTTGGTCGATGCACCATCGCCAGAAGCAGAGCCCACTGTGGACGAGCCGCCGGCAACCACCTCCCTGACGGCAGTGGATGGTGAAGATGGAGCAACTGTGGAATCAGAAATGGTGGCAGATCTGCTGGACTCAGCCGACCCGACATCGTTTTACTCTACCCGCTTATCTCTCTACCTGTCTATTCCTGCGATCGCACTCGAAACAAGCAGCTCGTCGATCCTTGCTACCCACCTGGCGCCACTCCTCCTCACATACTTCCCTCCCGCGCAAGGGATAGTGCTTGGGTTTTCGGACCCTGTCTTGTCCGCGACACCGGACACGGACCTCAACCGACCTCTCCTCCCTCCTTCGGATGGTGACTTCGAATCCCAAGCGGAGGTCCTAGCAAAGACCGCCGACGAGGCCGGGGTCTGCTGGGTATGGCTTACTGCCACGTTTCTCGTGTTCCGACCGGAACGAGGAGACGAGCTGTACGGATGGACCAATGTTACGTCAGAAGGGTTCGTCGGGTTGGTCAGCTACAACTATTTCCAAACGGCTGTGGCCAAGAACAGAATCCCGCAGGACTGGACGTGGACTGGACCCAGCCGAGAAGACACCGTCAAGAACAAAAGGAAGGGCAAGAAAGCCCGCCTCCGGGACGAGGACGGCGCTTCAAGCCAGATACATGGCGATGACAATGAGCATGACCATGCGGCGGCGGCGAGGCAGGAGGACGATCATGGTGCTGTCTCTCAAGCTCGAATTGTCGATGATGGAGGCTTCTTTGTCGACGCCAACGATGGCTCCAAGGTGCAATCCACGCAGAAGTTCAGAGTCGTGGATGCGGAAATCGTGCCTGGTCACGACCGACATAAGTGGTCCCTGCAGATCGAGGGGACGCTGCTGGATGACGAGGCGGAGCAGAAGGCGGTCGAGGAGGAAAGGGCCAGGTTTGAGCTGTCCCAACACCGCAGCCGCTCTTACACGCCAGGAGATCCGTCTATGTTGATGAGCGGTGCGTTGGCTCGGAGTCGCGAGGGCAGTGTCGCTTCAAGGCTGTCTGGGCCGGTTCCGAGTCAACGGCATCGAGTGGCATACTGATTAAGGTGGCGATGGGATGATGGGATAATGACTGGAGGTACACGGTAGTAGTGTGAATATGGTGACGCTCCATGGTATCACGTTGATCGAGCGATACGCCATCAATGAGACTCCATATTCCGGACCTGAGTCCTCAGTCCTCAGTCAGTGTTGCACTGTGCTAGGAGGATCGTGGTGATATCACCACTACTACTACTACTGTGGAGTGTTATACCACTACTAGCAATTCAGTGATTGCTGGGTTTAACAATGCCTGACATGCAATTGGCCGATTGATGATGAGGACATTAACCAGGATGGGGACCATGACGCAACACGCATCGTATCTCCGATATTGTTTCGCTGCACTCGAGGCATGATGGATGTTTGATGGATGCATCATCTACAGGTATCTACTACTACTACTAGTACTTACTGTTAGATATAGAGTAGGTGTCTATAGGGTCCGTACCTACCTATCCATTATTAACCTGCAGCGACTGACTTGATACGCGGTAGAACTACTAACGCGGGTGGCTACCAACGCCCTACTTCTACTATATTGACATCAGTTGTTGTACTGGTCATCCATCACCTCATCATCTCATGTCCTCCATCTCCCTCCCTACTCTTCTGGTTGTTGTCAAGTCTTAAACCTACATCTACTCCCCGCCGTATCTCTCCTCTCCTTCCTCTGGCTTACCACGATTTCATGTTCGCCCGCCCTACCGCCCGCTTACTCGCCGTATCTTCTTCGTGTAGACCTCTCCTACTGTCGGTATTTCCCGCCGCATCTCCGCCCCGCTTTCCATCCATAGCTGCGTCCCTCACCAGATCATTTTCGATTCATCCCGCGAGAATGGCCCAAGAGTTCAAGCTCAAAGGCTTGTCCAAGCTCGAATTGAAAGACCTAGATAAACTTGAAGCAGAGGTCGAGGGCATCGAAGGCGGCAAGGTCCTGCTCGTCAAGGTCGGAAATGAGGTGTCGGCCCTCAATGCCAATTGTACACATTACGGTGCTCCATTGAAGAACGGCGTTCTCACTCCCGAAGGACGGTTGACTTGTCCGTGGCATGGAGGTGAGTGTCCCGCTGTATAGTGATCCTTCTTCGTGCGCACTTCCTTGTGTGTACTTTCGCTGTTTTCGTATTCAGTCACTGATACTCCACCTAGCATGTTTCAATGTCAAAACCGGCGACGTCGAAGACTCACCCGCACCCAACGCTCTGAACAAGTTCGACGTGGTCGAGAAAGAGGATGGCGTATACATCAAAGGCAAGGAGGCGGACATCAAGGGTGGCCAGAGAAAGGTCAATATAAAGACGAAGCCGACATCTTCAGACAAAGTCGTCATTGTTGGAGGGTACGTTTGGCTCTGTCAAGCCTTGTCATGGCAGGCGAGCGCATGCTGACACACAGTTTCAGTGGCTCCGGCACATTTGGCGCTCTCCTTAAACTTCGCGAACTCGGCTTCCCTGGCCAGATCACCGTGATCACCACCGAAGGCTATCCCATTGACCGGACGAAGCTCTCCAAAGCTCTGATCACAGACCCCTCCAAGATCTATCTCCAGCCGAAAGAGTGGTATGACGATGGCTCGATTGACTTCTGCTCCGACACGGTCACTTCCGTCGACTTCGATACAAAGACCGTGCAGACCAAGACGGGCAAGTCATTTCCCTACACCAAGCTCATCCTCGCCAGCGGCGGCACGCCTAGACATCTACCTCTGCCAGGATTCAAAGACCTGTCCAACATCTTCCTCCTGCGCCAGATCAGCGACACACAAGGCATCGTCAGCGCCGTGGGCGATAAAGGCAAGAAGATTGTCATCATCGGTTCCAGCTTCATCGGTATGGAAGTCGCGAACGCTCTCGCCAAAGAAAACACCGTGACGGTTGTCGGAATGGAGTCGGCGCCCCTAGAACGGGTCATGGGCAAAGAAATCGGGCAGATCTTCCAGAAGATGCTGGAGAAGAACGGGGCCAAATTCATGATGAATGCCAGCGTCGACTCGGCGGTTCCGGCTTCGAAACTCGCAAACGCCGTCGGCCTCAGCCCTGTCGGCGCCGTCAAGTTGAAGGACGGAACAGAGCTCGAAGCCGACCTAGTCATCCTGGGTATCGGCGTCGCCCCTTCGACAGAATACCTCCGCGACAACCCGAGCGTGAAGCTGCTCAAAGACGGCAGTGTGGCCGTGGACGAAAACTTCGCCGTCAAGGGCCTCACCGACGTCTACGCGATCGGCGACATCGCCACATACCCGTACCACGGCCCCGGCGGAAACGGAGCCCCTGTACGCATCGAACACTGGAACGTCGCGCAGAACCAAGGCCGCAGCGTCGGCCAGCTCATCGCACAGCCCTCGAGCAAGCCTAAGCCGTTCATCCCCATTTTCTGGTCCGCCCTGGGCAGCCAGCTGCGGTACTGCGGCTCCGGCGCCATCGGCTGGGATGACCTCATCATCAAGGGCGAGCCCGAGAACAGCAAGTTCGCGGCTTACTATGCGAAAGGTAACGAGATCGTCGCCGTGGCCAGTATGATGATGGACCCGATTATGACCAAGAGCGCCGAGTTGATGAGACACGGCAAGATGCCTTCCAAATCCGACATCAAGAGTGGTCAAGATGTGTTGCAGGCCAACTTGTGAGGAAAGAATTCGGTGTGGGGACAGGCGGGTGTATGTGCCACATCACAAGCGCTTTGGTCTTGACAAAGATGATATTGGACTTAAGCCTAGGCAGTAAGCTGCGAGCTACGTGTGACACATACATACCTACTTACAATAGTAATGAAATGGCCAGTCATGAACATGAAGACATTGGAAAACCATGAAGAGATTAGAAATAGCATTGTGTACACCATAAAGAGTAAACAGGGGGCATGGTGTAGAGTAAATAGGGGAGAAAAAGTTACAACATTGTTGCAGGAACAAGGAAGGTATCGCTATGCAGATATACGCCAGGCCGTCCGCGCAAGTTCCGGATCTGGCGACAACCTAGCTAACATTCGGAAGCGGCGAGTGGTGTTGTGCTTTGTCTTTCATCTAGACTGGAAGCCCGTAAACGGTAACCGCCTCAAAATTGAGATATATACTACTGTAGCTGATGGCCCCTCAGTATCCAAGATTGCAAGGTCGTATATGATTGATGTCTGCTCGGGTTAATCCAGCGTGACCAGATGACATGTCCTCTGGATCAGGGGATCGAGGAAATGTCACCCACCGTATAAATGTTCTGAACCTGGCGTGGTATCCCGTGTGTTTGGACGAGCCGTGAACTCTGTACTGTACTGCCATCACAGCGCGATGCTTCCGGAGAATATCCTGACATTGCCTATGCATCAAGTTGATGTACTGGTTGGTGATGGTTCGGGCCGCGATGGTAGACAGGTTGTCAGTTGTGTCTTGATTCAACGAGCAGCGTTTGGGTTGGTTTAAAAAGCATCGGTAGTACACTGTCCATCCTGAACACACTCCTTATGATGGCCCATTATGGGTCTGGTTCCGTCAACATCTCGAAGGACAAAGGGCGCTGCCGGTGGAAAGGAACTTGAACGGTCTGGCAGGAGCGAAATGCTGCCAGTGCCATGGCATCACCTGCAAGGCAAGGCACGAAGCCGCAACAGTAGTAGGCCACCGCCATTGTGGCCGATGCCATGCTCTTGCCAGGCTTGATTCATACCCGTTCAGCGCTCACTGTTGTGAAATTGCAAGGTCAAGGTCGCCTTTTGTTGATACATCGGCAGTCGCACATCGGGCCATATTCATTTGTGAGAGGCGCCACCACTTGCCCTGTGGCAACCGGAATCCCGGTGACCGCTGCCATGATATTGATGGCCCGGCATATTGGTATCAGAGATAGTAGCGCTGTGTGCTCGGCATTGAAAGTCGGTCGTCCAAGCACCTGGACAGATCCCTGGGAATAACGAGAAAAACGTTCGAACGACCGAAAAGGGGATGTCCGACCCCGGGGGATTGTGATGGTACAGTTCTCTCTCATCGGGCAGGAAATAAACCACTTACTCTGTACGGAATGAGCAAGGCGCGAAAGGCGAGCTGCAGCTACATAACGCCGACTCCAAGTCTCGATTTTCCAGAAAAGATGGAGACGGATGAGTTGGGAAACCGGACTGTCGTCGTGCATAGCTGCACTATGCTAGTTGTATGCCGTTGATGCACTGCCTGTCCTGCCTTCTTGGGCCAATTTGTCTCTGTATGCCAGATGGAAGCGATCTGAACTGCAGTGGTGAGACACCATGTCAGTGGCGAGATTGTTGGCTTTAGCTAAGCGGGGTCCTTTTCAAAGTGGTTAGAGATGGCTGATATAGCTCTGACGAGTTGCCGTCGTGCTTCCAGGAACGGACTCACGAAGCTTCCGACCAGCCTCAAGGACGGGTGAGCTTATGCAAGGGACGCTGCTGCTGGTAAAAGCTCCGCTCTCCTATCATCCCCCTGCAGAGGTATAGAGTACTTGAAGCTCAACCGGTCCAAGTGAGGCATGGTCGACGGAGGAAGTCCACTTAGAGCTGTGGATTCTTCTCGGCGAATATCGCTTGGTGTCGAGGCTGCTCAGCAGCTTGTGCCGGGACGGTTCTTATGCGGCCAAGATGCTGAAACCCCCTGCCTACATTATTCTCAATCGTCTCGGCCATTTTCATAAGCGAGATTTCAACAACAGAGGCATCCCATCCCATCAGCTCTTCTGGAGAGAGGGGCCGAAGGTATCAACACCTATCATCGTTCTATTGTGAACTGTTCGGCTGCACCGACTTCTCAGGTAGTCGCGTCAAGGATGGAGTGGTCCGACCCGAACGGTATTGTGAACCCGGGTCATGATTTATCAACCAACCACACACACACTCGAATGTGGATTGTAATTCAGGCGGAATGTTATGCGCTAGAGAGAGGGCAAGAGGTTGGTGCCTCGTAGTCAGAGCTTAGGCTCGGCTCGATTTCAGATATTCTTTCACTAGCCAGGTCCGAATGTCCGAAGGCAAACCCAAGTGATGAGCAAGCCAACATCCAGCCACTCAGAAGTCCACGTGCGCGAGGATCGGGTGATACCATGGACCAAAGGCAGTCGCTGCCATATTGGATATAAGACTGCAAATGCTATCGAGTCCAGCTACCTTGTTGCGTCTGGCGCATGGGGCTGTTGAAGCCTGCACGGAACTTCAACACGTTGCCAGGATGCCCATCTCTGTGTACGCGAGGTGATTGTCGAAGACCATGTGTGCATGAAAGACAAGCCTTGGGTGGCACCTAGTGGCGGAACGTGGGATAAGGAAGTAATGCGTGCCCGACTAATTGATAGGCTGCAGTAGTCGCTCGCGCGGTGAGACCGAGAGATTATAGTCAACTGGGGGCATATACACGAGATATATATTTTGTAAATGGCCTTGATGGTGGTTCCAATGACCCAGCCGGATGCGGGGGTCGTTGACGAGTGACATTCAATAACCAGGAGCTTGATTGCGTCCGGAGGGTACAGAGTACTCTGTACAAGCTTATGTGGCCTGCGAGGTGAGGCTTGAGATAGGATGATGGTACTGAAGACGTGATTGACAGGTGCAGAGGATCAGCAACGTTGTAACGTACCGCATTTCTCCACGCACTGACAGGCATGATGATTGCTGGACTGAGGACTCACCAAGGTAGGAGTCAACTCCACAGGTACTCCAGACTGCGGTACTGGTACATGCCACAGTCGGTCCTGTGTACTGTGTACTGTGTGCCCACCAAAAGCTCGAACTGTTGCTTTTCGACCTCAGGACTGGCGGGGACATTGCTCCGGTGGAGACCTTTCGATTGAAATTTGTCGTTTTAGCACCAATACCCCCGAGGGGCCTGGTGCCAGAAATGTACAGAGAACATCAGACCATGGTTACATACCCCCATTCTCTGTAGTGGCAGTCTTGCTGCACACAGAGAGGCCAAGTAGTATCACCGAGAGTGCACGGTCGTCGAGCAAATCGAGCAATGATGATGTGATTCAAACCGCGGTGCTGTGCGATGACGCATGGGGTAGTTCCGGGACACCCACCGAATACGATAGAGGCAATAAAGACCTTCCATGCTGTGTGCTACTGGTGATGGATGCTGGACGATCAACATGCTACGGCGCTCTCATAATGCGTAGAACTGTCCCACGCCTGTTCCGCAGGGCAATACCTAGTAGTGGTATAGTCGGGAAGAGTTTCGAATTGAGGCCTCGGCTTTCGCTGGTGCTGTGTCAATCCCGATGGGTCCTCTAGCGGACTGCCAACCCCAGCATCGGGTGTGATCAGCAGGGAGACTAGTGGCAACCCCCCGGTCTCCGACTACCAAGATGGATCCCGGCAGAGAACTGATGTAGAATAAGGTCCGGTGGGCCCGAGGATCAATGCCTTTGTCTCAAGACCACCACCGAAATCGGTCCCCGACGCTGAGACAATTCTGTTGCTGCATCCCTGGCAGTGGAACTGGTAACTTCAAGGTGCATACAGCACGTAGTTGCAGTATTGGACAGGCTGTGAGTCATCAAAGCAACAGCATTGCATGCTCAATACCACAGGAGGTGGGCGTTATGCGAGCTTGTGTTCGCTAGGGCTCCGTCGCTGTTGCATCGATTGTGCGTGGGATGCAATCAAGATGGGCGACTCAGCAATGAGCGAATTCGGAACAGAATAGATTCTGACCCATCGAATGTTGAGATAGGAAATAAATATACACAAGGACTCTGATAGTACAAGCTGTTCGGAGCCCATATTAATGCCAGCCACAGCGCTTTGTCAAGGCCCTCTGCACGAGCGGCAGGCAGCAGGATGGAGAGTAGGCGACATAACTGTAGCTGTCGCCAGTAGGGAGATGACCGCTCCGGTATCTTGACACATCAAGGTACTATAGCAACGCCTGATGGACGGCCGATTCAAGACATAAAGACTTGATGACTGTGAGTGTGCAAACAATCGGCCGACCTGATCCATCTCATTCAACAAGTCCTTCGTTCCGCTCTTATTTTTGTGAATGCATCGCAATTCCGATACGGCACTTTTATTCGCTTCTTCTTCCTGAGGTCAATTAATACCGTGCAATTTGTACAGTCGTCGTCTTCGTGATGCCCGAGCCAGCAGGTTTCGTCCAATCCTTGTCAATTCCGACCGCATGAAAATCTTGGTCGAGCATGATCTTATCACTGTCATCGTCGCCTGCCGTCACTGTGCTAGTAACTCCTGCCATCTTACTGGGGTCCTCTCCAAAGGCACGCACACTAGCACCTCTGCGTAGCTCTCCCAGCTCTGTCGATTGCCGGGAGCCGAATTCGTAATATTCCCTGCCGGGGTTCCCAGTGTTCCGCACGTTTGATTTGGTCTTTCGATATGCCAGCCCATCCGCATCATACTTGCCATAGGACTGGCCGTTACGGCCGTTGCTTGAGGTGAATCTCTGAGAAGCCCCAAGAAGCTTGACGAACAAAGGTCGAAGCGAAGGTAGAGATGCAGCCAGGATACCAATGTTGAACTCAATATTGTTCCACATGAAGAAAGAGTCATGGAATGTCCAGTCAGCATTGAAGAGTGCATTGGCCTGGAGAACTGTTTTGACTATACTTGCAGCACAGGCGAAAAGACCCAGGCCAAGAATCCCGACCAGAGTGATTTTGGTACGAAGGTTGGCCTGCAATTTCCAGACGATTGGAACAGGAAGGAGCGCGAAGAGGACGTCGGTGGCAATTTGGATACTGCTGTTGAAAATGCCGATGTTGGTATAGGTGGTGTTGCTGAAGCATTTGGCCTTGCCGTTTACTCGTAGTTCGAGGTCCCAGTTGGCGGAGACGTTGGTGCCACAATTGAAGATCAACGTCCCAGCACATGAGAGCGTGAAGGCGATCAGGAAGACGATCGAGCCCAGAAGAAAGCGATGGTAGTTCTTGTTCGGCACAAGCCTGCGCAGAAAGCAGGCTACCGAGATCTTGACCAGACTGATTCCAAACATGATGATGAGCGAATGGAAATATCGCCAATGCAAAAAGAGAGACCAATCCGCGGGGTCGACAAGAGCGGGATGGTGGCCTAAGCCGCCCGCAGCAGCTTCTCCGGAGAAGCAGGCGAGAACGGCGAGAGACAAAACCTGAAGATAGAAGTGGTCAGCATGCAGAACTAGAATGTTGGCTGTGAACCATTCAAGAGACAGACCATTGCTGCGACCATGACATAGTCATCTGTCCCCACGCTCTTGAGCATGAATATCCTGACATACATTCTCAGCACTACCGTGACGAGAGCGACGCCGCAAAAGGTTCCGTTGATCGCCATGAGATTCGCAGTGTTGGATTCATGTTTGTAATGAGGAGCGCCGGCAGCTTGTCGCTCCAGCAAGGCTGACAACGGACCGAATGCGACCATGATGCTGGAGGGCACGTCACGAAAGGACTTCGGTGGCCCGGTACAAAGTGTCAGAGAGACAAGATTCGAACTGGTTGACACCGCCTGGGCAGGTCTGAGCTTCTTATTCTTTACCAGTACCGGGAATGGTGACGAACGAGGTTTGACGTCCTTCTGTATGGCGTGCTAAACGGTCTGGGGGATCATCCCTGAGTGTGAGATCCTTTATCCTCCCACATACAGAGAACAACACACGAGCCTTTTTCGAGACCGGAACTGCCCCAAAGAGAGACAGGGTAACTCCTGATCAGAGAAGAACCGGTGTATACTGGGCATCTGTCCGGTGCTGGCTTGGCTTCGCTAACAGAGAGAACGAGGATTCAAAAGTGACGATGCTACTTTAGTATGCTCTCCACGCCGTCCTAGGGCTCTGTGATGGCGAAATTTGGTGCAGCCGTCGCACACTGATGCAAAAAGAGAGGCGGCTCGCACTTGGCTGATAATTGCATCCACCGCACTTACTGCTTGAGTGAGTCGTGCGGTAGTACGTAGTTTGTGGTACGACGGCGGGGCCTCCCAAGAAAAACTGCACCAGTGTAGCAGGCCAACCGACTGCAAGGCTGTGGAACAGTGGCGTCCGCGGCTCAGAGATCGTGCCGGCAGGTGCCCCGGATCCTCGCCCAACGCACGGGGGCTGGTCTTCGAGCCTTGCCGTGTATGGGTAGAGCGGCCCACCGTACCACCATACTACCTGGACACTGAAGTGCATGTTTTGTGGGAAGAGAGCTATCGTCGAATGAAGTCGACATCATCTGCCCGAATGCCCTTGAACAATTCTTCAGGTGAGTCAGGTAGGTATGGTGGTAGTGAGTACTCTGTAACAGTTGTATTGTACATCATAGTGCGAGAAGCAGCATCCGCTTTGTGCCCAGCAAGGACGACCGTTCTATTATTGAAGCCTGGGGCTAAGATTCTCTGGATTCTAAGGGGCGAAAGGAGCCACTTTCGCCATGCTGGGGCCGGTAGTAACAGTGCTCAAGCAGAGGCGATCAGGTTGTTTGAGGTAGACAGGGAACTGGTCGTATTTGCTGTATAGACGACGAGTGCAGTTGTCCCGCGAGAGGATGGATCAACGCCTTGAGTGACGGCAGTCCGACTCATGCCATATCATATCCTTTTTTTCCTTGCCTTGCACCACATCGGATATCCGAGAAATATTGTCTGTGGAGAGCTGTACAGTCTGAGAGTTGACAACTTTAACAGTGGCGAAAATTTGGTGCTTTTTTCGGTGAAGTTGGGAGTCAAATTTAGCGTGAACGCCAACGCGAGTTTGACCCATTTGGCACTAGTTTCAGTGGTTAGTGACTGCCTTTAGTGCAGGGGAAATTTTAGCTCGCCGGGATGATATTCTCCGCCGGACCCATCGGTTTCTCTCCTCCCTCCCCTTGTCTCGTTGCCGTTACCCTGTACGTACCTTGGCCTCGCTTCGACACCACGGCAATAACACCACATGGCGCCCTCTGCAAAAGCCGTGATTTCGGTATTTTTGCCATTCCGAATCCCTTCCCTTCAAATCCCTGTCGGTGGTGTGCTGCATTGGATGGCAATCTCCCTCAAGTGATAGATCCAAGGTTGCCAACCTTCTGTCACGCCCAATGCCAATATCCATGTGATACCGCAGGTGCTAACACCCTTGCGGCGGATTGATCGGCAGCCTCTTATGTGTGCAGCAGAGCTCCAGCAAGCCGCCCGCTGTCATCCACCACATACAACCTCCAATCTTGTCGATGCGGACAGTGTTCCACAACATCATTCAGGCCCTAGCCGGCCCCAGTCCCTGGCTGCTGGCCGGCTGGACCCCGAGCCTGACCGTCCGTTGGCTGTTTACGGTTCTTCATTTCAAAATCACTAGTTCTATCTCCCGGTCTACAGCCACGGTGCTTTAGTTCTAGAAGTCGACGCTGCACTCGCGGCTACAGAGAACTATTTGTTTTTGAAAAAGTTTGAGCTTTATACCGTTCCACTTTGTTGCTTATCTCACATGCCGAGTGGGCTTCGGATGTGACCATCCACGTGGCCTAGATACAGGAACCCTCAAGAGAAAACATATAAAGTACCGGAAACTCTGCCGTGTCTCTACCCTTGATCTTCCTTGCCCAGGGATCTTCACTCCTCACCACAAGCCTTCTGTTCGTAGGGGATCCTCATTTGGGACCCTTTCGATCGCTCTTTGTTCTCAAAGTACTGCATCTGTTCTTTTGAGCATCTTGCTGTTGCAGTCATGCAACTCCGTCACCTTCTACCGGCCTTCTTGGCGGCGTATGGCGCTCAAGCCGCGCCAGCATCGGCAGAACAGGTCGAGAACAGCTTTGCAGAGCGGGACGCAGCTGCTAAAGGATCGTTCTTCCTGCCGGCATCGACATTGCAAACCGATATCTTGGCCGCCAAGGGCCTCGTGAACCTGGCAATCAACCAGGTCACAAACCCGTCCGGAAAATGCAATCTGCTCAATGCCGCCATCCGAAGGGAATGGTCGACTCTCTCAAAGCAGGAACGACGCGCATACATCGATGCCGAACTGTGCTTGATGTCCAAACCTTCACAAGACCCGAGCTTTGCAGCTGGAGCCAAGACGCGCTACGATGACTTTGTGGCCGTCCACATTAACCAGACCCTGTCAATTCACGGGACTGCCAACTTTCTGTCGTGGCATCGATACTTCACCTGGGCCTTTGAGCAAGCCCTCCGGAACGAATGCGGCTATACCAGCTATCAACCATACTGGAACTGGGGGAAATATGCCTTCGACCCATTGAACTCGCCTCTCTTTGATGGCAGTGACGTGAGCATGTCCGGCAACGGCGAATACGCACCGCACAATTGCACCCCTGCTCTGCCCTCGGGGTTGAACTGCATTCCCCCCGGGTCTGGTGGCGGTTGTGTCAAGACCGGGCCTTTCAAGGACTACGTTGTCAACCTGGGCCCGGTGTCGCCGACTCTGGAAATCCCCGGCATCATTGATTACTCCAGCCCTGACCCGCTGGCCTATAACCCTCGCTGCTTGCGCCGAGACATCACATCCTGGGTTTCCTCGAACTGGACCAAGGACTCGGACGTATACGACCTCATTACAAACTACAAAGACATTATATCTTTCCAGAATCGCATGCAGGGAGACTTCCCTACCGGTTTCTACGGCGTCCATACCGGTGGTCACTTCACCACTGCCGGTGATCCCGGTGGTGATCTCTTTGCGTCGCCAGCCGAGCCTACCTTCTTCCTGCACCATGCCCAGATCGATCGCACATGGTGGATCTGGCAGAACCAAGACCTCAAGAATCGCGCGAAGGCCTTTGGCGGCGGCACCTCCACGCTCGACCCGACCGGTAGCCCGCCTGGAAAAGTGACCGATCCCATCTACTTGGCGACTTTGGCGACTACCGTGCAAAACCAGGATGTCTTCAGCACAACCGGGGGACCGTTGTGCTACATTTACGTATGAGAGGATGAAAAGCATGTTCCGTTCAAGCGCGCCTCGGGTTCTTTTTCCCCGGTACATATTTAAAATAGATTTGGTCCTGATCATCCGCATACCATCATAATGTTTATTGTCTACTCCTGCCGCAAGCGCTGTTGTGTCACCATGTGCACAGATAACCATCTCCAGTCTTGATACCTAAATGCCCTCTCCAGCCTCTTTGCTCCGGATACAGATACAGATGGTGAATATGCTACTGGTTCCGCTCATGCAAGCTCTGCCTCTTTCTATATGCGAACCTACCAATGGCCATCTCGCTGGTCGCGTTCCTACGCCCCAGTGGTACCGACCAACTTTCTACAGCGTACACTGCGACCAATGAGGATGTGTACGGCCTGACTTGTCTCCGGTGGGCAGGCCGGAGATCATTGCCAGTGGTCTGTGCGCCCGGTGCAAAGTCACCCCGGCCACCTCGCCCCGTCCTTCCCAATCCAATATGGGGACAAGAGACACCTGCACTTCACTCTGTGCTCAGCCTTGCGATGCAGAACCAGTCATGTCCGAGCAGCGGTGCAATATTCGCCCGCAAAGTGCGGGAGCCACGTATCGAGCGACTTGAAGGCCTCGCACCAAATTCAGATTCAGTTTGCTCCGATACCAATGGATAAATTCCTCCCCGAGAAGAGAAAGGATGAAAATGCGGTATAAATACCTGGAGCTCCCCCCATGACTGAAGGCTGGGAAGTCGAGGGACACAAACACACAACCAAAATCGAAGACCAAGTCGACCCAAAATGCAGTGGCTCATCACCGGATGCTCCTCGGGCCTAGGACTATCTCTTGCCCAAGCAGTCCTGGAGCAGCCAGGCCAAAAGGTCATCGCGACATCTCGCAGCCCGGCATCTCCAGAAGCCGTCCAGTCAATCACCTCTCATCAAAATGGAGCGTGGGAGGCGCTGGATGTCGCCGCTGCAGACATCGAGGCCAGATATGCGGCGATAGTTGCAAAGCACGGCCCTGTGGACGTGCTCATCAACAACGCCGGCTTTGCAGCGGGTGGCATCTTCGAGGCCACCCCGGTCGACCTCGCCCGACGCCAATACGAGACCAATTTCTTCGGCGCGTTCCGTCTGATGCAGTGCGTTCTCCCGGTCCTGCGCGAGTCCGGCAAAGGCGGCGCCATCGTGAACATCAGTTCTTCGGTATTCTGGCAGCCCCAACCCAGCACCACGACGTACGCGTCGAGCAAGTGGGCACTTGAAGGGTTGTCGGAGGCTCTCGTGCCAGAGGTTGCGTCTTTCAACATTCGTGTCCTGATCGCCGAGCCTGGGGGTATGCGCACTCCATTCTTCGACCCGGCCAAACTGGCGGCGAACACGGTCCCGCTGCCGGACACGTACAAAGGTTCGCCGGCGGATATGTTTCTGCAGGCAATCACGTCCGGCGGGTATGTGCCGAATCTCGACACGGACAAGGCGGCGCGGGCCATTGTCAAGGAAGTGCTCACGCCGACTGTCGTTCAGGGTGAAGCTGGCAAGCCGAGCGTACCGATTCTTAGGCTCCCTCTGGGGGGTGAGTCCTTTGCTGCCATGCAGGAAACGCTTGCAAGGGTCACCCTCGAGGGCGAGAAAATCAAGCCTACTGCGCTGAGTTGCGACTACGACGCATGAAACGGACAGATGGAAGCACTGCAAGGGGCTCCTGAGAGTATTGAAGATGGCACGAGCCCTCAAACATGGTAGCCATTTATTTGTCGCTTTCAAGTTGAACAAATGGGTGCTTTCGAAACGGAATGGCAAGGCTGCGAGACATGCAAGGCTGACTCTCTCCTGTCTTAATGCTGCCTTTCAGGGGGTCACTCTGCGGATAATGCGCGTCCTGGAATATTAACAGCGAGTAGCATCTTTCATATGAGACAATCCTAGGTATCTTGCTGTTAATGAACTGCAGTTGTACCAAGTCTGCCCCACGAGCATAAGCAGACTCGACTATGTTTCATGTTCTCGGACCAGTCTCTACACAGCCACCTCCTGAAGCCCACATCGCAAGTTTCCTTCGAAAGACAATCGAGAACCCACGCACAAGGTGTCTTTCGTGATTATTCTAATTCTGTCGTTTTGTTGTTTCTCCAAGTCGTTGGTTCGTCCCAGTCATCGGTCTGTCTCTAAAATTTACACTCGTTTCATACTCAAGCCTAACCATCACCGCACCTTGTCCCGGTCTGCGTGCTAGTCAACCACAAACAGCAAAGACAGATGGTGTACATCACACAGGTTCTGCAAGAACATTTCTCTTGCGTTAACTGTCGACAATCGAGCAACGCCTGTCAAATCGACAAGTCAATGTGTGTTCAAGAGTCGTCAGTTCACTGTACTCTTTGAGTTAAAATAGCTCTGTCAACCCAACCTACGTTGAATAGGCTCAAGTTTCCACAATGGAGTTATTGAGCTGGTGGATGCTCATGTGCTGCTGGTGCTGCGATAACAAGGACGAGGACGAGGACGAAAGGGAATATGACGATTCTCAAAACAAACCTAGGATGCGAGGCGGAGGACGAGACGACAGTAACGGCACAGATGCAGTTCCTATGAAACATCGAAGCAAGCAGCAGGAGCAAATGCAGCAGTCTAGCGAGAAGCCTGGATTGGCGCACGCCCCAGTATTGCAGACGTGATATCTTCAGGCCACTAGAGCATGGGTTTCCACGGATGCCATCAATCCGTCAAGGTCACGGCTTCGAACAACGTCCCACCACCGGCTCAAAGGACAGTGCAAGGCTCATGACCCTATCGCCGCTCATCCCATCCAGCGAGCTTGATGCAAGCAGCTCAGGTTCGGCCATCGTCTCTTCACGGATCGGGATTCTCCAAGACCAAACCGGAAACTCCATCAAACCCTCGATTCCTGCGTCAACCCTCCTCATTGAAACTTCCATCCGGCGGCTCTTCCTCATACTGCTCCACCCCACTTGGGATATCAATCACGGCCGACTTGGTCCAAATGTGGACCGCCGACCTCATCATCTCCCTCGTCAACCCCTCGAGACACCCGCCCTTGACACTGACGACTTTAGCCGGTTGGCCCTGGTGTGAAATTGGACGATGAATCAGCCTCGACCCGCATTTGGCGCAGAAATGCCCTTCCGTCCAGCCATGCGGGTTCGGACGGCTATAGATGGCAATAGCGCCAGGATAGGGTTCTGAGTCTTTCAGCTCAAATGATGGAAACACGGCCGTCACGCCGTACGTGGATGAGGATTGGTGGCGACATTCGGTGCAGTGGCAGATGTAGATTGCGTCTGGTTTGGGGGTGGGCGTGGTGAAGCGGATCTGGCCACATTGGCAGCGTCCTTCCATGGTGTGCGGCGGTGGGCAGATGACCGGACAGCAGACAGTAGATTGCGGGCTGATTGAAGTCTGTAGGATCTCAATACAGGCAGGCGAATCAATGTGGTCGCGGACGAATTGGTCCTTTCTATGATATCAGGGTTCGGACTGGGTTGTCTCTCGGATGAGATAGATACATTCAAGACACTGTCGCCGTGCTGCCCATTGAGTACCCTATCGAGCGAGCTAATGAATTGAATGCCGTATCAAGTGTGCTCACCTGCTGCCTTACCTACCGTAGGTACCTCGTAGCTTGGTAAGGTAGATAGATACGCTCCTTCAATAGTACGTCGAATGCAACTATCGAGACTAAGCCTAACCAAGACTAGGGATATTCTGCACCCTGCTACCCTGCTTCCGACAGTCTGCTCGTGGAAGCTCCAGACATCAATCAGGAAAAGCATAGTTGCTCAATCCGACCAGGACAACGGGCGCCTCTCAACGTCTGGGGTCTTCCATCTCTGTCCAGCAGCGGACAAGGGCTCTATCCCTGTACCTCCATCGCGCAATACGATGAAAGAGGACTTCCTCATACCTCATCGTGCCATCAAACAGTGCGGCTTCTATACTACTTGAGGATTCCATGCTCCTGTTGCGCTTCTGAGGGCGAGACACTGTCGGCCTTTTCTGACACCGGAGTTGCAGCCCCTTCCACCTCAACATCGCCGGATCCTTCGCTTATAGCTTTGCGACGTCGTTTGTCTCGTATTTCAAGTCGGCGAATGACAAGCGTAAGCACAATGAGTCCCACACCCCAGCACGATGCTGCAATGAACCCATTGTGGAACTCTGGAGCTTCCACGGTCCTCCAGAACACAATGGTGAACCATACGGACTGGATGTAGCTGAACGTGTTTGAAGCGGCAATCACGAATCCACGCATCTCATGGTCGTGTGGAATCAAGTCTGGAAACCACGCAAAATAGATGCCGGGCACGCCTGCCGCGGTGTACGACAAATAATATGCCACGTACCTGAGTGCGTCCGGGATATCCCACACAGCCAGGACTATGGTGCTGAATAAGGTCCCGCTGGCCATGAAAATCATTGCTTGCCAGCGCCGGCCTCGCAGCAGGGGAGAATCCGAAAGCATGCCTGCCAGAACCTGGACAACCACACCGATGGCAACTTGACCGGTTGGCCAAACGTTGACTTGATAGGTGGAATGGTGCGTCGACTTCAACCAGAGCGCGTAGACTGGTTGATATATGGGAAAGCTGCCCTGGACAAGGAAGTACCCGATGGGAAGGACCCAAAACTGCCATTGTCCCATCATTCGAAAGAGCTTGGTTCGATCCCAGGCAGACGCTCCCAGAGGCTTCAACCCCTCCCGGGCCAGCCGGTCCCTTGCCAACGATACTTCTTGCTCCGTGATATAGAAAGCACGGGTCGTCTCCGGGAAGTCTGGATAGAAGAAATAGCCCAGCACGGCAATCGGTGTGCTGATGACGCCACACACGATGAAAAGCCATTGCCAGCCAGCGTGGCCGAGTTTGCCATTCAGGCCTTTGTACGCGCCAGCCTGCAAGTAGCCGCTGAACATGCCCGCTAGGGTGGCGCTGCAATAGAAGAGCGTGACCCGTTTCCCGCGCTCGCTCTTGGTGTACCACGAGCTGACCATATATATCGCCACTGGAAAGTATGCCGACTCCAAAAGGCCGATGAGGAAGCGGATGGCATACAGCTGCGACACCGAGGTCACGGCGCTCGTACAGAAAGTGAGGACCGACCACAGCAACTCGAGAGTGGGCAACAGGATCGATGGGCGGACGCGGGTGGCCAGAACCGCGGCGGGCAATTGACCGATCACATACCCGGCCGTGAAGACATTGCCGGCGTATGTCAACTCACTGCCATACATGTGCAGAGCCTCGCTCATGCCCGACACGTATGCGTTGCTGAGGTTGGTCTGGTCGAGGTTTTTGCTGAAATAACCGAGACAGGTGGACGTGAGGAGGAAGAAGTCGAGCTTAAGGAGGAACCATTTCTCATCTTTGGGCTTGTCTGGATCATCCCAGACATACCGCTGGAAGGTCCGAAAATATCGATGTGATGTTCCCCTGAATCCTCCCATCTCCCAAGGCCTGGGTTGACTCGATGCTGCTGAAGGTGCGATCTCGTGGGTAACGTCCGGCAGCACGTCCACTCCGACCTCAGCGACCGGCTTCGAAGATACTACCGGGTTCGTGGATGCCATCTCGGAGGCTGCTGTCTTGGAACGCCCCTCTTGATCTCCTGAAGCGCGAGGAATAGAGGCGCTGAAGCTTTGACATACTGCGCAGGATCAATGGCTCGTTACATTCTTCTGTTTATAACCACTACTGAACCCTCATTGCGCCATTCGAAGCTCATTGCGCCATTTGGACATCAATCTCATCATATCACGCCCAGGAGGCCGCGTTCCTGCCTGCATGAAGCCAAGATATGGCGACTTCGTGCTGCCCAGACTCTTCAGACCTGTCTGGGCCATTGAACTGTCTATGAACTCGGCGATTTCCCGACGTTGACCGAGATGAGGTGCTTTCCAGCGTCCGAATGGAGATATTTGGCCAAGGAGAGTTGTCAAGCACCAAGAGCCGACACCGTGTGCCGGAGTAACCTTGCGTCTGCCCAGGAACGGATGCTTATGGATACCGTCTTGTGGTCGCAGAAATCAGATGGCCCCCACAACAGTATGCACTTGTCTTGTGCTTTGACATATGCTGTCTATAGTGGACACCTTGGGGTGGAAGAGCAGGTAAGTCGGGTCGATCACTGACCTACGGCAACATGCTGCTGATTGTCCCACTCATTCAACAGCATGTGCAAGTGGTAGCCCAGTATCGTCTGTCGCAACTTAAAGGTTTCGCACGCCATTTGCGAAAGTTCTTGTTTTTGCTCGGAGATGCAAAAGAGCGAGGCTAGATAGGAACAATGTACCCAGTACCGAAGCTTGGCCAACCACACGCTTTAAGACCTGGCCGGAGTTAGTGCCGCTTCGAACCGGCGCCATTCCATGCCAACCAAAGCAGACGAGCAGACGCCCCATGTCACTGCATTCGCATGCACCTGGACACTGACAATCTGCATGCTGTTCACAATACCTCGCTGTCGCCAATTGTCGATGGAACAATCCTGACAAATTGGAGTGGGGAGAAAGGTGATCACGACATTCGGGGGAACATTGACAGCATATTCCTCCAACCATCCGGGGTATCAACGGTAGCAACCGATAAGAAGCATGTACAGCGTGTCGCACTTAATGGAGCTGGACCTCCGCCAACAGAGGTTATCAGGTCCTCCCTGATCCCTGGATCTGTAACAGCCTCTCCTCTTTCCCCACGAGCTTGAAACCTTGGAAACAAGACACAAATCAGATCAAAGATGTCGACCACCGCTGTCCAGCAGACCGAAGTCCAGCCTTCTGCTCCTGTGAAGGACCCTCACCAGTATGACTACAGTCATCTCAAGCCGTATGTGCACCCTCCAGAGACCCAAGAAGACTTGCCCTGGTCAGAGCTCGTGACCCTCGATCTAGAGGACTACAACCGACCTGGAGGCAAGGAGAGGCTGGCAAAGCAACTTGAACACGCCGTGCACCACGTCGGCTTCTTCTACGTGAAGAACTATGGCTTGACAGAGGAGCAGGTGAACCAGCAGTTCACGCTGGCCAAGAACTTCTTCGAGCTCCCCGTCACAGAAAAGGAGAAGTACGAAATCCGCTACTCCGCCGCCGACTACAACGGCTGGCGTCGTCCGGGACGGTCCCTGCAGGGCAAAGCGCAGGACAACATCGAGATCTACAATTTCGCTAAATTCACACCGGACTTTGCGGGCAAGTATGACCATCCGGACCTGCTCAAGGCGCATCTGTCCGAGATCGAGGTGTTCCATCGAGCGCTGCACAACAATGTGGTACTACCGCTTCTGCGTCTGTTCGCCATCATTCTGCAGCTGCCCGACGAAGACTATCTGGTCAAGCAGCACACCTACGACAAGAAGAGTGAAGACCATTTCCGATATATGATCTACCACCCGCGCACTGAAGAGCAGTGGGCGGCCAGCGACTACGGCAAACGAAACGGCCACACCGACCTAGGCACCGTCACCTTGCTCTTCCGCCAACCTGTCGCGGGGCTGCAGATCCTCGGCGAGGACGGGAACTGGACCTACGTCAAACCAGAACCGGGCACCATCACCGTCAACCTGGCCGACACGATCAGTCATCTAACCGGCGGCTGGTTGAAGAGTTCCGTCCATCGCGTCGTTGCCCCGCCCGCGGACCAGCGCCACTACAACCGCACGGGTCTGCTGTACTTTGCGCGTCCGCACAACGACACCGTGCTGGTGCCTATCACGGACAGTCCTGTGCTGCAGAAGGCCGGCGTTGCGCCTCGTTTTGACAAGCATGTTACCGTGGAGGAATGGGTCAAGGCGAAACAGACTCTGCAGTTGAATCCTGATATTGCCGCTAAGCGATGGGCTGAGAAGGGGGACGGCACTGTCGAGGTCATTGCCGGATTCCATGATAGGAAGTACAAGGAATAGATCAGTGAGTGCTTCAGCAGACGTCCTTGCTCAGGTACATGTGCCGAAGGCGGAGCCTTTCAAGAATGGCTTTAGCTAGAAAATATACTCTGCGGAAATCCCGTATATTTTATTGCAATAAAATTATGTGGGCGTCTGTTTAATGTCATTTTATAATTTGATCATTCTTACACCATTTGAGGTGCATAACGGCAGGGACATGGCATAGAGTACCCCTTTTTCTAATTCATGGAAAGATGCATCAAGATGGGGGATTGGCTGCGAGGCTGTAACGTCCTTGATGAAAAGGAGGGAAGCCGGATTTACGTTTCTCCGCAAGACAACGATGACAATAGTGTCAACGGGCGACTACCCGCAACATACTCTGTATACCTGGAAAGATATTTCCTGTCACTCTTCTACTTATGCGGCTGGCCACATGTCTCTTTGATGATTTGGAAGACTGAGGGCGGAGGGAAGGGAATGTCAGTGCTTGCAATTGCCGCCACAGCTCGAGATGGCTGAAGGAGTTGTAACGCAAGCCTTCTCCCTGGTTGGATGGGCATTCTTACCTGCTGTATGAACTCCTACCACGCGCAGCGACGCGATTGACTCACCGCTCTCCTAGTATGCCACGGCTCTTCTACAATCGGTCTATTACCGACTCACGATACGCGCGGGACGGCGCCATCCGCAGCCTGGAGAGCCTCTCTTCGCGTACCACAATCGTCGAATCCGCGTCTTCGTGTTGTCCCTCTATCTCCTCTACACCCTCATCCAGGCCCTGTATGATGTCAAGCTGGCGGGAGACTTCTACGCTCTCCTGGGAGTCACTCCCTGGACGACGGAACGAGAGGTGAAGAGTCGGTTCCGGAGGTTGGCAGCGAGATATCATCCAGATAAACTGCACGAGAACGGGCAACTTGTCCCCGGAGCGGACCAAGTGTTTGTGCAGTTCAAGTTGGCGCATGACACCCTTTTGGATCCTGCAAAGCGCTTTGCCTACGATCGATTCGGACCAGGCATCGTCCAGCTGCAACATCCGGGACTGAAGACCATCAAGGACTATGTCTATGCTGGCCTACGCTCCAAGATCCCCGAATACGCAACGAATGCGGCCCTGCTGGTGCTTCTGAACTACATCTGGCTGCCCAAATGGGGACAGTTCTGGCGCTATTTTGCCGTGGCCTGTATGGCGTTTCTGGAATTGTATTTCTTGACTCACACGTGGGAGCCTCCTCGGCTGGTGGCGCTCTGGGCTTCTACACTTCACAAGATCTTCCCACATCTACTACCGCCACATCTTCTCCCCTATCAGATCTTGGGTCTCGCAAGGAAGATGTCCATGTCTCTCAACATCTTCATTTCACAACTGGCTCCTCCCAAGGCAAGAGCCGCGGCCACGAGAGAGCTCCAGACTCAGCAGCAGGTCGCACACTTGGCTCAAGTGGCGGGCAAATTGGACACTGAGACTGTGGGGTTGCTTCAGCTGGCCTTGAGTCCGTTCAAGGGCGATGCGAGCAAATCGGAAATGCTCCGAGCAGGCATGAAGGAGACCCTGCTGACCGGCGCGCTGAGAATGAATTCTGAAGTCCGAGATGCGATGCAGAGGGCCCTCGACAGGAGACGAAGAGGCCCAATGACGATGCAGGACACCGATTGAGAGGGGTCGCTCCTGCGTTCAGTGCGAGATAGATCTATCAGCTAAAAGGTTCAATGAGTAGGTTTCACACCATGCTCCTCTCCTACAAAGAATATTCTTAGTCTAGATTGTTTTGGTCGTGTCGTGGCCATAGCTCTTTCGCTTGGAAAGGAAACCAACGACGTACTACCTTAGCACCCTCTGCTTTTCGTCGTGACAGCCGAAGAACTTTGACCACTTGACAAAGAACCACCCTGACAGCTCCGGATCCCGTGGTGGTCTACAGGCCAACAGCTTGGATCGGCGACCAGCGATGTGACACTGTTCACTGTACAGCACAGTACGACCAGAGCGTTGGATATCGTTTGCTCAGCACCAGTAAGTGACCGATTGGGCGACCTCTGATGCCGACGAGGCTGGACCAATTGATGGAGATGATAGTAATTATTGATGAGACCTTGGCGGGACGAATTCGGTCTCCATCTCGCCATCAACAACGCATCCTCTCCAAGGGAACACACGCGACCCTCAACCTCTCTTTCTCCCACTTCCTCATCAACCACTCTTCTTCCTGCTAGTTGACTTGGACACCTCTTCCCTCCGAGATGTCCACAACATGGCCGCACCCTTCAACACGACCTCCGACCGCTTCAGAGCTTTCTGCGACACAAACAATGAGATCCCCGCTCCGTCCAGCTTTGACCCGCGCCCTGACCGCATTCCGCACGACGTGGACACCATCTCGAGTTGGACCAATGACAGCCACACGGCAGCCGGCGACCTGAAATTGCAATGTTGCTGTGGCAGATCAAAATGCATCTACTTGGAGCACAACAACACACTTCTGGGTGGGATCGAGAGAGACCTGGAGACCGCCGCCCGACTTGGTCAGGTACGTGCGCCTTCTTCCATGGGCACTGCTGTGCCATTCGTGCAGATTTCATCTCCCCGCCGCTGCACATCCGGTCTTGCGCTTGGGTCTCTGCAATTTGCATGAGGACGGTGCGGTGCAAGGCGTCGGAAAAAGAACCTTTACAAATGCCTATGTTCTCAAACTTGTGTGCAGCTGCCTTCTCCATGCCTCACCGTCCCCTGCATTCCAGAAACCTTGCAATGATACGGTTATGATGCTACACACGGCGCTCTCCAGTGCTGAGCTGGAGAAGAAGCAGCAGTCAAGCAGCGGGCTAACCTTCGCTCTCCAGGCCCTCCTCACCCGTCATGAGTCCTATGTCACAGAGTCGCAGCTCGAGCATGAGCGCCTTACAGCCTACATCAATGAACTGGAGAAGGAGAGGACAACTCTACAAACGACCAACAAGAGGATTGCAGGAGAGAATCACGAGCTGCGCACCCAGCTAGACGTCGCCAACACGTCGCTGAAGGAGAGCGACAACCATGTCAAGAGTTTGGAGGCATTGCTCAGAGACAGCGAGTCCGAAATCAGAAGGCTCAATGGCCTCACCAGACGCGCCGAGGAATTGGAGCTCAAACTACTGGAGATGGAGAAGGATCGCTCAACACTACTGCAGAGGGCGGACGACTCGGAGAAGGAAACTCGCAACACTATCCGAAGGTGGAAAGAGAGCGAACTCAGAGTCCGACAACTGGAGTCCGACATTCAGAAGATCGAATGGGAAGCTAGGCAGGAGAAGGACCGATATGAAGAGCTTGTTGCGAGACTGGAACGTGAACGGGTTCTTGAACGAGAGTTAGGTGGTGCGGAAGGCAGACTCAAAGGAGCTGCAGCTTTACAAGGTCTCAAAGGAGGTGTTTCGCGCACCAACGTTGTCAGTCACTTCGTCCGCGACATTCTTCATGACAACGCTACCCTTCAAGCCGGTATTGCAGAACTCCGCGAATTACTTCAAGCCTCCAACGACGAGGTGCAGAATCTCAGGGCGCAAATCCTTGAGCACCAACCGGTCGAGTTTGACCACTCCCAGGAAGAGGGATACAGATCACGACCATTGAGCGAGCAGCTTGACCGGTCCGAAGCATCCCCGAGACAAGTCCAACAGGAAGTCCACGTCCATCACCATTACCACGCCAAGGTCACTGGGAAGAAGGATCGAAACCCTACGATACGCAAGTCGATACGGAGACGAGCAGTCATGGGACCCGGTATGCTTCCAGCGACCCCCGAATCATCAACTCCCACTACACCACTGTCGCAACCTCAACGTGTGGTATCCAGTCCGATCCTCCCCATCGCTCTTAACCACCCTCAAACCAGGCGTACTCGTTGGTCTCTACAATCGGCCGCGACAACCTCGTCGCTGGTGTCCAGTTTCCCGAGCTCGCCACAATCGTACTTCGAGCAAAGCAGCTCCATCTTTGACAGGCTTGAAGCAGGGGAAGAGTCTTCTAGACCAACAAGTCCAGAGTCTGCCGCTGGCTTTTCCGAGCCCACATTCTTAATGAGTTGTCCGGAAGTGGAAAATGAAGGAGCATTAACGGACCAACATGACGAAGAGGAAATGGATCGATATGACCACCCTGGAGACCTGGACCTGCAAGATCCTCCTCTAGAAGAGGAGCCTCGTTCGGTCCCTGATGAGCTCGAAACCATGGAGTCAGATCCTCATGATCTAACACCCAAACCTTCACAAATTCTGGTTCCTGACCCGGAACCGCCAGACCGGGCTCTGCCTGTAGCGATGACGGATCATTCAGGAAACACTCCACGTGTTGCCTCACTTCCGCTGGCTGAGACGGATCCTGCACACAATTCGAAGCATCGGACGCAGACAGATAGTACCTCGACGCCCAGCTCCATTTATGCCTTCGACGATATGCCTGAGATGGCTATACAGCCACGCTTGCGCCGGGCAGGGTCCCATGACTCCCTAGTCTCTATATCCGGCATGGACATACACCTCGCGAAGCGACCGACGACGTCGAGATCACATTCGGCGAGCTTATTGAAAGGCAACAAGGCGTACTTTGCAATGTCTCCTTCTGCCACTCGAACGTTTTCTGCTGCCCCTCTGACCACAGTGACCGAATACACCGCTTTGAGTTCGACGAGATTCTTCGGCGCCAATGCTTCTTCCACCTGGACTGACCAAACTGCCCACAGACCTCAGCTAGCGGACAGAAATACTAGTGTCAGCGTCGAAGTCTTGAGTGGCCTTGCAAGACTACCGTCCCCAACTTCGACATCTACAACGCAACAACGTCAAGCATCTCCTGGAGGGTTTGGTCGCCTTGTTGGCAGCTGGGTCAGGGGTAAATGGGGCATCGCGCCTATGAAGTCAAGCGAAGAGCTCAGACCGTCGACCCCCGCCGACCCAGCTTTTCCATCGCCTTCTTCTCCCTCAATTGAGGCTCATCCACTGTCGCCTTTCGAGTTGCCGGGTGGGAGGACGCCTGGTATAAATCAGAAAGGCGCGATACCAGGGTTCCGGCCAATTCGAAATCCTACTGCAACTGGTGTGCAAGTTACAATGGTGGATGCAGAGGGGCTGAAGGAGATTCTAGCAGAACAAGACAACAGATGAGTCGTTTTCGAATATTGAAGTCGTCTCTGGATCTCTGGCTGGTCGGGGTTTCTTGACTTTCCGCTTCTGTTTCGGAAAGCTGCTTCAACCCTCCCATGACGGCGGCCAGCGGTAGCAGTGACGAGTTCACAAGCAATTGTCTACCTAGGTCAACATCATGTTTCCGTGCTGTCACTTTATCTGTACAGTTTTTTCTGCAGATACGATTGGATGATACCCCCTATAAGCTCTTTTTTTTTAATATATATTCGCAGCTTTCATATAGCTAGCTCTAAATCTATTGGTAATAACAAGGCCCGTTCAAAGCGAGATCCTCTTCTTCTCTTTCGTACATTCCTCTTGTATGTACTGATACAGAAGCATACGAGATAGTCTTTGTTAGGGATAGAAGCCAACTCATAGATACATGATGAAGCATCTGATGGGTGAATCTAGTCAAACCAACGTGACATTCGTTCTTACCAACAGCTATAGCCGGCAACGTCATTATCGCTCCAAAGACACGATTTTCAGCTCTGTAGCCACAGAATGGAAGAAGCCCGAATATTGCAGTCCCTCGGGGATCTTGCATTGCTGTTCCACGACTCTGAACCCCACCTGGTGCTGACATATCGATGTAAACTGCGCGTACGTGTCGCTCCGGATCGCCGCCGAAATGAGAATGACAATGTCAGGAAAACGGTCCTTCAACAACCCCAGCAGCTCGGCCAACGGGCGCAGGATGTCCGGGTGATACGTGATATCAGCACCAACGACCAAGTCATAGGGCCGTCCGGCCGAGTTGAGTAGGCGTTCGATCTCCGGTCGATCTGTCCAGTCCAGCTGCCGCACTTCAGGCGGCTCGTGGCCGAGCAGAGCATTGTTCTCACGGTTCAAATCGACATTGTCCTGCAGGGCGTCACACACGTGCGCCAATCCATCGGTCGCCACCACGTGAGCGGCTCCCAAGTGACCCGCACAGAGGAGCGACAGGAATCCCGTTCCCGCGCCGAGTTCTAGGACCGTCTTGTCCTTGACCACCTCTGGGCGCTGTAATATGAGATACCACGCCAGGTGGAGGGCGGCTTCCCACGTGCGCAGGCCGACGTTGGTGCCGCGGGAGAGCAAGTTTCTTGCTTCGTCGATCAGGATCGGCTGCACGCCTGGCTCGTCGAGCGGGAGAGGCGGGAAATACGAGTGGACGTGCTTCTGTTGAGCTTCGTCGTCTGATTCGGGCGGAGGGAGTATCGTAGACAGGTAGCCCATGTGTTCCATCAATTGGTCGGATACTTGCTGTTTAGGGAGTGCGTTGGGACGTTAGTTTTCCATTTCTTCATAGGGATGGAGCAAGGGATCCAAGATGGTACCAACAGTTGGTATTTGCTTGTACTTTGTAACATAGGATGGCTTTGACTGAAACGAGACAGAAAGGGAAAGAAAACTTTCGAGGTCTGGCATGATGTGGCAGAACGGAAAAGGAAACCTCGGGGAAGAAAAGCCTACATCTTGATCGGGATCTCGACATGACTTCTCGATCTCTTGGATGATCCGTTTCAGGATCCTCGTCTGGTATCTTGCAGGAGGGAGGTACTTGTTCTGTGATACGTCGAAGAAGTACTTGTACAGGCAGTCCTGCACGTCCTGCTTCACGAGCAGATGGCCCGGCGGATATGTCACATCGTTGATCTGTTGCATGTACTGACGGTAGAACTTCACCACTGCAGGCTCAACCCCTGCTCGGGCGATGTCCATGATTATAAGGTAGGCAAGAATTGAAGCAACAAATGCTCAGCTACGAGCGAGCTGGTACTGGACTAGAAGTTGGATGCTCACTCCCAATGCAGGCTGAGGTGCTTGAACATCCCAAATAGGGTCTGCGCTGGACCATTGGAGATTGATAAGTACGGTGTCACCCACAGATATAGCTCTGATCCACGTCGTATAGTGGCAGTGGTATTAGTTTATAGTGGTGAGGTTGTGTTGAAGCATAATTGAACGTCGTCGAACTTGAAGGCGACAAACCTGCATCGTCCCAAACAGGACTAGTGCTGCCGCCGCCTGAAACTTGAACATGAACTTGAGTGGCGCCAAGATTTCGAGATGCCAAGCCCGCACTTTTTTGCACTGGCGACGAACTCGAACTGCATCTCACCTCCAACTTGCAGGGCCACCGCAACCGAATCTTGTCGACAATCGCCTCAAAACCCGACCAGCTTCGACGGTCAATCAGATTCCGTTGCATCGATTGCGAAGTTCGAGAAAGCCCTCCAACAGACTTCGCAACCATGGCCGATACTCCCGTCACTATCCGAACCCGCAAGTTCATCACCAACCGACTGCTTTCGCGCAAGCAGATGGTCGTGTAAGCATCCCCCGTCCCCGAAAACTCTGTTGCTGTCAGGAAAAAGAGCGAAACGGTGCTGCTTGCAGAATGCATGCACCTACAAGAAGACGCTTTGTTTTGATGGTTGCGAAGTATTGTGCTGTGTGAGGTTTCGAGGTCCAAGACGTGTGACTGACTTGTTATGTGTGTCTGTCTGCTATAGCGATGTCCTCCACCCCAACCGACCGAACGTGTCCAAGGATGACCTCCGCGCCAAGCTCGCCGAAGTGTACAAGTCGAACAAGGACCAGATCAACGTCTTCGGCATGCGGACGCAATACGGTGGTGGAAAATCGACCGGCTTCGCCCTGATCTACGACAGCGTCGAGGCCATGAAGAAGTTTGAGCCCTACTACCGACTCGTGCGTGTCGGCCATGCCCCCAAGATCGAAAAGGCCAGCAGACAGCAGCGCAAACAGCGCAAGAACAGACAGAAGGAGTTCCGCGGTACCGCCAAGACGAAGGGTGCCTCCAAGGACAAGAAGAAATAAATGTGACGCTGACGCAGGCGCGGTCGCAGTCGCTTCCGCCATCACTGCTGCCTCTGCCGCTGCCACTGCCGTTGTCGCTGTCATCGTGTTTACGTCAGTGGTGGTCGTTGTCTTGTTGTTCTGTGGTAGTGGTGGTGGTGGTCATGCCGCGGGGACATGGGTGCTTAGCGGTGGAGTGCGGTGGGCTGTCGTGGTGGTGGTGATGCTGATGTTGATGCTGATGCTGACGGTCAATGGATTGAGTCAGAGCAAGGGAAGAGGAATGAGAATGGCACGGGCGAGAATCGGGGAATTTTCTGCTGTCCTCTCTCGTCTGGACTCTGTTGCATATTGCTGCAAGCCGGGTTGTGATGGTGTTGCAAGCAAGGCGAGGCCAAAATGGGGAATGAAATCGGCTCTTGTTTCCCCCTAGGTCTAGGAACAATCAGCCAAAACAAATCATCGATTAGCGTCGATATCTTCAATGGGCACAAATGGTTTTTGATTCTGCTCTGAAATCCTGAATACTAAATACAGACCGGGCCCTGGCGTCTGAAGCCTAAGTGCATTACATTGACTTGATACTGAATGTGAAAAGGCCGAACCGAACAGAAATCCCGAGCCCACCGCCGCCTCCTCTGTCTGTGCTTGCCACAGTTTTCCGAATCGCTGCATGGTATGCCACGGTATACAGCGCGTGCTTGTGCTTAGCTATGGTTGCGATCGATCGAGGTGTTGTCGACGCCAACCTTTGCGAATATATCCGAAGGGGAGTAGATTGGTATCCCATTTCGACTAACTCTACAGACCATTCTTATCCTCGCACGTCTGCCACGGCATATCCTCTACCCCATTGGCAACGACTCCCGTGTTATGAATGCCTTTTCTCTCCCGTGGATTCAGAATCGAAGAGCCTTTCCCCTCAGATCAGGCCCTCCGGTGTAGGACTAGATGAATAGTACAGTCGCAACGCAGGACAGATGGTCGACATATCAAAGACACAACAGATCCTACACCCGAGAAAGATTCGTTGAAACAATGGATGCTTTTGCCCGCCTGGTGTGCGATCGAGAAATGCCGCCTGATGATGAGACAGATATCCGATCCGCCCCTCCCCAGCCTGGTCAACTTTTCGTCTACCAGCATCCCGTAAGTAACAACGACCGGGAGAGAAATATTAAGACGACAACGATTAGTTTCTCGCCATCCCAGCGAAACCCGAAAAGGAAAATTGACCCGAGTTTACCATCATCCTTACGATTCTGCCCGTGCCCCTTGGCTTCAAGCAGATGGCTGGCCTTGACGACATGAATGGTGGAATGCTGCTGGTGTTGGAAGACATAGCGAGTGTAAATTGAGAAGACCGACACATATAGCGATGACGGAACATGCACTAGAACGATCCGGTAAGTCCGATGGCACAGCCTGAGATTGCTGCCAACCTGGCAGTATCAATATCTAGACGACGTATTGCCAATAGATATGACCGATGTTCGCGTCGAATCGGTCTGGCAACTTGAACAATCCGGACTGCAATCGTCCGGCGCTGGCTCTCTTCGTGCAACCATGGCCTGTGTGCGACAATACAAGGATCCACTCGACAATTGACCTGAAGCACTCCTCAGCTGAGAGCTGCGTCCAACCATCGGATCTGTGTAACTGTACGTGCCGGAGGTACTTTCAGGCGTCGCCTTGAGGCTTTCATGAGAGAGTGGCCTGGAACTGGTATTGGGAATATGGGAGTCTTCCGGCGTATGTGCTATGGCCGAGGCCGGTGCATCGTTGACCGGAACGGCAAGACTGTGAGAAAGGGAAGTGGGAGCCAAAGCTTCGTTCAACCCCATCTGAGCGTACGGCATGTCTTGGATTCGGTAGGAGTTGGTTGTTCTCTCACTGGGCCCTTCTTGAGTCGCGCCTGTGTCTACATGCGTCGAGGACTGGTGGGTTGGAGTGGTGTTCTCGCCGGTCCAGTACGTCGAATCCTGTTGACTGGAGCTGCTGACCGGAGTATTGTCCATGTGAGTGGCAGATGTGGAAACCATGCCTCGAGCTGAAATAGGCGTGGGCAGGATGCGATCAGACGGTGGGTGCCCAGCAATCATCATTGTCTGAACGGGCTGGGGAGCCTGTGCAGCTGTTGTATAGGCAGAGCTGGGGAGCTGGGGGTTTGCTGGGGGCATGCAATGCTGGGGTTCAGGCCATAGTGATCCATGATGTGGTCGCACTCCCTGAGCGTGCATATAATAGGCATTGGTGGTGGACATTGGATCTGTATTGGGGAGGATGTATGGAGGCGGGTGTACTTGTGAGGAGTAGGGACTGTTCTCTTCGTCCTCGGGATATGGTGAGTAAGATGCAACATATGGTGTTCTCGTCCAGTCAACACTCGGGCTCGGATTGGAATAACCGCCGTAGTCGACATTCGTCGGTACAGTTGGATATTGCAGAGAAGTCGGTGGACTGTATCTAGACGGGACTGAAACGTAATTCAGCCGATGGTGAGTGGGAAGTGAATACGGTGAGTAGCGAGGAGGCCCCTGCCAACTTCGAAAGCTGAAGGCCGCCGGTTCTATAGAGGAAACCTGAGCAAAGTCAATGCTGTTTCCTCTTTAGCTTCAGTCCTAAACCCACCCGAAGAAATCGACAAGTTTCCTCATGGCCAGCATTGATACAATTCGCGCAACTTTGATTATTCCCTTCGTTGCCACTGCATTTGATCTTCCGTTTTCGACATCTTTCGCACTTCATGTAGTCAGCATAGATCATGGACGGGGCGTAACCAAAGGCAGCTTGGACCATACGGCAACTGGAACACGCTTTCTTGATCCACTGGTCGCTCTTTGTTCGGACTCTGAAGACGGCGTGGTACGACTGCTGAGGTGGCTCCCAGTCTCATACTGGTCTTGGTGTTGATGCTGAGTCAAGGGCATACCAAAGCCACGATCATTGCGTCTAAAGAACTCAATGTCAGGATTGTAGAGCCGCGAGGTGGTGATCTAGGATTAGGTTAGTCATGCGACATGGAAGAACAGGAGGGTCTCTGGAACCATAGTGGACACCAAGCTCGTCTGTCAGCAATGCGTTCACCACGTTATGTTGGGCTTTCAAACTGTGTCCTTGCTCTTCACGGGTCACCTACGACCAGAATCCAAGCCCAAGCTTTTTGAGCAATGAGAAGAGAGTTCGAATGCCTTGATCGATCAGGGATATGGACCCAAGCTATACCATTTGACGGAGAATATAGAAGCAGGAACGCCACATCCCAGCAAATGCCAGCATTTCCACGCATGCAGACCAATTGCAGGAGATGATAGGAGATGGATGCGCTATCCCCACCAGCCAGATCAGATTCATGAAATATGTCATATCACAAGCCGTGTTAGACGTCCAAGGCTCTTCTTGCCTCCAAACCCAAGCCCACAGCAAGTCATGCTGGTGGAGTTGTCCTTGAAACCTGGTCGTAAGATTTCTTTGTAACGGGCTTGCTGCAGGTTTCCGTCGTGTGACGACGATACCTGGTCCACAACAACAACCTGATTTAGTAGGCGAAGGAAGGGACTGACCAGTCGTCGTAAGGATCATATGGTGCCCACAGTATCAGCTGTGAAACGAATGTTCCTCGCTTCAGCCAATGATATGCTCAGAGTACTTCCAGCACCAACCTGCGAATCGTACTTGAGCATCAGACGCATGTTGCATGGGGCATAGAACGTAGCGTCGACAGGTTCCGTGTGGGGAAACAAGACAGGTCTTGCAACCTCTATTTGGGACGCATCTGTAGGTGAGAACATGCCGGCCAGTTCGACTGGCAACTTGAGAAGATGATGCGGAGAAGGTCGTCCACTGAGGGTAACGCTCGTCTCAGCCCAAGTGTGGAAAAGGACGGGTGCTGTTTGCTACCAACCTGCTTGCTGCACCCAGTGATTGGTGGGAGATTATTGTTGAGGGCGTGGGAGACGCAGCACCCGTGCTCGAGCAAACTTCCGACTGACCATGACCGTTCAATAAGCAGCCGCGCACATCAGAAGTGAGCCTTGATCGCAAGGCTTCCAAATCCTGGCTAAAATCATGGAGAGTTCCTATGCTTTATGGGCAAGCGAGATGCAGTGGGGTCCACGTGGTTCTTGGGCGCTCTCCCTCCGCAAAAGCATGGGAACGCTGGATCGTCCGTGGAAGGCTATGTGCTGAGTCAACTGTTAGCAAGCCGTTGTAGAAACGGCTTTCTCTTGGATGGTGGAACCAATGCAACGACTTGCGGAAAATTCCATGCCAGAGGCTCACAATCTGATTGATGCACATGACAGACAGCATGAGTCAAGCTTGTCAGTGGTTTGGGATGGTCTCAGTTGGCGCGAGTTCGGTCTGCAAGGTTAGCCCCTGAACATCATCTGCAGAATGGCTGCGGAACATTGCATGGGACTCTGGTCACACAGAGATGTCAAAAGATGGACCTCGCTCATCACAAGTCTGCCTCCCAAATATTTTGACAAATCAGAGGATGAGTTTTGAGTGCAGGCTGGTCGCACAGAGGCGTAATAGACCTAGAGAAAAAGCCCCAGCAGGGCAGCTACTGTGGCCACCTCGCGATGAATGCCACCAGGTAAATCCCTCCTTTCGATGCGGCCGTACTGCACAGCATGAGGCAGATTGGAAGCACAGGTCCACTATTCCTCGCCTGTACATGATGAAGAAAGGAATAATTTGCCCGGGACGGAATCCATTGGCAGAGGCGGACAACGAGGAGAAAAGCAGATTGACATAGACAGCGAATCGAGGAAACCGCCCTGGCGTGATCGGGGGACTTCGAAGGATATTTGCAGTCCCACGTGCACCAAAACACCGCGCTTCAGTTCAAAATCAGCCCATATCTGATCGCAGGTCTTCTGCAAGCGTCCGGCAGATGACCGGGGAGCTTCAGGTGTAGTAAAAAGGAGGTTGATAGACCAACTAGGGCTAGATTGCTGGACCTGTCATCGAAGCGGGTGGAAGCCGAGAAAGAAGACGGTTCGTGACATAATCGGGGGATTTCTGTGTAAGTGAGCAACGGCGTGGATGGTTGCATATCCAGTTGCTGACCATGTCGATTGGGGCTAAGATTTTGCATGCGATTGTAACGCCATGCTCAACAAGGAGACTGCAGCACCGTGCTTGAACAGTTGCGCCATTCAGTGGTCGATGCTGAGGGCATTTTCGCTAGACTGTACGCTGGGCAAATACAACCGCTGTGCCTCGAGCTTCAGCTTGTTACACAAAAGAAGGCCACAACCACACCCTGCCTATTGAGGCTCACGGCATCAGACCAGTGGGTGTCCCTGACGAAGGGCAAAAGGTAGGACGCGAAGGGGCGTTCATGGCCCTGGGGGGTCACTTGCATAGCACACTCGACCGATCGATCGAGAGGCATGTGAATGAAACGAGGTCCGGCATTCGCAGGGGACAGGAAATGGCCGGCAAGAGGGGTGACCTTGTATGGAGTGACCTCGACAAGAGGATCTCAACCGTATCTCCGCGAAGGGCCAATCATTACTGGAGGCTTTACATGAGAATAGGTAGTCGACGCTGACGTGCAAAGTACACCATATGCTGTATACTGTATACATACTGTGTAGGTCCAGACAGACGTTCAGGCATCAAGGCGAAGAAGGACAGGGAAGATGGTTCTAGACCAGAATGAGACTAGTTTAAAGTCATGTGATTATCCCTTGGCATCCTTGGCACTTTGGAGCATGAATGACGATCTGCTGCTGGTCATTTGAAAGCCTTCGATCCTTCGACGCGCCGTCGCCTTCATATAATACTGTGTGCTCGATCTGTCTTCCAGGTGTTGGTTGTGGTCGAGAAAGCAATATCAAAGACGGTATTGTCGAGAAATCATCGAGATTGAATCCCCCACTCTTGAGGGACGGAGGGAGGAGAGTCGATATTCACAGGGACATAGTCCCCTTCTTCCTGGGCATCAACCATGAGTGTTCTACTGGAGACTTCTTTGGGCGAGATTGTAATCGATCTTCTAGTCGATAATTCACCCAAATGCTGTGAGAAGTATGCGGCATCAACTCTGGGATGACTCGTTGCTAATCCGAGTCCTAGTTTTCTGAAACTGTGCAAAGTCAAGTACTACAACTTTTCACCATTCCATAGTGTTCAGAAGGGTTTCTCTTGCCAGACTGGAGACCCTCTCGGACCAGACTCACCCGAAAGTGATGGCGGAAGCTCGATCTGGGGCCTCATATCCGGCCCCTCAAAGAAGAGCTTTGTGGCAGACATTGATCCAAAGCTAAAACATACGCAGCAGGGGACGGTCAGTATGGCCACTGTGCCTTCACCCAACGATGCTGATCAGCGACTCGCGGGCAGTCAATTCATTATAACACTAGGCGACAACATTGACTATCTTGATGGAAAGGCTGCTCCTTTTGGTATGGTGGTGGAAGGTTTCGATACCCTCCAGAAGATCAACGAGGCGTTCACAGATGCGAATGGGAGGCCACTCAAAGACATTCGTATTCGACATACAGTCATCTTAGAAGACCCTTTTGATGATCCCCCGGGGCTTACAGTACCAGACTCGAGTCCTGCACCTACGAAGGCCCAACTGGCCACGGTCATGATTGCCGATGATGAGGAATTGGACGAAGAAGTGGATGAGGCTGCCATGGAGAAATTGCGCCGAGAACGGGAAGCGCGCGCACAGGCTCTGACTCTTGAAATGGTCGGTGACCTTCCATTTGCAGAAGTCAAGCCACCCGAAAATGTCCTGTTCGTCTGCAAACTGAATCCCGTCACCACCGATGAGGATTTAGAATTGATCTTCAGCCGATTTGGGAAGATTCTGTCGTGTGAAGTGATCAAAGACAAACGGACAGGAGACAGTCTTCAATATGCGTTCATCGAGTTTGAAAACCAGAAGGATTGCGAGCAAGCCTACTTCAAGATGCAGGGTGTTCTGATCGACGACCATCGCATCCACGTGGACTTTTCACAGAGCGTCTCCAAGCTTTCTGATACCTGGAGAAATTCAACCAATTCCAAACGTGCGAGACAAGCCGGGGGATTCGGCGGCATTGCGAGTCTCGAAAAGAGGCGGCACTACCGGGAAGACGATGGCCGGGACTATGACAAGGGGGACTACAGAATGGTCTTTGACAAAAACGAGATCCGGCGGAACAGAGATGCTCAGCCAGAGCAAGACCATCGAACTTCAAGAAGTCGAAGTCGAAGTCGAAGTCGAAGTCCGCGGTATGACAAGCGTGATGCAGAGCATGGTCATCGTGGAAAAGAAAGGAGATCCCGTGACGATTATCACGACAGGCAAAGAGATAGATATGACGGACGAGCTCGCGAAAGGGCCGGGGACAGGGATAGAGACGGACGGAGAGGAGGGTACCGCCCTGATCCACGGAGGGAGAGAGACAGATGAGGGAAGAATGTACCATTGTACCTGTAGACTGTACAACACGAGCCTGAACGCAGCATGATGAACCAGTATAGCATTTCCCCATGTAGCAATGTTTGAGAACAGGTCGTGTTGTAGAATGGAATGTGTCTTGTTTTGCTCCGTCGTACTGAGGACCAATACCTGGGTATGTCACACCTACCACTGTCAGGCTGGCTACGTCACCACGAGGCTGCGGCCAGTGCTTTTCGGCGATGCTCAGTTTCAGGTGATTCTGTCTCACCGCGCTTAGGCCCCCTTGCAAACCCAGCCGAAGCCACCAATATCTTTCTGTACAGGCTGTCAACATCTGTTCCTCCCTTCTATGGGTCGTGCAACCGGTGTCGAAGGCCTCTTTTTCGCTGACACCCGCCAGAGTTGAGTCTTTCCGCCGGCCTGCGGCGCTAGTAACAGTGTAAACAGACCCTCCAAGATGGCTGCCAGCATGGTAAACAGTCTGCTCGAGAAACTCCACCTCACATCTCCAGAGCATGGTGCTCCCATCCAAGAACCTGGGGCAGAAGAGGTGAAAGAAATCCGGGAGAAGTACGAAAAGGCCAACCAAGGCCATGTGTTTGCCTTCTACGACGAACTAGACACGGACGGAAAAGCCGCCCTCTTCGACCAACTGTCCAACTTTGATCCAGAGCATGTCAACGTTCTCGCGGACAAAGCCCTCCATCCTCCGCAGCCCTCAGACCAACAACCCTCTATCGAACCTCTTCCCGAATCAGCCACTGCCTCTCTTCTCGACGCCTCGGAGGAACAGCAAGATGAGTGGTACAAAGCAGGGCTTGACCTGATTGCGAAGAACAAAGTGGCCGTGGTGCTACTGGCGGGCGGACAAGGGACCAGATTGGGAAGCTCGGATCCAAAGGGCTGTTTCGACATTGGCCTACCCAGCAAGAAGTCGTTGTTTCAGCTGCAAGCGGAACGGATCTGGAAAGTGCAACAATTGGCCAAACACCATGCGTCTACATCGGATGAATCAGTCGTACCGTGGTATGTTATGACCAGTGGTCCTACTAGAGCTCCGACGGAGAAATTCTTCAAAGACCACGACTACTTTGGACTATCGAAAGAGAACGTGGTCATCTTTGAGCAAGGTGTGCTTCCATGCATCTCGAACGAGGGCAAAATCCTCATGGAGAGCAAACACAAGGTCGCGGTAGCGCCGGATGGCAATGGAGGTATCTATCAGGCACTGTTGATGTCTGGGGCTCGCGACGACATGCGCAAGCGTGGCATTGAACACGTTCACGCCTATTGTGTGGACAACTGCCTGGCCAGAGTTGCCGACCCGGTCTTCATTGGCTTCTCATCCGCGAAGGAAGTCGACATCGCCACAAAGGTAGTGCCCAAGCGAGCAGCGAACGAGCCCGTCGGCCTGATTGTGCAAAAGAATGGAAGGCCCGATGTTGTTGAGTACTCAGAGATTGACCAGGAGATGGCCGAAGCCAAGGACGGTCCCGACCGTCTCAAGTTCAGAGCGGCAAACATTGTCAACCACTACTATTCTTTCAAGTTCTTCGAAAGCATTGAGGAATGGTCGTATAAGTTACCCCACCATGTTGCTAAGAAGAAGATCCCCTACATGGACACCGAGACTGGGGAGACTGTCAAGCCCGACAAGCCGAACGGTATCAAGTTGGAGCAGTTTGTGTTTGATGTCTTCCCCTTTCTTCCCATGGACAAGTTTGCGTGTCTCGAAGTGGACCGGAAAGAAGAGTTCTCACCATTGAAGAACGCTCTCGGCACAGCAGAAGACAATCCTGACACCAGCAAACAAGATATCATGGAACAAGGGGCTCGATGGCTACGCAATGCTGGGGCGATTGTGGTTTCTGAGGGCAGCAGTGCCGGAGTTGAGATCTCTCCTCTCATCAGCTATGTAGGGTTCCCTCTTTGATATCCTCCCGGGGCGGCTTTGCTAACTTCTGATTTAGGGCGGTGAAGGACTCGACTACCTCAAGGGACGAGAGATTAGGGCTCCGGCCGTGATTGAGAGAAGCAAGTCGGAAGAGTGATCGTGCCGTGACAGACGGAACATGCAGGATTGACAGGGGGGTGAGACTATGGTCAGGGCAAGACGTTGCAGAGGGGCATACCTACAGAATGAATGGCATGATATGTTCAAAAGCACACAAATACTTTCTTTCCATTCCTGCCGTCTCCCAGCATGCAGCCTCGTCGTACTTCATTGAATCTAGACTCCTTCCACGTGATCTCACATTTATGACGCTAGGCAGAATCTGGCTCAAGTTCGTCTTGGCTTGAGTCGCCGCTCGTTTGTCCCCATCTGCTTTTCACCTGTGACATATTGGCACAATTCAATCGCCTTTTGTTATCAGCTGGTGTTGATCGGTTGCACGGATTCACGGAGGCTGGAAGTCGTTGGAAAGGTCGAGTGGGAAGTTGCGCCTTTTGTAAGTCCGTGATTCAGTGCAGAGCGTGTTTCCGCCGAAGGGGACCCCTCCTCCTCACCCTGGGCATTTTCCCCCTCTGCACCTATCCGCGCGACGTCGCAGCTGGGTGGCTAACGTTGAGCCCACAGGTTGCGGATCCTTTGGGATATTTCATCGAGGTCCGAATCGAGCAGGTACGCTTTCTGACTTCTCTTCTACGATCACGCGAACATACCTTTCCCTTATCGTTCGTTGACCTATTTCATGTCAACTTGTCAACTCCATCCGACATGTCTGCAACATACAACACAATTGCGTGCACGAGAGGAGGGGAAAAGAGTGACTCAAACGGGGGCTGATACCGTGTATACAGGAGTGGAAGAAAAGCTTCAAAGCACCCGCCAACCATGTCTTCTCTGTCACGTCGCGCATGCTACAAATGTGGCAATGTCGGGCATTATGCTGAAGTCTGCACGTCGTCTGAGAGACTGTGCTACAACTGCAAGCAGCCTGGCCATGAGTCGAACCAGTGCCCTATGCCGCGCACTACGGAGAGTGAGTTGGCCTCTTGTGATGGGTGAAAGGACTTTGGTGGCTGACTCGAAGTTTCTTATGTGCAGCAAAACAATGCTATCATTGCCAGGGTCTAGGTCACGTCCAAGCTGACTGCCCAACCCTGCGCATCAGTGGCGGGCCTGCGGGTGGTCGCTGCTACTCATGCGGCCAGATCGGCCACTTGGCCCGCAACTGCCCTACACCAGGTGCTAGCCCTGCCCCTGGCCCGGCCACCCGTGGCGGTCGCGGTGGCTATGGCGGCGGTGGATTCCGCGGTGGTTACAGTGTCGTCAACAACCGAGCCGCAACCTGCTACAAATGTGGTGGCCCCAACCACTATGCCCGCGATTGTCAGGCTCAGGCCATGAAATGTTACGCATGCGGCAAGCTTGTAAGAGCAGACTACCGCGTGGCCTCTTATCTCACTGCTGACTTTCCTTCTCCAGGGCCATATCTCGCGCGATTGCACTGCTCCGAACGGAGGTCCATTGAATGCGGCTGGCAAGACGTGCTACAAGTGCGGGCAACCAGGCCACATCAGCAAAGACTGCACCGCCACTGAGACCAATGGTCCCCCAGCGGCTGTGACGAACGGAGCACCTGCTGAGGGTGTTCCAACAGCTCCAGCAGTCGACACTACCGATATTCATACTGCGGCTGCACCTGCTGCAGCTGTGGCATAAAACAACAACCATCTCCCCACTATCAGCAATGCTGATATGTCTCTTTCTGCGTTATCTGATTGTACTTTCAACTTTGCCGTACTTTGCGCGAACGGTGCCGATGCCCCAACAGTCTTTTCCAAGCACGCCCTTGCTCAATCAACACTTGTGATTTTTGTTCTCGGATCTTTTGGCAAATGGAATCTTTCAGCTTTCCCGTTACGATACCACCCACCGCTTCCAAATTGTGGCTCCTTCTTGGTCAGATGCATCGGATCATCGGCATCTCCAAACTGAGTCACGATTTCACTCCGACGCGGTTGCAGCAAAACACTTTTCACGACGAGTCAAGGCTAGGCCTCCAGGGATGAACCTTTCCTTGTACTGGACCCGGCGTTTTTGGACAGTTGATCATCAAGCCTTGCATTTGACACGCTCACACGAACTTTCAACGACTGAACTTGTTTCCTGCTTTATCGCAGACTCAGGGATATCTTGCATCTGATGAGGGGAATGACTGCTGTCTATGGCACTGTTTCACGAAACGCAATCCAACCGGCAGATCAGACAGACGAAGGAAAGGAAGCGAGTGAGCAAGCGGAGAAGAAGCATACACTACTACGTGTGGTGGTATGAACGGTCAAGAAGCAGAGTCAGAGCCAGTGATGGATCCAATCGGAGGAAGATTGACACCGAGAACGCCGGACAAGCGAGGGCGAGAGTGGGAGATGTCGACGGTTATCTCGAGACAGTGAAGCACGAAACATCCAAAACGAATCCATGATTTCATTGCCAACAATAACAAGTATGATTCCAATGTGGCGGCCATGGATTTAGATCGTAACTTTCTCCTCCTTACAAGGCTGCAATGCCACTTCGAAGGCGTTTGGTCTTCGTGGTGAAGCTGTAGTGCTAGTGCTAGTGCACCTTGTTCCTTGTCCACATCTGGCGGATACTGTTACAGTCGCTGTATTTTCTATTCAAGGGAACTGGATACTGTGAGAGATGTCCCAACATCCTTCCTGTAGGAAGGGAAGATATTGTCGGTCTTCCCCTTTCAATCGCAGCCTTGCCGCTTTTATGATACTCCAATTCCCCCCCTTCAACATCTTCTCCCATTCTTCTCTCATGACCCGACCCACTCTCACTCATGTGCAGGACACTGGGGATACTCCGTGCCTGAGTTTACGGTGAGGGGGATGCTGAGGAGTACGAAGTTTACTTTGACCCATAACTGATGTTTCCACTCCTTGGGAAAAGTCACTTCATTACTGTTGGCTGACGGTGCCTGTTCCCGCCCTGTCTTGAGTACCGAGTCGTCGTTTTGGTTTCATCTCCGCATCTTGCAGATTGATTCCTGCTCATCTATCATGTGCCGACCAGCGAGCGAGCAAGAGAACAAGAGATTGCCGATCAACATGCTCAAAAGAGCGGCGCCCTAACCTTAAGCCCCCTTCTCTTCTGACCCGACCCGAGGCATTCATTGGAGGGGTCAAGAAGAAAACAAACACAGAATGGGAGGGGGTGATGGGACGACGGTAGGTACTCTTGCCCACCAGGCTGTGAGCAAAAATGGTATAAACCCCTTCCTTGACCAGAACTGCATTGGACGGTGGTTGTGATCTTCACTTACCACTGAGTCCAAAGGTTGGAGCTGAATCATCGTCTCCACTACCTGCGGTGCAGCTTTCAGAAATACATATCACTTTACAAGGCCGCTTTCGTTTCAAGATACTGATCTCCTTTCCATCATTTCTTGTCTCGCTATCAGAATCTGCCCTCCGTTCATCTGCCCAAATCAAGGACCGGTTTCCCCTCGAACTTTGCCGACCCCTTACCCAAACCAAAACAGGCCTGTATCGTAGATCAGACCGACGCCCACTGTCCTTAAGTCAATCCAAGAGTCATCACCTCGGCGAAATTTCATCAATTACAATGCCAAACACAAAGACAGTCCATGTCCCCCACCTAGGCGGCATCGATGCAGCCTACCAGATGCCTCACCCCTACGACGCCTCGAAACCGACTCTGGTGCTGGTCAACAGCTTCACGACGTCGTCAGAGCTGTACCGAGAACAATACGCAAACAAGGCATTGACCGACAAAATGAACCTGTTGGCCATCGAGCTGCTCGGGCACGGTCAGACGCGCACGAAAGCCGAGAATTTCACGTACTGGGATACGGCGATTATGAATCTGCAGGTCCTGGACGCGTTGGAGATTCCTCAAGCATTTGTGCTGGGCACAAGCCAGGGTGGATGGATTACTGTGCGCATGGCACTGTTGGCTCCGGCGAAGGTAAGAACCCTTGGAGAAGAAAGGACTACAGTCTACCGTCGAGGGCTGGAGGCAGAGAAACTGCTCGAACCTCAAACCGACTTCGTGCCACCTTACACATACTACCTTGCTCTTCTACATTCCCAAAGGCAGACCCTTCACAGCATCCCTCCAAATACCCGGTCTTTTCCAAGGCTTCGACCTATTGTCGGCATACAGACTGTTTAGGGGTTGACATATTCCTCCTTCGTACCCCTTTCCTTCCCCGGGTACCCTCCCCTCCGTCCTTGTCTATACTACAAGTCAATAGCATCCCTCGAATCACCAACCATCTTCCCTCTCTTCCAAGCCCTACTGCACTGTCCAGGGCCTCAGTGTTCACCTTCTCATATAATTATATACCGACTAACATATTCACGGCGACAGATCCAAGGAATCATCCCCCTCGGCACGTCTCTCGACTACGAATCCGAGCGAACACGCACTCTCGGCTGCTGGGACGGCGTCGCAGCCTGCACGGGCCCCATCAACAAATGGATCTCCAAGACGCCCACCCCTGACTTCCAACCTGATATCGACTACTGCGACTTCCTGATCGACATTGGTTTCGGCAAGGACTGTGCCTCCGAGACCCGCGAGTTCTGGCGCAAGACCATCCAAGCGAACTACCAGGGCGACGATGGCCGACGGAGGGCGCGGATGGCGGCCATCAATCTCCGCGAACGCGATGGTTTGCATGGTCGATTGTTTGATGTCCACTGTCCTGTTATGTGGTTACATGTGAGTTGTTTCGCTTTTCTTCTTTTAGCAGGGGAAACATCCCACGACGATGAAGGAGGAGTCTTTTGTTTGTGAAGTGATGCCAAAGGATGCATGGCCCTCCGAGGGAATAAAATCCAACACCATAAAACTGACCCGCCCCGCCTGTACAAGAAGAGAGAAGAGAGAAGAGAGAAGAGAAGATGTACCTCTTCCGAACCAATCTGGCTTCATGCCATGGAACATCCCCTGCTGAGTGAACTCCGAAAATTGACAAAAACGCTAACCACTGTTCTGTTCCGAGATCCAAGGGAACCGACGACGTCGTCTACTCTGTCGCCAATGCACAAGAAGAAATCAAATTATTCGTCAACAGCCCCTCGGCCGAACTGGTCGTGGTGGATGGTGGAGCGCATTTCCTGTCGGCGTCGCATCCTAAGGAGGTGGATGATGCCTTGATTGCATTTGTCGGGAAACATGCTTCCTGAGCGGACAGAACGAGAAAGGGAAAAAAGGAAAAAGGCAAAAAGGAGAAAAAGGAGAAAAAGCGAGGAAGAAGGAACCAACTGGACTCTTATTCTTCCTATCCTTCCTTTCCTTCCTATCCTTGGTCTTGAGGAGGCGACAATACTTCATGAATCTACGGGAGGGGCCTGTGTGCCGTCATCTGGAATCGGGATTCGGGATTCTGTACTTTGGACAACTTGATAGGTAGGTTCTTCGGGAGACGTTGCCAGATCCGTTGGACTACGCAGTTCAATTCCAATAAATCTCTGGGATGCCAATGCCAGTGCCAATGCGAGTATCACGTAAGGTAGTGTGAGTGTCTGTGTACATATCTAGGGTCTAGGGCAAGTTTGGCCCAAGCAAGAAAATCGAATTTACCGGTGAGGAAAGAGAGATGAAAAGGTGCTATTCTGTTAGATCACGATGAGGGTAGTATTCACAGAAATTGAGTGATGCAGGACGTAATATACACATAACATGTATTGAGATAATATATACATGTATTGAGACCTCGCCGTCCACAGCGATATATAGCTAGCAGTGCTCTGACTAAAGGCAGACTGGGATCAAGGAGGAGATATCCGAAGATGATATTATACGTAGTTCATTGTATCTGGAGCCCTTGGGCCTGTCCCTGGCAGGGTAAGTTCCAGCAATCCTGATAACCTCGGAGACAGGACATAATTATCTACTAGATCATAGATGAGACGAGACTACCTCGTTGATAGACCCTATCTCTTGGAGAAGGTCTTTTCTTCTCTCCCTCCTCTGTTGGTCAGGTCAATTCACTACTGACTCACAGTTCTTCTACCATTTCCACCACCTCGACTACTTCCATTGCCGCTCCCACTTCCGCTCCCTGTGCTCTTTGTACTACTACCGCCACCGGTAGGTGTCGTGGCACCATTATTGCTCTTGTTGGTATTGCCAACACTGCCCATGACGGCAGCAACGAGACTGGCTGCAGCAGTGACACCCACCCCCTGTTGTCTGTTTGCTGCTGTTGTCCGTCTCCCGCCACCACCACCGCCTCCTCCGACGGCACTGAGAGGACGATGGGTGTCGTTGCTCACAATGCCTTGGAAGGCCTCTTCGGCATAAAACCCGAAGACAAAGCGATAGAGATCCTTCAGCCATCCAAAGCCGTAAACACATGAAGTCATGCCTAGCACAGCTCGACCTACTTCCATGGGGTTCAATCTTCCTCGCTCCCCAACGGTACCTGCGGTCCCCAGGTTGCGGAAGCCCGAGTCATTCATGATGGTTTTGCGATAGTTGTCGAGTAACGAAACTTGCCATGCCTGGCTGCCGAAAGCAGTGTCTGGAAGATTCTTGACGAAGTTCGGCAGAGAATTTAAGTCTGGGTCCGCAGAGGTCTGCGTGTATCCACGTTCGACGGAGAGAGCGGCTTTGACAAATAACGATTTGAGTAGAATCAAGGTCGGATCTTCTCCTGGGGTGCGGACAGTTGATACGGTCGTCGCGGAAACAGGATTAGGACCTCCCTCAGAGATGGCGGACGCCGGCAGTGATAGGGTTGAGGAATTCGCTGACCATCGGGCATAATTTACGAGGTTCGCAGAAGTTGGGCCGGGTTGAGCGGATCGAGGATTCCGAAAATTAGGAGAAGGGTGACGCTGAGATGGGCCCGCGGAGACCGATGAGCTGGATGAGGTGGTCGACATTCGCGACGCTTCCTCAGCTCGCAGGACTAGAATATTTGGAGTGGGCGCTTCATCGGGTGAAATTGTAGTGACAGTATCTTCGAAGATGGTGGTCGGGGTTTCTGGGAGCAGTCTGGGATTGACGTTCTCGTTCCAAGGGGCAAATCCGGATCTTTTGGCTTGGTTGAAGGCCTGAGTGAATGTCGTCTGGCTAGGGCGCGGAGTCCCTCTTTCGGGGCGGATTCGTGTCCATCCCTCTCTGAACAAATCACACAATTCCCAACATGCGAGTATTGCCGAACCAAGCAGCTCTTCGTCTGGTTTCTTGCCTTCTCGGCGATTTTGTCGCAAACTAAACAACATCTCCGCCAGTGACCAACAAGCTCGAAGTAACGAATCTGTTTCCTCGGCCATCTTCGACTTCTGCTTCATCAGTCGGTGACACAGAGTAATGTAGAAATCCAATGTCCTCTCACGAAACGCCTCAGGAAGGGTTCGATCATGGGTGTTAAAGAGGTGATTGTTCAATTCGAAGCTGACCCTCAACACCGAGTCGGCAGTTTCGTTATCTCGAACCCTGACTTCAAAAAGTGCCTGACAAAAGTCTCGACATAGATCCAACGTGGGCCTGGACGAGTTGTGCGAAACAATGTTGGGTCCAGTGTCTTCACGTGTATCGTAAAGGTTTTGACACAACTTCCAACACGCTTTCCATGCTTGTTCATGCATGTCACCACGGCCTGAAAAGTTGAAGATTCTTTCCCTGTGAAGATGACTCAAGCTGGCTAGTGTATTGCACAACGTCCAGCATTCGGATAATGCGCTGCGTAGGGCGTTCAGCTCGGCTTCAGCGTCACGCAGGAAATTCCTGTCAAGATGACTTTCATCCCCGGTCTCATCCGTACTGGGGTGGTCGTCTGTATCGCCCTCCAGGATGCCTGTGAAGGATCAGTCACAAGAAACAGCTATACAAGGAGATCGAGTATACTGGCAAGGCTTGAGCCTGGACGGCTCAGCACGTTGAGGTCTTGTCTCGTCTGTGCCCGAGGAGTTCGAGACCAGTCGTGTGGGATCGGGAGCGGAGGAAGGCTCGTTTGTAGTGGAGTTGGAGGCATGGGAACACCATGGGCCTGACAAAAGCGTCGGTTAGAGGTCCTCCTTGTCCGCCGGCAGGTCTCAAACCTTTGTAGTTGGTCTGTTTTCAGGGGCAACCTCAGTCACTGTAGCATCTGATCTCTTGGAATCAGTAGAGTCAGCCCTGGCTCTTTCTGCCTCCTTTGGCTCCGTGGAGGATTCTTCTTCTGTTTTGTTGTCCGTAGTGAGGGCTCTTTGGCGGCTGAGGGGTTCTGGAGCTTGTCTGCTAGGCTAGCAACAGTATCAGTGGGCACTGTACGGCGGCGATGCTGTGCTGGGAATACGTACGAATTTGCCAAACTCGCTCGGTATGTGAATGGCCGACTGAGGTTCTGTCTCCTCTTCTATTTTCGCCCGGATCTGTTGTTCGAGGATAGAAGCGGTGTCAAGCTGCGGGCTCCGTCAGTATGGATACAGGAGACCCAGTAACCTCCGGTCACGAACCCTCAAAGGTGTTGCAAGTCTTTGTAGGCTGTTTCTTAGTGGAGAGCTGACCCGTGGTCTTTGAGCGCCATTGAAGCCCGAACGCCCATCGTCGGCAGAATCCGTTCCTCTGGTGCCAGTGGTATCGGTATCTTCCTCTTCAACCTCATCATCTACGTCCTCAAAATTCGTCACATCTGAGTTGACTGGGGAAGGTGCAACAGGATCCTGAGGTGAGGTTACGCTAGTAAGAGGCAGTGCCCTCAAATGACTGTCGCCCGCAACATTCGACCGTTCTGTTCCGGTCCTGCTCAGGTCAATTTGTTGTCACCGCACTCGCGCCCGGCCAACTTACATTGGAGTACCCAATGCCGCCGCGCCTCGAGGTCGCGGCGAGTCAGTATGTTCTGGAAAGGGCGAAAATGGCGGGAACAGAGGGTTTGCCGAGGGACTGAACGCCAGAGGAGCTCTCACTGCCATCATCTCGGCAGAGGTACTGGGTTTGCGGCACAACCGACCACGGCTGTCAGGTCGACGAGGCCAGCACAAAAGCTCAGTTCTCCTTTTTGCGGCAAGGTCGACGTTAGGCGAAAGAAAGTGAAATAGAATCTGGGCAAGGCAGACAGCTCTACACAGCTTCCATAGACAAGCTCAAGGCGCGGTGCCTGGGAGACGGGCAAGGAAGTCGCACGGATTTGTTGCGGCCGCAAATCCGGTCGCGTAGGTCAGCGGCAATTCGGGCTGGCAGAAGGGCGGTAGTTGGAGGGCGAATGGACCCAGGCAATCGCCCCCCTTGCAATCATGGATTCAGAGAAGATTTCGTGCACATGGTTGGGCAAAGACTGGCGGAAGAAAGGTCACAGACAAAGAAGGGCGGGGGAAATATGAAGCTGGTAGATATCAGATAGACGTGCAGCGTGTAGGTGGAGAGGCTACAAGAGCAGGGAGGGGAGACAGCAAGGTGGAAAGAGTGTCTCGCTGGTGGAGGGCCTGATACCTCTGCAAGCGATGAAAAATGGCATGCTTACCATGCTGGTCCGCGTCTCAGCCTCTCGTTAGGCTCTTTTTTCCCTGCGCCCATGCTGTGGTGATGGGTCCTGACAGCTGTGGGTGGATTGGGCTAGGACAATGCGAACAGCGGCAGTAAGAAGAGGTGTAAGGTGCTCTCATGGAAGGAAAGCATATGTCACTCTAAGGGTGCGGGCCATCCAACAACTCAGACTCGTGCCGCGCCTAGCTCGTGAGCTGGATAGAACTCAGGCAATATGTTGCTAGGCGTTGGTGGCAGATGGTCCGGCGGTTTCAGGAGGGACGGCGCCTCGAGCCGTGAACATGACTGGTCGGGATACAGAGGCAGCAGGGCTCGGGCGAAGGTCAAAGACGAGCGCGGTGTGGGCCTGACAAGGACTCACACGAGAGTATGAGCATCTAGGGCCCCGGAGAATTTGGGAACCAGCAGGACGGAGAGAGTGCCCCTGGTCGGCCACGAGTTGTAGTGTGATAGACGCACTTGCAAGGTGCAGAAGATCGGCGAAGGGAGTAAACGATGATTCGACCGTTGCTTTAGGAAACGGAGGCGGCCAGGGGATTGGTCAGCATTAGACCCTGTAATGCAGCAAACGGCGCGGACATCTAAGCGCCGAGGATGAGGAAGAGAGGGTGCGGCTCGACGGCGGGACAGGGGACAAGAGACCGGGGACTGGAGGAGTCGGATCGAAGGCAGAGAGGAGGCTGCGGGGTGGAAGATGGCGTCCCCTCGGGGGTTGGGATGAGAGATAGAGATAGACAGAAGAACCCAGAGATACAGTAAGTGACTTGAGGTAGAATGATGATTGACTGATGGATGGAGGATGTTGGATGTTGGATGGTGTTGATGATTCGCAGGAAGCAAGGTCGCCCTGCTCCACACGCCCTTTTCACCCCTTTCACCTGCGCCCCTCCAATCGCAATCAGAACCACGATCGTGTCTGACTTCAAGAGCTGCAAGTAAGCGCCCAGATGTGGAACAAGATACTGAGAACAAGATACTGAGTTCAAGTTGTTGACATTCATTCGTTTCCGTTTGTGCTGGCTGCATCAAGATTGGACTATGCCATTCACACGTCTGCACAGCACAGTATCAAGGAATCAATCATTCAATGGTACTCTCATTCATGGACCAGATGGAGTAGTAGTGCCTACTGAGGCCATTATCTGTTCACGAGTACAACGCAGCATCAAGAAGATCCGTAGAATACAATCAAGTCAGTCATCATACACCAAACAGTGCCCACCGCCCGCCAGAAAAGAGCCTCATCCAGAATTATCGCCTTCTGCATCCCAATCAGTTTGGCCCCCAAGATTGACCTCAACACCATGCTCAAGAACAGAGTCGTAGTTGGTTCCCTTTTCGCTCGGGACACCCTTGTTGGTGGCTGCAGAATCATGGACCTGCATCAGCGAATAGTCATCTGCTTTGCCATGGCACTGCCTTTACCGACACCGCCTTCCCTGGACGCTGCTGCGCTGACTCCCGCTTTGCGCTCAAAGACCTTCCAAAACTTCAAGCTCTCATCGGCCGCTGTGTTATACTGTTAGCCTCGTCACTCAGAAGCAAAGTTGGAACTGCACTCACCAGCTGTCGCCAGCATCTGACCGTCAGGGCTCAGGGCGCTGTGCAGCACTCTGGACTCGTGTGCAGGGATCTCGACGTTGCGAACCAAAGTAGGGTAGCTCCAGATGCTCAGTGAGTTGTCGGGAAAGCCACCGGAGCTCACCAGCTCTCTGTAGTGGTTGCTCCACTTGAGGCTCGTCACTTGGGATCCGGTGTCGATGCTATTGACGCGGGCCCCGGTCGTGGTGTTCCAGAAATGGATGTGACGGTCATTGGAGCCGCCGCCAGTGGCCAGGAGGTTCAATTGCCACGGGCACCAACTAAGGGCCTTGACTGCGGCGCGGTGGTTCTTCTTGGCAAACTTGGGTGCAGCCAGGGACCGAGCATCCCAAATGGATACCAGGTTATCGTTTCCGCCGGTCGCAAGCTGTGCGCCGTCCGAACGCCATTCCAGTCCGCACACTTCCGAGGTATGGGAGACGAGCTCCGCAACCTTGTGCTGAGCGACACGCACATCATGGTTGAACACCAGTCCGCTACGAGCGCCAGTGGACAAGGTGTGCTTGTTCCAGCCCATCACACTCACGCGGGTTTCGTGGCCGAACATGCTTCGAAGCTTGGTGCCTTCTTCCACGTCCCAGATCTGAACTTCTCCGGAACCGAGGCCAACGCCGACATAAGCGCCATCCCCGGACCACTTCACACTGCTGATATAGGTGTCGGGAGACGTCTCCAAAAGACAGCTCACGGTGCCGCTGTCGGCAGACCAGACATAGACACTGCGCTCGAGGCCGATGGCAACCTGGTTACCTGAGCTCCAGTCAAGGATGTTGAGGTAGTAGTCATTAGCAAGACCGGGGGCGTCCAGCACTCGTTCTGGAGCCGACTGGATCCGTCGGCGGAACTGTGCAGACTGAGTATTGGCCTGCTTCAGAGGTCGGTTATATTGACATCGGAGATCGATGGGCTTGGACGACTCGGGCGGCGCTGGCTTGAACTCCAGGATGCGTTGACTGGTGGAGATGCCACACGCAGAAGCCAAGGAAGATTCGTAGGCCGTTGAGTCGGGGTGTGATCGGGTGTACGACGAAGCGGTGTTGTCATCATCCAGACCAAGAGTCTCCAATGCCGTGGTGATGTCCGCGTCGGCGCCCCGAGCAGAGATGTCAAACGCACTGGCAGCAGCATTGGCAAGCACAATAGATCCATCCACACCGGCAGTTCGAGGTCGAGTGTTCTCATCAGCCTTGCCGCATCCCGCCGTAGCAAGGCCAGCACTTGCAGCCCGATTGGGAATGAATCGATCTGCAGTGTTGTGTGGGAGTCTGATGGTAGTCTTGCCAACTCGTGACCTCAACGCCGTCTCTTTCCGTGACTTCTCTCTGGATGGTGTAGTGGCCGCATTGTGACCAGTGCCTGTCAAAGTCCATTCTGACACACCAAGCTCGAGTTGTTTGGGAGACTGGCGGCTTCTGGCGATGTTGGACTTGGGAGAGTTGACATAGGCGAATTTGGATACCGATCGGGAAATGGATCTCGAGAAGAAGGTGGAGGGGTCTGACTTGTGGATGGATTGTTCTTTTCGCAGAGGAGTAGAGGGAGATGAGTGCGTAGAGACGTTGGTGGCTACGCTTGTTGTCCTCGCTCTGGGCGAAGGAGTGAGAGGTATTCTGCCGCCAGCAGTCTTGGTGGAGAAGATGCCATGATGGCTTTTCAGAGGGGTGGATACCGACACTGATGCCATGATGATTGTATGTGATCGAATGGACAATTCAATGTTTCGATCAAAGTTCCTGTGAACCGAGAATCAAATCAAGATCTCGGGGTTAGTAATGTTGTCGATTAAGCAATCAGAACTTGTCGAATAAGTCTGTGCTTGGGTCCAGCAATTCAGTGATATCTCAAGATTCTCAACCGAATGGATCCTGAGAAGAAGTTGTCGTGGTGGGGTTAGTTAGTGATTCCCAGTGTCGCTGCAATTGTTGGATGATTGGATAACCGAACGTTGCAAGGCAGGCAAAGCAGTCGGGGGGTCGATCAAATCTAGCGGATGCAAGTATGATCTAGTGGACTGTATGCTATGCAAAAGCAAGGATGATAGAGTGGTAGAGGAAGATGAAGGGTTCGGAGAGGATAGAGGTATAGAAGGAGAGAAAGAGAAGGAGATGCTGCAAAGATGAAGCATCGCAGTTGAAGTAGCAGAATTGTTGGCCGCCGAGTTGACACGGCAACCGCAGCCCACGGCAACTAACGAGGGATTAACCGGATCTGGCGTTGCCCTGGTTTTAGACAGTGGCATGCTGCTTTAACGTCAGACTGCGCCGGATTATGTCAGTGCCAAGCCGGGACGCGGATATTACCTTAATCCTTTCCGGACGACGACTTCAAAAGTCTCGATCATAGGCACTTCAAGATCCTATTATTCAGCCAGGCCAGATCCAAAAAGCGTGCAGCGGCCAACAGGATCTCAATCATCACGTCTGCTCTAAGCACAATCTGGTGCATCTGCCGCGAATGGACATTTCCTCAAGCTGGCTGGCCCTCCCCGTCCCCTTCTCCGCCCTGTGATCCGCTTCTGCGGGCTCCCCTAAAGCCGAGAATTGCCTACGATGGCATTTCCGTCTGCACAGCATTCACATCTGTCTCACCCTACTTCTTCTCCGGCTGCTGGTCCTTCCTGGGGTGGCATTTCATCAGCCTCTAGAGTTCCAGCATCCGGCACCAACACTCCTACAGGCTCCACCTATCTGATGCCGACCAGCCCCGCCAAGAATGCCGTCGCAGCCAGAGATGGCATGAAGCCCAAGATCTCCAAGACTTCGGGTCAGAAGCCGGCCTGTCTGGTTAACGCTTCCGTGACCTACTGCGGAAACGACCAGATCTACGCATTTGGCGGCTTCGATCAATTCACCGACGAAGTCTACAATCACGTGCTGAGACTCAATCTCAAGACGCTAAACTGGACGCTAGTGGACAACTATGGGGACATACCTGGTGTGCGCATGGGACATTCAGCCTCGCTCTACGAAGGCGACAAGCTTCTGGTCTACGGCGGAGAGAACGAGCACCGCGAGTATCTGTCAGACGTGGTGATTCTGAACCTCAAGGATCATCATTGGACCCAACCCGATATCCAAGGACCTATTCCCAAAGGTCGCGCGAGACATGGCGCCGTGGTCTACGAAGACAAACTATTCATTCTTGGTGGGTTGACAGGTGAAGCCAACTACATTCTTGACGACATCTGCTACCTGGACCTAAAGACGTGGACCTGGTCGAAGACATGGAGCTTCGTGCAAAGATTCGACCACAGTGCCTGGATCTGGGGCGGTCGACTGTGGGTGTTGGGGGGTCTCGGTGCCGATATGGAACGGTCGTCCGAAATCTGGTGGCTAGACCTCAAGGGCAGCCCGGCCTTGTCGGGGTCTGGCAGACAATACTCGACAATGGGCCGTGTGCCTGCCACAAGGCAGGACCTGTGGCCTCAATCCACCCGCGCCGATCGAACCGATACATATACTGCCAACTCTGGAAGCCTGCATATCCGGTCGAGTCGCCGGGAGAAACCGACTGCACCCGGAGCGATATCGTCACTGAAGTTCATCTCAGGGCCCCATGTCCCGTTCCAGTCATCAGGAAACCATTTTCACGTCTGCTCATCAGGAGCCCTGCTAGACTTTGTCACGCCGGCATCCAATATACGTCACACCGAATGCAATCTATCTTCCCTCGAGCTGGACTCGCTGAGATGGCAGCGGCTCGTGGAAGGCCCGGAGATATTTCCACCGGGCTACAAATGGCACTACTGCACCATCAACGAAGACGGGACCAAAGTTTGGCTACTTGGGTCTCCTGCTGATGAATCTATCCCCGGCAACCAGGAACTACAACTCAGTGAAGTCCTAGCGGTCGATCTTAAGAGGTACGGTTTGCTAGGGACACAAGACACGTCGATGGCTTCCGAGCAGAATCGCATCCTGGCGTCTGAACGACAGACAGTGCACACGACATCGTCGAGCGTCGGTACAGGACTCGGCTCAGATCTTGCAGCAATATTTGACCAGCCTCCGGAAACCAGCATGAGCGACTTCATCATCACAGCGAACCTGGAATCAACCGATGACGACGACATCTCAGAGGCCGACTCCCATCCTCGCTTCTCGCTCAACTCGACTAGCAGTCAGATGTTTGTGTCGGAGTCGGAAACCACCAACATTTCCCAACCCATCCACGTACATAAAATGATCCTCCAAGCCCGCTGGCCGCACTTCAAACGACTGTACGCGTCGAAAATGATCGAGTTCCATACTTCGCGAATGCACATTCCCGAACCCTATTCGGTTGTTCGCGCTTTTCTGTACTACCTGTACACCGACAGTATTGCGCCACACCCAGTCTTCTGTCGAGACTTGACCGATGTGGCTGGGATGCTCGTGATGGCCAATCTATACGACATGCCGAAACTCCGCCTTCTCTGCGTCAATCGGCTATCGCGCGAAATTGACATCGATCATGCCGCAGTGATCTGGGAGCGTGCCGGACGCACGGACGAGGAGTGGCTGAGAGCGCGTGCCGCCCGATTCTGCCTGATGAACTGGGGCCGAGTCGTCCGCACTGAGGGGTTCAGGAGCCTTAGTCGGCAGAGTCTGATGGAGCTATGCGAGGTTGTGGATATGGAAGGCCGCGTCGTGGGCGGCGAGGAATTGGACGAAGGTGCCGACGGGTTCGGGTTGGGAAGTGGGTACCGATACCGTAGGCGGAGCCACCGACCGAGCGAGACGGCCGAAGAAACAGAGGGTGATGAGGAGGATGGCATGGACGTGAACTAAGCGAAAGTGGCCATCATCTCAAAGGATGGTGACGATGGCCATGGACGCGAATCGGAAGATGCGGTCTGCAATGGCCAAGTTCCCCAGCCGAGATGTCCAAAAAGGAAATGGTCGGTACCAGCAAATGCATGTATCGATCCGTTTGTTGCACCAAAGCAGCCACACCAAGTCAAAGCAGCACATCAGGGCTATAGAAAAAGCGACTTGGGCTGGTGGGCGATGGATTTTGTCTTTGTCTTCGTCTTTATAAGCAAACTGCATGACGAATCACCGAAGGGGTGGGTATAAATTGAGCAAAGCATAGCATGGCATGGTAACCTGGGTACTGGTAGTTATAGGATTAGCGAGGATCCTCGGGCGAGTTGGGAGCACTGAAGGTCGGGAAAATGACATTGGTTCTTGCTCTTTAAGCTTGCACACGTTTCATGGCCTTGTTTCCATTCATCAATCTGGAGTCTGACCGTGTTTCCTCTCTGCATGGTTACACGTTTTAATCCTGAACTCATTCAAGGATATTTCAGACCAGTATAGCTTCAGGCGGGGTTATCATCGATTCTCGAATTTATGTGGTTCTCTGTTCTAAAGAGCCAAACAGGCTAACAGTGCTCCTGCAGCCGGAAGGAGGAAGTCTTGTCCGGAATCTGTTATGACAATTGCAGGCCAATCTGGAGTTCCACGTCGTCCTCTCACCGAATTCTTTACATTCCTTCGAGGTGCTGCCCAAATCTCGCTGTCCAGTCTCACCAGAGGCATTAGCTGGGCTTGGCCCTTGTTAACAGCGGCGAGTATTGCAGATTAGTGGCGAAAGATTCGAGTCCCCACGGTGTACCCGTCAACCTGCCCATGGCCATTCGCCTGGCATGAAGTCCCTTACATTCATTCATACAGACGGGCCTGTTGTCCAGTCAAGTGCTGGGGCGACTTCAGTGCCAAATCGTACATGAGCTATCCTTCGGCTCGTTTTGGCTGTGCTTTCTTTCATCACCTCTTCTTCCCACCGGGTCTCGGCTTCACTTCCTCTGGTTGCACACCATGAAGCATGATCTTATTAGGGGTCTGTGGAGTGTTCTTTTGGTAGCCTTGGCTCCAGTCATAGCAAACTGCGTACGCAAAAACAGTGCCTTGTCTGTTGAATGCTGTTGCGGTGATCGGTGAGCCGACGTTCGGATATCCCTTCAGTCGATGTTTGGCGTTGCCGTCCCAGAAGTGGAACGTGCCGTCACTGCCTGCCGTGGAGAAAGTGCCGTGTATGGGATGGAAAGAGATGGCGTTGACAGCATATACATTGGAGACATCTCGGTTGGGGCCCGTAGTCGGAGTATCCCGATGGCATTTGAAACTGAAGTTGTTGGCCGAGTCCTTCTCCTCCACGTATTGAATGGCACATCGGCCTTCAATACTGCCCACAGCAAAGCCCGTGGCGTCAGTGAAACAACTGACCACTCTGGTCTGGAATTTGAGCGGCGACTGCATTGACTTGTAGAACTTCTCCGGCGAATCGAGGTTGACGATGTTGATGTATCGGTCTGCCGTCCCAATGACCAGCAGCTTGTTCTTGACGTCCATTGTGTAGACTCGTTCTTGACATTGTAGTGTTGCAACGGCGTTTGGTGACCGGAAATCCCAGTATTTGACAGTCTTATCCCACGAGCCGGTGATCAAGATAGGCGAATTGCCGATTGTCGCAAAGCGACATGTTCGTACAGGTTGTTCGTGCGCGACAAGGGTTTGGGGCGTCATGTTTCCAGATCCAAGATCGAGTAACCGGAAGGTTTTGTCGGCGCCGGCGCCTGCGATTTTGGTACCATCCTAATACACGTGTCAGCTCTCTCCCAGAAGAGGTAGCAACGTATCTCCATACTTCTGACCATGCACAACTTAATACGGGAGCTTCAAAGTCCATGGCTGCCTTGCCTTCGCTTTGACCTTGCTCGTTCACCTGGTATATTCTGACTTTCTTGTCCCATGATGCGACTGCTAGAAAATCGCCTGCCGGGGAGAATTGGAGATCGGATGTGCTGTCTTCGGGAGGCGATGTCAGGGCGACATCTTTTGAGACGTCTCCCGTGGTGCTTGACGCCGCGGTGGCTGACGCTGCGCTACCAAAGAGGCCTGACATTTTGTCGAATCTGTATGGAATGCCACTGGCCGCGGAGGACCGTTAAGGTGGCTCTGCCAAATAAAATCGGGATGTATGTCAGGCGCAAAGACGATTTTAGCAAGAGAGCAATGATCTGAAGATGGTAGACGCGTCAACTGCCCATGAGAAATGTTTCAAGTCGCGATGTGGTGAATCTCCAACTTGCGCTGCCGGTCTGGAGTTACTTCGAACCTGCACTGTCCCGACGCGGCCAATTAGAGAGCGCCAAGGCTACAGGGTGGATCATACGGTTCCAGATGCGCAACTCTGCTACGGTCGAGGGTTCATTGCCGAACGTAGTCTTTAATTCTACTCGGTAAGGCCGGCCAAACTCTGCACCACCATCATTCGGGACAAGAACATCTCCGGCTCTTCGTCCGAGCCGCGATCCTCGCATTGTTGCAAGCCTCAAGCCCGCCCATGCACTGGCCCTCGAACGTCGGACGATTTTGACGCGTGCTCGACATACTTAATACGGTAGGGGTCTTCGTCATCCACCGGCCACTTGTTTCTGATGGTCAGAAACTAACCTCGGGCATTTCTAATGCATACCCCTCCTGCCTGATATTCGAACGACTCAACACCAATCACGAAGTATTCAGGCCCAGGACGAAATTAATAATGCGGAAGAAGTCAATGGACTCCTCCCGCTGTCGATGGACGGCAAATGGATAAATAGATCAAGGATTCCAGCATACTGGCAATGCTTCTACTCCATCCACCAAGCCACAAACACGTTATTGTCTCTATCAGCACCAGCTTCGGTATCATTTGCCCAGTGCAAGCTCTCTCACCATGTCCAAACCATCTATCATTCTTGTTACTGGTTCCTTTTCCACTCCCGAATACTACGCAGATGTCGTCAACGCGGTTGCGGCCCAGGGCTTTGAGATCAAGGCCATCCATATGCCCAGCGTAGGCCCATCGTCTGGAAAGGGCCGCGAGGGGGTACTGCCCACGATGTACGACGACGCGTCGTTCATCGCCCAAGAAGTGGGAAAGCTTGCAGACCAGGGGAAACATGTGGTCCTAGTTGCGCACTCGTACGGCGGAGTTCCAGCGACCCAGAGCGTGAAGGGGCTTCCGGCCACAGAGAGACAGAAGCAAGGAAAGTCCGGCGGACTTGTGAGGCTGGCGTACATGAGCTGTTTGGTGCCAGCGGTCGGCGCCACAGCGGCGAGTGTACTAGGCCAGGCCCCCCCTGACCAGACGATCGACATAAGAGTTGATGTCAGTTATCTTTTCCCATCTCTACTACACCTTCCTCACCTGGTTTCATTCCATCTGCCTGTCCTATGATTTGCCTGTCTTGTCTCCTTTTTCACATCGACCTTGTCGTTAACCGTATGGTCGATCCTACAGGAAACTGGCTGGATGTACCAAGGGAACCCCGCCGCGACTGCCGGTATCATAGTCCAGAACATTCCCCTGGAACGGGGTGAAGCGCTTGTCAGATCGATGCCCAAGCATTCCTCGGCCAGCTTTGGCAGCGAACTGACGTACCCCGGGTACAAGGACGTGCCGGTATCATATCTCCTGTGTGAGGAGGATCGATGTATCCCACCGGAAGTCCAGAAAGAGGGGATCGACATCATCGAGAAAGCAAGTGGAAACAAGGTCGACGTGACGAGCATCAAGGCCGACCACTGTCCGATGGAGTCGTCCAAGCAGGAAGTCATCGACTGGCTTGTCAGTGTGGCGGAACGGGCCATGGCAGATGCTGCGTAGACGCTCACAGCGAGTCAAGATTAGCTGTGTGAAATCGGACCATAGGTTGCAAACATACTCCAGATCAGTGCTGTTCACCTAAGACTACTTTTCTCTCTAGCTGGCGTGGAAGAGGGTACCATCATTGGGATCAGCAAATGGCATGTTCTGGCCATCATCTGACAGTGAGTACCGAACAGCAGCGGAAAGGGACCGATGTTTACTACGACCCCGAGTAAATAAGTTAAGGAGGAAGGGTGCGCGAGGCTGTAGTCCCCTATTCGGACAGACTCTGAGGCCAGTCTACCACTGCCTCCAGCATCATGAGGGCGACCGACGACGAGTGGTTAACGACCTTTTTGGTCAGCCACGCCTCGAAAACAACACAAGTATCTAACGAAACGCCACATAGGACACGAGTGCAATACCTTTTCATCATTCTGGTGGTCGTCTGCGGCGTCTGCGGTCATTATTGGATTTGTCCGCGGCGCGGACGAAATTGATCCGCGGACTGCCAGTGGGTACCCCAATGCAGTGGACCTTTACTTCCCGCCCATGTCAACGAGCAGGTCGTCCCGTTATTACTATTGAACATGACCAATCCGTACAGAGGTGGCCTTGACGGACACGAGACAGCCTTTCATTGCCTTCGAGGGAATAATCGCCCCTTTCCTTCCTATCCGTGTTCTATTCCTGCAAGATGTGTACATCTCAGTCTTCCGAGGCTACCATAACTTTGTAGAGCGAACGGCTGACATGAGCTGTTGAAGGCTCGTGTCTGCTCCAAACTTATCGCCCTCTGATTCTAGACAACATCAAGCACAGTACTTTCCGTAGCAAGGCCGTACCCTTGTACTATTCGTCAAGACGTGGGTAGTGTTACCTGGGCGACACCATCAGTAACCTTCTGTACCGCTGCATCCTCTCCAACCTCAGCCACTCCGTTTGCCAGCTCCTTGCCTTGCTTGCCGCCCTTTGCGCTCTTCTCAACGCCCTCACCGCCAGCAGCAGCGGCTTTTTGTGCCGCTTTCTTCGCCTTAGCTTTCTCTTTCTGAGCGGCTTTCTTGGCCGCAATGGCGGCCTCTTCTGTCTTTTTCTTTTCCCGCTCGGCTTGGCTTCCTCCGAAGTACTCCCTCCACTCGTCTGCTTTCTTCTCATCAATGCGCGTGAACAGATATTCAGCCTTCCCAATCTTGTGGCCTGGCTTGATGTATGTTGGCAGCCACCCATCGGCGACATCGTCCTCAGATGGGATCTGCAAAAAGTCCACATTCAGTTGCTTTCGTATCGATGCAGAGGTAGCGGGGAGGTATGGCTCAAAGATGGCGGAGCAGAGATAGATGAGGTTGATCACTGTTCCAATAACCGCTGCGGCAAGGGTGGGATCACTTGCGATCAGGGAGTTGTCGAGACGATGAGCTTGAATGAGACCATTACCCGCTTCAGCAATCTTCATGGCGACGAGGACTCCGTTGCGAAGGTGCACGGCCTCCATCTCGGCAAGATACTGTTTGAAAAGCTCGGTGATCTCGGCCAGTGACTCCTTGAACGAGGCTGGAAGGTTGTGCGGGTCGAAGTCGGGGATCACGCTGGAGTAAGCTTTCGGCGAGTTGACCAGTTTGATGATCCTGTTGACAAAGTTCCCCAGCTTGGCCAACAGTTCTGAGTTGTTGCCGTCGATGAAGGATCGCCATTCAAATTGGGTATCTCCCGACTCCGGGCGGTTCTTCAGCAGATAATACCTCCAAACATCAGGAGGCACGCCGGTCTCCTTGGCATTGTTGCCAAAAACCCCGACACCACGACTCTTACTGAATTTGCCATTTTCGTAGTTGAGGTACTCCGTGGAAGAGAGGTGGTGTAGCTGAGTCCATTTCTCTCCAGTACCCATCTGACATCCAGGGAAGATGACGGAATGGAAGGGCACATTGTCTTTGCCCATGAACTGGTACAATTGGACGTTGTCGGGGTTCTTCCACCATTTTTGCCATTCTTCTGTGTAGTTGGCAGTGATAGACGGATAGCCAATGCAAGCTTCGAACCACACATACAAGACCTTGTGTTCATAGCCGGGCAAGGGAACAGGTACACCCCACGCAAGATCCCGAGTAATACCCCTCTCTTTCAACCCCTGCTTCAACCATGCTTCTGTGATCAGCTTGGCACTTCTTGACCAGCCACCTCGCTCGATCGACTGGTTGCACCATTCCTCAATCCGGGGCTGAAGCTCATCCAGGCGCAAATAGGTATGCTTGGTCTCTTTCGTCACAGGAGTGGCTCCGTCGACCTTACACCGAGGGTTAATAAGATCGAGAGGGTCGAGGAGACTTCCACATTTATCGCACTGGTCGCCACGAGCATCATCATAGCCACATTTGGGACATGTACCCTCCACAAAGCGATCAGCCAGAAACTTGCCATGCTTTTCGCAATATGGCTGACTGTTGGTATGTTCAGTCAAATGGCCATTGGCGTGGAGTTGTAGAAATATTTCTTGAGCGATCTGAGTATGTTGTTGAGTAGGAGTCCGGCCGAACTTGTCAAAGCCTATTTCAAACCATTCGTAGATTTCAGCGTGGATTTTGTTGTATTTTGCACACAGCTCTTCTGGGCTGACACCTTCCTCCAAAGCTTTCGTTTCCGTCGCAGTGCCATATTCGTCTGTTCCGCAGATGAAAAGAGTCGGTCTGCCCCGGGCTTTGTTGTACCTAGCGAAGACGTCGGCGCTGAGCACACTACCCACGATGTTTCCTAGATGTGGTACCTGAAAGAGGTCAGTTGAGCATGTTCCATGCCAAGAAGAATGCGCACACATACGTTGTTCACATAGGGCAATGCAGAGGTGATGAGGATATTTCTCTCGCCTTCCTTGGGAAGGATCTTCTCAGCGCCCATCCTGGGCGAGGTGTTGATGACCGCTTGAAGATATTGAACAATATCACTTGACAATTCTCCACCACACGATGCCTGTGAAGAGTTGGTGGAATATCGCCGGCTAGTGCAGATATGGGGCGACTCCAACGGTACTTTGTCGCAGAGAGGCTGACAGAAGGGGCGGGTAGAGGTTGTAAAGGTGGTTTGGATATCTAAATGTTCTCATCGAGGGCGCAGACAGAAGACTCACAAAATCCCCCGCAGGCAACAAAAGCAGCGAGTAGTACATACCAATATCAGAATCCTTGCCGAGATGCTAAAATACTGCTTATTATTAAGCCTCCGCATCTCAAAATCAGCCTCGATTTTTGGTCCGATGCATTCTTTGTCAGTGTCTGCCGGTGCCCATGATCAGTCACGCGGTGGGAAAAGTGTGCAACTCTGCAGCTTCTGTGCCATCTAACAACCCATATCATTGTTGAAAGCCTCCCACACCGTCAGCAAAATTCGACATAAAGGTCCACTGGCCAGAACAAAGTCAGCAATGTCGGGCGATCCATTCGATGATCTGCTGGAACTGGAGGATGGCTACTATAAGGAAGGATACGAAGCCGGCGTTGCTGACAGCAGCTATGCCGGTATGATTGAAGGCAAGGTCTTTGGCATTGAAAAAGGCTACGAAAAAGCCCTTGAACTCGGCAAGCTTCATGGCCGAGCCCTTGTGTGGCAAGCCCGATACGTTGATTCCATTGCCGTGGGACCGAACGTGAAGAAGGCTGCCAACAATGAAGTGACGAGCTCCCAGACGCTCAAAGACCATTCCAAACTGGCGGACACTGTAAGACTACTTGCGCCTCTCAGCAAGAATGCGCGATTGCGAAAGCATGTTGAGGCGCTGCATCTCGCTTCCAACAGCGCTACAATTGCTAAAGACAACTCGGACGAAGCGGTGACTGAGTTTGACGACCGCATTGCAAAGGCCCAAGCCAAAGCAAAGGTCATCGCAAACATTGTCGGTGAATCATTAAATCCAACAACGAGCGTGAATGCCGGCATAGAAGATGCCACAGGACTACAAGCACGCCATTAAGCCATTGAGACGAGTCCAATCATCCCTGGGGATGATGACATGAAGTTGGAAATTGCATCTCGAGTCCATCCGCTGGTCGAGCAATGCCGGCATCGCACGGCATAATACCGAGCGGCAATTGCATATCAACAGGGTTCTCCGCAAAGCTGAATCCAACCCCACAACATTCAACACCACTGCAGTCAAACCTACTTGCTCTGTCCTGGCGCCAGGTCCTCACTGCGGATCTGCAAATCATGCCATAACTACTTTGTCCAATCCAGGACCTTATCTCCAGGATCATAAGGTGGTTTCTTGGCAGAGCTCCAGCAGTGGTTGCAGAACATGACACCACACAACGTACAACAAGCTCGCCATTCCGGACTATGACGCTGTACCATATGGCCTCCGCGGCGTCAACACAGGTCTATGTCAGACAGTGGATGACCCCGCAGAGGGCGCGATTGTTCAAATCCTGCTCTTGTCGCAATTTCTAAACGGATTCCAACATCTTCTCTCCTACCGATTTTCGATGGCCTAGTGCGCGATGAAGAACCTTCCACGTTTACTGTCTCTATCCTGCGTGGCTACAGTCTGGGCACAGGTCCAGCCGTTCGGTGTGACCAGGCCGATCGTGGAAGACTGTGGCTTCAATGGAACCGTCGTCTGCGTGAACAAATATGTATGCTATAAGATGCATCGCAGATCGAATATTACTGACAATGGCAGGCGGCTGTACTGCCCTATCATTTCAATAGGTCTATCTCCAATAGCAAAGTTGACTATGACTTCCGCAACACGAGCGATCAAAATGCGACAACTCTGGATCTCTTAGACACTGCCAACTTTGTCGTGTTCGATCGACAACGCGGGCTACAGTATCTGGGACCCAACCCCAGTTACGAATTCATGTTCGCAGTGTCTCCAGCTGTCCATGAAGCTCCCGTGTACGCACCAAAGCAGAATCTATTGTTCCTGTCCCAGCTGGCACCTCCCACAGGCCAGTTGCCGCAGCTAGTGGTCGACTTGAACCAGAACCCACCAACGCTCAACGAATACCTACCCAACCCACCCATCTACGCTCCAAACGGGGGAACGTTCCGGAATGGCCTCATTATCTTCGGCGCGAGCGGTGGCAACGACAGCCTCGGAGGAATCGAACAAAGGATCTCGATCCGCACAGTTGACCCTGCCACAAATAGCTCAACGGTTCTGCTTAACAACTACTTCGGTTTTTACTTTAACACAATCGATGATTTGTCGATCCATCCCACTACGAAAGACATATTTTTCACAGACCCGTACTATAGCTGGTACAATGGGCTGACGGACACGGCACCACAACTTCCTGCAGCAAGCTATCGCTTCGACCCAGAGACCGGAGCAGTTTTCCTCATTGACGACAGTTTGGAGGAGCCCAATGGTATTGCCTTCTCTCCTGATGGCAAGACACTCTACATTTCCGACACGGGTGCGGTCTCTGGGACGATTGATCCCCGGCTAGGCAGTCAGGGCGCGACGTTCAACACGACCGGCAAACGCACCATCTATGCATTTGACGTCACCAGCAATGGCACGAGAGTCTCGAATAAACGTGCCTTCTATCTGGCCCAAGACTGGGTCCCTGATGGCTTAAAGGTCAGTAGAGAAGGTCTCGTGCTGACCGGTTCCGGACATGGCGTGGATATTTTGGACGATGTCGGCCAGCTTCTTATCCGCATCCAGACGAACTATACAGTGCAGAACTTTGCCTGGACAGGACAGAATCTCAGCACCCTCTGGATGATGGGCAATAACGGCATTAGTCGGGTTCAATTCAATATCACAGGGCAGACGTTGACCTGAGATGGGATTGATATTGTCATACGTTTCGTGATGGAGTGGAGTGCACAAGCGGTCAAATATGACACTGAAGATATGGCCACGTTTAACAGTGGTCTTGAGAGCACGAGTATCGCCATCGTAATCGAATCATTTCAAAAATGAATCCGCGCGTTATCCACTAACCTGCCTTGGAGAATGGTCTGACTTCTCCTCCACTGGCTTATCTTTGATCTTATCATTACACCTAGCTAGGCACAGAGGCATGCATGTTCGATCATCGCTTTCACCACGCTTTTCACATGTGGCAGCAGACATTCTCAATCATCCAACCCAACAACTGTCAGGTCAGGTAGACCATTGACGCCGTGGAGAGCCAAACAGCCTTCACATCTCGGCTCTGCAGAAGTTCTCTCGAGCTTGGTCGGACTAGGTCTTCAAACCGCCCCCGTGACCACCATACGAAGAGTCACATCCATTCGGAGCAATTCCTCTGGGCTGCCGTCAATTATGATTGTTCGAAGGTTTGCGCAAAGAGAGGAAGTAGATTCAACATCAACGAGGTGGTCAAAGCAATACCCATAGTGACATCGTTTGGGTACAGTCTGCACAGAGGTTGCTACGTGATAGTACCGTGAAACATGGAGTCCAACCTCCTTTGATTATTGATCTTCAGCTTGAGAGTAGTCGAGGGTGTAGAACTCCCAAGGACCTTTCTATATGATTATCGTATTTATATACCCCATTTGTATCGGGTGAGCGCCTCTAGAGAGGGAATCTGCGGATGAGGAAATGTGCAGAAGCATAGATCCCAGCACCCACAGCACACAAGCCAGAGATGACGCCGAACCCCATCAAGTATTTCGGAGAGTCGGCTGCAGGCCACAGATATGCGCCGTAGATCCCGGACAGGCTTGCCAGTGTGTTGACAAAAGCCAAACTGACGGCTCGAACTTCCTGGGGCATCGGGCCGAACGTTGACGCGCAATAGGCCAGAGACAGCGCGTTTGCAGACAGGCCTCCCGACGCCATGAAGACCAGCATCACATAACGCGCCGTGTAGTTGTAAACGGCCGACACCACGATGGCGCAGGTCATGCTCACCCTGTGCAGAGGCGTCAGTAACTATATCGGAGCGACTGGAGGTCTCAATGGATCATGCAGGGGGTCCAAGAAAACTCACGTCAACCAAGCGGCAATGGTCAGGCCGCGGTAGCCGGGGTACCTGTCACTGAGCCAGCCGGTGAGCAGAACAAAGACAAATGCGGCCCCGTAGATGGGCACCATCACTGTTTCCCATGTCAGATGAAATTCCGAGTTGCGCAGAGCGACTAGTAGACTGTAGTCACTCACTGTATTGTGCCATTGTTGACGTGTAGCCCAATCCTGCCACCAGCGTTGGGTAAAAGTAGGACATTGTCGTGACTCCTCCGATGGACTAGATAGCAGACGGTTTAGTATTTGATTGTACCAAATGGCCAGGTCGAGAGGGTGTACTCACCACATATCCCATGGTCAGAATCCAAACTCTCCAGTCCAGCAGTGAAGCTTTCACCGCTTCGAAGTGACCGAGGAGCGGCTGGTCCTCGGTGCGGCTTGAGATGTTGTCTGCAAACAGGCGTTGCGTGGCGATGTGTTTCTGGCGTGGAGATAGACGCTTCGTGGTTGCTGGGAAATCGGGGAGGATGAAAAAGCTGACAATGGCAACGAATATTGTGGCTGCACCTTCAACAATCTACAAAGAGTCAGTCACACTGTTTGATCCTTGAGGGTGTGCTACGGTCTCACAAAAAGCCATCGCCACCCAGCGATACCGCGAGCGCCATCGAGATGGCCTGTGATGGCGCCGCTGACAATCCCTCCAAAGGCGCCGGAGAGGACAGCCGCGGAGTAGAAGATGGAGAAGCGTTGAGCCTGTTCGTCCTTCTTGTACCAGGTCGAGAGCAGGAGAGTGACACCAGGGGCGTAGGCAGCCTCCAACACACCAATGATGAAGCGAACGGCCAGCAAGCCCCCATAGCTTTTGACCGTGCCCATGCAGCAGGTCACGATGCCCCAGGCCGCCATCATGATGGTAAGGTAGATGGACGGACGAGTCTTGGAGAGGATGAGGTTACTCGGGACCTCGAACACCACATATGATATGAAAAATATCACCAGCGACATCGAGTATTGACTCGAGGACAGATGGAGGTCTGTCGCCATGCCGGCGACTTTCGCATTGCCAATACTGTGGTCGTGGTCAGCCAGGCCGTCCGTCGTCTTCACACTGGGGTGGAGGAGAAAATCCCTTACTTTGTGCGGTCCGCATAGGAAAACAAATACATGACCCAGATGGCGGGCATAAGCATCAGGTCCGTCCGGCGAAGAACAGCCTTCTCTTCTTTGTCCGACCATAACGAGGTGTCCACCACCACGTCCTCTCCGTCGTGTGGTGATATGACGAGAGCGTCTGCATTTTTCTTGAGGGGCTCGACAAAGTCCATTTTGGGAGAGCTCAAAGGTTGATTTGCAAGAAAGACTCGTCCTCACCTATCCATTTCGTAAGGGAAGATAGGGAGTACTTGATATACCCCCGGTTTGGGATATGCAGATGGCGGTAAACAGCGCCAACGAGCGGTATCCGCCGCCGCCGGCTCCACAGCTGGCCTTGTATCCACTTGATATGGTCGGCGACAGGGCCGACGGGGTAGCAGCACTAACGCGGGAGATCTGTCAGTTAGCTTATCGCAGCAGTGATGTGCGGATCCCAGGGCTTGCTGGTCGGCCTCATGTTGTCAATGGGCGCATCCACTGGGCGGCGATGGCCGCTGAAATTTGCGGCCTGATTCGTGGTTGTCTATAAAATGTAGACTGATCGATCGATTCGCGATTTGTGAAGATTGCTCAACCAAGCATCATGGCCGAAGCTTTCCCAGATACGTTGATTATCGTTGGCGCAGGGGTCTTTGGCTTGTCGACCGCCCTGGCCGTCGCCCATCGCCACCCCTCGACCAGAGTGACTGTCATTGATCGCCTCGTACCGCCGGTCGAAGATGGCGCCAGCGTCGACACCACCAGGTGTATACGAGCTGGTACGTATTGCCCCTGCTAACATGGTGCCGATTGCATGGGACCGTGCTGAGAGCTTGCAGACTATGCCGATCCTGTTTACTCTCAGCTTGCTGAGGAAGCCCAGCAGAAGATTGAAGAGGATCCAGAGCTCAGCCCGTATTACTTCAAGCAAGGCATGACATTCGTGACCGATGGCAAGCCCGGACCACTGCTCGAGAACTGGAAGCAGTGTATGGTCAATATTCGAAAACGAGATGGCGACAGTGTGCTGGTGGAGATGTCTACACCTGAAGCCATCTATCAACGTATTCACGGTCCTGGGGCACAACTCGTACCAGAAGCGCGCTTGAACGGCTGCCGGGAGTGGAACGTAGGTTATTGTAACCTCAAGGATGCTTGGGTGGACGCGAAAGAATTCACTCGCGTTTACTACGAGCGCTGCTTGTCCCATCCGTCCATTTCTTTCCGGTGCGGAGTCGCCGTGGAAAAGGTGTGCGTCGCAAATGGGAAAACATCTGGTGTTGTTTTGGAGAATGGCCAAGTATTGAATGCACCGTTGGTATTGGTCGCAGCTGGTGCTTGGTCGAACAAGTTGGTATACCTGGACGATGTGACCGTGTCCGCCGGTATTCCCGTGGCATGGATCAAAGTGACCGACGAGGAGACTGCCAAATGGAAGAATATGTCAATCACGACCAATCTCAGCACCGGCTTGAACCTTTTCCCGCCCTACAAAGGCGAGATGAAGTGCCTCCTCCGGACGCTCCCATTTCGAAATACAGTTTCTATCCCTCATCCGGAGCATCCGTCTAAGAAGATCAAGACGTCGCTTCCTCGAACTGTCGTCACCAACCCTACCGATGTGATACCGTTGGAAGTAGAAGCCGGCATCCGCGATAACCTGCGTGAACTCATGCCAGAACTGGCTGACCGACCGTTTGATCGAAGCAAGATCTGTTGGTAAGTTGATGTCCAGCCCCCGCTGTGTCTGTGTGGGGAATCAAAATGCTGACGCTGGGTCCCAAAAGGGTTTCCAAAACCAAGTCTACCGATTTCATTATTGCGCCACACCCAGCCATCAAGGGTCTCCATATCGCCACCGGTGATTCAGGGCACGGATTCAAGTTTCTTACCGTCATTGGTGATCTGATCCTGGACTCTCTCCAAGGCAAACTGGACAAGAAATACGCCGATCGATGGGCGTGGGCTGACAAGGAGAGCGTCGGAAGTGCATCCTTCATGGGCGAGACCCTTCGAGAACTCCAGACAGTCGTCCGCAGTCGGCTATGATCGCTGCCTAGGTAGTTGAAGTGATAGGTAGATGAACTTGGCTACTGTGAGAAACTCCATACCTTAAAGCTAAATCTTGACGCTGGGAGACCATACAAGCATTTCTCCTGACTTGTAGAGCCGAGCTTCGTCCACGCTTGGTCCTCTTATCCTCGCTGACTGCTTCTAGAAAGGCTGGCGGACATGTGAGCGAGAGATAACGGGCCAGTATGCGAGATAAGGAAATATGGGGTCGGACAAGGCCAGGGCCCGTTATCGTTACTACCGCAACAGGGTAAGGAGGGCGGCATCTGCCGCCATTGGCTATATACGACCCCATCACCCCACTAGCTAGGGCTATGGAGATAAGGTAATTTCGACCTCTGCTTCCTCTTTGCTGAGAGAGTACAAATGTTCCACGTCCATGATGGAGTCCACGTGTACAATACACGGTGCTGACGAGGACCACCTGGTTGCGGAGAATTCTCAGCATTGTCAATAGAACCAAGATCAACAAAGGAGATCAGAAACGGCTATTCTATTCTCCCGGGCCGGCTGCCCCTAGCCGCTTTGATCTTGCCACCTCAATCAACACATTTCGCTGATGGCCGTGTTCGAAAAGCATGTCCAGATGCCATCGGGGACCCGTTCGAATAAGACCAATATTACAGCCTGTATCCGGTGCCGACGGAAGAAGAAGCGATGTGATCAGAAGCTCCCTGTAAGTGTCAATGATCGTGGCACCGGTTGGGAACAGTTGCACTAACCATCTTCACAGAGATGCAGCCTGTGCGAACTTGCCGGGACAGAATGTGTGAACTACGATGCGCTGACATCGCGGCATGTGCCCAGAAGGTCTTGATCTTAGCCTCAGCCTCGTTTGCCCAACATCAAGTAACGTTTCGAATACAGCTATGTCCGCGACCTGGAAGAACGTATAGCTCTTCTTGAGTCGAAGCTCCAGGAGCATCATATCCATGACACCGATCATGAGACGACTTCAAGATCTCCTACTACGTCGGTGACTGTTCCGGCTTCTCATCTGGCGGATTCATACCCCCCGAACCGGCCTCGTCAAAATGTGGAAGCTCACCCACCCACGCCAATGAATAACACGCTCGACACGACACTGGCAATGGCATTGGCACAACACGGCCCTACCGAGGAGCCAGCACTCTCTGATGTGCTGTTGACAGAGCTTATGAGAACAAAAATTACCCCACACGGAGCTGAAAGACCTGACCTCGAGCAAGGACTCCAGGAGAAAGCCCTTTCCCCCGATGAATTCGACACTTCCCCGATCTCAATGCCCACGAGAGAAGGCGCGCAGAACCTTTTCCGGGCTTACTTCAACTTTGCGAACCAGAGTTTACCCCTACTCCATGAACCAACATTGGTACAAAAGTTCGAGCTTCTCAGTAGCACCACACGGACGGTCGACTTGACTGAAGCCAGCACAGATCATAAATTGGCAGTGTTTTTCGTGTTTGAAGTCTTCGCAGTAGCGTTGTTGTTACTGCAGAAGTATGACCCATGGAGGATACCAACGTCGATGGCGGAGCGATATCACAAGACGGCGCTCAAGGCCATCAATGAAGCCGGCCTACCGAGCGATGTAAGGGGCGTTCAGGCTCTTCTGCTTATTGCGCAGTACTCTTACCACCATCCCATAGAATGGGCTACCTGGAAGACAGTGGGCACAGCCATGCGCCTGGCAGTCGAACTTGGCCTCCACCAAGAACCTCCACCATCACACAAGCTGGATGATTTGACGCTCGAAGATAGGAGGAGAACCTTTTGGGTTGCGTATTCGATGGATATCAACATCTCAATAACTCTGGGTCTGCCATCATCTCTATCTGACGGCGTCATCATGGCCAAGGTACCGTATCTTGAGCAAACCCCAATGGCACCAAATGCTGACCTAGACAGGTCTTCAGTCAAGAGAACGACGAGAACATCACCTCAAACGGTATTGTAGTGGCTGATGAATCGACACCTAAGCCGAAGCGTGTCGCTCTCCACCTGCTTCGGTACCGCCAACTGCAATCCGAAATGCGGGTAGTGCTGTATGAGAAACCACCTGCACCTTTAGCATACATCCCGGTCGATCTGAGTGTTTGGCAACAGCAAATGTGCCACCGTCTACAGAGCTGGTACAACGACACGCCGCGACCGGAGACGCTAACCCACCGTGAACATAAAAACCTGGAGAACTTCGAAGTCACCTACTATGCCGCGCTCCTCTACCTATACCAGCCCTCGCTCAACATCCCTACTCCGTCTGAGCAGGGCTTACTGGCACTTGCAGATGCCGCAAGCAACACAATCCAGCTATACCGCCGGTTCTTCACGAAGCACCAACTCACCATATATTGGCTGGCAGTGGAAACCCTGTTCTCGGCAGGAACCGCCTTGATGTATGCGTACGTGAAGTCGCATTCAGTCCAAGAGCGTATCACATTTCGCCATCTCGAATCGCTCGTGCGTACCTGCTCGTCTGTCCTGTGGGGGATGGTCGAGCACTTCCCTAATTTCCGAGGCAAACGTGACGCATTTGACCTGGTCGTATCCAGGACTCTGGCAGACCTAAGCAGCAGGTCTTCCGTCAATGGGAGGATGGCAACGACCTCGATGCACGACAAGAACGCCGGACACAGTCACATCGAGCACAACAGAAACCGAGCGGACCTTGACTGCACAGCCGCCGGGTGGCGACATGGGCAGCGACCGCCAGAGTCCGAAACAGGCTCCGCAGATGCAGCCCAGTTCTCTGACACTCCGACGCCCGACAATGATCGATATCACAACCAATACCTCCAACTACTATCGTTGACCGCCGGGGTTGAGTCCAGTGGAAGCAACACACCTCAGGCGCCCTTCTCTTTCGCCGAGCTTGACCAGATATCCTTCGATTGGGGCGCTCTTGAGAATACAGCTGACTTTCCTACCCCGTCCTGGCTCTGAGTATGCAGCAGGAACCGTCGAGAAAATGTCCCATATCGGCTAAATAAGGTTGAACAACAGGGAGACGGTTCGCAAGCGTCGAATCGTGTCCTTAGACGTCACCTTTTCAATTTCTTCTGGGTAGATCAATGGCCGCTGTCTATCCACACTGTCCCTGGATGAATACGCACCTCCTTCGCCTTCAGGAGCCATCGAATATCACTTATCAACCCTTGCGATACGGCTCGATGTGGCCCTTGTCCCGCCCCATTGCCGCTCATACTCCTTCGACAAGAACCAGTTCGAGTATGCCACAAGCGATAATGTTCACCGGCCAATAATGTATGCAGGGATAAGATCAAGGACAGCTCAATCATCTACTCAAATACGTGCGACTGGAGTCCGAATAGTCTTTGACGAAAGACAGGTCAAAGCGTTCGACGTTGGTTCCGGGAATCATATTAAGGTATTTTGGCAATCGCCGATACTCCGGTGTCCAATCTAACTCGCGTCTCCAACACCATCCCGAGACCAGCGCACTGGAAATGGAGTTCCGATGGCGCCGAGATTTTGCATAATCACTGTATTGAAAATTCATAACTTCAAATGGAGGATCCACATCCATGTCTGATGTCATCTTGCATTACTCCTTTTCAAACCAACTGAACCCCTTCAAACCTACCTTAATTAAGGCATCTAACTGCCTTATTATACTAGTACTTCACGAATTGATCATTGGTCCTTACTCGGTGCAGTATAAGTATACATAGCAGCCATTCGTTTGCAAACACCCTGTACATATAAATCAACTTCAGCCACAGCCACAGCCACAGTCGACACGCTTTTCCGCGCTTTCCGTCATGACAGCCGACAATCCCTACAGTCATGAACTCTCCATCGCCCTGCTCACCGTCCAGCGCGCGTCGCTACTCACCAAACGCATCGTGACCGCGCTCGACAAAGGCGCCATTGACAAAAGCGACGCCAGCCCCGTGACGATAGCCGACTTCGCCGCGCAAGCGCTCATCATCAGTGCCCTGCACCGCAATTTCCCAGCCGACGGCTTCATCGGCGAAGAAGACGCCGAAGCGCTCCGAGGAAACGCCGCGCTCTGCGACCGGGTATGGGAGCTCGTGTCTACGACTTCACTAGACGATCCGCCGAGCGAGGAGCTCCCGGGCAAAATCGGCTCCAAGGAGGAGATGCTCGCGACAATCGACCTGGGCGCCAAAGCCGGATCCCAAAGCGGGCGGAACTGGGTCTTAGATCCCGTCGACGGCACGGCCACGTTCATGCGCAACCAGCAGTACGCGGTATGTCTGGCCCTCGTGGAGGGTGGGAAACAGAAACTCGGCGTGCTCGGGTGTCCGAACCTGCTCATTGGAGAGGGCGGTGAGGTGCGTGAAGATCTCATCGACAGCAAGGGGCTGGGTCGGATGCTGTCCGCCGTCGTGGGCCAGGGAGCGTATATCAGGCCGATTGCACGGGGCCGAGTGGAAACGCCTCAGAGGTTGGGAAGGATCGCAGAGGTCGTCGATCCGGCCAAGATACGTTGGGTCGATTCTGTCGCCAGCGACAATATCACGCACCAGATCCATCGCGCTATCGCTGAGAGGCTCGGCTCCACGACCTGGCCGGGCACGGATATCTGGTCGTCGCAGATGAAATATATCGGTTTGGCCGTCGGTGCGTTTGATGCCATGGTCCGCATCCCGCCGGATAGGTCGTACAGGGCCTCGGTCTGGGATCATGCTGGTGGCCAGCTCATTTATGCCGAGGTCGGCGGCGTCTTGTCAGATACGAGTGGTAAGCCCTTTGACTTTGGTTTGGGCAGAAACCTCGAGTCGAATCTGGGCTTGGTTGCCGCTCCTGCAAGTATACATCCCAAGTTGTTGGAAGCTGTGAAAGAGGTGTTGGCGGCGACTGCTGGTGTTGGCCAATGACCGTGACAGAGCGGTTGATAAAGTTGAAGTGAATACTTATACTAGCCATCGAATGAGTAGACACTAGGAAGGACGCTTCGATTCCAGTTATTCCTACTACTTATATCTCTACTAGTATCCAGGGAAGGGGCACCTACTCTGATTAAGTGAGAAACAGTCGTCGGAGTCCAGTTTTCATGTTGATTACATCTTTATTATGGGGGTAGAATACTACCTAGGTGGTAGCTAGGTACCTAGCTAAAGCCATGCAGGGGGATCAGCAATGCTCGCGCTTGATCTTCCCAAGACAATAAAACTTGCTTCGATGCGCATTGCAATGTTGCATGCCTTGTCACGTAACTCCCCATACTCCATGCTTTGCGCAATGCTGCATCCAGCGACTCCAGACTCCATGCAAGTGTTGTCGTGCCTCGAGAAATCATGCCATATGCATGTTCGCAACGAGCTGGCTTCAAGGGTTGGATAACCATGACTCCTCAATCAGCTTCCTGATGCTTAGATGGGGACAGCCTTTCGTTCAATGCTTCGGCGAGCATGGTATCTCCCGTCCGAAAATGCTGCTGGACCTGGTTCATTGAGAGGCGCGCCATGACCGGTAGTTGTGCCGTTGGTATACCCACCGGTAACACCATTTGTAGGAGCGAAACCAGCGTTATGTTCGACATCGCCATTGCGGGTGTCGGCACCGTGAGGACCAGCACCAGTATTGAATCCTGCCACCTGTCCTCTCAAACCATGAGCAGCGTCAAAGGGAGCACCTCCATATGCTTCCTCATAACCCCAACCAGCACGTCGTGTGAAGACCGCGGACTCAAAGCCGCCTGCACCAGCTGCACCAGCGCCGTAGGAGAAGGGAGTGTGCCGGGTTAGCGGGATGTGGTTGAAGCGGAAGTCCCAGACAGAGGCGTAGAGCATGCGATAAGCAGAAAGGGCAAAGACGGTGCCAATGACAGCGCCGGCCAAGCAGTCATACCAGTTGTGGTATTCGTCAATGGTAAGCGCACCGGTGATCAGAGTTGCTCCCAGAAGAGGGGCGTAGAGTGCAATCAACTTCCAGAATGCTGGGTGGTAGTTGCTGAAAACCTTCAATTTCGCGTTCAGGTACAGGTAGAGGTAGAAGAAGCCAGCCCAGGCAGCGGTGCTGTGGCCCGAAGGCATCGACTCCAACGAGTCATCGATCTGACTAGCATTGCCACGACAAACATTTCGTTGAAACATGACATTTCGAAAGCCGGTCCCACCAGTAGTAATCAGTGCTGGGTCTGGATCGCAGACACTGAGAAAGTGAGGGCGTAGTCCACCAATGAGCCATTTGACAAAAACTTGGAAGACGGCCGCGGCGATGAGGGAATAGAGAAGACCGAGGATTGCGTTGTTGGCGTCCCAGAAGGATCTAACCCGGATTTGCATGCACAAGATGATGAAAATCGGGATCAAGGCGGCCAGAAGGGCTGCGAGCCAGATGGGAACGATCTCATGGCGCAGGGGGTAGGAAAACTGAGGGTAGACGATCTCTCCGTCGAGGAAGGTGACAGGGAACGAACGACTCGGCGCTGGTTTCGCTTCGTAGATACCAAGTCCAACTGCGCCCATGGCGGCCATGGTCAGGATATCGAGCCAGGTGAACTTGATCCTTTGGAATGTGTTAGTCCCCTCGTGCAATCAAACTTCTGATGTAGGGTTAATCAACATACCATTGTCCAAAGGTTGGGCGGCGATTGAAGTGACCAGAACTAATGTCAAAAGGCTCGCCCTTGGTTGTAGCCCGATTCTGTCCATTCATCTTTGAATCACGAGTGGTGCTGGGCCCATTGGTGGCTGCGCCGTCGGTTCGTCTCGAGAACAAACCCATCGTGAAGACTGCGCGAGTGCGAGAGGGATGCAAGGATCGAATACTGGTGATTGCGACGGAGGACAGATAGGCAGGAGAATGAGAATTTGCTGTTCCCGAGAACTTGAAGGTCGAAGTGAAACCCGATGGTCAGCTGCGACCTGAGTGAACAGTGAGGCCGAAGTGATAGACAGATGGCTTCCAAGAGAGGAGCCTCTCTATTTCAGCTTCGAGACACGATGTATCACAACAGTCTCTGAATGACGCAGCAGAAAGGGTGATCGAGTTCAGAGTCTGGGATGCCGACGTCTTGTGCCTTGTTTTGGGGTTTGACGGCGTCGTCTTGCACAAACTGGGCAGTAAGGTAAGGATCCAAGCGATTGATGGATTGGGAATGGCTTGGCTTGCAGATCGACAAAAGGACCAATTCAAGTTCCAAGGAAGGAAACAAGCTCGCGGGCTAATTGCTTGGCTGACGTTTAGCTGTGGCTTGACCGATCCACCTCGCAGTCCTTAGTAGCAAATTACGTAGTTTGTGGTACCTTAGTACTACTACAACATTGTAAGTCACCGACGACGGAGAGAAGCCTGCGTTCGGAAACGAGGATTTGCACCATCAGACACCGCTTGCAGGGAGCAGCAAGATGCTTGCACCTATCTGCCGTTCAAAGATAGGCATTTGTGCTAACAGGTACGCATCAGTGCTGTTTGTAGGTCCCCTGAACAACTGAATACCTTGACGGCGCTTAAGGCAGTGGAGTCAATCTCCATGCCTGCAGTGCAGTGTGGGACAAGCATTAGGTCAAGCTTCGGAAATCCACCCAGACCTGGCAAGAAAACGAGGTGTGGCGTTGGCGCCACAGTCTGGCGGTTTCAATGGCACAGGCCTCCATTCAATCCAGTCAGTGCTGCGCCCGTGTACCTGTACTAACCCCATGCAAATACTGTGGTCCTTACTAAGGTACTACTACCTAGGTAGGTAGGCATCCAACTAAGGTACTTGGTGCGCCGCGCCCATGGGGAGCGAGCGTCCAGTTCGTCGGCCAAAGCCAGCGTAGAGCTCATATACGTGAAACAGCTGATCATTTTTCCAGGCTTGTGTCAAACCACAGCCAACTATGATGCATTAATCTGACCGGGTAAATTGTTTCATCGTTTTCGACAAACGCCCCCCCTTTCATTGCATGGCAACGAGCTCAAACGCTGTGCAAATTGTGAACACATCCATCTTGTAAAAATGTCGCGAGTACCGGTCACCAGCTAGCTTGCGACGTCTGGAAACATCTTGTTCGGCAGTGAGGGAACAAGCGTGCAAGAGACCAGTCCTTTAATTCTTGAATGCCTTCAATGCCTTCAATGCTACAAGTCAAGCTTGAGCGCCCGGTATCCTGTTAGTCGAGATTCAGTGCCATCCTCCAGATTTGTTGACCTGAACCCCCCAGATTGTGCAAACATCAAGTCATAATTCGTGTGATCCATGCCATCTAATCAAGGCTGTCAATCCAATTCATCCCTTGAAACACTTCCATCATCTTGTAGCAGAGCCCCACATCGTCGCCAGGCTCACCACCAAATAGTTTTATCCGTTCCGTTTCGTTCTTGACATTGTCTCGGGTTCGAATCACATCGCGGTTCTGCCAAGCTGCGTATCGATTGTTCAAATGCTTTGAGGCGATAGTGGCGTTGGGATTGCGAAGAAAGGACGGTGGTATGATTTGGTCTCGCGTGGATTCTGAGATAGACGCCAAAGGATGAGACGTGGCAAACGGCACCGTAAAGTTGTCCAACATGCCGAAGGTCAAGCTCGCAGTACGAGAGCCCCGACCACGTGGACGTACTCGTCTGCGGTTATGTTTATGTGCCATTGTAGTTTTGCAGTTATGTTGCCGCTGCTAGAGCAAGGTCGCTGCCGTGTTGCGAGTGGGAGTGAGTGCAACGTAGAATGGGTAGATGCACGAGGGAGAATGTGAAGATGATGGGGAGATGGGGCATCAGCGAGGGATATTAAGAACATACTTGCCTGGAATAATGAGTCTATACGACGGCATAGGCAGCGTGAGTCACATGAGACCAACCTGATGAGAGCGCGGTGGTTGTGTGACGGAAAAGGCGTATGCCTGCGTTTTCGGGTTCCAAATAGGCACAACGAGGCTGCGTGGTGTGAGAGTCACAGAATAGGTGGCGTGGAGGTGGCCGATGCGCAGGCCGAGTTTCGCTCATGAGTCAGAACACCAGTGTCGATTTTGCCCCCGCATTCTGACCACTTGTGCACCCACCGCACTGGATTGCCATACTACTAGTAGTACGGCACCGTAGCATTACTTGAACGTCGGGTGACTTTGCACACGATGGTGTAACCCTCAGCCTCAGACCTCATATCGAGTCGCTTTCTCAGCATTCCTGACCAGCAGGACATAGTATCTCTGAAGTTCAGTGCCAGCAAGATGAAGCACCCAGATCACTTAACTTCAAGTTCAGATTGCAGATCTGGCCTTGGCAGACTACGGTGGACTGCAAGTTCAAGTTCTGCGCTAGCCTTGTATTGATCCATAGTATAATTCAGCCATGTCCGACACCGGTGAGCCTCTAAGCATGAATGCTCGAACATGAAGATGGTTTCATGGCATCAGGGTTTGAAGGTCCATAATCACTTCGTCACTACCATATGTCAGTCAATATCGACAACGGCGTGATATTGGAGGCTCGTCGATGATGAACCCAGAGCTGAGAGAATGTATGCTCCCCGCCAGTATCTGCAATCAAACAGCCGAGGTTCGGCCCATAGACCCTACAACTTGAATCATGGCCGACATTACCGGTGACCCCATCTTCCCCAGATCTACAGGCGATATATATATGCGATCTTGATTGATCTGTATGGACTTGATACTTGTGCACAGGTCCTCCCAACAGGTATCCGCGCCAGATCCCTTTCAACCCGCCATAAATCAAGTCAATGATGACTTCGGTGGCCGATCTTCGTGTCTCGACGCTCTTCGATGTCAGCAATCATGTAGTTCTGGTTACAGGAGGCGCCACAGGGTTGGGCGAAATGGCAGCTCAAGGATTCATTCAAAACGGAGCGAAGGTCTTTATTGCCAGTCGTAAAGAGTCCGAACTGAAGAAAACGGCAGACCGGTTGAACTCCCTTGGACCAGGCAAATGCGAGTACATCGTGGCCGACTTGAAGGATAAAGCTGGATGTGACGGACTGGTGAGCGAGGTCAAGAAGCGTACTGACCGGTTGACCGTACTCCTCAACAACACGGGGGTTACTTGGGGGGCATCCTACTACGACTTTCCAGAGGGTGGCTGGGACAAGTTGATGGCATTGAACGTCAAGTCGGTCTTTTACATGACGGTCGGCCTGGAACCTTTATTGCTAAAAGGAACCAGCGCCAATATGCCATCACGGGTGATCAACATTGCTTCGATGGCCGGTATTATGACCACAGACGTTACAACCACCGACGACGGGGGCCTTTCTGCTCCGGGTCATGGAACGTATAGTTGTACGTCCCCCTGGGACAAAAACATCCAGGAGATATTGATGCTGACATTTTCCATCGCAGACGGACCATCGAAAGCGGCTTGCATCCATCTGACCAAGATGCAAGCATCGAAACTGGCACCGCAGAACATCATGGTGAATTGTATCTGCCCGTAAGTCTTCATCTCTGCACTACGTGGACGTCCAGTCCTGACCAATATCTTGCTAGTGGCGTTTTCCCGTCACGGATGACCAATTTCGGAATTGAAAAGTACATCGACACACTCTTGGAGCGACAGCCTACGGGGCGTGTGGGCAAACCCTCCGACTTTGCAGGATTGGTGATATTCCTGAGTAGCATGGCGTCGGCGCACATGACGGGCAATGTCATCGAGATTGATGGCGGCAGTGTGCTCACCGGATGGAAGTCAAAGAAGAAGGGCAGCAAGATCTGAAGGACGAGGCGGGAGCCTTTGTGAAACCGGAGGCATTGCTGGAAACAACTCGAGCACGCGAGCCTTCGAAAGGGGTGACGTAGAAATAAAGACATAAAGCATGGGTTGACCTCCCATATATCCTCGATTGTTCGATGATGGTCTGCACTTCAAGATCAAGTCGTGCCAGTGTTCAACTTGGGTGGAGTTCCCGCACAGTTTGACGGGTGATCTTGGGCGCGGCTGGTCGGTGCAGTGGCTTCGTTGCCATGGCGGTACCGCTGTTAGGTGGACAGTACAGGCGGCACTAGGTTAGGTACTCCTAACAAGAAATAATAATACTCTGTACCGTGGCAGATGCACCTTCAGTTAGCCACGCTCTACTGGCGGTTACGGGGCAGCCGCCATCGCCGTAGGGTCGATCACCACAATGTAGGTGCCTACTAGGTGCCTGTGACGCCCGGCTCCATCGCTCGATGCATCTTCTGGGCATGTGTCATGCGGTTAGGGAGGTCTTATTCCCTTTCGCTCATACTCGCTCGTCTTCCATCACGAAACCAACTTATCCAATATCTGCCTTCAAGTTCATTTTATCAAACCTCTCAACCGACATCATCACCGCTGTGGTGTCATAACAAGCACGGTGATGACCCCAGAATGGTGGCCTTGTGTTTGATATCCGAGTCCTTTACGTGGAGGCGCTGCACTTGAACTGATTCAAATCGGATCCCACCTTTCCTCGACCTCGACTCTAGCTCCCTCAATTGGCCTAGAACCCCGCTGCTCTTCTACATCGGTTTGCACCTACCCTTCCGCCACAATCTCTATCCTTCAAAGTCTCTTCACCCTTCATCCATCGAATCCGCCCTCCATAGGAGCGATGCAGCCCGGCGCTGAGCAGATCCAACATGCGCGACTTGCGATGACATTCGATACCTCCATCCGCCCCTCTTCCACATCCCTACCCTCCGACTCCAGTTCTTCCTCACATTTCACCGGCCACCCGGGCTGGCGGCAAGACCGAATAGATTCTACGGCTGGACGCTCGCCCAATTCAATCGTTATAAACATCAATGATGGCGGATCAACAGGCCGTGGTATCCTTATCGGGGTATTATCCGCATTCGGTTCCGCAGGCATTGCGGTTCTGGTCCTGGCCGTTTTCTTCTTCTTCAGATATACCTCCCGAGGGCGAATTCTTCTGGACCGGATAGGCCGGCCAGGCGAGTTCGATGATGAGCAGGCTTTTGCGCAGGAAGAGGCGGAAGCCCTGGAGACAATGGATGAGTTACAACGAGTGGAATATCTGAGGGCAAAGGGTGGGTCTTTCCCTAACGTCTCAAGTCTTATTGTTGTCGGCTCTGACATCGTGTCTAGCTTTTATCCAGGCGAACCCGCCCGAATCCGTCCAAACCGATATATCGCTCTCGCAGTTTCTGGCAATCCAGGAGAAGGGCGTTTCGGCCTGGGAGTTCGAACCGGAGCTAGAGATTGCCAACTGCTTCGTCGAAGCTAGGACGGAGATCGAGTTCTTCGATTCCGAGTGTAGTGTTCAAAGCAACCTACCAGTCCCGAAACAGAATGAGGTCTACTACTGGGAGGCGAAGATTTACGACAAGCCGGAATCAAGTTTGATCAGTGTCGGGATGACCACTAAACCATATCCTTTATTCCGATTACCTGGTATGTTGCGTTTGTTGATCATGTCATGGTCAGTACTAACATGCTAGGTTTTCACAAAACCTCGGTCGCATATATCTCGACCGGTCACCGACGGTACAATCAACCCTTCGCTGCAACTCCCTACGGCCCTCCATATGTGCAGGGGGATGTGATCGGTGTGGGTTATCGGCCCCGGACTGGGAGTATTTTCTTCACACGCAACGGCAAGAAACTGGACGAGGTTGCGCACAATCTGAAAAATCAAAACTTCTTCCCGACCGTGGGTGCCAACGGTCCCTGTACCGTGCATGTCAACTTTGGGCAGATGGGCTTCGTTTTTATCGAGGCCAACGTCAAGAAATGGGGGCTCGCACCAATGACCGGCAGTCTTGCTCCTCCTCCGCCGTATGGCAGCGAGCAAGGCAGCATCTTGCTTGAGACAGGCAGGGAGGGTACTCGACAACCAGAGTATCAGCCCGGCCACTCAAGGACACGAAGCGGCCTTGCGAGGATTGGATTGAGTCCTGGACCAATTCGATCACCCACAGACATATCACTGTCTCAACTTGCGCATGTCTCCACGCAAGATCTTCCCAGTCAGGGAAATATGTTGTTGGATTTTGGTGATATCCAAAATCAACCCGTCGAGAATACGCCCAATGGGCAGGTCATCATTCCACCTCCGGAGTACAGTAGTCCTCCTCGGAGTCGGAGAGGCAGCGAAGCAAGAGATGATGATGGCAGGAGAGATCCACCAGACGATCGAACGGGTCAACCACCCATTCCAACTTATGATGCTGCTGTAGGCGAAGCGGCGGGACCGAGTCACACATGAGATACCCTAGCATGAAAAATGAACTTTTTCTTTGATGATTTATGTCTATGTCTGAAACAACTTTCCGAGTCTGCGTCCTCGTTCGTCTTTGGAGGCAGCAATTCCAAAATTTGTGCTTTCTTGAGTCTCCATGATGACTAGCGACGGCCAGGAAAATAGAGCAATTTGAAGCCACAAGGACGTTAAGGTCACTTTGCTATAGTGCATGGAGTGATATTGGCCAATCGCCAAAACAATACTTCTCTTCAAAATGTTGCACAGGCTGGAATTCTGAAGTGCATTTATATCTGCTGTGGTACTTCTTAGCTGCCTCCTGGTGTAGGGTCTTAAGGGTGGATAAGAGCATTGTTCATGTCCCTTACGAACACCGACTGACTAGCACTTCCGTTGACCCATAGTGACCCCTGACTCCAGACGACTACTGTACCTAGAGTGCTAAAGGGCTACGGAGGCCCCAGAGCGGCAGGGAGCCCCAGTCGACGACGTGCACCTACCAAAAGCTCCCATCTGCTCTCCATCTCATGTTCGAGAGCGTGGGCGAGGAGAAATGACGCAGCTGTGAAAACATTATTGCATTGTGGTACCAGCTCTCGATGGTAGACGAGCACACAGACCTTCTCGAGTGCCCGGTCTACATCGTGTCCTTGATAAATGTCATACTAATAGTGGGAGATGCTTTCTCGCTTATTGGAATTCTACTGACAACCCAGTCAAGTTTCAATCTCAGACCGACAATGTCTACTCGGCGCCGTCCGTCCACATCTCAATGCTTGAACCTCGCCTAGCTGTCCTAACTGCTGTGTATGACAAGCGGCCTCCCCCGGCTCACCAGCTCATATGAATTGATGTCCTTATATTGACCCATTGACGGGCTTTGAATAAACTACGAGGCTCCTTTTCCTTTCCGTCGATCCCACCACGGTCATTCCGCTTTACGCTGTTTCGCTTCGGCTCCAAGTTTGCAGCAGCTACCCGATGCGATACCGCCGTTTGAATCTTTGAAACATTCATAATCGGACCAGGCCTCGGTTGACCGCCGGTGCAGAACAAAGACCTTGTGCAACGGGCCGAGAGTACAAAGAAAGACTGGGGCAGGCAGAAGTAAAAAGCGCAGAACACAGCCCGACGCAACAAAGACACTCATGAGAGAAGAAGATGCTCTGCGCGATGCTCTGCCCGAGCTGCGCGTACACGGAAAAAAGGAGGGTGCTTCGTTCCAGGTTATAGTGTTGGTAAGTGCTTCCACGAGGACGGCTATCGATTGCACAGGATCTGCGTGTGGTGGCATTGCCATTGTTGCGGAACGGCCAGCTCTGGTTCCCGATCACGTTCCCTTGGAAATGTCGAGCTCCTCTGCCGTGTGAGGGTCGCTCAAGATCGTGTAGCTGATCACATCATTAGGGATCCTCAGGCGGCCCTCGCGAAGACAATGTCACTGGAATGCTCGTGCGAAATGCTCGTGCAGGATGGCGCAAGAGTTCCATGATAGCAGTCGATGCGGGAGCACATCTGGCCAGCATCATCCGGATCCTGCAACGAGAAATGCCCAGCAAGTCAGAGACCATCCCGCCCAAAGACTACTCCAAGACATTGGAGTCGGGTCCGTTTGCGGGCATCAAGTTCCCCGGTATCTCTGCCAAAGCAAACGCCCTGTACATTTTCCGGGAGATCCTACATGCTTTTCTGATCACTCATCCGCACCTTGATCATCTGTCGTCCCTCGCAATAAACACGCCGGCGCTGGAGTTTGGGCGGGAAGCCAAAGCAATTGTGGCTCTACCATCTACCATCGAAGCCATCAAAAATCACATCTTCAACGATTGGCTATGGCCCAATCTGTCGGACGAAGCCAACGGAGTGGGCTTTGTTACCTATCGACGGCTGATTGAGGGAGGCAATCCACGGTTGGGACTGGGAGAGTCGCGAGGCTACGTCAATGTTTGCGATGGGTTGGCCACAAAATGCTGGAGCTTGAGTCATGGCAAATGCCAACGGAGGAGCCACAGCATATCCCACCAACACAGTGACTCCTTTCCATGGGCGCAGTCAGACTATAACTTCCCGTCTAGGAGACTGTCCCGTCTATCTGACGACCATGGCTACTTCGCGGCCTTCGCTCAACAACAATCGCAAGGAGGAGGGCAAATGACAATGGCGGCGGGCTCTATGACCCCAAGCCTGCCAGGCGGACCAGCAGGCTCAACCTACATGGAGGGAAACTACATGTTGGAGCCGGTTTCAAGCTCCGCCTTTTTCATCCGGAATGATGATACCGGCCATGAGCTTCTTATTTTTGGAGACGTTGAGCCTGATACGGTCAGCATGTCGCCCCGAAATCACATCATCTGGGAAGATGCGGCGGTCAAGATCGCCAACGGGACCCTCCGAGCCATCTTTATCGAGTGCTCGTACGACGACAGTGTCCGTAATGAAGACCTCTACGGTCACTTGTGCCCCAGGCATTTGATCGCCGAGCTCAGATTTCTCGCCCATTGCGTCATCAACAAGCGCAAGCAGTCGGCCTCTGAGTCGAGTCAAGCAACAGCCGAGCAAGCCGCCGACGGCAAAGCTGCTGAGGGACCATTCGAATTCCCGCCCACGCCGGTTGTGAATACTATGAGTATGAAACAGCCACCGACTCCTTCCGAGCTGAAACGGAAACGCAAGAGAGGACTGAATGGCGAGCTGGCTACGACACCAGAAATGACGCCCACCAATTTCGACAGCATGCCATCCCCACAACTCCTCCCCGTTGGCTACGTGGGCAGCGGTAACAGGACGCCCTCCTCGTCGCGTCGCAAGCGGTCTCACGAGCCTCGCGACTCCAACCAGAGTTCTTCCATGGCCCACCCATCAACGCCTGTTCGCGCTCGGTCCGTACAATTCCAAGCTGATGCTGCTTCTAGTCCTGCACTTGGAGGAGCAGCGACGGCGATGGGAGCGGGGTTGGTTCCTTCAGGAGCAGTGTCAGCGGGACACCCTTATCCGGCCTCAAATCCGCAGGCCCAAACGGCCCAGAAGCTCGCCAGCCCGCTCAAGGGCGTTACTGTTCACATCATTCACGTGAAAGACACGCTGATGGACGGGCCTGATCCGGGCGACGTGATAGTCGGCCAGCTGCGTGCTTTGGCCGAAGAGGCTGGCTTGGGCGCCGAATTCAACGTCACTAGCTGTGGGGAAAGTATTTGGGTTTGAACACTGCCGCGCATTGTCCTCCTTGTCTGGAAGTGGAGTACCTTCGGGGAAAAGGTTCAAACAGTTTTAAGCCTCAGCACAGCCTGAAGCCAGAATTGTGGTGTACGGCGCCAGGGACAAGTCTGGCGCTGGCTGTTGTATGCTCATGCTTGTGGTCGATGACACTATATCCTGTTTCTTTTCCCGGCCTGGTTTGGTCTATGTCTAGCTATGATGTCTTCGCACTGGGCGGTTGCATCTTTGAATTAGAGCGGTCGGCAGGATTTGAGCAGCTGATTACGCGTTAGGGGGGCTGGGACTATTATTCGCGCATGGACTGTTTGGATGGGGTAGTGCTTCTTGGGTCGACAGAGCGGATGATTTCTCCCCCGGTACACGGCGAAGGAGGAATTTAGGAACCACTCGTGCCCGTAGGTTCGGCTTTCACAACTGTAATTTGTTCGTCCACGTGAATGTTCTCTCAGCCGTTGAAAAGTAGCGCAGGTGCTGTTGGGTCAAGCGAAGATTGAATTCTCAATTCTGGTCGGCTTGTGGTCAATTGAAAGTCACTGTGGTGGCTTGCGTATGTGGCCTCTTGAAGTCGTGTGTAGACTGCGATATGATGATGTACTAGTATCTTGTTGATTAACTGCGGCATCTGCAAAGCCTGGTTACACTTTCGGCCACAGCTGAGGCGCTTTCTAGTGGTGCTTACTAGTAGTATGATTGTTAAAGTTGTCGTAGTAAACCTCGTGGTCCATCAAATTAAGGTTGTTTCAGCCTCGCGTTCCACCGAAAAACAAAGTTATGGAGCCTCATTATTGCATGGCTCCATTGGCATATCCATCCGTCTCGCCAATGAGCAGAATGCACCCCTGCCACTGCGACATTTGACTGCCACGAGGTACGTACGCACCACATTTCGAGTGTAACTCCCTCTTTCCGTTGCATGGACAATAGACCTGACCAGACGGTTTCCTTGTATGTCTCCAGCAGCATGATGTTTTTGAGCCTCGCCGTGTTCCCAATAGCAGCTCAACGGGCAATGTTTGTTGAGGCAGGTTGGTCTGAGAAAGCGGAGGAGGTGGATTGACAATCGTTCCGTGCGCAAGGGTGGGTATTGTTCAAGTCAACCGCTCATGTCGATTGACCTCTGAGTTTCACAACTGAGTTCAGCGGAGTCAATGCAGTCATCGAAGCAGAGGAGATGGAGGGACTCGTATGCTGTGGATGGTCAGTATTCTGTTGATAGGTCAGCTGGAGCGCAGGCTGTAAACAAACCTGATAGTGGTGGTGGAGTTGGATGGTTGTTTCCTTGGTACAGATGGAGATTCGCAGATCGGCAGCCTCGTAGAGTTCTGGTATGCGGTCCGGTAGCCTTGTATGTCAGCATTTGCGTTGCAACCGTAGCATTTCCATTGCGTTTCCCAGCAGCGATTTGGTGATCTTGTGCTCCTTTTCCCATCAGGATCGTCATCGTCCATCTTGCTTTGTGGTGAGAGGCTGAAGGCTGAAGGCAGTCCCTGCTGGAACGCCTGCTGAGTTGCTGGTTTCCTCCGCAGTCCCACTGCGTGCCGTGGGTGTTTTGGCTTTCCCAACACAGCACCCGCCTCACTTCTTCCTCCCTTGTGTTATTCCCTCGGATCCCGCCCTGTTTCAGCCGGTCCATTTGCAGCCTCATGCCATGCCTCTTTTGCAGAGAAGGCTTGGCGAACCAGCAGACGCCTATAAGTATTTGCTCCTCCGCTCGCTCTCTTCTTCTTTTTCTCTCTTTTCTTCACATTGCCCAGGTGAGTTCACAACTGAGGCGCCTTCATCAGGAGATAGCAACGCAGTCATCTGCTACAAATCTCCATTGTTAGTTGGCTCTGGCAGCCCTCACTGCCTCTTGCTGGCGACCTGATGAAGGCGGGATGGTGGAGTGTCTCTCATACTTGCCTTTGGCAGTATGAGTTGGCCGGGTCCTCAGCACTTCTTCTTTTTCTCCTCACTCTTCTTCTTCTCTTTCCCCCTTCTTCTTCTTCCTCCTCTTCTTCCACCACCACCACCACCTCCTCCTCCTCCTCTGCCCTCCTCCCCCTTCTTCTTCTCTTCCACCGCCTCCCGCACCTCCTCCCCCTACCTGCACAGGTAAGTATCCCCCAAAACTGAGGCGCCTCCATCAGCGAGTAGCAACCAGCACTTTGCTACTAATCTCCATTGTTAGTTGGCTCTGGCATTGTGCGGGTTGCTGACGACCTGATGGAGGCGGGCTGGCGGAGTGCCATTCATACTTACCTTCGGGTAGTATGGATGGCCGGGTCCTCACATCTCCCTTCCCCTTCGCCCTTCTTCGTCTTCTGCTAATTGTGTACAGATTGCTCTTTGCCTTTTCATCATCTTTGAGCTTTATGCTTGGACTTGGAGAAGAGTGGCCGCAGTCGTACTTGTAACCATAGCGAAGCCCCCATGGTAGACTTGGAGTAGTTGACTTGTAGCTTGAAGGTCAATTCACCCCTCGCTTGTGAGGTTGTTGCTGTCGGTGCCGTCACTTTGTATACAAGGTCATGTCGTCGCTGCCTTCTGAACCTCATCGTCGACACCCCCCCCCCATCTGCACCTACTGCTGCAGCCACCATTCCCTTTCATGCTCATCATCACCACCTCGTCATCGCATATTCCAGCTTCCTGCGCCTCCGTTGTCGGCCGCAGCCACGCCTCTTCACCGCGCCCATTGACAAGTAATCTCCAGGCCAATTCCACCCGCGAAGAATAATCCCCGCTGCCCGTCAGCCTCAGCTTTACGGGCTCGCCGCCGCCCACGTCGCAGTCCCTTAGAGGTCCTTTTCCCCCATAGTTTTGCATTCCCACCTTCAGACTCTGCCGCCTTCCACAAACTGCCTCACACAGACACCCTATCTCTAGAGCCTCCTTTCAGGCCGCCTTCTTCTGACTGCTTTCTTTTTAGACAATTACCTCCACACCACATCTCCCAGACCTCCCTTATTGGAACTGCGTTCCTCAAACTGCCGAGCTGACCTTTACACCAGACAGCCTCTCTCGCATGCATCCTCTGACTGCGTACCTCAAACGGCTCCTCCAGACTCGTCTCAAACCCACAACCATCCTTTTGGTACTGGTGCTGACTTGAATCAAGAACAAACATATAACAAGAGACACGTAACAATGCCATGTTCAGTACCCTCCTACACACTCGAAGCACCAGAGACAAGGGATTAAAGAGATACTGTTACAACGTCAAGGAAGAGCAGGGCGAGCGACGAATACACAAGAGCCATCAGCGGCAGGCAAAAGAGAAGACACACTCGGCATACATCAACTGTGACCCCTCTCCCAACTGGAAGGATGTGGTACAAATAGCCAGGACAAAGAAATAACACAATCTCATTCAATCAATCAAACAATGAAACTCTCGAAACGAGATGTTACAGAATACCAGAGACAAACAAACGTTGTCACACTGCCCTTCAACCAAACAAGCACCAGAGACCTGTGGCTAACCAGGCCAGAGACCGAAGTGCATGGAGTCGAGCTGCCTTCCTACCTGTCTCCATATCCACCGCCTTGTCTTTCTGCGCAGCCTGCCAGACGACAACAGCATCGACGACCGGTGTCAATGATCCGGCCATGATCACAATACCTAGACACCGCTGGGCTGTAGACTGGGCGGCAAGAGATGTCTGACATTGCCAGTAAGCCGTGAGACCCATGATGGCCAGCCCGATCGCGAAATTGCGAATTCCGTGGGCATAAATGTACGCCACATGCTGTGAGTTGTTCCTGTCTACAGCCGCAGGCTCATCGGACTTCTTTGAAGGGAAGCTCCTGGTCGCGGTGTTCGCAGGCAGTTGAACACCGTAGATCTGGGCCGCAGAAATTGGCGCGGTGAAGCTGTATATCCCGACAATGAAGCCTCCCAAGCCTATCAAGGCCGTGAGCGCAGGGAGAAAAGGCGAAAGGAATCGAAGAGACGACATGCCTTGAGATGCATGGGATGGGTTTCGTTGCGGATATTGCCAAACAGTCGTTGATGAAGGAGTCTGATTAGGAGGACATGTAGATCTGGCGGGACACCACTTTTTCACACAAGCCACTCCCTTGAACAAGCCGGCCCGTGGAAATCAGTGTCGAGCTCCTATCAAAAGGCGGAAACAACAAGAGGATGTGTCCGCACCGACTGATGACCCTCGACAGAGAGAGAATGGTATTTACGAGGGAGATTAGCGGAGACGTCGTTGCGATGAGGTGATCGCGCTACGATTGCACGCGATGCAGGTCGCTTTCCATTTCTCCAATAATATAACATGCTCGGCTTCGGACATCAAGTCAACAGACAACAACGACAACTTCACCCCTCACCATTTGTTCACCTGTCGGCTGTCCTGCATTCATTCGTTTACGAAAGAGAAAAGACTCGACAAGGTCCCTCTTCACGGCTATTGAACTTACTTGGTCGTTGCTGTGTCGAGTATTCCATCCCGGGTCACAGTCGAGGCGAGAAGACTGGCACATCTCGAATGCTGCACGCCATCTCGACCCCAGGACGAGCATCTAAATCTAGCCAATATGTCCGACTCCCATTCTCATTCCCACGACCATTCTCATTCTCACACTCACGACCACGACCACGACCACGGCCACGACCATTCGCACCATGAAGTTCCAGCTCATCTCTTCCAAGCAACATCCTCCACCGACCAACCCCCAGATGGCTGGCGCGAGAGCGGTGTCCGGGTGATCCCCGCCAACGGCCTGGACACAAACACCTCCCAGACACCGGGCATGAACCGTGCCGCCGCCATCACCACCGCCCGCGTCGGAGCGCAGAAGCTATGGGCCGGCACGGTCAAGATTCACGCGAACGCCAAAACGGGCGCCCACCACCACGGCCACCTGGAGAGTGTGATCTACGTCGTGAAGGGAAAGGCACGGATGCGATGGGGCGACCGGCTCCAATTCACGGCCGAGGCGGGTCCGGGCGATTTCATCTATGTGCCTCCTTACGTGCCGCATCAGGAAATCAACGCCAAGGAGGACGAGGACCTGGAGTGTGTGTTGATGCGGAGTGATGGGGAGGCCATTGCTGTCAATTTGCCGGATGTCGTGCCTGTAGAGGATCCGGAGGGCGTGAAATGGATTGATCCTACGCATCCGACGGGAGGGGTTTAAATGTGTTTTGCACACAGTTGCGATATATGAGAGAGTATGCAACGACTCACGTTGGTCTTATGGACATAAAATCCACTACCTCCTACTGGCGGGGTATAATAAACACAAGCACGTGTTATGTATTGGTCAGTATATGCTACAACATGGGCGAGTGTAGAAGTACAAAAGCATGCTACATATCGTACATGAAAACATTCAAGCCTGTAAAGTTGCCAAACAGTAGTACGTAAAGACGGAGCCATGCAATGGTTATGAGAGCTGGAGAAGAATATATATATACAAAGCGATACTACAGAAGAACTGTGTATACCTACTAGTATGATGTATAACGCAAGCGTGCCTCCAGCAATCATGGTCATATAATATAATATATTATAATGTACATTGTGTCATGTATCATGTATAATGTGACAAAAACATATCCCAATGGCTCAATTCCCCGGCAACTTCTCTTTATCCAGCCCATCCAGCTCCGGCTGACTAACCTCCTTCTTTAAATTCTTCAAACAAGGCGCATAAAACAGCCTCCCAGACCAAGCACCCTTAGCCGTACCCGCGGCCACCACACACCACAGCAACACGACGGCGACGCTCAAAATAGTGCCCAACATCTTGAAGAACTGGCTGGGCATCTCGACCCCAAACGTCATGGTGCTGATGGCATACACGCCCAAGGGGAACGTAAACCCCCACCAGCCCATGTTGAAGGGAAACGGCCGCGTGCGGTAGATTGTGGCCAGCGCAAAGACCAGCCAGCACAGGCCGAACCCCCACATGATCAGCGCGACGAAGACGCCCATCACGTACACGACGTCGCCGGCGACGGCGAGGTTGTGCAGGAACTCGACCCGGGGAAATACCTCGCGCGACACCCGGCCGAGGTACATGATTGTGTAGCCGCCCATGCCGAGCGGGCCGAGCGGGAGGAAGGACGACACGACGACTTCGCGCGGCGGCAGTTTGTGCAGGGCTAGGCGTTGGTAGTAGATCACTAGGATGGTCATGGCTAGGGGGGTTGCCATGCCCCACATCACGTAGGACGTGAGGAGCGTGCCGAGCGCGTGGGTCGGGTTGTGGAGGAGTTCGGCGACTTCGCTGCCTGAAGACACAGAAAAGAGAAGTTGTTGTTAGTTTGAGGTCTGAAATGAAGATTGTTGGGTGGGGAAGGATGGTGAGTGTAGATGCTTGAGACGATGGGAGGAGTAGTAGTAGGAGCAGGAGCAGGAGCAGCAGCAGCAGCAGCAGCAGGAGGAGGAGGAGGAGGAGGAGGAGGAGGAGGAGGAAGAGGAGGAAGAGGAGGCGTGTTTGAGTGGGTATGTAGAAAGGGTGTCGATTGGGAAAGAGATCTGACACGAGTCCAAGTCTTGGGAGTATCCGCATATTGTGTAGAGTCCAGTGTATGGGATCTGCTGCTCCGTGCTGGATGCTGTGCTGTGCGGTATCTGCCTCTATGCATGCATTCTCGAAATCCATGGTGTTTGTACCACTTACCAGCTCCAGCTGCAACAATCGTCGCCGCAATAGGCAACAACTGCGCCGCCGTGATGCGGTCCAACGAATGCTGATGCGACTGCGACATGAGCAGGAACGGCAACGACACCGTGACCGCCGCAGCCACGATGGCATCGATCATCCAAGCCACCCAAACGACCGTCACCGACCAGTACCCCCAGTACGGACAGCACAAGAAAATCCAACTCTCCACCAACGTGGCGAAGCCCATCGGCACCGTCCCCAGAAACAGCGAGTTGGTCGAGTCGGCGATCATCACGCCCCAGATCTCCGGGTACAGCGTATACCGGAGCACAGAAATGCCGAGTGCCAGAACGAACAAAATGCTGTTGAGCGCGAAGAACACCACGGCCAACCAGTACAGCCAGTCGGCCTTGTACGGGATCGTGATGAGCAGCAGAGACACGATCCCCGTGCCCATGGTCACGGAGAACCATGACGGCGAGAAATTGCGCACCACGCGACGCCAGCCCACGTCGTATTTGGACAGCTGGGCTTGAACTTGGACGTGCCCGTGGCTGTCGATTTCGATTTCGTGCACTGGTGCTGGCATTGGCGCTCCATTGGTCTCTGTCGTTGGGGATGCAGGTGACGATGCTGCCGGGTCTTGGACGAACGTTTCGGTGCCGCCTGAGGGGTCGGACGCGGTGAATGTCTTGCTGGCGCGGGACCGTAGGCGGTCGAGTTCGGAGCGCGAGATGGTCTGGCTCGCGGGCACCGTCATGGCTGGGTTGTTGGATGCGAGCCGTTGCAGTTCGCGCTCGTCTTCGTCCGAGTCGGTCATGTTGATGGCGGCGGCGGAATAGACCATAATGCAAGACCGGCTTCGACGAGAGGGCTCAGGACGGGAAGAATCGATTTCTCCACCGGGCCGACCCAGTAAACAAGATGCAGCCGGGGGACATTCGGACAGAGAAATTTCTGTTCTGGCTTCACAGTCACGTCCAAGTTCTCTGTTTCGTTGTTGTTTGAAGTCTTCGACATGTAGTGACGTTCTGCCCACTTGGAGGCGAGCGGGAAAAGCGGCGGAAGAAGTTGCCCAGAACTCCGGCCGGCCATCTGTCCGAGTTGCGGGGATTGCTAACCAGTCCAGGTTAGTTTGATTCTTGCTACAGCAGCAACTGTCTTGCTAGGTGTGTAATAGTTCATCCGAGGCACGTGACTGGCCTTTATGGAGACATGTATACTACACAGTCTTTACGGCCACCGAAGCACGCTGGAAGCCTGAAAATACTGTCGGAATGGGCGACAAGCGCAAGTTCTTGTGTACTGGTTTCGGACTGCGTAGACCCTTTGAAACCCATGCAAAGCAGAAGAACCAAATGAGACGGAAGTCACGAAACCGCAATCACAAATAGGGATCGGCACCGGAGCTCGGTTCAGACCCTCAGACCTTCTGCACCGACTGCGAGTAGCCAGCGTATACGAAAGTAGTCAACAATGGGTGGGGTCGAGGACTGGAGAAAGGCAGAAGCCGAGGGATCAAAGTGACGCGAGGAAAAGTGGCGAGTCGTCCTGGAGAATATTCATCTCAAGGGCTGGCGTTGTTGTCTTCTTGCCTATCAAAGTCCTCCTCGCTTCCTGTATCACTTTCGCTATCTTCGTCGTCACCCACTAAAGGAACGAAACGAAAGTCGACAAAGGCAACACTGCCAGGAGAGGGTGGAGCGGCGGCGGCGGCATTGTCATCGCGACGTGCGCCATTATTCGCGCCATCTCCAAGGTCAATCATGAATTGCAGACTCAAAACTCCTTGTTCGTCCTGTCGAACGCTGACTTTGCTTGCCAGCGCCATAGCCCTCCCGGCCCTCTTCACCATGTCGAACTTGTATCTCTGCCTGATTCTCCCATGTGACCCCGACGGAGGTACAACAGAAAAAGTTTCCGTGACGAGAGGTTGCATTTTGCCTCTGGTTCCGCTTGGGGTAGGGTCATTCTTTGATTCCGGCATGAACTCAACGATACTATCGCCAAAGGGGCCTCCTTCGCCTTCCAAAGCAAAATAGGGGGCGGATCGATTCGAGGCGTTCAACACCAGGGCTGTGGGATTCGTTCCTGATAGCTCTGTGATAGCATCATGCAACCAAGTACTCCGCATAATCGCCTTCAGGCACAGAGCATTGCGATCGAGCGGGATGCCGCCGTCGTCCTCATAGTTGTCGTGAGCCTCATACGTGTTCATCTCGCACATCGTCGAAACCGACCCCTCTTGAATCGTGATGGTGAGAGGAGCACCTGGTTCTTGGTACGACAGTCGACAAGTACCACCCACCGCAAGAGCTGGAGCGGTGAAGGCGTTTCCGTAGGAGGAGGAAAAGCCGCCATAGGGATTTCGAGAAGAGCTTGCCTCGGCAATACCGAAGATTTGGAGCGTTTCAAGAAGTGCCACAATCGAGATTGAGAACGGAGGCAGTGTATGCTGATCATCGTCCAAATTCAACGTGTACGTCGAAAATAATGCCTTGTCGAGGAAAGTAAGGCCCTGCACAACTCGAGCTTCTTCCACCGAGAACTTTATCCCTGAATGGGTGATCTGGACCTCCGCGCGTTGGGAGAACGCTATACAGCGGAGCAGCGAATGAAGTTGCCTGGCTGATGTGGACATGGCAGTGAAGACGGGTTGACTAGCCATGGGTGTGCGAACAATGATTTTATTCCTCACAGTGGGACACCTCGGCTGGTCTGCGATTGTAATGCTCCAAGACTATGGATGAGTCCTAGACGTAGACACCGAAGCCACAAATGGCGTAGACTGCACCGATGCTAAGGGACCATCAACATGTATACAAGACGCTTTGTACTGGCTGGAACGTACGCAAATGCCAAAGAAGCTGGTATTCCGAAGAGAGGTATGGAGACAGGAGATCGATCTTGCAACAATCAGCACTTGAAATGAGACGTGGGCAGAGATAGTCGTACTTAGTCCGAAGAGGCCAGTCAAGATCAAGCCTGGTCCAGTCAGCTCTAGAAGACGTAATGCTCACATTGGTCTACTCACCGACGAGTAACAGGGACAAGCCTACAGTGAGCTGGCTGTCCTTACCAACCGCAGGCTGGAAAGGGCTGCTTGCCGCTGCTTGCCAGACTTCGTAGAGAGACATTGACAGGATTGATGGGGCTATTGTGGACAAGGGCGTGGATGGTAGCTTGTGACGCGTCGAGGACTGTTTAGCTGGTCGTAATGCTCCCTGTTCTCGTCGTAGATGCGTCCTCCCGAAAGGTTGTAAGGCAGACAAGGTGGTCATTGAGAATCGACGGGCATATCGCCTCCCGCAGGAAGGTATCCCGAGGCAGTCTTTCTATTTGGAAAGAGACTGATGCCGCTTTTATAGTACCCTTACTATCCCAGCCTCACAGCATCACATTCACAATCTGGCATACCCATCTTGCTGCAACTTCTTAATGTTGGTTGAAGGATTTAGGCTGCATGAAGCAAGATTGGAGATGGATTGCATAGCAACTAACTACGCAGCAACTAGACTTGTCGAGCTCCCAACCCTGACTGCGACATTCTCCTGTATGTCCCCAGGGGCAACGCCGACATCGAAGAGTGGCTCGCGTACATTTCCAGCCTTTTGACCACTTTGTTCAATCATGAATGCCGAGAAGAACCTGTCCATGGCATCGTAGTCATCCATGGATCCCACGTACGACACATACTGGTCGGGCCGCAGGATGATGGCACAACCTTCTCCAGGGTCAATTCCATAGTTCTCATACGCATGTCCATGACCTTCGTGGTAGGAGTTGTCGTCCACAAAGATTTTCCAGTAGTCCCAACCGTCCTTGTCGTCGAAGGGACGAAACGCTTCTGGAAAGTCGAAGATGGTGAACTTTTGCCGGTGGCCTGCGTGCACAGCAAGTAACTCAATGACGGAATCGTGTCTAGCATCCCCCGGCGTGAAGCGCCGGAGGAACGAGTTCTGCGCTCCCAGCGCCTTGCCCAACTCGGTGAATCGCTCTGCCTGTCGGGAATTCGTGAGATCGCCGGGGAAGATGACAACTCTCCACGTCCCATTGCTACGGAGTAGCTCCTGGAAGTGTGATGGACGGGCATCCCCTTGGTTGAGGACTTTGAAGCTCGGCATTCTCTTGCCAATCTCCACTTTGCTGGCCAAGGACGGCTTACTGGTGACCTTGTATGCTTCGTTCTGAGTTGCCACATCTGATCCATCTCCCTGCTCCACCGAATCACCGGATTTTGCAACAATGGTACTAGACCCGTAATTGACAGCTTGCGACCGGTGAGTACATAGCAATGAGAGTTGAAACTTGGAAGGTCTTACCTATACCGCTCGCAAACAGGTTGCCATTCTCGAATGCCTCCTTGAACTCGGTCATACTGATGCCCTCCTCGTCCATGACATCCTTTGCTGGTCTGCCGGAGAAGAGCCTTGAGAATCTGTGGTCAAAGCGGATCAGGTCTTGGGCAATGCGCCGTCGTTCTGATTGGTACGTCTTGAGGATGGAACGGTCGGAAATGCCCCGGACGACGCTTGCCACTTTCCAACCCAAGTTGTATGCTATTCGAACATCAGCCCGGCAATCCTCTATTTTACCGTCAACAGTTGCAGCGGAATATCTTACCATCCTGCATGCTGACATTCATTCCTTGGCCAGCTTTGGGACTGATGGTTGGAGCTTGTTAGCACAGTATCCCTTAGCAGACTCATCGGAAAGCAAGACCTACCTGTGTGTGTGAACGGCGTCGCCGGCGAGAAAAATGCGTTCTTTGGCCGAGAACTGGGTTCCGACTCTCTGGCCGATCTGGTACGCAGTCCACCAGTCGCAGTAGCGATAGGTTATCTTGTAAGGCGCCATGATCTTCTGAGCTGATCGAAGAATGAGATCTGGTGTGATCTTCGAGCGATCAAATTTACCCGCATTTCCCGCCCCAACTGTGGTGAGCTGGATATACAGGCGTACCAGCTTGTTCTCTCGAGGGATAACCATCACGCTGCCCGAGCTAGCAGAATGAATTGCACATCTCATTCGGATGTCCGGAAAATCTGTGATGGGGATAATGTCGAGGACGCCCCAGATGTAGTCTGTTGAATCCCCCTCCAGCTTGAATCCCAGTTGGTTTCGGACCCAAGAATGCGCACCGTCTGCCCCCAACACATATTTTGCCTTCACAGTCTCCTCGGAATTGGCCTTGTCATTAAGCTCGGACTTCCTGAGGAGATCCTCAGTATCATCTGGTGATAGATTGCTTCGAAATAGACCATCGGAGATCACAGAACCATTGGCCGAGGTAGCGGTTTGCTTTGGAGTTGCCTCTTCCTCAGATAAATGTCGCAGTGTAACCGTGATGGGGTAAGCATCTGGATCTTCGGCCAGAGATTCGTCCAAGTCTAGCTTAGTTGGCATGACGCCACGCTCGACCCGGATGTCACTTTTGCTGGCAATGGAATCAAGAAAGAACCGTTCGATCCGGCCTTGATGCAACACAACTTGCTGAAAGCGGCTGATGCCAGGAGTCGTGTCGGGAATTCGGTCGCTTCGCCGAATAAGCCCATCCTTGTCGGGATTCCAGAGACAAATCTCAAGCATATGGTTCCCCTCGATCCAGGCCCGATGTGCGATGCCGAAGGAATCCAATATTTCCAAGGTGCGACACTGGAGCCCATCGGCCTGACCATTGAAAACCTGGAGAGAATATAAGCACATTCAGATACTGATATGCGAGTATTCCCAACAGACCTTGGTTCCTCTCTTGTCCACGATCCGTGCATTGACGCCGCAATGGGCCATCCAATTTGCCATCATCAATCCGGCAGGCCCAGCGCCGATGATGAGGACGTCGATCTTGTCATTGGGGCGGTGTTCGGAGTTCATAGCTTGTGCCATTAGTAAGGAGAATTGCACCAAGTGCACCTCTTCTTCTGTTCAAATGGTGGGGAGGCAGGGCCTATTCATGCAGATAGCTCAGAAGTAAAGTTGTGCTCAGCAGACCAGATCCCATGTGACCGGACATAGGATCATTTATAGCTTCTTGGAGACACGCTGTAGATGAAGTAGGAGCACTGTAGCTTGGCTTGCCGAAGGAGAAGTGAGCACTCGATCCGACTTCATCGGAACAGGGACTTTTGGGTCGTGTCAGGTCTCATTTGCCCACTTAACTTGTCCTCCACAATAGTAGCCATAATGGCAAGATGATTGCCATGGTTGACATCCACGCTGTTGTTTAGCCCGCTCAACCCCAACAAGTGAGCACTCGATCCGACTTCACCGGAACCGCGACTTTTGGGTCGTGTCAGGTCTCATTTGCCTACTGAGATTGTCCTCCACAAAGGTAGGCATAGTGACATGTCAATCATCGCCATTTGATTAGCCCGCTGACCCCAACCCCAGATTGTGCATGTTTTGGGGTGCCCCATCCTTCCGCCGCATCCGGTCCGGGGGGTTTGAGAGGGGGGTTGTTTGGGGTTGCGCCGAGGTAATGCTTTTCCACATACCTTGTGCGCCTTTAGACGGTCAGACTTTCCAATGCGATTTGATAGGCACTGTTCCAGGCATGTTCCGGGATATCTCCCAGCAGTTGTATAATTCGCTCGGATAAATAATGCTGCTTCTTGACGTACGACGCCGCGGCAGGAAAGAATCGGCACACAACGAGAGACGTTCGTGCCAACAGAAGAGAATCAAGCTGCGCGCAGCAACGTCCAGCGCTTGGATGAATTTCGCAAATGCTCACTGATAGGTCGATGGGTTGACAATGCGGAGGCTGTCATCCTGAGGAGGTGTGGCGGGTGAGACCGAGTCATGCATTTGCCTCGTTCAACAGCAGTTGACTACTATGTCAGTATTGCAGCAGCTGCATTTTGACATAAAGAACCGCGGCTCTGATGCTGGGAGCCAAAACCTGAGAACAGGAGCCAAGGGTCGAGGAGTAAGCATCCAAGGGGAAATTGAGTCTTTAAGGCAGCCATGGCCTCGTCTTCAAAGACCTACTGCAACTACTCCGGCTAGCCAAGCCCACACCTGGAGACGGCTTCGTCGTGTAAGCCTCCTTACACAGCAGCGTATAGAGGGGCACCCAAAGAGTGGGAATTGGACACTGTAATATAGAGGTTGTGCCATTGAACAGGGAGACACAGAGAGTGACATCAAGTATCTACCTACATGTACAGAGTGATATCTAGTAGGTGTCGCGCAATCTCTTTTCGGAAGGGAAACAACGCCGCCTTTGCGATTCGGTGTTCCTGTTAAAGCAGCATGACCACCGTGATCACAACCTCCACTAGGGCTGCGCTCTCCGCTCTCCGACTGCGGTGGCTCAGTCGCCAGAACGTAGTCACGTCGCCGCCACCATTTATTATATATCCACGTCCTTCTACTCACTCACTCCTGTACAAGGGGTGCAATACGACGAAGCTGGCCCTGCAACTATAGCTTGTATTTGGCAGATGAGGTGTGGACTTTCGCCATGGCTCCTATAAATCCCGAGAGTAAGTCAGAAGTATTACCCTCTCCATCGCAATGGATGTGGCAGTTAATACCCGGGAAGGCACCAAGCGAAAAGCTTCGGAGGACGGATCCTCAGCGCGCTCCAAGAAAGCGCGGACCGAATCTCCTGTCTTCGACGAAGTTTCAAAGCACGAAGAGGTGAGCCTATCTCTATCCTTCACTGAATCATGGCCTCCGGACCCCAGCTTGGGTGGTTTCCGCCTGACGATAACCTGTATCGCTTTCCAACAAACGTCTCTTCTGATTCCCACTCGACGATATTCCTACCTTGCGACCCAGACAGTGCTGGGGGAGAGCGCGGCTGGCCCTGTATCGATGCAACCTCAGACTAGAATTTTGAGACTAACCGTACTGCTGTCCAGTCCGATGTCGATCCTCCTATAACGCCTACACCGGTCGATTTTCCCGACAAGCCTGCAGTCATCGAGGAGAAACAGGGGCTCATCGAGTTCCGAGTGGTCAACAACGACAATTCGCGCGAAAGCAATATCATCCTCACCGGGTTGAAATGCATCTTCCAGAAGCAACTGCCGAAGATGCCCAAGGACTACATCGCGCGACTCGTGTATGACAAGACGCACCTCTCGATCGCCATTGTCAAGCAGCCCCTGGAGGTTGTTGGTGGGATCACATACAGACCATTCAATTCGCGGAAGTTTGCCGAGATTGTCTTTTGCGCGATCTCGTCAGATCAGCAAGTCAAGGGCTACGGCGCCCATTTGATGGCACATCTGAAGGACTATGTCAAAGCGACCTCTCCTATCATGTACTTCCTCACTTACGCAGACAATTACGCCATCGGCTACTTCAAGAAGCAAGGGTTCACCAAGGAAATTACATTGGACAAGTCGATTTGGATGGGTTACATCAAAGATTACGAAGGGGGGACAATCATGCAATGCAGCATGTTACCGAGGATCCGGTACCTTCAGGTTCCTCGCATGCTACAGAAGCAGAAAGAAGCGGTCATGGCGAAGATACGGGCTGTGAGCAAGTCGCATATTGTCCATCCACCACCGGCACAGTGGAAGAACGGTATCGTCGAGATTGATCCCATGTCCATTCCCGCAATTAAGGATTCAGGCTGGTCTCCATCGATGGATGAACTCTCTCGCCAACCGCGCCATGGTCCCAACTACAATCAACTTCTCCATCTGCTTAACGACATGCAGAATCATACGGCCGCGTGGCCCTTTGCTCAACCCGTCAACAAGGATGAGGTCCCGGATTACTACGAGGTTATTAAGGAGCCCATGGACCTGTCTACCATGGAGGACCGCCTACAAAATGATCTCTACCCGCGGCCTGAGGACTTCATCCGAGACGCGAAGCTCGTTTTCGATAATTGTCGCAAGTACAACAACGAAAGCACGCCCTACGCAAAGAGCGCCAACAAGCTTGAGAAGTTCATGTGGCAGCAGATCAAGAACATTCCGGAGTGGTCGGTGAGTAATCTTCGGTCTTCGAGAGAGGGTATCATATACTGACTCGATGCTAGCACCTGGCGGAGTGAGTCTTGACGCCATAGTTCTTGTGTCAGTATTTGCTGGCGAGTAGCGCCTTTCTGAACTCCATCGTTGCAGGAAGGAAGTAGGCAGGGCGTGGTGCCGTCGATAGGCGATTGATCTTTTTTGGTTTTATGATACCCCATCAGCACTGGAGGGTTATGGCGGGTGAAGGATCATGAGTGATGAATGAACCAGCACAGCAATAAAATGATGACATCTTTTCATGGCATTAGTGTTCTGACATTAATGGGATATCAAACGCCGGCAGGAAAGTTAAAGTAAGGTAGACAAGCATTTGTTTGGTTATAGAAGCCGGACAGTGTACGTATTGTAATATTACGCCGTACACGGTAGAAACCCAGCGAGGTCAAATTAGAATAACAGGGGCGAGCCAATCAGTGGCCAGAACCACACCGTTGCCCGAGCGCGTCCCCCAAGTCCGACTTCATCTCATCTGCAGCCAATGCAGACCAAAGAACAACTTGAACACGACCGCTTCACGCCCGTTCGATCACAATCCTTTCCTACCTTCATGACTCCTACGCTCATTCGGATCCGCTACCTCTGCATTCCCTACGTTCTCTGAGGCTCCATCGCTGCCCCGGACAAGAAAACGTTGCCGCCCTTTACCGCGTCACCTCTGCCACATTTCACTTCACCTTGGTCTCAGCTACCACCAATACTACTTCACACCTTCTCTACGATCACCACGGCAGATATCATCGAGCGTCACATTTCGTGCTTCGCTCACTGCGCAACGTCTATTTCAAACAGATAAAGCGCTGCGCGCTGGGACACACGCAGCGGTAAACGTGGAACAACATAGCACTGTTGTTTTGGCTACAAGGCCTCAGCGGAAACAATGGCGCATCATACACATCCCGACCATGAGCTGGAACAGCGCAACCGATTACCGACACTGATGGAAGTGCTGGGTAGAAGGACGCTGGCACCAGTGGATCTGTTTTCGTTCTACATATACATGCGCGACCAACAGCGCTCCGTGGACTACCTGGACTTCTGGTTTGTGGATCCTTGGTTTGTTGATGAAAGCAGAAGCTGACTGCTGCAGGCTGGACGTTTCCCAACACATGTCCCTCTGCCGGCATTACGTACGAGAATTGCGACGGTCCATGCTTGTCGATACCCCCGAGATGGAGAAGGCTACGAGTAAAAGGTCTTCGACAATGTTCGAAGGATTCGATCTGGGCGAAGGGATCGACCCTAGAAAGAGTGGACAGGAGTCCAGAGTTTCGGCATTTCTGAGATCAGACAATGGCACGGCTCGCAAGCCTGGTAGCAGAGAAGGAGGCATTGACAATTCTCCCTCACACAGCTTGGGGTCTGCGCATTCTCGAAATTTCAGTCGCCCGTCAGCGGATAGACCGTCGCCGTCGGAACAGCTCCCACAACCAAGCTATTCGACGCCTGAAGTGCGCACTGATTCCAACTCACCTGGTCACAGTGTTGCTAGAGCCGACATCAAGGCCAGCGCCGAGAAAATTCTCTACACATTTATTCTACCAGGCTCGGAGCGCGAGATCGTGTTGCCAGACAGCATGGTGAACAGAATCATCCGCGCGATCGAGGAGGATGGACGCGACGACCCTGAAGTCTTCGACGATGCAAAGGACTACGTCTTCCAGGCCATGGAGAGAGACGCCTTTCCCGGGTTTTTGCAGGCCAAAGCGCTGGGAAATCTCGTTCCTCTGAGTGTTCTGATCAGGCTGGTTATCGGCCTTTTGAGTCTCATGGCCGGCTTCTGGGGTGGATATTACATGATTCTGAGGGATGCTTCGAGAAGCACCAGATGTTGGGTAAGAAGCTCCACTAGGCCCCTTCCCATTTGATTATTATCCGAACTCCCACTGACATCTATCTCAGGTCATTCTCCCTTTCACCATTGGCACCTACTGCCTGGTGTCATACCAGTATAAACTGGACATCATTGCCGCCTATCTCGGCTTCAGCGAGTACACTTGGATGAACTGGTCACGAGTGCGGGAGCCCTTTGTTCGCCGGCTGCTGCTGACCCGTGCAACCATGGCGCTCCTCATGTTCATTGCCACGGCGGTTGCACTAAGCATATTGTTCATCTTCGTCCCGGGCACGAGGTTCTGAACGGAAGGCGGTGAAGGGTACAGCAGCAATGACCTTATGGAATGAATTGAATTCGGCGCGGTGTTTGGCGTTGGGGCTCGCCCAGGGAACGGATGACGTGCGTGTGTGGCTTTTGCAAGACATATTTCGCTGGAGACTGGACCAGTGGAAAGAGTTCAATAATGGACTGAGCCAAGGGATGGAGCAATGGTGGCAGGGTCTTGCAGGGCGTTCTGGGTGATGTTCTTGTGGGCACGATTGGCACGACTCTCATGCTGGGATTGCTGAAGATTGTGGAAGAGGGCACACGGCAGGAAGGGGGTCGTCCTGCAACAAGGGTGGCGAATTGTCAATGGAACAGCCACATACACGGAGGAGCTTGCGAGCTTGGATACCCTGGGACTATTTTCAGGTTGGTGGGTTTTTTTGTTCTTCTCGACAGAGCTTCAGTTATGCGACCATTCTGCGAATATCAGCAACTTCAGAGCTTCTCTGTGCCTCCAGTAATTGCGTGTGCTTCTGGCGTTTATCGTTGGGGCTACGGTGACAGATGATCGGTGACCTCGACGATGCTTTGGAGCTGTATCATTCATTGCAGACACGAAAACGTGGGTAGCTGGATCGTCACTCATACATTCATTGACTGCCTGGCCAAGCCTGGTCCTGATCTAGACCCATCAACGCCGTGATGCGATAAGGCTCTAGCCGTGCAGCCTAAGGCGCAAGGCTCTGTCGTGAACCACCCGGTCTATTTCGTGGCACGTCCTCTATTTCTCTTTGCGCCTCTTGAGCCCCCGGCGCCATGGCCCCCACGACCACCGCCCCCGTGGTGCCCAACATCACCAAGACCTTCGTCCAAGTCCATTCGGCCGTCGTCATCACTTAGATCTTCGCCCTCGCCTTCCATCTGTTGATCTATATCGCGCTTGCTAGGCAACCGATGTACGCCTCGCGTGGGACGGCCGCCGGACTTAGACTCGCCATTATCCAAAGCCTTCTCACTCAGCACAGCAGCGTCGACGACTTCCTGCCGTTTCCGCTGCGTGGTATTGCGCTGAGCAGCTGTCTGGCGGATAGACGAGATCTGAGCTTCCATCTCGCTCACCACGGATGTGCACCGCGATTCCCACGTCTGCAGGATCTGGAGAAGGGCGGGCAGAGACTGTGGCCGCAGATCACGAAGGGGTGCGACCGAGGTGATATTGACGACTGGAGGACTCGACGTAGGCGAGAGTCTCGCGGTCAGAAGACCCGAGTAGATCGACTGGGTGACCAGGGATTCGAGACTGGCGGCGTCGGGCAGGGACAAGGACTGGAGGAGAGATGGGTATGTGAGCGCATCGGTCACGGTTGTTCCGTCACTCGGAGCAAACGGCGAAGCCAGCGTCAGGAGACTGAGTTGACGAAGTTTCAGGGTCTGAGGTTCGTCGAGCTCTGGAAGACCTGGCATGCCTATAATCGGATAAACGTGCCCGTCGTTAGCACTGCTGTAACTAGTTGTCTGCTTCTAGCGGTTGCGGTCGCGGTCGCGGTCAGCGCAAACATACCTTTGTATTCGGCATATGTGCCCCAGCTGAAGACTTCGAGCAGGGTCAGCCATGATTGTAGTTCCGTCCCGCGAAGGCTCTGGCAGGCCGGCGTCTGGAGGAGTTCCGTGAAGACATATGTGCCTGGTGCGGATATGGCGCCTTTGATCAGCTCGGCGACGAAGCGAGGGGATGGCGATTTTGTCGTTGTTGCGAGATGCACAAATGGCTGGATGGCTGCCAAAGCCTTGCTTTGAGACTGGTCCATGGCTGAGAATGTGGAGGATGGTAGATGAGAAGTTGTTGCGCTGTTGAACTGCGGACATGTATCGATGCACTCTGTATACTGTGATAGATCCCGCTACAGCAGAAGCGCGTTGCAGGCGGTAGGCTGCGAATTAGAGGGATTTAGTTGAGCCTTCATTCCTATCTTGTACTAGTTTGGGCGAATACTCTGTCTGCATTGCAGTGGTAGTAGATCATCACTGAACGCTATAATCGCTAGGGTACTATTAATATTAGAGGGCTATGACTAGGTACCTACCTAGGCAGTACAGTACGTCCTAGTAGTACGTGAATCAAGGGGAATGCAATCTCTGGAAGACAAGCTTGAACGTGTGGCCTTCACTTCAGGTTGCGATCGATTGTTGTTGTAGAGGTGGCCTGACGAGAGCACCAACCTCTTAATTGCGACGTACTAAGGTACTACGTACTAGTAGTAGGATGTTGTAGCGGATTCCGACTGCAGCAGCCATGGCCGCGTGGACTGACAGGTAAAGAGTCTGGGGTACTAGTACTACTACCTAGTAGTAGTAGTAGGTATGTAGAGGTTTAGGCCTGAGCATTGGCAGTTCTAGAGCCCCAGAAGCCACTTTGCCAGCGCCATTATTATGATTGATTGATTGATGAGTCTATGTAGGTATTTTTAGTGCGTGGCGTAATTTTCCGACTCCTTTTGGTCTCTGTTTCTCTTCCGCGGCCCGCCCTCGAATTGTATGGATCTCTAAGCAACTTCAAACACTACATCGTCTCACCTTCGTCTCGTCTCGTCTTGTCTCCTACTCTCACTCTTTACCCGGCTGTTCAGTGTCGCGTCGGTCAGCCTTACACCGGCTCACGCTCCGTCCTCTTTTCCACGCTCCTTCAGACTGCAACTGCGCTCGTTACCACTCTCCTCTGCTTTCCGCCGATTCCCTTCGCCTCCGGATTTACGGGTCACTGAAATGTGCCTCTATAAATATACTTGATCGCGCATTAATTTGGGCCTGAAAGAGTGTCGCCCGGAGGCATTATGGAGCCGTTACTTGGAGGAGGCCCAGCTTACATGGCCACCACCACTCTGAAGGTGGACGGCATGACATGCGGTGCCTGCACTTCGGCGGTTGAATCGGGTTTCAAGGGTATCGAAGGTGCCGGAGCGGTGTCAGTGAGCTTGATGATGGGACGAGCCGTCGTTCATCATGATCCGGTGAAATTGCCGCCAGAGAAACTTGCCGAAATCATTGAAGACTGCGGATTCGACGCCGAAGTCCTCACAACCGATATTCCTCAGCCTACCACCCCGGCCTCACAGCAAGACGGCCCAGATGGGTCAGACGAGACAGCGTCGAAGATTACTACAACAACGATCTCAGTGAAAGGAATGACATGCGGGGCGTGTACATCCTCGGTGGAGGCAGGATTCAAGGATGTTCCAGGCGTCAAGAGCATGAGCGTGTCTTTACTGGCTGAGCGTGCGGTTGTTCAACACGATGCAGACATAATCAGCGCTGAAGCTTTGGCCGAAATAATCGAGGACCGAGGGTTTGATGCCACCGTGTTGGAGTGCAAGACCCAGGAGACTATCAAGCCTGCAACTGGCGACGCCCTGGGGACCAACGTAGGTTCCACCACATGGACGACCACCGTCGCTATCGAAGGCATGACCTGTGGAGCCTGCACCTCGTCCGTTGAAGGCGCGTTCAAAAATGTCCCTGGGTTGGTGCGGTTCAACATAAGTCTTCTTGCAGAACGAGCGGTTGTTTCGCACGATCCAGCGGTTCTGCCGGCAGAGAAGATTGTCGAACTCATCGAAGACGCCGGATTTGACGCGAAGATCGTGTCGTCGCAAGCAGAAACGACATTACATGGCGCCCCACGCGTCTCGCAACAATTAAAAATATACGGTCTTCCAGACGGCAAGGCTGCGACAGATCTGGAAAACGAACTGAGAGCGAAACCTGGCATTAAGAATGCTGTCATCAGCTTGTCCACCTCCCGTGCCACTGTCACATATGACCCTGCAATGATCGGGCTTAGAATGATTGTTGGGGTTATCGAGGCAGCCGGCTTCAATGCCCTTGTGGCAGACTCCGAGGACAACAATGCCCAACTAGAGTCGTTGGCCAAAACCAAAGAGATCCAGGAATGGAGGCGGGCATTCCTGACCTCTCTGGCATTTGCCATCCCAGTCTTTCTGATCAGCATGGTAATTCCCATGCTGTTTCCCTCATCAGACTTTGGCGCCATACAGATCATACCTGGTCTCTTCTTGGGTGACATCATTTGCTGCGCCTTGACCATTCCCGTGCAATTTGGCATTGGTAAACGATTCTACAGGTCAGCATACAAAAGCTTGAAGCATAGATCGCCCACCATGGATGTTCTGGTCGTGCTTGGGACGTCGGCGGCGTTCTTTTTCAGTTGTTTTTCGGTCGTCGTGGCAGTCATTATACCGCCTCACAACAAACCCGGGACAGTATTCGACACGAGCACCATGTTGATCACTTTCATCACTCTCGGGAGATGGTTGGAGAACCGAGCAAAGGGTCAGACGTCCAAGGCGCTCTCCAACTTGATGTCTCTTGCGCCCAGTATGGCGACGATCTACGAAGATCCTGTGTATGCTGAGAAGCTCGCTGATGCATGGGCGGTCCCGGAATCTCCGACGCTTGAGAAAACTCCATCCATATCTTCCAGACATAACAGTGTTTCTGCACCGTCTGGACCTTCAGCTGTCGAGAAAGTCATTCCTACGGAGCTCCTTGAAGTCGGAGATGTTGTCATTCTTCGTCCTGGCGATAAGGTTCCGGCCGATGGCATCGTCACTCGCGGGGAAAGCTACGTCGACGAAAGCATGGTGACTGGAGAACCCATGCCCATCCTTAAGAAAAAGGGCAGCGCACTAATTGCTGGTACGGTGAACGGTGCCGGCAAAGTCGACTTCAAGGTGACTCGCGCAGGGAAAGATACTCAGCTGAGCCAGATTGTGAACCTGGTGCAAGAAGCACAAACAAGCCGCGCGCCTATTCAACGTATGGCCGATCTTGTTGCTGGCTATTTCGTCCCAATCATCATTCTGCTCGGTCTGACCACCTTTATCGGATGGATGGTATTGAGCCACACGATGCGAAACCCACCCGAGATCTTCGTCGACAACCAAAGTGGCGGAAAATTCATGGTCTGCTTGAAACTTTGTATCTCGGTCATTGTTTTCGCCTGCCCTTGTGCTCTGGGCTTAGCAACTCCCACAGCAGTCATGGTGGGAACCGGGACCGCATCTCAACAAGGCATTCTGGTGAAAGGAGGTGCGGCTCTCGAAGCAGCCACGCGGATTACGCATATCGTTTTGGACAAAACCGGCACCCTGACGTTCGGCAAGCTCCAAGTGGCGGACACACACATCGACTCGGCCTGGACCTCTAACCCGTGGAGAGTCAAAGTATGGTGGACCTTGATGGGTCTGGCTGAAGCAGGTTCCGAGCATCCTATCGCCAGATCTGTCGTAGCCGCGGCGAAAGACAAACTCGATCTCGAAGATGAAGAGCCATTCTCTGGCCAGGTCATCAATTTCGCAGTGATCGTCGGCGAGGGGGTCTCTGCCTTGATCGAGCTAGAGAGCTCCACCCGGAAGTCCGACCAGGATCCAGCAAACCCAGAACAGACCCGATACAAGGTGTACGTCGGCAACGCCAAATTCCTGCGCAACAAAAAGATCCCCATTCCCTCCGAATTCGAGGACGAAGGCAATTCAGCCTCGCCCCTCGCAACCGCTGCCAGTCAAAAGTCCAAGACAGGCATCACAACCGTCTACGTCGCCATCAACGGACAATACGCAGGCATGCTCGAACTCTCGGATACCCTGAAACCCACCGCCCCCGCGGCCATCGCCGCGCTACACAAGATGGGCATCAGCACGTCCCTGGTGACGGGCGACACGTACAACACGGCGCTAAGCATCGCGCAACTCGTCGGCATCCCACGCGAGTCGATCCGCGCATCCGTGTCGCCCGGCGACAAACAAGCCATTGTCGCCGAGCTGCAGTCGCAAGGCGAAGTCGTCGCCATGGTCGGCGACGGGATCAACGACTCCCCCGCGCTGGCGACCGCCAACATCGGCATCGGCCTGGTCTCCGGCAGCGACATCGCCGTCGAAGCCGCCGACATCGTCATCATGCGCTCCGACGATCTGCTGAACATCCCCGCCGCCCTGCACCTGTGCCGCGTCATCTTCCGCCGCATCAAGATGAACCTGGTCTGGGCGTGCGCCTATAACGTCCTCGGCCTGCCTTTCGCCATGGGCATTTTCCTGCCCTTGGGATACCACATGCCTCCCCTGATGAGCGCCACTGCCATGATGTTCAGCAGCATCAGCGTCACCCTGTCGAGTCTGGCGCTGCGGTGGGCGCGCAGGCCGAAATGGCTGACCGTCGAGGCGATGGAGCTGGAGTCTGCCAAGATCGCTGTCCCTGTTGTAGGCCAGAAGCGGAAACTGGGGTACGTTGCTACAGTCAGGGACTTTGTGTCCGGCCTATTTGACGGCGCGTTGGTCAAGAGGAGAGCGGAGGAGCGGGATCGTGGAAACTATGTCCCGCTCAGGACTGTCGAGCCTGTTTAGTTTCATCTGTTTTTATTGAACGAGATTGTCTTTTGTTATATACCACTATATACCTGCCTGCAGTAGCGCGACTATTGTATGTATCATTCTAATTAATCTGTCATCTAGACCAAAGGCGCTCTTTGCGACGTAGAGCTCTAGATGCTGACCAGCTACATCGTTGGCATTCTATCCAGTTGGACGATGGATTGACGGGCATGTCGCACTTACGATACGAAAGTGCCTGTCAGGGGATTCTCTAGTGGCTTCGTCATAAGGCTGAGCCCCTGAATGGCGATGGAGGAAGCAATACTAGTAAGTAAATCGACCCTACATATTCCCATCACGAATGGGGCTTTGGGAGTGGACAAAATGAGCAGCACGTTTCACTCTTTTTCAAGCATGGATCGTAGTCGAAAATTCTGATACAGAACCAACTCCGCCATGGGAGTTGGATGTTCAACATGTCCAGCCCGTCCCTCTCGCATCAACGCTCTTCACGATCGAAGCATGGCATTGCGCATTTCAAATACGGTATCTCGGCCCAACATCTCCCCATAATCACATCAGATCACCTCTCCTTGTGATATTGACGAATAGGTACTCAGAACAGATTTCTCCGCAATGCCCAAACCTCGCAAATTCTCATCTCTCGCTGGCAACAGACTTCCGAGTCCCATGCACATGTCAATACCTCCCGTCACTGATTGACATCTTCTATGTCAAATTCTTCGAGGATCTATTGCTTCACGTAGTCGAGTGAAGGTCGACTTGTCGCTGATGGTGCAGTCAATCAAGGCCATGTCCGGCTCTTCACCATTCTCGACCGGGTCCGACACGGCATGTTTGGGCACATCACAAATCTCTTGGATTATCGGGAGGTCGCGTGTGACCACGGGCCAGGACTTGCGCAAGGTATCCTGTGGGAAATTGCTATTCACGCTGAACTCAGGTCAGTAAGTGCACTTCGGCATATGTGTTGGAGGGATGGGAGTGACTGGTGGCACGACGACTTACGACCGTGCATGTGTGGGCAGTAGAGTCAGAATTCCAGGCCCGAAGAAATCCACCATATTATAGAGGCTTGCAAAGTTCTGAATGTACATTTGCACGACTCTTCTCTCCGCGCCTAAGACGCTGCTTGCAAAGTCTAATGCGATTGACCTCCAATCTCTTCCTTTGCTGGACACTCCTGATTGACCATCTTCGAGAAGCACAGTTTCGACGAGAACTCGCAACCTAGGATCGTAGTGGGGAGAATTTGGGCTTTTTAATCGCATTCAAGAGCTTATAAAACTCTTGCCCAATCCGGAACCGGTAGAGATTCCCTCTGAAGACGTATATGGTCTCCAGCTGCCTGGGTTGTGCTACAGAATGGCAGAGCAAAGCGAATTGCCGACTCATACGGGTCAGGATTGCAAAGCTGGACCGATCATACTGAACACTGTCGTCGTTGTGATTGTACTTCCCTCGGCCGGACTGCGGTCTCTGGCACGGCCTTAGATCGTGATCAGCGCAAGCCATAAAGCGAAAAGTCAATTTCTCTTACCAGTGTCCTGATGAACGATCGCGAGTGCTTTTATGAAGAGATGGTGTTTGTAACTGTGATAGCTCTCGAGAGACTCTTCAGGCCCCGCCGGTATGCCCGCTCCTTTCAATTTAGTGCCCGCGAGGGCTTGCGTGTCGGGTATGGTTGTAGCAACTTCTGTGGCTGCTGGTGGACCATTTCTCGCTTTGTGCTCTTTCTTCAACTTGTCCACGACATGCTTAATGATTGAAAGCTGGCGACTAGCTTCGAGCCGCTCCACCGCACCTTCCGTCGAGTTCTCAGCGCATCGAAGGAAGTGGTGCAGAGCCGTCATAACGGTCATCGTAAACCTGGCAACGTCTGGCGACCCTCGCTGCTGGAATTGGTGAATTTTAGTCATGGCCATGGAAGGTTGTTAGGGATTCAAAGAGCGTCCTGACCTTGAGTAATGCCTGGGCATCTTCAAGTAGGCGTTCGACTTGGTGGACAGCATGCTCCGGCAGAGTCTCACTGCTTGCTGGATCGGCCATTATGGAGTGGTTGCAGGGTAATTTGAAATCAAACCTGTGATGCCAGGCATGTGTATGTTCAGAGAAATCTCTCGTAGCTGCGGTAGACGGTTCGTAGTTGAAATCCGGTTATCTTCGTAGCAACGATGTTTGGAAGGGTGAGCAGTGAATGGCCATGGTCAGTCTGTTTACCTTCCCCCCCGCGGTTGTTGGGTGCGGCAGAAAACCGCGTTCCATGTGTTCATCGAGGTGGTTGCTGGTGCCAACCAGGGGCATGTGTTACAGTCTCTCACTGGCATGGCCAGTATAGGCCGTCAGGGAGTCAGATCCTGGAGTAAGATGGGTAGAGAAGAGGGCTCAGTCTTCTGCAGAGTAGTAGTAAGGCCAATGGAAAAGCGGCATTAGAAGGAGCAAACTGCAACGGCAAGAACAATAGGCAGTTACATTTCTGGTATACCCGGTCTCGATGGTCATCCTTCTTCCTACTCTCAGTCTTGATCTCCAGCATCCCCGGAGTATCCAACAAGTCGACGTCGCCAGACTCGTAGTGGTGAGTACAACAAGACCCTTCTTTTCAAATGAACCAGCTCTTCAATGAACCAGCTCTTCAATGAACCAGCTCTTCAATGAACCAGCTCTTCAAAACAGCCTGGTCATAGAGATACCAAACTCTCGCGATCTGCCAACTTTCTAATCTTCCCACTGCTCACAGCTGGTCAAGCCATAGGAATGCTATTCTCCTCGCACATCTTCCGCCACCCTCCATGTCGCCGCCTTGCCATCAAACCCATAGACCCTGCCATCTTCACTGGCAAAATCGTCAAAGGTATTCGCTGGCTTCTCTCGACAGAGGCAGCAGAAGATATCCATCCACCAGAGGGCTAGGGAAGTGGTAATACCGCAAGCGATCCTGGCGACCATGGCACACAGGGTCGGTAGTTGGTTTCAAGACTGTCAAAGGTATTGTCCCGTATAGCCGTATATGCATTGACAGCTGATATCTCCTCGAAGATATGGTGATAGCCACTCCAACCTGTCTTGTTCTCTTCTCGTTCTGTGTTGCAGTCTGATAACGCGCCCGTAAATGGCACGATTCCATTGGCGGATCTTGCCTGCCGGTCGAGTGCGTGACTGGTTGAATACTCCGCCTTATCACAGCATGTTGTTGATCAGTGACGACATGCTTGTTTCGACTTTCACGTGTCGCCAGCACCATCGACGACGACTTCATCGCCGCAAGATTCATGATATACTAGTATCACGCACCATTCTTCTACTGATCAAGACTGAAGAAGTTGCCCTTATCTTCCTTCACGCCGCCTGGCTGGGTGAAACACTGGCACACCTCGACATCATCCCATACGATGCCTCCAGCAACGTCACATCTCCTCTCTGCCATCGTTCTCACTTCCACCATTCTCCCTAGTGCTCTCGGAAGCCAAGTCGCAGTTAAAGAATGGACCTTCAAAGGTCTTGATATTCCATCTATCGGGCTGGGACTATGGAATTCGAAAGATAAAGATGTAAGTCGTTGGTGTGATTTTCTCCCTTCCAACCTTTGTCCCAGAATGGAATACGAAGTCAAGGCCTTAGATCCATGGACAAGGCACTAACCATATTCAACCTCGAACATAGGCAACCCGTGCCGTCGAATATGCCTTCGATGCGGGCTACAGCCATGTCGACTCGGCCGCAGCATACGGTACGTATTGAAGACCATCTGAGAATGAACGCTACGATGCAGACGCCTTCCTGGCTCCCTCTTTCTCCTCTTCCATCCCATCCCATCACATTCGTACTAACCGCATTACATTCATTCAGGCAACGAAGACTTTGTCGGCAAAGCACTCCAATCTTCCGACACCCCCTCCCGCCACAAATACTGGGTGACCTCGAAACTCTGGAACACCGACCACAGACCTGGACGAGTCGCGCCGGCCCTGAAGAAGACCCTGGCCGACCTATCGATCCCCTACCTCGATCTGTACCTGATGCACTGGCCCGTGGCTTTCCTCCCGGACACAGAACCTGGCCGAACCATCGTCGACCAAGACACCGACATCGTCATGACGTGGCGGGCCATGGAGGATCTCGTCCGCGCCAATCTGACCCGGTACATTGGCGTGTCGAATTTCAGCCCGCGCCAGCTCGACACCATCCTGAAGGACTGCCACATCTGTCCGTACGCCCATGAGTTCGAGACCCACCCCTACCTCCAGCAGCAGGAGTTTGTCGATTGGCACGGCGAGCATGGCATCAAGGTCATCGCTTATAGTCCGTTGGCCAACATGAACCCGACCTACAAAAGTAAATACCCGAAGCTGGATCCGATCGTGGAAGACCCCTTCTGGAAGGACATGGCTAGCAGAAAGAACGTCACCGCTGCACAGGCTGTTCTTGGTTGGGGCATTCAGCGAGGCACCGTCGTCATTCCCAAGAGTGTCCACGAAAAATACATATTCGAAAACCTGGCCAGTGTCAACGTTACTTTCTCCAAGGCAGAAATGGGAGAGATTGCCGCCCAAGACAAGAGGTCAAGATTCAATAACCCGAGCAAGGACTGGGGTGTCGAATTGTTTGAAGGGCTGGATGACGGGTACAATCGCTTCTTCGTCGAAGAACTGTAAAAACTGATGAGGGAGTGATTTACGGAACTGTAGGAAGGACCTATATGCCAATGAATTTGATCCAAGGTACAGCACGAAAAGGATGCCATGATATACAGTATTGCTCGGGTATGTGGATGCGCCGACTAATGCGATAACTCCCTCCACACCAGGACCATCAAGCCCCTACCTGGCCTTTCGCCATCCGGTTACTATGCCACACCACACCACGGCCCGATGGTACACCAGGGGTACCAAATGATGTGCCAACAACGCCAATGCCAATGCCTTGAACCAATGCAATGTCTGGTCGTGACGCTCGTGTTCGTCGACGGCAACTATAATGGCCAAGATCGATCCTCCAGAACTCCAAGGGATCAGTCGTCAATCTCCTGATGGCGAGCCAGCACCTTTCTTTGGTATTCCTCGGGATCCTTTTGGTGGAGTTGAGCGGCTTCGTTGTTGAGTGGGCTTGCACTGTATCCCGTCATTAGTAAGCCAAGTCTTCTGCCCCAAAGGAGAATTGCTCACTTGTTGGGTTCGCCTAGCAGACTCTGCAAGCTCAGCAATACCGTTTGTACATTGTAGACGGCGCTCCACTTGTCCTTCAAGATGTCCAGACATATCCGACCGCTGAAGTCGATGTTCGGATGGTAGATCGGGGTCTTGAACAGAACGGTGGGGGCAATATAGGGGTAGTTGCCCGGGAACTCGAAGCTGAGCTTGAGGTTGAGGTCTGCGTATGGGGTGTCTTTCGGGCCGACAATGGTTGCGGTCCAGTGTAGCAGGTTTCCGTCAGCGTCTGGAAAGGCTGAGATGCCGGGTGTAGGAGACATCATGAGGGTCATTAGTTCGGACTGTAGTCTGTTGAGCTGGTTAGCTAGCTGTTCATCGCCCCATTCCGTAAGTGGCCGAGTCTGCACCTCTTGGTCACGCTCTGTGTATCGGCCTTCCTCGGCATGGCGGACAGTTTCTGATGTTCGGCCATGGTGGGCAGTCCTGGGACAGAGTTCTGGGTGTCCTCGAGTGTAAAGTCCATGCTCCTAGAGGGCAGCTGAAATAGATCGGTATCCAAGGGCTAGCCGGCTGCGGACGTCGAGAATGCGTGGGTGGAATGCTGAAAACGGAAAAATGGTCTAGACAACGGAACGGAGAGGTTGTGAGACCGGTGATGACAAGAAAGAGACTGTGCAGAATAACAGAAAAGTGATTGCGAGGATCTAGGGACGAAGACACCGGCACGCTGAAGAGAAATCGTGGAAGTAGATGCAGTGGGTTAATGAAGAGAGTCGTCGTAGCAAGGCAAGATCGATCAAGACATTCGTTCGAGCTCGAAAGGGCAGTTCAATTTGTAGGACTAGTAGGAGGATGCAGTGACAGAAGTGGAAGAGAAAGAAGAACGGCATTCATTGTTGATGGGGGGCATCACTGCAGTAACAAAAGGACAGACCAAGTGACGGCGGTCAGTTATTACTCTGTACTAGTACTGACAGTACCTACTAGATACCTAATTATAAGACGTAGTAGGGTAATTAGTAGTACTAGAGGGGTGCTGCCTGCGCCCCTCGGTTTCTCCCCGTCAACAAATGAATCTACCTAGTAGGTATGGAACCACGCTTTTTGAGACACGACACGCTTCAAACACTCTGACCACGACGCGTTCACCAGTCACTCCTCTATGCAGCCTCCAGGTTGTTTCAATGCGTCTGCTTGATCATGGTCGCCGTTTAACACGATCCTACAAGTTTAATCAACGGTCAATGGCGGAAGAGTCAGATGTCCACCATGAACGGCGTTCCACACTCGCAATTGGCGCCTTTGCCTGACCAGGTGCCGTTTCGAATTGTCTCTCCAACCATCGGGTCTGGAGCATACGCATGGTAACACATCTGTCCGCAGAGGGTCGCTGGTACAGTAACGCTCGTTCTAACCGTGGACAGCATCAAGAAAGCCGCTCCCCTCAAGACCGAAACGCCTGTATTCGCCGTCAAATTCATCAATAAGTTGTATGCTGAGAAATATGGCCGAATCAAGAAGAAGCAGTTGATGATGGAGATGTCGCTCCACAAACACATTGGTCTTCACAAAAACATCATCGAATTCTACGACCATGGGTCGGACCCGGCTTGGGTGTGGATCGCCATGGAACTGGCTGAAGGAGGCGACTTGTTCGACAAGATCGAGGCTGATGCCGGCGTGACCGAAGACATTGGCCATGTCTACTTTACTCAACTGATTGGGGCTGTTGGATACATGCACTCGAAAGGAGTGGCTCATCGCGACATCAAGCCAGAAAACGTGTTACTGTCGGCCGACGGTGACTTGAAGATTGCCGACTTTGGAATGGCAACTCTATTCGAATACCATGGCAAGCGGAAACTGGCGACCACCCTGTGTGGAAGTCCACCTTACGTTGCACCTGAAGTGCTGTCGTCCAGTTCGCAATCCGGGTGCAAAGAACCAGGCTATCAAGCCGATATGGCAGACATCTGGTCTTGTGGCGTCGTCCTGTTCGTGCTTTTGGCGGGAAACACTCCATGGAGCAAGCCGGTTCAAGGGTGGGATGAATATGGCCGTCCAAACGAGTTCAGCGAGTATGTCCAGAGTAATGGCAGACCGGAAGACGAGTTATGGGATGCGCTTCCTCCGGAGGTACTCTCGCTGCTCCGTGGAATGATGAAAGTTGACGTCAAGTCACGATTTTCTCTCGAGGATATTCGGAGACATCCCTGGTTCACCCGGCCGAACAGATATCTCGATCAGAAAGGCCGACTGAGTGATCCCATCACAATGGCCACGGACATGTTTGAAGCACTGCACGTCAGCTTTGACGTTGACCCCTTGGCGGGGACGCAGGCAGCCCGGACGGCCGACGATATGGATATTGATCGACCATGCGAGTCCAAGCTGGCAGCGACGCAACCTGAAATGCCGGGTGAAGACATGTTGTTCGACTGGGTGCGACCACGGCATCTGCCCTTTTCCAGCACTCAGATTGGTAGCGGACTTGCTGCTGGCATGTCTTCGACCCAATCCATCTCGACGACCAATTTCCTCGCGGATGAACCTTCAATGTCACAATTCGCAGCTACGCCCAGTGTTCCCTTGAGTCGGACACAGATGGCCCGGAGGTTCCAAGATATCATTCCAGCCTCGGGGTTGACCAAATTCTACTCTGGTTGGTCAATGAGCCTACTGGTGCCACACCTTCTCGAAGCCCTAAGCCGGCTGGGCGTGCCGACCCCACTGATGCCCCGGCCTGAAGCAGACGACTTTGAATGTAGAATCAAAGTCAGGACTCAGGATAGTCGAGGATGTCCACTGACCGGAAACGTGGCTCTGGAAGTCGTTGGCGAAGGATTGGTTGAGGTGTGCTTTGTCAAGGCCTCAGGAGATCCTTTGGAGTGGCGGCGATTCTTCAAGCGGATGGTAGTTCTTTGTCAGGACGCCGTGGTCAAACCAGAGGAGTGAGAAATACATTTGAATTGCATTGTCTGGCGTCGGGAAGGGGAGCGGACCGAAAAGCATAGATCGATATCCTGATGTACAATGGTCAACACACGTAATCAACACATCGTCTTCCAAGGCGATAAAGTCTTTGACAATCAGTCTGGCGACACGAGCGGACAATACGTAGTAACTTGAAGATCAAAGAACAAATCCGGGGATGGATCGATCTCCGTCTCCTCCGTACTGCCTTGTTCCCCCTGAAATCCGGGGATCCGACGTTGACGCATCGAGCCTCGGCGATATGTGGCTTTCACATGTTGAAATGACTTCATTCCGCGCCGCCGGTTGCTTGCATTTCATCGGGCCATGTGATCACTTTCTTCCTCAATCCTCTCGCAATATAACAACGAGCAGTCTTCTTGTCGTCCAACCGTCCTATACTCAGCTATATCCCACATCTACTGTCTACTCTACCATCTCCTCCGCCAACTCAGGACAACCGCTCATTCCAAGCTGGTTTCCCTTGTTTTCCGTCCCCAATCCGCCAGCAGATCAAAACAACCATGTCTCTCAAGAACGGTAAGCCATAAGCCAGCGGTCTCCTTGTTCAGCCCGAAACACGACGCTCCAAGTATTTGGATATCTGACTGTTTGTGGCTGTCTAGACGCCTTCCCCTCCTCTCCAGCCTTCGACGCCATCAACGACGCCCTCAACTCCAGCGACGCCGAGCGAAAAGCCGCGATCAAACAAGGCGGCGCCGTCTTCGCGTTCAAACTCACAAACAACAAAGGCCAGGAAGAGTCATGGCACATCGACCTCAAAGAGACGGGGAAAGTCGGCAAAGGCGAGGCCCCAGAGGGCAAGAAAGCTGATGGTCAGTACTCTTCTCCCTCGATCTCAGCATCTCGTAGAGAAAAGGGGCCGTGTTTTTGGGGGGCGTTTTGTTGACACAAGATCTCTTTGTCTAGTGACACTCGTGCTATCCGACGAGAACTTTGGCAAATTGGTCGCCGGCAGCACCAAGGCGCAGTCGCTGTTCATGACGGGAAAGCTGAAGGTCAAGGGCAACGTGATGAAAGGTAAGTCGAGCAGTGTATTCCAGTGATAAGCTGGAGGAAAAGAAACTTGAACTCTACACGACCAGTCTGCTGACACACTTTTGACTTGTGGGTGATATAGCTACGAAGCTGGAACCTGTCCTGGCAAAAGCCAAGGCGCAAGCGAAGCTATAAAGACCGAACCTGATATCGGGGTCTAGGATGGATGGCTGGCAACACACTGCTGAGCGAGTGATGTCAATTGTTCGATTTTGGTACGGAGAGCGGATGGTGTCGCTACATTTGTACCCGCCTGCCCAAAAAACAAAGAGGATGGCAGAACAGAAGAGAACAGAAGAATATATATCGACTTCTATATTCGTTCCTCGAAGTAAAGGCATGCAAGGACGTGCCATGCCGTAGATGGAAGACAATTATCAGGGGGAATGCAGTGGTGGAAACCCCAAATGTCATTGTCAATGCGACCTATGGATGATATCACGACTTTTCCAACTCCCATAGTGGTGCTCCCTTCTCCCAAGTTGATTGAATGGTTTCTTCTATCCTCTCAATGCTGTCCTCCGATACCTGCTATATGACTATTCCATACTCTCAGGTATATATCAGTCACAATCACTCGGAGTCTGGAGTCATCTACATGTGATAAGGAGGCTCCGACCCCTCGACCACAGCATAGAGGGCCGTAATCGCATCGGCGAGGTCATCAGGGAGCGGACCCGCCTCAAGAGCGTCCAGAGTCTTGGGTAGCTGCTCGATCTTGGAGACGCCGAAGATGACTCCATCGCCATACTTCCCGTCCAAGGCGCTGTGGTATGCCGTCCAGCGCAGCGCGGCAGCATGGCCACTGATACCATACTTCTCGACGGCGGCTTGCACGGTAGCCACGGCGGCTTGGACAGGAGGTTTACCATAGAAGGTAGACTGCATTTTCCCTAGCAGATTCTGTTTTTTGATCAAAAGTTGTCAGTTATGGTTCTTCAAAACTTGTATCATGAATGAATGATCTAGATCGATCGAGATTCGACTCGACTTGCTATGAAGATGACATGACAAACTGCTTTCGCTCGGTCCGTCACAGTCACTGCATAGGGCAGGGGCAGGGAGTCGGATTGGGGCTGGCAAGGCAAGGCAAGACAACTTACATCGTCCCTCCACCGCGGTGAGGTCTCGGTATGGCCTGAGAAAAGACCACCTGCTGCCGGACTAGGTAGAGAAGGGTAGTTAGTTAGTTAATCAGCCAGTCAAGTTTTGTTGTTGTAGCTGGACTGGAATATTTGTCCTGGTAGGGCACGCCGACTTTGACTCACCTATAAGCGAAAAACGCCATGTCATGTTTCCGCAACAGTGGAAACAGTTCCTTCTCCCCTCCGCGCACAATGGCATTATAATTGCCCTGGTACACGCTCGGCTTGACATACCCTTTGTCCTCGCAAATCTCGAGGAACCGCTGCACCTCGGCTGCCGTGTAGTTGGAAAGGCCGAATTTCTTGAACCGACCCTGCTGCAAGGCGTCGTTCATCGCCTGGGCTGTCTCCTCAAACGGCGTTTGACGGTCCGGCACGTGCAGGAACATGGTCTCCACGCTCGACGTCTTCAGGTCGTGGAGCGATTGCTGGATGCTCTGCTCGATCTTGGCCCGCTCATGGTCTCCGGGGTGTCCGCTGTACACTTTGGTGTGGATGGTGAAGCGGGACGCCGCGCCGGCCTGGCCTAGACGGGGCTCTGACGAGCCGGGCGCTTCGGGGGAGTAGAGCCGCGAGGTATCGATCTCTCTGTACCCGCGGGCGTGGAATGCGTCCAGGAGAGATTTCACGTCTTCGATCTTGTCGAAGTGTGCATTGGACGGGTCTTTGATGCTGTCGCCCACCTGTTGTGGAGAGTTGAATGTGAGAAGCAGATCGGGGATTTATGTAACAGATTGGCAGATAGTTGTGAGATATACATACCATGTGGGTTCCGAGGATGAACTTGACGGGTGTTTTGGAAGACATGGTACCGGGTTAGATGGTAGTTGGTAGTTGGTAAGGTAGATGGTAGTTGGTTGTGGAAAGAAAGGTATTTCGAGGGTTGAATGTAGGAGGATTGGCTGGTTAATGGTCAGTGGTCAATGAGGTCGGTATGGGCTCGATCTGTTTCTTATGGTCGGGCAGGCTTTTGTCTTCTTTATACCTTGTCAAACTGAGTGATATGTCCTCTGTGGAATCCATCACCGTTTCCCTCCGCAGAGTTCCCGTTGTATACTTGAAATTCAAGTTCCGCAGTTCTTCCGCAATCCGCCCGCAAAGGGGTCCTCCAGGAACAGCCAAGTTTCCCGCCCGCGGATTTGACCAAACCACGTCGACAAGACCTGACTGCCAATACTCCATAGGCGTAATTAGTAAAGCATCTTACAATCCTATCCCAAAAGGTAAGTGGAGAAATAAACACAGAATCGGGGATGCTATACAGGTCAACATCAGAGGTGGAGGAGTAGGAGTAGCCTTCTTGCCCCACGCCATGCTTGCACACGAGCAAATAGGAGAAACAATTGACGTCCGTCTGAGAATGAAATACGATAGATATTGTAGTAGTAGTAGTAGTAGTAGTAGTAGTAGTAGTAGTAGTAGTAGGTGAAAGCTATCTTATACTATACTGCCAGACAGGAGGGACTGTGTTCTGCTGGACTTGTCACTCGTGTCAACCCAGCACTGGATCTTGTCCGTGCCGATTATAAATGTCCAATATAACTTGATGAAATCGTCCACTTCCGAAGCGGCATACTGCGAGATTACAGGCATTGGCTGCAGAGCGGGCACCAGCAGCGGCGGTTTCTCACAAGACAGATCAAACCATTTCACCGCGGACTCGGCCTCCCACAGGCCACGGCGGGTAGTGACCATGACGGCGCCAGCACAATCGGCCCACCCCTGGGTCATGGTCTGGTATGTATTGACGACAGTGTCGATGATGATATGGGTGCGGCGAAGGCTTTCCGTCAAGACCCAAAGCCTCCACAGCTTCGAAGCAGCATTGTAGTGGCTGTCAAAATCACTGTTCGCCGGCCGATGGTGCTCGACAGACAAGCCGTCGTCTTCGCCCCGGTACAGCTTCACCACCTCCCACATCTGGAGGACCCACTGTCGCAGCTTGGGCAGCTGCTGCTCGGCAGAGGCACGCAGCCGCACGGAGCCATCAAAGAGTCGAATAAACTCGTAGACAAACAGAGCCTGGACACGTGCCAGGTGAGCCCGGATGTTTTGCACGCCCCCGGCGACCGGGGGACCCTGATGGACGAGTGCGCACGCGCGTTCGTCGGCAGTCTGGAGGATGGTTTCCTTGACTGCCGGCGAGCATCCAGTATATGCGGCGAGCGTGGTGAAGGCGTCTTGAAGACATGTGGGCATGCCCTTCTCGTACAGGCGCCGATGGATGAAGCTGTTGTGGCCATCTCGCACCCAGCCATGCAGCATTTCCTCAACGGCGTGGATGAATAGATCGAGCTCGATCGCCGTTTCAGACGCTGGGTCTACGGTGCTGTGCTGTAGTGTCCACGTCTCGGCACGGAGGAACCAGGGGCGGCATGTGCTGTTGGAGATGTCGCCGTTGCCGTTCTCATGGGCAACTCCTTCTGGTAGAGCTAATGGACGGTCATCAGGCGCCGGTAGTGATGGTGTCGGAATGCCAGTGGTATAGGAGTTGATCACACCCGCATGCGACAGAAAACAGTCCAGGTCGGCGGTTTCCATCACGCCCCATTGACCGAGATCCAGCAGGCTGCTCCCCAAAGCGTCGGCGTCAGCGGCAGCGAGGGATGCGGCACCAGCATCGGCATTCTTCTGGATGGCGGAGAGTCCTTCGGTCTGACTCAGACTGTCGCGGGTAGTCCTAGTACTAGTACTCGTAGTAGGATCTCTCCGCCGTCTCTTGGGCTGCGGGTATATGCAGTTCACATCCCGCTCCAAACACCGCTGGCACTCCGGGAATTGCTTGTCACATCGGCGCTTGGAACTGGCGCAGGCGATACAGGCCTTCGAGCGTGGAATGGCGGACATTGTGCGGGGCTGTGGGCATTGAAACACTGGCTGTAGGTACCTGGTAGTATTACATAGTAGTCAATCTTCCGTCGTTGGTTATTGTAGGGACTCACCTGTGCACGTCCATTGCTGATTATTAATGTGAGATGGAAGTGTGGAGGATTGATGGATTGAAAGAATCAAACATCCGCCGCATAATAACGCCGCACGCTCAGGTCTTTGACTAAGCAATCTATCATACAGCGATCTCATCGACTGATGGATCGACTCGTTTCAAGTATTCTTCTCTTGCTGTATCCTCGAGGCCGCGCTGGCGAATGTTCTTACGAAGGTGTTCGGCTCTTGGACTTATCGGTACCTCAGGTACTGACTCCAGCTAATGAACTATAGATGCCTACTCGCTTCAGTTCCGGCAGCGACCTCTCTGTGGCTGTTCCCTCAAATCATTGCCAACTGCGATCTTATTTCATCCTGCTCCTGGGTTCCTTCAAGGGCGAGCGGACCTTTTTGCATAGGTAGGAATGTAGGGAAGAGTACCAACTGCAAGATGAAAAGAAGAACAATCCCCCGTTGATACGAGCGTTGCCTCATTCCTGCAATCTGGGGGAGGGAGCTTCCGGTTCCAGGGATCTCCTGTGCGATGAGCCAGCTGCCTTTCCAGAGTCCATCTGGGGTATGCTTATTCCTTTCCGACCAGTTGAGGCGGTGGAAAAAGAGTGTATCGAAAGGATTTGGCCGAAACGGTTTCAGGGGAATCGGACCCTGACTTGTCACAGCCTACAGGAGACCCCCAGCCTCGTATTCCCAGCGTGTTTCGTCGATTTGGGGGCCAACCGACAATCCTTCGACAAGGGACCTTTGAGAGGATCAGAGTATCAGCCAATGAATCTTATTCAAGACCAAACCACCTCTGTCGCCAGAAAAGTTGCGCGGCAGAACACATCCCTTGACCACTCACATCCATCGCTTTCCTCTCATAACATTCTATCCTGTCTAGACATCAAACGTGAGGAGTCTCGAGTTATCCTTCTCCCACGAGAACAAAGGCTGGCGCACGCAGTCTCATACTCCTAACTCGTTGCCGACTGTGATGACTGAACCAGGAGCTCAGACGTCTGCCTCGATGGCCACGGGGAGTGCTCCGATCGCTCCACCCCCTTACTTTGACGCATAGGAGGTGCTATATAAAGTCGACCTGCAGGTCGAGGTCAACGGACGGTGCATCTTCACAATCAGACTCAACTCAAACAGTATTCCAAGCAAGACTTGACAGTTTTTTCTTCATTTCTCTACTGGCACCACTTCTGTCATTCACCCCATCCCCTCTTTCGACACCGTTTGCCATCCTTCGTGGTTCCATCGCCACACGTTCTGTTTACTGTTTACGTAGCAGTCACTATGCATTCAGTTCTATCATCTACCAGCCTCGTGCTGTCTGTGCTGGCCACAGCCGTCTTCGCCTCCCCTCAATATGGCGACTCCAACTCCGACTCAGCCTCCTCCACAGCGACAGCGTCTTCCTCCACCTCATCTTCCTCCGCTTCAGGGGTCCACTCGGTCCAAGTCGGTCCAGGACTGTCCTTCAGCCCTGACACCGTGGCGGCCGCCCAGGGCGATTGGATCGAGTTCACCTTCGGATCCGGCCACTCGGTCGCCCAGAGCACCTTCGACAAGCCCTGTGTGCCCATCAGCAGCGGCGCGGGCGTCTATTCGGGCTTTCCCGACGACGGCGATGTCTGGCGAATCATGGTCAACAGCACCGATCCTCTGTGGCTGTACTGTTCCGCACAGGGCCACTGTGAAGGCGGGATGGCCCTGGTCGTGAACCCACCGTGAGTTGTGCCTCCATCTGCCAATGATACATCTTCGCACGACATGACCCGTTCAATGCCTTTGGTTTGGTACTCTCCACAGCAGTTACTGACTTTGACCTTCAGCAACAATGACAAGACTCTCGATGCATACAAGTCAGCGGCCAAAGATGCTCAAGGCTCATCCCCAAGCACCGTTCAAGGTGGCGTCTTTGGGGCAGCAAGCGAGAGCAGCAGCAGCAGTGCGAGCGGTTCAGCGTCAGGTAGTGCTAGTTCCACCGGTTCAAGCGCAAGTGCCGCTACTTCTGGAAACAGTGCCGACACCATAACTGTTAAAAATGGACTGCTTCTTGCAGGGGCAGTGGCGGCGGGTGTTGCTGCTGTGCTGTAGCTGTCGGTCTCTGGTTCATTGTATGCCATCAAGGAATGCGTTGGCGGAAAACTTCGCTGTATCAGCTGTCTGATGATCCGTCATACCATAGACGATGAACGATAAAATCAGTATGCAATCCAGTCTTCACCAGCGATGGTCTACACAGCCCTTTTGATCTTCGTTCTCGGTCCGTAAAGCAGAAGAGGACAGCATTGTCTCCTAGGAGAACACTCAAACCTATAGAAATGAACAATCTGACTGAACGCCAGATGTTGGGTCCAAACAAGTAATGAATGCTGAATGATCAAGGGTGACCTTGACGAGGCTGAACAACTTGTCAGCGCAAGGCTGCGCCAAGGCCAATCATCTTCAATCTTCCCCACACGCAAGTCACTTTCACTTTCAACTGCAGCGAACTTTTGGAGCAGAGCGCAACATTACTACCAGAATCTCAACACCATCCATCCGACCTCTCCAGACGTGCTACGAGCTAGAGTCCGCACACAAAACACTCTTCCTCTCTCCTGCGGACCAGAACCTTTGCCACCCAACATGTCACACGCCCAAGTCGAAGAGCTATCCGACTCGGACCCCGACATCGACGACCCCTCCGACTACCTCCCACACTCCGACAACCAAGTCATCCGAGCAGCAGCCCAAACGCAATCCCAATCCTCAGACTCTTCACCCTCGACTTCACCACCTGTATCTCCTCCAGCACGCCCCAACCCAACGCTTTTGCGGACCCCTCCTCCTTCTTCTGCAGCGCATCAATTCCAGCAACCGCAGACGCGCGAACACATCAAGGCCTTCCAGACCCTATACCCCGTCTACTTCGACAGCACACGGACACGGGCGGAAGGAAGACGCGTGACATCTTCTCTAGCCATCCAAAACCCGCTGGCGATCAATCTGCTGGAGGCCGTCAAAGCGGTATTCACGGAAACCGCACCACTACCACGGATCGCATTCGAGCCGGACAAGACACACCCCAAAGACTGGGCGAACCCGGGCCGCATCCGCATCGAGATGTTCCACCCGGAGACGCGGCAGCCGATCCACCCAAACATCAAAAACAAGGCGCACCTGTATACTCTGCTGGGACGGTGGTTGAAGGAGCACCCGACCACCCCCAAGGATCCGCTACAGTTGAAGATCCCCGGGTTGCCGATCCCCGAGACGTTTGGGAAGGAGCCGATCCCTGTTCCTCGGGGCTGGAAAATCGGTACGATTCTGCCCGTGCATTCGCCGGCCGTTAGTGGCGGTGGGGTCAAGGACGATTTCTTCAAGGAGGCTATGGAGGAGATCCGCCAGGCCCAGAGTCAGGGCCAGTTGCCTGCTGGTGGGCCGGGCGGGGGTATGCCTGATATGAGTGCGTTGCAGAGTATGATGAGCGGGATGGGCGGGATGGGCGGAATGCCTGGGTTAGGTGGTGGAATGGGAGGAGAGTCAAGCGGTGGAGGAGGAGGAGGCAAGAAGAAGAAAGAGAGAAAGAAGGGTTGATTTTGTTCAGTTTTGCATGTTATCAGTTCCGAGTCGGTCGGACTGGACTGGACTGGACTTCGGGTCGTCATAGCTTTGAGCGGCAGGAGGCTATGGGAAATGACACATGAATCTTGATGGATGTCAGAGTCATTTCTCGACCCTGCGCTGCAATTGTCCATCGTTGAAATTGATGGAAGTCCCATCTATCCAGACTTGATCACCTGCGCCGACAGCTCATTTGTATGCAAGCAAGCACTTTACAGCTCTCCAGGTCGACAACGACAACAATTTCGGTTTCGGATGCATGAATGAATATTCTTCAGTTGCAGATCCACTGATATCATTCTGCGCAAATTCATCCCAGATATCTTTTTTTACGAATCTGTACAAGCTGGTTGAAGTGCTGTTCAGAGTATGGTGTCATGACACAGCCGTCCTCCCGGAGCGTATCAAGGTATCAACTACAGGTCCAGATTCCCAAGCACAAGTGTTTGGAATTCAAAGCTTTATTCAAGAGCGTATCTCCGAGTTATAATAGACCTGTTCGTGACAATGGGACGTTTGATGGGGGAAACTGCTTCGTCAGCAAAAGCGGTGTTCAAGTTATCAAGGGTAAGATGTGTTTGGCACAGCCTTGGCCCCCTTATGTTCAGCCTTGTGTGGATCCGAGGAAGAGATGTATTCTCCGTCACATTGTCTCTCCATACCAAGACAGCAGGACCAATATGCACGAATTGAGAAGCGTGTAAATTGCTACAGATACTTAGTATCCCTGAAGACAGAACTCGTATCAAAGAATTCTGAGAGTACGGATAGCATCAGAAGACGCCATTTATCACCCCAAGACCTCGTCCGAGGATGACATTTCCATCGAGTATTGACTCAGTGCCAGCACATCAGCGTCTAATCTTGCATTACGAGACACTAGGTCAGGTAAGCAAGGACTCAGGAAGCGGCAAGAAAAGTATGATTGTATGTCAAGTTCTAGGCAGGCCAGTCTGGTACTGGTAAAGTAATGATCCAGCCTCCAGGGAATGTATCGAGGTATTAGTTCCAGAGTTCTCTGCCGCCCGCCCTGTGAGCAAGTAGCAGCAACTGACTGCCCTTCGAATTCAGCTCTCCATGGTGATCTATATCAACGTCTGTGTGCATGCCAGCAGCTGCCCACAATCCACCCTCACCATAGATCGGGCCTTCACCACTATGATGGGTCTCACGCACTTTGAGGCCGAGTCTGATCTGCACTCCTCCCACCATCACCACGGGCTATCACCATAGCTTCCACCCTGAACCACTGTTCCAGAAACATGTTCTTCGGCACGATATCTGTCACACATGACCTTATCTTTGGCAGTATGTTCATGCCATCTGCAATCTCTGGTCTGACTTGGATCCACAAGCCCTCCCTTCACACCCTGCTCGTCTATAGTCATCTCGAACGACTCCAACACCTCAACTCTCGCAGTCAAACGGTGCATCAGGACGTCGTTATGGCCATTGACCCATTCCAGATTGGTATCACCACCATCACCACCGTCACCGCCACCATCAGCAATCTCTTCAACTTCCGCCCACCCCCGACTTGCGATCTTGTAAGCCAAACACTCAAGCACACATTCCTTGAGAAGTGCCGTACTGGGACCCCACGTCTTCATATGACGCAGATACCGCAGATCCAAGAACCCTGTGCCCTGCATTTGGATCGCGTCCATGATCTGGTTCTTGAATCGATATGAGCCGACGAAATCGGCAAAGTCGAAACATTTCGCCAGTCGGCCCGGTTTGTCAAGGCTGATGACGGAATCAGCTGCATTGTCTGCCAGACTGCCGCGGAACACGGAGTTGAGCCACAGTGTGAAGATCTCGGTGTCGGAGTGGGTTTGGGGAAGGTAGACCACCGTACGCTGCGGGGAGGTATTGTCGAGGAGGATGGCGAAGTAGGTTGATTTCTCGATGAGGAGGGATCTGTTCACGTAGAATACGTTGACTGGTAAGTCCTCGTTCCGAGTCGGAGTCGGGCTCTGGTTCTGGGACTGGTTCTGCTCCGTGGCTGTATCTGTACCGCCGTATTGCTCTTCACTGCCGAGGATGATTTTGATCATGGGGCTTCGGGCGTGTCTTGAGATAGCAAGGTCAGTATCAGTATCGTGGAACATACACAGTAGTGGATTGATGGATTCATTAATGGTGAGTGAGGAACTTACTCGGCCGTCAGACCTTGCTTGTGCGTCATGACAGGCTTGTCGGACATGATGAGAGATGAGAACGGTGGGTTAAGCTGAGATGCAAGTCTTGACTCTTGAGACGCGAGAGCGGACTGGAGGGGTGTAGAAGGAGGTGAGAAGGATGATATGAGAAGAGGGCGTGAGTATTCGACTGTATCGGATGATGGGTGCTTCAAAAGTCCACTGGATGATAGGAAAAGAGGAGGCGGAAGCAGAGATATATATAGAGGATGCCTGTCTTTGGAGTCACTGGAGTTGAGTGAAGCAGGGATACGGAGTAGCAGAAGGTGAAGTCAGGCCGAAAGAAAGATGATGAGGGTAATGAATGCTGCTATCCCAGTGACAGACATTCAGTGATACCTTCACTGGGCTGGAACGTGAAGAGGAATGGGGCAATATCGTTGATGAGGAGTTATTGACAGAGGCCGGGCTGAACTTCGTGATCTGAGTCTCTCTGGTCGCTTCGTGTGCTTTGAGGATACATTTGTCTCTATCGTCGGAGCCACTCTTCAGACTAAACCAACCCAAGCGTCAAGGCTGATCTTCGACGCCATCTTCTCAGACGCACGATAAAGGGTGTTTGGGAGACAAGTATGAAGTCCCTGCAAAGTGTTTTGACAAATGCACGGTTTGTCTGGCATGGCCCCTCGTCCAGTCTGAACCCAGGCCCATCGAGCCATCGAGTTCGATGACCCAGATCGGTCGGCGCCCGGACAAGTCTTCCAAATCATTCTTCAGTTGTTTTCTGAGGCATTCCCCGGGCCATGTGCTGGTGACACTGTTCCTTGTCCTGGTCCGTATGCTCGTGAGCCATACAGTTCTTCAGTTTTACAGGGATTGATTGTTCAAGGATAGGCGGGTCCAACCCCAGAATTGCCAGATCGTAGTCCATGTCATCCTCCGTTTCAAACATATCTCCAGCTTCTTTGGAAGTAGCGTTTGAAGCATCCTGACCAAGGGGCTCAAGCGGAGTAGTCGGCTGGGCTCTTGAAGGGCTCCCAAGGCCTCGTGCTGTACCATGACGAGCATTTTGTCCCAGAACCATCTGCAAGTTCGACACCCGTTTCGCGTCGGCAGCCAGGAAATCATGTAGATGCTTTAAATCAGCTTTCTGATGGTGTACGCTCCCGTTTGAGAGGCGATCTTCATTTGCAGAGACAAGATGATTCAGAAGACTATCCAGAAGATCGCAATCATTCTTCACAGTCCGGCGAAGGTGGACGATACACCCCTGGATCATCATACTCGAAGCAGTACCGTTCAATAGCTTCTGCATCTGTTGACCCAGATGGATCTTGAATCGTGGAAGGCAGTATCTCAAACTCAGCACGTACGCGTCGATGATGTGATGAGGATCCGTGCAGCAATAGGGGCAATCCCAACCCCGGAACAAGTATAGCATGCAGGCAACTGTATGAGGATTGATATTCCCAAACTTGATATGCCTCTGTCGCGCTTCTCGATAGTTTCCATGGAGACGTTCGTCGAAGTAGGTGGACTCCTCACATAGGCGAGGTAGATCGAATGCGAAGTAGTGCTTTTTGCACCCCTTTCCCACCACCATGGTCACTACTTCAGAGTAGTCAAAGAGATGCCTTGGACGTTCATCCTGAGCAATTTCTGGCTCAGGCACAACCGTACAGCTGACTGCATCTTTCGATTCTGCAATGTTTATCGCATCTTCAGATTCCATATTGGTGATCATATCTTTCGAGATTCTTGTTGGACAATGACATCCCTTGGTCGGCTAGAAATAGCACAGGCTTTTCAGTATTCGACCAAGCAGGGCTTGTTTCCGAAGCGAGCTTGGTGACACCAAGGCGTGGCATCACTCATCGACGTAGTCAGTCCACGTCACGTCCTCCATGAGGTCAGTGAAGCCTGAGTATTGGCCAAACACTGAGTCCCAGCGCTCCCAGTCAAATCCAAGCTCACCATTAGTGTTGGCCAGATTGTCATGGTGTAGCCCGGAATCCAATTCAGTTTGGACAACTTGCTTGCCACCTACTTTGTCATGAGAGAAATGATTGCCGTAGCCGTTGCTCAAGCCATTCGCGGGAGGAAGCCCATTTTCAATCGTGCCATTCACCTCGTTGTGTGACTCTTTGTCTACATTTGCTCGATGTTCTGAGATCGAAAGGCCTTCCCGAGATACCTGATCATCTGTTTCACTTGAAATCAACCCCCCGTTCTGATGTGCGGTTTCATCTCCATCAACACGATCAGAAGAGTGGAATGCGTGGTCTCCGGCTTTTGGGCAATGGCTGCGCAGCTCTAGGACATGATCCGTGGGGAGATCAGTGCTAGCCAAGTTCCGTGAACACTGGGCGAGCCGGCCACTCAACGGGAATGGCATAGCTTGTTGGCCTTCTCTCCGGACCAGTCCTCGATTTGAGCCACGATGAACTTCGTTTTCAATGTCCTTGAGAAACTGGTTTCGTCGAGTACGGGTACAGCGAAGACCATCCTGTGCTTCTGGATGGACCATTTCGCTCTGTGCCATCCGTACCACGTAACGGGCACTATTCTCCGTTGCTGTGATTTCGGCCGTGTTGTCTTTTGAAGGTTGCGGAGCTTCGTACACAGTATCTTCTCTTAGGCTTTGAGCGATCCTCTGCTCTCCGGTAAGTGGTTTTGCAAGACCGATCTGAAGTTGATCCTGCCCAGTCCATAAAACTGTCGGATCAAGCCCGGCTCTCTGCCACGCCGCGGATCGGAGTGCACGTAACATGTCCCAAGCTTCGAGACCGCCTTCCCTCATCGGTCTCTGAGCGGTGACACCGTTGGGCCCACCAACAATGCCTAATTCCGGGGCGGACAGTGAGAATATACCATCAATGAGCTCCCTTGATCTTGGTGCCTCAACACTATCTGGCCTCTCATAGAGGTCGACCAGTGAAATCATGGCCGCGTGTAACGGTCCATGCATGGCAGGCCATGTCCATCGAAACGGCTCCAGATCGGGGTCTGTAGCTAGAGAAATAAATTTTCTCATAAAGCTGTGACTATTGTGGAGTGCGCATTGCCTGCCCACATTCCACAGTTTGCTTTTCGCATTCTTCAGAAACGGTCCATAGGCGACACAATAAAGCTTGTCTTTGAGCATGGAGAGAGAAATTCTGGCCCATTTGTTGTAAGCCGCCAGCTTCGGCCGGTAGTAACGTGCTACGGGTGATGATAACTCGTCATCGGAAGTATTAGTCTTGTAGTATGCTGTTTCTTTCTGGCTGATTGGACTGGTCATCATCTGGTCGCAGTCCAGGGTGCGTTGTCCTTCCTTTAATCCATCTGGAACAAACCCGAGCTCAGGCAATCCTCTGGCGGGAATCTGGCTGATGATGGTATCCACTTCTTGTCCAGACTCCTGCATGACACGTTTCATTTCTTGCATGTCCACATTCGTGAGCATCTTGGTTCCTAAATGGATCGACACAACACTGCGCAAGGCGCAAGCCATGACCGACCTCGCCCTGCCAACGAGCTTCAGTGTCCGCTGGGACGGGATCCTCTTTCTCTCCTCCGGCTCGTCATTTGACGATGGGACTCCCTGGCCCTGAGCCGGATGGACACCTTGAGGTTCATCAACGTCCAGGACCGGATCAGAGTCTTCACAAATTATATTCGTGTCACAGAAGGCCTCTGAAATGAGGGAGGGAAATCCACTCGCGACAACAAGTGACACATCCATCTGGACAACCTGCCACCATAAGCGTCGGCGGGTCCCTTCTTCGGATTTGGGGACGTCAAATAAGGTAGGTTCTCGATGCAATCCCATACTGGAGGCTAGTCGCACGGCAAGCTGCATGTATAGACTATTCTGTATCGGGTCCTCTTCGGCCACAGGCATGGAAGTGATAAGGATGAGGGCGGCCAGTTTCGGAAGCGTTATATTCCTTGTGAATGAGCCCAGCTGCAGACCGAAGACCACTTGGTCATGGAAGCCAGAGGCAAGTTTGGCTCTCGTTGTGCCCGGGAACCAACGCTGAAGGCCCTTACTTGAAATACTCAGTGCAGCAGCATACCAGATCGCGTATAGCAAACCCAAGACCTCAAGATCAGGGTAGTCGGAGTCGGGGGATGGATGGGCTTCAAGGTAAGTCCAAAGAGCTTCATTCCCTTCTAGCAACAGTGCAGGATTGATTATTGGCATGATCGGGTATACACCAGAAAGCCAGCATCTGAAGAGAACGTTACTCTGTGCCCGGGTGGGCAGGTTCCGCAGAAGGTGGTGTCTAGCACTAGCGGGTGAGAATCTGACCGGAATGCCTTGAAGGAGGACGGATTTGGAAAACGGCATCGTCTGGCAAACCGGACAAGTGCTGTCTGGATCACAGCAACGGACGAAGTCTCGGCTGGCTTCTTTGTGGAAACTTGTTGGCTCCCAGAAGTCATCTTTTTCTGCCACTGCATGTCCATGGGCGATTTCTGTGCAACCGGGAGGGCATCGTGTGTCCTGAACGCTTGCAGGACTTACGTATTCGCTGGCCCTCCCTTCTCGCATCGATTGATTGAGTTGGTCAAGTTCGTTAGAAATATGATTCCAGAGGGGATCATCAGTAGCCTGGACGCCGTTGCTCAGTTTCATCCCTGACAATGGCCTGCTGAGATCGCTGCTGTCCTCGGATGGTCCTTGGATCTTTTGCTTGAACATGTCGAGACTCAGGCCCCGCCGCTGATAAGGGCTTCGGTCGGAACTGGACGTGGTAGGCATGAGCAATTCTTGCAACTGTGATTGTAGACCATCATCGGCATCCTGCCGCAAGGCATCAATCATTGTGGTGAGACGAAACAGTTGCTCTTCGATCGCTTTCAGCTGGGCTGGGCTAGCCGCATCAGACGAGCCGGAGATCGACGAGGAAGCGGTTGGGGCTTCGTGGGGAGGACTTATTTTCCTTTTCTTAATTTCCGCGTTGTTCTCCCCGTCGACCAAGCTAGCAGGGGCATGGATCGAAGCGGCATCGTCCAGACTATACGAGCATTGCTCGTTGATCTTTCTGCACCCTCCACATACGGGGTGTACTTTGTCGCACTTGACCTTACGTCTTCTGCAGGTCACGCAGCTGTAGCTCGTCCGATTTCTTGTAATCTGGCGCTTGATCGTCATCAGGCTTGAGGTCTTCGACCTCCCCAATGGTGAGGGCGGGGCTTCATTCTCCTGGTGAGACACACCAAAGCGGAACATGTTAGTGGGCGATAGAACGTCGACTGTATGAAAGTGCGACCGAGTCCGCGTGTGCAATACAGGTTGGTATTGGTACCCTCGCCGGCCTCATAGAGATGTCGATACTGACGCCCAACTCCTTCAGAGCGTGTGTCCGATGGCTTGCTGACAAATGGTGTTGGCTGTGCCCGGCACGGCTCAACGAAGCATCAACTCGGCGTTTACCTTGACCAGCGCCTTATTCATCTGAAGTATTTGTGTCGTACTTTGCAACCCGTCAATCTGCAAGAGAGTTACCTCAATGAGAGATCAGAGACTCATTGGCTTGGGTAATAGATAACGAGGCTCATATCGACGAGGTTGAATTTGGCCCGCAAGGCACAGGCTTGGCAGACTAAGGCTATCGCTGATTGGCTGCCGCGTACTTACAAAGCCTTGTGAGGCATTACAGAAGTACTACGGACGTACAGATTAGTTGTATGGCACTCACCTATCAGGTACTTGAGAACTGCAGTGCATGGAGAGGATATATATTGGCATCCGATTGATTCAGGAGAATGATCAACATAACGCCACTTGTATGTTCCTAAGGTGCACCGGCGGTGGGAAGGCTTTCGGCCTTGTGTAGTGTCGATCCAGAGTATCCGAGCAGTCTAGACTCCCAGGACTCCTGCACTGTCATCCATCAAACCCCTCCCAACTATCATCGGTCTCTTCTAGACCGGTTCCACCTTCTTCGGCACGAACAAAGCCACAAACGAAGAACCCCATAGTGCCCTCCTCGTGGCCAGGGTAGCAACGAATGCAGGCTTGCAATTGCTCCTCGTCAAGAGCAGGACTGCCAACCACAGCTGGATCGGCGACCCCCCGGTGCTCCCAGGCCCGCAGTCCATCCGGCTGCTCTTCTCTCCGTAGCACACGCCAGCCTCTTGACCTGGCAATCTCAGAAGCTAGGACCCGCGACACGACAGCTTCATTCTCCTCAACGTGGATAGAGCAGGTCGAATAGGTGACTCGTGTAGCGGCAGGAAAAGACAAAGCATGTTCCACGATCCTGGTCTGCAAGCCCGATAGCTTTTGCAGCCGCTCCATGTCTGGTGCTGCTTCCATCGTTTCTTCCGCATCAGTAGGACCATCCTCCACCATCCGTACATGTTGAACCTCTTCTCGACCTCTCTTTCTCTTCTTCGAAGTTGCTTCAGCTTTGCCTGTCTGGGTCTTCTGAGCTCTCGGATCCAGCGGCAGGGCTAACGAGGGAACATCCTCACGCCCTACGATTCCACTACCAGAGCAACTTGGGTCAAGCAGTAGATGAGTGACATTCTGGTACTTGGAAGAGCCAGGATCAAGGGCTAGGAAATCCTGCCCAAACAGTACCTTCACACTGTCTGCCCCGCTTCTCTGCATCATAGTTCTCAACGTTTTCGAGCGAGTAGCATCCCTTTCACAGGCATAGATCTTGTGCGCTGTGTTCCCTAAGCCACCAAGAAGAGCAGCAAGGTGTGAGGTCTTGTTTCCAGGCGCCGCACAGCCATCTATACAATCGCCAATGGCGGTGTCATCGTCTGGTTTTCCAACCAGTAAGTATGCCGGAAAGCAGGAGGCCTTGTCCTGCAAAATGAGCTTCCCCAGCTTGTATGCTTCTGTTTTTGTGAAGTCCGCTTCGGGAGGTAGTGCGAGTACATCGGGTATCGTCTCGTCTATAGCTAGGACTTTGGCGGTGTTAGGTGATGCTGCGACTTCGGCAATCGTTGCGTCGGTCCTGAACCCATTGAAAGTGGTTGCCAGTTGCTCGTTAATGTTCGATTTCAACGTGTTGATTCGAACCCATCGCGGTTGTGAGCGGTGCACTGATGGCCTCTCTGTCAAAAGATGCTGTTTCAGCTCATCCAGGGTTGCACATTTCCTCCTCAATCTAGCCTTTGTGAATTCTGCATGTAATCTTGCTTTGTGCCTTTCTATCGCTTGTCGGAGGATATGATTCGAGGAGGCTGCAATCCCACCTTTCGAGAAGAAGTGGTCGTGGATGAGGAGTAGAGAAAGTGTCGGGGTCAACTATTCACCATGCCATAAAACCGGCTGCGTCAGTCAGCAGGGACACAAAGTATCGCAGGATACAGGTTGGCGAACCTTTACTTCGTGCGACAGAATGCCAGCATTGTCGATGACTTCTTTGAGGAAGAGGTCGAATTTCGCAGTCTCCGAGATCAGGGCATATAGATGTGTAGGCTTTGATTTCAGGTCCAGCTTGTTTCCGTAGATCCTCGACTTGAGAGATCCTCCGAGTGCGTCAGTTGTCAAGACCGCTGCGGCGTCATAATAGAGGGACATTTCACGTTTCGCCGAGCTCGACAGAGCAATGCGCGACGAAGGCGGCGAAAATGGTTTGACGGACGAAGTCGATCCAATACCAATATCAAAAAATGGTTATGGTAGAACCAATCACACTCCACTTCAGCCTTCTCCCACCGCACGAAGTATTCCATTGACTCAAGAACACTTATTGCGCCCGCTCTCGCCTCAAACAACACCCCGATCCCGATTGCCGAATATATCAGAATACACTCTCTTGGCTTGCTCAAGGAGCTGTGACGTTGTCGAGCGTCGAGATGGCGGAGGCATTTGTGGACACGGAAATTGTCATGCTCCCACCTCCAGGAGACATCGTCGCACCTCATGGTTTCCCAGCTAAGACACGACCGGAAGGAGCCCCTCAAGTATTTCTAGACGCCATGGACATTCGCATCGAAGTGTTCTGCCACGAGCAGAAGTGTGCTGTAGAACCCGAGTTGGATGAGGACGATCCAAGGTCCTGGCATTGGGTCGCGTATCAACATGGTCGGCCCGTCTCTGTCATTCGTATCGTACCTCCGCCCCATGAACCTCATCCGAATGGGTTTCATGATCCATCTGAAGAGCCCTACGTCAAGCTTGGCCGTGTTGCAACCGTCGCCAGTGCCAGAGGCAAGGGTTTCAGTCGGAAGTTGACCGAAGCGGCTTTCCGGTATCATGCAGCGCATAAGGATGAGATCGGTGCCGGCTGGAACGGCCTAGTGCTCACTCATGCTCAAGTCCAAGTTGAAAAGATGTATGCCAAACTGGGGTTCACTACCGACGACAGGCTAGGCCGATGGGATGAAGTAGGCATCGAGCACCTGGGCATGTGGAAACGACTCGATTGAACAAGTCCGAGTTCAATAGCACATCTCTCTTGCTACGCGGTCATCAGCCATTCGACGCTGGAATCTATGACTACAAGCACGACGCACAGAGTAACGGTGGCCAATGCTACGCAAGGCAGAAACAGCAAGATTCGACGCTGGTGTGCCTTCCGACATCACCGTGCTGGGCGTGAGGCAATAATGCTGGACAGACAGAGCGGCAAGGGCTAAACCATCAGGTGTAAACAGCCTGCACCTGCAGAAGCCCTTTGGATGAATGTTAGAACAGGGCAGGAGGCAGGGCGGATCGAGGCCCACTGTCCATCGGCCGAGGAAACTTGCTGAGCCGCGCACTCTAAGGATGAAGCGTTGGTCGTCTCCGTCCTTCGCGCACAATGCCCAGCTCCTGTTGAATCTCCGGATGGAAACAATGACGGCGCAACGAACATGGGAAGCAGGAATAGCATTAGGAGAAAGTGCGTCATCTCGAAGTCCCGAGGACGTGGAACATTGCGGAACTCTTTTCATTCGTGACCGACCAGCCTCGTATCTCGAGTAGAAGGAGGATTTGATGTGTAGCTCCGTTATTGTCATTCTTCAACACGACCCAAAGCATTTATACATTTTCTCAGCACCATGCTGTAGTTGCCAAAGCTGCGTCGAGATCGAAGTCGCAAATCAAAACTCGCTGATCGTGTCACCCCTTAGCTTTCCGCGCAGGACATATTTGCCCTATATTGGCCCGGTCAGCAAACCATTCCCGGGCACGTCACTGCTGATGCTATGAATCGGTTGTTACTCACATCAGCTTTGGCGAACACGTATCCGAGAGCGCTAGGGACGGCAATGGCGTACATGAACGAAATCCATGCTGTTCGGGGTGTCCATCTGAAGTATCTCCATCGCTCTTTGTTAAGTTCTGTAATCTCTCCGTCAGCAAGACTACCACAATCCACACTTCTGTCCACGTCTCTATGGGCATCTTGGAGACGAAGGCTGCGAGCCTACATCGGCGCAATCGGGTGACGTACGGTTATATTTCTCGAGGGCGGGATCGTGGTGTAGAGCTATGGGGACGCAGCGGTTAGCATGATTTTGTCCAATGCATGGAGTAGTGGCAGGGCTTTAATCTTACGTGTTGGACCGGCCATGGTTGCACACTTCCTGAAGCGAAGAGTGGTCTGGATAGCTGTGTCGGATGCTTCTGAACCTGCGGTCGTTGTCGAGAGTCAATGCAAGTTGAGGTCGATTCAGTTGCTGTGGCTAGTGCCTGTGGCTAATGGGGCTTGGCGTGGCGGTGCGCGCATCAAATCTAAATCAAAGTTCCCTGAGATCTCATTGGCTCGTCGAGGTACATCTCACCACCACATTACTGCACCGAGGCACGTATGTCACCAGATTAATTCCTCTATCGCAATAGGTACAAACCTTCAGCTGGTCAGGCCATTATTATCATTACTATCCCTGTCGGAGGGAACTCGATGCGACGAGAGCTGCTACGGCCGATCGATCCGGTGGATACTGGATGATGTCACAGAAACCTTCATTTCTGGAGCCTCAACCGATGGCGATAAGGTGAGGGACATACTCATGTAGCTTCAAGGCACCCTTCACAAGAGCTTCCTTCAAAGCTGAGTACCTCTGTATATCTCGTGCAGCTACAATTGAACCTTACCTGCTGCCACTGAAAAAACGCGACAACGTCCTAGGTTTTTGCGGCTTACAACAAGATGGCCTCAACTGCACCCACTGGCGACAGCAAGCCAAAATTCACGCTTCACTGGTCGGTTTAGACTGAAACATTTGACTGTTGTTGTCCTGACTTAAGTCAGGCTTGAAGTTTCTCGCTCGCATCGGATCCTCTGGCTGTTTGAAGAGCTTGGGATTCCATACGAATTGAAAACGTACAAGCGCACCAATGAAGGGCTGGCTCCCCCAGAGCTGCACAATGTACACCCCTTGGGCAAGTCCCCAGTAGTCGAGGTCGAAGTACCGGGTGCAGACAAGCCTATCGTACTTGCCGAGTCCGCTGCGATCACCGAGTACCTTTGTGACTACTATGGAAAGCAGTTGGTCCCCAAACGGTACCCTGAGGGCAAGGATGGCCAAATTGGATGCGAGACCGAATCCTGGTTGAGATACCGCATGCTCATGCATTATGCCGAGGGCAGTATCATGCCACTGATGTTAATGTCATTGATAACCCAAAGTAAGGGCGGCCTTGTCCACGCAAAGTTCCTGGTCTCCGTGCTTACATGGTGCAGGAATTCGGAACTCACCCGTGCCCTTCTTCATCAAGCCCATTGTGAATGGGGTTGCAGGCAAAATAGATTCCTCGTTCCTGCAGCGAAACTTCAAGATTCATTATGATTTCTTGGAAGGCCAGCTGGCAACTTCTCCAGATGGCGGGGACTTCATGTGCGGCAAAGACATCAGCGCCGCCGACATCATGTTGTCATTTCCTCTCGAAGCGGGCACGAGCCGTTCCGGGTTTTCTAGGGAACAATATCCCAAAGTTTGGGCATATGTCGACCGTCTCCATGAGCGAGAAGCGTACCAGCGCTCGGTCCAGAAGATCATTGAGATCGAGGGCGCCTTCAAGACATCCATGTGAAAGGCCACCGCAACGAGCAGTTACCGCCATCGATGAACACCTACCTGAATATATACGAGGGTCGCTCTACTACTCCTTAACCTAGAATACTGCGATCTTATCAAAAATATCGTGCGCACAGTCTCGACTCTTGCCGAGCCAGCATGCTTGGAGTCCCACGGGATCACACCATGACCTGGACCAAGAAGCAGTCTACGCTTGCATGTTTTCAAATCCGGTTGTCTATATATAAATATATCCATTCTATGACCGGCAGAATGTACACTTTATTCATAAGCTCAAAGTCTTTTCGATTCCTGCCTTTCGAGCTGGACAGGGTTCTAAGTGAACCTCTACAACTGTTCAGCTGGCAATACCGAGGAGGCCTGGATCCCCGGTCCTTGCAGATACAAGCAACTCCGATCCAGAACACTTGATGGCCAAGTTTCCTTTGCAACGTCTTCTGATTTGCGTGGCTTTCTCCCGTCGAATTACTCGCATCATCTCCCCTCATGCTTTGCAAATGAATGAATTACAGGCCACCAACGGGTATTGGTACGCCTTTCATGGGTAAACCGCGCTGCTAACCGGATGAGGACAGTCACAGTGGTTTCCACGGAACTTCCCCCAACCGAGAACCTACTTGTCATCGAGTCTGGAATGTTTTGCAGCTTCCATCTGGAACCTACATATCGGCAGGCGTTCGAACTTGTCAAGCTCATCCTATGGAGCGCGAACCTGGTCGCAGCCGTCAGTCCTTTTTGCACGATACTTTCCGAGCGGGCGGGTCGCTCCAGATTCAAGCAAAATCTAGCTTGACCAGGAAGATATGTTGAGGAGGCTGTTATAGCGCTTCACTCGGCAGCGGATAACGAGCCAGGCTCACCTCATGTTTCAAGTACGTACTTGGTAGACGTTACTATCATCACCATAAGCGGCAGCCATCTTGTCACTCCCTATCCCCAATTTACCCTGGATCATTTCTCGCATCTCCGACTAGACTTCCATGGCGCCGGCTCTTGGTAATCGACGTGCATCACAAGACTGCTGCCATGGAGACTGTCAGACCACCATGGCCAATGGAAAAGTCTGTTGCCCTCTGACTCAGGGCTTACTCATCGTACAGTCCGACCGAGATCTGGTTCGGGTGTTGAGGCTTCGCAGCTTCTGACGCACCGCGAAGAGGCCGAAATCTTGCCCAGAGGTCGCCAAACTCTGCGATCGCCGTCTCCAGACCCAGCTGGGGCATCTGGGCAAACCGGTTCTGCCGCCGAAGAGATCCATCCGGGAAAGGAGGACGGAGATATACAGTTTCTCAGCAACCGCGGAGATATCCCGATTTACTGCCTGCCTCGATCTAGAGCAGAGAGGCCCTGTAGCCTGTACCGGCCTTGTGGACGTACCCACGGTTTACATACATCGATGTCGTTCTTCCTAGCCGGACGCTCCGTGTCTGTCGCCTTTCCGTGCTGCCCCGGCTTTGAGACCGCGGGAAGAGCTTTCCCTGGAGCAAAACATGCTGTTGAGCGTGGGCAGTGCATGTAAATGGGAGAAGTAGGCTGCTGACTTCTCGAAGCCGGGAGGGTGCAGGAAGCCTGACACCCATCAGTGGAAAGTGATGACAGACCCACATTCGACGTTCGGTGTTGATGGCAGTGTCACATACTACTCGGGACAGATCACGGACGTTAAATTGGCTTCCCCAGCCATCTCTATTCCACCCGCGCCAGATATCCACCGCACAAAGCCCGGTGTGACTACCAGCAGCGCTGCGAAGGGGCTTAGGAGGCCCGACCCAGGTCTCCAAGCTACTACAGACTCCAGAGTACTAATCATCACCGTGCTACCGCTAGTACCAATGCCTCTACGATTTCTATGAATCCAAATCCAAGCCTGCTGACACCGCTAATAATCCTTTGCCGCCAGACACGCGACACTCCTTTCCTCGTCCAAGACACACAGAATCCCCGACACCCTATACACGGTACGAGTTCTCACTACCTCCTAGCTACCGCCACCTCCTCCTCTGGGTGTCTGCCGAGTATAGTGATACCCCAGGCGCTCCAAGCTCTCGATCCTCGTGATCGGTTTCGCGATATCTTGTCGCTACCGGAATATCCTACGGGTGAAATGCTTCAAAAAGACATGGTACATCAACAACATTTTTGACGAAATCGATCTCCATTTCTTTCCCTAGTTTATCGCTGTTTTTCTCCAATCGCCAACAAATCCAGTCCTTCCGATATCTGACAGGCCCGACTTGGCTCACCCCCAGATGATAGCCAGCCGGTAGCTGCATTTGTCCGGCCCTCGCTACCTCGATCTGCATTGCGACTCAACGCAAGCTCTCCTACGACGGCACCCACCAGCCTTGCTGTCGATAAGAGACTTAGAGCGCCTTCTGGTCCGGAACCAGGGCTTGCGCCTGATTACTTTGTTGCAAACAATTGATCCGTGATTTTCGAGCGGATGTCACGCGCAGGTCCAGCTTCCCCTGATGAAGTATCAACCCCTTCAGAGCTCCCTGCTGGGTCCAGGGCACATCCAAATGCTGGCGGGCCTCCTGGCAGCCGAAGGATACGGGTATCTTCAACTTCGACACCTCGGCCACCACAGAATGTAACAGAAGGCTCAACCGGGAACAGGGGAACTCGTACAGCGTCGGGCCATCCACCTTCCATATTGCCGCCTGAAAAGGTCTTCCCCATTCAGATTGGTTCGGACCTGTTCAGATTATCTGGAGCCTCCATCTCCTCCGACGGTATGCGAGGAGCTCAACTTACAATGGCACGAAATCGTACTGACCCAGCATATAGCGCCATCCTACTTCACCCAGTTCTTCGAGGAACAAATCCGGCAGAATGAGGAATCCGGCGGCGTCAGGACGCTCTACATCGACCGAGACCCTGCCACCTTTCGAGACGTAGTGCGGCATTTGCAAGGTAATACCTGCTTGTCCGGCTATATCCCAGTGCTGAACGTCGTGCAGGTTACTATGTCAAGCCACTTGATGGAAGTCATTTTGTCAAGCTATTCGCGGATGCCCAGTTCTACAGCCGTAAGTAGGACCCAAGCTTGGGATCTACAAAGCTCACTGTCTCCCCTTAGTGCCACGCCTGATCAACCAGCTATTCGAGTCCGAGATCTTCATTCAAATTGGGGAACGACATTTTCAAATCCCCAAAGACATCTTTTCGGAGCCGGGAAATTCGCCCAACTTCTTCTCTCTCGGCTTCGCCGTCTTCTTTTCATCTCCCGATGAAGTATTCCCTGGTCTCGACCGGCGCGGGCTACTGCGACCACCGTCCATCACTCCTCCTGCGGTGCCTGGGCGATCGGCCAACATCTTCGCCGAATTGCTCCACCTACTACGAGGCTACCCTCTGCACGTCAGGGACGAATACCACCGCACCGAGCTTCTCCGAGACTGCCGCTACTTCCACCTTCGAGGACTGGAGCAGAAGATCATTGCTCATGAGATCAGTTACAATTCGGAGAGACACAAACAAGAGATTTGTTTGCGACTGGAGGACGTTAAGCCCTCCGGCGTGTCGTACAACCGGGACGATTCGGGCGAAAGCCAAGCGTCCGTTGGAGGATGGGTGTATTACGCCAGGCCGTTCGTGGACGACACCTCGTACGAAATGGTGCTCGAAATCGGCGGCGAAAGCACGGTGCTTGATTTGACCGAGATGACGGTCGACTTTCACGGACTGGCCAAGGCACGGGTCTCGTCACTTTTCCAGGTCGTCGCGAACAAAATGAATCTCCCTACGAATGCACCCCTCGGGCTGATGATGTTGTCTGGTGCGGCGGCGCCGTCGTCCTCGACGCAAACGCAATCTGCGAGTCCTGGACAGACGCCCTTGAGCGAGGACCGCGTCAAGGTGCGTTTCGAGGCAGCTACTGACATCACTTTGGACGGCGAGCGTTACGAGATCGACTGGGACAGTCCACTCGGCCAGGTCATGCTCTCGGGACCCTCCACCGCGGCCATTGAGTCGGGATCTGAATCGGACGATGTTATGACTGAAGGAACCGCGACAAGACCGGTTGGATCTGCATCTGCTTCGACTGCTGGTATTGGCCACCCAGCACGCCGTCCTCCTCCAACTCCAACTCGACAGACCCAAGCTGGACCCTTTCCCCAAGCAGCCGCCCCAAGCCATCGACCGTTTCCCACAGCAGCGCCGTCTACAAAAAAGCGGAAAAGACAGCCCAGTGAAGGGGATCTGGGACTCGGGGAGTGGATCATCCGCACCGGACAGTGGCGTCTGCGAGTGCAACCCACCACCACCCAAGACAGCAGGAGCAGCAGCAGCAGCACAAGAGGAGGTGGTGGTAGTTACCAGATCATTTTCATTGGAGTCAAGATTGACGCTTACTCCAGTGAACGGGCGAGAAACGCACGGCGAGGATTTCTGAGCTGACCGACGGGATTTTGCATCTCATGTCGGATTCGGATATGGCCCAAACTTGCTGACTGGCAGAGTCGAGTCTATCAGTGTCATGCTTGTGATATCCACATATCATACACTGTTCTCCAAGCCATGTCCTGGTCGACTCGTGGCGTGGCGCTGCTGCACTCATTTTTACTCTTACTCTTGGCCGGGGGCGGTGCTGTCTCAGCTTATTGCCCGTTTCGGTACATCATGCCTTGTATGAGCCAAAAAAAAAGAAAAAAAAAAAGACATGACCCTACTACATTATTTTGGTCGCCACCAAACCAAAACAGGCTTACAAGGGATCTGGCCTGCATATGGAGCCTCGATTTCTTGAGCGAGTGGGAGTCTGTGCATCCTGGTTTCCTTCATTGAAACTTTTAAGCCAGTCCGCGACTTGCCTTCAACTTTCAAGCACCACCGGCAGTCCACGGCCCAAACCGCCCGACGTCAGAAACAGCTGGCCTGGTTGATAGGTACTGAGGAAGGGAAGAATCAAGATGCGAAAGGAATGGGCGATCAAAGCCGCAAAATGGCAAAGAAAGGCACAGACAGATTCACGCTCGAGTTCCCAATTCTACGTACAAGCTGGGCGGAAATCCCAACCCAATATAGAAGACGGGCACTGGCCTTCTAAGCCCTTCCTCCCGCCGAAAGATCCCGCAAGCAAAGGGACGGTTGTAACCACGGCTGAACAAGAAGAACATTATTTTATTTATTTCAAGTCACCCGAAAATTAGCCAGCAGATGTGGTTGCACTCTCTTGTGGCATATCCCATGCAATTTGGGAGTTCTGGAGCGAGTCAACGACAGCATCAATATTGTCCCCAACCAGGCCTGCTTTGACCTCTTTGCAAGTCTGTCCCCTCATGACTCTATTGTCTCGCGGCGTGGATTCTGGAAGGCGCACAAGGATCATGATCCTGACTCCTGAGAATATTGATGATCATTGATGACTGTAAGCTGAGACCACGCCCAGGAGAAAAGTGAAAGAAATGACCTTGCGTGCGGCTGTGATGTTACAGTAGAGGCCTGAATAAGGCATTTATTTGTTTGTAGTTTCCCTGAGTGTGTGAGGCAATTGTGCTGTCGTTGCAACTGACGGCATCCAGTCACCAGTCACCAATGGCCATTACATTACCCCGGTACTTAGTAGTATAGTAGTAAACTCAGAGTCACTCCGGAAGCTAGGCATCCAGGCAAAAAGAAGGTTTCGAAAACATCGACCTCTCTCTGTACCACCTAACCCCTTCAACTTTTCCTTGGACATTTTGTCTCCTTGAAAGCGCTGACTAACCCTCGAAAGGTCACAGGACAGGGCTCGAACTTGACTTCGTGGCGTGAGACATTCGATGGAATCTGGATTGCCCAAGTTGTTGTCTGATTGGAGGCTCATGAACACGACGCAGACATCGGTGATTCAGTTCGGGCTTCGTGGGTTCTAACTTCTGGATTCCTTGACCCGGTGAGAGCTGATCAGGCTGGTGCTCCAAGGTCAAAATTCAAATGATACCTGGCCTATGCTTGGTAATACTGTATCCATATCCTCGTATCCGACATAAAACAAAAGCGTCACGAACAGAACAGGTCCTGGCTCACTAAGGACTTTGGATTCCAAGCACTGATGCCTGGAATTCTGAATTTCTGACTGTGTAGTTGATATCTTGTTACAGATTCAGAACAAAAAGCGTCCAGGCCGAGGCCCTTGTTGACTTCAGCCCCTAGCAGCCTCTGAGACAGTGCCTGTTCGCCATTATCACCGTACTGAGAGAGCGGGTGAGCACTGAGCAGGATGGATTCCGGTTTTTCTTTCTTCTTGCTAGTCCAATAGACTGTCAGCTGGGCCAGGCAAGTGATGGTATCCTCTATCAATCCAATAGCAATACACACGGCTGCTACTTTTGGACCAGCTGCCTGAAAAGGCAAGCTTGCAAGCTTGAAATCCATCCTCAATGCTGCGTTTGTCAAAAAGTCTGTTAATTGCCGCGCGTGCTCGTGTTGACCCGACGGTCGTGGGTCGTGGCCCCTAGACGTACTGTACAGACTAAAGTGATGGATTAGAGCCGTGCTTGCTAATCATCTTTTTTGCCCAGTAGGATTGCTTCGTATAGAGCTTTGTTTGACCGAACGTTGCAAGAGAAGCGGAGCTTCACATCCAAAGCGATGGCTTATTCTTTGTGACTATCCCATCCGCCTTTTTCAACTCAAAGCCTTTCTCGTAAATTGTAATGGCATGCTGCACCACCTGCCTCTTCAGGTAATAACAGAGGGGTTTCTCGTTGCCTGGTGCTCAACTTAGAAAGATTATGGCCAGTGGTCAGAGTCAGCCGGGGTTCTGTTGCATGGCATCCATGTGGATATGGATCTGCGAGGAGCAACTAACTGTGTGAGATAGATGCGATTCGGTTTGGCCTGAACCAACACATATGCAAAGATGCCTGGTAGAAAACCTGCTTCCCTTGAACGCAGCCAGGCTGATGGACAGCTGCTCTTTGAGAATGTCAGGGATGACAAACGTCCCGAGTCGAAGAGGTAGCGACTCTTGTCTGTAGACTTCTAGAGTTACAGAAAGCAGGCAGGCGTTGAGTTACCGACGAAGGATCCGATGTTGCAACGGACGGCCTCTTCGCCGTGCAGTTGAGCCTGCTCTTGTCTTGGGGTCTGTCAAAGCAAGACGCGAGTTCCGGGTTCCCAGTATCATGAACGATTGGCTCCGTCGCATGGTCAAATCTGGCCGCGTCCCGTCATGCTGGGCCCTGGCTTATGCGTCCAATGGGACAGCCATATTAGTGTACCGGATTTGGAAATATGGTGTCGATTCTGCAAGCATCAGGCATCCTGGGGTTTCACTGAAGTCTGAGGCGGCGACAGCTGATGAGCGGGTGCCATGTCTCATGCTCTGTAAGCTCCTTCCAGCACCGTAACAGGACTACGGGCAGCCCTGACCAAAGGTAGAGGATGTCGACCTGAAAACTGGATACAACGTCCTCCCTTGTCCATAACGATTACTCTTCTGTGTTGTGTGGATTCCATTTCTTGTACAGCACGCAGCCCGTGGGATGAGAGGCTAAAACGCGCCTGGATGGAGCGAATCTGTTGAAACACGGCTGAGCGCTCATGCAGGGCAGAGCAGAGCAGCCAAAAAGAATTGTCTTCCCGCGCAGTTCAATCTAGTAGCCATTATATCTTATGGCGGCTACTGTTGGAGAATGAAGTCTTCGGTAGAAGCCCGACTTCATTTTGTAAAGTCCAAACGGAGCATTGTTGCCAGTGCATTGCGAAGACAGAGGGAAGCCCTCGGAGCATAACCAGCGCGAGTCTTGAGCGGGTGAACGGTGGCATGGGTATGACCTAACTATTCCTAGCCTCCTCTCCCAGTTGCTGGAGGGCCGCATCATATCTAGCCTTGATGTCGTCTTGCTCAATGGTCAGGTTCAGTCGTCTAATCGCCTTGCTTCGTTGAATCCAGACATCGTCGGCTCCGATATCGAAACTGTCCTTTTTGCCTTTGCCTCCAATTTCCCGCCAGAACCAGGCCGCCTCTCTATGCTCGATAAATGTCCACGAGTGACCTGAATTCCCGGCTCGAGCAGTCCGGCCGACACGGTGGACATACGTCAAAGCACTGCTAGGGACGTCGTATGAGACAACATGCTCCAGACCAGGTACGTCCAGCCCACGAGAGGCTCGGTCCGTGGCAATGAGGATCGAGATCTTTGAGCTGCGGAATGACGACAATGCCCGGCGGGATGAGGCTGATGAAGCAGTGCTGCGGGTCAACGTTGAAATTCGGGAAGCGAGTGCCGGACAAAGAAGGGTCAGCAGCCTGGAGAGTCTGGTAGCAGAGGCCGTCGAACGGGTGAAGATGAGTGCTCGTGGAGAGTTTCCAGCTCCGTTTGAATGACTAGTGGGTTCGGGGTTTTCGTCTTTTTCGTCGGAGGTGGATTCACTGTCTGAACTTGAACTGTCTTCGTCCTCTGATGCCAGACTATCTGATCCTGACGAGGAGTCTGAGGAGGTGTCCGTATCGGAACTTGTGTCTGAGACTGAGGTAATAGTTGGCGCACTCTGCCCAGTCCTCGTTGAAGAAGGAATGATTCCGATATTATCGAGCAGCTGCAACAAATACAGAGGTTTTTCTGACCCGTCGGGAACAGGAATTGCTGCCTCGTCCAGTTGCTCCGGCACTTGGAAGGCATCACGAAGATCGTGGGAACCACCATTAGTAGCCACATCACCAGCTCCAGTCTGGCCAGGCACACTTTCATCAACTGTAGAAGCGCCAGCCAGCACAACAAGTCGGGGGTTATACAATCCAAGCGCGTTGAGCTTGGACACATCGCGCGTCATGGTCGCGGAAAGTAGAATCTTGTTCACCTTTCGTCTCGGCGGTGTCATCCTCATAAACCTGAGTAGGTCGTCCCTGTCCCTGGTAGCTGTCCGCGACTGCAGGGCGGGGACAACAACCTCAATCCACTCCTGGTAGCTTTCGTTGAGTAGCTTGTCGGCTTCGTCCACGACCAACCACGTTACATCGTCCAGGGTGAACCCCAACGTAGAGTTGAGATGGTCCACCAGTCTTCCGGGGGTGGTGATCAGGAGGTCCACCTTCGATCTGTAACGAGTCACATAACCGACGGATTCCATCAAGTCCTCGGAGGTGGGTTTGCGCACCAGCTTGTCCAGTGATATGGAGGACCAGTCGATGCTCTTCTCCTGCTCCTTCCGGTATTGCTCCGGGTTATAGACCTTCTCCTCTGCAACCAGCATTTCTTGTTCCTCCTTGATTGACTTGCTGCCAACGGCAGTAGCAATCTTGAGCGAAGTACCGGAAGCACAGATCTCGCATAACTCGCGGACCTGTTTTACCAGTTCTCTCGTCGGGACAACAATCACAGCTCTCAGTTTTGTGCCAACCAAGTCCTTCAGCCCTTCGATCGTTGGTAAGACGTAGGCAAGTGTTTTCCCCGAGCCAGTGGCTGCTGAAACGCATATGTCCCCATCATGTTTGTTAAGACCCTCCAGAAGCAAGGGAAGCACGGCTGTCTGTATCGGGAACGCTTTCTCTAGACCACTTTTGCGTAGATTTTCCAATAGTCCCCTAGAGACCCCAAGTGACTCGAAAGTCGCTGTCAGACCCGGAGAAACATTCAGAGGGGCTTCTTGCCAGCTAGGCAAGGTAGAATATGTCGGTTTGCCGGGAACAACTTCCACTTGCTCGGGTTGTGGCAGCGGCTCGAGGCCATGGAATTCAACAGGCGGTTGATCTGAGGAGAGTGCAGAGCCTTGATGCCTCGCCGGTTCCTGCTGCTTGGATTTGTCGAACTTTGACAGCACCGCAGCATGTCTTTTGTGGTATGCAACATCTTCTGCCACTGTATCTGTCTGATCCAACCCGTCATTCAGGGTATCACTCTTCTTCTCCCCGCTCTTGGATTCCTCCACAATCTTCTGCTGGGCTGACTCTTCTGACTTACGACCTTTCGGCCGGCAAGGTTTTATGTCGGCCGCAGGGTTCGCACTTCTTGCAGCCTCCGTGACCCGATACTTATCGAGCACGTTCTTCTCAGGGACGATGGACGTATCATCCACAGACGTGAGGCGGGAGGGAGACGCAGACTTGGCCACTTTGGCTGCCTCATTGTCTGCTGGCTTGGATAATTTTGGTTTCTTGCCCTGCTTCTGCTGGGCCACTGCATCGTTTTCTCGCTTGCGCTTCGTCGAGTCCGGCGACGGGCTCGAGACTGCGTCAGGCTTTTTGGCCGGAGGCACATATCGGGCGTAAAAGTTCGACATGTGTTGAATCCAGTATTACCTCCTCCGCCATCCAAGAGCTCGGAGGGTGTATGGCGTCTACCTGATCTCGTCCAGCGTAGCATGCCTGTGCTCGCGATGTTCGAAAAAAGTCCCTAGAAACTCGCGATTCCGCCGGCAGAATCGACACCGCCTTCAGGCTAAAGGGCGGAGCACAGCGAAATTCGGTGCAAAAGCAGGGACGCAGCCTTGACAGTCCAGCAGACAACACCCATCATCATCCTTCATGTTCAACAACGACAATGCGACCATAGGCGTGATCATCAGCATACGACAGATACACACCATCTCCCTGTCTCCGGTATCATTTCCACTATGCAGCTTTCGAATCCCAAGCATCGTAACTTGACAGCGTTGACGGGTGACGGTTCAAGATGCCTTATAACATTGCCATGGTCAGCGACTTCTTTTTCCCCCAGCCAGGGGGCGTGGAGAGTCACATCTACCAGTTATCCAGCAAACTGATCGATCGCGGGCATAAAGTGGTCGTCATAACACACGCATACAAAGGCAGAACTGGAGTACGATATCTGACGAACGGGTTGAAGGTGTATCATGTCCCCTTTTTGGTCATATACCGAGAGTCGACCATGCCGACAGTCTTCTCTTTCTTCCCGATCTTCCGAGACATTGTGATCAGGGAACGAATCGAGATTGTGCATGGCCATGCCAGTCTGAGCAGTTTCTGCCACGAAGCAATTCTGCATGCCCGGACCATGGGGCTGCGTACCGTCTTTACAGATCACTCACTCTTCGGCTTTGCTGATGCTGGTTCCATCCTGACCAACAAACTGCTAAAATTCAGCCTCAGCGATGTCGATCATGTGATTTGTGTCAGCCATACATGCAAAGAAAACACTGTCCTTCGAGCTTCTCTCGATCCCTTGATGGTCTCAGTCATACCCAATGCGGTGGTGGCGGAGAACTTCCAGCCTGAATCATACGTACCCAAAACGCAAGATATGGGATACATGCGACCCAAGCCCATGCCTCGTCGCCTAGGTCCTGGAGACACCATAGTGATTGTGGTGATATCTCGCCTCTTCTACAACAAAGGCACCGATCTCTTGATAGCCGCAATCCCGAGAATCCTTGCCGCTCACCCGAATGTCCGCTTCATCATTGCAGGCTCGGGTCCCAAAGCCATCGACCTGGAACAGATGATCGAACGGCAAATGCTTCAAGACAAGGTGGAACTCCTTGGGCCCGTCCGTCACGAGGAAGTGCGCGATGTGATGGTGCGTGGGCATATCTACCTCCATCCGAGCTTGACCGAGGCGTTTGGGACCGTGATCGTTGAAGCCGCCAGCTGTGGACTCTATGTCGTGTGTACCAGGGTCGGTGGCATTCCAGAAGTACTACCTGCACATATGACAACATTCGCCAAACCTGAAGAGGATGACCTGGTGCTGGCCACCGGCAAGGCCATTGCTGCCCTGCGCTCCGGGAGGGTGAAGACCGAACGATTTCATGACCAGGTCAAGATGATGTACTCCTGGACCGACATTGCGCAACGGACAGAACGAGTCTACGATGGCATTACGGGTGCGATCAGCGAACAAGAGTTCTACGGTCAACATCCAAGTGCAAGCTGGAATGCTGCCCGAAGTCGTTCTTATGCCCTGATCGACCGCTTGAAACGATACTACGGTTGCGGTATTTGGGCTGGCAAGCTCTTTTGCCTATGTGTTATTATTGACTATTTGATATTTCTCTTTCTGGAAGTATGGGCCCCGAGGGCGTCCATTGACATTGCCCGAGACTGGCCAAGGAAGCCTTTCATCAACGACAAGAACAAGCCGGTCGAGAACGGCATGCTCCGCCGCAGAGGCACAGATCTCATGGACCGCCGCAACGGCAGCCTTGCAATGATGTGACACAGACCTATGTTTTCACTCTCGATCACCAACCTGTGGGAAGGTCTTCTACTGCAGAGTGATCTCTTCGACCAAGGTTTCATCAGCCTTCACCACACCAACATTGTGATATGATGGAACTCGCTGAGGCGCCAAGGGTGGCCTCTTCATGTTCGATCTGGGAATCACTCCTTGGTCTTGCTGCAGGTCGGTCGACAACCAGAGCTCCTCCATTAGAAGTGCCCGACGAGATTTGCCGCCTTAGAACGAGGCTATTCTGTCTTGTACAGCAACCAACTGGCCACGTTTTGTTCACCGCCTGATCTTGGAGGCGGGCGCAAGAGCTTGCAGCCGCCGGCGGCTCGCAATTAGCAGGCTCCCTGAGATTCGACAGGAGGTCATAGCTGATTTTCCAGAACTGCGGGCGGCCACAGAAACTCAGTAACAACAATCTCCCCAGCAAGCAGCTGGCTGATCTCGGATCTGGGGTCAGTGACCGAACCGTCGATGCTCTCAGAACCCCGCATGGAGAACGCTTCCGGAGCCTCATGAGCTTCATAAACCGCAGCGAACCGGAAAGATGCATCAACCTTTTCAAACCTCACCACTCTCGTACACCCTCATGATCTGGTTTTTTCAGAGGTTTATGGCTGACACGGCAGTCACATCATGAGTTGGCCATCGTTACCAGCTCGAGCAGGCTACCTTGCGCTCAAGAACGGCCGACGAAGGAATGCGTTGTCTCTAGCCGTCCTGAGAGACCTACGCGACCAGCTTCATGCTTACAACACATCACCACTGGATGGCAGGCTGAGGTTTCTGCCTCCATTCAAGCCCGAAATCCTATCACAACTGGAGACAGCAGCGAAAGATCTGAGATCCGACACCAATAAAGAATATGGCTGGCTCCTTCATTCTACTGAATGGCTGGAACATCGTCAGGGGCTGCCGAAAGTGATTGTGCTACGAAGCGAAGGCTCCGTGTTCTCGTCGGGTCACGATCTCGGTGAACTACGAACCCTAAGCCACGACGAGGTCAAAGAAACATTTGCACTCTGCGCAGAAGTTATGTCTCTGATTAGAAGGTCTCCTGCACCGGTGATCGGAGTCATCCAAGGTTTAGCCACCGCAGCAGGAGCCCAGCTTGCATTTACAACCGACCTTCCCGTTGCGTGTGCCTCTACTCAACTTCGACTGCCCGGGGCGTCCATCGGTCTACCCTGTACCTCTCCGTCCACCGCGGTATCTCGACGGCTGGGCCATGCCTTCACGTACAAGATGCTGGCATTGGCGGAGCCTGTGCGGGCTGATCAGTTACCTGGCGGAGCGGTTGAGGTCGTGGCGGACGACGCAGCGCTTGAGGACAGGGTCGCTGAGATGGTTGGCCAACTGGCTGAAAAGACTGCAGGACAATCTCAAGCACTAGGCAAGTGGGGATACTGGACACAAGTGTCGCTGACCGGGCGCGAGTCGGGAGGCGACGGGTATGAAGATGCCGTGGCATGGACTGGGAGGCTCATGGCATTGCATGCGCGATCGGATGATGCGCGGGAAGGCATAGATGCTTTTTTCGAGAAACGAGTGCCTGAATGGAAGACATGAAGGTTTTCAAGGAGGGGGGAGCGGAAGAGCCGTTCTGTCCCAGTCGTGAAGACGGGATGCCGGATCGAAAGCCGGCCCGGATGCTGAAATCTCCCAATGAGAGAGTCATGATGAACAGGAGAAGCTCCCTTCCATAGAGACTATATGTCAAGAAGACAGAAGACGATCATAGACAAGATGATGAAGTCAGTGCCGAAGATGTACCCAAAGTGGACAGACATACCTAGACGTTCAAACAGGCATATCCCAGCGCAGGGTTGTTGTCTAAATCCGAGACTCCAGCATCAATGAACATCTGTTCTTGTCGCGTCTTGATGGGGTCAACATCATATATAATACTCTCCTTATACTGGATGGTGATGGGGGGCACAACTTGGACTCGACATCGATAGATCGATAGAGTTTGATATTGACGATCAAATCTTATCGATTACGATCAATTCATCCATCATCCCACCTCCACATCTTTTTCCATGGGCGCTCAATAACATTTTCTCTCCTCTACGATATCTCACACCTACTTGAAGGATGCCCGAGTCCTCTCGAGGAATCCAATGGCTCATGGCGAGCCTCAACAAATCGACACCGTCATTGTTGGTGAGTAATGAATGACTTTTCTTGAACAATCCATGAGATCTGGTCTAGAACTAGACCCCGCGTCGCATGAGGAAAGAGGGAGCGGAAACAATACATACAAAAGAAAGCGACAAGGACTGATTGGCTTTTTGTGTCGTTCTAGGAAACGGCCCCTCGGCCCTGATCTTGTCCTACATTCTTCACGGCAACATCCCCTGCTACGACGAGTCGAGTCCGCATCCCGACCACATCCTCCACGACAAGCTCGTTCGATGGTGCCAACAGCAACACCATGACCATGACGATGCCCTCGCCGACAATCTCCTCAACCTCGACATCGACGCCCTGACAGAGCACTTCACCGCCTCGAGATTCTCCTACTCGACCCAAGCCCTCCCCGTCAACGTGCTGCTGGACACACTAGTCCGACCGCTAGGAGAGACGGACGACGCGCAGAAGAAAACATGCGTGAAATGGCGTCACGACTCTTCTCAAGCGGTTTCGCATCTGGTGGTAGGCAACACGCCGCGGGCTGGCGGGCAATGGGTGGACAACCCGGTCCATGCGAGTTGGGATATCGGAACACTGAGCTATGCGGGCATGATATCGTTGCCCGAGTATGGATTTGACGAGCATTACGAGCGACGACATGGGCGACCGATGCCCGTCTACCTGCGCCCATCGAGACGCGCTGTGGCGGACTATCTTGCGGCATATCCTGAGCAAGTGGGAATCAACGATTCCATATCCAATGGCCAACAGGTCTCGGGAGTCTCACGACACGGGGGTGGATTCTATATTGCATCACATAACATCCTGTGCAGGAATCTTGTTCTCGCGTCAGGGATCTTCAGCCACATGATCCCGCCGCCGCCGCTGCTACAGGCCCTTGCAAGTCTACCTGACAACAACGCGGAGATGGAGACGGACGCTCTTCTCGTGATAGGCTCTGGCTTCAGCGCCGCCGACGTGATCATATCAAGTGCCCCAACCCGCAAGATTCTGCATGTCTACAAATGGGCTCCCTCGACATCTCCGTCGCCTCTACGAGCGTGCCATCAGCAAGCATACCCCGAATACGCCGGAGTCTACAGACGGATGAAGCTGGCCGCCATCTCCAGCTCACATCAACAACCCAAAGACAAGCGTTCGCATCGACGTCCACGTCCACGCCAGCGTCATGCGCAATCAGACTTCGACCTCAGTCGAGACTGGGACTCGACGTACGAGGGCCTTCCGAATGCCGAAATCGCCGATGTGGAAATGCCAGACGACGGGACCGCTCTGGTGACATTCACAATGAGAACTGGTTTTGCTGATCCTACTGGTTCCGCTGATCCCAATGCATCTGCGCCCTCTTTCCAGCGCCGAGTCAGTGGTCTCGCATATGTCGTCGGCCGACGCGGTTCACTAGAGTACTTGTCACCAGAGCTCCTGAAGGAAGTTCTTCCCCGTGACACATCCTCCCGAGACAAGAGAGCCATGGTCTCCGGACATACGCTGCGCGAGAAGGCGAACGCGGACCTCGAAGTAGCGCCGCATGTCTTCATCATCGGAAGTGTGACTGGTGACTCGTTGATCCGATTTGCCTATGGTGGATGTACCTATGCGGCCGGGAAGATCATGACCCGCCGCTCGTCGGCTGGTGGTGCAAACGGAAACAGAAATGGAAGTGGAGGTGGCTCCAACGCTGCAAATGGCGAGTCGCTTCTCGCGTCGACTGACAAAGACAAAGACAAGGGCATGAATAGCATCCATGTCTCCCTCCGAGAGAGTGCGGGTCGATGCCAGACGCCGTCGCCCAAGATTCCTGCCATGAACGGCCTCGACGGCCATGCGCCGAGTCCGGCGAGTCTTGCAGAAAAGGGCATGTCGCTGGACAGACGGAAGGAATCGTGAGCAGAACCGCGATCTGCCTGACCTTTCAACCGGCGGACATGTCTGGCTTGTCGGATCTGCTCTTCCTGAAGCCAAGAACTGTGGGACTCGCCCCTTTCACCTTCAAAAATCTATAATACCATCTTGCATATATATACCAAAAAGGAAGGGAGCATATGGAAACGCGGCACAGTGGACCTGGTAGAAGAGTCTATATATTATACATCGTTCAACGGCAATTATAGAACCAAGAGACATTACATCGTGCAGTATTGGTCGTAATATGAAGTCTGCACCATTTTCCGTTGCCATGAGATTTCTTCAGTTCTTCATCCCTGCCGTTCATTCCCTGCATTTCTTTCGTGTTCGTCTATCCAAAAGAGTAGATAGCTATGTGTTCATCGTTCCAGCACTAATAATACATTTATGCGACGTGTCATGTCCAAGTAATACAGCGTGATGGTCTTCTGTTCAAGCTCAACTAGTCTCGCAAGAGCAGATGGCGCCATGATTCACAAGAGGACCACCCCAGCAGCAAAGCAATAGAGAGAGGCCGTCTCACTCGTCGCACCCTCCCATCCTCTTGATATGTCAAATTCCTGCCTGGCTGCCCACTCGGTCATTCATTCACTCACTCACCCATTCGTTCATTCTCCCAAGACAGAGACCGTGCTGTCAAGGCCCTACAGGCCCTCTTTAGCCAGCATATCAGCGACGCCCAAATAAAACGCGACGGCATTGAAGTTCTCCTCGACAAGGCCGAACCTCGCGGCAATCCGCTTGAGGCGATTCGTCCAATTGATCAGATCCAAATGGGTCACGCCCATCAGAGTGCCCATATACTGACCCCATTTGGAGCTATAGACCGAGACCAAGCCATCGTTCGGGCCCTCGACCACCAGCATCAGCTCATGGCTCAACCGAAACACCGAGAAGAGATGCGGCGTCGCACTGGCGCCGTAGCTGAAATACCGCACGGACGGATCGTTCGGCGTGACGGGGTTGAACTTGTTGCGGACATAGTCGGTGGTGAGCTGCGAAAAGGCGCCCGAGTTGATCTTGAGCCGCTCCAGCGTGCCAAAGATCCGCGGCAGCAGGTCCGGCCCGATGTCGCGAAACACCATGTCCGCCGCGGACGAGCCGCGGTGCGGCGTCGCCACCGTCGTGAGACTGCGCACCACGAACGCCGAGGGCGGCGGACACAGTCGCGAAATCAGATACCGCGCGTCCAGCCCGCCCATGCTGTGCGCGACAATGTTGACTTGGCGGCCGCGCGCCTTCCGGGTGATCTCGTCCATCAGCACCCCCGCACGCTCTTGGATGCTGCCCGTCCGCGGGACCGCCGTGGTGATGCATTCGATGCCGTTGCGTGCGAATGCTTCCGTGATCCCGCGCCAGTAGTGGATGCCTGGCAGATAGGGCCCGGCGAGGCGCCATTCGTCGAACCCCATCAGCCCGTGGGCGAGCACGATGGGATGTTTCGGCGTCGAGTATTGTTCTTGGAAATGCGCGTAGTCGCTGGCGATCAGGCGGCCTAGGTCCGAGAAGCGGCCGTCGATTGGCTTTTCTTCGTTCTGGTGTTTGGAGCTGGGGTTGTCGTTATTGACACTGCTGGAGTTGTCTTTGTCTTTGTCATTGTTGGTGCTGTTGCTGTTGATTGCTGGCTTCTGGTTCTGGTTCTGTGTCTGTTTCGGTTGTGGTCGTGCTGGGCCTGGCTCTTGGGATGTCGACTGCCATCGTCTGTCTCGGTGACTGGGACAGATTTGCACTGTGGCCAGTGGGCAATGCCGCAGTCCTGCCGGCCGCAGTGAAGCGTGAAGGCGCAGGGCCCGCCATGACATGCTACGGGCAGTTTGGTATTCTGCTCAAGAAGCCGAGTTGCCAGTGAGGTAGAGAAGCAACAGAGGAATACAAGATCAAAGTTGTTGTGTTGGTTGCGAGGCGGAGAGTTGAGGTCGAGAAAGACAAGGTATGGCGTCATAGCAAGTTCAGCGTAAAGTACTTTGTATAGGACTTGACAGAACGCCAGCCTCGTCTGGGGACAAGACGTTCTCTATCTTCTCTGGATGAGTATACAAGGGCGTGAGATGCATTAGATGCTCAGATTGAAGGCAATCACAGTCTTCAGATAACAGAGTTCAGTTCGTATTACAGCTCTCTCCTCTGCTGAGATCTATGTTCAAGACCCGTCCTCCTACCATTGCGCCCGCCTTTGCTTGTCACTAGTAGTGCCTGCAACCACCAAAACATATTCCCGTCTGGTCTCCTTGATGCGTGTAGAGACAATCAAAAATACGGACATTTAGTGTTTTCTCATCGTCCTCAATCTCAATCCTCTGCCGAGATCTTCTCCGGGACTTCGGGATGCGGCGTCGTGATAGCCTTGATCAGATCCTCTACCACTTTATTTCCATATTTCTTGCCGGCCTCGTCGATTTCCTTGACCTTGGCCTCAGCCTCCTTGTTGGCATCATCTTCGGCCTTCTTGTTTCCGCTCGTTTGCTGTATGCTTCGTAAGCATAACGCGACGAGTTGAGTGTAAGCGGACACACCTCTGCCTCGAATTTCTTGAATTCCTCTTCCTTCTTCCGTCGGTACTCTTCGATTTCCTTTTGTGCTTCTGCTTTGGCGTCCTTTACTCTCTTCGTTCGGTCTGCATGTGTTAGACATGGTCTTGAGGGCAGGGTCCGGCTGGCATACATTCTCTGGCTGTCATGAAGCATTAGTCTTAGCATTGTATCGAATGTAACAAGAGTGGTGGAGGCACTCACCTTTCTGAACAATCTTCTGTGCTTCTTTTTCTGCCTGCATGCAACTTAGTGGCTACTCGAGAGCAAGGGACCGTCTGGGGCTCAGGCTCACATCAAGCAGGGTTTGAATGCCTGCGGAGTTTTGGGCTGACTGGATTCCTATCAGCGGAGGAACTCAGAGACGTGGGCTGCCGGGCAACAAACCATCTTCAGACCGGCCTTGTTGAGACCCGATTAGAGGGGTTGATGGACTGACAGTAGACACAACGGCAAGACAGAGACAGTAGGTTGTATCGTAGCAGAGTGATACTGGTACTTCTAGAAGACTGGTCATTCCACCCTCCTCAATGCGCCTGCGGCGAGCTTGAAGCTGCGGAGCCGGAAAGGGATTAGTGTCTTTTTTAAGTCTGGGGAAACCACCATTAACCATTGCAGGCATTTCTCATACTCTGTATAGAGAGAGTATTTACTGCAACTACCATTACCACACCGTGCTTCTCAGTATAGACTGCTCTTCCATGTAAAAATGTCGACAGCCTCCAAAGTCACCTTTGCCAGCACCATCCTCGGCACCATCGGCATCGTCGTCTTCGTCCACTGGGCCCAGACTGCCGAAAAAGCTGTATGCCCTATTTGCTCCCACCCTGATGCCCTTCCTACGAGGACGTACCACTGACAATTGAACTACCTGCTACAGGCAATGCATGCCGGTGTGATACGAGACATGGAACAACAGCGAATCAAACAAGAACGTCAAGCCGATTTCGAAATGCAGAAGCGGCTGGAGGAAGAATATAAGAAGGTCCAGACCGTGCATGATAGCAGTCAAGAAGCGTGACCGCTCCGAAGCCAACGTTCGTGATCGGAAGTTGACAATCGCAAGACTGCGAAGGCAGTAAACGCTTCTCGCAGCGCGCTCTGGGTCATTGAGGTCATGTCGGGTCTACCGGATGGATGAAACATCTGAACCCAGGCTCAATCAGGCTCCGACCCCTGCTGGCCCGCTTCGTTTTCAGGCAGTTGTGTCTGAATTCTTGGAGCGAGCAATGGACTAGTTGGGACCTGGGGAAGGATATTGCATGTGCAAAGATCCCCATTCCAACGACATGTCGTCCCTGCTCATCTCTCACGCAAGCCTCATCAAGCCATGAAGTGGAGGATGCTGGTTTACGAGGGCTCTCTGAGAATGAGACATGTCACAGCACGCATCAGCAGGAGTGGAAAGGATGTTGAGCCCCGGAGATGAATTCGAGGGTTTTATTTTGTCGCTGGACTGGACTGAAGACCGGTTCTCATCAGACATAGTACGAGGAAACGCTGGCCGGGAGCGGTATGGGTGCGTGAGGAGGGCAGCTGGGTCGGATTTCTCCCGGCAATCCGCAGGCTTTACTGTTCCAGGAACCTGGAAACACGGACATAGGGCCGTTCCCATTTGCCACTCAAAAGAGCAGGAAAAGAAGAAGAAGAAGAAGAAGATATCTCTACTCAATCATATGACGAATTGGTGATCATCACTCGATCAAACAGACTCGTTCGCTGAAATGCTTCCATTCCAACTGTGAATACTTCACCATTGACTCACTCACTGCAAGGCTTTCCATCTGTCAGACCCTGTCACTTGATCAAGATCAGAAGGATGTCCAATGTCAACCCGTCAAGGCCGTCTATTTGTTTTACTGTAGCACTTGTCGCCGAATTCGGTCAATCGGCTGCCATGATCGCTATACTAGGATTCTCATCTGTACACGGTTTTGTTTGGTCACTCTGTTCAGAACCCGGACCGCCCCCCAAGGTCAATGCCCAATGCCGCCCACGACCCAATTATTGAATTCCGGATCTCCAGGCGGCGGGAACAATCCTGCCCCATTCTGTCCCTGTCTCGGCGCCGGGTTTTGATTCTGCTGCTGTTGTTGTCTCCTGTCCTGCTCCAAACCCCGCTGCCTCGCCTGACGAGCGTAGATCAAAAGCGCCAAAGCCCCAGCCAGCGCAATGATGATCAGACTCTCGACCAAGCCGTCATCGAACTCATCCCACTCGTCCGCACCATATCCATTGTTTTCACCATACTGGTTCTGCTCCTGTGCACCGGTCTGTCCTGCGCCAGCAGCAGTGTGTCTCTCCCTCGCGCCGTCGCCGTCGCCACCGCCAGGCTGAGCAGCAGCAAAGTCGGCATCGCCACCAGGCATTCCCGGCTCGGCAGCCGCATAGCCCAAGAAATCGTCGTCGTCACGATCCCTGGCTGCCGCAGCCGCCGCTGCTTCCTGGGCATCCATTTCCTCCGCGGCATCGAGGAAGCGATTCAACCACTCGCTCCAAGTCTTGGGTCTCTTTCTGCTCGCTGCACTGCCACCTTCGTCATCGTCGTCGTCGTCATCGCGAATAGGATTGATTTTGCCGCCACTGACTCCGTTCCACCAGGACCGGAGGCGCAGTTTGGTCAGAGCCAGCGTCACGGGCAGGTATGCTTCGCTGTTCATCTCCAGCGCCAGGTCGTAGTAGCGTTTGGCCATGTGGAAGTCCTGGGCGACGGAGCCGATGCCGTTTTCGTGCATCCAGCCGAGATTCCAGAGCGCTTGGGCGCTGTGGTGCGATTCCGCGGCCGTCGTGTAGCATGTGGTTGCTTTTTCGAGGTTCGAGTGAGCCTGAGCTTCCACTTCCGTGCTACTGCTGTTGCCGCTGCCGCTGCTCTTGGGACTCGTCTTTCGAGTGTGTAGGAACAACGTTGTCAACCCTTTTGCTTGCTGTTGGGCCGCGGAGGAGGAGGCCAGCGAGAGGTAGTAATCGCCCATTTTGATCAAGGAGTCGACATTGGCCTGCTTGGCCGAGCGCGTGAAATATGCCAGGGCCAGTTCTGGATCGTTGAGCAGTTTGCTACGTCTCGTCGAGCCCGGTTTCGTCGCCGACAGCAGCGGAATGCCTGGAAGCGAGATGACCGACGTTTTCTGGTCCAGCAGGTACGCCACGTTCGCTTGGGCGTTTTCGTATCCATGCTCGGCAGTCTTGAGGGCGGCGACGAAAGCGCGTTCGAAGTCTCCTCGCTCGTAAGCCGCATTGGCCTCGATGAAAGGGGAATGCAAGATCTCGGCTCTCTCCGCCACGACTTTGTAGTAGACGGTCGCAAGGCCGCAGTTGCGTTCGCGTCCGACGCCCTGGTTCGTCAGTTCGGCAAGATAGTAGAAGGCTTCCATGACGCCTGCTCCGGCCGCGAGCTCGAAATATCGGCCGGCCGTATCGACGTCGCCTTGGTCGAGGAACAAAACGCCCAACGCGGATTGCGCGATCGGTAGACTCTGTTCGGCGGCCGCCTTGAGATATGTTCCGGCACGCACTCCATCTTGAGGCACACCCAGACCATCTCTGTACATCAGCCCCAGGTGGTATTGTGCGAATGAATCGCCGTTGGCGACGCCGCGCTTGAACCAGGTCTGGGCTTTTTCGAAATTCTGTTCCATGCCTTCTCCGCGAAGAAACATGCGTCCAATATATGCTGCAGCCTTGCCGGCGACTCTCTCAATGCCCTTGGGTGCTTTGGGGTTGACCTTTCCGTCCTTACCCCAGTATGCCCGGGCAATCTTCATGAACTGCCGCTGTGCCTTTCGCAGGTTTCGTTTGTACCCCCTCGGCGCTTCGTAGTAGTGTTTCCCGAGCGTCAGCATGGCGGTATAATCCCCCTGCCGTTCCCTCATGTCCAGATACTCCAGGACATAATCGACGTGAGCGGCGCTGAAACTGTCCCGAGCCGCGTTCGGGCCTGAGCTACTGACGCTGGCGCCCTCGCCGTAGATCCCGCCGTCGACCTCGACCCATCGATATGCATTGCGCACAAATGAGTGTCCACCTGGCGGGCCGGACAGCCAGTAGTTCATGGCCTTGTCCGCCACTCTCTTGTAATAGTCAACAGCCTTGTTGCAGTCTCTCGGGCATCCAATCCCGGAGTGGTATCGGAATGCCAGAGTCATTTCGGATTGAATGTTGTCCTGCTCCGCCGCGAAGGTATGGTACAGTAAGGCCTTTGCCTGGTTTCTTTCCAGCCCGCCAATTCCCGTCGCATACATCAGGCCGAGCATGTACTGCGCCGTATTGTTGCCGTCGAGATCAGCCAATTGCTGGTATCGAGCCATTGCCTCGGTGAAGTTTCTGGGATACGAAAAGTTGCCATAGAAGTTCATCTCCGCAAGAAGAAACATGGCATCCGGGTCGTCAAACACAGCGGCCGTCTTGAGCGTGTCCACTCCCTTCTTCAAATCGCCTGTGATACTCGGTGTGTCTTTCTCATCATCGGTTCCGTCGTGGTGCGTAGGGGCGTTCATGAACAAAGCGCGGAAGACGACTTTGGTGTAGTGCCATATCGTCTCGAGGAGGCCGGTGGACGGCGCGGGCAAGACGCTGTCCTTCCATGTCGGCTCAAAGTCTCGCAAGACCGACCAAACCTCGTGGACGATGTCGTTCCCTCCCTGGGCCCAGTAGTTCTGCTTCTGCTGTTCATCCGGCACGAAGTCTATCTGCGGATCGTCCAGATTCGGTATGCTACTTCCGGCTTCGACGGAGGTTCGAGGAGCAGGTTGGAGATATGCGATCGTCAAAACCAGCGCTGGAGGAACTGTCAGATCAACGTGTAGATACAGGAGTATAGCGAACTTACCGAGGAGAAGCGCGGCTATGGACCGTAATCGGGGAGCCATGATGGCAGCTTGGAGTCGACAGGTCACCAATATAGCATGTCTGCAGCAATGTTCATGAACAGCTGAGACAAGCTACAGTCGCCATTCGGGGGTCAAGAGGATTAAACACAAGTAGATGGAGGCCAGGCACCCACAATTCCCTGTGTCGTCGCTAAAGAAGCCAGTCTGTCGCGAATTCGTGGATTGCGCTTCTCGGGGGAATGACGTTCCGCAGTTGTCACCCACTGGCCGCAAGGCTGCAGCCTCGTCAACCCCCAGACTCTACTACTACTAGTATATGGGTTCAATCAAGGTGCATTCAATGGTTATCCTTGGGAATATCATTACCACAGCTATACCGGCTGTTGACTTGTTCCTTTTCGCTCTCCAAGCGATGCAAAGTGATCATACTAGCACACCTCAACTCTCCTGTCGGATCTCTAGTAATAGCTTCTCCTCTTTTTCGTGGTCAGCAGCCTTCGTTTTCCTAATCCATTCTCCTGCTTCGCTTCCCTCGAAGTCGTTGTTTTATTGCCGTTCGCCTGAGACGAGCCCTTCTTTCTGTAAATGTCGGAATCTTCGTCATCTCCTGGGGGACTGCTGGAAAAGGTCAAGTCAATAACTTGAGATCCAGCAGGCACCTGCGAGAGCCGAGTTGCATATTGGCTCTGCGACAATTTGATTTCTGGTTGGCTCGACGGCGGCGGGTCAGGACTGCTTGGTGGAGTCGAGCTTTGTGTCTTCTTTGAGGTCCGCGCCGACCTTCTCGTTGGGGGCGGCGGCACCTTGCTCGAGCGCAGCTTGGTACCTTTCGCATGTGAGCGGCCTGAAGTTATATCCAGCAGAGAAGGGAGATCATCGCTGTCATCTTCACTGCAACCGTCGTCATCATGGTACGAAGAATCGTGACCAGCGTAGCCATGATCTAAAAAAGAATCTCCTCTGTCCAAGTCATGTTGTTCAGCCTCCTCTTCGAAGGATTCGAAGGAGGCTGCCTGGGATTGGGACTGTGGGACATCTGACCCTAGTGGCTCTGATGAAGCCCGTCGTTGATTGGAGTCTTCATATTCAGCATGGTCGGCCAATTCAGTGGTTTCGTGATCTGCCTCATCACCCGAGTCATTCCGATCCAAGGCTGTGAATGACAACTCAACGGCAGGGGTTGGGGAGTTCTTCTGCGCGTCCTGATGAGAGCTACTGTTTATGGTCAGAGGCGGTCCAGAAGAGTTGATTTCGATCTGAGAGATATGAGGATATTCCACCGTCTCTGCGGTATGGACGAATGGCGATGATGGCTGTTCGGGTGCCGAGCCCACAGAGGCATGATCAGCTTGAACGTAGGCGCTATCCTCCATCTCGGAAGAGGCCACGTTGTATGATTGAGAGTCATTGAGGCGGGGTGATTCTTTTCGAAATCGATGAGGGTACTCTTCCTGAGACCGGTTTTGCAGATCAGGAGAGTCCCCATCTGTCTCATGTTGATCTGAAGATATCGGATCAGGCTGCAGTAGTTCCTCGTCCAACGCTGAGTTGAATCCGGCTTCTTTGATAATATCTGATATCTCGTTTCTACGCGGCGTTGCAATTTCGACAAAAGGTATTTGAGAGTCGCCCGGCTTCGACGACACCACCTCTTGTTGAACAGTCTCCGGTATAGCTGCATATTGTTGGTCCGGGTACGAATCCGATGCATCTCCACCCCTGAGCCCACTACTGTGGTTACTACCCGGCACCTCAACCGAAGACGGCTGCACGAGCTTCGGCGAAATCATGCTGGAAAAAGATACTTCACGAGTCCCGTCATCAGGTTCGGATTCGGCATCCTCGGACGGGATTTCGAACTTGCCGTAGACTCTCTCTCCGGTTTCCTCGTCGTACTTCATCTTAGAAGAAGGTTCCAGGCAGGACTTGGCCAGAGTTAGGTAGACGCTTCCATCATCGCCCATTTCAGAGACACGGCCAACTCGAAATGACGAAATCTCAGGCTGATAATTTGTCGAAGCATCAACGTGAAGTTCCCTGTAGGCAATGACGACTCCTGGCACAACGCTGGCCTGGTCAAGATCGGGTAGAATGTCAAAATTGGTGGGAAGGGGTATGTCGTCCGAACCCTCAAGGTTTTCCTCAGCAGAGTTGGTGCCATCCACAACCTTGGATTGTTGACCATCTGCCGAGGCCAACATCGATACATCGGGTGCAAAAGCATCCTCCTGGTCTTCCTGCGGCGGAGCTTGATTGTCTTCATAGTACTGAGCTTGATCTCGAGCACGACGCTTACTCTTGGTGACATTCTCGGTAGAAGTCTTGGTCCAGCGCTGTTGGAAAGGAAACGGTGGTGGGGTCAAGACACCGCCTTGCTCCTCACATTCTACAGCGGCAATGACAAGCTTGTCCTTCCAGGAATCATCAAACTCGGCGACTGTCTCAGTTTCCGGCAACGGCAGAGCGCTTTCAGCAGAGGCAGCACTTGGTTCTCTGAGAGGACGGATAGACTTGGATAGTTTCTCCCTCAAGGCCTGTTCTGCCTCTGGAGTCTTGGGTGTCCTCAGTCCCAGGGATGAGAACAGCATTCGTCGAGAACTGGCCAAGTCTAGTCTGGCTCTCTTCGGTGCAGGCTCCGTCTCGGCCTGTATTTCTGGTTGTGATATCTTCGGCTCTCCAGCTGAAGATGCTGCGACAGCCTCTTTGTCTGCAGTCAGGTCTCCAGGAGCCTCTGCTTTAGACTCAGGTCGGGTGACTACGTTCACTGCCACGGCCGTCACCTTCTCTTGGTCGTCACTCAAGATTTCTGGCTGTTGACCACCCGCAGCGGCCTGCTCTTGCTCTGCAAACCCGGCTTGCTCCGTTCCACTGTTCTGTTGCGCTTCGTCATACGCGGCCAACGCCCGAAAATCGGCTTCCTTGGGCAATAAACCTTGCTCTTTGAGAAAATTCAGTCTCCTCCTCTTTCTAGCTCTGCTGTTGTTGGTGTGCGTCCTCCCAGTTCCAGAACCGGGTGGGACTGTGGCCGGCTTAGGCGTATTTTCTGAGCTGAACGTTGGAGGCTGGAGACCAGAAGTACCGGGGTTGGCTGTGGAGGGGGTTTTCAGGCCTTTCTTCCCCTTGTCCACCTCGGAATCTGCCTCTGATTCGGATTCGGATGAGCTAGATGACGTTTCAGACTCGGAGTCGCTCTCATCGTCCGAATCCGATTCTGAATCCCAGCCTGAATCTGAGTCTGATCCAGAGCTCGAAATCTCCTCCACGTCGATGTCGGCCTTGTCCTCAGAGCTTGATTCCGCATATTCGGAGCTGTCAGACGATGTATCCGAGGCTTCGATCAGATTCAGAGCCCGTTTCTTCGCCTCCTGCATAGCAAGTTCTTCTACCATGCTGTCTGTGGCAGAGTCGGCAGCAGAAGATTCAGAGCTCGAGGAATCATCAGAGTCAGACATATCTTGGACGTCTTCATCGACCTCATCCTCGTCGTCCTCATCTTCCGCAATAATGTTCTTTGCACGCTTCTCAGCCACGTGGTCTGTAATCTCCCGCATCATGCTGTCACCGTCGCCGTCGGTACCTGAATCATCCTCACTTTCACTCTCAGCCTCGTCCTCGTTGACAGGAACGTGTTTGGCAGCCTTGACCGGCGTCGAAAAGCCCTCGAAAGTAATGCTTTCGTGATCCTCGCCTTCATCATCAACCTCTCTCTTTCTCTTCAAGTGGTTTCCCACAAGGTCCCGCGCCACAGCACCACTAGCAGCCTTCTGGATCTCCGCAGCCTCTTTCAAGAGAAGCTTGACTTCATCCGACAGATCTTCGTCCTGCAAATCTGTATCGGAGAGTCCGGGATCTTCGGCTGATTCCGAGTCTGCATCGTCGAAATCTGCCCTGACAGCAATTTGAAGTGGATTGTCGACATAATCCTCATCGTCTTCATCGTCTTCATTCTCCTCTTCGTCATTTGCAGCAGCAGGAACCATTGCGCCTGGGTAATAACCCTCATCCGCAGCAAGAATTTGTCTGACTCGCTCTTCATCCTCGTCGTCTTCATCGTCATGCTGTGCAGCCAACATCCTTCTCCTCTTCCTCGGCGGAATGACGATGCCCGGCCTCCTGGCCTTCCGCAACCACTGTTTCCCAAACGCAACACCATCAATTAGATGTTTCCCATCCCCTGAGATCTGATGTCTCCCACCGAGTCTCCTAATTCTCAGCTCTTCCGACGACAGAGCCCGGATGACCACCTCATCATCTTCTCTCAAAACTGCCTCGCAGGTTTGGAAATGCAGACACTCGTACGCGGCAGATTTGTCGAAAGCCGGGACGACTTCCACGACATAGTCCTCCAGCCCCCACTCGCCGTCGGCCGACTCGAGTGGTACTAGATCGTTGACATCGTGGAGGAGGTCTGCGATGGTACTGTCGCGTGATTTCGTACGGGATGCAGGGCCGGTTCCTGTGGTATAGACGATCTGAACGGAAGGCAGCGAATGTCGCTGGATCAGTAGGCGCAGACGCATGACGAAGCGAAAGCGAGGCGAATGCAGTGGCCCCAAATGCCTAAAAGCGCATTCCGGCTGGTGGGGAGATCGGCGGCCACCAAAGAAGACCAGGAGAAAGACGAGGTATCTGATCAGGGCAGGATGGTACTTGGCGTTTGAGCTTTTGATGTAGGATAAAGCTGACTCATAGTCATGCACTGGCTGCTGTCTGTCTGGCGGTACAAGGGAGTCTACCGGTCAATGAGTTGTTGCGAATAGAAGCGAACCTGGAACTTGAAGGCGAAGTTGAATCCGAATTGAGGCTTCGGGGCCGAATCATTGATGCCAAGAGCGTACTACAAAGCAGTTGGCGCGTAAAGTGGCTGGCGAGGCTGACACAACAGACACAATAGACCAGCATACACACACAACACAGGGAGTTACTACAATAAACGACCTCAATAGGCGAGTACCGCTCAATGAACAATACCATGCGAAAATATCACTGGCAGGTGTCAGTGACAATATGAAGCAACAATGTACCTCTTCCTTGTTTCCACGAAGACCGCCCTCCATTTGTCGGCAAGCAACATCTTGGACCTCCCACCATTACTCTTCAAGCATGAGACCCTTCAACCGCTTGTGATTCAGGCGCCGCAGAGAGGAGGTGTAAAAGGGTAAGAAAGCAACACAGGAAGTAAGAAATCAAAAGAAAAAAATAGTCATTAGACACTATCAGCTCAGGGATATATCCAGAGAAAGGCAGATTCTCCTCCAACACCAAACTTTATGAATAACACCACACACACATACACGGCGACCTGCTGCTCGAGGCCAGCTCTTGACATTCGCGCCTGACAGATAAGCCCGAAAACCTTTTCCCCCACAACCTCGCTTGTTGGGCACTTGAAAATAGACCTGTTCTGTTCTCAAATGGCGTTCTGATTGTTTCCTGGGCGATCTCAAAAGACCAATCGTCCCGACATTCTGTCACGACAGTACCAAAGAAGGCATTTTGTCATGAACAGCCGGCGGCGTCTGCGGCGGTGTCGGTTGGACCTCGGTGGTTGTGATATGCACGCTTAATCGGGCCAGTTTGCTCTCCATTTCCGCCAGCTTGCGCTCCAGATCTAGTATTCTTTGCTCCAGTGGGCTGGGGGTGTCCAGATCAGGTGCAGACGCGTCAACAAGGACAATCTCCTCGACTTGCTCCTGGATAGGCGCAAGGCTTTCGCTAACTTTCTTGTAAGTAGGACGTGGTGGCTCCATAGTCGATACTCCAACGACTCGCTTCTCGATTTGGCCTTGCACAGGAGCTAGGACTGGCACGGCCTCCTCCTGGTCAACTGTAGAGGGTACCTCAGTTGCGACTGCATCTCCGAGTCCAGCCCTCTCCTCTTCAGCGGCATTGGCTCCGTTCAGGAAGTCCACAGCCTCTCTTCTCACATCATAGCCAAAGAAGAAGTCGCAGATCGGCGGACTATGAGGCATTGACCCAGTAGGAGGCAGCGGGCCGGAATAGTGTTTTCGAATCTCAGCCTCTTGTTTCGCAAAGTTGGCCGCAGCCTGTGGCCCGGGGACGACAGGATCGGTCATGATCTGTGTAGCACAGACCCGTGGAAGACGGAACTTTTCGAACTGTTCCAATCGGTGCAGCAGTTTCTCGGACGCAGCCGAAGAGACGCCCTCCGAGCCAGGAACGTCGGCGAGGAAGATCTCCAGAGCCGCGGCATCCTCGATCGACGAAGATACGCCCTGGGCATGAGTCAGGAGCATGGGATGGCAAGCATCGCCGATCAAGACAGCTTTGCCCTTGGTCATCTTGGTCAAGGGCTCCCGCTTCATTTGGGTATAGACTTTGACCTCGGGCGACTTGGACATCAGCTTCCTGACTCTGGGGTGGAAGCCGTCCATGACCCTGTCCAGGTCTTCGTGGGTGGCGGGAAAGTTCCAGTCGTCAATAAAGACGTCGTCGTCGTTCATTGCGTGTTGACCGAGTTTGCGGTGGACTGCCACCACATTGAGGATTTCGTTGTTTCTGCACGGATACGACACCACCATGACGCCCTTGGCTGGCAGAGCGGGAGCCCAGAATCCTGCTGGCTGGTTCTCGAACAGTGGTCTGGTCTCATCATCTTCCAGGATATCCTTCATGGGGATGAGGCAGCGGTAAGCTGTTTGGCCGCTCCGCTGCATCGGCACTGCTTTGCCGGTGATTTTTGCATTGATGCGGTCCTGACAGATAACAGTTAGCTTGTGTTCGTGCCGATACGACAAGACAAGACACAGGATCGAGGAGATGCCTACATGTTGGCCATCTGCGACAATGACAAGATCTTTCTGAGCTTGCGACCCGTCTCGGAGATCAATCACTCCAGTCTCGGGATCAACGTCCATCACCTGGGTGCCCAGTCGGATGACGGCTCCCGCTGCTTCGGCCATCTCTCTCAGGTATCGATGCATGTCAACTCGATGATAGAAGTGCCATTTATTGCCGTATTGCTGCTCCACGTTGGCAAAGTTTATTGTTGGAGCCATCGGTTCGAGAGTGTCACCCTTTGGTCGACGGGCCTGGCACTTGCGTCAGCCGGTATCTCGAGGCATTTCAATCATATGACCGCAAGAGAATTCACCAAGACCGGCCGGGCAAAGATTCATGGTTCAATACGTACCTGTTTGTTCTCAATGCCCCCGGCTTTGACAGGGTCGAACCCCCAGTGTTCCAAGACTCGACCACCGTTCGGTGTAAGTGAGACAGCAGCACCATTTTCGTTCTTGAATTGAGACCGTTCGAATACCTAGAGCGTCAAAACGTGAGCGCCAAATCACACGAAAACGCAAAGCCCGTGAACGTGGGCTCTACATTTCTGTCCGCCTAAACAACAGGGACATTAACCCACCTCAACATCGTGGCCAATTCTTCTCAAAGCAATAGCAGCGCCGAGTCCAGCAACCCCGGCACCGACAATTCCAACCTGAAGTCCATGTTCAAGAGGAGCACCATTGAAGCCGTCCATCATGAATTGATCAGTAAAATGAAAGGAGAAGCTAGATCCGTCGGGGAGAGTTTAGTTGGTACGTCAGTGACAATAACGCAGTCCTTCCTACCAGGAGCACGATAGATATAACGAAGGTCAAGACTGCCACACACCTACATGGCTTTACGCAACCAACAACCAAGACAGTCAAACCTTGGGATATACTTAATATATCAAGGCCCAGACGCCCAGTTCTCGGGAGGACTAGAGGATTCAAGGAGGCCAAGGAAGATTGGTCTCTCGTGTCAGCAGTGGCTTGATCAAGGCCATTGGCATGCGAGAGGGCGTCGAGAACAAAAACACCGTGCAAGCCTTATCTCTCCACATACCCAGAGCCGGCGCTCGAACTTACAAGCGCTTCTCGTTCTCCCTACCTTAGCTGGGTATGCCATTGGCGCAAGTGCCTGCACTGTACAGCGCTGGAAGTAGCCGGCCAACATCAGCCGCCCAAAAAATCAAGGCTGTGGGAGGTGGACGATAACTCGGTAAAAGAAATCGATGGTCGAGTTGTGGCTTTTCTCCTGATCGCTAGTGCTGCTGAATGTGGTATGGGACTATATCCATGCTTCGTTTAATGAACAAAGGGGGGAGACCCAAGAAACGTGGAGGGCTCCATTCACAGCACCTGCTGGTGGTCCCACTCTCTCAAGGAGTATGTGCTGCTAGAGCTTTGGCAGTCCGTCACAAGTCCTTGGGATTCTCGGCACGGCTGTGGCACCAATGCTTCGAGCCATCCGGGCTTGGTCAATCTTGGTGGTACACCATTGGCAAATACGGCAAATGTCTCAAAGTGCAGTGGTGGTCGAGAGTCCAAATCGACGCTACTTCACGGCGATCACTCGCGCTCAGCTCGCAGGAGTCTGGACGGAGGCTTGCACAATATAAACTGAGGAGAAGCATACTGACCGGTATCTCCACCAGGTAGCCATATCTGATCCGAACAGATAGATGTCTGGGACAAGGATATGGTTGAAGTGAACTGGATTTCGGATGGTCCAATTTCCACGTGGGTGCGTTCCCCCCTGTGCCCAAAATGAATCTTTTAGGGTCGCGCCATTCGGGGGCCATCGAATATGGAACACCAGTCAACGAGCTGGATTGGGAGCTGGACACCGGCGCTACCCAGAGTGCTCGAGCGACCGACGGAGTGACATGAACTATAGATTACCTTACAGAGGTGCAGGGATTCGCGAGCTAGTTGAGAATGCTCAAAGGATCTTGTCGGGCGTGATATGAGATTGAAATTGAAATTGACCGGACTGCTCCAGGTATGTATTGTACGTCTCCTGGCGTGGCGCACTGATCGCAACCACTGTTGGGCCTGGGCCTCACAAGCAAGCGGATGGTCATCAATTCCCAGTGAAAGGGATGCGGTTATTCTTCACAGGCCCTGGGCTTGGGGCTCAGGGGCTCTCAGCCTGACTCTCGAAGACGCAGATTTCCAGAGGAGCGAGGTCTCGGCTCCGGACATCATTCACCACATTCATATGATATCTAAAGGACTTTCAAGGGAGGTATGCTTGGATTCAGTCCACTCGAGGCTGGCACTACTCCGTTAATATGGTTCGGGATACTGTTGGCTGGTTGAGCAAAGATGGCCAGCAAGGCTGACCCCCCTGAAGACGTCTGTGCAATCATAAAGGTAATGAATGAGTTCTCTCCAAGACTGCGACGTTGAAGACACGTACTCTCTCTGTGTGTCCCATCGCGACATTCGATTCCTCAAGCAAGGCTCCCCGGGTCTCATGTCGAAACCTTCCCAAAGAATATCCAACCCCATTCATATGACCAGACAATACCTAGGTTCTGAGGGTCGTTGATCCTCGAACCGGCAGGATAGCCAATGCTGTTTCTCTCGCGACAGGACCTACTCCAGCGAGGGCATCCTCATATTCCCGAGATCGTCTCACGATCATATCCTCCTACCTCGGTCCAAGAGACACGAACTCTCCCTCTCCCTCTCCATTCCCCGCACAATGGAGCGTCTCTTCAGCCAAACCAAACCAACCCCAACGGGTGATGTGGGGAGGCCTCATATTCCGCGAGTATGGTTATTTGGGGTCAAGGCTCTATAAGGACGGATACGATATAAGGATTTCGTCTTGTCTGTTAGGCGTGCTCACGGAAGCACTCCCCTCTTAGCAAATTGGACATTCTTCACTTGTGTTCCTGACAAAAGCAAACCAGAGCCATTACCCCCTTGTTCAGCACGAAACCCTGATCGAAATCAGCAGCAACAACAACAGCAGCAGCATCAGCCATGTCACCCAAATCTCTAAACGACCTGAAACGGAAAGACCTATTGCAGACAAAAGGGTACATCAACGAAGAATGGGTCGACGCGGCCTCAGGCAAGACCTTCGACGTCTACGACCCAGCGACACTCGACAAGATCGCCACCCTTCCCGAAATGGGTGCCGAGGAGGCCAACCAGGCGGTCGCAGCAGCGGACACAGCCTTCAAATCATACAAGCAAACGACGGCGCGGCAACGTGCTCGATGGCTGCGCAAATGGAGCGATCTGTGTCTCTCGCACGCCGACGACCTGGCGCTGATCCTGACCCTGGAGAACGGAAAGACTCTCACCGAGGCCAAAGGCGAAGTCATCTACGCGGCCTCGTTTCTCGAATGGTTCGCCGGCGAGGCCGAGCGGGTGCACGGCGAAGTGGTACCGCCGGCCAATCCCAGCCAGCGCATTCTGACCTTCAAGCAGCCCGTGGGCGTGGCGGCGTGTCTGAGTCCCTGGAACTTCCCGATCGCCATGATCACGCGCAAAGTCGGCGCCGCGCTGGCAGCCGGCTGCACCACCGTGTGGAAGCCAGCAGGGGAGACGCCGTTGAGTGCTCTCGCGCAAGTGACCCTGGCGCGCGAGGCCGGGTTCCCGAAAGGCACGATCAACGTCATCACGACCCTGGACCTGGTGGCCGAGGTGGGAGAGGCGTTGTGCAGGAACAAGCTGGTGCGGAAATTGAGCTTCACGGGCAGCACGCGCGTGGGCAAGCTGCTCGCCAGCCAATGCAGCGGCACGGTGAAGAAACTGTCGCTCGAGCTGGGCGGGAATAGTCCCTTCATCGTGTTTGACGACGCGAAGCTCGAGACCGCCGTCGAGGCTTGCATCATGGCCAAGTTCCGCAACTCGGGCCAGACCTGTGTCACTGCCAATCGTGTTTTTGTGCAGAAGGGCATCTACGATAAATTCGCCGAGGCGTTGACCACCAGGATCAAGTCGCTTAAGGTCGGTCCTGGGACTGAGGACGGAGTCTTTGTTGGGCCCTTGACGCATGAACGCGCCGTTGAGAAGGCCTTGAATCATATCAGTGGTGAGTTAGCCGCTGTTGGTTTGGGGCTGCGAGATGTCGCATTGTGAATTTGTGATAGTATTTCGGGTTAATACTGACGGCAAGCCAGATGCGAAGAAACATGGCGGCCAGGTCATTCTCGGCGGAGCCCCTTTGCCGGATCACAAGGGATATTTCCTCCAGCCGACCGTCATCAAGAACATGAACCAAGACATGATCACAACCCGTGAAGAGACGTTCGCTCCCGTCGTCGGCCTGTATGAATTTGAAACCGAGGAAGACGTTATCGAAATGGCAAATGATTGTGATGTCGGGCTGGGGAGCTTTATCATCACCGAGAACATCCCCAGGGCGTGGCGGGTGACAGAGGCCTTGGAGGTGGGCATGGTAGGCGTGAACCTGGGATTGCTCAGTGCGTGTGAGAGTCCCTTCGGCGGTGTCAAGCAAAGTGGCTATGGGAGAGAAGGCGGCCGCCAGGGTATCGAAGAGTATCTCAGTGTGAAGTCGATGCTGATCAACGTAGCCAACTGACGGCTGCGAACGTGCCGAGTTTCGAAGCATCATAGTAATCGTAGTGTAAAGATATTCTCTTCTCGTTCTTTTCATCGTCTCATACACATAGCTGCTGCCTCGCCGTGCTCGGTACTTGCTACTTCGTAATAAGGCATCGCCTATCTGGTCAGCAACCAGACACCAATCACTCGGATCTTCAACCTAGGACTTCATGCAAGGCAAGAGATATTGCGTCGGTCAGGGCAACATAGATCTGAAAGAGGACACACTGTAGAGACAGGTGATTATAAACTGGGAAGACAATTGAGAGTATGAGGTATATATATAATGTGCCTGGAAGATCTCTCGACCGGACGCTTCTGATGGCTCAACTTGTTGCTGATAGCTGACGCTTCCGCTCTGACGGCAGCGTTGTGTGGCCTCGCTGTCTCATATCAACCATTCAATTCCACTCGACGCTTCAGGACGTTCCTCGCATCACCTTCACTGAGGTGATACAAACCCATACTGGCCAAAGCCTTTCTCGCAGCCTCGTTGCTTTCAAAGATGAGCTTTTCGGCGTCCCAAAGCCCCCATTCCTTGATACCAGCGAAATGATCAGATGGAGTGAGAGTCGAGTCTTGTTCGGCTGCAACCTCGTCTCCATCCTCAAAGCCCCATCCATCTCCTTCGCCGTCAAACGCCCCCTGTTGTGACTTCCCAGTGTGCAGCGAAACGAGAAACAATGCTTCTTCGAGCCGTTTCATGCTAGAACCAATGACTCCGGGAATCTTGCTGTTCTTCTCAATGCTTTCCTCAATGGCGCTCAAATCTCGCTTCAGCTGTGATGCTCCGGTGGCGGAAAATGTGTGATGCATGAGGACGTTGTCGTATATGTCCCGTTGCACTGTCGAACAGTAGTGCTTTGTAATGCGGCGCAGTGCCACCGGAGCAAGCACTCGCGCCAGGTACCCCAAGAGAACCGCAGTGGTCTCGAAGAACCCATCGAGACTGGGAGAGGCCGCCATCGACAAAGGATCGGATGGTGTTTCCACCAGCGAGGACCACTGGGCATATTTCACATATGGCTTGAGAGAGCCGTGGACATTGACATCGAATGCTCGAAGGATCTCTTCCTCACAGCGCTGCCGGAGTCGACGATATGCCAGTGCGGTCTGGTCAAACAGGCCGCTTCCATCAGTGTCCGCATCGACGTCTGGCCCGTTGGCTTTGATAGTTGTGGATGTCTTGGCTGCCACATCGTCGACCTTCAGGTCAGTTCCCACAGAGCCATCGGCATTGACTCTCGCCCTATACTGTAGCTCATCCCAGAGCTCGAGGAAGAACACATCATCACTCCAGTCCGACATCTTGCGGTCGAGGAACTCGGCGCTCCCGAATATCTTGGCCAACGTCTCCAAGCCTTTCAAACCAAGAGCATCAGCTTCGGATCCGCCCTGTAACAGTCGGCCTGCCGTGTGTGAAGCAACCAGATATGCTTGCAGTGCGCCATGTAGGTGATTGTGATAATCGTCAAAGATGGACAGCTGGATTTCCAGGAGAAACCTCATCTTCTGGCTGAACGACGAAAGGCCTCGATATCGATCTGTGACCGTCTCCAAAAGATCGTTGACCCTTATTGCTCCCTTCGTGGGTTTCGTCTTGGTGGCATCAGCATCGAAGTCGACCTCGCTACTATCAGGGGCATCTCTGATGCTTCTGTAGCGAGACAACGCGAAATCCTTCTCGACGGCAAGCCACGAAGCAAAGTAGCCGTGTTTATCCAGGATCATCCACGTGATCCCTTTCCATTCTGTCAACATCCTAGGTAGTGGGATATATCCCCAAGTGTCCCGTATGGCAGTGTCGAATGCCATGAGTTCGTGCATGAAGTGAGACATCAGCTGCGGCTCCCGGGAGATGTGCGGCAGGAAAGACAGACACTTTTCGACAACCATAGGCAGCAACGCCGTGATGAAAGCTGATACGGCGTCGGTATAGACGGATTCCATGGCTTCAGACAGGCGTGCTCTTTCATCCAATATAGGCCCGAGCAGGTCGGACATGAATCCGCCATGTCGCTCAAGGAGATCCAGGACGTGAGTGAGGAAATACTCTGGCTTGTCCAACCGGTTCGTCGGCTTCTCTCCATAGAAGTGATATTGGAACCTCGTCGCCAAGGGCTCGATCATGACTTCCAGGGGGAGGAGCACAAGGGGTTCCGGGACGGCAGAAGGACCGAGAGTGTCCCTATTCGCGAAAGTCGCGATCAAATCCGGTTCTTGTAGCTGCAACAGCAGTCCGACTTCCTGCTTCCACTGCTCACTCACAGCTTCCGAGAGATTCAATTCTTTACCCGGCCATTTCATCTGCTCCAGTGTCTTCCTCAGCGATGTCTCCAGGACGGCCTTGACCTGCGCATACAGCTCGCCGGATTGCTGCTCGAACATGTAGAGCAACTGAGGGGCAGCTCCTTCTGCAGCAGGCTGCGCATCACGAAGGTGGTCGAACAACTTGCGTAAACGAAGGTAGGCCTGCAACGATACGTCGGGATGTTCTGAGAGGTTCTTTCTGGCCTGGTCTCGCAGAGTATTCAACTGCTGAACCAGCTCGAGGTATCCCTGTGCAATTTCTAGGTTGCGGACCTTGCCCATTCGTGTCTCAATCTTCTTGGTCGCATCGTCACTGGCATCCGATCGCGCAAGACTCTTCAGCCGTTCATCTAGATCCGCCCGTTGTGACTGGAAAGCTTCGGCTCTCGTCTTTAGTTCTTGTGACCGCTCTTGGGCCCGTTCGTGGGCATCTCGCTGACTCTGGAGCGTATCTTGAAGCTATCCGGCGGTCAGAGATGCCACAACTCGTCGCTATGAAAGGAGGTGTACCTGTTTCCGCAAGAGATCTTGCTGCTCCTGCACCCTGGACAGCAGACTGTCAACCTGCTCGAGATCCGCCGCAGTTTGGATCTTGTCACTCAAATAGTCCTCCGCTCTCGTCCAAATGTCGCCAGTCCTGCTCGACTGCAGTTCGGCCATTTGGATCATTGGTAATCAGGGTGCCGTATGTGTGAACGGGGTTTTGTCAAAGCGACCTTGTCAATCGGAAAGGAGTTGCTACCAACTTGAAGAGGTGAAATGTGTCTTTCCCCAATTCAAGTTCCCAGTCAAAACGCGTCATTATTGTATGTAAATTAATTGATTGATTGGAGACGCGACCAATTCAAACCGATGACGCTGTCGACTATTGACTATTGACTCTTGCACTACAACAGCAACTCTGTGGCCACAAACAACATGATGATTGAATAACCATCCTGTCATCGCACCGGCGACACTGTCGGTGACCAAACGACTATGGACAGCCCGTCGAAACGACGAAAGAAGAACGATTCCAAGCCCGCCGTCGTCCAACATCGCAGCCTAGACTTCTTCTTTCGCAAACAGAGCGAGCAGCCAGAGAAGACCACCGATCGGACTGGACAGAATGGAGACACGGTAGCACCAGGCCAGTTGGTCCTCGACAATGACCAAAGTACCTCTGAAAATGCTCTCACGGACGAAGAGTTGGCTAGGAGACTGCAGGAAGAATGGGCACGGGAGGACGGAGAAGGGTCCAGCCAACATGTACCGTCCAACCGACCAGAAGACACCAAGCACAAGACCGAGGAGGATGTCAAGGCCTTTGTCTCTACGGCCTTGGACCACTCTGAACCCGTCACTGAAGTTGCACAGAATCACGCTGGCACGAAGAAAGGTGTCCTTGGTCTGCAAAGTACCGCGTCGGAGGAAGACACGATCACTCTATCAATACCGTTCGATCAAAGTCCTCTCACGTTTGACCCGTCACAATATGTATCAGAGCTGAAAAGACACTGGGCAGCAGACGGAGGCGACGCTTCTTACGCTCTTCTCACCAGATGCTTCTTTCTGGTCAACTCGACTCAGAGCCGGATCAAGATCGTGGACACGCTGGTCAACTGTCTGAGGGTGCTGATTGAGGCGGACCCGGAGAGTCTTGTTCCAGCAGTATGGCTGGCTACTAACTCTATTTCGCCCCCGTACATCTCGCTCGAGTTGGGGTTGGGAGGATCGGCGATATCAAAAGCCTTGAAGAAGGTGTGCGGACTCGACAACGCGGGTCTGAAGAGTCTCTACGACAAACACGGCGACGCAGGCGACGTGGCATTCGAGGCCAAGAAGAGACAGAGTTTCACTCTGCGGAAACCAAAGCCTCTCACGATCAAGGGTGCCTACCAGACCCTCGTCAAGATTGCCAACAGCAAAGGTCATGGGAGCGTAGAGCAGAAACAGCGACTAGTCGAGCGGTTGCTGCAAGATGCTCGTGGACCAGAGGAGAGCCGATACATTGTCAGGACTCTTGTGCAGCACTTGCGCATCGGAGCAGTCAAGACGACGATGCTGATAGCCCTGGCCAGGGCTTTCCAGCTTTCCCGTCCTCCAGGCGCAGACTTCCCAGTGAGAGATGCTACGGAACTGGCCAGACTCAAGAAAGACGAGCTCGCCATTGTCTGGGGAAAAGCAGAGGAGGTAGTAAAGACATGTTTCGCACGGCGACCCAACTACAACGACCTTGTCCCAGGCTTGTTGGAGGTCGGCGTTTCAGAAGAGCTGCTATTGCGTTGCAATCTGGCACTCCATGTCCCTCTGCGGCCCATGCTAGGCAGCATCACGCGCGACCTGAGCGAGATGCTCACCAAGCTGCAAGGACGAGACTTCAGCTGCGAATTCAAATACGACGGTCAGCGCGCGCAGGTCCATTGCGACGAACGCGGGAAGGTGTCCATCTTCTCCCGCCACCTGGAAGTCATGACAGACAAATACCCGGACCTGGTGGCCCTGGTGCCCGAGATCCGCGGCGACGGAGTATCGAGTTTCATCCTGGAGGGAGAAGTCGTCGCGGTTGACAGGAACTCTGGCGAACTGAAGACATTCCAAACACTCACCAACCGGGCCAAAAAGGACGTGGATATCGACTCCATCCAGATCGACGTGTGCTTGTTCGCATTTGACCTCATGTACCTGAATGGCGAACCACTACTGGACCGACCATTCCGTGAGCGCCGAGCTCTTCTCCGAAGCATGTTCGTGGAAAAGGAACATCACTTCACCTGGGTGCGAAGCATCGACGCGACGTCTGCAGATTCGGAGACTGTGCTCGAGTTCTTCAAATCGGCAACAGACATCAAGTGTGAAGGCATCATGGTCAAGGTCCTAGACAACCTTGCGAACCCAGACCTTGGTGTCCCAGCCGGCAGCGAGGCGGAAGGTGATGATACTACAAACAATACCTCCGTCACCACCACCATGCCTATCACCCCAAGCAAAAAGGGGAAGAAATCCAGCACCAACAACATCAACAACAAGAAGACGCAACTGGACAAAGAGCAAGAGAAAGAGAAAGGCACCCGCCGAAAAGCACTTCTCGCGACCTACGAGCCAGACAAGCGTCTCGACTCCTGGCTCAAAGTGAAAAAGGACTACGCCACCTCGGCCGACACGATCGATCTGATCCCCGTCGCCGGCTGGCACGGCTCAGGCCGCAAAGCGAAATGGTGGTCGCCCATCCTCCTGGCCTGCCGCAACCCAGAGACCGGATCTCTCGAAGTCGTGACGAAATGCATCTCGGGCTTCACCGACAAATTCTACCAAGCCAACAAGGACAAATACGCCGAGGGCGGCGACAACGTGCTGGGCTCGAGACCGAGTTATATCGAGTACAGTGGTCCCGAGCCGGACGTGTGGTTCGAGCCTCAAGAGGTGTGGGAGATGGCATTTGCAGATATCACGCTCAGCCCGACGTATACGGCTGCGATCGGGCTGGTCAATGAGGATCGAGGGTTGAGTATGCGCTTCCCTCGCTTCTTGAAGGTGAGGGACGATAAGGGGATCGAGGAGGCGAGTACGAATGAGTTTCTGGCTGCGCTGTATCGGAAGCAGGAGGCTAGAATCAAAGAGACCGGACAGGTCGTTCAGACTACAGGGGCTGCTGCCGTTGTCGAAGGAGATGCACTTGGCCCGGCTGACGAGGATGAGGATCACGACGACGATCTTGATGAGTAGTGAGGGAGCTAGGTCTCTGTCTTGACTCGTCAGTCCAGTCTAGCCTGCCATTGAGATACAATTCCCCTATTTCTCCGAAGTGTTAAGCACTTTGGTGTTCGAGCTACTGTTTAACGTAGCAGGTGGATGGTCCAGATGTAGCGTAGCTACGGCTCTATAGGCGTGCCTGAATAGACAAGGAAGACACGGCCCAGAACTATTCTTGTCATCCTCGCTCTTTCTCTGTCAGGCACTAACATCTGAAGTCTGCAAGACAGAAGATCATCTTTGAAAATGTATATATATACAAGTGGTTGTCTATGGTCATTTGCTTGTTCTCGGCCTATTTCACCCCCTCCAGACCTCTGCACAAGGCAGGGAGAATGATGGGGGGCTGGGGCATAGGGCTGGGGAGAAGTACAGCAGAAAGAGCAATGGGGAGAGCAATGGGGAGATTAAAACAGCAAGGGATACATAATGGGCAAATACAGGAGTGACAAGCAAGATGAAAAAGATAGCATAGGGGATATGAATAGAAAAGGTAAGAATAGGAGGGATAGAGGTAGAGAAAGGTAAGGATAGGGAGGGTAAGGATAGGGAGGGTAAGGATAGGGAGGGTAAGGATAGGGAGGG